ATCCAAATCAGTCGCACTTAGCGCCACTTAAGCGTCCCTTTTTTTGCGCCGTTTCATTCAGTGCTTTGCGCACCCGGTGCTGCTGACGCTTAAATTAGAGCAAGTGCTTGCTGCATGACATGGATTGGATAAAAATACCTAAAGATGTTTTATAGAGCAGAATGAGTTGTATGTTCTTATGTTTTACGAAATTATTTCTTAATTTTCAAAAGCCATTTAACACCTCTTGAGGAGGCACACGTTAAGTTTGATTACCGAGGAAGTGTGGATGGTTTAACCAAACAACCGGTAGCGTTAGCTTTATGTTATATTTTAATTTGACGATTATCACACAGACGACTTTCATAGAAACGCGACTGGTGAACATGGAAACCTTTGCGTAACTTTAAAGTTAAACACATGACAACGTCTGCCGTTTGTCTTCATAGTAACCATTATAAAAAATAAAATAATGTACTTTTATTAAAACTTTGTTTCCTCTAAAATTTTTATGAAGGGCATTCTGCCTCCTTAAACCTGGTTTTCTTTATTTAATTTTTTGCTCGCTCTCGCTGTGGCTTGTGGCATTGGAATTCCCAGGAATGAAGTTATCTTTACAAGAAAACAACAAACCCATTTTTACATTTACAGTAATTGCCACGCCGCCCCTAAACTGCAAATGCCTTAAAAAACTAAAAAATTTTTCGAGTTTCAAATTGTCGACGTAAAAATGACTGTCAAGAAAATTGGAAGTTTTCTTCCAAACGTTTTTTTGAAAATTAGTAATTTTTGTTTACAATGAAGTTGTCCTTTAAATTTATAAAGCCAATAACCTCAATTTATCTGAGCGTAGCAACTACCCGCTGCAACTATAGCGCATGCCTGAGCAATCTAAGCTTCCTACCTGCGCATAGCACCGGAATTCCGCCCTGAAAAGGAATGCCCCTTGAAGGAGGTGACCCATCATGCCCTTAACTTAACTTAACCTAGTGTATGTAGCATCTACGGGTGACCTCCAACCGGGTTGGGTTGAACTACTCATGCATTATAGGGGATACCAGATTCCCTTACTCGTCACTGTAGTAAGCCGTTGATGAAATTGGCCAACTACCAGGATTGCATGCTCCTACCTTCCTAGGGGATGAAAATTGATATTCCTTTCACCACAAAAATCCATCATTCTTGCTTTGAGGGTCTTGCTCGCTAGATCCAGTCTTCTAGGGTCTTCTTACAGATGCAATTTGCATCCTCTACGCTAAGGTACCATTTGTACCCACTAACCCAAAGTAGAAACTGCCTTCCTTTGGCCAAACTTCACTTGCATTTCCGATCTAAGCTATTATCCTGTCTACCCTTCAGCGAGGCAACGACCGCTGCGACCATGCGTGCTTCTTATAGCAGTATATTCACACAGAGGTTTTCAATGGTAAATTGGATAGAACAAATACCATCGTATCGTCAATCACAGGATATTATATCAACAAATTTTGTATCAACTGAAACATAAATCAATTCTTCGAATAAAGAAAGAACACTTTTATCACCTCTTAAGACTATTTTCAAAAATGCAAAGGTAATAACGTTTATAAATGATATTATTTTTGTGCCAGCATTAAAAAAGTCTTGTAGCGGAATATATTGCACGTGGCTTTTTGCCCGAATTGTATTGGAGATCAGGCCTAACTACGTAAAAGGCAAATTAGACTCACGGTTTTCGATGTCCTTTGCCAAGTTTGTCGACAGACGACGATTAACAGCGAATCTCTTGTCAATTGCAACGTTGAAATAGTAAGACGCTAAGCACTTGGAGCCCAAAATTTTTTTTTAAAAATTGAAATGTCGATGACGCAATTTTCCTGCTACCTGAAGAACACTCCCGTGTTTCATGTCGACGACGGCAAGCACAGAAGCAAGATTGGCCATTTCTTACAATTGTGCATGTCGCTTACGGCATAAATATCAGAAATATTGACAGTGAGTCAGTGTAGGTTATCTATTCTTGATTGTCAGGAAGGTTTCTAAACGGGATAATCAAAGCTAATGTCAGTACACTATAACACATTCTCTCGAAATTACAGACCAAAGTATTAAACGTAACAACAATACTTTTTTAACATTTTATTCATCTTTAAAGCCGTTCAATGGAAATAGAATTTCAACCAAAGTTACTATGGCACAAACTGTTCGCTTTTATGATCTAACTCAAAGGAATGGTCAACAAAAGCCACAGTCTTGTCCGTCGTCAACAATAACTAATTTCTTGGTCCGCAAACATTAGTTGTTTCTCAATCTTATGTAGTAAGCATTTGCCGTCAAACAGAAAAATAGCAAGTCGAAAGTGTAGGTGGTGTGCAACCATTCCCATTGGGAGCGAGAGAACAATGGAATGTCATGGATGACATTTGCATTGTTGTAAATAAGGAAATTCATTTGTTAAAATCATCCAACATGGCGGCGATGACGTAGCTTGCACTGAGAGTAAATGGCATGGTATTTTCATTTGATACATACAGTGAAAATTTAAGCGTATCTAACAAGCTATAACGAAGTATAAATTTTATGCATAAAGCCTAGTTTTCACTAACAATAAGGACAAGCGAGAAAACAGCACAGAGCATATCACCAAAGGTTGCAGGAAACAAAACAAAAGAGATTTTCTTTTCAATTTTCTTTTGTTTCACCTTACTTTTCAATTCAATTGTTGTGCTTGTGCTTACGACTGTTGCCAATGGTTGTGTAAGACGCTTCATTGAATTCTTTCGTATTTTCTTTTGCCTTTCCTTGTTCTCATATAAGCTTATACAAAATCTATCACTGATACAACTAAACATACTGCATAATTCAGTTGGTTATGCCTGGCTCACAAAATGAAGATAAGCATGAACGACAAGACTTTTATAATTTTTCTCCATTGTAAAGTTTACAAAGGAAAGAAATCGGAATTTTCTCAATCGTTTTTTGTTTTTCTTTTGCCTTATGCTGAAGTCTTTTCCTTGCACTTATATTGATGTTATTTCGAATGCTTCGTTGAACTTCTTTGTTTGATCTGTTGTTTTCACCTTGGCTTATATGCCTAGTTATGTATTGTAAACTTTACACAAAACACACCTTCAACAAGAAAACTATTGTGAAATTTCGATGCCTGATCACTATGATCATCTCTCCGGCACATTCTTGGGCATGTTTTGCTTATATCAAATAGCCAGGAGCAGAAAAGCTTTATACACCTATGGGCTTTGCATAGGGACATGCGTAGTAATTATCACAATATGTAACATTCTTAAGGTCTTATTTTTCGTACAACCTGTAGGGCATATAAAATAGTATAATAGGAAAGTTTGAAAAAATTGGATGAAATAGTCAAAACGTTGTCAACAGTTTTACAGATGGTACAGTAAACTGTTTTAGTTGATGGATTTTTGTTGCTTCATTGCTTTATGCCACAGCAAATGAAAAGAGTAATACCACAAAAAAACAAAGTGACATAAAACAAAGTTGGATGTACATTCTTTAAAGGTGGTAGAGTGCTGCAGTCCCCGGACTAAAATAATTCAGTACACACAAGAAAATATCATAATTAAAACTGGTCATCTGAGAAAATCAGATGAAATATTTTCACATTTAGTATTTAGAACACTATCAAAATGCCACCAATGCATCTTTCCACATGGCTATATCTTCAAACACAACAAAAATGCAAAAAAAATTTCAGGCATCAACAGAGTAAAAAATTGAATGAATTGCACAAAAACTTCCTTTGTTGATTTTTCAAACATTGCTCTGCAAAACTCAATTTGACTGCTATATGGATATTTAATCATAAAATATGAGGGGGTGAAAATATCTCCGTAAGGGGTTAACAATTTGGTTTGTTTCAATTTATCAAAAACTGATATTTTTGAGGGACCCCCTGCATGCCACAGAAATTGCACCCATGGAAACAAGATCTCCCCCAAATTACTTTGAATGTGGCAGCAAATATTACGTGGAACATGTGTAGATAACCAATGTGATCCCTGCTTCACTTTCCTAAAACAGTCTCTTTCATATTAAATAAAATGTATGTTTAATATTGAAGCTTTTACATCACAATTTGAGCTAAACACATACAAATGCAACAGAGGCATTTTTAAAATACTATCAACATGAAGACTGGCAAATAACTGAAAAAACATCTCAATTCATTATATATTATAAAGCTAACGTTTCATTAATACTCAACAATTTTGAGGAAACGTTCTATCCATGATAAAATATACATTTCAACATGACACAAAACGTTTGTTTGGTTACTTGTCTCCAAAGGCCACGATATAAAGTTTTTCATTGAAAATATTAAGCAGCAGTTACCACAAAAGTCCACTTCAATACCACAGTTATGACATTCGTATACTTTGAATAATTTGGAAAATAGCTAAAACGCAATAGAGGAAATTGAGTAAGTTCAGCGTAAAATATTTCAAACACAAGATGTCTTGTCAGGGAATTGAAGTTAGTCAATTACAATCAAGCATTACCCGAGCCACAAACAACAAATATGAATAATCCCAACAGTATGGGCCCGACAGCGTATTTCTCTTCCTTTGGTCGCTAGAATGTAAATACTACACGTCAGTAATTCGTCTCAATCTTTCAAAACAGCGTTACACGATTATTCATTACATTTCACAACTTACCAATGTTTTGGACACGTTTCCTCGTTGAGTAACATTTTGACTGTGCTTTTCATTAGCTACGCGTATTCTCTGTTTAGCTGGCATTACGGCGAAGTTAGCAGTCCGACGATTAGCTCGCGATGTAACTGCACATCCACAACAACACAAAACGAATTGAGAAATTTGACGAACAAGAACTTTCTTCGCTCTGAAGACGTAGTCGATGCTGATTGGCTATTTGTATAAATACGGGGGAAGGGGTAAAAAGGAGAAATAAGTTAGGAATAAAAATGTTTGTCAGTGATCTTTTCAGTGATTTTTTGCTACCGCCGCATTTCCGAGTAAAATTTTACAACAGAACACAAATTTCTTTTTTCAGTTTATTTGTACTTTTATTCCTTTAATACAAATTCATGCTGTTGCTACAGGAGCACCAGGAGTTCTTCCAGGTGCACCAACACCAGGACGTGGTGGGCCAGCATTTTCTGCCTACAAAAACAGAAGTATAATGTCAAAATTAAAGGACATTTTAATTTGACACAAATAGAATTGGATTTTATTACACATATGAAGAACCCACTTAAAAAGTAGAAAGCATAAAATACAGTAAACTGTTTCTAATTTTAATGTAACAATTAGAGACTGCATGCACTATATAATAACAATTGTCAAAGCTGAAAAGCAGCTGACTCAGTATCATTTAAAATAACAAGCCATTCATCCTTGAAATAGTAAAGCAAAAGCTATTGGTGACAATGTACATTTTGACTTGTTGCTGACTATAAATGTTCCATAAAAGCTATTATATATTTGTAATTTGTTACAGTAAATACAATCAACTTTAAAATGGTGACCATGACTCTCATTTAGGTAACAATTACACAAAAGTCACTTCAATTATATTTCTTATAAAATTTTCAGGACTTTACTTACCACGGGTGATCATATAATGGACTATAAATGCAATTTAATACAATGATGCCTAATACTCATGTAAAACTGTAGTAATTTTGAATGGATGACATAATGGGTCAATGCAGTTAAATTTCAAACATCAAAATTAATATTATTTTTGAAAATTAGTCAAATGCAAAAACGTGAATATTAAAAAATTAGCAAGAGAAAGATTTAGTGCCATGGGACTTAATTTGTTTAAGATGTCCAAAGCTGTTCATATGTCATTCAGACAGTGGTAAATTATTTAGACTGTTTATAAACAACCTAATAATTGCATTGTGGCCATACTTACTCGAGGCCGGAATCTTGGTGGAGGTGTTCGTATTTTGCGTTCAGCTCTAGAGCGATTCCTGACCACTTTGGAGTGAATAGCACAACTCACACAGTAACATAGCTTCACATATAACTTAGGTAATGCATACACTGAAAAGACAAAAAATATATAATTTATAGTATATAATAAAGCAGTAGAGAAAAAATGCATGGAAACAAATCACAAGGATTTGGAATTAACAAAAATTAAAAGAAACTATGCATTAAGGCAAATAGGACATAAAACAAAAAAGGAATTTCATCACATAAAACAACAACAACTTCCAAACACTGACAAACATATCAATAGCTATGGGAATTAATCCCATCCTATTGCTAAGAAAACTCTAAAAGCCTGATGAGAAAATTTAAAGATTCTCTCAAAATTACTTGAAAATACTTACTTTCATATGCACTAGCCTCAGAGATATCACGGACTGCAGCAGCTTCAACCATGTTTCGTATGACAAATTTTTTTATGGCTTTGTCCTTTGGTACAGCTCTTGCACAGTTGGTACATCGAAGAAACCTAACATGTCCTCTACCTTTCTTGGAACGACCATTATTTCTTCTTTTCGATGTCTACAACACATAAATGTTGTTAAAGAAGTTTCTATACATGTTTATTACTTAGACTTTCTTCTCTGGTATCAAAGTATGGAAATTTGATGCATGAATTTATCATTCATTTCTAGAAACATATAAAAACTTCATTAAAATTTCCCAGTGTTTGTAAATTGTTGTTTATAAAATTCATGTTCTTGAAAGATAAATAGTTATTATTACACTATGATGTCAAATAATGTGAGAATGACATATAATCTTCTTCTTTCATCACAATCACTGATGAATAAATCGTTATATGTGCTAAATTTTAGGTACTACAAACTTTGAAGAACAACTAAGCCCTTAAAAGATTGGAAAGTTTAACTAGTACACAGCTCTGTTGAAACTGACAAATAGTGATCTCTGAGAAGTATGAAATTACAGATATACTGAGCGGTTGAAGGTAGCCATTATTGTCTAAAGTCTACTGATTTCACACCGCAGAATAACCTCGAAATAAGTGCAAAAAGAACATAAATGAGAAATATTAAAATTCAAATGTTTTATTTTATCCTATATTTTCGCTTGATGTCGAGAGGAAATTTATGCCAAAGAACAGCAATAAATTTTTAATAAATTCATTTAACTCTGCTGCTATATCATTCAAAGTTTCTGTTATACTTATGTAAGAAATGAGATGAATTTCCTTATTACAAGAAACAAACCTACCATCTTGTTCCTGATAAATAGTCAAAAAGGACGACCACGAGTTGTCTACCCCTTATACTGAAGTAAAAACTGGGACACCCCGATTAGCAATTTCATTGATCCCCTGTGTACAACAATACTACCGTGCATTCTTTCATATCCATATACATATATGCAGTATATAAATAAAGAACGGAAGTCATGTTACAAATGAAACTTCAATGATAATACAACCGAGTGTAATGATAAGCCCGTATTAAAATAAAACGAATAATCTGCTCGTCAAACTGCTACCAGAATGAGTATGGTAAGTCTGTAGCCCAATACAATAAAATAAATTTAATATCGTTACTTGTATAACTTATAAATTATATTATAATAATCATTATACTACATTAGAAATGTTGGCCACTACACAAACACGTGAAGGCAGAAGGCCCAATAACACTAACATAATTGTAATATCTTTCTAGAAACATGAATTTCAAGTAGACATGACATGTGGTGGGTGTTCAGGTGCTGTTGAGCGTGTCTTAAAAAAGAGAGACGGTAAATCCCAAGCAATATGACAGTCCAACGTATAATTTATAATACAGTCATTATACATTTTTTTTAGTGCTTTATACAAGCAATTTGTATTTTACTTATGACAACTTCAGGTTGAACTATACAGTACACAAGGGTCCAAATATGTACAAATTATGGCAGTTAGTTTATATATTAAACATTGATTATAAAAACCTTTATATTTTAGTTTTTATAAGTACTGTATTAAAAGTTTATGTTGCAGTGTCATAGTTATATATAAACATTAACTTGCTGCATGGCATAGCTCTTGCTATGATTGAGAACATAGTTGATCAAAGACCTTGAAGTGATCTCGATCTTTTCATTTCAGATGTTAAAGACATTTCATTTGACATGGATAACAAAAAAGTTTATGTAACGTCAGATGCCTCTGCAGATGATCTTCTTGCAGTTATAAAGAAAACAGGGAAAAAGGCTTCGTATATTGGCACAGCTTAATATTGAAAGTAGCTTAACATTCAACATGTAAATGCATTGATGAAATTAAATACATAAAGAAAATTCCTTTTACAAATTTCCTAACTTGAATTGATCATGAGACAAACTTATTATTAATTTACCTATAATAGTAGCATTAATGCATGATGCTAATGACCTAGGATGAAAAAAGTTAAGATTTGACAAATACCTACTCATCTAACCACCTGATGAAATGGACAAAATATGGTCAGAAATAGTTTAGATGATAAGAAAAGTTAAAATAGAAAATATAAATGAATGAAATCTTTAAAAAATTCTCAATGGAATATTTTATTAATTTTCTCAAGACAAGACCAAAGTTATTACATCACCAGCTTTTTGTCAGTAAAAAAATTTGTCAAATTTATTTGTTAAAATAAAACAAATAAATGCAACAAAATAATAATATTGTATAAATAACTAGAAACATCATGAAGTAAATCCATGTTCTTTTAATTTCTCAACTAAATCATCAACACTTTCAACTTTGATACCAGCTTCTCGTACTGGAGGATCCTCAACAGATAACGTTTCTATCCTTGATGAGATATCAATCCCTAGATCCCCAGGTTTCTTCTTGTCAATTTTCTTCTTTTTTGCTTTCTAATATTCAAACACACTAATTATGTAACTATGATTATAGTGTTTATCAGGGATGCATCCCGAAGGATTTCTTAGGGGGGGCTTTGGTTTTCATAAGACTTTGTGCTGTTAGTCAAGTTTGGATTAGACTTTGGTGGCTCCATTGTGGGTGTCATTATGTCATTGACATATCATACTTTTTATGGGTTTTATTTGAGATCCTGGGAAATGTATAGTTTGACAGTAGTTTTTGCTCAATTGGTTGGTATATTGATTATTTGGCTTACTGATTTTGTAATATAATCATTGATTACTAACCATAATATTGGGTAAAGTTGCATATCTTGGTTCATTCAGTCTAAAAAATCATATCGTGTTCAATGATGTTTTCATAAAGACCTTACAAAAATCTTGAATATTTTGACCTTAAGTCAGCTGAAATAACTGCTGGTAATTTCACAGATATATTTTCTAATCCACCATCTATTTCACGTGTTACTTTTAAGCTTCCATCTTTAATTTCTATTTCTGATGCAAATGTTGCCTAATATGGTTAAAAACTTTATTAACTTTGCTATCACCAACAATAATTTGATAATCCATTTTTCTACTTACTTGTGACCATCTTAAAAGAGTTGATAAAATTTGTGCAGTTTGATTGCAATCATCATCAATTGCCTAAACAATAATAATGATGATGTAAGACACATTTCATCATGATATTTCTTTAGTAAGAGATCTAATCAAATAGGTAAACTTACAGTTACATACCAAACAAACTAAGCAAGTTACCAGTTGATTTTCTTTGATGTTTGTTATTATAAAACAAATAGTCGGATCAACCATTAACATACTTGTTTTCCAAGTAAAATTATATCAGGCTTTTCCTCCTCAGCAATTTTTGCAAATATCTTTGCCACAGCAAGTGGTTCAACTGTTGGGGAATCTTTTTCATCAGTCAAAACATGGATTGCCCTATCCATGCCCATAGCAAGAGCAGTTCTCAATGTTTCCTGTATGAATTAAAAATTTTAACAATAAATTGTGCAAACTGATATATTTCCTCGAATATTTGAAGTAAATAGTTACGGCACATAACTTTGAATCATTTTTACTGTAAGCATGATTATTATAACCAGGGCTGAAAAAAATGCTAAATGATGGAGGGTGGTGGTGTTGATATTCATATAATCATCTCTTGCTGACTGATTTCTTTTGAGAGTGATTATACTGTCTAAAGAAATTAGTTAAGCAAAGCTGATTATATGAAAATCAAAATCAAAAATTAACATTCTAGTTTTGGTCCTGATTATAATTTGCCTTGCATCAACCAACTTTATGCGATGATATTCTGTAACAGATCCAGGGTCAGTCAAAATAAATTACTGAAAATATATTTCCATTTTAAAATGCTTTAGAGCAAATCCAATTGGGGGCATTTTAGTCTTAAATTTAAAATAAGCTTCCATAAGTTGCTGATGATATTATGGTACACACTTTACCAAACATGAGCTTCCCTAAGTTGGTGATGATATTATGGTACACACTTTATCAAACATGAGCTTCCCTAAGTTGGTGATGATATTATGGTACACACTTTACCAAACATGAGCTTCCCTAAGTTGGTCACGATATTATGGTACACACTTTACCAAACATGAGCTTCCCTAAGTTGGTGATGATATTATGGTACACACTTTACCAAACATGAGCTTCCCTAAGTTGGTGATGATATTATGGTACACACTTTACCAAACATGAGCTTCCCTAAGTTGGTCATGATATTATGGTACACACTTTACCAAACATGAGCTTCCCTAAGTTGGTGATGATATTATGGTACACACTTTACCAAACATGAGCTTCCCTAAGTTGGTGATTATATCATGGTACACACTTTACCAAACATGAGCTTCCCTAAGTTGGTGATTATATTATGGTACACACTTTACCAAACATTTACCTCAGATTTTGGTGGTCCACAAGTCAAAGCAAGAATTTCGTCAGCGATTCCTTTTTCTTTCATACGAACAGCCTGCATTTATTCAAAAATACAAAATTTCAAGACTATATTCAGCCATTTCATTAAAAAGTTCAAAGTCCATTTTGAAACATAAACACAAGTTTCGCTGCTATTTGAATAGTAATTAATGACAAATATCTTTGGATGTATATAAAAGAAATGTTAGTAATATAGATTCATCGTAAAAGTAAGAAATTTTTTCGCGAGGTGCAAAATTCCACATTAAATAACATTTCACATTGAATGATTCAAACCAGTTTTGTTCAGTTTCTTGTAAAACCTTAATAAAGCGTTTGATCAATTACAACGGAATATATACATAAACAAGGCAATAAAATACTACTGCCATATTTATACCTCTTCCACAGCTATTTCGTCGAAAGGATTCATACTATGTTTCACTCCATCAGTTACAACACCAGTTTTGTCAGGCTTTACTCGAATCTATGCACGCACGTTTTAATTCAAGTATCAAAATATAAATTGAAATGATTACATGCATATAACAAACACTTTTTTAAAAAAACAGTACCTTAACAGCATAATCTATGACACGTTTACAACCAACAAGTACCCTTAACTTGGTCGCCATTTTGTGATGGTGAAAATGTTCAAATGAGTACGTCGTGTAACACAATTTCTTTTGTTTTGGATTTGGTAACGAAAGCAATGAGTAAGGATTGTTGCCATGAAACTGACATAATCAAACAAAAACATTCCACGTTCTGGAAGTTTTCGTCGGTTGTTCTCCAATTTAGTTAGCTTCGCAAAAATAAAATATATAGAGACAAATTTTCATGTACATACCACTCAAGCACAGAAGAAATGCCGCCAAAGAAGATGAACAGTGGAAAGAGAAAGAAAAAGAAAATAATAGGTAGTTTAGTAACATTACTTTAAAATACAGTTAACTTGTTTTGTGTCTTTTATCAAAAAAGATTTTTAATACGCGGAACAATTCTCAAAAACAACTTGCAAATTGCGTGGGAAAGAATTTTCAAGTGAAAAGCATGATTCACTTTGCTGATTATTCTCCTTTATCAGGAAAAAACACAGAATTAACGGTGGAAGACAAATACAAGCGTACACTTAAAGAAATTGAAAGTCTGAAAGCAGAATTAGGTATTTTGTAATTTACTCTCCATTTACTCATTTTCTAAACATTGATGATAGACATTTTTCTTACACTTGTTAGCAATGCGAACAGAGATTGTTCGTAGAACTCGTGACAAGTCCGCTAGGATGGAAGAAAGAATGCATGAGGCACAGGATGAAGTAAAAGAAGAAAAACAAAATAAACGAGATATTTCCACAGGTTATTTTTATGACATTCTGAAATTTGTTTTATTCCTCGTTTTTATGCTTAAATTGTAAAATTGCCACAAATTTTTAGGTTTGTATGTAATCTTTTATTTTCTACATGTTTACAACAAACATTCAGCATTGTCTTTGCAGATCTAACTCGTCAGTACAAGATGATGCAATCAGAACTTGGTTTGAAAATTCATGTATTAGAGAAAACAGTCACTACATTGCAATCAAAATTAGGTAGGCAATTGATGAGTACTCTCAGGAATCTCCTTTGTAGTCTGAGGAATGTCCTTTACAGTCTCAGGAATCTCCTTCGTAGTCTGAGGAATCTCCTTTGCAGTCTCAGGAATCTCCTTCGTAGTCTGAGGAATCTCCTTTGCAGTCTCAGGAATCTCCTTCGTAGTCTGAGGAATCTCCTTTGCAGTCTCAGGAATCTCCTTCGTAGTCTGAGGAATCTTCTTTGCAGTCTCAAGAATTGCCATGGAAGTCTCAGGTATCTCTTTTGCAGTCTCAGGAATCTCCCTGATAGTCTTAAGCATCTTTGTAATGGTCTCAGGAATTTCCTTGAAAGTCTCAGGAATTTCCAAGGCTGTATCAGACATTCATAGGCAGTGTTTGGCAGCTCCTTGGAAGTCTCAAGCATCTCCCAGGCAGTCTCAGGTGTCAGGTGTCTCTCTGGCAGTCTCAGGTGTCTCTCTGGCAGTCTCAGGTGCCTCCCTGGAAACTCAGTCTGCTCTATACATTCAAAGTCTATAATATCGTTTGCATTTTTTTCACTTGGCAATTCAATAACTTCTTTCATTAAGAATATCATTAATTTTGAAAAGGGACTATGCTGATATATAACTCTTATTTTCTTGCTAAAATATTTTGTTAAAAGTCTGAAATTTTTCGAAGTTGTCAAATTCTGCTATTGTCTTTTCAAGACGTAAATGACTTCATCTCTAGTTCGTATCATAAGTGAATTTAAAAATTCTTTACGAAATTCAAAAATTTCGCATTCATTTAAAACCCCTAGAAAAGTTGCTCAATCAACATGTAAGCTAGCTATATTAATCTCGTTTTAATCATGGTCGTTAAGTCATTAAGAAGTACATCCATAAGAATCAGTTGAATGCCATGAACAGTGTACCATGTAGATCTTACAAGCTCCTTATTATGCTTTCCGATAGAGCGAGTATTTTACCTGTAAGCTTACTCAATTCTAAGAATATATGCAACAGGGAATATCATTTATTTTTCACGAGCCTAGTGTCGAAAATTATCCTGTCAGGCTAATAATGTTAAATATCGTACAATTTAGTCAAGTTGCTGTTGGTTCTGTAATAATAGTCTGCTTCGTATATCATGAATCAAACCAACAAATATTATTTTTCAATGTAGAATTTTGACCATACGTTTATGTATATGCAATTCTTGATCATAAAACCTTTTGTTTAACAGCAACGACAGAAATAGAGCTGAAAGATGCAAAAAAGGAGATAGAGAATATTCTGATGGAGAAAGATGGTATTATAACTGAGTTACAATTAAAGATTGACACAATGGAATCTGCTTATGAAACATTACTCCATGTATGTAAATGTAGAGAAAATGTTTGACTGTCATTAACACGTTCTGCTTTTCTCACTGCTCACATTCCACATCATATCACTTAACACCATGCTCTTACTCTACACCCTGCTATCACTCTACACATGTACACCATGCTTTTACTCTACACCCTGTTATCACTCTACACGTGAACACCATGCTTTACTCTACACCCTGCTATCACCCTACACGTGAACACCACCCTGTTATCACTCTACACCATGCTACTCACCCTATCACGTGAACACCATGCTACTCTATCACCCTACTACACCATGCTCTTACTCTACACCCTGTATCACCCTTATACTCTACACCTGTTATCACCCTACACATGTACACCATGCTTTTACTCTACACCCTGCTATCACTCTACACGTGAACACCATGCTCTTACTCTACACCCTGCTATCACCCTACATATGTATACCATGCTCTTACTCTACACCCTGTTATCACCCTACACATGTACACCATGCTTTTACTCTACACCCTGCTATCACTCTACACGTGAACAACATGCTTTTACTCTACACCCTGCTATCACTCTACACGTGAACACCATGCTCTTACTCTACACCTTGCTATCACTCTACAGCTTGCTATCACCATACATTCTGTAACATTCACGCCATGCAAACACCATTCACCTTGCTAGCATCGTTTTTCTTCTAGTATCCTCAATGACATCTTGTGATGAGAGTCATTAAGAACTTAAAGATTTTTCATGTTAATATTTTGCACAGGCTTTTGCAAGCATTCAGTGCAAAAACGAAAAACATCTTTTGTAAAATAACAATAACGTGAAACTATTTTTCTACTTGTGATTTAGCTTGAATTTTAGTATATCTTTCGTATATTTTTTATGTATTTAAATCCTTTTAGGATACTTTGGACCAGATGGGAGATAAGATAGAGGAGACAAAAATGAAATGGTTTACTGAGTCGAAAGAAATTCTGGAAACCAATAAACAGATTTTGTTATCTTATGGTCTCAACCCCTTAGAAATATGATGCTTGGTTTTTGTAAACACGATCCAATGATGGAACCGCTAAGGAAAACATTGAAATCCACATAACAAAAGATACATCTATGTCCCAAGTGTTTTTATTATTAACAATTGCGTAACGTCACGAGTATGCATAATAGACTTATATAACATTTGTAACATATTCGTTGTCATACGTATATGCTTCCTTACAATAAATACCGATATTCAAAAATTTGTGATACAAATAATCATATAAATTTTTATACTCGTCGACGATTGAAAAAATCACGTTATATAAAAGCCCCTCCTCCACCCATTACAATCATTCCGTCTCTCGAAGCTACAGGAAATTTTGAAAATGCTGATGATGAAATGACAAGTTCTGTTTTGTTTTTAACGTAACAACCAAACAAATCTTTATACGGTAATTAAACCAAATAAAGATCTCTTTTATTACATAAATTGTGTCATATTTCAATTTCAGTCATTTCAATAACAGCTCCGGAGCCATTCACCATAAAAACGTTTTTGTTTTTATCCTTAGTTATTTGTTTCGCGGCAAAACTCTTGCCTATGTTTTTAATAATTTCTTTTGAGCTTTCTTGAGGACGAATACTGTTTTTCTTTTTTCGTATAAATGAAAACCATATGCAGCAAAGCCCAGAACTTATACCAACAGTAGTTGATGTAATGATCAGAAGTATTGTATAATTTTTGCGTCTTTTTTTCAATTTAGAACCGACAGTTGGAAAGGAATGACTTGTTTCTAAGTTGTCAGGCAATTTAACAATTTCCTCTAAAAACAATTTGTGAAACAATAATTTGCACCGATGTTGGATAAAGTGTTTAGCAGACATAAAAATACTTGTGCTTTAATCCAACTTTCCAACTGTAAACACACGTGTCAAAAATACGAGTGCCATAACAAAATGTTGATGAGCTTCATGTGCATTTGTCAAAACAAGCTTAGAAAACGAAGAGCATGCTAAAAATATATGATTGATTAAAAATAAAAATAAATTATTAAAAATAAATTGCTCATCGCATTTACAAGAAGCAATTTCAGAGTAATTGAGAATAAATCTGAGCATGCGTAGTCTACTGCACCAACTCTCCAAGTTCATGGTCATGGCAACGACCAACTGTATGTACTAGTACGGATTATGGAGTAATTAGCTCGCTCAGTCACAAATTTTCAGATAAATCATCTGCGCATGCGCAGTCAGCTTGAGCATGTGCAGTCATGCACAAGTTCATGGTCTTGGCAACGACCAACTGCATCTACTAGCACTGATTTTGAAGTAAATAGCATGCTTAGTAACAATTTAATAGAGAAATCATCTGCGCATGATCAAGCGCATGCGCAGTCCACTCGATCAATTGTTCATATTCATGGCAACGACTAACTATATGTACTTGCACTACATTTGTGGCAATTAGCTCACTTAGTCGCAAATTATCAAAGAAATCATCTGAGCATGCGCAATAATGATTTTAATAATACTACAACTTTCATCAGGCTTTGAATTTGTGTATATATATATAAAGCTAAGACTTCATATAGTAGATGTCAACTAGCAGTGGAAGCTGGGTGCGATATAGTATGCAGTGGCTTAGGGCCCAGACTTCGGTCGCGACCGCACTCTCCCTGCGTACCCCGAGCAAAGCCTATCGCAGGCGATCTCGGGGTCTGATGGGTGGAAGCTTGCTATTGCATCTCCCTAGTAGGATAGCGTGGAGGGGCCGAAATCTCCTACCGAAACGTTAACATGCGGCGTTCTAGTGCCTTACGTATAACAAGGTATCGGGAAGCATGGACCGAAAACGGGGTTTTTTGCTTTCGAATTTTATCTTTTTGTTTATTTTACAAGAGTTCTTCTTATAAATAAACCAAGCAATGTTTCAATTAACTTCTTCTGACACTGTGCCTTTTTCTAACACTTATAAACTTATAATTTAAGACAACCTTTTATAGAGTTTTTATTGGTTTATATCTTTCTGACTTAACTCTTTCATTTACTGTTTCTCACATATCACGAGCAAACATCCAAGGCTTCATGCAAGCAAAGATTATCTGGTTCCCTTAATTGACCAGCTGCCCAAGCTCATGGTCATCAACGTTAACATGCGGCGTTCTAGTGCCTTACGTATAACAAGGTATCGGGAAGCATGGACCGAAAACGGGTTTTTTTGCTTTCGAATTTTAACTCTCAAAATTTAAATCTCGTGTTTATCTCAATCTTAAACATGTTTTATTCAATTTTTATCGGTTTATACATTTCTGATTTAACTCTCTCATTCACTGTTTCTCATGTACCACGAGCAAACCATCCATGGGCTTCATGTCAAACAAGGATTATCTGGTTCCCTTAATTAACATGCAAACGCTCTACTGCTCAACTATTTCGGAGTGTCGAGAAGCATCACTGCATGAACTTAAAACAGGATTTTTTGTTTTCAAAATTTGACTTTTTTCTTTACAAGAATTCTTCTCATAAAAGAAACTAGAACATCCAAGGATCAATAATAATAATAGTGATTATAGTGATTATAAGACAGCGAAACTAACATGTAAAAAAAATAACAGTTTAAAAATTTGTATGACTTGCTTTTTTGCGCTTTATGCCTTTACGCCGTAAAGGCCTATAACAATCCTTACGAAAACGTTTTTAGCGCGACAAAAACATGCCATTTCCTTCGATCGCTACTGATACTTAACTCAAAATGGTTAATATTTACTGTTATGCCTTCTGCCTTTATAAATAATCGTTCTGAATAACTAGAATCAGATTCGCAAAAGCCCCAAAACTCAAAAACTCAAAAGCATCTCCTAACCATTTCATTGCCACTATTCGACATAAACAGTACTATGTCCGACCGTTTAATTGTCCGAATTTTGCAAATTGATCTCGTATTTTTAATTTGACACGTATGTCTACCGTCGAAAAGGTGGATTTTCACATGCCGAAAATTAGTACTAGTATCTGTTTAGTTTATTCTCAATTAATCAAAATGATGGAAAGATATAAGCATACTGCATTAGCTACTACTTTGGACATTCAGAAGGTCAAAATGTCATTAGATTTTACCTTGACAAAAAGTATCATTTCCGATAAATTGAGGCAAACATTGACATTGGAATGATCCTGGTACATTAATACAGGTTGCGTTGGAATGACAAGGACTATCTTTATCACATTCATCACGATCTGAAAGTTAAAAAAATAGAAAAGAAAAGCAAATTTTGTAAAAAGCATTTTTTGAAGCTTAAGTCTTGTCCAAAAGTTATCAAACATAAGCACATTAATATGTTCTACTGAGGAATATATTTATTATTCACAACTATATGTATAGCTAATATTTTTGAAACATGCGCGCATTAATGTTATTATCACTAATGATGACATGCACTAATTTTGAAATATTTTTTTTTCGTATCGCAGTAATTGCTGACCTAATCAGTGCGAAAGACAGTTTACAACGCATCCACGCTAGCGTGATGCCATATTTTAGAAATTTTGAAATTCTATTTATGTTTTGTGAAAAATTGAAAATATTGAGACATCGAATATTAAATTACATTTAATTGCTTTATAAATTCTTTATTACGTTCAACGTCATTTCACATTCACTATAAATGCAAAATGGACTACAGGGTGCATAAAAAATAAACAATTTGACTAACATATCGCTAAATTTATCAGCGGGTAATGTTCGCTAAAATCTTTAGTGGACATATGTAATTACACTTTTCATGGTTGGTCTGACATATAAATTGGAAGCTGAGCGTTCACGTACGCATTGCTCAAATTTCCTGAAACTTTAATATCTCTGCCATATTTTAACGCTTAGTACGATTTTCAATAGATTTTTATAAAATTCTTAGACTAAAAATGGTTCTTATAATTCGAAAAATTTAGATACTGTCAAATAGACCATTAGAAGTCAAACCACCCATTTCCACCAAAGATTTTGGCAAACGTTGCGCGCTGAGGAATTTGGTGACATTTTCTTAATTGCTCATTTTTTATACATGATCCCACATAACAATATAAAACAATTATCTTTAAGTTAACAATATCGTTATTTATTTATATTAAAATAATTTTAATTTACCTTCACAAAACGTGCCATTACCGGAATATCCGTCCATACATGTACACAAGTATGATCCAGGAACATTAACACAAGTTGCATGAATATGGCAAGGCGCTTTCTCACACTCGTCATAGTCTATGAAGATGAAACAAGGAAAGTTTCTTTATTCCCAATTTAATAAATCAATATGTAGATAGCTATATGACCATATTACCTGAACAAAATAATCCACTTCCAAAATAACCTTCCGTGCAAGTGCAGTTGAATGATCCAGGTATGTTAATACATTGAGCTTTAGGGTCAAAACACAAACTTTGCTTGCATTCATCGATGTCTAAAAAAAACTCAAATCAATTTTTGGTCTCATGGGTAGTTATTGAAAACATCAGGCAAAAGTGAGGTAAGATCTTTTTCTTTTTATTACTGACATGCATTTAAAATAGAGCATATTTTTGTTATTTATATACCGTATATAATAACATACCAAAACATTCAAAACCATTTCCAGTAAATCCACTCAAGCAGTGGCATTTAAAAGATCCAATATCATTTTGGCATTTTGCGTTGGAGTCACAAGGAAAGTGACTGCATTCGTTGATATCTTTTACATATAAAATGGAAAGAAAATTTCACTACAGCAAATTAAGTATTTATTTTAACTCAAAGTAACTTTGGAATTATTCAGAATCGAACCTGTACAATTTTTCCCATCTCCAACAAAGCCATGTTTGCAGGAACAAACATAGAAGTTTTCACTGTCGTTACAAGTTGCATTTCTGTGACAATCGTCTAATTTTTCGTCACATTCATTCACATCTGACAAAATAAATATGTTCATTTGATGAGTTGTTTATTTAAGCAACAATTAATGACTGCAAATATATAAGGGAAGGCAACGAATGAAATTAAAAGATGCATAAAATATCTGACTCACGATAGCGCGACAACAAGCATGCAAACTCAAGAAAAAGAAGAAATAATTCAAACCTAAGATAATAAGTTTCCTCGGCGAGATTGTCTTCTTTTCATTCCCATGAGAAATTTCTATACGAAATTTTTCGGAATTTACACTTCTCCTTATTCTCCTTAATTTTTTGTTCGTGTCGATCTTCTGGGATCCATTAATACTTGCAAAGATAGAATTCTGGAAAGGTCATTCGTACTTTTTTCATATTTTTAATGTTACTTAGCTATGAATCTTTTAATTGATACAAAAGTTATAAAAGATATATATCACGCAAAGAATATACCTTCGTGAAATTTATATTTTCTATCTCGTTTTCAAGTTTCTCATCAAGACAATTATAGATTGCTTGCTGTAAATTTTTCTTCGCTCTTTTTCGATCAAATTTAGATGTAAACATGAGCTTATTTACATCATCATCAAACTCCAAACCAAAGACTTGGCTGAAAATGTAAACTTATCAACAAAACAAAAACAATAGATCTGCATTAAAGCTAAATGCATTCACATAAAGTGTTACGATGAACAGCATGTGATACGTTATAAATGAACGTATACAAAAAAAAAATCATTCTTACCGTTTATTAAACGGACAAAATCGTTCGCAAGATGTAAAAATATTTTCGCACCAGCTACAATTACTGATTCTTAAACATTCATGTTTACTTGAACTAAAATAAAATGTAATGTACAAACATGACATAAAGAGACAATAAACATGGAGGATATACCTTTTGAAAATATATCTGTAAGCTACTTTCAACTTACGCAGTGTTACAATCTTTTTTACATTCAGCTACGGTTTCCAAGTTTAAGAATTTGGGTCGGTCTACTTCATTGCTCAAATATTTTTTCTTGTTAAATGAAGCTAAAAATTGGTTAACAGAGTTTTTGCCAGTATATAACAGGGTATAATTCATATAGTCTTCGTATTAAACATAAATAGTTAAATACAAAATAATTTTATACCTTATAAAAAATGGTCGTCTGGTCAAAGATTGCAAAATGCAAATTGCAATAAACTGTCCGCTCTGCTGACTGGTATATTACTGAGTGATCTGACTGGTATATTACTGTATGGTCTGACTGGTATATTACTGTGTGATCTCATTATACATATAGTTACTTACCCAGACAAGTATTTGAAGTGAATGTTTTCATTAATGTGTTGCTGCATTGATGAAATGACATTGAACACGAGCAAGGCGTCTAAATCATAAGTAAAATTTATGTGCATATTTTCATAAATGATCATTGAGTTTTTCGATACCTGGCATTCTGAGACATCTATCAAACATGTTTTACATGTTGGCGACGAATAGCAGGCCTAAAATGGGGGGAGAGAGAGAAAGAAAAATTGATTTGGTGAAGTAGCTATTTCCTGTTTATTTTATACCGTGATTAAATAATCATTACTCATGGCTGCTTCTGAATCTTTACTGAAAGAATGTTGCGCCATGGTGCAAAGTGCTTTAACTTTCGCTGCTTTTTGAGTCTACAGTTTAGCAATAACAATATTAATTTTATCGAATTTCTTTAATATTACCTCAAAATGATTATTATGTAAAGTATCTTTGCAGTTGGTGTGCAATTTTCTGGATGGAACAATCAATAACGAAGAGCTGACATTTTCCAATGGAAGTATGATGAATTGTCGACAAGTTTCTAATGATTGTGACACTATTGCTTCGGTTATATTACACTCGTATGAGAGTAGAATTTTGAAGTTTATGAAGTCGTTACACCATCTTGGCTGTAAATATAGCAATTTCCTTTAAACCTGTCAAGTTGGTAAAAGTTACTTGCACAACATATCTCCGAGCAAATATATAAAAAAAATCTATAGCAAATACAAATACTTGGACATATAGTTAGACCATTACGAGCCGTTACTAAAATATTACGGAGATAGCAATATAAGCAGGAAAAAACTTCGATATAGCTAGAAACATGGTGAAGAATTTTCACTAATAACATTTTTTTGGTATTGAAAAAAACTTCAATGCATTGCCTTATAGATCGGTCATGCAGCAAAGAGGATACCTTTAAAACTCTTTTGCTTTCAACCAACTGTTTCGCAATCCAAGAAAACTTTTTGGTTATATGAGCAAGTTGTTTTTGTCCCGTGGAAGTGAGATGAAATAAATACCTAAAAAATTTTTTATTATATGACCTGAAACAAATGAATGCATAGGCAACTTTGCATTCACAGTGCAATACACTGAAAGGTCACTCGATGCATTGGGTAACTTGGATAAGATTATCAATCTCAGCGTTCCTGATGGCAAATTCGGTATCAAGAGGATAGCGCAAAGTTTAAAAAAAAGAATGCCTTTCAACATGTAATTTGGATCAATCATAAAATATTTTATACATTTATTTAATGTCTTCATTAACAAATTCTTCAATGCTCTATAAGCAGAGAATTGACATCTGAAAGAATACGTACGCAGAGAAAACACAAATTTTCAGATACATCAAAAACGTCGGACACCTGACTCCGAAAATGTTAAAATCTTAATGCAGTCTGAAATTTATCATAGTTGAACTCTTCGCTTCACCCATACGATCGCTTTTATGGAGTGGTCCTTCTGTATATTCCTTATTTTGTGGCTCAGTTAACTTAAATTGGTTATCAATATATTCATTTGTATGTAAAATTGAGTTGTATATTTAATTCAAATGTAACGTCTATAGGTAATTGACATTGAGAATTCAACTCACCCAAATTGATCCATGAAATAACAATCGTAATCAGAAAGACAACCTGGCATCTGAAAAAGAAAATTTTTGTTACGATTTCAAGTTTATATTGATGAGTCAAAAAATAACATTTTTCTCACAAGTTATAATAAACATATCAGAAAGAGATGATAATTTATACAAGATATTGAATTGTGTGCAAGAGAGCGCTTTACCTCATTCAGAGCCATTCTATAAAAGGACGTTAATGAGATATCAACTCCAGCTATGCCAATAGTCCTTGCTTTCCAGTCTATAAAATCTTCAGTTAGATGTAACTGTCTTTTGGTGGACCTAAAAATTTCAAAATTTGTTTTTCAAACAAAAGAACAACGGAAAAGAATACGAATTATTCGTATCTCTGCCCTTTAGCTTGGTTTAATGATGGTAATGAATAACCTTTTAACGATTGCTTTACTAAGAGAGACAAAAGCTCCTTGATGATACAGAGTAGAAGTCTCAGAATGGATTATTGACAATTTTTCAGGATGGTGATAAGCTTGTTTGTACCTATCAAAGTCAAACAGATACAAGTCATTCATTTAATATAATGAGTTCACATGTTTTATATTTAATATGAAGAAAAATGTATTATATTTATGATTTAGCTACCACAATCTATTTTTGTGGGTCAAATATTCCGTGAATAAAGAACCAGGATATCGTAGATAGATACCACTTTCTGAGCCTACATATCTGAAGAAAAAAATCGTAGCATTTAATGATATTACCAAAGAAATAAAACGGTTTCTTAAAATTTTCTACCTTGACAATATTTCGTATCCACTTTTATCGTCATATTTTGCTCTTCTCCAAAGTTGATCAAAAAAATCAGCGCTCATTAAGTCGAACATAATGTTTGAATGAGAACCTTAATTCCAAATCATAAGGTGTTTCCTTAAAATCTCTTATCGATTTTATGTTAAATAAGCGGAAATGCATGAATTACCACGAGTTTTCTTGGCAATTTTGTCTGCATGAATTGCAGTAACAAAGTCAGATAAATCATTTGCTGTTTTATTTGAGAGTTTTTCCATCCATAATGGAAGCTATATATGAACGATGAAAACGTCTTAAAATGCAATAGTTTAAAATTCAAACTTTTTAGTTGTATTAAAAAGTATATAAGTGTGCAAGTATTAGCTAAAAGTATTTCTTACATTGATTGTAGATGATTTAGTGAAGATAGGTAGACCATTTACTTGACATATATCGCCATCTCTGTTTATCTTGCTATCTTCAACAACATAGCTGTGTAAACTGGATGAATTCGTTGGCCTCTAAAAAAGATCACAAAATATTTGATACGTCATGTAAATTATAGACTTTGTAAACTTATTTTCACTAACCAGAAACAAATCAAAATCATTTTCCACCACAACTAAAACTACAATAAACATATCTCTAAGCCTTTTCCAGTGAACACTGGCATTCACTACAATCTCCGTGTTGTTTGAATGGATTGACTGCAGTGAAATCTACCAAAAATGAATTGAATAAATAAATAATTTTAAGACATATTGATACAACAAGGTCAATCCTTTGGTCTGACCACAAAGATGTCCGGGCTTAATAATTCTATGGCAAGAATTTTTTAAAATAAAAATTAACAGTTAGCTTGTATAGAATTAAACAAATTCTGAAACAACTGCGTGTTTTGGTTGCTTCAGTGAGCAAATATTATCAAAAAGCCCACTGCTCAGGATGCAAGAAATTACATCTAAGTACATCTATGGTTTTAAAATACTCACAATTGCTGAAGATTATGTGGTATTATGAAAACAAAATACAGCTGCTCATCTCTCAAAAATTGACACAAACGACGACATGAGATTCTGACCTTTCTCAACTTCATATGACCAATTGATTGTTTTAAGATTGTTTTCAATTTTTCAGTATTAGCCCAAGTTTCGTATAATTGTATTGGAAAAAGTAAAGGCATTAGTTCAGAGCCATCAATAACTTGCCATCTAGGATGTATCCATATTCTCCCTTATAAAAAGAAAGACACATCTCGGAGATTGCTAAAAATTAATATCAAGTAAATTCATACCTTTTATGTCAAGAACAAAACCATACGAATATTGCCCAAACGAAGAGGAAAGGAGCTGAGAGAAAACATTTTTCAATGAATTATCAACAGCAGTAACTCCAAACATTGAACCATTTTCATCTATGCAAGGCATAGATAGAGTAGATGATGGAGCTACATCGAACAGAACAATTTAAAAGTCAGATATATAGATGACGTTTTAACTAGATTTGGATCAAGTGTTTGTCAAAATCAATCACGGTAAGCCTAATTCAAATGCAAAAGCAGCAAAATGCATTTGTTTATGACATTAAAGTGTATAGCTATGAATAAAGAAAAATCGTAATTAATTGGGTTTTTTTGCATTATCGAAAAATATTTTTTGCCAAATAGTTGAAAAATAATTTCAAAAAATAATTGGTTTTGACTTCCACTATACTCTGTTTAGGGTAAAAAGTGTACCTAAAGTTTGATAAATTTGAACTTCACATAAGGAAAGACTTTTATTCCTTCCGCGAACGCTTAAGTGAACATAACGACCAATTATGTTGGATCGACACATTAAAACGTTGTTTTCTTTATCTTTTAAAACACTGATTAATCCACATATTTTGTTGGATTGTTCATTTTCATCATCACCAATACGAACTTCAACATTTTTAAAGGATTTATGACAACAGTTAACTATGACCACAGCCATTATACTGTATGATTTTTTTAAATCAACCCTCCACCAAGGATTTTCTTCATATTTTGTTTGCGAACAATTTCCGTCAACAAAACCATCAACAGCAAGTTGTGAAACTTTATCTATCATTACACTTGATTGAATGGTTTGCTTTTGAAATGCAAGGTTACCTGCAAATATTAAGCAATAAAAACATTATGTAAAATGATATTAAATAAAGATGCTTGTGCATTCATAGTATAGCCATACCTATCTCATTGTCCTTAATAAATGTTTGATAATAGCTCCCCAATTGAAAACTTAGTTCATTTTTCATGTTATCTCTAATATAGGAAACATGGCCTTTATTGTCACTTGCAAGTTTTGCAAGAAATTTCTTTCCGTCGTTATTTCTTGCAATGCTATCCCCCAGACCATAAATGAGGATACTAACAGAGTTATTCTAATAAAAATAGTATATTCAAGAATGAGTGTTTCAACAAGACATAAGTATTTTAAACCAAAAGATTATTTCATGCTTATATTTAAAGTCGCGGAATCCACAATCGTTGAAACTTTTTAAAAAAACTCAACGATACAATAAGTAAAAACATATTTTAGAAAGGTAGTTACCAGTTTTTTTTGTCCGTTAGCAGCTGCTGGATGAATCTTTGTTTCTGGATCGTCATTTGGATCACCATCCGTAAGAAATAGTATAATATTTCTTCCCTGAAACTGCACATGGATAAATGGTGAATCTTAGATCATCAATTCTTAAAACACTCAGGTATATGGCATTAATCTACCTGATAACTGACCATAAGCAACATTAATGATTAATTTGAAAGAAAGTTACCTTAATATCTGACGGTAAATTTACTAAGCAATGAAATGCAGCCGTCAATGCTGTAGAGTAGTAGGTCAGTGCTGATAAAAAAAATCAAAGAAATTGAGTAATGTAAATGGTACAGTTTTAGTGCTTTCATCCCGGCTAATTTCGTTTCACAAAAATTTAATGTTGCTTTGGGAACAGTTGCGTAAGTTTGAGTCAGACTTTCCGAGGTACTTCAAGGATGGGGTGCCCCCCACCATAAACATTTTCTTTTAACCATGATTAGAACACAATATTCACTAGTTTTCAGCTTATACACAGAAAAATACCAATAAGGACTTTGAATTTATTACCAGGAACACGAATTCACAAATAACTTTCAGTAAGAAATATCCAGTGCTTCAACTTGCCCAAATATAAACGTACTTTTCAATCTATATTTTCATAAATAACACCATTCAGGGTGCCCCCTTCCAAGCTATTGATTTCTTGGGTGCCGTGTACCCACACAGAGTTCATAGCAGTTAGGCCACTGACTTCAGCCTTCAATTAGATGCTTGATTATTATTGTCATAAATGGACTTTTTTCAACTTTACAATATTGGGTTATTAGATTTGCATTAATTCCTCTTTACTATATGGCAAGCGTGACTTCCGGCTAAATGGCGCGCTTTGATTGGCTCAGAAACATTTTTGCCAGTCCATTATTATCCCGACATCGACCACGGTCCAAAACGCATAATTTTACAGTGAAAGGTAAACAAACTTCGTAAAAACAAACAGCAAAATGCAAAAAAAAACGAAACAAAAAACAATTTGCGAATTTGAGTCGACAGAAAATAACTCGGAAAACAGTTTAACTATCCAGACGATACAATTTGAAACGATTTCTTTTTTACTGACGAAAACCAGAAAAGTGAAAGGCAACTAACCCGTACAAACAGCGAAGACGAGAAAGAAAGCAAGCTTCGTTTCAGGTCAAATAATGCCATATAATAAACCTTTTAATAACCTCACTTCCTTGGTCTTTACTGAGAAATATCGGACCTCTGTCTTTTTGTACAAAACTCGCCATACGGGCTCTGTATGTACAAAAAGACCTCGGTCTGATATTTCTCTGAAAAGACCTCCAGCTCGGTTATTATTGGCTTATTATTCATAGTAAAAGCGATGTAATAAATACTTGTTGAGGTTACAAATCAAGTGCATGTCATAGTATAAGTAATAAACCTCACTTTGATGTGCAACTTGGGCTTGGTTGACGTTTAAGACCTACAGCTGCGGTCATCCAGCTAAGCTCAGCGCTGCTATTTGTCAGAAATTATTATTTACTGGCTGCCGATATGGTAATAATAAATATGTATGACACAAAAAATTGTCAATGGGCCATGGCCTTTATGTGCTCTATACTGTTGACATTAGACATGGCCATGAATTGATGATCAATTCATCTAATTAGATCTCATACGGCCTCTCTCAGTTTCTTACCTTCCGGTTTGTTAAGTCCAGTTATCCACTTTTTAAGAAAATTAACATTTGACAGCGTTGCCTTGGCCAGCGTTTTACCAAAACAGTTTGGAGGATATTTCACTGTGCTTGAAAATGCAATAGCAGTTACCTGAAACAGGGAAATATTCATTATGGCTTAAAATATTACTTGTCAGCAATAACACTATACCTACATAGTCATCAGGAGTAAGAGTACTGAGTACAGTCAACGCTGCGTTTTGAGCCAATAACATCCGATTTTTATTCTTCATTGAGCCGCTGTAGTCAATGATTATGACCACTTTCTTTTTGACCGTCATAGCTCCGTGTGCGTACCATGAACTACACATGATTTATGTTAAAGGATTAAGTTAATGATAATTTAGGGACTAAGGTGAACATTTAGCTGTAACATTCATATAATGTACAGAATTGACGGTGTTTTGGTTAGAGAGAAAGGCAAAGTTTTGAACTGTTCAAAGAAGAACGGATATACAAACGGAAATGATGTGCCAATGAAACTGTTGCATAACTCTTTCTTCTAGTAAACAAGAACTATCTCATACATACGTGTTAGTTTCACATATAGTAGGTCTATAATTTTGATATATAAGTATGACTATGAAATTTGAAGAAATAAATTAACAAGAAAAATTAAAACCAACTGAACTAAATTGAACGTGGAGTACAACTTCTAACATTTTATTGCCAATTTTGGATTGGACAATCACATATAGTTTTGACAAAAGCATAGAGTTCACAAAAGATTTGTGCGGCAAACACACCAATGCCAAGTAAATAAAAATATTGTTCTTGTTATAACAATTAAACCACTCAGCATTAACATTATTTCTCAATAAAAGTGTCAGCACGCAAACACGTGAGCGAATTTAATCTTCACATGTTTAAAACTAAGATTTAAATTCCTTGATTTAAAGGATGAGTAAATCAATACTTTGACACCTTGGAACCTAGTTAAGTTTTTGTAATCCTTCCATTTTGAGGCAACTAGAGTACTGAGCTAACAAGTAGCTAAAATCAGTATCATTATCAAACAAACAAGCACTTACCTTAATCGTGGATCGAACTTTTTCGTTTTGTGACATTTCCGTGATGAAGCAGGGTATTCGTGATATTCTCCTTGTGAAGAGCCAAAATACTGCCATGTTAAAGCTTTAGTCGATAAAATATTTTTCTTGTAATTTTTTTCTTGTGCAGAGGTCAGAAATTGATCCTTTGACGGTGAAAGCACACAAGATTTGCTTCTGTTGACGTTGATTCCGAATCTTGCATCATATCGTTTTATGACATCGGAGCTGCAACAATCAACAATTTTTGACGATATATTTTTCTGTAGCCTGTATTCAGATTCCAGGATTAGTTTATTTAAAAGCAAAGATCTTATGACATCTTGCAAATTTTTGTCAATGTCGATTGAAATATTTTTCAAAATATCGCATCCTTGGATCGATTTTGTTTCATACGAAGCTTCATTAACAAGATGCTTAAAATGCATCAAACCAGAATACTTTTCCCAAACATTATTCGCTTCCCGCGAAAATTGATCACCCCATTTTTCAATTCTTCGTTTGTCCTTTAATAAGTCGGCTTCAGCGTGAATAAAAAATGGAAGAAGAAAGAACGTCAGTATCATTATCAATAATCAATTCATGTATTTAAGGTATTAGCCCTGCATGGTGATAAAAATAGTTGTTTGAAGACAACAACATCGTGCAGCAAGCCCCAAGAGCAGACATCTCAAATTACAATGAAATGCTTCTAGCGTGTTCATTCACGATTTCACGTCTCATCATGTAGTAGGTACATCAGTTCTAACAATACAAGTGAAATGCATCATATATGCCATAATATTTGAAGATTTTGAGAAAAAGCAGCATAAGTGGTATAAACAGAATATTCAAAATCATTTTATTAATTAATTTAAATTGGCGACATTCGATATTTGAGGGTGATGATGTGGATACAGTGAAAATTTTTTTGCAAAAACTTTCTTTGGCTAATGGCTATGTTATCTTTTTTTCATTATTTTCTATAACAAAAACCTACAATTGGTATATTTTATACAAATATATAATTGTCTATGTTTGAGTTAATCGTGTATAATATTTGTCTCTGTTATCGCAAAACAAAACATTCCGATAATATAAAGAGATTATTCATAGTTGGTGAGCGCGTACGATTTTTATGCTCATTAAAAACAAACAAGTGAGCGTATTTAATTATAAGAGTATTGAATTGAATATTATATGGTGAAAGTACATTGTTCGCGAAGATTATCTAGCATTCTCATCCGTCGGCACAGATTGAAGGCAAACAAAGCATTTACTCTCTAACACCATCTTATGTTCATTTCTATTGTCCGCAATAGTCAAGTATAGCACTAATAGCAGGTGACAAAAACGGTTTCGTTCAACCCTCCCAAAAAAGGTTTGACACTCGATTCTATCAAAGAAAAATATGTGACAAACGCTACGTAGATCAGCGTTTAAAATGCCCGGTATTTTTCAAGTATTTCTCCGTTTTATCACCCAGCATAGAAACGTTTAATCTGAAATTACTATGGGCTGATAAGATCATTTCAGAATCTGAATTGATCTTATTAGCACCATATTAATTTTTTTATTTTGCCACCATTTCCACCTGATTTAAATGTTAGACGATGACGATTAGCTGTACTTTCGCAATATATTGTTTTATAAGTCGATATAAGGGAAGCATTGAAAAGCAAGAATCAAGAGAAAGCGCTACTGAAAAATTCGGAAAAATTAAAAACCACTAAGTTCAAGAAAAGGTTACAGATCCTTAAACATCCCACTTAAGACGCAGCAGATTATAAATATTCCTCAAGTCCCGCGCATTTTGACAGTACGATGTAAGAAAATAAAGGAAAATCTCAGCGTGAACAACTATAGCTATCATCAATATCGCTATCAGCAGCAACGAATCCAAGCAGGGGCGAATTCAACTCTATCTTTCATCTGTTTATTATAATTGGATATATCCATCATCTTTGAAATGCCTTCATAAATTTTTATTGTCACATGAGTAAATCTTTGCCGCTATTGGATTCAATTGCGTTTGAAAACTAATGTTTTATGACTGATGAGCTCCAACGATCAAACAATGCATAATTAAAAATACCGAGCAACTTCTGTTTCAGAAGAAATATATGTTGTGCTGTACTAGCCATTGTACAATTTAGGGACTGTTTACATGAACCCCACTAGCGCTCTCTGTATGGCCGTATTTTACCTCTCTTTTACATGCAAATTATACACCTACACCAAGAGCTCGGTTTGAGCTGCGAATTTCGGCGATGAAATACAAAATAGCTAAAAGCAAAACAAAAGAGTTGTCGCCTTTCGATTTTTCACGCTTTCTTAGTTTGTTTGCTTCCGTTGATGCTTTTCTTGTCGCTATAGCTGAAAAACGATGCCTTATCGCATGCAAATGCGTTGAATTTTCAGCCCTACCGAATGTGTTTGTATGGGAAATTTCCAGCCCTACATGGCAAGACCTGTGGTAAACAATAGCGAGATTTCGGCTGGTAAGGCTGGCCTTCCTCTCATGTAAACGAAAAAAACTTTACATGGATTTTCAATAACACGCAAGATCTCGCTTGGTAGGGCTAGCCTCCCCGTATGGCTCATGTAAACAGCCCCATACAATCATGCTATCAACTTTGCAGTTCTCAATTTCTGTAAATTGTCTTCACCAAATTTGTACGGATTTATGGTAAGATTTGATAGCTTACCAACTCGTACAGTTTTTCAATAGAATCTCAGTGTGGTAAGCCTTAAAACTGCGATGTTAGCATAAAAATGCCGCTTATTTCTTTTGCATCCGTACACTTGCCATAGACCGCATACCAGTGTGGGCTAGCTATATTCTGCATCTCCAATACTCTATCATTAAATTTACGAATTCAGTCAGTTTTCATTTAAATCTTGAAACTTCCATCCATTAATGAAGTAAAATCCATTATAACTACGTTCGTTTATACATGATGCACTCGTGTAAACACACCATTTCTTTTCACAACCATTCTTAATTTTCAACCAATCTTTTGGGATTTACCAAACAATGACTTTGGCCCACGCAGGTTGAAACCCATAATAGCATGGATAAAATATTCTTTTGTATAAGACCTCCAACATGGCTGACGTGAGAAACGAGAATTGGTTCTACAAAGCGGTTTGATGACATACAAGTATTTACAAGATTGACACCCAAACAGAGAAATACCCAATGCAATACAGTGAAGAAAACATACAAATCCCAGATAAAAATATTTCATTATTTACATACACGAAAACTGTTATTTTTATCATTTACAAAAATAATTTTAAATATGTATAATTCGACTATTGGTACTGATAACACGAAAAAGACAATAATTCAATTTTTTTAAATATTCTATAAACTTTCATGTTTAGTGATATTTGGTATAGATTTCACATACTAAATTATTTGAGCTGAGCCCACATTGATTGAGTGTTTTATTTTAGTCGTTGTGTTATTAGTTTGTTGTTTTGGTTTTGTCTTTAGTTGTGAATAGATGATGGGGATGTCAGTATGTCTGTTTATTGTGTTGTTGTCTTTGCTGTACCATGCCTCTTTGAATTCTCGTGCGTGTTTTGTCTGTGCGCGTCCAAGAAGTTGTGTTTTTGTCCAGTCAAATGTGTGGTTGGTATCGTAGGTATGTTCTGCTGGTAGTGATTTTGGGTCGCGTCGTTTGATGGCATTCTTGTGTTCAGTGAGTCTTGTTTCAATTTTCTTGGATGTTTGTCCTATGTACTGTTTGGGGCAATCTTTACATGGTATCATGTAGACCGCGTTGGTTGTGTCAAATGTCGTTGTTCGGTCTTTATGTTTAGTGAAGTATGATTTGAGTTTGTGTGTTGGTTTACACACAAACTCAAATCATACTTCACTAAAACACCATATATATATATATATTACGGATAATAATCCTGGATAAAAGAGCGCTCAATATTCTATATATTAGAAGAGCGTAAGATAAAATGAACTAAAATAAAATGAACAATTATTTGCTGTTATTTGCTATTATTTGCTATTGCTATAATTGTTCATTTTATTTTAGTTCATTATATATATATATATATATATATATAATGGGATTTTGTGATAGAAACTATCGCAAACAAAATCGCACGGATAGTGCTCAATGCCACGGAAGAGCGGTATAATCCAGCGGCTCTCAAGAATCTCATCCAACAAGCAATCATTCGACTCAAGCATACACCCATACCAAGAAGCACTAACAAAAAGCGGCTTTAACTACAAATTACAATACAAGCCACACGAAAGTCACAAAACAGAAACAGAAATAGAAACATCACCTGGTACAACCCGCCATACAACTCCAATGTCCACACAGACATCGGACGCAAGTTCCTTAGTATAATCAACAGGTCCTTTCCAAAAAACCATCCACTCAGCAAAATCTTCAACAGATACACACTTAAGCTAAGTTACAGTTGCATGCCAAACATCGATACAATAATTTCTATACACAATAAGACCGTTTTAACCAAAGAAGAAACGATGAAAAACGCTACCACAGACAGAAAATGCAACTGCCGGAAGAAAGAGGAATGCCCACTAAAAGGAGAATGCCAAACCAAAGGGGTAGTCTACCAAGCCACAGTCACCAACAAACTAACCAAACACAAAGAAACCTACATCGGTCTAACGGAGAACACTTTTAAAACACGCTACTTGAACCACACCAGCTCATTCCGAAATAAATCAAAACAACACTCCACAGAACTCAGCAAACACAAATGGAAACTAAAAGACTCTAACACACCATACACCATCAACTGGAAAATTGTAAAGAAATTACAACCTTACTCAAACAAAACCAAACGCTGTAATTCATGCCTCTCGGAGAAATTCTTCATCATCTTCCACCCAGAACTCAGCTCGCTCAATAAACGAAACGAACTCATTTCCGCATGCCGCCATCGTAATAAACACTTACTAACGTCATTTATGTAATACAATATCACCTAAACACTTAATACTCATCTTTGTGTATAAGTTCCGTTGTTCTATAGTGCTATATTTATTCTCCTGACGAGTGTGGCAAGTTAAACAACTGCCATACGAAACAGTTCTGTAGGGAATAAATTTCGATGAAGTAATTCGTGGTTTATTTTATTTTCAATTGTATATATATAATACAGTTTCTAAGTTGTAAATATCAACTAAAAATAACACAGTTTTAGGCTTTTAGCTATAAGTCCAATATAATTCTGTTTCTGATTTTAAATTTGAGAAACTCTGCTCTACCAAGAAACTTTCCAAATTATCACATCCTTTTTATCAGCTTTCATCTCTAGTTGCAGTAGATTCGGTAGATTTTGTATCACGAGAAGAAAAGCCTTTTCTTGACATTTTTCGTCTGGATAAAATGCAATCATTTAAAAATCTTCGATAGCCTTTTCTGAATTTTCGATTTCCAATACCATAGATAAAAGGATTTATAGTACAGCTTCCAATGTATGAAAATATCACAAACAGCTTTTTCAACTTAGAAAAATTTTTTTCATCCATTTCTTGGAACTCGGCGACAATCCATAGCAACTGATAAGGCAGCATAAAGACGCAAAACAAAATCACAACAGTAACAATAGTTTTCAAAGCTTTCTTTTTGCGTTTTTTGCGGAGCTCGTCAGAACGCAATTTCGTTGAACTGGAAAACAGTGAGATTTTGGCATCAGTTCCAAGGCCTGAAATACTGACACGTTCAGTTTTTCTAGTGAGATGTCTAGCAATACTTACGTACACGACAATCATTATAGCCAGCGGTATGGCGTACTGTATCAAGAATAGGAAGATGGTATATAATTTTTTGAAGAGAATCCGTGACCAATTTTCCATACACATTCCATTCTTTACCTCCAGACTTAAAACATAAGGAATGACAGAGAACGATGCCAACATGTAAACCATGACAATAAGCTTCTTAGCTTGAGCTCGACGCAGTTTTGCTTTAAAAGTTTGAACAAAAACTCGATATCGATCAAGTGAAATAACTGTAAGAATGAGAGCGCCAGATATATAAAATATAGTGCAGATTGGATACAAGAGGCGACACACGACTTCACCTAATATCCAAGTATCTTTGTTCAGAAGAAAGACGATATCAAATGGAATGTTAAATACAACCAAATTGATATCAGATATTGCCAGATGTAGGAGCAAAAAATTACAAGTAGTATGAAGTTTTTTTTCGTATTTTATAGTATATATAACTAATAAATTTCCAAGTACCGCGATAAAAAATATAGTTATTTCCAGTACAACGTTTGCTATCATTAGTTTCCAGCTCATCCAGTCACTCGACAACACAGAAGAATTGTGTGAAAAATTCATCGCAGTTTCCCAAGTTGTGCTTTCAAATGATGCAACCGTTTGGGATAGATGTATTCAAAATCCCCAAATGAACAATTATGATTGACCTGTTATAACAGATTATACAATGCTGCTCAGTTATAAACGACAATAAGTGATTGTTCAATACTTATTGCGCCATCTCATCCCTCTATAAAACAGCAGTAAGTTTCGTAGTTGCACATGAAATTTGCCAACATATGTGTTCTTGTTTTCAAAAGTAACACAGAAATACAGCAGACGACGGTGAGCTGTCAATACTAATTTAAGATATCCACAAGAATATTGCACTAATTGTAGACGATCACAACCAACGCTTTTTGCACAAATAAACAGCGGGACACTTTATTTATTTGTAAAAGCATGTGGTTAATTTCAAAACGTGAATTTTACATGAAGCCGTGCCAAAAAATTTGACTATTCTATGACTATACATGGATTATAACAAATGGAAAAGGAAACAGAATCTGTCAATGAATCATTAAGAGTTGAAGAGCACTATTCTTACAATGTTTCCATGTAAAAATGCATTTTCAACTTTTACATTAAACACTAAGAAATCTTGACAGACATGGTAGATGCAATCTTGTCACACAAAGTTCGCAAAGTCTGAAAGCAAAATCTTATCAAAACCATCATCAGAGAAACATCATAATCATATATGCACCTTCATTAATAGGATTCATATTAATATGAAAATCTTAACAATTTCCGGCAATTTGTGTTATATAAATAGCGATAAATTTGCTAGTCTCTCAATTTATTCTGTGTGTCACTCAAGTACAGGCAACAATATATGTCGATACCATGGCAAATTTATCATTGTATATCATTTTATCTTCGAGTATTTAAACGTTAAGCACAAAACATTTCATTTCCAATAAAAGTTAAAACGTTATCATCTCAAATATTTTCCATCCTTTTATGCAATCAATATTTAGATCTGACATAAATGACAAGTATACGCAGCTGTTATGTTCTAGGAAGAACATAACAGCTGCGTATATATTCTGTGTGTCACTCAAGTACAGGCAACAATATATGTCGTTCTCAAATATCTGATAAAACAAAAAAAAATGCATCGTCTGAAGACGTAAGAGAAATTAAGCAAAGACGACGTTTTGTCTCAGACGTCGTAAAATGGCGTAAAAATGAGGTAGACACATTCATATATGGGCATATTTAGCTATTTTTACGAAATTTCACGGCGTTTAGACGAGACGTCGTGTAAGCTAAATTTGTCTGACGTCAGGACATAACACCTTGAAATTTTGAAATGACATAAGCATGACGCAATCGGATGATCTTGTTCAGGGAGTATTCAGACTTACGGTAGACACGAAAAATCGATATTATTTTTACTAAATTTTACTTTGAGGAAAACAGACGATTTTCATGAACAAAAGCCAATAAATATTCATTTATGTATTTGTTTGTTTTAGCCTTTTTATCATGTTACTAGAGGTAATTGTGTCTATACATTCTTGCACATATAAGTCCTCTGCAATTAAAACTTAAAGGTAAGTTTGCAATCTTGCATCAAAATTTTCCCAAGTGTCATGGACAATAACTACAACAACATAAATAACTAACTTGTTAATTTCAATTATCTGTCTCCCATCTCATGCATCTTTGTATTGCAATTTTCCACTTAGAATACCGGGACTTTCGTTCTAAATACATTGAAGTTTAAATATTTACAAACACAACTAATGTGGACAAAATAAGACTAATTCACATCAACATACAACTGAACTTCATCTCACCTTTGGCTTCAAGTTTTGGTTGAAAAACGGAGACTTCCGTTTGTTCTGTTAAAGACGAAATATCCCACAATGCAATACCTTCAGCTACAGCAGCAGCAACCGCTGCACCTAAAGCCGTTGTCTCCGCCATCGAAGGACGAACTGAGTGTTAAACAAAAACATCGTGCAAAAAACAGCTTAAGTAAAATAGTATTATAGTAACAACGTTTTAAGGCATTCGAAGTGAATTTGTTAACGCAAATGATCAAATATACCAAAGGTCAACAACATGAACAAAAAACACTACAATTGTCAATTCTTTCGTACGTAGTTTTAAAATGCGTTATTTCAAGTCTGGAAAAATCTTATGTCTTACCCACAGGAATCCCAAGTATATCAGATTGAATCTGCATGAGTAAGGAGTTTGCGGTCATCCCACCATCAACTTTAAGAGACATCAAAGGTATACCAGAATCTTTATTCATCGCATCCAGTAACTGCAAGCGACAAGAAAACGACGTGAAACTAGACTTGTGAAGTTAGTTGGTGGATTTCAATTAATTTCCATTAAACTTTGTTTTGAATCTTTAAAGTTCAAAATTTCAACAATTTGATTTTCACCAAGTTGATACGGTAGTTTATAATTTTCAGGCAACTTTTAGCCAAAAGCAGTGGCACCATTCATCAAAAACTATAGGTAAATTTCTAAAAACGTCGGCAACAAACCATTGCTCCTGAAATACCCTTAATTTATTACATGTAGAAATGTTCATTTATATTTTAAATTCGATCAAAGCGAATAACTTAGAACTTGTCTATTCTCGTTAGTTCATGACTGATTTTGGTGCTCGATAAATTCCAAAAATCCGAATATTAAAGTTTTGTGAAATCGACTTCATAAGAGATAATCGGACTAACTTCTCTTGTTTGAAATGAAACTGCTTCTAACGTGGCTCTAGCAATGTGAGCTTTACTTGTAAATTGAGTTAAACCAATGATGATTCTAAAAAAAACAATCATACTAAAAAACATATTTTGCTGATGTTTTGTGATCACTAACGTATGACTTGCTTAAAGAAAGAATTACAAGTTAGCCTTTTAAAATAGAAATACCCTCTTGCATCTGTTTGCCAATATGGAGCATAAAGTCCTGAAAAAGCTGGAACAAAATACACTCCACCACTGTTGGATACAGAGGACGCGAGCTCCTCTATAAATGGCATATACTCAGTTTAAATTTATTGATGAAAGAACTGGTCCAATTGCAGGCAGTAAACGCTCACCTATATCTGAAGACTTCTTAATGAATCCCAAACCATCTCTTAACCATTTAACCGCATCGCCAGCAACAGCAACAGATCCCTGTGTATATAACATTATTTGGTGTTGGATAAAATAAATATCAAGATAAATTTTTTCAAAATATAAAGACAGTAATTTTTTAAGACTTTCTGAAAATGGTAGCGTCATATTTAATTACCTCCAACGCATAAACAGTTGGGTTTTGCGGACCAAACTTGTAGGCAACTGTCGTAAGCAAGCCATGATCAGATGTGATAGGCTAAATACACAACGGATTAAACCCCTCAGCTTGAAATTTAAACGAACAACTCCGTATCTATTTATCACTCTAATAAAATTCAAGGATTTTTTAAAGACAAAATCATCGTGAAGACATCCAATACGTACTTCTAATCCTGTATTATAGAGAAGAAAACAGCCAGTACCGTAGCTAAAAACAAACAATATATATATATATATATACATAGTATCATCTTATACGTAATCACAACTCACTGGAATATAAAAGAAGCAGATAAAGCTGATACATGGGAACTTAAATGTAATTTTAGTTCAAACAATCAATGATACATCTATGTATAATTTATTTGCCGTCAATTTTAGCTTGAAGAAAAATTCTAATAATTCCTCTAAAATTCTAAAAACACCTTTTCTTGACAATTTACGTCCGGAAGAAATTCTGTCATTTAATGAATCTTCGATGGATTGTTATCTTAAGAAAATTGTATTTATTGATGTCATTGATGGAAATACTAACGTATTTTTTGCTTCTCCTTTTTGGAAACACAACTGTCCAGCGAGGGCAGCTTGTTGGTCACCAAGACACTGTGGGGCATGATAAAATAACAATGTTAAAAAAAATTGAAGGAAGATTTCACTTTGTACTGTTAAAATTCATATTCAATTGATATTCACAATATTTTGTAAATGTCTTTACTAAATCATGAAATAAACTAACCCCTGATAGTGGAATTCCTTTGAAAGCACCATCACTCTAAAATATTTTGAACAGTATAGAATATAAAGTGAATGGTTTGAAACAGGAAGTATTGTTACATGTTTTTGGTCCAAGTTAGTAGAGTCTTGAGAAGGACTGTTGGTGTTGATGTTGACTGACATTTCGACAACCTTAGCGGTAGTCATCTTTCACTTGACTCTAAGGTTGTCAATGACACTATGACTAACACTGAGATTGTCAAAACGTCAGTAAACATCAACACCAACAGTTCTTCTCAGGACTCTACTAACTTGGACAATTTACATTTACAAACATGTGATATATTGTATATTTAACTATGGTAATCAATAAAAGTAAAAGTAGTAAAGGCTCATACATGCAGTCATAATGTCATATTCAAATTTTTGCACAAACATTCAATGACTGAGTTGATTGTCAAAAGCAATAACAGAAACAGATGTAAAATAGTTTCATATTTTCCTTCTAAATTGAATCTTAGTAGACACTCAATAACACAATTTAACTCACACAGATACAGTAAAGTTTGCTGCTTACTTACAATATGTGAATAAATTTCAGAAGAACTTCTTATGGATGGAAGTATTTCAAGAGGAATGTCAAAGTAGCTAGTATTAGAGAAAATAGGAGATCAATTAATAAAGTGCCATATCAAGTTACTTTGTTGCAGAAATCAAACAGTATTTTGATAATTTCATTCTAGATCATTGCATTGACGATGATAAACCATTCCCATGGGAGATGATGGCCTACCAATGCATGAAATTAATTAGCATTTCATCAAAACATTGCTTAATTTATGCAGCAAACCAATTTGCCATGCATGCATATTTTCGTATGTTCCTTTTTTTGAGACATGCTGTAGAACTATAGAAATAATGGATACATGTGTACATTAATAGAGTATAGGTGGGCTTTACTTGCAAAGTTTTTCATCCCAACAAGCTGTTCGGATATTCATCAACATTGTTCTGCTGGCATTGGTTACATCAGTGATATAAATTCCACCTTTTGTTCCACCAGTTAAATTCTGAATACACAAAGCAACTGTTACATACTGCAATAAACTTGGTTATGTTACCACTCAACAATATAAAATTGTGGTGGCCATGTTGCATGAAAATGTTGAGGTAGCACAAAAAATGATAAGGACAATACTTACATAGATGAGCCATGTGTCAATAGTACCAACCATGAGTCGACCTTCATCTAATGCATTTTTGACATCATCAACATTATCAAGTAGCCATCGCATCTTAACTGCACTGAAATAGGTGCTCAATGGAAGCCCACATAATTTCTGTAGTTGTAAAAAAGAAACAGCTATAGTTTTTCAAAAAAAGTTTATACCTGTTTGCTCAATAATATCTAACTTAAATTGATAGTCATCATAAATTAAAACTCATCATGATACATATTATCATTGATACATCATCTTCCAAAAAGTAAAAGATTAAATGCAAAAATGTTTGCACTCATCACAACACAAAGTACTTATTGTAAAATAAGGTTCTCAGTTATTCTTGCAAACAATGCAAATGCAACACCAAATATTACAAAAATGCAACACTCAGTATTATATTGATTGATTGACATGGTCAGTATAGTTATTTGAAAATATTTGAGCATTAAATTATCCTCATAAATATCCTATTATTCGACTTATTAAATGAAAAGTTTACCTTTATTTTCTCTAGATCATTTTCTGATACTTTTGCTTTGAATTGATCAACTGTAGATTTTGTTCTTGTATCCAGCCACACTGAATAAACAGATTATAAATTTAATATAATTACAAATAACATGTATATATGATAATTGTACAAAAAATGTCAATAGCCCTTCAATCAGACTGGAAGAGGGGTGGCAATTGTTTGAGATGATTAAATACTGTGTCTTGTACTCGTAAATTCTCAAAGTACAATATAGCATGGTAATTGTACACCATGTACGATGATGTTTAAGGATGATGTATTGTTACTTATGAGCTACATATTAAACTAACCAGAAATTTAGGGAGCAAGAGGAGAAAAATCATACATACAAGGACTGTGAAGCTTGATCAAAAGTAGGGGGGGTGGAGCAGAATAGAATAAAAACATACTTTATAAGTGGGATGTCAAATTTTACGGTCAATGGCTCCCTCCACCAGAATTGCTGTCTCTGATATAGAAAGAAAGATTTTACCTATGGCATTATGCAAAGGTGCTCCTGTCTGTTTATCCCAAGCAACAGTTGTTTCACGTTGATTTGTTATCCCAATTGCTTTGCAAAATAAAGTACAAAATTTTGATTTATCAGTCCAGAGCTAAAGGAAGAGTACAAAAATTGTAAAATTGTGTTTCACCTTTGATGTTATCTGGATCAATATTCAAACTTTTCAGCTTTTGAACGATATTTTCTATACATTGATTGACAGTTGATAGTATTTCAAGAGGATTTTGTTCCACCCATCTGAAACACAACAATTAAATTTGTTTTCAATGTCAATATAATGTAAATGTAGCATTAATCACCTCACCCTTCATGTGGATAACAACTTTCAAATTCAATTTGATGAAATGCAATAACCTCTTTAGTGGCGACTGAAAATATCTAGGATATAAAATAAAAAGTAAACATAATTAAAGTTTACAAAACCGGAAAATGAAGCTTCCGAGTTCCCATAATAAACTTAAATGTAATTTCCGAGTTCCAATTAATTTTAGTGGATATAGTTTACTAAAATTTTCTTTCTCAACACCAGCAATTAATAATTAATAAATGTACTTCTCCATGATTTTCTCCGTGAAAAGTGTAAGATTTTAAATCCGAATGTAAATATTAGTTATATTACTGAGTTTATACAGCATCTAGTTAAAGATTGTTTACCAGTATTCTTGTGCTTGATGTTCCTTGATCGATTGCTGCAACAAGCGAGTTGTTCATTTTGTATAAAACAATCTTCTACAAGATTATTAATAAATTCTTAAAAGCTGTGAATCGTGAAAATACTTCTGGAAAAAATGCAATATTGTCGGTAAGAACAGATTAGGAAATACACGGATTATTGCAACGTGTCAAATCAAATGCCATCTCCTAACTGAACATGTTTGGGCATGACCGCCAAGATGAAAATTTTACATACGCACTTTGTATTAAAATCAATGTCGAAATTTCCTATCTCAAATCTTCCGCAATATACTGGCTTAGGCAACACTTAAATCTCACCTATGGCTCTTATACCAGCGACCTTGACGCAATAACCATTTACCACCAGTGCATTGAACTATGAAATTCCACACAAACCTTCTGATAACGTGGATGTTGCAACACCAGAATAAAAAATTGTTTAAATTTTTTTAAAATTTTTATTTCGTGTATTCATTCAAAAACTAGGAAGGAAACCAAACAATTTTATAAGGTATTTTACTTATAACCTAATTTTCGTCCGCGTGGTAGGAGTTGTGCCCTTACCCCAAAGTAAATCAAAGCATTCCTTTGGAGTATTTTTTGGCCGCCCCAGATTTCCTATTGTGATTGGCATATTTTGCTTTATGTCTATCTTTAAAAGAACGATCACGATCTTTAGTACCACTCTTGAATACTGGTTTTTTGTGATCAATGCTTTGAACTTTTTGTTCTCTACCATTATCGCCAATGTCTCTTTCACTATTTGCTTTGTTTGCTAAAGTTGAATCTTTTTGGTTTTGCTGAAAAAGAAAGAATTCGTACATAAAAACAATAAAAAATTCATATCTCATATTACATAAGTTCAAGGCTCAAGAGAGTACAATAATGAAATGATATTGAAAATAATATTTAAAAAAATTCAAACAACCTGGTTACTACGGTTATCACCATCATTTTCGTTCTCAAGATGAAGCAGGGCAGTTGGTGTTGTAAACGGTCTAAATAACGCAATAAAATGTACATAAATAGTCACATAGAGCACAGTTTAAAAATTGTTTCATATATCAGCAAACACCGAATAATTTGAGAAATCTCAGCGTACCTTCTAAGCGTTAGTTCACTAAGTTCATCTGCATAATCGATATCTTGTGCCCCAACATCATGTTCATCGTAAGTATCATCATACTCGTCATCATAATCATTAAATTCTTCCTCATAATTCAAAATAAACTCTTTTATGTGTTGGCGGTCTCCTTCGCCATTGAAAACACTCCTCATATTTTCGTTAGTTCTCGTTTTTCCCTTATTCACTCGTGAAATATCAACATTAGGATTGACGAATATATCAAACTCGTCATTGTTGTACACATTATGTCTTTGTGATAACACATTGGATTGCTTCAAAGCATCGTTTTTGCTTAACCCACGGTCCAATTGACAAAGTTCAGAGGGAAGACTATCTTCGAGAATACAATTTATAGTTTTTTCCAAATCGTTGTTGAAAGTTTTCAAACAAAGAAGAATGAATCCTTCACCACAATCTGGAATAAGTTCTTTTATGTGTGAAATCATTGAGGAAAGCTCAACGTCTGACATACTTTTTGATGACATCTAAAACGTAAAAAATTAAAAATAACTACAACAGACGATCACTTTGTAATAAGTTTAGCAATAACATGATAAGTTTACTATGTTTTAACACATTTTCCGGATTTTTTCTTGTTTAGCAAAGAAACTTTCATGTTGTCATTATTGAAATGAAGAGCTTTTTGGACAACCAGGACAACACTGCATGTTAAGCTACCCCCAAAAAAACATTTCGAAATTCACCGATGTTTTTCAAGAAAAACAATAGAACATCAACTTTTTTTTTGCAAGTAGCTAAATTTTACCGAATCGTACCTCAACAGCTTCATTAAAATTGCACGCCCCTGGTGTCGCGCCCGGATTTTGGACAGATAATGTAGCATTTCTTTTTTGCTGACTATATTCAGGGCTGATGTTGTCAAAATTCGATTGTGTCATTTGTGCGCTTCGTTTATCAGAGTCTCTGACCGCATCGAGAATATACTTGAGTCTAGTTTCATCCACTAAAACACCCGTTGACTGAATTACACTTAAATCCACTTCAACACTGTACAAAAGGTTGTAGGCACGTAAAAATCTAAAAAACAAAAGCAAATTAGTTTTATTTTCTTAGGAATATCAATTTTAAGTCATGAATTTCTTGTAACTTTGTGAAGTGCTACCTTTTGAAAGAAAGAAAATCCATCAATATAGAAAGAAAATTATCTAAATGTTTCAGCTTTATTTCATCGCTACTCTCAACTTCACTGAAAAAAAAAGTAAAGGGCATATTCATACAAGTTGTTCAAAAACACCAGAATAATTTGTACTTAAAACTTGCAACTGTTTCATCTTTCATGCAAGAGCCAAAAATTAAAATTGCATGAATGCTTCAATAAGATAAAATGAATTTCCAGAGCTAATGAAGTTTCATAATAATACGTACGCGTTCATTAAGGGAGCAAGACAGTAAGCATCAATTATACAGCGGCAAGTTTTTATCAAGCCATGCTTCACTTTGTTGAGGAAAGATTTTTCTGCCTGTCGGCTCAAATATTTTTTTTCAAGAAGAGGAAAGACTTCCTCATATAAGCCAGCAATACGCTGGACAAATCCATTCATAAAAAAATGTTGACATAAACTGGGTAGCACAGTTAGAAAAGAAATCAGTGTCTGCGATGTGTCATAAAGATACACACTAATATCATTTACTGTAGTCAGTGGAAGGTCATGATGATGGTCATTTCTTACAGCACTACCATCAACTCCAAGATCACTTTTTATTTTGTCAAAAGTCTCACATATGCTTGGTATTGTCTGCATTAAGTCATCAATGTACCTGAAATGAAAAAAATATAAAACCAATTGTAAACAGTTATACAAACAGTTCAATCACCAGTTCACCACCTCCTGATTTAACATACTACCAACATAGTTATCTCAACATACACAATAAAGCTGCTGAAAAAAGATAAATATATAAACTTTCTTACTTTGGCTGTCTCTTAAAAACATTTTCCAGCATTTTTGATAACAGAATATTATTTTTGCTATCATCCCCTCCATACAAAGCACAAAGATCCATCATTTTAGGGATATCAAACAAGAAATTTTCGTACAATATTTCCCCAAATATTTCTGGTGTAAAGAAATTGGTCTACAAACAAGAGTGAATTCACATGAGTGACTTTGTAAACAACATAAATTTATAGTAATGATGAAGCATCAATAACATCTCCATTAAACCTTGCTTTCTTTGTGGGTAGCCATTCTCAAATAAACCAAAAAAATTTTATGATGAATCTCTTTTTGAATGTTCAAGATTTTGTCAGGAAGAAATTTCCAAGTGTCATAAGGTCTATGTAAATGAAACAATACCATTAGTAATGTTTTACATTTATTTATTTTAAAAAGGCAGAGCCACACAGGCGTACAGTGGATTGCTCTTTCAATCAAGTTATAAACCTAAGTTACACTAGTATTTTTGAAATAAAAAAACACTGTTATTAACATTTATTCATGTTTCTGATAAATTGCATAAATGTACTTCATACCTTGGTGACGATTTCAAAAATGAATCCAGACACAAATTTATTGACCTATTGAATATAACCTAAAAAATTTGTATCACATTTAACTATAAATAATAATAAACGGATTTTCACACCAACTTAATATAAAATTCTTACATGGTTCCAGAAACATGAGTGTTTCTGATCCAACAACCATTTTAAATCAATGTCAATGTAATTTGCTCTTTCTTCCCATGCTTGCATTTCTACATTATTGATTTTACTACAAGTTTGTTTGAACATATCAACATTCATAGGAACTGGACTATATGTGATGAACTTAATGTCTTCATGCTCAATCCATCTTGGATCCTAAAGAAAATATAATTAATATCCCAAACAATAAACAATATGTGCAGCAGTATAATAAATAACATTAAGAACAAAATGATGCAAAAAATGCAGGGAGAAAATTAACATGTCACGATTTGCAAAATGCAATACACTTTTACGACTTGCAATGCATTAAATATGGCAAAAACTATGATACAAAAAGTCGGAAATCTTAACACAAATTTTAATTGCCTATGTAATTTTTAAACTCTTAACATTTTCAAACACATGGTAATTGCGTTTAGGTCTCATTGGGAGTTAATTACAACTGAAACATGCAAATGTTAAATGTCTGCTGATTTCAAAGGCTTACAGTTTAGATACATACACCCTGTAGCTAAAAATAATGATTTTGATAAATTTTCATGCTTTCATGAAAATTTTTCAATCATAATATACGTTCTACAAGTTAAATGTTTAGTTCTAGTTGTGCCAGCCTTGTATGAAACAAGTAAATATATCATTTGAATGGGGAAAGGGGGTGGGGGTTTCTGGAAGGTTATAATGCTTCAATTTCAATGCATGCATATTTTCATACTTAATTTACACTCTAAAACTATTCCTCAGATATGTTACTATTCTTTCTTGCTAATTAAAAGAAATTGTACTGTAAATTGTAAAACTGCTGAAAATAAAAACCTGTGCAAAAAATACTAACCAATAAAGGAATGGTATCTGATTCCACTGAGACTGAACCATAAAATCTATCTGTTCTCGCATCAAGAGGCACATCTTCTTCATGCTAAATTTTGTCAAAAAGAAATAATGGGAAGTTTTTTAAGAATTCGACATTATTCGTACAGTAATTTATATCTTATAACTATTCCAAGTACAAATAAGTATTTTAGTTATTACTTAGTTCATAGTCGTACGTATAGCTTACCATAAACATGGTACGATTAGTTAAAATGTTAATGATAAATTCACACTGAAAGCATGTTTTTTAAAAAGGCATAGCGAAAGAGCTTCACAAATCTTTACATTTTTTTAAATTTCTTTAAGTCAATATATTTATTAAAAAATTAACTTTGACTAAATATTAAAACAATGCTACATACCTTCGATACTGGCATGTTTAGTCACTGCTTGTAGAAAACTGGAAAATAGAAATATTTGTACTGCTTATCAGCTTAGGGACTGCTGCTCATGAACACTGTACACATAGGAGCAAAGACGCACAATTAGTGATATTACGGGACAACTTGGAAGAATAGGGTGCTCTAACAGACATGCGCAATTAGACATTCTTTCTTTACTCACGCTGAATAAAAATGGTTAGTTCAGAATTTTACATGTGCATCAAATTTTCCTTTTTTTCTATCATTGATCCATTCGTTGTTTTGTATCTCCTGTGTTATTAACTTTTTATTCCATTACTCGCCAAATTGCGCGTCGCTTTCTTTATATTTCCCCCCAATCTTCAGCTTTTTCTGTCTTGTTATAATTCTGTTGAATCTGTTCTTATTTAATGCGGTTAGCTTATTTTTTGTCAGAGTAAACGTCTAGTCACTTAGAGAACTTTTTTGATTTTTACGACAAATGTCAAAACCAGAAATCGTTTTGAAGCTTTTTTGTCTGTTCTTCCATAGAATGCGCATTTATGTGTTTTTATTTCGTGGAAAAGAATAGTGATTTCACAAGAATAGTTTTAATCATTTTATAAAAAGATATAGGTTTTGCAACATTGATTTTATCGTTAATATAACAATTTTCGACGCATTGTGGTTAAACATTTACAGCCACCCAAGAAGCAGGATACAAAGACAACTTCTAAACCTAAGAAAGACAAGCCAGCAGGGTCTGGTGGGAAAGCAAAGAAAAAGGTTGGCTTATTTTTGTAATTAAGTCTTTGGATTCATTTTCATTAAATGCTTTGCATTTGCTTTTGTTTCGATGAAATTATTGTAGAAGTGGTCAAAAGGAAAAGTTCGTGACAAATTAAACAACCTTGTCCTCTTTGACAAGGCGACTTATGATAAGCTGTACAAAGAAGTGCCAAGCTATAAGTTGATCACTCCTGCTGTTGTTTCTGAGCGTTTAAAGATCAAGGGGTCATTGGCAAGACGTGCTTGTGATGAATTACTCAGTAAAGGTTTAATTAAACTAGTTTCAAAACATCATTCTCAGGTTATCTACACTAGAGCTACAAATGCAGCTGCTGATGCTTAGATTTTGATTGCAATAAAAATTTGAACTTGCAGTTCCGTGTGATGTAATTATTGGGTATTTTTATAGACTGAGGCACTGCATAATTAGAATGTCAAAGATTCATTAATGCATGTTATGCTTTATTAAGTTCTATTGAAGTTTTTTGTTTCCTGTGGATTAAAACCTGCATGCATGTGTGAGTACTTGCCTAAGAATTTCTCACTGGAAGTGCAGCTGTCTTTAGATAATGATGAATTGTAAGATCATACACTATATGTTATCACCAAGAGCTTTTTCTAAGAATAAATGATTGCTTAAATCATAATATGCAAAATCCTCTAAATTTAGTACTTCTACAGGCATATATGCCTTAAACATATGTTATGGGAAATCATTGGAAGATCATAAATTTTGAAAAAATAGAAAAGCGCAATTTCAATGCAGTAATGAGATGGGTCATTAAGTTTGCAACTACATTAACTGTTCAATGAAAATAATTGATTTAAATTTTAAAGCTAGTGAGTCAAAGAGTAATTGATTTTTCTACACAAGCTAAATGAGAGAATAGTTTATAAATACTTGCAAAAAGCATTAGTCCATATTGTTCAATCTTGCTTTTGCCTTAACTCAAATTTGCAGACAAATTCCTATGTTAGCCTCAAATGTACAAACTCTTTTCAATGGGTTAACTATTTAATAAAATACGGAAAAAACATTGCATATGTATATATGTTAATAAATTAAAGTAACAAGTAAGGGGTCAGCTGTGTTATGTACATTAAATGTGTGAGACAACAATGACAGTATTTCTCCATTGGGATCTATTTAACTGACATAGTCGGTTTGTTAAAACCAGTTTATTTCCTTAAACAAATGTTGTTTATTTATATTTGTTATCTAATTTGCATACATAGTCTTGACATGAATGAAGAAATATTGACATTTAAATTATAAAGAACTTTTTCCAAATTGTAAAATCTACAATATATCTACATGTTGATTAAAACTAACTTGGAGAATTACTTATACCTTATTTCTATTTGAATTTAATCACTTCACATTTTAGCTTGATGTTAACTTGATTTTGTTTCCATAAGTAGGGCTTCAACAGTTAACCAGACATTAGCTGGGTTTTTTTCTTGCACAATATCTGCTGGGTTACATAACTTGTCCTAATAATATACAAGTACAAAATTCTTTAAACATTTTATATTGAAATATAAAATGGATTTCAAAATAGCAAATACCGTGGTGAATGGTGATAATAACAATGTAATAGTTCTTAAAAGAACTGTTTTAACCAGAACACTAACCCAACAATTCAAAGGAACTGTTATTTACAGCTAGAAAGAGACACTATGCATTTCAGCAGACTACTCGTTAGGTGTCAACGTCTGCTAAATGAGAACATTGTATTTGCTATTTTGAAATCCATCTTTAAGTTTGTCACCACGACAAAGTCTCTGTTTCATGAAATATAAAAGAAATGCAGCCATACCCTTCCTACTCCTAACTTCTGACATGCTGCTAGAAAATGATCCACATTTTTCAAGCATTTACTCATTGTGAGTTTGGGCTAAACAAATTAAAAAAGCAAATTGCTCATGTATATGTAAGTAAAAATAGTAAAATAATGGATCTAGTTACTTACCATATTTGGTGTTGGCACAAATATTGTGGGAATTGTTCCTTTTCGGATATAGTTTATTAAATGACAAAGAACAGTGCCATCAGCCAGACATGCAGGAATGTCATCTGGTAATCGAACTTTCAATCTTTTTTCAATTGCCTGAAGAAATGCAAATAATCACATGAGTGTTATGAAGCTATGTAGTCATCTCAAAGTAGTTCTTTTCAACTAGTTATACAAGTGTGTTGACCTATACAGGGTGTCTACAAAAAAATACATATAGAATTAGTATGCAGCAAAATAAACAGTTTTTTGAGGAAATTGTAATTGGTTCATTGCATTGGCAGGTCTTATTCCTTTTCCATTGGAGACAATGAAGGGTCATGGTAAGAAACTAACTTGTGTTTCATCAAAATACTGTGCTTAATTTATGTAGCAAACTAATTTGATATGCATGTTAAATCTGCATGTGTTGTTTTCTACTTCCTACATTTAACACCCCACCCCCCAATAGCTTCAAATAAAGAAACAAAAACTCTATGCTGTATTTATGCCAACATAAAAAACTTGTATAAATAACATCATCATCTTTCGTAATCCAACTTCATTCAAAGTCACAACTGTCATTTTCATTGTCACTGGAATCCACCGCCATCTAGTTTCGTCCAATATGATCCAAAGCACAGAATGTGGTCACATGCTGTCATTTACTATCATCTATTGTCATTTACTGTCACTTGCTACCACCAATTGCAACCTACCTATCATCCACGATCATCCAATGTCATCTACTATCATCTAATGTCATCTTCTATTACCTACTACCATCTACTGTCACCTGCTATCATTTGCTATGTCACCTATAGTCTCCCAAGTGATGCACTGTCACTTTCATGCATGTGTATTGACACATGATTTACCACATTAGAATAAAATGTACATGAAATACTTACTTCTCTCAGCAATTCCACTTTTTCCAATTCCTCTCGTGCACTTTCATACATTCTTCTTACGGTAAATTTTTTTGCATAAGCTGCAGAAAAAACATCATTTCTCATTAAAATGTACTGAACAAGTTTCTAAGGAGCTTCAATAAAGCGTAAAGTGAATATAAAATGACTATTTAGCTTATTCGTTAAGAATATTGCTCTAATGAGTCATGACTAATATATCAACAGTAATTTTTGTTCATTCTATCTTACTCTACATAGAATTTGCAATACCTGAACTTGGAGTAGCTGTTTGGGATCGTTTGTATATTCCAGGAAATGGTGTATCCTATGAATATATTAACAAATAACGACTGTTAAAAATATAAACATTTCCATTGACGAGCTGAGATAAATAGTATTAAATACGACACAAACCTCAGCGTTTCTTGGCATGTAAACATCCTCAGCGTAATTTACATCATTCTGTAGAAACATATTATTTTGTTATTAAACAAACAGAATTATAATAACGTGTAAATTCTATGACAGTTTTCCACTTACTTCCTTTTTGCTTTTCCGTCTCTCTGTTTCCACATATTTAATTGAAGCTTTTACGTCTTTTCTATCATGCTGAGAATCATCTTTAGATTTCTATTGACAAGAAAATAACGCTGATTACACCACAAAGAATATGAGATAACGATAAAGATAATTTAACTTTTACATTTACACACCGAATTATTTACACGTTCAACGTTCTTCACCAAACTCGATTTGCTTTCGCTATAAATCATAGAAATTGAACAAATAAGCGTTAGGTTTAAGTAGACAGAAATCTAACAAAAAATCATTCAATAATAAGCGATAAATGAACCAACTTACACTTTACTCACAGCCGGCTGTTGACTAGCTGAAGGTCTTCTTCGATTTTTGGATCTGGAAGGAAAATTACGATCTATTATTATTGCCGTTGCACTAAAATAAAATGAAATGCTTCAAAATTCTTATTTATAAATTTGCATACTTTCTAAAATAAATTAATATATGGTTATTGGTATATTAGCAGTAGCATATTAATTTATTTAGAATTATTGAAACGTTTGTTCTGTTATCTCCTTCTATAAGTTAAAACTTTGAATACATAGTTGCTTTACATTTAATGGTTCACGGAAAATGGTAGAACGATAACGATTAAAGAATACAAACTAGTCTGAAGATATACTGCGTACAAAGTGGAGTTTTTTGATTTTAAATCAAAGATAATAAATGCACTACAAACATACCCATCAGTCATTTTAACACGACTTTCATTAACTTGTTTCTGTCGAGCATTTTCCTTCTGTTTTTCCAGTTGAACTTGAAGCTTTCTGGAGGTTTCACGAAGTTCTTCGCCATTTCTCTACGCAAACACACAAATAATAATACGTCAGTTCTACGCAACTGAAATTTCGCGCTGAAAAGTGAGAAATGTGTTAGAGTTCGAAAAATGAAATATTACTGCAGCTGCATACAAGGATTAATAAAATATAAAGTTGTATCTTCAATTGAAAGCACTTAGAAGTTGAAATGAATCACGTGATTATCATAACGACTAAAAACATTTCATATCATTGACACCGTTTTTGTTTCAAATAAAACACATCTTAAAGTTAATCACGTTAAACTTTGGTTTATCTACTGTAAATATACATAATTTGTACACACGTTTGCGTGAAATGGCAAACGTTTATCATGATTAACGTAATATTGCGCAAATTAAGTTAGCTATATGTATTCATAAGTAAAATCTGAGTTATCTCCATTGTTAACAGATTAAATATTCAATTCGTAAATTTTATTGAACTTGTCTTAACTATGGTTATGTTACAATGCTAATTTTATGTTTTATAGCCCCTCTTTTTCATTCATAAAGTCATTTTCCATCTCAGAAAGTAGAATTTTAAAAATGTTATCTAAATACGATCTATAAGTCATTTAATATCTCAGCAAGTTCAACTTGAAGAATATAATTTAAACGTTTAAACGCATCGAAAAAAGTTAAAATGTTGAAGAATAAGAAAAATGTGAGAAGTCCTATTAAGGCTACAGTTATCTCGTCTGAATAGGTAACTCTGAGAATGGCAGCATGATTTTCTAGTTCTATCATCTGCAAATAAAATTGGAAAATGCAATGTGTTAAATTGATGTATTTTTGAATTTATATCATGATCACAACAAATAAAAGAAATCAATTTAGATCATTATGATTAACATTACGTCGTGTAAGAGGTAGCATAGCTAACGAACTCATAGTTTCCCTTAAGTAAAGTTACAAAACCGTAATTCATTTCATTCGATGCACTACGTAGATATGAAACCCCACACACAATCACTTCTACTGCACATACAGTTCGTCTCTGTTTGAAAGGTAATAAATTACCAACATTTATTCTTCATATTTGAATATTACATTAATATAATCATTTATGCTGTAGCACCGCTGTTTACGTATGGTTAGTTCAATGATCTTTCCACAAGTAAAAACGTTTGTAAAAAATTTAGACTTTAAACATGACGCCAAAATCATGTAACGAAGGCTTTCTCATGTTCTACTTTAAAACTAAATCTTTTCGTTCGACACGTAATATGCGCAAATCGTAAATGTTTCAAGATTTAACTGTACATCACACTTACTTGAGAATCCAAATCAGATTGAATTTCAGCGCCCTCAAAACCAAATATGTCAAGTTTACGTTCCTCGGTAAGTAACAGGTCAGCTCTAGTGAGTTCAGCTTCAAGGGATGTCGTTCTTTTACGTCCTATTCTTGATTGATCGTTGTTTTTTGTCTGCTCGCTATTTCTACGATCAACCTGATGAAAAAGAAAACCCCAACAAGGATTGAAAACTAAATACAACAACAGCAGCATTACTGTCAGGATAGTTTTTACAGAAAATGAAAATATTCGCACCTTGCGTGATATGTTTCGAAAAATAAGAGTAGATTTAGGATGTATAAAAACGACGGAAGGATTAAATTTTTATAAGTATTTTATAGAGTAAACAATACCATTTAGGAATTTACACCTCTTATAACCAAATTTTATATATGACCAGTGGCATAACCAGCCCGCAAGTATGTTCGTGCTATGTTAAATTTTAGCGCTTACTCACTGTAAAAAAATTAATTTCTAAAGAAATGTTTTATGCCAATGATGAAATATTTACATGACACGAAATTGCGAGCTTGCTACGTATGTCACTGTTTCTAACTACTGAGTGCTGGCTATGTTTAAAACGTTTAAGAACGTTTCATTTAAGATAATGATATTAAAAATATAATACAATTTTTTATAAATGAAGAACCATCAAATGGTACAATCTTGAGGTAAAAATTTAGATAAATAAAATGTTGTGTATTGAAAGGCTTGTTGATTTATCTCCTATTCATATATACATACATAATGCAAGGTAACCTGTGTTCTTTAAATTTTATGGATGAAGCAAATAGCAATGATTAACATTTTCATACCCTCCTTGATGTTCTTTCTTCATTTGGTGATGGAAAAAGATTTTCTTCAGTCAAAATACTTTGGACATGTAAATAAAAATTTAAAATTAGCCATCTCTTATAAGCTATTATCATATATTCATGAAACGAATTAATCAGACTGTAGTTTAGCACATATTAAAATCATTTTTAAAACATTTATGTATGGCAATTTTATGTCAGAACTTGATATTATACAATTTACTTCTCCAAACCATCCCTGCTCAAATATATGTTCATTATTACTCAATCACTATGCATGAAATCTAGTGTTGCAATGAAACCACAAAAATAGAACAATTAAAATATCATTTGCTCCTTAATGTCAACCCCAAACATCACAAATACTTTGGTTTTGTTCACCAAATACTACACAATGCTACAGTATTTACTCTTTTACCATTTTTACTGTTTTAGAATAAAAATTCTGGGGAAAACACCTGCTAGCATTGTGATGAGCCAAAGAATAACTTTTTGTTGAATCCTTTCCCTAAATAACATCAAAAAAACATGTTGCAAAGAGGCATTACAATATCTTCGAAATAGCTCATATTAGATAATTTCTCAAACCTTATCTTGAATCTGTGCTGCAATTGAAAGATACTTAAAAATATGTACACGACCCCTTGTGCAGAGCTTCAAAAAATAAATGATTAAGAAAAACTTAGCAAGAACTAAAGCAAACTAATTAAAAATTTCATGATTACAAGAAAAACCTTTGATGTGCAATGACCAGCAAGATACCACAAAGATCAATAATTAGAATGCTTAGGTATATTCATACAATTCATGCATTATTTCATGTGTTACAATCCCTAATTACCATTGATTTTAATAGAAATAAAGTAGATTAATAGAACATGCATACATGAAAATTACCTCCCCTCCCACTACTAATCTTGATGTGTACCTTTCATTGAAAAAGCTAAGTACATATTTAGGAAATTTGAAAAAATGATTTGAAGGCATTGCTTGTGTATGGAAATTGTCACTAACAAGGCATTGCGCTTTTATCAAAGACCCAAGCAAAACCTTTTTGGGATACCTTTGTTAAACACAATGAGACTTACAAAACTAAATTATTATATTAAAAAAAAGTAGCTGTATAATAGCAATAGTATATTGGTAACTGTAAAATTTAAATTTATTTACCTGGGCAGGAGGTGATTGAAGTGGGTTATTAGCAAGAACTAATTCAGTAAGAGTTGTTAAATATCGAAAGACAATTGGTATAACAGTTATTCTATTTGATGAGAAATCCAATTTTTCTAGTTTTAGTTTGCAAATTTCTATAAAAGAAAACAAGACAGTTGGCAGCTAAAGAGATTATAGGAATGATTTTGTGTTTGTTTTATCAACTTACCATCTGGAAGTTGTTCCAAATGATTTTGGTGAATGTTCAATTCACGAAGAGTTGATAATTGGCCAATTGTACTAGGTAATGATACAATCTCATTTGAGCTAATATTCTAAAAATAAAGGTTTTTTATAAGTACAATAAAAATAGATACCTGCATTAAAAAGTCAAGCTTTTTTAATTATCTCTAAGACTTTGATACAAACAGTTTCTAGCAACTTAAACTTTTGTTAAAAGTACATAAAATAATAAATCTTACCAAGTACTGAATATGCTTCAGATTACAAATTTCATTTGGAATACATGATAATCTGTTATTGCTCACAATTAATACTTGTAATGGAAGACCACATATATGCTCTGGTAATGTTTGCAGTTGGTTTTTACTAAAAAAACATACAAATTTTTCTAATTGATTTGATCTCTAGTATTGGAAAAATTTAAACAAAACAAGTAACTTAAGTATTGGAGAAAGTTAAAGAATCATGCAAAATTTTCTGTAGTAAATAGCGTATGGCTGTAATCAATACTTCATACTTCATTGTATATGCATAATGAGTAAAATAGATTCTTTGGGCATATTTTGATATTAATAGCAAGAACTTAACATTTCTTTGCTTTTGAGAGGAAGGCCTACATTAAAATTTACTAATCTCATAAAATGAGGAACCTGAGATTGAGCCAAGTCAAAGACGTCAATCGACTAGTGTCTGGTATGGATCTTATAGCATTGTGGTGACAATTGAGTCTTTCCAATACTACAAATTCACATACTACAGTGGGAAGTTCTGTGAAACGGTTTTTCGAAATGTCTGCAAAGAACACAGAAATTTTAACTATTTCAATGTGAAAATAAAAGAAAATACTTATTATTGTAAAATATAAACGAATAAGCACAAACCACATTCGATGACATCGATTAATTCACATTCTTCAGGATATTCTGGAAATTCCTTCAAATTTCGACCCGACAAGTCAAGAGTACCTGAATTTTCTGCATCCTCAAAGCAACGATCTACACTGATATTTTTTCCTGTCATACTCTAGAAAGCATCTTAAGCAAATTGCAGTCAAAAGACAAGTGTAATTTCGATTTCAAGCCGACACACCTTCAATTTGCTTTTACCGGATTTGACATTTGGTTAGTCGCCATTGTTCTTCTGAAACCTTGGTACAAGACCGCAGAATGCAGCGGAGCGGACAGTTGATTTCATATTGTTAGTGCTTCATTTAGGCTTAACAGATTTGCTTACCGTTGCAAAAAAAAGTGAATATTGACAGTTTTATTTCCTAAGTTTTCACCTTGCATAGTTTGAAAAATATTATTATTGACCAGCATATCGTGCAATTTTATTAGTAGCGTACAATTTTATCATTACTAAGTAAAGGTCAGGAAAATATTATTACTTTTTTTCTCCGTGCTATTGTTTAGTTCCGAAAGTTTATCACTGCATCACGTATATCAATCCATAAAATTGGTGGTTCGAACTGTTCTGAAAAAACTGGTTGTTTGAATCGTGGTTAAAATTGTTCTGTAATATGCTCGTGTGAAGATTAGTCAACAGACAAGCTCAAGCCCCCCCACAGATAAGGTCAAGACGTCATCAGCGGATGTCACTCGTGAGCAGGAAGTACAGTTCAAATGTTCAAATTTGCGTGACTAGCATCATGGTTCTGCTGCCGTAACACACTCCTTTCTAACAAAAATTTCCAAAGAATGAATACACTATACACAATATTTTTAAAATAGCGAAAACTAAACGCAAACTTTAAATTTTCTTATGTTATTAAGCGAATACATGTCATGTGATACAAAATGTTATATGCAAATTTTTGAATTAAGCTGGCTTTCTTCCTCGTGAATTTCACGTGCTCGAGACTCTCTTGTTCGAATCACACATATTGATAGCCAATAACAATTATTATGAGCAGCGGGCCATATAACCAGAGAATGTCTTTCACGTGGACTTCAACAAGCAAACAACAGTATAAATTGCTTTGCTGTCTTGCTATTGTCAAACCACTTCAAACAAAAGCAGGTCGGATTGGTGTGTGAAGTTTCGTTCCAAGATGACAATTCCTGAACAAAGTAGAAACTCTTTGGTGACTGCTATGAACCAGTTTATACGTTCCGTTGATGAAATGGATTCAACTGTGCTAGTACCTACACGTTTGATGGATATACCTGCGGTTCAGTTGGACACGCAAGGGAGTAATAATATCAACGACGAGCGAAAAATCATACAAGATAATGTTGACTTATTCAAGTTCTACACGATGCTTATGGAGGCAAGAGATGAAGTAGTTTGGGGTTGTCGAAGTACTGAAGAATCTAGTCACTCATCCTTGATTGCAAATCAGCTAAAACAATTTTCTCGAGTTCTGAACGAGCTAACAGATATGGCTATTAAATTGAAAGAGCGATATGAACATGATATTAATGTTGGAACGAACTCTCCTTGTTAATACATGGTTGTATATATATTATTACGAAATTTATAAAAATTCGCGATTTCTCACGAAGTGTTATTACGGAAAATGCTTTGTGTACCTTTGTTGTTTCAATTATACAAAATTTGTAATAGAAATAATTGCGTGTACATGATTTTAAGAGTTTGCGCAAGTCGGTTTAGTTTACTTGAACATATTTGGGATAGTGGGTTTCAATTCTTGTAAGTTGATGTGGTCAATGATAACTTATATGTTGGGGCAGCAGTTGCACTCATGGAGGCATCTCATTTATATATATAACATAAATATAAAAACCTGTCCAAGCTCTGAAAATCAGTGTTCCTTTGTGACACGAGTTCAAAACCTTAAAGCAAATTAGGCAGTAAAATTATCTTTTCTTCTTCAATCATTGAGTTTTGTGTTGTCATTGTGTACTGAGCTAGCCGTAGGGAAAAACTTATCGTTGCGGTTGACGGAACACAAATATTGTGACAAATTAAAATCTTTTTTCTTCTGCCTCAAGGATAAAGCCAAAACAAAACAAACTTTCGACAGCAAACTGCATGAGAACCTAGTGCCATCCGTCCATAACATAATTGCTGGTTAAATCTGGCTTTTAGAGGGTTTATTTGATATAGATATAACAACGAAAAAACGACCTTTAGTGTAGTTTAACATGACGTTTAACTCACGTCAAAAGAATATTAGCAATTTGAAATGTTTCACAACAGTCTAGCGTTCAAAAATCTTTGAAAATTACTTCTAAGGTCAGTAAACTTGTCAAAGACACTTAATAATACTTAAACTGACGTCATTATAACTCACTTCTGAAAGTGAAAGCAGCCATTTATCTTTTTGGATTTATACCACCGGCCACCGACGGTGCCCACCGAAGATACTTTTAACACATTTTTTGGATCAAAGGCTTTGGTTTAGTGGATTTAGGATCACAGTAAGCTTCAAATCACAGAGAAAGATAGTGATTTATACAAGAACATTTATGGAAATATTGTCATTATCAATCCTACAGTGGTTTCTATATCATAATTTTTCAAGTCTTAAACTGAAACATATAAATTGCACGAATAATTAATCATAATTTCACACATTTCGATTTTGTCTTATATTTACATAATGCAATTAATTTGCGTTATTATCATTTTTATCTATCCATCGAATTTATCCTAAAATAATTTTTTTTTATAGAGAGTTCTGTTGAGATAAGTGTCATGCACCGGTACAATATGCATATACATAGTAATTGGCACTCAAATTTAAAGAAACATATTTTCAATCAATGGTTAAACCATCATTAGTCGAGACGCCATGGCACTACACAATAAATATTTTGTGGTTTAATTTTTTTGCATCATTTAATATTTTCCTTAAGCTTCACCTGAAACTATGACACAAAAGCATTATGCTGAAATTTTATCCTCACGTCAATGCATTAATAAATGCGCTACAGTAAATTCGCTTTGATAAAAGGCCGTAGTGTTAGTTAACAAATTTCTTTATAATAGAATCTCTCTAAAGTTTAGTAGAGTTGCTTTTCTGTGATTCTGTCGTGTTGTTTTGTTCATCAGGACCGAGTTCTATAGTTAATGGTGAATCACATGACAAGCGATCAATTTCATCATCAGTCTCATCAAGGATGTGTTCATAACTATCACTCTGTTCATCAAAAGGACTGGAGCAGTTTCGACCATTGACTCCACTATCGTTTGGGAGACAGCTCTGTGTAGTGATGTCACTATATGTTACACCACGATCTGATGTGATATCGTTTTGATTCAACACAAAACTATGATTCAACTCAAAACTATGAACGGCTACACTATCATGTGTTGGAGACGTATTTCCAGAAACGTCACTAAACAAATCACTGCTACATCCATTAACATCATTACACAATACAGAACCATTTGCATTGCTATGAGTTCCATTTAAAACAACACTCCCTTTGCCCATCGCCATCATCTTCAGTCGAGCATTCTCAGTTTCTAAGTGTTTTAGTTTCTCAAGTAATGTTTCTTCATCTCGTTGCTTTTGCTTCAATTTGTCTTTTAGTAATATGAGATTCTCTTTTAGCTTTCTGTTCTCTTCAGCAGTTTTTTCCAATAACGGTTTTAACAGAGATGGGTTTTCCTCCTGTAGAACTTGATATTCAACCTCAAAACGGAAAAGTTTATCACCTATTTCCAGTGCGAGAACATCACTGACAATGCTTTCTTGTTCATCAACTGCTAGCTTTGGAAGTTCAATTTTCAAAAAATCAACAATCGTTTCCAAACTCTGGCATGCCAAAATATTTTTTTCAAACCGACTTATTAAGGTGATGGCCACCTATTGCAAAAACGCGAACACGAATATTAATGCAGTGCAAACGATAGCCGTTAATATTTAACTAAAAATTTCACCATAACTTCATAAACAAAAACTTACCTTGAAAATTGTCTCTAATCCCCCAAGACACAACAAATCTAGAAAAATAAAATGCAATATTTTTCATCGCGCAATAAGATGGGAAGTAAATGTGACTTCTACAGTATTGAAAAACATCCATAACTGGTTATTTTTATTGAGTAATATTTCTACTGTTTCAACATGAATATTGTTTCATTATCAATCTATATTTCCAACGTCTGCTTACCCAACACTCTGCAAGCAAACGAGAGTGGAAACAATGAAGAAAAGAGCGTTAAAAACCAAGAAGCAGCGTACAAAGTTGGTGTAACTTCATAACATTCAAAATGATCATGTAGATTTGGACAGGCGTCATGAAGTAAACGAGAATATTGATAAAATTGAACCTATATCAAATAAAATGAGTAAGATCTTTATCTTATTTATGATACACATACGTAGATATTCTCAATTTTATTCACATTTTCAATATATTCATACTTACACGAAGTCCCGCCATATCAGGCATATACTGATTACGTAAACCGTAATGGAAAGTTAAATGTGTCAAAACCTCAAAAGCTTCCTCCTCGCCAAGCTACATATATGAGACAAAAAGAAAAAATTCAGAAGAAAAAGACATTTGTACCAGTGATGCAAATTTATATTTTTCTATCCGAAAATGGGAGAGGGGCATGTGTTAACAACTTAGTTTTTGTACAGACTTGTATGGGGGCTATATGTTAACAAGAACTGAGTCTTCGTAGATACTTGTATGGGGGCGGCTATATGTTAACAAGAACTGAGTCTTCGTAGATACTTGTAGGGGTGTATGTTAACGATAATTGACTCTTTGCACATGTTACAGTTATTCCACACAAAAAACGTCAATAAACAAAAAATCGTTGACCTACATGCATTAAAAGAATTCCAGCAACAAAGCTCAATCCTTGACAGTATCCCAGATCAGGATCCATGTTAGAATAAACTTTCAGTAAATTAAACAGAGCAAATTGACCAACTCCAACATGTTGACTGAAATAAGGATGTGCAGGAAACGTTCGGTCTAAAAAATTATAATTGGTAAATGATTTTAATAATATATTCATACTGAAATAAGTTGACGAGAAAATATATTTTATGCTTACTGCAGTCTATAAGAATCGCGTGTTGATGAATGGATCTCATTTCCTTCAACTCTTTATAAGATAAAGAAACAGATGGCATCGTACTGGGTTTACGTCGCAATAAATCTTGTTTTAACAAATATCTCCAAATTTCTCCACGGCGATTCTTTGGTATTCCTTGAGTACGCAATAAAGGAAAAGATGTTAAAGATGTTTACTGGTATATGTACATTCAACATTTCTTCAACGAACAATTCGAACGATTGAAAGAAAATAAAATATTTCACGTGACTGACTGGTGTTTCGCAGAAATGGGAAAAAGATTTCAAAGAAAATCGTGTTAAAGTAGCTCACCAAACTTTACTGCTTCCAGAAGGTCTTTTTTTTCAATCAACTTTTCTTTTTCATTCATTAATTTGTTCCACATTTCATTAGCTCCGCTATTACTGGATAAAACTTCACGGTATTCTAATTTCAAACGTTTATTCTTGGCTATTCCTTCTCCAGCTAAAACACCAATACACAAACATATTATTCATTGTAAGACAAACAATATGAAATTTCAAACAACAAGATCTAATGAAACTACTTTTTTCTCAAGGATGCACCTCTGCATCTGATGAAGACCAAAGACACGTTTCTTGTGACGCATTTCATGATATTATAATACATTTACAATAACAAATAGCCTTCAATATGATACATAAATTGTGGATTACATGGAGGACAAGGTATTTTTTAAAAGACGATTACAAGAAAAACAATGATATAAAACAATGATATAAATGATGAAAAAACATATTGAATGGAAACTTGCTATAGGGAATAACTTAACAATTGAAAATAAAATTAAAATTTAAAGGAAGAGAAGTACACAGATACACACACACGAAACAAAGAACAGTCGATGACGTAACACACACACACGAAACAAAGAACAGTCGATGACGTAACACACACACACACACACGAAACAAAGAACAGTCGATGACGTAACACACACACACACACACGAAACAAAGAACAGTCGATTGACGTAATACAAAAATATGCAAGACGGAACATATATTCTTGTAAAAGATATAGTTAAAGAATTTAAATAATACATAAATATTTCAACAGTTGACAATTACCTCGCAGCTTCAAATTCTCTCGTTCCATTCTAATTAATAATCGCTGCTCTAAGATTGCTTTTCTCCATAATGCACGTAATTGCTCTGGTGATTTTTTATTGGTTATAATTTCAGGTATAACATTATCATTAGATACCATTCTCTCTGCTTTTGTAATTTTTGTTGGTGTTACAACACTGTCAAATATAGCGCGACGGTAAGACTGTTTCCGAGATAACTTTTTGCTTGGAGTTGTTGTGGTGCTCCCACTTTGTGGATGATCCACAGTAAAATGTTCATCATCTGATACATGTTCACGAATTTCATTAACATTGTTAACCATCTAGGTAAGATGCAATATTTAAATGTCAATATTTATTAATACAAATAGAAAGAAATCAATGAATGATTTTCATTCCAATATAAGTTTGTGATGTCATGTCAAGTTTTTGTTTGAATCTCCCTGACATGATTGCAAAAACGTTTAATGAATTATGTAGTTGCTTCATTGATTTCCATATTGATTTGTTTGTTTCATCCTACTCTTGATTGCCCATGCATATGTTTGTCTACAATCATGTGAAAGTAGACTTAATATAAAAAGTGTACAAAATATCCGTATACATGCAGAAATTAACAAATTATACCTTTAAACAATGATGTGATAAAAACAATCCGATCATATAAAAACACAAGTTACATAACTTGCTTCAAATCACAGCAAAATTTAGTTTGCTGTCTATTTTTCAAGAAAAGTCAGAGATATCAAAAAATTTAGTTCACATGGAAGTTGTACAAACTTACGCCATTATGTGATTTAACCACGTGACTGATATCACTGTAAGACCGCCGATGTTTCCGCTTGGATTTTTTCACCGTGTCATCGCTTGTTGTTACTTCTCTTTTCTCATCATTGACATGATGCTCTGATGCTTCACTTGAGTTATTTTCTTGTTGCTGAATTGTCACAAAATGTTTGCTCGATCCAATCTATCGTAAATAAAATAGACGTAAAACTACATAACCGTGGCATGTCGCGTAAGGTGAGCAGCAACATAGGGGGAAAACTGACAGTGGTAAAAATATGTGAGATAGATAATTAATAGTACGTAATTAATTCAAGAGCACATAATTTACTGCATGAGCACGGACATACGTAATTAATTATGAACTGTTCAAATATTGCCTATATTTTTTATTTCCTACCTTACTTTCCGCCTCGTCTGAAGAAGTTCCGTCCGTTTCGTTACGTGACATTCTAACTTTAGACTGAAAAATAAACACAAATAATTATAAGCAAAAATTACAAATGTGAGCAGGAATGAAAAATAAATTACCCGAAAAATATCTCCCAAAGAGCGTTTTGCCTTCGCCATAAATTTATTTTGTTGAGGTTTTTCCTTTGCTTGGCTCGTTGAACGACTCTAAATTAAGTCCATCGACATTAAATTCGTTCAACAGGTATTAAAGTCAAAATAGCTGTTTTTATTACCTGACCACCAGATGAATGACGATGAACTTTTTGCATATCTTCATATAAAACACGTAATAATGACATCATAACTTCGTTTTGTTCCACCAAATCACGACGCTTTGATTCAATCTTGAAAAAATACCTCGCTTTCATAAAGAAAAATGAAAATTAATCTGAGGAAAATATGTTTTGCAAAAAGCTAACCTTGCACTTTTTTTTTAAATCTTCAACAACACTTTCCCCAAAATTATCCATCAAATGATGACGAATCAAGATTTCTTGATCACCGGGTCTTTCACCTGATGATAAACGATCCAATAAAGTTGTGAAAAACTTTGCCAACAGATACAAAAATAATTTTAAATACCTTCAAGTGCTTGACATAACAGATGTAATTTGTGTAACGGACATTTTTCACAAGCTGCTAAAGAGCCAACGGCTAGCCAAGCCGAATTAAAAGCTCTTTTTAACGATTTCATAATGTTATCAACCTTAAAAGAAAATGGAAAACGCTTTGGTATTGGTAAAGGTTTTTCAACCGTAATAGATTAACACGTTGCAATAAGCCGTTCTTTTACCATTCTATATAAATATATCATTGTATAAACATACACAATCTTTGCTAATGGTGGAAAAATCTCAACAGAAATTTGTTCATACGTATATATATTTTTAAGAGGGAGACAAACGGCATGATACACTTATATGAAAATGTGAATGTACGAGTTTGAAAGAGTTAAACAATGTAAAAATCACGTGGCTTTATAGCCTAGTATATTGATTTTACTCTTATAAATTTTTTGACTTTCTTTTCAACAGGAATAAATCTAGGATGATTTTCGAGGAAGTAATCCAGTTTGGATGACATTTTGGTGACTACTTTGTGAATATCACCGTACCATGTAAGACTTTTAACCATGTTTGGGAAATTTCTGAAGTCTACTTCATTAAACACAAATCACAATTCATTTTACTTGATTATTAATGTTTTCCAGGGAAATTGTCACATCTCAAGTCAAAGATAGGGGAGTGCACTCCTCCACACACCTTCCACTCTCTCTCCACCCCTCTTCCACCTCCACACCTTCCACTCCCCCCTCTCAAGAGTGATCTCCACACACCTTCCACCCCCACCCTCTCCCCTCCACACCTTCCACCCCCCCTCCCATAGTGCCCTCCTCCACACACCTCACTCCCCACCCTTCCCACCTCCACACCCCCAGATAAGAGTGCTCTCCTCCACACACCTTCCACTCCCTCACCCTCTCAAGCCAAAGATAAGAGTGCTCCACACACCTTCCACTCCCTCACCCTCTCAAGCCAAAGATAGAAGTGCTCTCCTCCACACACCTTCTACTCTCCCCACCCTCTCAACATAATCTTAATTGTCTTGACAATGAAACCAGATGTTTTAGAAAATATAATTGCTTGTTGAAGTATTTGTTTTATAAGATCAAAATCTCCAAACGTGTTTGTCATTAATTCCTAAGTTTCATAATGTTGTAGTACAAAATTGTAAAAATATCTCAACAACATTTTTTATGTTTTTTTATAAAAAAATTTAAGGAAGTACTAACCTCATGTTTAGAATGTGCTTTAAATACATAACAATGATAGTTAGAGGTTGAAGGATTATGGCAAATAAAGCCAAAATGTTCTGGTTCAATGGTACCCTTAAAATAATGAAAAATATATTGATCAAACTAAAACAGTGCAAGTACATAAACCCTCATCACAACAATCTAAATGAACTTGATGCATCAACATACATACCAGTACCTACCTGCTGACAAAACGATATTTCTTGAACTTTCCTTTCCATGGCAATCTTCCCTGAGACAGATGAACTAAATGTAATTGAATAAACAGAAATACTCATAACAAGGCTGTCACTTTCATTAAGGCCATACGAGTTTGCTTTTGATTTGCCAGCTGTTGCTTCATAGGAAGAATTAATATTTATATGTGATGACGTTGTGTGATCACTTGATGAACGTGGTCGTTGTTGATCATCTGAATCACTTTCTACTAGTTGGTTATCCTCACTATTCATTCTTAATGACTTCAATTTAGGAGGCATTTCATTAGAAGGTGTGTGACTGCCATTTTGAACTGCTTTTAAATCGTTTGACTTTGCTGACAATAAATATTGTTGACTACGATGACGAAAACGTTCTATAGATGTATCGATCAATGAAGGAGGGGCTTTTCTGTGTGATACAGCCAATTTTCCAATGTAAGTAACATAATATTTTACAATATGTTCATCCTCTTTTGAGCCATTTTCTACAGGAACATCTTGTAACTTTAAAGTTTCTTTCAATGGCATTTGTTTCTTGCATTCTTGTAAAGCTTGTTTTAAGCAAACAAGAAATTGGCTAGCCTGAAAAAAGAAATTGTTTTAACTGACAATGGAACTATATAAAATCATATGAGCACAAGCAGAGCCACAGAATTGAATTGGTTTAAGGCATAAATTTCTTGTTTGGAATATGACTGTTTTTAATACAAACAAAATGTTTGTTCCAAAATATAAAGCAAAAGACTGTCAATATATCCAAACCAAATCTTATACGTATGTGAAACTTTATGAAATAGAAAAAACATGATAATGAAACAAGTAATAACTAGTAAACCTTTCATCAACTATTTAATAGCCTTTGGGCCATAACGTCAAGTCGCCCTTGTCTTTGTCTTAATTGTCTTATACTGTGATCTTCTATATCGTTTGTATTGATAAAAAAATGTACCTTGCTTGTATTCTCGGCTTCAAAAACATGGCATGAGCAAATAGCGTTGTTTCTTGAGTCTTTCAGAAGGTAAGCAAACGTTGATGAATCTTTGCCTTCCAGTTTTATGCATTTTGATATGTGAATCAAGCCATGTTCTACAACCGTTTCGTTCTTTACAAATCCTGTAACACTTGTATGTCCAACAGCAAAGTGTATATCTTGCCTTTGGTTTTTCCTCTTGATTTCAGCAACAATCCAGGGAATCATGCAAGATGTATATCTTTTATCAATTAGCAGAGAACCAAAGTATGCTAACCGTAGGTTAACTGAAGAGTCGTTGTTACAGGAGATCCCATCATACGATTTTGAACTATGCATTTCTCCTATTTACATATGTTGTCGAAAAGCTTCATATTATGTGCTTATTTTATTCTTAGTGGTTTGAATTAAGCTTACCAATGATATACTACATAGGTTTGTCTCGTTTTATGATAATATACATGGCTAACAATTTCATATTTCAAAGTAAGTCCTATGTTAAGATAAATCATTGACACTGTCATTGACACTGTCATTGACACACTCATTGGCAAAATAAATTTAATTGTATTTTCGGTAACAATGCGCATGCGCTAGAAAAGAAGAACAATAACAGGAAGTTTAATCAATATCACTTATTTCTTATTTGATGAAGTAAACCATGAATCGAATATGTTTTCATTTAAATCTTGTTTCACCTGCTATTTGAAAATCATTCATGTTTTGTTACAGACTCATTTCTTTCGCGAACTTTTTTTAAAGCGCGCTTGTGGTAAATTTAGTTCTTCGGAGTCATTTATTTTTTTGTGCTATTATGTACAAGTGCCTAAAAAATAAAACGAATTCATAAAAGCAAAAGTGTTTCAATATTTTTGACACATCTTCTGTATTTATGTTGTCAAGCGAAAATATTATTCCAGAGGGTAATTGGCAATAGGTACAGTTCTTTAATCTATTGTTCAGTAGATCTAACTGTATTTTGTAGTTGGAGGCTCAACAAGCCACAAGGTTTAACAAGAAATTTACTCATTAAACAGAATTAAAGATAGGTTTGATCTTTTGTAATAGGATCGTTTTGCAGCTACTTGTTCAGTTGTTTGCTTTATTGCTTTTTCGAGTTACGGTCGGCTATGATAGTACTTGTACATGATGCAGTACTGAACGACACCTCTGTATTTGCAAAAATGAACACAACTTTATTTCGAAAATTCAATATTAAAATCATTCCAATGTATACATATTTTACAGTAATTTATTATTCAAAAACATATTATAATTCAAAAAGTATTCAAAAACATTTTTAAAACGTTTTCATTGGTCCAATCGCTCATAATTCACTGCCACAATAAGGACAATACAACAAATCTGATACATATTCACGATAAGGATGGGATTCACAATGATAACGAACACGACCAAAGAATTGTTGAAAACAGCCAGAACATTTCAATGTTTCAGGTTCTCGACTGCAGACACAGCTATTGTCTTCCTAGAAAATGAAAGTAGCAAAAATTTACGATAGTTAACTAATTTTTTTCATCGAATATGTTTCCATCATTTATACGATGTAGTTTACCTTTTCTGCTTGAGAATTTGTTTCTTTAGTTTTGCATGGTGAATCCCAAAGCTTGCGGAAATAACTTGTGATTCCACCATAATCAACGGCAAACTTATCATGTTCATTGGAATGATCGTGTTCACTTTTCTTTAGCAAGGACAACAGTTTACTTTCATCCCTCGTAAATGGCACTAATATCAGCTCACGTATTGTTCGATTGAAATTTTGTGATTGATTTCTGTACGGGATAAATTCAGAATCGTTTGTATCAACGTTGATTAAAGAGCCACCGGGTATTTTTGGCGCACTTGTCTTTGTGCTTGACTTTCTTTCTTCTGTATGTTGTTCTTTTGCACTGAAATCTTTCTTCATCTTTGGAGGTGATTTTGAAAACTGTTCCTCCAAACGACCTGATGAATACAAGTTTGGGTGCTTGTCATTTCTAATCGAAGTCGTGGTATTTACTGAAGTAAAACAGATGTTAGGATTCACACTCATTCTTTCGTTTGGAGGAATACCATATCCGCACCCAAAATTAGTCGAATCACTCATAGGTGCTGTCACATTTCCAATAAATTCGCCGTTTCTGGGGGCAAATGATGACTGTCTGTTGATAAAATCATTGCATGGGATATCAACAAGATGAACTCTTGGCATTCGCTCGCGCGGATTTTGATAAAACTCGGATGCATTTCTATTCATTCTAATATTTTGTACCACAGGTGCAAAGGCTGTATTAAATTGATTTACACATGGTTGTACCATTGGAGGTGCAGTCATTGTCTGCCATCGGTGTTGAGGTATTGTTCGTGGAATAAGGTGAGCTGCATGTCCTGGTATATTTGGAGTACCAAGGTGAGCTGCATGTCCTGGTATATTTGGAGTACCAAGGTGAGCTGCATGTCCTGGTATATTTGGAGTACCAAGGTGAGCTGCATGTCCTGGTATATTTGGAGTACCAAGGTGAGCTGCATGTCCTGGTATATTTGGAGTACCAAGGTGAGCTGCATGACCTGGTATATTTGGAGTACCAAGGAACACATGATCTGGTGCCCTCCTAGGATCAAGACGAGCTGTTGAAAAAGCGTCATGATGTGGTGGCATTATATGAGGTTGGGCAACACGTGCTACAACAGGATGATTAACTAAGTAATTGACATTTCGTTCAATGACAGGTTCTGGTCTAAGAATTGGTTGAAATTGATTACTGGCGTAAACATTCTGGAACTGAGGAATGCTATTTACTTGAGGTTGCATTTGCACAAAATGTGTAACTGGATATTCAGGAATCACTCCACGAGAAGGTATGTACTGCATGGGATATCTGGCAGTTGGTCGTACAGTGGTAGTTGGAGCAAAAATTTTACACTGCTCAACGCTGACATTCCGTTGAGACATTCTGATATTGGATTGGATATTCACTGGTTTAGGTTCAATGAGAACAGTTGGAGGTGCGCATCGAATGGGATTGTTAAAAACACACTTTTCACAATTATAGCCACCATAGTCAGGCGTTGTTACCCAAGAATCATTGTTTGTTACTCTGTTCTTTTCATCATAGTTCATGCATGGTTTGTTTGTGAATGCTACGTATGTATCCTGAAGCCTAGAATTTGTTTGCTGAGCTGCCTTCTCTGCATTATTTATACAAGATTGAGCAGTGATACTTTCTTCTTTTTCACATGTCTTGATTTTCGATGTTGCACCAGCTACTGCTGATGACATTGGCATCACCTTACTAATAGAATCTATCGTCTGTGCAACATCATTCTTTATTTCTTCAGGAACCTCTTGTTCATCATTCTGATGAATTTCAATCATCTTAAAAGAAAACTTATCAACAAGTGTAGGCAATTCAGTTTCCTTTTTGGGTGACTCTTCACGACACGAAAAAGACATAGAACATTCGACTTTATAGCCATCAGTTTCATTTTCATTGCTTAAGTTGCTGCTTTGTTTTAGATCTAGCTTCGAAGAACAATTTTTGGATGTTGAAACTTCGGTATTGACTGTATTTTCTAGAACTACATTATCGGGTGTCATATTGTCTTGGGAGAACGAACAATTTTTTTCTAATCGTGGTCGTTTTTCCTTTATCTCTATATCATCATGCCTGTTCGGTTTTCTAGCCAACCTTATTTTTTGAGGTTGTGGGGGAGATAATGATTCCCTTTTCCCTTTTTCTTTAACGTTAAATGTAGTCTTTTCATTTGTCGAGAGACTACTAGTGGCATGGCTTTTCTTTAATAGTTGGATTTCTTTTCCAGCTAAGCTAACACTTGTTTCTTGGCAAACTCGTCTTTTCTTTTTTGGTTTTGAAGAGCTTTTATTGATTAAATTGCACGGTTTCTTTAATTTACTTCCTGTTACGGTGCTGTCACTTTCTCTTTTCAGGTCATTTCTTGGTGAATTATTCATCAAAATTTCCAACACATCCGCTTGTTTCTTTATTTTCTGTTGAAGACGAAACAGCTTTTCTTTTGGAAGGATCAAATCTTCTTTCTGAGCAGTTTCTTCTTCAGCTGGAGAAAGAAAAGCAGGTTTTTATGAGTGTGGTCCTTGGTTTAAATCTAATGGTACGCTCTCACCTTTTAAAGATTCATCTTGCGGCATATAATTTTTTGAAAATCTTGGATAATCGGACTTTTTATTAGAGAAATTTGATTCGTCATAATCAGCATCGCTTTTTGCTTGTTTATCCTTGAACTGCGATGCATCACGAAGATCGTTTTGTGAAGAAAAAACTTTTTCATGTTCGGAAATATTTTCTTTCTGCAAATGGAGATCACAGATAGAATTTTCTTTCAGATTCTCAAGGTTGGTTACAGCACATCTTTCCTTCTCGTCAGATGAAATTATATTCTCTCTGTGGTAATTCATTCTCTCGGCGATTTTATTTAAATTGGACAACTGAGCATTCAAACAAACACGCTCGTTCACACGTCCCTCTGTCAATTCATGAGGCATCTTTGAATTTTGGTTTTGCTGCTTTTGAGATCTTTGCTGCTGATTTTGTTTTTGGTTTTTCTGATTGAGATGTTGCTGGTTGATATGTTGTTTCACTTCCGCTGGTCGACAATAGCCATCATTATTAGATTTCAGATCGTGTTTTTCGAGATTGTGCATTGATTCAATCGGATGACCTTTCCTGTCATTCGCATGTTGAACATTTGATGTTAATGGTTCCAGTAAATCGGTCGAGGAAATATCACTTCTTTCATTGCATAAATGAATTTCTTGTGTAGTATCCTCCACTTGATGCTCTTCCACCTTTTGAGTTTCAACTAACGTAGATTGTTGAGACGTCATTTTCTCAACGGGAAGATTTCGTGAGTTCTTTGACGTCATATCAAAGTTATTTTGTCTTTTTCCTTCAATGCATTCAACCTGACCTACATCCATTGAAAGGTTATCTTTATTTGGAAAACGTTTAGTATAAGTACGTGAAAGTGATGATACATCTTCAATGGTAACATCATCTTTTATAGGTTGCCCCTGAGACTCCACATAATGTTGATGATTACAAGAATGAATTCCACCTTGTACGTAAGCAAAATTTCGCATACCAATCAACTGAGGAGGAACCATTTCTGGAACTGTTGTACATGATGATATTTGCTCATTTGTATGACGGATTCCGTGTTTTATCTATTGATAATAACTATTCTCGGTTAAATTGCAATGAAACATGATGGAGTAATGTAGTCAAAAATGTAAGTTCATTAAAACGCAAAGTTTTGAACAATTAAATTTATTATTTGTAGAAAATGTAGTTGAAGTCACAACAGCTACCTGAGATCTTTTCATATGTTCAGGCCTTTTTAAAACAAAATCATCTCCAGAATAACCAGGTATTGCATAAGTTAAATATAAAAATCCATCAATAACTGCCACACCATTATTTTCCATCACACATTTTTCAGCTGCTTCGAAACTTTTGAATTCCACGACGGCATAACGTGGCTGCGAACCTTTTTTTGGTATAAACTATAAGGACAATAAGGACAATTGTTCATCTACCCACATATAATAAGAGAATCCCTTTTCAGTCCCCACAAACCACCTTCTATCATCTACAAGCCATCAGCAGCTCATTGAGAAAGCGATACTTGTATTTTTAAATTTCAATAGCATTAAAAAACTGACAACAAAACCCTTCTTTCCCCTGCCGTGCCGTAGCCAGCCCACATATTGGGTCATGCAATGTAAATTTTTCGTCATAATATTATGTATTTCTATAGAAATCATTTCTTGATAGAAAATCATCGTTAAAAGACCTAGTGACGTTTTCACAAACTAAACGTTATATAAGCCTAAAAACAATAAGTTATGCACTTTTCCTACAAGCATGTTGTCTTTGCCGTAAAATAAAGAACTTCATTTTCCCAAAGACAAAAATGTTTAACAATTTTTAGTAAACTACATTGGGACAGATTGGCCTGTCAGTCTTTAGCTCTATTTAAAAGTGCATTTACATTGTGTAACTACACGTTTTCAAGGAAATTGACAATTGGATCTTAGGATTGTGATAAATCCAATTGTTCAAAGACAATAATTATGATGATATTCATGCAAACAGATTTTACCATCACAGTGATCATACCTGACAAAAAGATATGTCATCATTTTTACTCAAATACATTCCAAGTTCCGTTGGAGTTTTAATAGATTGTGGCAGCCCCTCTACATAAATCGTACGAGCAGATGATAAATCTTCTTCACACGTTATTTTATTTCCAGCCCAACCAGCATACAAAGGACGAGCTTGAAGATTTAATTTCGAAATCATCAACATGCACTTTTCAGCACTTTTGATATCCTTAAACACCAACCAACCAAAACCTTTACTTTCATTTGTTCTGCAACTCCTGACAAGCTTGAACTATATGGCGAGAGTTAAAAAAAAAATGCACTTATTGGCCATTTTTTCAATTCAAACAATGATTAAATTGCACCAAAAAATCATAACTTTTTTGCAGGGGCGGCAATTAGCTCCCATATTTTATAGGAAGAGTGTAAAACAGGAAAAAAGGATATTAATGTATAAGTTGCTTGCATAACGCAGCAAAGCCAAAGATCGAGATTAGTCATGATTTTTTATGACGTTTAAATCATACTAAATTGCTTATTACTGAAAGCTGTCAAACGAAATAACAGAATGAGACAGGCTGTGTATCAAACCTATCATCAAAATAATAAAATTATTGTACAGTTTTATTTAATACTCACTGGAATTATTAACTCCCCAAATCTTTGAAGAACTGATCTGATAACATCTTCATTTAATGAAGGTGAGATGGCAGTGATGCAAAGAATATTTGAATGTAGCCTCATATTGACGGAGTTTAACTTTATTGGCAATGCTTTGAGATCTTTCTCCAATTTCTTCATCGCAAAGTCACCATCCGAGTTAGTCAAGTAAATATGGACTATAAATGAACAATAACAAATATAGCTTCATCATGTTTTACTTTAGTTCAGCAAAAAATTTCCAAGTCTTCTTGAAAACAGCTTACTCACATGTACTGCCATCTTTTATCAACTTTTGAATGGAAAAATCTTTCAAGTTCTCTTTTCGAATTTCCTTGAGAATAAAAGCAGTTAGGTTTAAGTCAAATGCACAAATTGTCCCACCAGGTTACTTCATAGAAACACCTTGAATTTTCCAAAACTTTTGATTGACAGAATACTGTTTATAAAAGTTGTTGAACTTTACAATGCTATCAGAATTTCTCTTTACTGAAGTAAAATTATAATAGCTTACATTGCTGTACAAACGTCTCAAAAAATATTAAATTATGCCAACATTAGCTACATGCCTATTGTAATTTTTTCATCGGTTTTTTATAGAAATATATTTGAGAAATCCGAGTACCAACAAATGACGGTCGGTTATAATAAACATCACGACGTTTTTTCACGACTGTCGCAATTTATACAGAAAAAAGCCTTGGATATTGACAAATTGCGAATTGTAAAACCTTCCCGCGTTTTTCAAATGTTCACAGAAAAATCTTACCTGCATTGTAATATAAGGGGATATATTTCGAATTGTGATTATCCGTTGTTGAAAAATATAGTCCATTTCTATTTTAATTAAAAACTATGCTAAAAGATCATCATTGAAGATATCTACGTCCAACAACATATATGTTTTGAAAAATAAACCGTTTTCTTTTGCATTGCGTGCTCAAACTGTCAAACACTGTGTTTTGTTTTTTGAAACACGATGTCGTCATTACTCGCTTAAATGCTTACGTCACTGTCCATTACTTACGGAGCGGTCACCCCGATAAGATTCTGATCAATGATCATCTTTGAATATTAGTGAATAATCCAAACTATGAATACATAAGAAAATATGATAGTTAAGTCTACTCTCAGTCAGTGACAATGATAGATCGCAATCTCACAGAGCAATCATCAATCATGGTCATCAGTTCATTGTAAATATCAGGAGGATTTGCAGAATGCCAGTTTTGTAAAGTTGTGAAATTAAGAAACATTTATTTTTATAGCATTCATTATAATGTATATAACTGCAACTAACTAAGCACAGTCTTAATCCGGTAAAATTCTCCCTCTTTCTACACTGGAGTAAACAAACTTTGCTTCAATGGAGTAAATGGCCACGTGGGAGGTGATTCAAGGCATTGACTTTAAGTATCTTATGAGTTATAGTCATCCAGGTTTTGCTATTAATTGACACACGCATCTTTTTGGTGTTAAACATTGGCCTCGTTTGAAATGTTTAATTTTTTTCTCTGGGGTTTTATATTCTATAACCGTTAGTTATCTCAAGCTAGTAATATCATCTAATATGTGAAGTTTCAGCTGGGATCATAGCAAGTGTGCTGTGTGCTCCAGTTTTTCATGCTTTTCCGAGCAAGTGATGAACGAAGGCAGCACAAATTCGCACTGAGCCTCCCGCTGTTGTGGCCAACCAATGTGAGGAAGTGATGAAAGAGATATCAATATTTTTTCCTGGAAAAAATGTTGAAATAAAGATGGTCATGAGTTGAATAGTGAAAAATTATAAAACAGTTTATCTTATGTTTAACATACATCATTGTCTCCTTTATAATTGTCATTTCAATAATACGTACTTTACCACCAAATGATTCCCAATATTTGAGTTCTTGTGCATTGCATCTGCAAAAGGAGGACTGGGACTGAAACAAGTTTGCATAAATGCATAATGTCAACACAAATGTTACTGTTATAAAAATAGTTTGAATTTGCCATTTATATATAGAAAAATTTACATCATAATTTATATGTGTTTGTTTCATTTAAATTCATGTAGCATTACTGTTTCACTGAAAACAAGGTACGTATGTACACAATACTTGTCAAATTTTGTTTAACAAGTCGTTATTTTCTTTTGAGGAAATCGAAATTGCCAAATTAGTTGTGCAGTGTAAAAAGTGCAAAATACAACCGAAAGGAACCCACTTTTTGCGTTATCATTCGCAGTATAAACATCTCTACGCCGAAATGAACAATTACTTACAGATACATTTAACTCTATATAAATGCATTTCAATGTGATCTGTGTGTGTTAAAAACTCCTTTTTAAAATTACATGTTGTTAAACATGACATTTACATGACAGGAAGTCAAGCTTATCAACATCCTTAAAGACTAAGTGCATGTTTCTTTTGCAGAATGTATTGTAGTCATGGATATTTTTATCATTCTAACTTCTAACCCTAAAACAAAGAAATTTAAACCATTCATAGCCGTGCAACTCATTTTCTTTTACTCTATTAGGTAATGGGTCAGACACTGTCTGAACCAGTCACAACCAAAGATACTAAACTTTTATGTAGCAAAGATTATCTTGTTGGTGTATCATCTATGCAAGGATGGAGGATCAGTATCTTTTTTTTTATCTCAAATTTAAATTGTAGTGTTAGCTTTATATGCCAAACAGTTAAATGAAGTTACACATGCACATCAATTTTGATACATTTGTTTTCTTAACATGATTAAGACATGGAAGATGCACTGACTGCCATTCTGTCTTTAGAGAAAGACAAAACTGCTTCATTTTTTGCTGTTTATGATGGACATGGAGGTTAGGTGTTCACCTTTGCTTCATTATTGACACTTGTCAGTTTTATTAACAGTTGAAGCATTTCTGCATTACTTTTGTTGAAACACGAGCGGCCTCCTTCATTTCACTTTAACATTACATAATTGTTCCATGCTTATACCAATGCTTGCATATAAGACCTGTAAAGTGCTTCTGTGTGAAAAATTGATAGCAAATGATGTATTTACAGGTGCACAAGTAGCCAATTATTGTGAAAAGTATGTACATTCAAAAGTAACAAGTGATCCTGCGTTTAGTAAGTTTAATTTGTTTATATACATCATTTATTTATTTCATTGTTGATGTTTGCATTTAATAACAAACATCTATTGTCCAAAAACCTTCACATATTTCCACCACTGCATTTAATAATTTTCAGTGAATGGCAAGATCGAGGAGGCAATCAAAAATTCATTTCTATCCATAGACGAAGACATGTTAAGTGGTAATCTATAGCTGTGCAGATTGCAATGAAGTGTATAAATTTTAATTATAATATATCCAGTTATCCTAAGGCTAAGCAAATCATCAAATATTAGTGAGAGTTCATGGCATCAATCATTTGATTGTCAACCTTTTCTTATCCAAACTCAATCTTTTATAATGCTTTTAAAGACAGGAAAATTGTGGAATAAATTAAAATAAAAATTTGATGTGATCACTCTATTTATTTAAAACTCAAATTGTTGGCTTGATGAGGAATGTAATTGGCACATCAGTAGCTGATATTGTGTAATAATAAATTAGCCATAATGCTTTCTAACCATAAGAAAAAAAACTAATGTTCATTGTACTTGTAGTCAAGATTATGGTTATTCTCTCTAGGGTTTTGTCTGATATACAAAAACTAACCGTTCTTGAAATAAATATTACGTTATTTTGTTGCACATTTGTATAGAAAATGGCATAAAAGATGACACAGCAGGATCAACAGCTATTGTTGTGATTATAAAAGACAATAAAATATTTTGTGTAAGTTTTTTTCCCACCTGCTAATGAGGCAGCCTTTTAGGCTGTGTAGTGAACTTCAATTTTACAGCGTAATGACATATGTTGGATAGAGGACTTGCGAGACGTTTTTTAAAAACAGCGACCATTCATGATCACACGAATCCAAAGAAAGGCTTGTTTTTAACAATAATTTAAACTAGTTAAGTAAAATCATCTTTTCCTTCAATATTTCCAACTAGACGATATCTTAAATCAACTATAGGGCAATGTCGGTGATTCCAGAGCAGTAGCATCTGTACAAGGGAATGTTCAAGAACTATCTTATGATCATAAACCTTCAAATGATGGTACGTAATGTAAAGTTGGTACATTGTATTAACTATGATGGATTGATAGATTAACTGGGATGATTTTTTTTTACTCTACAGAGGAAACACGAAGGATTGTCGCTGCCGGAGGATGGGTAGAATTTAACAGAGTTAATGGTTGGTATACAAAACTACTTCAAATAAAGTTAAAAGTTTTTACACCTGCGTCATTGTGCTCAACAACTCCAAAGAATATAAATTTGTTTAAATATGATGATTATGCCATTTCCTAATATTTCTACGCAGGAAATCTTGCTTTGTCGCGTGCACTCGGCGATTTTTGTTTTAAGAAGAATGACCAGAAATCTGCTGTTGAGCAAATTGTAACTGGTAAGTCATACTTTTCTCCACATAGTACGCCAAAGTAACAATCCACGTGGTTATTCGGCTTTATTCCTTGTACTTTTGTGATAATCATGGAAATGGAAATATTCAATATTCTTCAAAAATAGCTACAATTTGTGTTATGATTACATCGGCTGAAGATTTCTTTTTACGCTAGTTGATTGTATGTTAAAGTGAAATAAAAACACACCCATTTTACAGCATGGCCCGACGTCATTGTTAAAGATTTAACACCAGAACACGAATTCCTTGTTCTAGCTTGCGATGGTAAGAAAATTTTTGTCCACCTTTTTTTCACGGTATCCTAAAAAAAGATAAAAATAGTACTGACGTTGTTTTTTTTAAGGTATTTGGGACGTTTTATCTAACGAAGAAGTTGTCGAGTTTGTTCGTTGTAGAATTGCACAAGGAATGAAGCCAGACAAGGTCTGTACTCTTTAAAAGTGTACAGAAATGAATAAAAAAATTAAATATTTTTGATACTTATATTGTAGATTTGTGAGGAACTCCTTACACGTTGTCTGGCTCCAGATTGTGATATGGGTGGCCTTGGATGTGATAATATGACTGTTATATTGGTATGTCTGTTGGCCAATAAGAGTTATGAAGAACTTGTTGTCAAATGTCAACGTCCTTCATCATAGGAAATAATGGTGTTATAGTTGGCCAGTCACTCGAATACATTAAGTTGTTTATTGCTCAATAGCGCAATCTCGTTTAACTATTGGTTTCATCTACTTTTGAATCAACAGTCTTGTTCGAAGAGTATAATATCTACCTAAATATACTTTAATGGCAGGCACATTGTTTGACTAAACTGAAAACTCTACGGTTCTCTGCAATTCAATAGATGAAATATTTTTAGCTTACAATTGTTAATTTTAAAATACTCGCGTTAATAAGTTTTAAAGCGTTTTGTGTTGCGTGATTAAATTGTACAAAAGTGATAGATGCATTGCGATTCATAAAAAGAATAATTATTCATGTAATTGTAACTTTGCATTACATTGACTGACGTTTTCTTCATTAAAAGAACTAAGACCAACCGATCGGGATAACTTAACAATGTCCCTCACATTGCGTTGGACATAAAACAAAGATATGTATCAGCTTGAAACATTACGTTTATAATCTTTGAAACAATGAAAACATTTTGTAAAGTGGATTTTAAACAAAATCAATATAAGGCTTCTGATGAAATTTTTCGCCATACCTTACTCCTTGAGTATGTTTGCTTTGATTTTACTCCGTTTTGCATCGCAGAAAGTGAAAGCTTTGTTGAAACTGTTTGACCAAATTAATTGCGCTCAGATCTGCAACTGAAACAATTTCATCTATCATTACCAAGTGCCAATGCCAAGAGAATGAAAGTCTTCTACAACTGCGCAAGTAAAGCCATTTACTGATCTCCAATACATTTCATACAACCAAACAACCACGTACATAGATACTCCAGCTGCAACAGTCAAGGTTTTTTACTAGATTTATGGAAATCCTTCAGTTTGAACATTTACGTAGAATTTTTCGGAATTTTGTCTTTCCATACGATGCTTTTATGCTTCAGCTTCAGTACATTAGCAGGATAGTTAATTAACAAAAAGATGTTTATACTTTCACATAAAATACCAATTGCATAAAGAAGAAAAGTTGTATTTCGATCCAAGAAACACGATTTGCCCTGAAGGGCTACTTTCATTATTGTACAGTGGGACACTGCAATTTCTTAGAATCCTTTCCACATCTAGGCCAATAGACAATGATTTTCTTGATCATTTAAAAAGTGATAAGTAACATTAATATGATTCCCACTTCTATCTCTTTGTTTTCATATTATTTATTTTGTTTTATAAGGACTCTTCACATAGTGCCAGTTGAACATAGCATAGTTGAGATGAACGAAATCTGTTTTGTTAGCTGAAATTTGAGTGTATTTCCAGGTATTACTATTATCATGCTCGATACTCTAACATTGTCCTATTTGAAAAGGCATGGTCTGGTCTGAATTGCCTACACTCGAAGCACAGGTGTATTTGAGCTTTTCATATCCTGCGTCATGCTAGCAGCCTGGAAATTAATGTATGTTCAGAGAAATAAAATTCCAGCATTTGATGATGGCAGGCTGAAAACTATATTTATGTATGGAAATAAAAAATACGAAAACAAGATGTACCTTTGAGTTGCTTCACTTATGCTGCGACTCGACATTGAATCAATGCACGGCTCTTATTTTGCCGGACAAAATCATCCAGACTTGAAATCATAGCTATTAAATGTTGAAATGAAACACAAATTAGTTTTGCGACACTGAACACTCCTTAAATTCGCCTCAAGGAAGAAAGATTGAATGCAAGACGGAAGTTAAAGTGCAGGACGCATTATGCGACCTTTTATAACAATGTAATAACTTCATAGTCAGTTGAAATACAAGTAACGAGTCAACAAGCGACTTTTAAACACTTCTAAATTTTCTGTTTATGAAATATAAATAATCTGCAATTTCTATAATAATACAGGTTTCTAACAAAAAAATTTTTCCTTTTCTCAGGACATAAAGTCGTCGGTTTACACTAAAGGCCGGTAAAAAAGAAATAAACAATTATAACACCACGTGGAGTGTTTATGTTTTAAATATACTTTGTCTGCGGGGATTACAATTTAAAAGTAGCAGGAGGAAAGGTGCAGCCTCCCACGCGTTTAGAAGCTATTAGTTACATCGATTAGTTTCGGAACCAAAGCAACACAAATTAAGCTCCGATGTCAAAACAGTGTTACAAAAAGAAATCGAAATGATTTTGATTTCTTAGTGAAACATAACATTGAAACAGAAGAGATACAAAGCATTGTTGTAATCAAACAAAAGTTGAAACTCAACAACTGTAATTGATAGCGAAATTTCGAAACCATATTTGAACACATTGCATTGATATTGCAGCTCTATGTAATAAAATGGTTCGTTTGATCATGGCCTCAGATCATAGACACATGAAATGTTTATGTTCTAACCTTTACCCCTAATAGCACTTGTTCTAGGAAATTACTTGTTCTGTTAATGTCTTAAAATTATGAAAAAAATGAATGAAACCGACAAATGTACAACTTATTAATTTCAAGGGTCACTAACCGAAGGCGCAGCCTCCCACTCAACGGAGATTGAACACATGATTTGATTAATCTGCAAAATGTACGTGATTAGTATTTTAGTATATGAAGGGCTAAAAGAGTGTCGTTAATATAACATGTTGAACATATTTACGAAACGTTTGGGTATAACGAAGCTTAATTTTTCTGATCATTTATTCATGTTATTTAGAGTTTTAGAAAAACAATTATCCTGTGTTTTTACATAAACAGAACCCTTTTTTAACAAGCTGAGGGAGAATCTTGATCGTTCAGTTAACTTGTCATTGTTTCATAACGATAAGACTAAACTCGCACAAAAGAAAAGGTCAAATTACCGTTAATCCTTACTTTCCCGATGTTACCATACGGCAAAACTCACGAAACAAATAAAACTCGATTGACAAAGAATTTCGGGAATTAAAAAATTGCTTGTGATATGAAATTTTGCATGGTTTTAAATTACATCTCCTGAAAATATGAAGAAATTTTAGCAATTATATTTTTCAAATATTGCAACTTTTGAAGTTTTTTTGTAGGTAAGTGGCATAATTTATTGTCAGTTTTTTTACTTTATTTAATACTTTTTTTACCTTCATTATCCAATTACACTTTTTCGCAATACACATCATTTGAACAATGACTTGAAACTGTCATATATTTCCAAAATTTGACTGAAACACGTAGAATTGGTCCCAATTGATCTATAAAAAATGAAAAAATATTTAAAAAAATTGAAGGGGGAAACAGTTTTTCTGCAATCAGTGAAGTTGTGTGGGGATACGTGTAACCTTTTCGTTTCGGAAAATCATTAGGTGTTCAATCAATGTGGAATAGATTGCAGCTAATGATCCATTTGATGTTTAATAATTGATATATAGATGAACATTCTGCATACATTTGGTGTACATGTCAAACAACAGTTTTTTTTCATGATTCAGAGATTTCAAAACTTGAGATTATTGCCGTTTTAATGAATTCTAGAAAAGATGTAGTCTTGACTACACTACAAGTTGAAAGTGACAAATGCACCAATGGGCAAGGCCAGCGTGGTTTTAGTCCTGCTATGCAAATATATACTTGATATACTTGTTTTCTTTGTTTATTCAATGTTTAAACAGATTTTTAAAAAAATTTACACAGTTGGAGAACAATTTAAAGGTAAGTTGGCAGGCGATACTGGAGAAAAGACTGTATACGTTATAACTAAAAATAGTAGCCTCCCTTCCATTGATATTACATGAACAATTTCTCTCTCACTGCATGTGGTCCTACTCCACATGCTGATCTACATAAAATTTAACTTCCTGCCCTGTTAATTTGTTGGTTCGAGAAAAAGATACATATTCCATAACATTTAGATTAAAAATTCTCGGGAATTTCAAATAGTTAGGTAAAATTTTTATTTTTATTTCATCGCATCTGTTTTTAGTAGATAGCTGGCAAAGTTGGCAAATATCCAACAATGTGTTGTTTCTGCAGTAACTTCAGTCAGTTGTCGTTTTCTCTTCATCCAACCTTGTCATTCTCATGATTTTGACAAACATTGGTATTTCTCGCGCCGCGATAGCAACTCCAAAACGAATTAAAAAACTCCCAAAGAGCAAAAAAATAATTGTTTAATCATCAGGTCACTGGGTGGGGATGAAATGATGATAGATTGAAGAGTTTGCGAGGTAATTCCGTGAGTGAAATTGATAAGAGAATCAAAAGGAGATGCATGGAGGATAATATTTTATCATTGAAAATTTACGACAATAGTTAAAGATTGCAACAATGCTGTAATTGTGAATTCCAACCAAGTGGATTTATGACCTCATTACTACGTTTAACGGTAGTGTCATTTTCACGCCACTAGCAAATATTAATTCTGAAAAGAAGTTAGAAAAAGAAAATTTTCTTCTACAACATCATGCGCTATATGACTACCAACAAAGGTCTTTTATTTGTTTTGATTTTGTATTGATTACCATAATATTTAAGTGGACGGTACAAATCACAGCCAATCACAGTCTTTCAATTTGAAATTATATCCCGTACATATTGACGTCATCAACATAATAAAATTAATTTTACTTGATCTGATTGGTTGAGTGCTGCCTTGCATGGTATTGTCTAGATATCTGTGCGTTTGATAATAATATAATTGACAGGTTTTAAAGGAGACTCTACCATATATGGTGTGGAAGAATGGCGCACCCATATCCCACTGGGAAGTTGCTCTTATAAAACACGTTTTATTTGAGTGCGTTAAGCAGTAATTTTGTTACCTAATAACTTGGTTTGTTTTACTCGGAAATCCAATCACACCATAACAAACTAACATAGTGAAAATTAACGATTCATATATTATGGCAATGACTGCGTCCGTGGTGAAGGAAGAACCACCAACTACGACAGTTAAATCTTCCACCGAAGGTCATCCATTCGCACAACTACAATCAATAACGAACGGCAATGTGGTGGCAATAAGAAATTTAAACTTATCATCAGGATTTGATATAAACTCACCAGATGATGTAACAGTGAGTAGAGTTATGATTTTTGTGTATGACGAATTTCAGTCTGACAGTGGTTTTTTGCTTATAAAGAGATGTCGTGTATTGTTGTCATTAGGAATTCAATGAAATTCTTAAAAGTTACAATTAATGTTCGAGTTAATACAAGCAGAAGTTACAAAGTTAGGTTAACCTATACTTAATATACAGAACTCACTAGTACTCACTATTTGATTTAATTATATTTTGCAGTTTCATTGCAGTTTTATTTGTGGTTTATAATGTCGTGTTGTTCATATTTGAATCACGAGTGGTTATTAATATGTTATGAATATTATTGCTGCTTGCGCAGTTAAAGAACTTATCACTGTTGGTCGAGAAAAGTCGAAACTCCAATCAAATTTTTTGAAAATTTAACAATTTTATTTCTCGAGTTAAAATCATTACTTAGCACTTAGCTTTATCAACCGAAAGCTGACAAATACCCAATGTCACGTATGATACAATGATTTTTCATCTAGTTGACGACTTTATGGCTTCAGCTAGTCAACTCATGTGAAACTTAAAAAAAAACACAGAATCAGTTTTCACATATTTTAAGTTTGAAAGTTCCCATTCATGATTTTGCGAAATAAAAATGAAAGAAAAGAGAAAGGTGCCGAATCAATATCACATTACGCATTATCAAAGCACAATGATGATGTCCTTATATGTAATCTTAAATAATGTAATATTTCTATATTGTTTTAGTACAAAATATTAATAAATACCTTGTTTATTTCCTTTTAGGTTAGAAGTGAAATGGAGAAATATCTTCCAGCAGTACCGTCTCCAATAAGCCCTTTCTCATTTCCAAGTTGCAGGAAAAAATTTCGACGAGAAAGTGCTAATGTTGTCAGTGAGTTCTTTAATTTTGATAATTCTGTGAAAAATGAAGATGTGAAAGAACGTGAACTGAAAGAAAGTGTTTTTTTAAACTTGGGCGAACACGATAAACTTACTACATCCCAGGCAGAATCTACACATGTTGCAGTAGATATTAATTTTAACACCTTTCGACCACCACAAGTACGGAACTGTTTGGTTGTTTATCCCCCAACACCACCAAGCTCAAATCCAGGTTCACCAGAGAACTTAATGCCTCGACCTGGGTTAGTAATGAATCCTCCACCACCATATACAGCTATAGCTGCTGGTCGACGTGCAGCTGCTGCTGATTTACAAAGACGTAGAATACATCATTGTGACCATCCTGGTTGTAACAAAGTTTACACTAAAAGTTCACATCTTAAAGCTCATCAAAGAACACATACAGGTGAAAAACCCTATAAATGTTCATGGGAAGGATGTACATGGCGTTTTGCTAGATCAGATGAACTTACCAGACATTTTCGTAAACATACTGGAGCAAAACCATTTAAATGTCAGCACTGTGAACGAGCTTTTAGTAGATCTGATCACTTAGCATTGCATATGAAAAGGCACACTCAGTAGACTAGAAGAAATTCAAGGAACATGAGATGTATAAATTAATTGCATAATCATGCATCTTACCATAGACCTCTTCCTTGACAAAAGGAAATAAATTGCAGTTGTCGAATTTTTGTAAATATGTAAGATTTATGATGATGTGGTAGTTCAAAATTAACTACAAAAAGGATTATTTATTTTTCTGTTTGTCATTATATGACATGGAGAAATTACTTGCTTTATCAGATTCTTGGATCTGATATAAACTAGATATAAACCTCGTAAAGTTGCCATTCTTTACATAAAGCTTAGATATAATTAAGATTTGAAATTCTCCTGGTATATGCCGTGATGTTCCGTATAGGTATTTATAAATTACATACATGAAGCATTCAAACTAACCTTGGGTATCCAAAATCCTTTTCAATGAGTTTTAAGGACAAGCCAGACCCAAATACCTTTCGATGACTCAGCCATATACTAGCTGCAAAATCTGAAGCAGTAAAAATAAAACATTGCCTGAACATCGAAAATTAAAGGTCACAACAGGAACAATGGACGACTTTGTCATTCAGTAATAAATCGTTTGTTTGAAAGTTACCTGATGCGATCTTTACTAAGATTATTGGACTTTCCTGTACGTTTGGCCTTCGTGGGAAAAGTGGCTGTCGAATGTGAATCGACCTGTGGTGATCTGATGGTGTTTAGTTTAAATTGGTTGCATGGTTGTTTAGCACGAATAAAATCATTGGCCAAATATTATTAATTTGACGAAGTAAATGTTATAATATTCTAAATATCGTCAGACAACCTGAAACTACTGCCTGAAACAGAACAACTATTCCACAAAACTGTAATACATTATGTATAATGCAGACTAGTATAATTTCTACAGCGTATTAATCGTTAAAGCTAACCCCCCCCCCCAACATACGAGTAAGATGATCAATTCTGGACTTGTTGACAAAATTATTTACAAATGTCAATCAAGTCTGGGTGTTACAGGCAGCAATCAATTTCTACACTTCCGTGTTTCCACTGTTATGGCAATCAAAGATTCAAGGCACAGAAACCAAAATTCAAAATAGCTAATACTTTTTGTGTGGGGGAGAAGGGGGTTGTTCTTGAGTCCCATGTAATTCCAACAGCATATTAAACTGATACATTTATGAATACTGAAGTACGTACAAAATTGGACTATAGCAATGGAGATATATACTGTAATTATTTAAGAAACACTACCATATATACGTACATGTACACATATATATTTATATTTGAAATTTGAAAACTATTTATATTTACAAACGTATGTTAACAACTCACGCCAGGCAAGTGTATACATACAAAGAAAAGATTGTAGGAACGCACACCAGGTGTATTCCAGCCCCATGTTGATTAAAGACTAGTTGGCTTCTAAGCCCTGATAAAAGATAGAATCATTTGTTGATTTTCAAACACAAGAATGAAACTGTTGAACATTAGTGTCAATTGAAAGAAAAATCCAGAAATGCTATAGCTAAATGTAGTTAACCCAGGGTTAAGCCAACCCGCTTTTCAACAACTGGGGCCTCCTGTGACTTGAAATCAGCTTTCTCAAATCTTCGTTTGCGGAATCAAAGTGTGACATATTAAGAAAAGCTAGAAGAAGTATTTAAATTACAGTGACGTTAAGAACTACTTCTCGATTTTGTTCTCATTTCGACACAGCATATATTTTGCTGCAGTTTGTGACATACCACTCAACTTGCCATTCTATCTGTTTCGATGAACGCTATAACGCTCAAATGTAACAAGCTTTGCTCCGCAAGTGCATCAATCGCGACATAGATCCAAAATATATCAAGAGAAATGTATGAGTCTATGAAATTTATGCTGATATTTGTGTATATATGCATTATGAAATACTTCGTCGTAGTTAAATCATGGGAAATTTAAGCGATTTTTAGCGGATTTTCGCTATCGAATTTAAAAGAGTACATCTCATAAAACTGAGACATCTTCAATTCTACTGACGATCCAGAACACTCTCGCGATGACGTTTCATATGCAAGGACAAATGATCAGATCTTGAAAAAGATCGATCACAGTGTGGACATTTAAACGGTTTTGCTCCAGTATGTTTACGAAAATGTCTGGTAAGTTCATCTGATCTAGCAAAACGCCATGTACATCCTTCCCATGAACATTTATAGGGTTTTTCACCTGTATGTGTTCTGCGATGTGCCTTGAGATGTGAACTTTTAGTGTAAACTTTACTGCAACCTGCAAAATCACACTTATGGATTCTTCTTCGTGATTTTTCTCTATAAAGACAATATTCAATACATCAATCAATTTGACCGAAAACGCTTCATGCTCTCTACAATGTGTGTATTGAAGACATACATAGATGAAACAAGTACTCCATGTTGAAAGAATTAAATTAACTCGTCCAAATAAAGGTTGCGCGTTATCAAATGTAATGGTTGACAGAAGAAAAAAATGCACATAATGCTGTACCACAAATTAACGAGAGTTTGCACCATGCACAATGATTCAATTAAGTTAAATATGTGCCAAATTTGCTACTGCAACTAAAACAAACAACTAAAACAAAATTCTTATTCTAGTATTCAATGTTTTTGAATCAGATTATGTGAATATACTTGCTTCATATGTTTAGTAGTAAAAATTTACACATATTGTGTAGAAATGGGGCTTCAACTGTTGCATGGGTTTTACAGGGACAAAACATTTACCCTAATAAGGACATAGCACAACAAAAACCATACATATTCTAAAAGAGTTCATCTTGTTGTAAAGAATGATTACAACCTATGAAGTGGAGAAAGAGTCATACCCAGAAACTGTGAGAGAATGTGGATTTGCCATAACAGTTTCTGGAACATTTTCATTGTCATCTTGACGAGGGAGAACTCTAAAGACAAAGCAATTACTTGAACATAAACATAAACATGAGGAATATTAGAACAGCAGATCAACTTCAACTGAATTTCACACATCAAAAAAGACTTCACAACAAAACTAAGATGCTAACTTTGTTACAGCAACAGACAATGATGATAGACCAGCTAAAGATGATGTTACAGTGTTACGATGATCACTCCAGTCATCACCAGGTTCTGGATCAGAACTAACATTACCAATACTTCTGATGACAGTCATAGAAACAGGACTATCTTGCCCATTAACTGGGTCATGATAACGCTTTTCTGTGTGATCATACTAAGGTTACAAAGAATATGATATTTAAAAACATTCTCAAGTTAAGAAAATAACATTTACCATGTACTGTATTTTCTGATACATAACCCATACACCATCTGTTGATTTTGACAAAAATCTTAACAAGTGCAGGTGATATGATGTGGCAATACAGTTCTCCTTTCACATATGGCAATATAACTTTAAATATTACCATCAAACTGAAAATAATAATTCCTAAATTTTGATTATCTCAATCCATGTTAGCAAACACGGGGAATACCATGGTACAAATTATAAGCTCACTTTCTTTTCCATAATAAACTTTTTTTGTAGTTTAGCTTGCTATGCAATGTGTGATTATCCGTATTTATATACCACAAAATAAGATATATAAATACAGAACACCACAAACTTTGAAAACAAAAAATAAAAAAGAAAAAAATTGGTCCCCTCGATTGAGACAGATAGTTATAATGTTTAAAACACTGTACCTCATCAGAAAAATCTTCGGCTCTTATCAATGGCACACAATTGTCATAAGAATCTTCTTCGTACTGAAATATAAAGAATGACAAATCAGACATCACAAAAAAATCAGTACATGAACTGTCATTGTTTACCTTAATAATTCTTTGTAAACAAGTACGGACAGCATCTGTAGGGCTAAAGATTGTGACAGATTGTAGGTATCATAATTTTATAATATGGCTAAGTTTGCACCACCAACTTTACTATCAATAAGATAACAATTTGGGAACAATTTCTTAGACTACATCATAGATAGGTAATAGGGTAACTACATTCCTGATATTTTAAAGGTAACCTAAGGTACCAAGTAGTTTCTTCACTCAAACATATGCAGAAAATGAAATAAACTGATCATTCTATTTTCCTTGTTTGATAATACACAAGACTGTATCAACAATATATTGAATCAGAACACACAAATTCACAGTGCTTCCATTTATAGTATGACTTGGGGTGCTCTTTGACAAAATAAACGTGGATCGTGATTTAATTGTATGTTTATGATAACAAATCAAAGACACGGTACTAAAGTTTACAAAAACGTTTTTTAAAAAGTTTTACTATGATAGCGTTTCTATATTTGACTGGGTCTGATATGATGAGTGAACAGCCATCGCAATGATATTAACCTTTAGTGCCAGTGATTTAATTGTATGTTTATGATAACAAAAAAAAACATCACGAGAACTTCGTTTGTCTTCGAACACATTTTGGTGATTAACAAAGAAAGCGTAAGAGCACATGAATGAAAACTTACCTAGGAATCGACGTACACGCGTCACACATAACTGGTGCATCTATATTTTATAAAAATAAAGTCAATTATTTCATGAATAAATTTTGTAAATGTAATAAAACAAAAACGCCAAACAGTACCTTCCAGTAGAGAAGAATCAAACTGACACGCTTGGTCTTTCATTTTAACTTTGATAGGTTGAGTCATCGTCTCCTTGTTACTATTTGACGCCATAGTCAATTCTTTTATTAATTTTCATCTAAACAAAGCACTACAGAAACCACGCCCAAACATAACAAATTGACAATATGGGTAGAGAGGGTGGAAAACATCAGAAGTTCTTTGAAAAGGTGTGAAGGAATGAGTATAAGAAATGAACTACATAAAATACAGAAAAAGTATTTTTCTATTATTCACCAAGAAAGAAGCTTCATAAATCAGACGTTCAAACGAAACCATTAGAAAATATAAACACAAGTTTAAACCTAGCCTACCCTAGCAAGTATAAATTGCTGTATGGGCGGGGCTTGAGTAGCGACGCAATGAAAAGTTCATAATTCGCAAGAAAAATAACTTCATTTTGATAAATATTCTTGACACGGCATTTTAAATTTCATTTAATTCTGTATCAATAAATTCTTGGCAATTTAAAAAATTTAATGTTGTATGTTACTGGAAGTTCTTTTCATGGAAAGTTTAACAAACCACAAAAGTTATTGGTAAGAAAGTAAGTTTAACTGGTGAAAAACATCAGAGCGTCCACAAGAAAATATAAATTAGCATTGTACTTAAAATTATATTTTGTATGCAAGTTATGCAAATGATTGGAATGTAGAAAAACAAACAAAAACAAAATTAATAAAAAGTTAGAAAGAATTTCTATCATTCCAAATAGCGCAGTCATCTCGATGGGCAAAACATCTTAATCTTGTTTTGCAAAATTTGGACATTTATATTTCGAGCTTCATATTTCTCACCATCAATCGTAAACCACGATATCTAAAATGAAAAGTTTCTCTTACGTCAGGTGTAAAGCTTGAAAAATTCGCAATTTCGTTTTCACAAAATGCCCTGGCATTTGTAACAACGAGGTACATAAATTCCATTTGATTTGTATCCTTGGTTTGTAAATTCAATGGCAAACTTCAATCTCTAGGAAATACTACTCAATGCAAACAAGTTAAAACAAAATTTGTGCACAAGGCATTGACCAATAACATAAATATTAGTCTTCTCATTTATCACAAGTAATGCTTCTTTTTATATGTAATACATAGTCAATAGGCATTTTCACATCAGGTGTCAAGAAAGCAAAAGACGGAAGAGCTTTCCATCACAGCAGCAGACTATAATTTGTGCAGAAATATAGCAAATGGTAAGCGATGAAAAAATGAGCACAGCAGACAATATTTCAAACATTTATTATGTATACGGAGAAGTGAATGACGGTAGTCTGACGACGATGATGATGTTAACTTCTTCTGTGCTTTGTGGTACATGTTCATCACAAATACACAATAAATATTTAAGTATACTAGGCAATCCTAACTTAAAGGGGTTACACACAAATGAATATAATGACAATATATGAATACAAACAGCAGTTCAAGAGCATTGAGATGATTGTACGGTGTCATTTTTTTCAGGGGACACATATTATGTAGGAAACATTATTTTCTAACTAATACCAGAAATATAATTGAGCAGTGTCAAAGAATTTTTACTAGAGATTCCACAACTTTTAGATGAGTCATATTTGATAGTTTAAGCGCTGGAATTTCGTTTCCTATTGTTGTCAATGCATCTAGTTCTTTTGGTATCTGGGTTCTTATGCTTGACATCAGTCAAGTTCTTTTGGAAGATTAAAGTTCAAAAATCTTTTCAGGCTTTATCTTTAACACACACCTACACTTGTGCAATGCTACGAAACTTATTGCGGCGTCTTAAAACAACCTTTTCCCACCCTACCCTCCCCATGTACTTTTTCAACTCTCAGCATTTATATATATTTAGGCCATTAGAGCAATCAATCAATCTGCAATCTTTTACATATTTCTTCCTCTATAATATGACGTTCAATTTGTAATATTCTTTTTTAATGTAATGCACCTTCTTTAAACCAAATAAAAAGCTAAAATTACCTCTTCATCTTGGGGCTTTACGTGAAATTGTGAACATTTTGCTGTTTTTATTCGTTCTATAAAATACAAATAAAAAGAATTCAGCACTTTAAAAGCACTTAAATAAAAATAAGGATTCAAAAAGAAGAAATTATACGAAAGTAAATTTAAAGTAAACGGTAAAAAACGTAAAGAGAAAGAAAATGTGCTCAGTGATGATTTGTTACGGACTTGTCATACCATAGCACCTGCATCACGAATTGTACAATCATTGAAAATTGTAATTATTTGCATGCATATGATTATTAAAAGGTAAAAAAACATTGATTGCAACATTCAGTTATTGCAAATCGCTAAAATAAAACTATAAAATTTAAATTAAAATATAAATCTATTTCATTAAAGTGCAAACAAGACAAAATTAGCAAGCTTACCATCATGGACAGTAGTTTCACTTTCCTGTCTCCATCTAGGAAAAGACCATTTAAATGACATTTTTAAATATAAATCATTAATTAACACCTCACAACCACACCTTACGCATAAATTCTTATTTGTTACACATGAGTGAAGTTTTACTTGGGAGTGACGTTTAACCGGAAGGACGCTTTAAAACTGACAACTTCTAGTAGGATGGTAGACAAAAAGATAACTAGTTTCACTCACCCTAATTTTATGAAGTCTATTTTCTTCAGATCCGACGACATAACTGATGCTTTCAAAGACGACCTTTTCTAAACGGTTGTGGAAGAACAAAATTGCCTGATTGTCAAACTATTTGTAAACAGAGGTAGCAGTACAAGCGGGTGCTGTAAAAGAAATTCTCAATCCCTGAATATCCCTTTTTCCGATCAAATACCATTTTTTTTCACAGTGTGGACATGCTCCAGTAAATGAGTTATCTTTTGGTTCACACAAAGGGATGGTCAATGTTTTTTTCATGTCATATGACAATAAATTATTGGATTAATCTTAATCGCCACCAGTGTTTCCCGCTATTTTATGTTAATTATAATTTCAATTTTTTTTACTTTGGTTTTGAAAGCAAAAACAGCAATACCCCAAGTAAAATTTACCACCATTAAGTAAAAACAAAATTTTTTTGGCAAATATTTCATTTAATATTTTATGAAGCCAGTATATAGTTTAAAATTGTTTCTCTAAATTTCTTTCAAAAATGAAAAAAAGGAAGAAATATGTAAAAGATTGCATGATATACGAGAAAAACTTTATATAAAAAAAAGCATTTTAACAAAACTCACTGTATCCTGAACTAGTTTCACACAAAGACCAGAAAACGATATATCCCTAAATCTTTCCAGCTTTTTGCCTTTTTCCTCATCTCCTACACTGTTCAGCGTATCGTCTGGTGAATATGAGACTAACGCGGAAACAACTGGAGGCCATTTCTAAAATTCATTGTCACATTCGACGAGAGAAACAGCATCAGCGTTTGTATTAGTAACAGGGTTAAAGTTCTTGTCAGTAACATGGCTACAGTTTGGGTCTGTAACAGTGATAGAGTTTGTGTCTGTAACAGTGACAGAGTTCGTGTCTGTAACAGTGATAGAGTTTGTGTCTGTAACAGTGACAGAGTTCGTGTCTGTAACAGTGATAGAGTTTGGGTCTGTAACAATGATAGAGTTTGTGTCTGTAACAGTGACAGAGTTTGTGTCTGTAACAGTGATAGAGTTTGGGTCTGTAACAATGATAGAGTTTGTGTCTGTAACAGTGACAGAGTTCGTGTCTGTAACAGTGATAGAGTTTGGGTCTGTAACAATGATAGAGTTTGTGTCTGTAACAGTGATAGAGTTTGGGTCTGTAACAGTGACAGAGTTTGGGTATGTAATAATGATAGAGTTTGTGTCTGTAACAGTGATAGAGTTTGTGTCTGTAACAATGTTAGCAATACAGTATAAAAATACCTTCTTTATCAATGCAATTTCCAGAGTTAATTTACATAACACTGTAGCATATAACTGTTATTACCTTATAAACAGTAACGATGTAGGGTAAAATTCTTTTTAATGGACCTGTCCACCAATATCTATAAGAAAACGTATGAACACAATACATACAGCATTATGAAACTGATATTTCCTAGAATTTGAAATATTTGCAACATCATCAAACATAAATGAGAAACACACAACAAAAGATCAGAAGAAACATGATTGAGACAAAAGCAGCACATGTGTGATATAAGTTACAACACACCTTCGATTTTCTTTAGCATCTTGCACAGGTCCCCACTTAATATGTTCAATGGCATATGTTGGCTTGCCTTCATTTGTCTAAAAATCACAAAATAAGTAATAAAAAAAACTATTAAAAAAATGTAGGTACGTATGATTCAGTCATTACTTACAGTTATTTCCATCACACTAACATCCTTTGTGTTGTTGTTCAATATGTTTAACGCAGATTCTGCAATAGTCCTTTGAAACATGCAAAAATACTGTGATTGAAAGTGCAAACTGAGAGTAGAAATTGACGAATGAGCAAAAGGAAATCATTGATAATTATATGCTATTGGAATATTTCTTGCAAGCACTGCAAAATATTGACAGAAATAAAAAATTGGGCAAAAAAAAGTAAAAAACTTAAAGAGAAAAGTTTAACTATATCATATTTTACCTAAAACATGTTTAAAAAAACTGGAACAGTAAAATCTTTTAAAAATTTATTTAAATTTAGCTAAGTATTCACAAAATAAACTATTTCAAAGAACACTAGAACATTTTCTATAGAAGGAATTTGATTGTTAACTTACGTAACATTTTGCTCTATAGAGTTGGCAATAATAGTTTTGTAAGTTTGGTTATTGCGGCCAAGAGGAATCACACCAATGGGTATTTTTGATATTTCATTCTAACAGAAAACCATTAAAAATTTTACTGAAAAAAACTAATCAAAATTTTCATTCTTCTGCTCATGTCACACGTTTCATGATGCAACATGTACAAAACAGTACAAAAAAACAAACTATGCAATATAATTCTTTTGGTATGCACTTGGTGTGAATAACCTGACATTACATCTTATACCTGATCTTTTCTTCTCAGTAGCCCAGTAATAACCTTTAAAAAATAATGCACATCATAAAAATTAACTGATTTGTAATTGTTTTCATTACTACTTTCATGTACTAAAATCTTCTTGAACTTCTAGAGAAGATCAAATGTTTTTATGTATTTAATGTTTTACCTCAAGTAACGTGCCATCGCCACCAGCAACAAGAATACCATCCACTTTTGGATCAATATATTGTGTCAATACCTTGCACTGCCCTTCATAATCTGTCTAAAATATAAAACAACATATATTTTACAGAATCCTTCATAAATTCTCAAAAAAATGAGAAAAAAACATCATTGAAAATGTTCCACATTTATTCAACATTCTAACTTCGTTTAAAACAAGGAAACATGGAGCATACATACTTATTACTGGAAAAACAACAATTTTGCCTCCCTACTCTGGGTTTTATATAGATTTACTCTCATTTAGTGGTTTAAGGTTAATTCAAACAGTCAATCAACACAACATATGCAGTTGAAATTTGTCCTTATAAAGAAAAATAAATATATAGTACCTTCACTGTGGTTATTTCAACTCCTCCAAGATGTAAAATTGGGGCAGCATTTTTTTCGTATGATTTAACAGCCTTTCTGTTCAACAATAACAAAAAAACAAATAACCAGTGAGTGACATTGTTTTACAATTTACACCAAATTTCACAACTAAGAATAATAAAGTATAAAAAAACAAGTACATGAAGTGGTTGATTAAACACCAAAATGAACAATCAATTTCTGATTTTAAAACAATGATATTTACTTAAAATTACAATACTAACCCATCATTAGCTTCAGGATTAAGAAAAAGTATCAACCGTCTTGGTCTAGTGATTGCATTGATTTTCACATCTCCATATTTCTATCAAATAAACAAAACTTCTTATACGTTAATTCAGGTGGCCCACTTATTTAGTCCTACTATACATATTTTTCATTGTTCACAAGATATAAAGCCAGTGCATTATTTATAATACAAATTAAACTATTTAATATTGAATTAATATGGTCACCTTTCCTAAAAAACAAAACTTTCTGCGTCGAAGATAATCTCTAAATCATAATGGATACAAGAAATTTAAAACAAGCAGACAAAATATTTGCGAAACAAATATTGTTTAAACATGAAATATAATAATACACAAAAACTGCATACGTTCGTTTTTATCCAATTAAGTCGAGTTAACTGTTTACAAACAATAAATATGAAATTATTAGTCATCCATACATAAAGAGCACAGAAATAATGCATCACATATTCTGATTTTGACTGGCAATTGCTTCACACAAAACAACATGTGATTGTTTCAGTCCAATGTGTCTGTTGTTGTAGAGTGTCTACTGGACGTATTTGAGTCGACATAAACCTTTATGGTGATAAATGCAGATTTATTGACAGATTACTTACCTGTATTGCTCAACAGAATAATTCAATCCCCATGATCCTAGCACAGCAAAAAAAATAAACTTCTTTTTGTGTTTTTGCGCAGTGAAAAACCAAGGTTTCTTATGTCCATCTTGGATCATTTTTTAAACTGATTTCGTCAATTTTCCATCAGTCAAAGGAAGATTTTGTCAATTTACCAAGCGCAATGCGTATCTGTGAAAGGGATATAGAGCCCAGAAAGAGCATTATTTTAGAATGACTGGTTGCACTTGTCTAAGAAAATCATTAATCGTTAGGATTTAAATCATTAACGTATGAACATTACATAAATGCCATCCCGACTACACAGTCAGTACACAACGCAATAGTAAAAATAAAATTTTTACTAATATTCACCGCACAAAGCTCATGGCGACTGCCTTATCTGCTTAAAGATTAAAGACTTGCAACTCCTTTGTACAACGAAGAAACTAATTGATTTAAATTAATAAACTTGAAAACACTTCTAAATGGTGACAAAAAGGAGTGAGTGTAAACGCTCGATCAAACTAGTTCGTAGCTATGCACTGAAGAACTAAAAGTGACGGTAGATTACAGTTGGTGACAGTAGATTATGGATGCCAATGGATGACGATAGGTTACAGTTGGTGACAGTAGATGACGGTGGATGACGGTAGGTTACAGTTGGTGACAGTAGATTATGGGCGATGACGATAGGTTACAGTTGGTGACAGTAGATTATGGTGGATGACAATGGATGACGGAGGGTTACAGTTGGTGACAGTAGATTATGGTATGACAATGGATGACGATAGGTTACAGTTACAGTTGGATGACAAGATGACGAGGTGGTGATAGATGACAATGGATGACAATAGGTTACAGTTCGTGACAGTAGATGATGGTGGATGACAATGATTTACAGTTGGTGACAGTAGATGATGGTGGATGACAATGGATGACAGAAGGTTACAGTTGGTGACAGTAGATTATGGTGGATGACAATGGATGACGATAGGTTACAGTTGGTGACAGTAGATGATGGTGGATGACAATGGATGACGGAGGTTACAGTTGGTGACAGTAGATGACAATGGATGACAATAGGTTACAGTTCGTGACAGTAGATGATGGTGGATGACAATGGATGACGGAAGGTTACAGTTCGTGACAGTAGATGATAGTGGATGACAATGGATGACGAAAGGTTACAGTTGGTGACAGTAGATGATGGTGGATGACAATGGATGACGGTAGGTTACAGTTGGTAAAAGTGATGACTAGTGACGGTAGGTTACAGTAGGTTACAAAGGGTATCGATGACAGAGTAATTAATACATGTCACTTTCCCCATATTGACGTATGTAAAACGTCGAATTACGTACAACCAGATTGGTTTACTCCAATCTAAGACTAGGACCTGAACGGGTAACGATCAATTCTATTGGCCAAGGACAAAGATTCAAACAATAATTAATAGAGACTTGTAATGAGAAAGATTTCTTGGTTAACATATAAAATTATTTTGACGTGATAAAACAAATCCGACTTAAATTACAAACGAAAAATTACAACACTGTAACACAAAGGAACACAAACGTGAAAATGACTATTTCATGATGAAAATTCGTAAAAGACGTAAACACGATGTGTGCAATAAAAATCATAATCTTTCATACAAAACTTAAATATCAATCTACGGATAAATTGTTTAGCAATCTCTTTATTAGGTGTTCGATAAGTCTGTCAATTATTAATGTAATACATAAATATCGCAACTAAAAACAAAAATATATTGTTTATTTAGATGTAACGTGTCATGATATCTAGTTCAGTGTCATATGCAGTCCGAAGTCCTAAGATATCAATGGGAATACCTTCATATCCAGCAGTATCTTTATGGTCTAAAGAAACGACGATAGAGGAGGAAACGGGTTTTGTTTGCTCACAACCAATTTTTGATGTTGATGTGAAATATATCCTTTGATATAACCCTAAAAAAAACAATAAATTATAAGAATAACAGGGAAAAACAGAAAAATCTAACGAAATTTATAGTTAGCCATAGCCATATTTGCTTTGCTTGTCATCAAACATGGCGCCCTCAGTTCGCAAAATTTAGTTCGAATGCATGACAAAATAGGTCAGTCCGTACTGGACTAGTCTTGAAAATATTAAATTAACACAAAAGAACGAAGTTTATACCTCAAAGATTAAGTTAGCAACTATACATTGAACTTCAATGACATCCATATCATCAATCTACAATGCAAACACCTACAGTAAGCCATCCTGATCGTGTACACATTTATATAACTACTTATTTTATAATTATGGGCCTCGAGTAGAACACACAAAAAAATGTGGCTGTAATGTGATGTAAATATAATAATCTAATTTAATTTTAATTCAAATTTATAAATCTAGATCACTTTTTTATGAATGAAAAGCAACAAATACACAACAACAAAAACTGTTGTCTTTTTTTACTCGCCTTTAAAAAATGTAGGGAGGAAACAAAAGAAGGAAGAGGAATTTGATGTGTCTTTAATAAAATGTACCTGCAATCCAAACATGTGAAAATTTCCTTGTTTGTAAATGAGTGCTTGCTCAACACAAAATGACTACGATACTCACACTTTTTTGAAAAGGTTTCGATAAGTTATCATTTTCAGTTTTTCCAAAATCAAAAATACTCCATAGGTAATAAAAAAAGCCTGAAATTGAGACAATTAAGGTTCCTCACATCATAAGACATCAGCCAGCAATGTCAATACTAACAACAAAATTACTAACCTCGTGTCGCTCTAGAGTATTGTTTAACAACAAAAGATTACCACTCCTAAAAGTACAAACCATTTGATTTTAACAAAATTTGTAACAAACGATGCTTTTATCTTAGATTGAAATTGATTTTAGACAATTAAAACTGAATCAGGAACAACTCAAGACTCATATACGAACATAAAACAATATCATTTGTGAATTGCTTGAATCAAAGCTATATACCTAACAGCTCGTACAATATCGTCATACTGCATCAAATCATATTTTTGTAAGATTTCCCTCGGTGGCATTCGTCCCTGCAACCGAATTCAGATGCATTTTACATCTTTCTACGTGCCTAATTCTTCACTTCATTTAATTTCTGTCCATGTCAGCTCACTTACCGCAAGCATTTTAACAGGTACAAGATAAATTAAAACCAATCTACAAAAAAGAATGGAGTTCATTCAATGAAAATACTCAGTGGTATGAAAAAATTTCTTAAACACACACCGTTTATTTTTTCTGTTATTTTTATGACAGTGTTGAAAAGCAAAATCCAGATATTCCTCCGCTAAATAGAAACTTAAGTCTTCAATAATGTACATTTTACTGTTTACGGATGGAATATTTGAAAATGAAAAATTGCATTACCAAGTTTTAAGTCATTGTCAAACATAGCTTTACGGCCAACGTAATATCTAAAGATTTTAAAAGTACTTGAGAGTTAACTCCACAATACATGCAGATCAGCGATGAAGATTTGTGGATGACTTTTTCATTTCTTCCTATTAATTTTCACCTATAAGTCACTTGATTTGATATTTCAAATTGATCTTTGATTGCCAAACTGTCGATAGCTCTGATTAATGGTTTACAAAGATGAATTCTGTTTGTCTGTAAAAATGAGAAGAATTTCGTCATAGTGTTCTTGACACGAGAGTCAATTGCAAAAACGGTCATTTTACAAGGATTGACAGTGCAGCTATTAACTTAAAACATGCGCACACCAAATTGTTGAAAAAACAATCTTCAAAGCTCAAACCAACATAAACATCTTTTCCTTTTGTACACAATACACAGTACGCACGTACAATTTATGTTAATGCATGTTCCATAAATCCATTCTCTTCTCATTCACTCATACTGCGAATATCAATGAATAAAGCAATATACCTTGAAGTATATTTTAAATAAATGATTGACCAAAGCTAGCATTCCCCATTTCTTCGAAACGTCTTTCGCTGCGCGACTGAAACACAAGGAGAGAACCTAAAGTCTACGTAGAAATAAAAAAGTTGATGACTAAAATTATTATAACCCTAATGCTATAACAATGCTATGACAATGTAAATATTGATGATGACAATCCCCTCATAACCTTCAAATAAGAGTGCCAATGCTAAAAAGCAAATGTTCATGATGTAGATCCTATACCATATCAACTCTTTTTCATAAATTCATTAAACCAGCTCAAATTTCATAGTTTTTTTTTTATCACATAAGATCAAGTAGATCTCCCTTGTGTGTACCTATCAGCAGCACATACTCTAAAACATCCCATGATAACCTCTGCAGCACGCTCAAGTGTCTCGCCACTTTTTCCTTCACCTGACTTTGTCAACTGGTTATCCACCTAAGATAAAATCAACAAAAGAGTCAAAAAAACAAGTTTCAGTTCTTTATCTTTGTGAAGACCATGCGCGACCATAAAAAATGTAAGTTTACTGAATAACTCCTTCACCTCTAGGCCTAACAGTCGAAGATCAGAAACAACACACTTCATGATGGGGAGAGACCTTTAAGAAAGTTGCTCGTTAATTTATCAATTTATCTGTTTTGTTTCTATATCTTTTATGTTATGTTTATTTTGTAATACAAGACAATAAAAAAGTAAAAACAATTAATCTCCAACAGTCAATGCTTAGTTTCTTAGAAGTAGTACAGAGAGTATGTACAGTATTAAGTATGTCATATTTACAATAAATACAAGCATACAAACCAATTCTCATCTTTCTGTGTTTGGAATGCTTTGACAAAAGCCTTAAATGTTAAGGTTAAGAATTAACTTGTCTTCAGCACTGAGACATAAATATCAAAAGGAGTGGACATTTGGAACCATAGCAAAAATTCTAACTATTATCATGGCCAGGCACACATAGAAAAAATACTATAAATTTTACAATGGTCTCAAAGATTGGAGAAAAAACATACATCTGCTTTCACCCCACCCTTTCCCTTTATCCAGACCATACTTTGAAATCACATTTTGAAAATGTGTAAATGTCACTCATTCACAGTCTTAACTCATCCTACTTGATTCAAAATCTTAAACTTTTAAAGGATACCTGTACCACAACATCTTGGCAAGCAAATGCTTTCAAGAAATTCTTCTTTCCCATTGCCCACAATGCTCTGTATGTTCAATAAAAAGCAATTGTGAGAAACGCAAAATTTGTCAATAAAACCAAATAAACACAAAAAAACCTGAGATGTGCTGCAAACATTTCATCATAAGGTGGAACAAGAAACTGCTGACAAGAGTCTTGAGCATTTTCTAACTGTTTTTGAAAAGAATGTATCAGTTGTTAGAAAAACTATAGTACATTTCCACAGTTCAAGCACTACATTAAGTTTAAGTGTTTAGTCAGGTGTTCCAAACAACTGAATATCGTGTGAAATATATGAGTGTCACATGTCCCATGTTCACACATAGTTTTTCATATCTTGAAATACTATAATAACTAACATACCTTAAAAAAAATTGCTTAATTGGTGCAATTGGTGCGTTATTTAGCTTCATTATAATATAAAATAGTGAGTACTGTGTATGGAATTTTTCAATGAATTAGTTTTTTATTCAAAATGCAAGGCAAGGTGTTTTATTGCAACCTCAAACATGGCATGAGTTGAGGTGACTTGATTCACTGATTAGCTGATAATAAATTTATAAGTTTGATATGATATCAGACAACTGACATGAAGTAAATACATTTATGACATACATGCAAATTTGCATTAGTAAAGTGCACGTCTTTAAGACTGAGCAGCATCTACAATGAATTGAAAAAACTTCTGTCAGAACAAATTTAGAAAATACAAATTTTGTAACATTTGACCAAATTGAACACAACTATGATATACGACTATTGGTTACTTATTCATAGAACACAACTGATATAAGACTATAGGTTTCCTATTCATAGAGCACAACTATGATACGTATATGACCACAGGCTTCCTATTCATTAAACAAACTTCAATTTTGAAATGCAATGATGGACAATTTATATTTTCCTTACTGCAACTTCATCTCCATTTCTTGAATCAATTGCACATGAAACCTGGGAGTAAAACAGTTTTTAGTTTATAAAGTGTTGTGTTAATATCTCACTGTCAGGATTTACGTAATTGTGTTTGATTATAAAATTAAATAAGTTGTTTTCATTCTTTCATTTTTTCAGTATGGAAAGTATGTTGTTTTTTTGACAAGATCTCCAGTGTACACAATAAAGTTATTGGTGGTTGGTGTGAAAATAAATTCCCTATTGAACACATATGAGCAGTATTATATGCCTGTATATGTGTGAAATACATGAAAGACGAGTTCGAAGATGAAAACTTTATCCTCTTAAAAGATCTATTTTTTATTTTTTTGGAGTTTAGTGGTCACTCCAATGGACAACGTCATTTACTAGCAAGACTGCAATTAAAATAACTTTTATCAACCAAGTTAGGTTTATCTGTGTGTATTCATACTCAAATCTGTGTTTTGTGCTAAGTTAGATAATACCAAGAAAAAATCTTGAGTGTGATAAAACCATTGTTTCCAGAATGGCATTTATGACTAATCATTTTAATGTTGAAATCATTGTAATTCATAGACATTCGAATTCACAATTGTGGGTGATGTTATGTTAAGTTTAAGTTCTGGGAGCAAATGTAATGAAAGCGTAACAGCATTCAAATCTTATATAATCCTAAACAAAACTTAATTTCTAATTTAACCAAAATTTTAACAAGATTTCACCCAGTTTAGCAAAAGCAAAGTTCCATTTGAGACATGCAATTTGCAAACATTCTGGATTTGTCAGATTTGATTATTTGATATAACCGATTTATTAGCTCATATTGCACGCCATATTGTAGGTCAACGTACCTGGAAGAGATAATCTTTCAACATTAAATCCGCCATGTTAATTGTTGTTTAGCTTTGTCTGGTTCAAATGTTTCAATAGAGTTGGAATCGCTGACATGTGTGCAGTAATGCAGTATGCTTAGAATATCACTGATTCCGTTGACCGTTGACGGCGACCATTGACCGTTTTGACCTTGCCAGTCTGGCAACCACGGTTTCTAATTTGTTTTGTGTTTTTGCACGGTAACAGTTTTTTGATAATTATCAACCGCTGACCATAGCTATGAATTTAAAATGCAAATTGCAACAACAGCAACATCTTTGTTGCGGTTGTTCTCCGATGTGATACATTTGGCCAATCATAACCATATGATCATTACCATTGATCACAACACATCGTGCCGTAAATCATCGAGGAAATATTTGAAAATTGTTGCAATTAAATTATAAATGTGATGGCGCTGCAATTACTAGATGCATTATTGCTCACACATGGACAAAGGAAAATATGGTTACTTTCTTGGCTTTTTATGTACATGATATATTTTGTTATCGACGTTCTTCATTCAGAGCAGACAGTTCATTCAAACGTGTGTTTTGTGAGCAAAAATAGCACATGTCACTGTAATATTAAAAATAATCGTTACGAAGAATTAGTTAAGAATTTGACGACAGAAGAATGTCGCAGTAATTTGTCAAAAAGCTACGAAGTATTTTGTGAAGTAATGTCACAATTTGATTGCAGTCGCCGTTACTCGGTTAAATGGAACTGTTCTGATTGTTTTGTGAGTTAAATTATCGAATTTTAAGAATTTTAAGTACTTCTCTCATCCTTAAATATTCAATCTTTTTTTTCAGTATCAATCAACCTCATCGTTCAGAATGAAACAAACTTTTATTCCAGTATTAGTCAACCTTCAACCCCATAGTTAGGGATAGGTGCTCCTCTCCTTTTTGACAAAAAGCCATTTATATTGAAACACACTATCTCAAGCATCCAAGTCAAAGCGCACTAATGTTAACTAAAGTGTACCCTTATTGAACTTGATTGAGCAAACCTTGCAATTGAATAAGAATTACTTTTTAGAGGAAGAAACTATCTATGTATTCTTTAAATTTTTCATTCCTTTAAAATATAAGAAATTGTAGCCTTTCATTTATTTTAAGCTTAAATGTCACTTACATATCTTACGTAATGTTTTATAGGACTGACATATTCAAACTATATGTATAAAGTCCTTAGTATGAGAAAGTTTGGGATGGCAGTCCATCCCCATTTCCCCATTCCCCTTGCTGGCACCTCAGTATAACATGATATGTCTTATTTTTAATTGTTTGAAAAATTTTTTTGCAGGAAGCATACATTGATTGGTTGGTTGAGGTTTTTACACAAAATGGGACCAATCATTTAAAAACTAAATGTGAAAAAGTTCTAGCAAGGTGTCCATATTTTCTGCCAAAAGATAGTTATGGAGATGCTCCAGCATTTGATTGCCCACAATAAGAAGAAGGTAAAACTATGAAAATCCCATTTAAATCCTTGGTTCAGAAATTATGGTTGCTTAGTCTTATTCTTAAATTTATAGATTACAACTCCTGGTCTTGCCAAGATTATGGATGAAAATTGTAGAATGGATGATTACAATAACATGTTTGCACTGTCTGTATAACAGATTTTTTTAATTTGGTTCTTTTCTTAACAAGGTTCCCGGTGCTTTTGAAGCAATATTAAAGTATGTTGTATAAACTGTACAACAATGTATCATTTTTTGCAGCAACAATGGTGGTTAACAGAGAGTCCCTCAATGTGGCAATATTAGAAATATATGGCCACATTTCGTGTAAATTGTATTTTATGGTTGTATTACATCTGCCTTATTAAAAAACTCATTTACTAATGTCAATTTTCAATCTCACTAAACTTCACCAAATTGTTCATCCTACCAGAAAAGACTAAAATTCATTGTTTTAATGTAAGAAAAACTATAAAGTACTCACTGACACACTGTCGTCCCACAATTCCACTTCCACCAGCAGCAATCAATGCTTGTTTCAAGCAAAGCAATGATGATATAGAACTTCACAGCTGAATAATGTACAGATTTTAAGGCTTAATACAGCCAGTTTAATGTCATAACGTTTTATAAAAAAGATGTAAGGATGTAGTTCAGTATGTTCCAGCAGCATTAATGAACATGAACAGAGACTTAGGGTTATTTTCAATATTGTAAATAGGTACAGACTAAAACAAAAATTTTGCAAAGTATGAACCTCGTGAGTCATGACGTTTGAAAATGGCTGCTTTGTAGTTAATTGGTCTCTTATCTTTTCAGGAGCAAACTTCACCTATACATACGGGTTATAAATTTTGTAAGAGTAATTCTTACGGTGCAAACAAAATTGCAACAGAAAAAACTAAATTGCAACAGAATCTAAGTATTAATAAATTAATTTGACTCATATTTCGCACATTTATACGAATTTTTCCATTATTGTCATAAAATTGGACGTCGGAGCCGTACTTGGTCGTACTTCTTGACTTCTAGTAGGCAGACCATGCCCCAAGTAGAACATTCAACATTCTCCCAAGTTCTTACGTCACTGAACGTTGCTATTGAAATTCCACGTTGAATGGAAAGAAACATTTTTTTGTTTTATAAGTCGCAAGTGGTCACAAGTTACAGAGAGAGAAGAGGAGCGAGAGACAATGATTACGTTATGACACTAAGCCTGCATAGAAATGATAGAATCGCTCGCAGGAAAACTGTTGAAGTATATATTAATTTTGATTAAATTAATTTCACATGACTAGAATTTAGAAGTGATTTTTTGTTCCATAAGCAATATAATTGCTTTTTAAACTTGCATATCACATTTTTTGTACTGAAAACCAAAAACAATAACATATCCAATAAGTAATATCAACCCGAGACTGTTGCACTCAATTTTTGTAAAATGAGGCAATATTAACAAAATTTGTTGCCTTCGCCCTTCGTTCTTTTTCTCAGAAAAACGCGAGGATAAAAGCACACGACAATCACTGTAGGGACAATCAAAATTCAAAATTGCCTGATCTTACAATTTATCGTAACCAAACAAGGCTACATTGCGTGCAGTGAAAACTTTATCAAGTGCTAAATGTTTTAGGGTATGAATTGATGAAATCATTTCTACTTCTTACTTAATGATTTTAAAGCGTGCGATGCAATTTTCATGATACACTTTTTTGCAATGTACGTCACTACGTCTTTCAAAGCATGGTGCGCGCTTTCTGATAATTGAAGGCGATGGCGAACAATTTTCAGTTTTAACTAAGTAGAAAAATATCCATAATTGTATCTTTGCTGTCCTCTTTGCACATTCTTTGTGTTATTTTAAAATAGCTTAATTCTTACGTAGCTACTTAAAAATTCTTTCTCACATGTTTTGTTATCAACAATAATTTTGTTTGTTATTTCTTCCCTTCTTAAAGTAACAAGTAAGACTTCTATTCGGATGAAGTAAACAGGTTTCATCATCAGATTGAAATGAGCACTTAAATTCATCTTCTGCAATTGTACTTAAAATATGTTTAGTTTTAGGATGACTTATGTCATTATCGTTTACATTGTCAGATCGTGTTTCTTGTCCTTTCTCGAGAAGATTACAGTGGGTTTCATCAGGTCGGTTCATAAAGGCACAACTAAAACAGTCTGACAACTTGCCCGTCGAGTATTTCTCGCCAAGATCGTCATTTGCGAGCTGAAACGCTCTTTTAACTATCTTGTAAAAGCGTTCAGTGTTTACTTTGCTGTAAAAAGTGTAGGCTTTGAAAGTTTCATCATCACATTCTTTTGCTACAAGAACTAAGAATTTAGAATGTCTTTGAAGGCCTTTTGATATATCTCTTACATTTCTCAAAGGAAACGAGAATAAAATATCGTCAGTGACTTCATCGCAAATATCAATTGATATAAAACTGATGCGAACGACAACCTTGCATACCTCGTTGGTTCTATTGCCCTCATGAAAGACGTACGATTTTTGTAAAACTCCTATGATCTCTTTGTCAGAACACGACTTCAAATTGTCTCCCATGTTAAGACAAGACACTCTTAAATTTATTCCCTCGTCAATTTGTTGTCTTGTAATCTGCATTTCGTTTGCTGGATTCAAACGTTTTTGTGCCATCTATCTTAACTAGAGACATCAACTCGACAATCTTAGTTGAAGATGACGGAAAGATACAACCAGGTCGACTTTATCGAAATGTTTTCTTTTTCAAGCTGTCACTGTTCATTGTTAAGCTACTGTTTATCTTATTAGAATATAAATAACAGAGGACTGCCTTTGCATTAACAGTATGTTTAAAACATTATTCAAATTGTACGTTTCATTGAATATGTTAATAACTTTATTCCCCTGCTTTTTCGTAACATACACAAACTTAGGAACGCAAACGGTAGCTTTCAAAACCACAGATATTCCTTAAAACAAATTTATGGTTTTTTCTGAATGTTAATTTTCCAATGAAGATGATGGATAAGACAACTGATACGAAATATGATAAATGCAAATAGTAAGATTTATAATATAACATAATTTTATATTTATTTGCTTATCACTATAAGTGTCAATTTGTTACCACAATAAAGTAAAAATATTATGTTCATTAGATTTAACTACACCAATGAAATTTTTAACATTCACTTGGAACTACACATCATCAAATCACACACCTAATTATAAGAATAAGATACATTTACATATTGCATTAATTTTAATCAATTAAAATTATAGGTAATATTCTCTAAATTCAATATAAACAAATGTCGCTATATCTCGACATATTTCGATATAATCTCAATTTTTATATCAATGCAAAGGTCTAAAAAGTGAGCTAAAACAGCGACAGAACGGAATAGCCAACAATAGAACTGACATTGAAATAGTTTCCGAAACCTAGCTTGTAAAGAAAGAACACTAACTACAGCTTAACAGTTCATTTTAACGACATTTTGAAGAAATACATATTTAAAGGTTATTTGAGGAAGATTTGTGACAGTAAGATTGTTAACTGAAAATAAAAAATTGTCAGCGTTCATTACTTGCTATTGCCATTGTAAAAAGGCGATTATTGAAATCCAGCATGTCGCAATAGCGGCTGTGCATTAGCAGCACCATGAGTCTGTGTTTTAGGATCTGAGACGTGATGCCAGAAGGCAGGGTGGGGTTGTGCACGGTTATTATTTGATGGTGGTCGAACACAAACACGACATCGGCTCACACGAGATCGTAAATCATGTCCCTTATCTTGGGCTAACACTTCCGAAGTCTGTGACTTGAACATATCTTCAGGCTTTACTGTAGCCATCCAGAAACTGTATTTGTTTGCAAAATAGTGACATGTTCCACGTCCGTGGCACTCAATAAATGGATTCGGTCGGAACGTTTCTAAACAGGAGCCTGGCGACGACAGACTTTGACCACTGCCACTGCCTCCAGCACCAGTATGCTGACAAAAATGTAAAGAAAGTTCAAATTTTTCAGAAAATATATTTGCACCAATGTAACAATAATTTATGTTTGTTTTGTCATATTATTATGGTACGACACTAACAAGTGTTTATGACAAGTACGTGCTGATTTGACAATAATAGGAATGATTGTATTGTGTTTTCAAATTATTTCCTCAGCGCAGTAAAAAGCAATTAAAAGCACGAATTGCATAATACACAAAATACTATCATAGACAAAAAAAAACAATCTTACCATAATAAAACTGTAGCCATCCCATAGTCCTTGCCATCCAGTAGGACATGAAGGTAGGCTTTGATCTTGGCTATGAACTGCAATGACAGGTCCGGGTGTTTCACACACAGAGCAACGGCTGATGTGCGGTTCGACAGCGTCGTTATCAACTGGCATCATAGGAATACGGCTAGATGCCGACAACCAATAACTGTAGTCGTTTCTTGAAGCAAGGTTACATCGTTTGTAGATATTACAAAACAAATAAGGCATTGTAGAAAATTGTCGCAGACATGAACCAGACTGACCAAGATCTTGACCGTGAGATTTATCATTACCTATTTATGAAATAAAATTATTATTGACGGTTCAAAGCTTGAAAACATATTTTGTAAATAACAATCTTCCAAAAATACATTAACAGTAGTTTAAGTTTACCTTGTACATACAATAAACTATAACCGTCCCACATCTTTTGATAGCCAATTGGACATGGTGGTGGCGTCTGACTTTGGCTGTGTCGGGTAACGTAAAATCCTGAAGCGCTAGCTGGAGGACCAGGGTCTCCAGGTTCACCTTCAATTCCACGAAATCCTTCTCTTCCCTTCTGTCCTTTTTGTCCTTTTTCGCCATCAGGACCACGTAAACCTTGGGGGCCAGGTGGTCCCTCTTGTCCATCGGCACCTTTTTTTCCTTTTCCACCCCGGTCTCCAGGCAAACCTAAAATGTTAACCATGCCATATTTTAAAAAAATGCTTGAGACAAGTATTTGTCCATAACACAATGTCAAATGGAAACAAACCTTTTTCGCCTGGAAAACCTTCCGTGCCCCTCTCGCCTTTAGCACCTCGTTCACCAATTATCCCCTTTTGCCCTGAAGGCCCAACGATCACAACATTTTCTCCAATTTCTCCAACATCACCACGAACACCTTTAATCCCATCAACACCACCTCTACCTTTAACTCCTTTGGATCCTTTAAAGAGTGCATTCAATGTTGTTAAAGCCATATACAAGCTTAATACTTGTGCACTTTTATTTCGACCAAGACGCCCATTACAGCTCAGATCAAGAAATGAATTTGTATATCAAATAAAAGACAGATGATATTTTGCATGTAGCAGCTCATTTTTGATAGTTTTAAAATACCTTGATTTCCACGATCACCAGAGGTACCCTTCTCTCCAAAGCTTCCACGCAGACCATCTTCGCCATCTTCACCCACTAAGCCATCATCACCTCGTGGGCCAACATCACCAGGTATCCCAGGTAAACCTTTGATGCCTGGTTCTCCCTTTTTGCCAGGAGGCCCTGGATAACCAGGCTCACCTTTTCCGCCAACAAAAATCCCTGGCGGACCAGGCTCACCAGGAGCACCTGCAACAAGCAAACAAACGAAGTTAACACCTATCACCGAGTAAGAAGCACTACGTTGCCAGATGTCTTTGACTAATCATGAAACATTGGTTTATTTTAATGAACAACAACGGTCAATCTTACCTTCAGATCCTAGGTCGCCGGGAATTCCCCTGTCACCAGTATTTCCCTTCTCACCCTGATCCCCAATTTCACCGGGTTCACCAGAAATTCCTGGAACCGTTCCACGCGAGCCAGGCTGTCCTGTCATTCCAATTCTACCTTTTTCACCAGGTGGTCCAACTGGTCCACGTTCACCCACATCTCCAACAGTACCATCTGATCCGGGAGAACCAGTTTCACCATCTGCACCTTGATAACCTTTCTCTCCTAAGAGAAGAAATTCAATAAAGCTATTTCTTGGAAAGGAGACAACAAAGTCTCAATTATTCTCATTAGTAATCAATTACTTAATAAGTACAATTATTTTTATAAATAATCAACAGGTGAAACATATACTCAATGTTTGTAATATAATAGAGATTTTTCATAGAGAGAAACCTATACCTCTATCACCCTTATCTCCTTGTTCGCCAACAATATCTGCTCCCGGTTCACCTTTAATTCCTTTTATACCAGGGAATCCATCGTTTCCCTTTTCTCCCTTAATCCCGTCATTAGACAATCCTGTTGGTCGCGCTTTATCTCCAACCATTCCTTTCTCTCCCTTTCCACCTGAAAAATACGTTATTTAATAAAAAATAAATAAAAAGATAGACGTTCATATCATTTATACAATCCCACGATATTAAAAACTGACTATGCAAACATGAATGATGATAACGAACAGTTCATTAAATATAATTAAAAATACATAGCCCTCAACAGTGTACGTCAAATGTTGATTATGATATAAGTTGATCAAGGCCTATTGTGATCACCTTGAAAACCCTTGTTCCCAGTAGCACCAGTTAGTCCCCTAGATCCTTTGATGCCTTTCTGTCCAGGTTGTCCTTTTTCACCTTGGTCACCTGTTTCACCTCTAAAACCCTCATCGCCAAACATACCAGGAATACCAACACCTCTAATACCACGTTCACCTTTGGGACCTGAGCAAAAAAAACACCTTTAAAATAGTTCATTCTTTCAAACGTGGTGCACATACCTATACAATATACTTTGATACAATAAAATAAAAAGTGAAAACAAAATATGTTTATAAATATACCTGGAGGACCGTCAAGACCCGGAGATCCAATTTCTCCAGTAAGCCCAGGATCACCTTTTTCACCTATACTTCCAGCAATTCCATTTGGGCCAGGCTCACCATCTGGTCCAACCATGCCTTGGTATGATAAAATAATTATCATGCGCGTTCATTATAATAGGTAAAATGATGAGGATGCCAAAAATAATTTTCGTTAATTCAAAATTTTTGAAAATGTATTCATTACTATTTCAATTCAAAAAGCAAAAAAGAAAAACAAATGACAAATACCTTTGACTCCTTTAAAGCCCTCGGGGCCAACAGAACCAGTTGGACCTGGTTCTCCATCATTTCCCGCACCTCCCGGAGCTCCAGTTATACCAAATTCACCAGGAAGACCCTTTGCACCCTTTAAGCCTGGTTCACCTGGTGGGCCAACGGGAGAATCACCAACTTCACCTTTAACTCCTTTCAGTCTGTCTGACACTTAGAATGGACAAATCGAGTGAAGTGAAAAAGAATCAGAAGTTGTGTAATGTCTAAGCACTAATCCATCTACGTACTCAGACAATCAAAGTAAAACATACATGATTGTCCTTTAGGTCCCACAAGTCCTTCATCACCCGTTTCACCTTTCTTTCCTTTTTCACCACGTTCACCTTTAAAAGCATTAAAACCCGGAGATCCAATTTCACCTGGATCACCAGGATCACCTGGTTCTCCAACTGTACCATTTCTACCCGGTTGACCACCAGCACCAGGTGGGCCCCTTGCACCATCTCTGCCTATACAAAAAATACAAGCGTTTAGCAAGCGACCAATCAAAGAAATATAACTTTGTTCTTTCATGGGTATTTGGAAATGTTATATGGACTTGATATGCAACCGAGCGAAATAAATTCCGTTTCTATCCTTGATTAATAATTCAAAATACTGTCTTTCCTCAATAAACTGACTTTTTTAGTATTTAGTGATATAAGCAAAGATCATTGTCGTTCAAATTATTAAATAACCATGACGTAAGTAGGATCATAAAAGCTAAAATACTAAACATCTTTTTCTTACTATGACTGGCAAACCTTTTATAAAAATCTTTCATATAAAATGCCGCAGAGCAATTTTTCACTATCGTAATTTACCTGTGCACAAACTTGCATTCGAAAACATGATTTCGACCAAAGGCAGTAGATCATCGAAAGACTTCGGATTAAAGCGATTTTGCTTATTGGGTGATAACACTGCCATTTGATTTGCATCAATATTTCCAACACCAACGGTTACAATTCTGATTCCTTTTTCCTTTAGAGGTCGTGATGACTCACTTAGAGGAGTGTATTTGCCACTAGTAGTTTGGTTACCATCAGTGAGAACAATGATGAACTGTAAAATACAAACAAAGTAATACACAAACAAAGTTTTCTTCTTGAACCTAAAACTTGAGGATGATATTTCATAAGTCAATGTATAAACAAATCATCCAAAATGACTTTTGTGATCTCAAGCCACACCACAACACAAAATTATTTATGTATACTTACCGATATAACATTTTCTCTCCATCCCTTTTCAACACTAAATATTTCGGTATTTGCCGACTCCAGAGCCTTATCAATGTATGTTTCACCTCCATCATGCTGTGCTCTTCTCACTAACACTTTTAATAGCATAGCATTGTATTCATCGTTTAGATCAAACTGTATCGTGGGTTCATTTGAAAATGTCATGAATGCGACGTGCGTCTTGTCATCGCCAACATCAAAACCATCAATGAATTTTACCACAAAGTTTTGTAGAGTATCAAAATGGTCACGTACACTGCCAGAAGAGTCGACAATAAATGCAATATCTACAACACCACCACAAGCTAAAGAAAAAGAAAATTAAAGTAAACATGTTATCTTTGCCTCGAAAGAAATCAAATTAAGTTAACATTTCACTGTACTGCATTGCTATAAAATTTATAAAATTGAAAAAACTGACCATTTCTTCCGCGAGCTCCACGAGAACCCTTTGGGCCAGGGATTCCAAACGGTCTGTTTCCTGGGTCCCCGACTTCACCCTTTGGTCCCACTGAAATCATATACATTTTATATTACAATAATTAGGGCGCGGAACTTCGACTAAATACCGTTGAATGCGAACAACAAAAAGAGCTTTTTTAATTTTTTTCAAGTTTGCTCAACGTTGCTAATGAAACCATTAAGGTTTAATCAAGTTTGCTCAACGTTGCTAATGAAACCATTAAGGTTTAATCAAGTTTGCTCAACGTTGCTAATGAAACCATTAAGGTTTAATCAAGTTTGCTCAACGTTGCTAATGAAACCATTAAGGTTTAATCAAGTTTGCTTAACGTTGCTAATGAAACCATTAAGGTTTAATCAAGTTTGCTCAACGTTGCTAATGAAACCATTAAGGTTTAATCAAGTTTGCTCAACGTTGCTAATGAAACCATTAAGGTTTAATCAAGTTTGCCCAACGTTGCTAATGAAACCATTAAGGTTTAATCAAGTTTGCTCAACGTTGCTAATGAAACCATTAAGGTTTAATCAAGTTTGCTCGACGTTGCTAATGAAACCATTAAGGTTTAATCAACTATTAATTATTTGTTGTGAAATTGCTTGTACTTAGGTTCTTACAATACTATAAATATTTTTCATCAAAACGTAAATAAGATCAAAAAGGCGTCGCGAAGAGCAGCCTGCTATTATATTTATAACTAGTGGCAAAATTCCTTAGTCTTTAATGCTGAAATGTCATACTGGTAATGTATTTTTATCATGTAACTTACTTTTGCACAAAGTTGCATTAGAAAACATGACTTGAACCAAGGGTTTTAGATCACTAAAAGTTTTTGCGATAAATCGATCACGTGGATCTGGTGATAACACTTCCATTTGCTTTGCATCAACACTTCCAATGCCGACTGTTATAATTGTGATTCCCTTTTCCTTTAGAGGTCTCGCTGCTTCATTTAGAGGATTGTCTTTTACATTAGTTTGGTTAACATCAGAGAGAATAATGATATACTATGAAATACAAATAAAATTGAATTGAAAAAAGAAAGAGGCAAAATATAATAATTAACAAAACTGTCTTAATGATCAAAAACCTTCTATTGTTAAAAAATATTTCATAAAAATGTCTTACTACTCATATTGCAGTTTACCTTTCATCAAAGCAAAGTACCATCTACACATGTTATGATGTGTGAAGAAAAGTAGCATCTTCACATAGTTATGATGGGTGAAGAAAAGTAGCATCTTCACATAGTTATGATGGGTGAAGAAAAGTAGCATCTTCACATAGTTATCATGGGTGAAGAAAAGTAGCATCTTCACATAGTTATGATGGGTGAAGAAAAGTACCATCTTCACATAGTTATGATGGGTGAAGAAAAGTACCATCTTCACATAGTTATGATGGGTGAAGAAAAGTACCATCTACACATAGTTATGATGGGTGAAGAAAAGTAGCATCTTCACATAGTTATCATGGGTGAAGAAAAGTACCATCTTCACATAGTTATGACGGGTGAAGAAAAGTACCATCTTCACATAGTTATCATGGGTGAAGAAAAGTACCATCTTCACATAGTTATGACGGGTGAAGAAAAGTACCATCTTCACATAGTTATCATGGGTGAATAAATTAGTACTAAACGTGGCTTCTACCCAATCGATACATATCATAGGAATCAAACTTTATTCATGTTGGTTTATTAGAAGTTTGACTGCATCGAATTTTCTTGCACAAGTTAAATACAGAGCATAATTTTTTTGAATTCAAACTTGTGATTTGAGGTAAGCTCAACTCACTTTAATAACCTAAAGTTATTTATTGATACTTACGGATCTGACATTTTGTCTCCATCCTTTATTGACATTAAAGACATCAGTGTTTGCTAATTTCAGCGCTTCATTAATGTAAGTTTGACCACCTTCATGCACGGGTCTTTGAACAAAAAGAGTTAAAAATCCAGCATTGTAACTTGTGTTAAGACGGAATTGTAAAAATGCTCTGTTGGAGAAAGTTATATAAGCAACATGAGCTTTGTCCACACCAACATCAAGACCAGCAATAAACTCTACCACAAATTGTTTTAAAGTATTGAAGTTTTCTTCCACACTATCAGAGGAGTCGACGATGAATGCAACATCGACAACACCACTACATGCTGAAATAAATAAGACCAAGCTATAAACAAAAATTTTCTTTACATCGTTAAGCAATTAGGGCAAGTTAACGCTTCACACAGATAACATAAATGACTGTGGTACAAAAATTATGTTTTTCCACACAAACGCCACGGAGAAATGAAATGAGTTAAAAGTTAAACAAACGAAAAATAACTTCAAGCCATGTCGTTCTGCAATCCTGTAAAAAATACTCACAAGTAGGGTCACCATCAGTGAGACCAGGCTCGCCCCTCACACCTTTTTCACCTAAAATTAAAAAGAAATTTAAAGGAGGATAAAGTTATGTAACATGCTTCAGACAATTATTAATTTATCCTCTTGTAAAGAGTATGTGCATAAAATTAGCGAACGAATCAACAAGCTAGATGTTTTACATATGTTGCTTTTCTTTGGGTTGGATGCTTTTGTTTTTAAAATGCGCTAAAAACGGTGAAAAATCGTATTTTGACAAAATACACATGTCAATAAGCCAACACAAGAAATATGAGTAGTGTTAAGTAGGCATACAAATACCAAAATCCTTTAACAAAACAACACACATTCATTATTGAACGATTAATACCTTTGACGGTACATACTATAAAGACATAAATGCCAAGCCACCATTTTGTCTGGAAAGTGGCTTTTGAACATATAATGTGTAACATTTATTGCAAGTTTAAACTTTTGTTACAATATTTGAAATTACGGGAAAATTCTCGGGAAGGAAAGCTTTTGATATGAACAACAACAGCAGAGAACTTGATTTTTTTATCGTAGGAGTGTACACTTTAACATAGAAACAATTCTATATTACCTTGACTACCATTCTTTCCGTCAACACCGACATCTCCTTTTACACCAGATCTATTTATTCCACGTACTCCAGGTTCTCCTTTATCACCAACAGTCCCATTATCGCCTCTTTCGCCAGTCACTAGCATCCCTTTTACTCCTTTCGCTCCTGGTTCACCTGTTTGACCCACCATACCTTTTAAACCTGAATTAACATAAATATGTCTCGCTAGTTTTGATCAGTTCATAGGTTTTCCAATTTTTTGTCAATGGAAGTTTTAAGAAATAATTTTCACCTTTCGCTCCATCTCTTCCCCTATTTCCTTTAACTCCTTTCGGTCCCGTGATTCCCTTCGGCCCTGGTGAGCCTGGAAAAAACACAATGTCCTTACTTTTTTATATGTTTATCGAGAGAAATAGCTCTTACAAAATATTGAGTAAGGCAAAACTGTTTATCTAACCAGAAATCAATCAGATCTAACGGAATCATTACAAAACCTTAAAATCGCTCACCTTTCAACAACACGGCGTTGCCTAATAGTACAAAAGAAAAAAGATTAATAGCGTTTAATATATGACATTCGGTTAGCGCTGTTTTCGTAATAAATAAAAAATGAAAATTTGCATGACATTCTATTTAAAATGAAGATGGGTACATACCGACATCAGCTCCTGGAGGTCCTGGTTGTCCAGGAGCACCTTTTATTCCCTTTGGACCAGGATTACCATTTTCTGATGCAACACCTTTAATACCTTTAGCACCAACGTCCCCGACTTCACCCTTTTCTCCAGGTCTTCCTGGTATACCATTTTCACCCTACCAATGAAACTGAAAAATTCATACAAAGGTTCATAATAAAATATATATTTATTGTGAAGAAAAAACTAACCCGATCTCCAATATCCCCTCGAGTACCCTCGATTCCAGATACCCCTTTTACACCTTCTCGTCCTTTAAGTCCTTTAAAACCTTGCGGTCCTTGAGGTCCATCATCACCATTTATCCCAGTTTCTCCTTTCAAAGCAGATATGTCCGGGTTTCCTGGTTCTCCTTTATCACCTTTTACTCCTGCTACACCAGTATACCCTTCGTAACCCTTGCAAATTACAGATGACACATACATAGTTTTTCTACACTGATTTAATTTTGGCAAATAATTTGATGAGAGAATACTTACCTTCTCGCCAGCTTTTCCTTGAGGTCCAGGCATTCCAGCAAGGCCAACAGCTCCCTTATCCCCTTTGCTTCCGGATCCACCAACTTCTCCACTGTATCCTGTTGGTCCCACAGCTCCATTATCACCCTTAAAACCCTTGAAACCTGGTGGACAGTTTGGGCATATGCCTCCATCAAATCCTTTAGGTCCACGGAAACCTTGCGCTCCCCTTGGACCAGCATCACCCGATATACCTCGAGATCCACTAGGCCCTTCAACTCCTTTAGGACAATCATAATTTGGATCGCTACAGTTAATGTTTTGGGCATTACCAGGAGCACCTTCAAAGATATTGCAAAATTTTAATCAATTGACAATAGAGTGATGGACAAAAATCTGAACGAAATCCTTTTTAAAAAAGACTTCTTGTGTATTCATGTCATGAGTCCGTTTTGGGATGATTCTATATTTATCTTACCTTGTACACCAGCTTCACCAGGATCACCAACGGGTCCCTTGAAGCCCTTAAGCCCACGTTTACCATCCATGCCACTAGGTCCAGGAATACGCTCCCCATTGTCACCCATTTCTCCTTTTTGTCCCGGGAAACCATCACTACCTTTATCACCTTTTGAACCAACCATACCAGGAAGGCCTGTTGGTAAAAAAAATTTTCATATGAGTTGTTTGCGCATTGTTAAAATGTTCAAGGTATTATCAACTTAAAAAGTTACGTAACAGAAGTAAATAAAAAGCTTTGGAAAAGAAATCTTTTTTAAGATCTGTATAAAGTAACGAAGTTTAATCCGTCGAAAATTCCCGTTCAGATATTATCAGGTGAAGCAGAGTTCGTAACTACCACTTCGAAAATTTCAAAATCATGACTGAACCATTACTGATGTGTGCACGCAGCTGAATATTTCAATAACAAACATAAAGAAAAGTACATTCATTCAAAGATTAACAATTAAGTTCGGTGATAATTATTGTCCGATTTGAGGGTTTTTCAAATCCCAATAAGATTAAAACAAAGTAAGAAAGAAAACATGAAAATTTAATGAATACATTTTGAGACTTCACCCACCTGGATCTCCAGTTTTTCCAGTTTCTCCAGGAGGGCCAATATCTCCAGTTGTTCCTTTTAATCCCCTCATTGGTTTTCCAGGTGGCCCAGTTTCTCCTTTTTCTCCATCATCACCCGCATCTCCAGGAAAACCGGGCAATCCTATTTCCCCCTTTTCACCAGTTGTTCCTTTTATGCCAGGAAAATTCTATAAATTATGTGAAAGCACGTTTCATTAAATTGCTTTGTAGTGAAGGATGGACGTCACAGAGCCTACAAAGCATTTGTTTTTATAAATGTCAAGCAGAATAAAGGTCTATTTTTGAAAAAAAAGCATAATTTTTTGCAAATCTTACAATAGAAGATTCTGGTCCCTCATCTCCTCTTTTTCCCTGGGCGCCAATTTGTCCAGGGGGACCCTATAGTTTATTGAAAAAAATTAATACATTACAAGATTTGTGAATGCGCTCATCATCGTAGTTGACTGTTAAACTTAAATGCGTGTCAACGTTACACGCATTTGATAATCAAAAACAATTCAGGAGCTTTATAAAACCGGCTCCAAGAAATTCAACAGGTCATTGTAGAAATATTTACCGGTGGTCCCTGAGGTCCAACAACACCTTTTTCTCCATCATCACCATTTAAGCCCTACAAAGTAAGTCACAATTAATGAAAAACGGGAACTTTACAAATTATAACAAATTTTTAACAAAATAAATGCCTTGTGTGCAAAAATATTTAGCAGATACAGTGTAACTACTGTACGTAAAACAAACCTGATCTCCGCTTTCCCCTCTACTTCCTTTCTTTCCTTCATCTCCCTACAAAAAAAGCATCAATCAAATTGCATCAAAGACATGAACTACAAGAATTTTCAATTACACATAAATGAAGGCATTAGAAGCGTTCGTTTGCAATCCTTCGCCTTCATTCTTGAAAAAAACAGATTTAAAGATTGTGCTTAAGACGAATGTGCTCTACCGGTCAGTTACTAAGTTAAATGTTTGCAAGAATGTTTTGAAATTTGGTTATTTGCTTGATGCAAGTTGATAGAACAATGCTTCACTAAATTTGATTATTTTAAAGGAAGTCTTTATGGGATGCAATTGAGTAATAAAACTATTTTTGAAAACATGAAATGCAAAACTTTTCAACTGTTGTACTAATTTTAAGCTTGCCAGATAAAGTACTGCTAAAAAAATCATTTATTCTAATTTTTCACTGTTTAAAGTTTGATAGTTTACTGTCAGTGATTGTCAGTGGCATGGGCACGTGCAACACGCATGCGTCAATCAGATGAAACAGAGATAAAAAGAAAGCTCAACCAGTAGGTATTATAAACCTTCTATGTAAATGTAAATCCAGTAGGATAGAGTAGGATATTTAAGCTTACAGCATGATAGAGTAGGATATTTAAGCTTAGAGCAGGATAGAGAAGGATATTTAAGCTTAGAGCAGGATAAAGTAGGATATTTAAGCTTACAGCAGGATAGAGTAAAATATTTAAGCTTGCAGCAAGATAAACTAGTATATATTAACTTACAGGTAAACCGGGGGCTCCAGAATCACCAGGTTCTCCTGTGTCTCCTTTAGATCCTTGCTCACCCTATAAAAATCGGAAAGGCAACCTTCAATTTATGAAAAAGTTCAAGTTTAGGAATAATATAAGTTTCGTATCAACAAAAACAATAAATTGGAACAAAATATTTAGGGTGAGAGACAAATTGTGAGGCTTTTTTCAGCATAGTTGAGTACTTTTTAAGAAAAATCCCAAGCCCTTCAATGGAAAAGAGCATTGAAGAATAACATCAACTTGTTTACCTTTTCTCCTTGTTGACTTGGACCTGGTTCACCTTTATCACCTTGATCACCCTAAGTAAATATTGTATACATACATATTATATATAAACACTGTTAAAATTATCGTAAATATGGAAAATCATCAAAGATATTTTATAAAAAAGGCGAGTTTTACCTCTGCGCCGCGAAACACTATGCGCACTCCTGCCTCATCCTGAATCCATAGTAATAAATGGCATTTAGATGGATGTGATCAAGTCAAATGTAAAGAAAACAATAGAAATTATTAATAAAATACCGCGCTAATGGTGATTGGTGTTCCAGGTTGTCCTTTGGCTCCATCATCACCCTACAAAAATAAAATCCTTTATATTATACACAGATATTTTTTAACACTTGTGTGAAAAGTTCGTGCATATTATTTAGCATTGATTTAGAAAATCAATTTATGCCAATTTTGTTAAAATCGCTATGTGTGATTACGTATATATATTGTACTGTTAAGCAAAAAAGTAATCATTGTTGTCAAACCTTTATACCCTTGTCACCGACATTATTTCCATTGTCCTACAATGAAAGTCAAGGAGATTTCATGTAGATTATCATTTTCAATCATTGCATAACAAGACTTTTTTAACAAACCGTCTGTTGATCTCCTCTTTCTCCTTTTTCACCTTGTTCTCCTTCAAAACCCTATCATAAAAATGTCATTTAAAACAATAAAGTATATAGGTTTATACTTGAAATCATTCATTGTGGCAATATACATAATCATTATTTAATTCTAGATGCCATACCTTTTTTTAGCATTACGGCAGGAGAAAAAGTTGGAATATTCATAATTTTGAGAGCCAACAATCATACATGCATGATATGGCAAGATAAAGATTCATTTAAAACCAATTTTTTCTATGGATTATAACCATGGTTATAACATGCATATATGAATACATACAACCTCCCCCCTCCCCCCCTCCAACAATCGATCTTCTGACGTCCATGCATGTGGCAAACAAAGTTAAGTTGAGGATCAGTTTCTTACCGTTTCACCTTTAATGCCTTTGTCTCCCTTTGAGAAACAGAAAATATTATAATGCATAAAATGGAAATTTTGGATGAGAATTGTATTGCCATTTTACCCTATCTCCTTTTGGTCCAGCATTTCCTTCAGCCCCCTATAAGATAAACCAACACCACAAACTCTAAGTACGTGAGTAAAATAAAATCAACATCATAATGTGCAAAAATAAAGAAAATTGAATACGCCATCTTATTACCTCTATTCCTGGTAAACCATCAGAACCTGTTTCACCCTAACAAATTATATGAAAGAAATCATTTAAAAATGCAACTTGATTTTTGACAAGCATTGTAAGGAGCAGCTTTTAAAGAAATGAACCTTAAAACCCTTGAATTCTGGTGGAGTTCCCTCAACTGGTTGGCCCTAAAAATTGACACAACATGAATCCATTTAGCTCATAGCTTTTAATTCAATTTTTGATTTCTTTTACAGACCTTAACACCTTTGACTCCCTTTTCACCAGAAAAACCTTGAGGTCCATTGAAACCAGAATCACCTTTTAATGAGCTTGATTCTCCCTGAATTTTGTAAAATTGAGTTTATAAATCATATCTATACAAAATGTGATTGTGGATAAAGTAAATTTTGCTTACACAACATCAGGAAAACACAACAAGAATATTGATATTGTTCAGACAAATTTAAAATTTTTTGTATTAACGCAGGTCTTGTTACCCTGATTTGAGGTGAGTAATTTAAAAATTGGAAAATTGATGATTACAAGTACATGTTAATGGCAACAATATAAAACAGTTACAAGTACTTACTTCTTCACCTTTACAGCCAGGGATTCCAGGAAAACCTTTTCGACCCTGAATCCCATTAACACCCTACACAAGATAACCACAAGTAAAACCCTTGGAATTATTTGGAAATTTATTGATAATCCTATTCGTTTTCATGATTATATATGAGAAAAAATATTTTATGCAGTTGTAGAACAGCAAAATTGAATAAAAGTGATTGCTATATATAAAAGTTGCTTACTGGTAAACCATCGTATCCATGGAAACCAACCACACCCATCATACCCTGTTCAAATATATTGTATACATGAATTTTCTCAAAGTGGTATGTGGAAAATCTTGATAATATAGATCCTTACCTGGTCACCAGGTGGACCCCTTGGACCAGGATTGCCATCATCACCTTTGATTCCTTTATGTCCTGGTAATCCTTGCTTACCAAGTGGTCCCTTAAATATAAGAACTTCAAATAAGCACAAGCATTTCAAACAAATAAAGCTAGACATTACAAACCTTAGGACCAAGTCGTCCTTGTTCACCAACGGGACCAATATGACCCTACATAGAAAACATCATAATACCTTTAAGGTAAATACAACTAAAATACAGAACAACAAAAGGAAAACCTTACCCTTGACCCTTTTTGACCTTTCAGACAATCACAATCACCTTTGGGCTTACAATTTCCATATTGACATGCTCCTCCCTGGGTAAAAATGATGACAATATAATTTTGAAAAGATTTAATAGGTGATAAAAAAGCCAAGCAATAACAACACCCACATACACTGAAAAAAATAATTAATGAAATATAGATTAAATAAAAAGAGTAGAGGTGCTTTTTCATAAGTTATCAGTTACATGTTTGAAGTCTTAAATGTGGGAAAGATAAGAAATATGTCCATCTCATGATTCTTTGTACTATTGTGATAAATATTACATTCGAAGGCTTGCATCATAAAGGACATCAATTTTATGTAGTATTTTTTAATTTTATAAAGAACCTGTTCTGTTGGTTTCGGACCAATTGGAGGAATTGTTGTAGGAGCTGGTGGTGTAATAGAAATACGTTGACCAGAACCTTCGTCACTGTTATGCTGTAAGTAAATATAAGCAAAGAAATCAACTTTGTTTTGTTTTATGATGATCAGATTATATGGTCTTCGTTGTACTTTTGGAACTTGCTTGACCAGTAACGCCGATGGTTTTCATCCATTTTCTTACGTTAAATATCATAAATTATTTCTCAAAAAATCAATTGTTAACTTTTCTTAGTGAGTGAATGCGCACTACCAGAAAATACCGCGAAAAATCGATAAATGGGGGACGATTAGGACACTCATATGTGCATGTAATCATCACTGGTTATATTATAATCTGTAGTCAATGGATTTCAAAGGAGCTTATGCGGTATATACCCCCCCCAATTATCGATCATCCGTGGTACTCCAGAAATATTAGTACAATCGAAATAAATTAGCATTCGAGACATGCCACTGGTCCTAACTCCTAATTCACTAAATATGATGTGCATTTCAGCGATAAAATTGGAACAAGTTGCATGAGAACATGATTTCAGAACAAAGCAAGTGATTTGGGGACCCTACACTATAGGTTACGTTACACATTGTAACCGAACATCATAGTTTTCCTTACATGACGTCATTTCGCTCTGTTTTCTAATAACCATCCCACATGCGAATGGTTATAACGTTTGCGTTTCATAAGATATCAATATGACATCAAAAAATTCTCTGTTGCAATAACTACATGTATCTTACATGTTAATGGTTTGGGATTGAAAAGGTCTAATACTGTTTTGGTAAATACTTCAATCAAACTTCAAACTGTCGTCAATGTTTTTGTTTATGCATTTTTCCAAGATCCCAGTGTTTGTATCAATGTGTACATTTGTGGATGGTCAGTGTCATAGTCAATAAATCCTTCCTGATGAGTGAATCAAAACAAATTACAAACAGAGGTCTTTCTTTTAGATATCTATTTTTAAAAACACAACTCGATGTGTAAAATATTTCCCCCCGAGAATTCATGACCATGTTTAAGCAGCTATATAATTTATCTAATTTTCACTGCCATTGACCGAAAGCTTGTGAAAAATAAATATATCAATGATAGGATGTCTCTAAACTTTAGCTTCAAACATAATTAACCCTCGTTTCTTATCTATTATATTAGTAAAAGATAAGAATGCTGAGATTCAAGAGATAACTCAGTCAAAAGATAACATCCAATATGGTGACAATTGTTGTGCAAAATAATCACTTTGTATTGAGAACAAATAATAAAAAAGAACTATCTATTATTTATTGTGGGAAAATGTTATAAAGGGTAAAAAGACAATAGAAAAAAATTCCCAAAGTAAGATATCTTGGCCACCAACAAAGGATAAAAAATCTTGGAAAGTAACTTCCAGAAGTCAGTTCGTTTGTTCAATCAAAAGATTTGACAGGTATTTTTTTATTCGTTTTCTTGTGTGATATCGTAATCGGGCTCCACAGACTCTTTATCCAATTACTAACCAGACTATATGCTGATTATATCAGTTAATCAAATTTTTGGAGATGACAGATATGTATTTTTTGTAATTTTGATGAGGAATATTATGACGTCGTGTAAATGTTTTTCATGGTGAAACTACATAACCCATTAGTATAAGTTTATGGTAAGCAAATAGTACGTGTATGAAGTTTGGTGATAAAAAAAGGCTGTATCTTTGCAGAGATAAATTCTTCCTGAACTTTGTTTAAATATTTCACAATGATAAAAACCTAACTCGTGCAGTGATAGTTTGTTTTATTACAGCTATATTTTATTTTATTTTCCATTAAAGCAAAATTATTACTTCTGTAAAATTCAAGAAATATATGCTAGCAAATAATAATTTTTTTAACAGTTTGTTCATATAATACACTGAAGTTAGTTAAATAGTCCGAAGACTCGATTATTGATCGGTTTGTGATAATTAAGAATTATTGGTTGACGTCAATGACGCAAATAGGGGTTTGATAATTCACAATATTATGGGAAAATTGAAATCAATTATCGCATATGTTTTTGTCGGGTTTTTTTTGTGGTGATGTTGAAAAAGAACATGTTCAGGACAATGAAGATGATTTTACACAAGCAAATTTTCTCTCATTGTTTTTTATTTTATATTTGATTTATTTGTACAGAAAGTGGATTATATGTATGACAAACAAGTTGAGTAGCTACTTCAGTAAAAACTATAGCCCCATTTTCTATGAATTAAGAATATGTTTAATATTTATAATAACTGCAATGCTTGCATTGATGTGCAATTTATTATAAAAAATTGAAAAACCAGGAATGTAAAAGAAAGAATTTAAAGATGAAATAAAGATAAGTTGGTCGTGAAAATTTTTAAATATTTGCATGATAATGTGAGAATTTGTTGTAAACTAAGTGCTTTATTGTCAACTGCATTAACTTTTACTGCTTTGCAATTTTCATATCTGTTTTTAACTATTTTTTATTTTTCTTATCACACAAAATGTTTTTTACCGTGAAATATAAAATTTTTATCCTGTACTCAGACAGTACTCTCAATGGTAATTTGGACAGTTGTGTCAATTTCGTTCATTGTATTATTCAACCTTTACCTAAACATTTTCATTTTTTTTTAACAAAACCACCATTCACGTGCATATAAATTATTGTTACAATATTAATTGATTTCTTGATATAGAAATTTGATATGTTCTGCTAGAGGTACAAAATAACTTATCTTGAAGTAATGTGAGAACATAAATGCTTCGAAGGATATCACATGAACTGGGTTGTATTCAATAAATTGGCTTTCATCGTTCGAAAATTTTAATATTACTTCCGTTTATCTGTTGTAAAGATTTGATTTCAACAATAAAATTTTCCACATATTTCTTACGTGCATTATGTTTAAGCTAAAAACAATATAATATAGAATAACGGAAGACTTCTGCGGACCTTTGGCATTCTTGTAACTTCCAAAAAGGATGTAGGTCATAAATAATAGTATGAAACATTGTTAAATTGTCAAGTGTTTCCTTTCAGGTGACAGAAAAAATTTATCTTAAGGTTTTCACAGTAAGAATAGATAATTAAGATTTTTGTCGTTTGAGTTTTTTAACAGAATAAAAGGTTGTTACATATATGGAAACTTTGTATTCAGATTTGCCTACGCCTTATAAAGACAGCTGAAAGTCTCATCAATCGATGCTTTGTGAGACTTGGATATTTACGTGTAAAAAAACGTTTGGCATGTCCTGCTAATATTAAGAAAGCCAAAGTTGTTTTTTTGGAAAACAATTTTGACGTTTATACGAAAAGGAATTTTTGTCCGAAAGCCAGATTTTCTGATCTTAAGGATTACTACATCCTATAAAAGGTCATAGATGAGATATTTACTCATCCAATGAGGTGACAAGGAAACCCAACGCCAAATCTCTTCCCCCCCGGTAAAAAATCGTCTTGTGCTTTAGAAACAAAATAGTCGAAAGATTCAAACCATCAATATTTACATCTCTAAAGAAGTACTTCAAATTATGAAAATAACTGAAAGCATGAAACAAAAGCAAAATATAATTAGAAATTGCTAAATGAAGCAAATATACTAATAAAGGTAATATTGTGTGGACATTGGACAGACAAAGATTATGAAGAGAAGAGACCTTTAGATCATAAGCAATATGCGTGCACAAATATTAACTACACTTTTACATTGTTTATATGTTTCAAATTTGTATGATCACTCAGAGTGATTACACGAAATGCCCTTAAGCATTATCTTAACGCAACCAAAAAACTTAAGTCAAAAATTTTTGTCTCACAGAATAAATGGTTTTATTGTAAGGTTTTTGCAATCCGCGCAATATATGCATAAAAGCAATATGGATACGACAGACCTTTTTCAGGAAATCAAAATTAAACATAGACCATGTTGTGCTCAAGCATCAACTATCAATATCTAAATTATGCTTTCATGCAACTGACATGCAAATAAAAGTAAACGCAACAAGTGTACAACATACCTGAGCTAGCGTAGAGTATATGATAAATGAAAACAGGAATAGTTGAATTCCCGTCATTCTACAAACTATAAAATATATACATAAAACATAATAAATGAAAAGTGCGCGGTAGTTAGAAATAAAATTTACTTTATGATAATTGCGCACTAACCTTAAACCCTTCAGGTCCAATGTATTTGTGAGTAAAGAGTCAGAATACGCGTTTGATTAAGGCAAACAGTTACGAAGAATCTTGGTACGCTCAGTATAACACTATGCTGACGGTGGCAAGCTTGTCTGTCAAGTAACTTAATATTGCATAGACAGCGCACTTCAATGATTGATAACTATTGCGACTTGCTGTAGGGTCAATCTTCACGACATCATTGACACCAACAACATAATTGACGTTCCAGCGATAGGAGTAGATAATTCAATATCCGGAAGTCAGACGGATACCATACATAGATCAGCATCACATCATACGCAGAAATTTCTCAACTTATCAAAATGTTATTATTCCTAATGAAACAGATTATGACAGCGCTATGACACTTTTGGCATTCTAGACAGTTTACGCCTAATTTTGGAATTTACACCACTGTGTATGTAAGTTGATAAAACATAACAATACAACGTCGTGTACATTATTTTTAACTCCTTAATTATATTTCATTATTGCACCAACCACCTTCGTCAATACAGAGTTATCGATCAAAGATTTATTCCCTATAATTATATCATTTAACTACGACTACCTTAAAAATCAAACAAAATTTTTACAATTCTAAAAACCACATTCAGAAACCATGCAAATTATGCACTCATTATTTATAAAATCCAGGTGCATCATCAGTACATTAGACGTTTGGAGCCACCGAGATACGAACTTGAAATGGAGTTTATCAGCATGATTGCTGCTTACGATGTGATAAATCCATCAAGTAACGACCACACCAAAACATTCCATAAAGTCCTGATAAGTATTCTGCCCATTGCCCAACACATTAAAAAATGCAGAAAGAGGTTAACTGCGAAAAAGAAGTTGAAAACAAGAAAAGAGTAAAAGATCAATAAATGTTTAACCGATAGTGTCAACCATTAAAATTTCTAAAAGAGAATATTCTAGCTACTATCTGAAATAATACAATGAAATCTTTAGACTTGTGTATAAAGCAAGATGTGACCGGTGAAAACAGTGCCATGAAAAAAATGGAATGGGATATTGAAATGCCAGGAAACACAATACATAAAAAATATGTTCAGTCTGGTCACTTTAAGTCATATCTCTACGTCTCCATGAATGGTTTGTCAGCATTATGAGCAGCAACATTGCTAAAAGTTTGATAAGCAGCAAGAAATGGATTGCTGTGATATGTTTAAAAAAAAGATTGATTACTTGACTACCTGATACATATAAATAAGGTATGATATAATTTTGCTGGAATGTCTAGTCTAGATTTTCTAAACACTTTTGACGCTCTCAAGTTTCATAATGATTATATGCCAACCAATAAAAACATCGTTCTTTCTATGATTAGGAAATATTTAATATCGGTTTTAGCACGCCATTTCCTTCTTACATTTTGGAAGGTGATTCTGAAGTCTGTCCAAATGATGAGTATTAGTAATCATACTTATACGGCCAACCGCTGAGAGGAATCTGATACGATGTAATAAATTTCTTAGTAATGTGAACAACTCATATTTTGACAGGCTCAATCAACTGTCACTGTTTATCTGAGACGATTAGAAACATCTTTGCTGGTCAACTGGCGAGTGCGCAACTCTTTTGACATACTCGGTCGAGGCTGTGTGAAGATCTCGTCGTTCATAAAAAGCATTTCAAAACAAATTCTTCTTTCACTTGCGCTTTGTCGTTAAGCTATTTCGACTCGTGTTTTCAAACTTGTTAGTTAAACCGATCATCATGCGGTAAGTCTTTTGGTTTTGTCTGCAGAAATCTGTCCATGTTATATCAACATTTAGCATAGTATTCTCATAATAAAATTAACAAATGTATTTTTCTAGGTCGACTGCTTTAGCGTTAGCAGTTGGTCTTATATTTTTACTATCTATCTTAATCGAACAGTCCGCTTCAGAGGAGGTAGGCTAATCGTTTATTTGGTCATTGTCACAAATGTATGAAAAAATGTATGAAAATGTATGAAAAAATGGTTATAGTAAGCAAGAATTTCTTTAGTATCAATTTACTCATCGTGAAAAGTGAATCTTCCAACTCGGGATGTTCCATTATGTTGCGCGCAATATGTATATGAGTTTTTGACCTAAATCATAACGTAAAGGGCAACATTTCATGAGACAACAAGCAGGGGGGTAGGCCAATATTTCAACCATAGGATATCGTTTTGCAACATATACTTCTTTAGTTATGGAGAGTAAATATTCTTCCCATTTAACGAAGAATGAATATCATAGGTATATTTGACATCAATCCATCTTATTTGATACTTTTTAAGAAACAAAAAGATATCATTGACGAAAATGTGATTTAACTGTTGGCAAAAAAGGAATAAAACCCTTCAGGCATGTCTTATCAAAACTGTGTAGGAATTTCAGAAATTTTACTTCATGGTAAAGTGAAGTTACACGCTTTTGTGTTATCAATTCGCATTAATATCGGATTTTTTACGCCTTTCCGCGTTTGCAGTAACGACTCTTTACAAAAAACCCTATTAATGACAATCATCACGATAATTCAAAATTAACGCTGCAAAAATAAGATGATTTAACGTTTCATGAAAGTCTTATCATAAACGATAAGAAATTTATTTTGTACAGTTTTGTTCTTATGGTCGTTGATTAGGTTTTGTTAAAATATGTTAAGCAGTTTTTGAAAGGAGAATGAAACGTATGTTATTCCAATATTTATTTAGGAAACGACATGATAGAATTTGCGCAAAATGAAGCTGCTGATTGGCTTTTTTTTTATTTTCGTATGTTTTTGAAAAGTAGCGTTGTTTTCTAGAATGTTCAATCATTACAACTGAGGCAACAGCGATTTACAACGAATCTGTCAGTTTATACTGTGTCGGCGTCTTGGAGCATTTTTTGTTATTATTGAGGGCCTAAAAACATGTGTAAACTATCTTTGTGAATTTTGAATGATGATGGATTTTGTGCAATTTAGAAAGTACTTTTGTTCTATCAATTGAAACGTTGTCTATTTAACTGAATAATGATGGTAAAATTGCGTGTATTTACTTGAAGACTATGGTAAAATCAGGCAGAGCTTCACCGCTAGAATTTATTCCAGTTAAATTAGCTATAATAATGCTCCAAGTGGGGAACAAAAATTGAACTTTCATACTCATCGACTTTTGAATCATTTTTATGCTGTTAAAAGGTTCAGATATTTTTATAACGCGCATTTTTATAAGTCATAACGCGCACTAGCTAAAATATCCATGAGAACCAGATGATAAACTATAAGATGTTTAATCTGCATCATTTCGACAGCTGATGAAGAAAGAACACATCTCAAAAGAGTTTGTAACGCAGGAATCAAGTGGCTTTTATCTGTTATCATGTTTAATTATTAAATGAGTTGTCTCATTTGGAGCTAAGCTATTCACACACCCAATTATGTATATTTTTATTGAGCTGTGATGATATTTTCTCAACAATGCAAAAATGCAAGCATGCAGGAAGGTGTTTTGAATGACAATAATATTTGAAGCAACATTTGAATTGATATTTGATTTGGTAAAAAGAGTATTGCACAAGTCTTTTTGGATTTCATGGTTCATAGATTACACAAAAGAAGATTCACGCTCAACCAAAACTGTGTAATCAGATACCATTATAATTTATGACGAACAAATTTTATTATTCAAAGGAAATTAGTCGAGATAAAAGAAAGTGCATTGGTCACGAAATGATCTTAGCTTGAAACAACAAACACCATTTCAATATTTTGATTTTCATTTCATGTTTGATGTGGTCGGTATATTGAATATTTGGTATTTGGAATATTGTTTTTCATGTTTTTTCTGCAAATCGGTAAATGCAAAGTGACACGAAATTCACGAATTATCTTAATCGATCAAAATTAACGAGATTTGCCCTGTGATTAGTCTGTTATTGAGCACACATTATCTTTGAACAGTCGGTGTTATAGTCCTGCAAAAACACTTAGTGCAAGAGTTATAAATAAAAAACAGTGATTTGAAGAAAATGAATAAGCGGCAACGATGAACTACGACAATGCAATAAACACGCTTACGCCAAACAATAACACCTTTGCAATGGAGCGGCTACAAACATAACATATGTCAAAACAGACAGACAAGTGGCATGTGTGATAAAATAGCATATATATTATCTAACAAATGACAATATTTGAAGGAACCGCGTTAAAGTTGCTGTCTGGTCATTACTATATTTTGTGTTTTCCCGTAACTGTAATAACACAAATATTATATTCAAACATCTTCTTTATTAACCTCCCTTTTCAACATTGATTAAAGAAAGATTCTGTTTTGAAACTAGCTCATTCAATAAGACAGTTGTAAATGATATTTTTCAAGCAACGCGCACTTTTGGACTGCAGTATCCCAAACAATACGATCATTAGTTACACGATTCACAGGAAGTTTATTTTTTGCGAAATGAACAATGATCCCGCAGATAAATTGTAACTTCATCCACAGTTACTTAAACTTGAACACATATTTCTGCCATTTTTCATGAGTGTAAGGGTATCATATCAACGAAATATTCAGCCTAATACAGTATGCTATACAATTGTTCTGTATGCTATACAATTTGTTTTAGGCTAATTGCAATGGCTGTGCGCCATGCAGACCGACATGTGAAGGAGAAAAAGGTGATAGGGTAAGGTGGACTCAATCATTGATTAAATTGTCTAGCTTAGATTTCTTATTGCTTAAAACATATCAACATATTGCATGAAAATTTCAAAATTGGTCGGCATTTCAAAAATATCCAGCACAGATTCCAGGGGGCTCATTTCACTCAGTTATTAATAAGAAATGATATGGAATCAATTGAAACAGTATCCCAAAATTATCCAAAAATAACACCTAATGGTTTACAGCGGAAAATATTTATCTATGTGCGCCAACAGCTATAAAGACTATGAATACACCACATGCTGATGCAGACAATGTGAATCAGATGTTTATAAGGCACTCTCAGTCCAGATGGAATATATGAATTATTTTGATGCGAATGATTAAATTCATTAGCGTTAATTTATTTAGGGAAATTTAAGCATTTGTTCAAGTTCTGTGTTTTTGTCATCATGAACGTCCCAAATTTTCTGTTAATCTTGCATGATGGCAAACTATCTTTGTTTCTATTTCGTCAATTTTACGTAAATGAACGCTTTTTACAACAATTAGTTTATGTTTCAGAATAAATAAAACATTTCTATGCAGGTCAGCGGACAGGAGCACAAGTACTGTACTTTATTATAATATCTTTGGTGTATTTAGGGTGTGCGAGGTCCAGTTGGCCAACGAGGAGCAGATGGTTTCCCGGTAAAATACAAATGGTTAATTAAGTGTTGTTAGTTTTCAACCAGGATTTTTACTGTGTTTCAATCATTTACAGTAGCTAATCAATTAATTCTTTAAAACTCTCCACTCCAACTGCAACATTTTCTTCAGGGACACCCAGGAATGGAAGGTCCTCAAGGAGAACGAGGGAAAAAGGTAGAAGAAGATGCTGAATATCAAATAATTCAAGCGCTTAGAGTTGACAAAAATGAAATCTTTTACCTATCTAGGGCGAAAAAGGTGAAGCAGGACCACTAGGATCAAAAGGAAATAGGGTAAATATAAAATATTACTTTGATGCAGGAACAATGATCACAGGAAAATTTTTATTGATATTCTGATCATCATACTAGGGAAAAATGGGACCCCCTGGATTCAATGGACGACCTGGCAATCCGGTAAGGAAAATTTGTTGGAATTAAGCGGAGTGTCAACTGCAACATAAAATCAAGCTTTGTTATGTCTTTTATCCAGGGTATTCCTGGAAATGATGGACCACGGGGAGAACCTGGTGATCCTGGATGCAATGGAACAAAGGTATTAATTTGTGGAACAAATCAGTCATTAAAGGAAGTCTGAATGTTGAATTATGAAGGTGACTGGAATAGATAGTTATATTCTTCTGATTATTTGTTTTCACAATTTTAATTAGGGAGAACCTGGTACTCCAGGTCCAATAGGTGACCCAGGAAGAATAGGACCAAAGGTATTTTGTCCGACACACATTAGAAACGCGTTCCACATAACATACGTTATCCATACTACTTGCAACTAAAACATATATTAACTAATTGTAGGGAAACCTTGGTCCTAAAGGAGAACCGGTAGTGATTTTATGAGTTTTTAATAATTTGTCCTACACAGTGGAATATATGTTGACAATGATAATTTTTATAAAAGGGTGATCCAGGAGAAAGTGCAAACACACAGCGAGGAAGTAAGGTATGAAAAACAAAATTTAGACTATCCACCCTTTTAGCGACGACGTTAATATCAGATTGGAATTGAAATTCGACTTTTTACTGGTAAAGGGCGACAAAGGAGAACCAGGCTTCAATGGAATTGAGGTACAAAAAGAAAAATGTAGTAATAAAACAATATATCAAAACATGATGGTGCTCAATGAACAATGCTACGTATTTAGGGTGATGCGGGACCTCAAGGAATGAAGGGAGAGAAAGGAGATCTTGGTATGAAAGGAAATGAGGTAATGTAATGTACTGCATTGAAGCTTAAATTTTACGCATACTTTTCTTTTATGTCGATTTCAATATGCACATAAAATATGATATTTATTTTAACCGTTATCTGACGCCATGATCGATGTTTGTTATAGGGAAATCGAGGCGTAAGAGGTGCAAAGGGAAACAAGGTAATTAAAATATTCAAGCGAAGAGAATCAAATGAAACAATGACTGACGATAACTTTTTTATCGACGTTAGGGTGAAATGGGAATTACACTGACATATCAAGGAGAAAAGGTGAATGATGATATTTAATCAATTCTTTGTTGCAGAAGCATTTAATAAAATGTTCTTAATTAATAAATTTAACATATAACAACTAGGGTGATACAGGTCGACCCGGACAAAAAGGAGAACCGGGCAACGTGAGCATTACAGACCAATTAACCAAAGATAATTCAACTGTAAGTCAAATGTTGCAACTGATAAATTTTTTTACTTTAAATATAAAGCTCAAATTTCACTTTTGCTTTTTCCATACGTATATTTCGACGATACTTACCAGCAGTATTTAATCACTATGCTTGCTTTTGAATGAACTTCTTTGTTAATTTCTTGATTATGCTTTTATTTTATTTTCAGGTCACATTTAAAGGTGCCAAGGTAACAATAAAGTAACATACTTCATTCAGCAAAAATTTTTATGACAACTTAAATTTTCGACAACAATGTCATCCACGTATAATTTATAAAACAGGGAAATAAAGGTGCAACAGGCGTCCCTGGCTCACCTGGCACAACCGGAGATAGAGTGAGTGAAAATATAAAAAGTAAACAGAGAAACTCCTTAATGAAGCGTTCATGTTTTGGACTCAATATTCTTCATCATTTAGGGAGAAAAAGGTGATAGCGGCGATAAAGGAATGAAAGGAGCAAATGGAGCTGATGGTCCACCCGTAAGAATCTGTTTGAATATTTTCTATGAATAGCATCATTATAATTTTTATAAGTTTATGTATGTACCAAAGATAAAAATCAGCAATTACTGTCGTATAGGGTGAACGAGGTGCTATGGGTAAAAAAGGCGACAAAGGAACTAGTGTATGTTCTCATTTTCTTGTTCATATATTTCCTCGATAAATTAGTAAGCTTTTTGAATAATATCGCAGGGAGCGAATGGCAGTAAAGGTAACGATGGAGCGCGAGGAGATAGAGGACCAGTGGTATGTAAAAGATCATTGATTTGTCAGACCTAAACGTGAAAAAAGTATGTGGATGTAAACATATTGTTTAGGGTGATGCTGGAGATACTGGACCTCAAGGAGAAAAAGGTGAAAGAGGGCCGGAGGTAAAGGACAATCATGAATATCTCTTTAAAAATTAAAATATAAAGGCGATAAGAATCTTATGCAACTTTCGATTAATTGTAAAAAGTAAAGTTGCGTAGTCATTCATAGAACGTTCAAACGATATTTACATTGAAATTAATTCAGAAAGCTGATGTATTCGTAGATGGAACATCAATGAAATCGCTTACGTACATCACATTTATCAACTTCTAGGGACCATCAGGAACAGGGCCTCCTGGACCATCCGGTGAAAAAGGTGAAATAGGTCAACGAGGAATGCCAGGAGTCAAAGGTGATAGGGGCCGTCAAGGATCTCCAGGTAACCCTGGCTCTCCAGCAACTGGTCTACCGGGTGAACCAGGTGCCCGCGGACCACAGGGAGAGAAAGGAGAAGATGGACAGCCAGGTAAATACATGAATTGAAAGAATTCAAAAGATGACTGTAAAAATGCATAAACGGTTATTCATTATATTTTCTATTATCTTTAGGTGTTGCTGGTATGAAAGGACCACCAGGACAAGCAGGAGACATTGGAACCTCAGGGCCAAAAGGGAGAAAGGGAGATAGTGGTCTAGCTATTGAAGGACCTCCAGGAATGGATGGTAAAGAAGGACCTCGTGGACTGACTGGAGACAAAGGAGATCAAGGAGAACCAGGACCACAAGGTACGGTCAAAACTGGTTTTGCTGTGTTGATCAACACATTTGTGATGTAAATTGACTAACATCAAAAAATAACCTTTCACCAGGACCTCCAGGACCAACTGATACAGAAGTAGGTCCTCCAGGTAATCCTGGACCACAAGGAGAGAAGGGTGCACGCGGTCCACCAGGACAAGACGGTCGACCCGGTAATCGTGGTCAAAAAGGTAAAAAATATCTTACGATTAAAACATGAATAAAATGTAAATCATGATAACAATGGATAAATTAGACAATTAAGACAATACAGGAATTACTGGAAAAGACTATTCATCAAGCTGAATGACTAAAGTTTGTCATAATTTTGCTTGAATTTTTTTCTTGTATATATATTTTTGCTACATTTTACCTTCTAAAAGCTGCGTTTAAAAACACGTTATGTGATAAATGACGCAAAATATTTACGAACTTACCTTTTAAGTGACATAATTATAGTCGGGCATCTATCTTACTGATGTTTTTGTCACTCTTGTTGTTCAACTAAACAGGTGATGAATGTGGTTCGTGCCCGTTGCCCAATCCAGGACCGAAAGGTGACAAAGGCGAACCTGGAGAAAGGGGAGAGATCGGCAGCCCAGGTGAATTCGGGCTAAAAGGAGAAGTGGGGGGAATGGGTGAAGAAGGCAGGCCTGGTCCCCCAGGTGCCATGGGTATTCAGGTACACTGTAAAAACACAATTGTTTACTTAATTTGTGTGATTTGCTTAAACAAGCAATAAGTTTACTTGTATACAACCACTGCAATATTGAATAAATTATGTTAGGGTCCAACAGGTGACATTGGTAGCCCGGGAGATAAAGGTAGCAAAGGTGAAAAAGGAGACGAACGAACTATTCGAGGAGAAAAGGGTGAAAAAGGTAGTACTGGTTCATCTGGACAGCGAGGTGAAAGTGGAGATCCTGGAAGACCCGGCAGTCAAGGTTTACGTGGCACTGAAGGAGAAAAAGGAATTAAAGGAAACAAGGTGGGTCAAAGTGTAGAAAATACCATTGCTGAAAGGAATGAAAGAAAATCAAATTATGAAGCCACGTTCAACAAGAGCTAATATTTTATAAAGGGTAATCAAGGACAAAATGGAGCATCGGGAATAAAAGGAGAGCAAGGTGAACCAGGATTACCTGGACCAAAAGGGGATGCTGCTGCAAAAGGTGAACGTGGTCCTGAAGGTCCTCCGGGTGATAAAGGCGTTCCAGGGCGACCAGGACAAGCAAGTACGTAAATCCTTATTTTTAAATATAAAATAGTCAGTAGAATGAATATCATATTTTTGTGTAAACCGCCAAAGACCGTTTTCTGTGGTCTCAATGAGAACTGATAAAGCTATTGAATTCTCTAGTGTTTTATTTTCATTATTTACCGTGAAAGTTCATTTTACAAGCAATCAAAGTTTAATAACAGATGTTATCAAGCATTTAAAATATCTAAGTTAGAATAACACATGCATTTCTCTCAAGATAGTCAATTATTTGTTTTACAGAAAACTGTTCTGCTGAAATCAAAGAGGAATTAATAGGAAATCCTGGTCCTGAAGGTAAAATCTAATCGTACGAGTTTTACAGAGCAAACATTTTTCATAAGAATGTTAAAACATATAATATGACCCCACAATGTACGATCAGAGAAGAAAAGATTACATAAGAAAGACGATGTAAAACTATAACCTACGAAAGCTCAAATGCTTAAGTACTTATAGCTAAAAACAAGCATGATGGTTTTAGTCTACACAGCAAATAAACACAATCAACGTTTGATCTACTTCTGTACTTAATAAACAAACACTGTCAAACTGCTTAGTCTACTTCATTATTTATTACACAAACTACACAACACATATCACGTATTGCAAGATGAAAAAGCAAAGTTACAGGTTTCAAAAAAGAAAAAGGCAACAAAAGAAAGCGACATAAAATCCAAAGATCCTAAACACAACTACGAACAAATTCATAAAGTTCAATTGGAGCAAATTCAAGACATAAAGTTGAATTGGTGCAAATTCTACAAAATGATCATGTGACCTTGCTCGAATCGTTTAGGTGACGCTGGTGCTAGGGGAGATAATGGTGAAAATGGAAATGATGGCTTACAAGGAGATAAAGGCGAAAAAGGAAATCCTGGAGAAGTTGGTCCAAAAGGTGAAAACGGACAAAGTGAGTGAACAAGAAGTTTTTTCTGAACCTTCCATTTTGTCAACCTAAGCAACAGCTTGAATTTCGAGAAAAATTGACGAAATTGTAAAACCACATGTTTACACAAATTTGCCGAAAGAAATTTTATACCTATATCTAAGCAACCAAAAAATAAGCCAATAAGCTTTCTCAATTGAAAATTGCAGGTATTAAGGGTGATGAAGGTATAAAAGGGGAAAAAGGAATGAAGGGAGATGTTGGGGAAGATGGTGTTGGTCTCCAAGGAAACAAAGGAGAACCTGGACGAGATGGTAGTACACATTAAATATTAATGTCAGGTGTCGTCTTTAAAAATATTTATAAAAACATGCATCTATCTTTTCATAGGTCAGCCCGGTATAAGAGGTGAAAAAGGTGAAATGGGTATCCCAGGAAGATCGCGTGAGAAAGGCGAGAAAGGAGAACCAGGAGAACCAGGAAAGCTTGGACCTCAGGGAGTACCAGGTGGCATCGGCGAGCCTGGTCTTCCTGGTGCTTTGGGAGCTAAAGGTGATAAAGGTGGTGAAGGTCCGTGGTATTGATGGCAATGATGGTATTCCTGGTGCTAAAGGGGAAAAGGGAGATAAAGGAAGCACAGGTTGATATTCGCAAAAAATTTATACGATTAAATTAATGATACGTTAACAAAATACAGAGATTTGATTTAGGTGCCACTGGTAACGATGGTCTTTCTGGCGAGAAAGGCGAACCAGGTCAGGATGGTGAAAAAGGTGATAGAGGACGAACTGGTCCTGTTGGGCCTCCAGGTTCCAGAGGTCCAGAAGGAGATAAGGGTGAACCTGGTGATCCTGGAAGCAAGGGAAATAAAGGTATTATTAAGAAATCAGTGCGTTTGCAATAAATCGCTCTAAAAGAAATCACGTAAAAAACAGACATGTAAACGAGTTCAAAGATGATAATGGTCTTTTTGGTTGTATGAATGAAATTTACATTAACAGGTAATGACGGTGATCAGGGTATAACAGGTGACGCCGGACTACCTGGACCTACTGGGCTACCTGGACCAAAGGGTGTGGCTGGAGCGCCTGGTGAAGACGGACCTCGAGGGCCTCAAGGTCCAAATGGGGATAAAGGACGAATGGGAGGGGAAGGAAGACCTGGACAACCTGGACCACCAGGCCCAAAAGGAGAGTCTGGACCACCTGGACAAAGTGGTAATGACGGACCACCGGGAGAAAGAGGTACTTATTTAGTATTTTCTATAAAAGAGTTTTGTACATCTTTAATAATATTGCATACACTATATACATCACAAAATCTTTAATTGTGAAAAAGAAGAGTGCTCAATACAAAAGTAGAGCAAAAACATAAATATTATTGCTGATCAACAATATCTCGAATTCTGTAGGACCTCAAGGTGATCGTGGTGATCAGGGTCCTCCGGGAAATGGACAAAAAGGTAATCGTGGACCTCAAGGAGAAAAAGGAGGCATTGGCTTTCCTGGGACGAAAGGAGATACTGGAAATCGGGGTGATGATGGCGACATAGGGTTAACAGGACCGCCGGGTATCCCAGGTAGGATGGGAACATGAAATGATAACAAAAAATCCAATGAATGTGCATGAAAAAAGAATACTAAAAACCTGCGAATACTTTATTCACAGCTGTCTTTACACGAAAGAATAAGCATTTTTCAATATGAACATAACAGCCCAACATAAGACTTTTAAAAAAGCCATCACAATAATGAAACGTTATTAGTAAATCTTTCTCTATTTTATTATTGTGATGGCTTTTTTAAAAGTCTTATGTTGGGCTGTTATGTTCATATTGAAAATTCGCTTTCCGCCTGGCAAATCTCTGGCCACGATTTTAGAATAAGCATTGTTGAACACCATTGACTTAAAATGGCTATTTTACTAGAGTATATCATCAAAACGATCGTAAATGTGGCTAATTAAGATCGTTAATCCTTAAGTATACATCAATAAATCCTGCGCGTACATTTTAGGTGGTGTAGGAGAAAAAGGATCTAAAGGAGAGCGTGGAGAAAATCTTGTAACAGTTGGTGAGAAGGGTGATAAAGGGAACATAGGCCGAAAGGGTGAACAAGGACCTATTGGTGAGAAAGGTGTTTCTGGGAGAGGATCTGATGGCGTTAAAGGACAAAAAGGTTAAAAAAAGTAGTTGAGTTCATTTGTTACACGTGAACGCTAATTAAGTGAAAATATTAGGTGAAAGGGGTGAACAAGGTACACCAGGTCTAAAAGGTGATCAAGGTATACAAGGTAATCCTGGCCCAAAGGGAGAAAGTGGACCACGAGGACCTCAAGGAGACACAGGATTCCCCGGTGAAAAAGGTTCCAAAGGGGTAGAAGGTCCTGCCGGAGAGAAAGGAAATCCAGGAACGAAAGGAAATAATGGAGTCAAAGGTGACACAGGCAATCAAGGTCAGAAAGGTGCAGAAGGACCTCAAGGTATGGAACTTTTAACTCTTACACCAGCTAAAAAAGGACGTATCAAATCATGTTTTCATAAATGTCTGCGGAAAATGCTAAATGTGTGCTAGCAATTTTGGAGTCTCTTGATATTCAATTATGTGGATTTTTCGTAAACAATTAAAAAAATTAAAAATTATAAAATCTAAAAACAGGTCCGACTGGTCCTCGCGGTGTACCAGGAAATCCCGGACCTAAAGGTGAGATAGGAAATGTGGGTGTACCTGGTATTGATGGTTTTGTCGGAGAGCCAGGACCTGATGGCGAGCGTGGTTTCACTGGTGGTAAAGGCGAACCAGGAGTTCCAGGACCCAAAGGCAATCAGTACGATAAACAAGATATTTTTAATGGAATATTTTTAAATACGAGCAGTGGATGATTTTTATGAATGTTGAATGAGGCTGTTGTGACCTTTATGTTCAATATCTGAAAATGGGACGTTACACACGTTACACAATCTTTACACACACGTTACACAATCTTTACACACACGTTACACAATCTTTACACACGTTACACAATCTTTACACACACGTTACACAATCTTTACACACGCGTTACACAATCTTTACACGTTACACAATCTTTACACACGCGTTACACAATCTTTACACACGCGTTACACAATCTTTACACACGTTACACAATCTTTACACACGTTACACAATCTTTACACACGCGTTACACAGCCTCTGCCCATTACCAAGTATTTGCATATTGAAAACTATAGAATTTCTTAACAGAGGCGCACCAGGATTCCCAGGACCAATGGGAGAAAAAGGAGATTCCGGCTTCCTGGCCTTCAAGGTCCCCCTGGTGATGTTGGTGACCAGGGTATTCAAGGTGCAAAGGGCGACAAGGGAAACAGAGGACCAAAAGGAACTGGAAGAGGTAAGGACAGGAATTATTTTAAACTTTGCAGGTATTTTGAATATTTAAATGATTTAAAGTTAATAAGTAAGAGATTTCACCGAGCATTTATCATATCGAACGATTTAAATTTGGAATTCGACTTAACAGAAATTCCCGGATCGGATGGAGCAAAAGGAGATAAAGGTAATCGAGGAATCAAAGGTGAGCCAGGAGCACCAGGCTCACCTGGTCCAAATGGTGAGGCAGGTCAACCAGGAGAAGCAGGCAATAAGGGAAGTAACGGACCTCAAGGAAGACCAGGTAAAGTAAGATGGCTTACAAGAAAAATGTAATGAACGTATTCTGATATAATATTGTTTTTGATGACAACAACGAAGATGATGAAGACAACAACATAAAAAATTACTGCAACGACTACGTGCTTTTACTACTACATTTCCAACAACTGAAATTTGCTTAGCCAAAAAAATGCTTTCATTTCAGGTTCAGGAGGATCAAGCGGAGATAAAGGTTCATCTGGAAGTCCAGGAGAGATGGGTGCTACTGGTCCAATGGGCGATAAAGGACGGCGAGGCTTACCTGGTTCAGGTGACTTCGGTTTCATGTTAACAGTTCACAGTCAAAGCACCGATATTCCTGAATGTCCACTTGGTTCGAATAAAATGTGGGATGGCTACAGTTTACTTTACGTTCAAGGCAACGAACGAGCCCACGGTCAAGATCTCGGTGAAGCTGGTTCATGTATCAGACGTTTTAGTACAATGCCATTTTTATTCTGCAATATCAACAATGTTTGCAACATTGCATCACGAAATGATTACAGTTACTGGTTATCTACAACTGAACCAATCCCAATGATGCCAGTAAGCGAACAAGCAGTTGAAAAATACATCGGTCGTTGCTCTGTTTGTGAAGCCCCATCTCACGTGATTGCAGTACATAGCCAATCAACGTTAGATCCAGATTGTCCTCAGGGATGGGACGCTATGTATAGTGGATACAGCTTCCTCATGGTAAGATAAGAATATAGTTCAAGTTGTCCAACCGTCAAAACAAATCTTAATTGTTTGAAAAGATTAACAATTTTCTATGCTAAAAATAACTTATACCTGAATTTCAGCATATAAGTTCTGGTTCAGAAGGTGCTGGGCAATTGCTATCGTCTCCGGGTTCGTGTCTAAAAGATTTTCGCGCCAATCCCTTCATTGAATGTCATGGCCGAGGCACGTGTCAGTTTTATGCAAACACCTACTCTTACTGGATGACAACAATCGAAGGTCAAAATCAATTCAAGACACAAGAACCGGAAACATTAAAAGCAAACAATCTACGAAACCGTATTAGTAAATGTACAGTGTGTATGAAATCAACTACAACAACGAGTATCGGTGGTCTCTGAGGGATTATCGGTGGTCTCTGAGGACAACGTTTGATAAACTCAGCCAAAAATCGTTTTCAAAAATTAAGATTCTGTTATTATTTCCATCAAATGAATTATCTTTCTCTACTGATATTTGAAGTTTTTATTAAAGAGTATACATTTCCGAAACTAGAGAATGGCTCTTTGCTATTTCCCATCACGAAAGATTTTATATACACATAATAAATATAGATTTGCTAAAAATATCAAAGATTACAACCCAAGTAAAACATGTTCAAAAGTAATGTGACTTTTGATTTTTTTTTCGTGCTATTTTGAAGTTTTGGATAAAAATACAATTGTAGAGTTCTTACAATTATATATATAAATAAGATTTTAGAAGTTAGTTAATATTAGTTTATAATCCAATGTATTGTCAGTGGTAAACATATTTTTTAATGATCTATTAATAATTCTATGGCATTTGATCTCATTATTATATAATACGTCCAATTGAATATTGTCAAAATGGAAAACTTTGTGTATGTTTAGAATAAAATATAAATGTAATTAAAGCAATGATTTTCATTAAATAAGTTAATAAACCTTTTCTTTTCGAATCTTCATGGTATATTAACATGTACAAATGACGTAGATCAATATATGAAATTAGGTATTACGTCAATAAAGTATAGCCCAACTTATTTAAGTCCTTAGTTGTGCACAATTATACCCTCATTGTGAAAAGCTTACGTCGTGATTTAAGTGATAAAATATCAATGCGTAAAACTCATTTATTTATATCAAAATACAAATGAAAACATTTCAGAAATGACAACATGAGAAAAATGACAACAAGGCGTCTTTTAGGTAAACGACTCTGGTTTAGAGTTGGCCTACCCGCTTTTAATTAGAATCAACTTTCTGCTTTCCTGGTGAGAAGCCTTTCCTCCTTGTGTATTTAACTGACAACGTACTACGCAGACGAGGTTCTTTCTTCTTGTAATGCTCATTAAAATCCAAACGGAAACTGAGAAATCGTAAATTCACGTCCGAATGACTTGTCAACTTCAAAAGAAATTGTTCCACCAAGTTCTAAAAAAAAATTGCTTTCAGCTAGGAACATACAAAACGAAGTAAATATTTAATGACATTAGTTTAAAAGCTAACCTCATAAGATTGAGAAACAATCTGAAGTTGAGCCTTTTGAACTGGTAAAAACTCTGTCCTGAAATCTTCTTGCCTCCATTCTTCTTGTTCTTCTTCGGTCACTGTGAACCCCCAACATCCCTACATTGTACATAGAGTTCACATTAATCAACAGTGTTATATAATGTAAAACAATGAATTTAGAAATCAGATGACAATTATCCTGGTGAACTCTTTAAAAGTAAACTGACATCATCTGTATTTTTCTGAATATCGTCCGTTCTTTTTTTCCTCGATTTTAACTCAAAAAGAGCTCGAGAGAATAAAGCGTCTTGTGTTTGCTGAAACTTTATAATTTGATCAAATATTGCACGTAGTTGATCCAACATGTCCTGAAATACAAGAAAATAAACATTTACTGCGATGAACCAAAATAATAAGCCAAATAATAAACGAACCTTGGAGTTGTTATCAATGAGACAGCTTGATAATATGTAATTAAGAAAATTCTCATGTGCTGTGATTATATCATCAAGGTTTGTAGACTCATGAACTTTCTTTAAAAGCTCAGCCCAACAGCATTCTAAAATCTAAATAATTACGCAATCTCTTGTTTATCTACATATACAACTAATTATTCATTTCATATAACCAGTTTAAAATCATCATTGTTATTTATATAAAGGCCCGTTTACACGATCCGTTTTGTCGGATCCAATTTTTCGGTTCCGATTTTTGGTTGCTTGTTCAGACGGTTCGATAATTTTATTGTTATACAAATTCATTTAGATGTTTATAGTCTTGTGAAGAGCCATTTGTGTTATCCAGTATATTTATCGACATATTTTTCGTATTTTTGTTCTTGTTTCCAAGTGTTTTTCAATTTAATTTGGTCTAATTTGAGTTCTACACAGCCATATTCAATTTACAATTTTTCTGGCAATGCTGCTCGTCGTTCAGAGATTTTTTATGGTAAGACATTTTTTAAGGTGAAAGAAAAAACTAAATTAAGGAAAACATTATGTGCATATTTTTCATGTGTGCAGAAGCTTTCGTGCATTAACACGATTTTTACCAATGTGCATGTTTTATATGTGTGAACTAGCGTTTGGTGTAGAAACAGGTTTTTCGTGTATGCACAAGTTTTCACAATAATGCACGCATACGGCCATGAAAAATTCTTAAACTACTAAAAAGAACAATCAACTTGGCACATTTACAAAAGTGGAAGTATTTTAATCACGAAAGTCACCCTATATTTTCTTAACTTGTACACGTGAAAATAATAAGTTTGAGTGTGTCATGTGTGAGCACAAATCATACATAAATAGTTGTTTTTCACTAACAAACATGTTAAAATAACATGTGTGTGACAGTGTGAGTCATGTGCGAGCTTAAAAAATCTACGTACATAGTTGTAGACAATAAAGAAGAACAAGACAGAAATTATTACGAACACAAAAGGAACCTTCCTTCTTATTATACGTAGGAAAGTTGCTAATTGAAGATTTGATACTCGTTTTCAGATTTTTCATAGGCACGAAAAAAGAAACGTGTTGACAACATCAACTTACCTCAAACGTTATGTAGTATTGCATTTGATTAATAAAATGAATCATTTCTGAATTCAAAGCATAACATGTATGTAGAACACCCGTCAGTTCTATTGGGAACAAGTAATAATTTACTAAAGAAGTACGAGACATCTAGATAATGAAATTTCTCTAGTAATTTACATAGGAAAAATGATAAAACCTGGCAATGATCGAAACAATCTCGAATACGATATTTGTGCTTTCCATGTAGCAGTCAAGATGTATTCCATTCTCTTCGCTCGCCATAAGAAGTTAAATATCCTTAGGTACATTAGAGTACATTCAGGAGTAAACACCTACACAACGCAATACATGATGATTCAAATTAAAAGCACACACAATAAAGTTTGTTTTTCACCACTTTACATTACCGTTCCAATTGGTCCGTCAACTTTGTAGCACAGACTGAAAACATCCCATCCAGAATCACCAGCAGAAACCTGTTGAGAGAATTTTTTTACTTTTCATGAATGACAGTGGCTAACATATAGAACGATATAATCTCTATTTAGGCTCAATTCTACAGCATTCGTTATTGGTTTCGTTTCTACTGTGCTGTCATATCACATTCAAAATATTTGTATAATTATTTTGTTTCAACACTTGCCAGAAAACATTTTAATAAATTAAAATGATGCTTTGTTTATTCGAAAATGTTTTCATACAGTTTCTATACAGTTACCTCAATTAAATGAATAAAAATAAACATGCAACTAACACAGCTTTCTAAACAGAACAAGTTCAAAACTAAATTGTAAGGTCTATACATAATATTACCTCTAATAGTCTGCAATCGAGTCTCTTGATGATATCAGGATCTTCAAATTGAGCATTAGTAGCTCTAATTGCAGCTTCGAGAACACCAGACAGATTATGAGTGTATAATGTACTAGCTGGTTTTGCCAGATCTGGCCTAAAATGGTACGAAACGATTCGATTAAAGTTGACCACGCCATGAATATGAAGGAATTTCAGCAATTTATGACAAAGGATATATGTGACATTAGTCACGACAAACATTGTTCTGTAGTACATCAGTTAACTGTTTGGTAGTAATTATATCCCCACAACGTCAAACATCCACAGGTTTTTTGGGAGATATGGATATGTGATGCATGATTAATGATTGAAATTTTCGCCACTCATCACAAACAGATAAATTATATTTCATATTTAACAAAAGTTGATATGCATACCTATATTGTTGGCATGAGTTTATGCAGTTTCATATAAATTTTCTAACAAACATATTATTATATACTACAAAACTTACTCAAGTAAATCCATTAGATGTCGTATGAAGTCGCCTTGGCCAAGAAGAAGATACCGTCTCATTCCCTAATGATATAAATATTAAAAATTACTAATATGTTGAAAATCTTTTTATTAACTGATAAAAATTCCCCCCAGTATTTAAAGAAATGATCAACATTTCAGCAACCTACCTTCCCTCACTCAATAGCCGGCAAAAAGTCTGCGAAATAAAGGCAGAAACTCATCGAAAGGAATAATAAAAATTCTCGTAATCTTCCTTCCTTCCGGGCTACGAATCCGACGTTTGACTTATTATCATGATTCATCAAAAGAATAAAATGTATTATTACACAGACTGTGGCATATTTATTCCCAACCAACCTTAAGATGTTCCACAAATTTGTACTTGTTAATGAGAATCTCAAGAAGATATTTGCTTGTTTCTTTATATGCTTTATCAATAGCTTCCTGAAGCGCAGTTCCACCAAAGTCTGCTTGATCTGTTAAATTAGATGAGCCTAAGATATTTAAACAAGATAAAATATAAGTAAATTTTAATAAACAGGAATTTAACAATAATCGTGTGCAATATTTTAAACAAAGATCATCAAGCAGAAATAAAACGCATTCGTTCTTTTGTGATCGCCATGTTCAATGCATGTTAAATACAACATAATAACCTTTACCTTGACCAGTTTCACTCAACAATTTGCGTTCCTTCAGGATGAAACGATCATAACAAATATGACGAATAAAGTTGATTGACTTTCCAATGTTCAATATCTACAAAAACAGATATAATAACGACGTTTGACTATACTAGCGAGCAACACATCAAGCAAGGTAGAACTGCAATGCAAGTTCCCCGAAAACAATCATTATCCTGGAGGAAACAGCAGTTAAAAATAATCTGTACAAAAATTGTTTGTAACTAAAGATATGCAACACCAACCTTTGTGCCCAACTCAAAAGACACGAAAGACGGCAACATAGCTTTCCTAATACTGTACTTTTCAAACCATAAGCGTTCATCAGGAACGCTGTAGTCAGCAGCCACAAAGAACTAAAAAGATTTTATAATGAAATTATGAACAAGCGTCAATTTTTGTAAATTACGTGTTCTGACTTTATACATTCTTTTCATAATCATGTAACGTTTGTATAATGGTCGTTATTCTTGGTGTCAGAGATTAGGTATACAAAATGCCCAACAACATGGTTTGGGTGAAAAGAAAAGAAATTATGTCCTTCAATTTCATCGATTTTGCTACGTAGCTGTTTAGTGACGAATATTTCTTTTCAGTAAACGAAATGCTCAAATTAAAAATTGTATCTTCATACTTCGTTGTAAGTATCCTCAATTCACCCTCGTAAATCCATCGCGATAAAATGATCTTTACAGGTTGTGCCACTTGATTAAGTATGTGCTTTACGAGGGATTTAACGTATGGATCACCATGTTGCATGTACGAATGAATTGCTGATAAAAGAGAGCCTCCTTTTTTACCTAAATACAACATAGCTACTTATTTAGATTCATCGACCAATAACAAAAAATGTCGATCATATGAGCTGCATTTATAGCAGAAAAAAACAGATTTCATTCGATAACAGGTTTCCAAGGTTTAGAAAAGTAATTGAAGATTAATAAAATCTTTGAACTTGATAAACAGTGATAGGAGCAACCTAATTATTAATACCTTTGCAAATTTCTACGAGTGCAGCCAATGTCTTGAGTCTTAAAAGAGGAGTATATGTCCATACAAGCAGTCTTCTTAATGTTAATGTATTAGTGCCTGTTTCTTCACCAAGACCTTCGTCAAAAAATTGTTTTTGCTGACTTTCAAATACAGCAATCAAACGGTAATATTCCGTTAGTTCTAGTTGCAAAGCAGCACAAAAACTCTGTCCAACAAGTCCTAGTGCTTTATTACCAGAACGGGCATCAAGAAAACGTCTTATTTTCAGATACAACCAACCTAATTCACAAAGTTTGTTAACAAGAGCTCGAGTAGCCGACGATACTCCGATGTCACGATCAATTCTGTAAGCATCCTCAATTTGATCAAATTTTATAAACTTGCCGTCAATGCCTTGAAAGATGTATATCAAGTCTCGTATAAGAACAGCATCTGCAGCTTCAAACGATGCTGATAAAACGAAATATTAAAATAAAATTCAAATATCAATTGCGGAAACGTTATTTCTACATGGATGCAGTTTTAACAAGTCAAATCATATGGGCAAAAAATCTTTTCTTTCAAACCAATGCATTTTTCATCAGTACACATCACTACATAAAAGTATACACCGGTAACTCAAGTATACTCAAGCAGGGGGGAACGATGCTCACTTGACAGGAGGTGTGCAGATTTTTCAAGGGGGGGTGCATTGCTATCCTAGCTAAAGTTGCAAAGGCCTCGGACTATGGTAGATTTTTAGGATTACAGATGAGTGAATTTACGTAAATTTAAATGAAATAGTTATTACTTTTTAAAAATATTTTTGTATCTTTTTCGTTAATGAATGTGCATTTTATTGTTTCTATGAAAATGCGCTTGGTAATAGCTCAATTGGAAGTGGTGGTAGTGTAAAATATGTAATTGCCTTTGAAACGAGAAGTTCTAATTTTATGTACTTTGTCTGATTGTACAATTTCATAGCCTCTAATAATGTTATATTAATCTTCTACAGTACGTAATACCATTTTAGAATTTTTGTTGGGGATGCTAAACAATTTTGGTGGGTGTGCACAGTGCACCCCCGACACCCTCAAAAATCCACCACTGTACACCAGTCTACACCATTACACATGAGATAAATAATCCTTACTTACTGTTTCCACTTTCATCTCTCAACTTCTTCCTGTATTCTTGCAATAGTTTTATGCCAGGTGTTTGAAATCTGCTGTTTTCTTTTACTGACACTGCAGATGATGAAGCTGTGGGTAAAGTCAAAGAATTCTTATCACTTGTCAAGGAATGGACACCAGTTGAAAGAGCAGTAGCCGAAGAGGTGTTTCTTGCAGAATGGGAAATGCTGCTAATACCACTACTGCTTCCAGACGAAGGACCAGTAGGAGCAAGGGTGGATTTTAAAGGGTATTGAGGAGTTGAGGTGGACAAGACAGGCAACCCACGACCAAAGAATGATGGCATTCCTTTAGACTTGATTATTTGAAAAGACAAGACATTTTAGTTATATTAATTTTATGCACAGAAAACTGCAATTCACAATATAAGATTCTTAAATATTTAGATTTAATCTCTCCCATATTTCACTGTCCTCTATTATAACTTGATGTTGTAGGATTAAACAGCAAATTATGTACCTTAGAATCAGTTTTATCTTCATTTCGAAGAATTGATAGCAAATACAGAACAGACCAACGATTTTTTAAAGTACTCTAAATCAAATATATATACATATTATAGAAATTCTGTAAATGTTGGAGAAGAAAAGAAGTTATAAGGTCATACCCTTGATAAAATTTTATTGTATAAGTCATTAAGGAGTGCGGCATTTTTCTCTTGGTTGTCATTCACAACTGTTGAAATTTAAAAGGAAAAAAATTTTAATAATAGACGATTGTTATGTAGATATACATGTTCCTTTAATAGTTTGAACTTTTCATCAATTTACATAACAAGATGTTAAATCACAAGTTACCAGGCACACATAAATATATAAGTTTCAAATAATTTCCATACTAAGATAAATTCTCCGTGGCAAAGAGAATAACAAGATAATATAACTACATACACTGCCTCTTTAGACGCTCAACAATCTGAAATTCATCCTTTGAAACCAATGGAGCAAAGTGGCTGAGGGAAAAACATTAAAATAATTCATCAGTTATTGTATTATTGAATATGATATTTAGAAAGTACTAGGAGTTCAAATTTACAATGAAATTGCTAATCTCATTGCATATGATACAAAAGAGCATTAAAACAGAACAATATTTATGTCATCATTCTCATGAAAGTACCACAATAAAAATATTCTTCCTCAAAATGCCCAAGAAATCAAACCCACAAATTCGTAAGTAATCCTAGTGTTCTGATAAGTCTTTACTTTATAAACTCAATATTTGCCAAAATTTACCTTCCAAGAACACGAAGTGCGTAAGGAAAAAATTCTGCCACTTCTAAAATAAGGGGACAAAACAGTTTTTTGAGTCAAACATTTTAATTTACTAACCAAACACTTTTAACTAAATAAAAATTTGTTTTTCGCTTTTAAAGCACTAGAAGTAGTAATTAACATCATTCGAGTCCATTGACAGAAAACAGAAAAATTTATTTCCAGTTTTACTTAATTTTTAAAAGTAAAAGGGACAGTGATGGAAGTTGGTGAGATGAAGAGGAAATCCATGCGTCTTGGTAAAAACATTGACTAAATAAGATTCTTTGATCTGCATTGGCAAATCAGGTTACAAATTGTTCTATACATATTACATATTGTTAAATTTGGTGTTTACAAATGTGGAAAATGCACAATACTAACCATAATACAAAACTGACCATTTGACAGTAAATCGACAAAATGTCACAGTAAACTCTTACAATTTTTATACCTGGAGAACCTTTGTCTTTTTGCAAAAATTTGGAAGTCAAAATTAAGACTAAATGCGATATCACTTCTTCTTGATAGTTTGACATTCTTATTTCGAACAAAATGGAAGACTCAAATTACATTTTCATCTTATGTATTAACAATTTACATCACGTTTTACACTCATTTTGCAGATAATGACACAATCCCATCTTGTACATTAATAATACATTGGCACTCCGTTCTCCACTGTTGTATCCCATTATACTCTCGTCACCAGGCTTGTCGTTGTGTTCCGCGGAATTTTTCATTTCAACAGGAGGTCAAAAAGAGGGCTAGATTGGAACGCTTTTTTCTTTTCCAAAAGAGGAAAGACATCAATGATTTGTATAAATAGCAAGGTCGCAATGACAGATGACAAGTTATTACAGACGACAAACTATGACCTTGAACTTTCTCAAGCATTTAGAATAAAAATCTATTCAACACACTTTCAACTATATGAATGTTGAACAAAAGAGCACGGAGTCATGAAAGGCCAACAAAAAATAACAAAAACATTTGATGTTCTATGTCTCAAAGAATTTCTAACGCACTTATGATAATGACCTTACTAAACGTATTCAAAGTTTTTTTCGTCATGCATGCTGTGCGATCAAATTAACCCCCCAAAAAACTTCCGAAATATTTCATATATGTCAACGTATGGTTATTTTATTGATATCCATGCTTTGTTTTCAATTAAAGATAAGAAAACACTTGGGAAAATAACAGTTTTACGTTGATTTCCTTTCCGGTAAAAAGATGCAGCTGAGCTCATACAAATCACAATGATAAAGACACAATTGTAAAATTATGCAGGTTTTTCCGTAATATAATTACCACATACAAACTATCAGGAAAATTTTGATAGATAAGAAGAAAAGTTTCCTGTCCAGCCAAAGCATCAATCATGAAAATCAACATCTCATTTTAGGTATCAATGGTTCTGACAAAAAGGCAAAAAATGTTGTTTTGAGTCCTTATAGATTTATTGTTCCATGTAGAAGGAAACGCACATACAAATTTTAATCAAGGCAATATAATCACATGTCAAAAAGTTTGGTTGTCTCGTTTTAACAAAACAGCGTTTGAAGAAAACTCAAAATGTGTTTTTTTATGGTGCCTTGCAACTTCCAAAAGCACATTTCCTGTTTGTGTGATTAAAAGAAACATTATTCTACTCCCATTTTCCCTGTATTGTTCAAATGAAGTCATAAAGACAGGAAAAGAATAATTTGGAAATAATTTGGAATATCGTGTTGAAAGAAACACAGTTTGATCATACATACAACCTTTTCTCTACCTTTATGTCAGCCAATTATGAACCAATATGTGACGACTAAGTTCATCTTAGTTAAAACTGAAGAATGAGAATAAAATTTTTTGAATCACACTGCATCTCATTGGATATTTCAAGTTGATATCAAGTTTATCTAAGAAGTAGGAATTTCAAGAACTGCGATTATCATTCACTTAAAACACAATATGTGAAATATCAAATCATCAAGACATAATGTCTAAGCCATACCTGTCTTCGTGACAACCATAATTGTACATTCCTGATGTCTTGATCTCTTCTACCGCCAAACCGGAAGTAGGCTAAGCAATACAATAAAGCGTGTTAATGCTTTTTACTAACTATTTATAGACTTCGCGTTAAAAACAAGCTCCTGTATACGGCAACTGTCAAAGTACAGCGAGGGCACCTACTGGTATTTTTACGAAACTGTTATACGCGTTTTATCGATAATATTATGGTTAAGATTACTCGATGTTCGAAGTTTCATGTTTTGGTATCTACAATATGTATTTGGTGGGCTCTTCTTGAAAGATATGGGTCCGTATACGGAAGGCTTTGTTCAGGTGTAAATTGAAGAAACGTATGAATTCTTCGACTATTTTGATACTTCATTTATTCCAGTGAAGTATCAACTTGAAGTCAAAAGAAGGCATAACTTTTTCATGTTTAAGACATTCAAAACCAAATATGCACTTATTTGTGTTTTTGCGCTATTAGGATCTTTCAAAAAGGACCGCTGTTGTACGATAATACTGTCATTTAGTGTTTTAGTCAAGTGAGCTTCTATGTTCGGCATTGGCATTCAATTTCATTTTATGTAGCAAAAAATCACTATCACTTTGTAACTGTTATGGAATTACTTATTTCCTTGTTTATAAATTTTCTTCACTTGTATTTCAGAAGCCAATGTCATTGACGGTGATATATTGTTAGATAAAGCGCCGGCTCGAACACGTAGAGCAGCGACAGCAGAGAAGGTGAAATTATGGCCTGGGGGAATTATTCCATACGTTATTGCTGATCATTTTTCAAGTATGATAATATAGTACTCATTATAGTGCATAACTGAACATGATCCCTTGGAGTTTATCTTATGTTAGAGCAACTAAATATTTTCCAACCTTTAACCTTACTCTCAGAACTTTACGTCAATATGCATAACATTGAATGACTTTATATAAAACTATTGTCATTTGCGCGTTTTATGCAAATTTGTCGTCAATACGCAAATTTATTTTACCGAGATAAGCAAAAGTCAGTATTTAACAAAGCTGGTAGTTACGCCATAAAAACTATTGCGTGTATCACGGATATTAAAAAGAAATTGTAGGCATCCCATTGTTTTTATTGATAAAAGTATTACGACTATAGAACAATTTAGTAGATACTGGGAGACTCGTGTCACAACAATCCTAAACTTTAACTCAGCGCTATAATAAATGATTGTTGATTTTCAAGACGCTTTTGTGACTTATCATCGTCATATCATACAAAGAAATATTTTTTGTCAATCATCACCTTTGTTATCTCAATAGATTAAACCGTGATAGTGGAAAACCCTGTTTGTACTTTTAATAATACGAAGGTCGTCTTCTGTAATCTTTCAAGGTTATGATAACGAAATTTGCTCTCAAACAATAACAGTTCGTCGCATACTTTGTAATGAGCTCGTAAACAAACAACGAAAACCTGTCAGTTTTGAGTACATTGGACGGTGTTTTAAGTGCCCACTTTTGTGTACTTTTCAAACCGATTGTTGTATTTGTCAAGTTAAGAAAACTCAATTCCCGTTGTTTTGACAAAATTATACATTTCTAAATCTCCACAGTTGTTACAAATATAAAGATTCCTTATTTATTTGACTATTTTCAGATCTCACTCTACCATAAAAAACAAGTTTCAAAAAAAATTAGAAATACTGTGGTTTATTTGATGACATTTTTGAGGAAATTTCATTCAAAGTTTTAACAGCTGAAATGTCATGGCAACTTATTGTCTTCTGCACACAATCATCACCACAGTCTCATAGTTCATTAATCTTTGTACACAGTAATTAGATACAGGATAAACTAGACCTTCACAGTTTCACATAGAATATAACTTTACTCGAGAGTTAGTAATAGATGTGTTTCAGATAGGACTATATGGTTCATAAAACTCTGAATGAACAGCTTATATACTAGTCTATTATATCAATGTATAGGCATGGTGAACAACATGTACTTAATGATATCCACAAAAACGAATAATTTTCCCGCAGCTAAAGTATTTCGACATATATTAATTTTACGTTTTTAAACAGTACAGGCTAGAGCACATTTTTGCTTGCATATGTTGCTTGTCAAACTATGTATATGACTACCTATCCCTAATATTTTAGCTAATTTGTTATTGGGTATCCTTCCGTCATGAGAACCAACTATTTCATCTAGATAGAACTAAAGAAAAGATTCGAGAAGCAATGAATCATTGGCAAAGCTATACTTGCTTGGATTTTGTCCAAAAACTGACGAAAAAGACTATGTATACATATACAGTGGAAAAGGGTGAGAAAATTGTACTTAACATCTTAGTAAAACAATTTTGGTACAACTTCACCGGTAGCTAAAACCCAAAGTTTTAATTAAATGCTCGTCAAGCTTTAATCGTGGACATCGCTTTTCAGGTCTATCTCTTAATAAAAGCACATACTTCTATTAAAATTGTAACACTAAAAGCACATTCTTCTTAGTTCTATGTTATAACACACAAACTTCGCCTTTACATTCTCCATGGACCATGAATTCTGTTTTAAGCGTGTGTTTGAAGTAGGAAAACATTTTAGAGGAAACTCGGCATGTTTCGAAGATATGTGCTTTTAGTAAAGGAAAGACTTTACATTAGCAGGATCAGTGGACAAAATCCTGCCTCTGGCGTGAGAGGGCAAAGCTTTGTGATCAGTGAATTCCGACAAAATTCATATTTCCCTTAAGATTACTTTAATAACGTACATGATAGGTATATGAATTATAAAACATCCAAAAATACACTTTACAAAACGTTATTCTACAAGAATATCAACGTTTGCATATCGCTATTTCACAACAAAGCGCATTTTGTACTTTTGCCGGAAACTTTAGGGGGAAAGGTGTTTCAGTCAATCTTTCAGACCACTAACGTACGCAGTTAATGTCACGAAACTAAAGTCAATGATTCCAAAATACTATCGAATGACTAACATTTTAAAACATTAGTACTGCTCTCGTTGAAACTTCAATAACCTTTTGTCGGAATTTTCAATTGAGGTGATTCAGAATTCCCGACAAAGCTAAAAATTTCCGGCAAATTGGCAATCCGACCAGAGGCAGGGAGAGCAACCCCACCTAAAGTTTCTCAACTTAGTAGGATCGTGAATTAGCGACACAAGCATTGCCAAAATAAACATAATCATATCATAATTTGATAATCTTTCCGTTAATGATTCTTTCATCGCAAATCTTTTTTTTGAATAAAACATTTTGAGAAGTTTTCGGCACAATCAGCATTTAGTTGTTTTATGAACTAAAAATTCTCGTGCAAATGAAATAATTTGATAAGCTGTTTGAACAAGTTTACCACCGAAAATGGATTGTACAAGAATGATTTTCCAAGATTTTGTCGTTTAGTTGTTGTTCGCATGTTGGACGTTATGGAGGAAGACAGCGTTTGTCTTTGGGTATTCGTTGTGATACTTTCGGCATTATTGTTCATGAACTTGGTCATGTTGTTGGGTTCTGGCACGAACAGAGTCGACCTGACCGAGATACCTACATTCAAATTCTTTACGACAACATTAGTAAAAACAAAAAGTTTAATTTTAAGAAATTGCAGAAGGAAGATGTTGATTCACGTGACCAGGTACTTTTATGACCAACACAGAGATTTGTAAGAAAGCTAAATTTTTGTTTTTAATGTCTATCGAAATAATTTTAAAATGTACTGTAAAAATATGAATTTTTGCACGAAAATTCAAACGTGCCTTTAATTTTCCAACTTATTGCTAAGTAATAGTTTCTTTTCCCATCCTGATTCAAGCATTGCCCAGTCTTAAATGAAGCCTAGAAATTCACTTGCTCGTAGTCGTTAGTAATATGTAATGTTTTGACATCAACGTTCTTTCACTATTCTAGCGTTATGACTTTCATAGTATCATGCATTACGGCTCAAATTTCTTTGGCAAAAAAACTGGCGTTGATACAATTCTTCCCAAATTTGACGAAATAAAAAAAGAAGAATTAGGAAAACAGTACTTTTCAACATACAATTTTGCTCTTAGTAAACAAGATGTGATTCAGACGAATCTCATGTATCAATGTAATATATTCAACGGTATGTTTCTTTTTCATAAAAAAATCACTCAATTTGTTATTTTCTTCATTTTTAATTCAACAAAATTTTGGAAATGGAACAATTTTGTTTTGTATATTTTAGAACACGGAGGCACCATTTTTGCAAAATCAGGAAGCTTTCATTCGCCAAATTATCCATTTCCGTATACAGTGTCACGTGATCGTATTTGGATTATCACAATTCGTCACTCTAATAAAACTTCACTTACCTTGATCTTTGACGATTTCTCAGTCGGAAGCAGTGATGGTTCGGGCACATGTAAGAATGATTATTTGGACATTAGGAATGGCAAAGGATTTTTATCGCAATATCTTATTCAACTATGCGGTAATAAGAAACCTGATCCAATCACTGTGTTGGGAGAAAGCATCTATATCCGACTGCATTCACAGCTTGTGACGCGCAACAACTATAACATTAAGAAAGGATTTGCAGTTCGATTTAAAACGGATGGTATGTGAACGTGTAACACCTTTTTCTGTGTGCAGTGTTTCGAAACATTTTACACAGATAGATAAAAAAGTATTACATTGCAAAGAAACTGTAATTATTTCATGATGTTCTTGAAGAAGCATAAGTCAAAATAGGGAAAAATTCCTGAGTGATCAAGTCCCAAATGAATATCTTCTTTCCAACCTTCATGTGAATTGCCATGATGTTTTATAGAATGTAGCCGAAAAATGATAAACATGAAGGATTCCTTTAGCACTCCACGCTTCCCACAGCGTTATAGTCCCAACATGGACTGCATTTGGCAGATTCGCGTTCCCAATGGTTATAAAATCAAGATAACATTCAATGAATTCCATCTAAAAGGTGTCGACAACAAGATAGGTTGCTTAGATTATGTTGACCTGCGAGATGGTGAACATCCATTTTCCACATTTTATGGTCGTTTCTGTGGTAATAACAATCCTGGCATAATCATGTCTACTTCTTCGAAATTTCGAATAATTTTCCATTCGTCATCACCTCATAATGAAACAACTGCAGTTGGATTCAGTGCAAGTTATGAAAGCATCGGTAAAAATTGAATTATTCAACGATTGCCTTAATAATTTAATTAATAGTTTGGTAAAGTTGAAGTTTGATTATTGTTGTAGATATCGATGAATGTGAAGAGAAAGTATCAGAATGCGAACAAGCATGCGTAAATAAACCAGGTAGTTATGTTTGTGGATGTCGTTCTGGATTCTCATTTGTCCGTGGTTTACATGGAACATGCGTAGGTAAGATGGTTTTAACACACATCTCGAAAATACATAAAAAACGCATACTACAATTCTTGCAGTAATTAGGATTTTAAAAATGAGCACTGGTGATAGACCGAGTGCTCCAACGTGCATATCTTGTCTGCCTGAAATATTTTTCTGGACTTTAACCTCCATCGAGAGCTGGAGCCTGGATAAGGTTGAATTATAAAAGAACCAAAATTCATATTACAGGAAGTTTTTTTCATTGTTCTTGTCTGTAATATTTTGAAGTGTTTGTAGAGTTTTTTGGTGGAAATGCATTGAAATCTTACGCCACGACAATATCTCTTTCAGATAAAAACGAGTGCGAAGAAAACAACGGTGGATGCTCTCATGGTTGTGAAAACACGATTGGTGGTTTTCAATGTACATGTCCCAGAGGTCACTACCTTGTTTCTCACGACAAGATTTGTACAGGTAACATTTTTAAAGCTAACATTTATTTTAAGGACTTGAAATTCACAATTGTATTATTCGTTTGTATTGTTGTCTTTAGACATTGATGAATGTGCACTTAATCCTTGTTCGCATTATTGTGAAAACTTCATTGGTGGATTTAATTGTTCGTGTCGTCATGGATACAAACTGAATGACGACAAAAGAACATGTGATGGTACAAGAATGACAAAATGCAGTTATTTGACGACTATGATGTTCATTTCTCACATCCTTATATTTTAGATATCAACGAATGTTTGAGCTTTCCATGTCCTTTCAAGTGTCTCAACAAAGACGGAAGTTTCAAATGTGTATGTCAACCTGGAAGAATATTTCATGGAAAGACAAATAGTTGTCAAGGTATGAAAATCAACATTTTTCAACAAAACGCAGGAACAACAATGAGGTTGAAAAAACACGATTGCATCGTATTCGTGAATTGAATCAGGACTAAAATTTAAAATTCTCTTTGCGTTGTAGTGTTGTCATCATGTAATGTAACTTACAGTAAACCAAGTGGAGAGATAACTTCACCGATTTTATCTAAACCCTTACCACACAATATTGACTGCATATGGAAAATACAAGTTCCCCAAGTGACACACGTCAGCATCAAAATAGACGTCCCTTGGCGACGCGCTCAAAATTGCTTCAACTACATATTGTTGCAATACAACTCTGATGAAAGCTTGAAATCGAAAAAAATTTGTGGAAAAGAAGATTTCAGAGAGAAAATCGAGCTAAAGTCTAATGACATATGGATCATATATCATGTTCAGGTATGTAAGTGTATTCATGCTGGGGCCGGTCGCACGAAGTCTGAATAGCGGCATCCATTGCATGGTAAAATTTTCAAACTTCTAAAAAAGATGTTTGCATTTTCCTTGCGACAGATTTTGTAATCTTAGAAGTAATATTTTCTTTCAGTGATTGCTCAGTTCAATTCGTATATTTTTCCCCTTTAAGAGATTTTTGTTATCTATTGGATAGCGCCATTCGGCTTTTGCGCAACCAGCCCCAGATTGCCTAAAGACGGTACTCGTCAGTGCATTGTATCTGTTCAATTAACTACGGTACTCGTAAATGAATCTTACCAGTTAAACTACTACGGTACTCGTTAGTGATTCTTACCAGTTAAACTACTACGGTACTCGTTAGTGATTCTTACCAGTTCAACTACTACGGTACTCGTTAGTGATTCTTACCAGTTCAACTACTACGGTACTCGTTAGTGATTCTTACCAGTTCAACTACTACGGTACTCGTTAGTGATTCTTACCAGTTAAACTACTACGGTACTCATTAGTGATTCTTACCAGTTAAACTACTACGGTACTCATTAGTGATTCTTACCAGTTCAACTACTACGGTACTCATTAGTGATTCTTACCAGTTCAACTACTACGGTACTCGTCAGCTTTAGCCACTAATATACAATCATTGCTTAACATTTTAGACGTCGCAAAAAACTAAAACTATGATATCATATACCAGCAGTAAGAAAAACGTTCAATGTAAAAAGATTTTAACGCAAAGCAAAGGAACAATAAAATCACAACATTTTCCTCAAAAATATCCGGCCAACACTCGCTGTGAATGGAGAATAAGAAACACTGGGAAACATCAACTTTATCTAAAATTTGACTTTTTTGAACTGGAAAGGGAAAACTCCTGCAAATATGATTACTTAGAGATCAAGTTAAGAACACTTAATCGAAGGCATCAAAGAATTCTGGGCAGATATTGCGAAAGCATAGAACGCAAGTTCAAGATATCGCCTGGGAGGGAACTAATTCTCATCTTTAATTCAGATTCGACTATTCAAAGGCGAGGATTTCATGCTTACTTTTGCAGTAATGCAAAGTTAGATTGTTAGACGACTATATAATTTATCGACACTGTTCGAAAAGCACTTGCAGGTTGCTTAACTTATTAGGTGCAAGCTCTATCCATAAATGATAACATAGCCATCAAATACAAAATATGAAATAGGCATGTATAGTTTATTACTTGTATAAAAACATAGCAGTTACGGTGTATATAATGATATCAATAAATGTGTTTTTGAGTTTTTGTTCTAATTTCCTATTTGCCTTGTAATAACTCTAAAGGAAGACGGAAACATACTAAAAAATGCAAGGGGCAAGGACTCAATTTTTGGCTACACTAAAAGACGATGAACCGATAACCAAGGGAAGGTATCATTAAGCGGTTGGGTAACTGCACAAAAATACATTGAGAAATACTTTATTTATTTTTTTTTTTTTGATTACATTGATCGGATGTCCAGGGTTTTTCCCAATATTAAAATATTCTTTGACAGTTGTGAAAATAAACTTCACTCTTGTGATTTGCTTGTGATGGGGATAGGTACATCTTGCTTACTACTAGATGGTAGATCACGCAATTCTGCTGGTGGGTCAGCATCCTTTGTTTTCTTTCTGGTACTTGATCGTGTAGACATTCTCTGCACTGGCGGAGTGTCCTCAGAAGCTCGAACTGGACTGCAAGTGGTTTTCTTTTTTTCATGAGAAGACTCGTCTTCATGTGAGTTAGATTGAGTCGAGGTTGTACTAGGATCTACTTCTGAAATGGACACGGTACTCGTTTTGTTATTTCGAAACCACGGATCATTTCGTATACCTTCAATATCAATTCGCTCACTGACATCACTTGTTAGCATTCGTCCAATCAAATTTTTCACCTCAGTTGTCAACAATGCACCACGCTTACGAGGGAACTGTACTCTTTTAGATACTTGCTCCAAGAGAATCTTTAAATTGCTATCATCAAAAGGCAAACTGGCACACACCATAGTAAATAATACAACTCCGAGGCTCCAAATATCTGCCATAGTACCATCATAAGCGATACCTCGAAGGATTTCAGGTGGAGCATAAGCATACGAGCCACAAAATGTCCGACTCAATTTTCGTTTTTGCGAATCTGGAATTTTTGCTTGAACTCTTGAGAAGCCAAAATCTGATATCATGATTGCGTTAAGCTGGGTTAGGAGAAGATTTTCACATTTTAAATCGCGATGAACAATATCCCTGTCGTGCATGTAAGCTGTGGCATCAATTAACTGTCTAAAATAACCTCTGGCTTTTTCTTCTGAGAGTGCACCTTTTGATCTGATATGTTCCAATAGATCGCCATTATCAGCCATATCCATGACAAGGTATATACGAGAACTCGTTTCAATCGCCTCGTAAAGGCACACGCAATTTGGATGACGAAGTCGTTTCATTACTTGAATTTCACGAGGGAGAAATTTTGTTAAATAGTCATCTGGTGCTCGTCTTTTTGATACTATTTTAATTGCAACCCGTTTTTTGTGTTTTTGCGAGTATGCTGCTTTAACAACGGCATAGGAACCTTTACCGAGTGATTCTCCTAAAGTATAACCATATGATTGTAAAACAGCAACGGCAGAGTCTGGTGGTGGGCTACTGTCACGTTTACTTGTACTTGTTACACTTGATGTCGGTGGAGCGACGGAACTTGGTCGTGTCTCCTTTGTCGCCTCAGGCGATGCTGACATCGACGTGATGCAGCAGAAAATTGCACGCAGCTGGTTCACTTTGTAATCCAGAGAAACAACTTCAACAAAATACTACTCATCAGTGCGCATAAGATGCAATATCACACTGACAACAACCGTTTCGTACTTTCAACTTCTCATGCGCAATTACTCACTGTGACGTAACTAGATAAATTCATTCTTTACTGCGTGCGCATGCTCCACTACTTTTTGCTTTTAGTATAAAAACCGGCATGATAAAGCAAATTTTATTATCTTCGAGCAATACGATTTTGAAGACATTCGTATATTGGCTGGCTGATACTAGCGAAACAAAATAATATTGGAAGCTAAAATAATTTTTTCAAATGGTATGTTGTATTGTTTTCGTAAAATGCGTGGGTATATATAATTTACATGTATATATTTCTTGAACACAAAATAAAACAAAAATTGTATCATACTAAAATTTCTGGCACGGTTTACCACGATTGAAGTTTTTCGACATAAAAAGATATTAAATCCTACCATACTTTATGGCAAAATACTGGTTTGTCGACTAAACAATCGTGTTCGACTGGAATTCTGAGTAGCACTACACATTACCTCCATCCATCTAAATTCAAAACAAAACTTTCGGATTAAACTGAGTAAATTAGCTATTGTACAAAAAAATGCAACGAAATCTTTACTTACCTAAAATATGAAAACTCGCTGTCTGCCCGAAAAAAGTAAACATGGGTTTTATATTGAAGTTTAATGACGAGTTCTTTCATTATTTTGTCATTCTAAAATGATGAGTTTAATTTTCAGTACATTACTATAAACAGCTAAACAAAATGAAAGAGCGTAAGTTTAGTACCTAGAAGATGTATTCGTATAATTTCTGGTCAAGATAATAATATTGCATATCAGCAGTACGGATTTTACTGTTTTGAATACAGCGTACGTAAAAAGTTTTACAACATTTCTTATTTTAAAGAATAGTTGTTGAGAAATAAAACGTCGATGTTTTAATATATGTCCTTCGTGTCTTAGCAAAATAGCTCGTATTTTTTGTTACGAAAGACATATCACATGCAAACTCGCTTCCTATTTCCCAGTAACGAGACGAAAACATTCAGAAATTTGCTGGTGATATATCTAACTTTCCGAAGGCAATTACATACAACAATATGTAACTTGGTCCATTTTCGACGTTCAAATTATACAAGCAATGAAACTTACTTCGTCTGGTTTAGTGACGGCATAACCAATCAAAGGAAGACTTGCTAATGGCTGCTCGTCCTGTATTGGAATTCATGAAATCATTGTCAGTCATTGCCTTATACATAAAATGGACACAAACATGAAAAAACCTCGTGAGTTTTGTAAAAGAACAAACAGAAATTTGTTAAAACAACAAACAGTTTCTGCCATTTATCGCCACTTTTATATTTTCTTTGTAATTGACCAGACAACTGATTCTAAAGACAAAGATATTTCGTATATAATTATGACTAGAAAAAACAATAACGCATTTAGACTGGAGAGCTCCCATTAGCGCAGCATGAAGATTTTTTGTTCATGATCAATTGGTTATTCAAGGAGACATCGTTACAAAAGTAAAATTTAAAACACAACAATACAACAACAGTAGGATTTCACAGAGATGAGAGAGATTTAAAAAACTTGATAAAGAATTGTGTTCAACTATTCAATTTTACGATTAAACATTTATGAAATTAAATTTTTTGTTGTATAAACATGCTCATAAGTAGCTCATTGCAGTAGCGTTGAAATTTAAACCCTTACATGAAATTTCATGAAAAATAATGGCTCATTACTAAAAACATAATTTCATCGACTTTGTTTCAGTGAATGAATACAAAAACATTAACAGTAAGTAGTAAAACATTGGATTGATGTGTAAAAACATACCCTGACAGCAATACTGTACTCTACAGTACTGACACTAGTGTTTCTATGCCAACACACTCTCCTGGTAGACATAGTTCTAGAACATGCATGTCTTTTATCAAGAGAAGTTGTTTTATTTTTCTTTTCTTCATTATCGCCATCCTCAGGGTCTGTTATGCTGACAACAACTATTGCAAATAAGGAAATTGTCATATGTAAATAAGAAGACAAAACTCTAAATCTGATTTAATCGACATAAATATTATTCTGCAGGCACTACAAACGTTTGTCATACGTGTTTTCATCATAAGTACTGATATCATACCTTCATCAATGATTGGTAAAGACTAAAAAATAAGTCAATTATTCAGATAAAAATTCAACTGAATTTACACATTCATTCATAATGAGAAATTTGAATAAATTTACTCACATTATTTTTGGCTTTCATAATTGTCACATTCAAGTCCTGTGTAAATAAATACTTGGTGGAAGTTATCGTAAAGACAAGAAAAGAGCTTTAAATTCTTTACCTCCATCCATTTTGCTCTTTCATTTAATGTCGTGGCCGCTACTATGTATGTTTTATCTTCTGTGATTAAATTGAAGCAAAACAAACCATGCATATCGTCACCTTTTTCAATCTATACGTACACAAGATGAACAATTAAGTTAAAGTTAAGCATTCCAGTCATCATAAAACAATAATACCTTTACGGATTGAAGTTGGAATTTTCCGTGGACTTTAAACTGATTAGTGGCATTTCCACCTCTACTTGTAAAAATCAAAACATCTGAAAACTTGAAAAGTTTGAACAACAACAATTAGTCGTTTTCATTTATAAAATAAAACACAATGAAACGCGTGCGCTGATTGGTCTAGAGCTGTGTTTGCATTAGCCTGTGCACAACACATCTGAGCTCAACCTATCAAATCAATCAAAACAATCAATCTGTCAAAGAGAATTTGCAAATCGATCATGAATACATTTCAGAGAAAAAATTAAAATGTTTGTCTTTTTCGCATTATTTTACAAAAGAAATAAACGATGTTTTTCGTGTTTGCACTAGCTTATGCAAACCTCGGAGACGTTTGTGAGAACTCTCGCACATGTACAACCCTCGACCTTTCGGTCTCGGGCTTGCACTGATCTGTAACAACTGTAATGAAAACGAGAGATTCAAGGATAGTGATAATAAAAAAACAGTGCTATATGACTTGTAATTTAAATCAACCATAAAATGTTTTTAGAATTCTTTCATTTCATTAATTCCAATTTTGAATAATGAAGGCGAACATTCATTGACTTCAAAGCAAACATATCCTCTGAGCATCCGCATTCATGGCAAAGTTCAACTGGATCAACTAGCATAAATTTCAGTGCTCTCACAATCAAATTTCTTAGTTCCTTAGAAAATGTTTCCTTAGAAAATTCCTCAAATTTCCTACAAGGCATAATCACATGGGCTCAAAAAGTGATTTTTCATGGTTTTTCCTCCTTTTTTGCTGTTTTCAAGTTTGTCAACGTTGTACTTGTAAAGAAAAATTAAATATTATTAAGTGTAGGTGAATTTAAAATATAAAAACATTTTTAAAAATATCCTTAAAACTTTTAGAAAATCCTATTTTTAAGGATAATTCCTTAAAAGGGAGAGCACTGATCAATTTTGAAGTAAATAGCTCGCTCATACATAATTAGCTGCACATGCGCAGTTTTCTCGATCACGCGCAGTCGACTAGATCTATTGTTCAAGTTCACAGACATGGCAACAGCAAACTGAATTTACTTGCACAACGTCTGGAGCATATAGCTCGCATATTTATCAACTATAAAAGAAATAAAATGAACACACGCAGTTCACTCAAGCATGTATAAACCTGCACGGCTTTCCACGTAACTGTCATACTTGATCACATAGATATTACTAGAGAAATCGTGTGAGCTAGCGTTGTCCAGTCAAGCAATTCTCGATGGCAAGCAACCAACTGGATGTTTATGCACTACAGTTAGAGTAAATAGCTCGCTTAGTTGCAAAACAATGTAGAATTTCCTAGATTTCGTTAAAACGGAATATATTCTAACATACAACGAACTTCATGGATACTAATGTCCGCAATTTGCATGTTGTTAATGATTTAATATTTAGAGTTTTTCAAGAATATTTACGATTAAACGGGGGAAATAAAATTCATATCACACTTGTCCTAAAATAATACACTCATTTCAGACTACTTCTTCCTACAATATATTTTCAATATACGTACGTACCAGAAAAAACATTCGTGGTTGGGAGCCGCTTCGTGAAATTTTTTGCAAGCAACCTTCACGTACAAATTTCTAATTAGGAAATAAAAATACCAATGATAAAAATGAAGTATAATGAACAGTTGATTAAAGAACAATGATGGATAAAGTAGGACGATGAGTACGATATGATGATGTTGAGTATTGAGTAAAAATCATAAATAGGACATCAGTACACATGGTGATGTCTCATCTAAGAAAAAATGGTGGGATGCACAACTTCACTAATATGTACAGTAGAGATGGTCAGTAAAGGAGAAAGCAGTCATATACTATTGATCGATTTGCCAGTAAGTTATCAATAATTTAATCGACAAATTTAATCGACAATCATACCCTTTCTCCTTGAACAAGATTGTCCAAACCAATAAGATCTCTTTCCAGCTCAATCAATCTTTGATAGTTTTCCTACAATGATCAATTTTAAATGACATTAGGTACCCATGTGTTATAAACATTATAAAAAGTGCAAAGAACTTACTAAGACTTTTGTGGATTGTTCTAATTCTTCCAGGATTTCAATAATTGTTTCAAGTGACACTAAAAGGCAAAAAATAATGCTCATTATTAAATGAATTTATCATACGCAAATGAAAAACATGTGGTTTAGACGTTATTTTGACGTGATCCTAGTACGGCAAGTCACAATCAAATTTCGTATGATGTAAATTCAAAACATAGTGCCATTAAACAACTAGTGTCGTGTAAGAAATATTTTGCCCACTTGCAGTTTATAAGAATTTTCCCTTATCTCCAATGGTAATCGGATAGAGCAGTGGACTAGTATCATTGTACGAGAAGAAATCTCGTCCAAGCCACTAGCTCTTCATGCGCGTACAGCGGTGAATTTTTGATAATCAATACATAAACCAGCAGTTTCCAACTTAGGATCAAGATGCATGAGTACATTTACAAAAAATATACGAAAAAGTAACATAAATAAACCTTTTGAGTCTTGGTAGTCGGCATGACCTGTGGTGTAAAACTGAACTAACTCTAAAATAAAGAACAATAATACAAGTATAAGTCATACGTAAATAATTAATAAAAGAAAAATCATATATAATAATACATTATGCAGTGAGAAGACATGTCATAGGTCACTTACTTTCCATTATAAATTTATAATATATCAATCTTTGAGAAGGCTTCAAAATAAATGCATTAAGGCTAAGGTAGCATACAGGTTGAAGCTAAAATAAGAAACAATCGTAGAGTTATGTGAAAGGTAACAAAAAACAAGTTGTCGATAAATCTAACACAAAAATAAGTGTACGGGAGCTATCATTTCTGGGGGAGGGCAGTAAATACTTTCACCCTTGACAATTTTTAAACTTTCTTGGAGGGCTGCTCCCTGAGATCAACCAAACGATAATTACAAATAACAAAAGCAGTAACTACTATATAATACAGATTCACAGCGCTTCTTGCCATCATGTTATTTTAGTATGCTTACCTCGAATTCTTTGTATAATTTCTTAAATTCAGGTGAACTTTTTGTTGTCTTATACAGAGCGAGAAGAACCTTCTCATGATTTCTCACAATACCAATAAAGTTCTAAGCAAAGGATAAAAATATAGCTTGTAAACTAGATGGGGAAAAGCTTTATATATATTTAAATCAAATCATAGTTAGAAATTACTAATACATAGAAACGGTGGAGAGTATCAGTTGGGACATTAGTTCTTTTTTCTGCACTAGTCGTTGATGTTAATATTTTATTGATAAATTCATTAAATAAACAAATAATATAAAAAACATTACAAGTGAGAGTTTTCAAAAATTTCTGCATTCATGACAACATTGATATACATAAATTTTCTCAAGAATAAACGCTGATAAACATAAATATAGAGAAAGATTAACATTGAAAATCCTTCTACAATTATTTACCTTCATTTGCGATATACAACTCAACATTATATCGCCAATTTTATGACAATCATTGCTCTCGTCAATTTCCCTAGAAAATATGTCAAAGACAGAAAAATAATAATCAGTCATAGTATATGAGATTGTTCTATGGTTGTATTGTTTCGTACCATTGTGTAAGTTTTTGCTGCAATTGCCCAAGGAATAGACAGTGATAGTCGTACAATGGATCAAAGTTACTGAACAATAGTTCCTTTACATCATCTGGAAAGGCTTCCTTCTCAAACACTGCATTGCGAAATGCCTAAAAAATGACACATCGAAAAATGCATTGCCGATGGTATTCATCATTTTTTAAATAAAGGGAGGGTTGCGAAAAGAAGATGAAAAAAAAGACGAAAAGAAGATTTTTCTCTTTTACTTAAAACAATTAAAACAACTAAGCACTAACGCATTTTAACTATAACGATAAAACTAGTTGTGTGTATATAAACATCATTAATACTGTCTACAATTAATACACTTACGATTGTTATGACCTCCAGATCTTTAACGTAACTACATCAAGATAGGTAACAAAGGCAGGCATTATAATACAATGATGTCATGGTCATGAAAACAGATGCGTATTTCTGGTTGTTACAATACTCACGTTCGTTCTGTTTGCAGGATTTCTCTCGCAACGTGGTACGCAGTACCTATAGGTATCTTCACACACAGAAAAATAAATTAAAACCACTGAGTTTCGAAGGAGGTAAATATTATCACTTTCACTAATCATTTTCACCCCTACTGACAATATAATGGACACACACCTTTGTATCTAAGGAGTCCGCACTTCTATATGTACTCAGAGGAGAGGAAAGAGAAGATATTGATGAACCTTCACTAAACAAATCTTGACTTAATTCATCATTTTCTGAATCGGACGCCACAGTTGATGTTAACGTTGTAACATCTAAAAGAAATCCAAATATAAATAATTCTCACAAACTAAATACTAATAAATGTTCATATGTGCTTCTACGTACAACTGAGATAAAAACTTCTACAATAATCGAGGTAGGATTTCAAATCCATTTAAAACACTTTTTCCAGGAATGGATTTACTGAGGGGGAAGAGTTAGGGGAGGAAAAGCAGTGGATATGCACCCATCTTAGCCTTGGCTAGAGTGAGTGCAGGAGGGGAGTCAATTTCACAATAAAATTTCAAGAAATAAAGCTGAACAGAAAATCATGAACAGAAAAAGTAACAGAACGTACAAAGATGTTTTATACAATGAGATCAACAAAATATCTGCAAAAATCTAATAGAAACTAGAGCACAACTTCCTAATAAATCCACCAGAATCTATTCCTGCTTCTTGTTTTAAAATGGAGACAAGCTTTTTTTTATACTAATTAGCAATGGATCAAGACACAGTACAATAATTTAAAACGAAACTTTTTCGAGACAAACGGGGATTAGTAGTGATTATCGACCTTCGTTATATTAGATCATACTTAGTTCATTGACGGATGCTTCATGCTCTCCGTTCAGCAGAGATTTTGATTCCCCAGAAGCAATTTCATGCTCGCCATTGACGGTGGCACAATGTGCATTTTCGCTTCCAGCTTGCAGAAAGCTACAGAAAAAAGATAAGATATAGTCATACAACAAGGTAGGATATAGTCATACAACAAGGTAAGATATAGTCATACAACAAGGTAAGATATAGTCATACAACAGGATAAGATATAGTCATACAACAAGGTAAGATATAGTCATACAACAGGATAAGATATAGTCATACAACAAGGTAAGATATACTCATACAACAAGGTAAGATATAGTCATACAACAAGGTAAGATATAGTCATACAACAAGATAAGATATAGTCATACAACAAGGTAAGATATAGTCATATAACAAGATAAGATATAGTCATACAACAAGATAAGATATAGTCATACAACAAGGTAAGATATAGTCATACAACAAGATAAGATATAGTCATACAACAAGGTAAGATATAGTCATACAACAAGATAAGATATAGTCATACAACAAGGTAAGATATAGTCATACAACAAGATAAGATATAGTCATACAAAAAGGTAAGATATACTCATACAACAAGGTAAGATATACTCATACAACAAGGTAAGATATAGTCATACAACAAGATAAGATATAGTCATACAACAAGGTAAGATATAGTCATACAACAAGATAAGATATAGTCATACAACAAGGTAAGATATAGTCATACAACAAGGTAAGATATAGTCATACAACAAGGTAAGATATAGTCATACAACAAGATAAGATATAGTCATACAACAAGGTAAGATATAGTCATACAACAAGATAAGATATAGTCATACAACAAGGTAAGATATAGTCATACAACAAGATAAGATATAGTCATACAACAAAGTAAGATATATCCGTGCGCACTGTACATTCCATGTTGCTTCAAATGAAAAACCTAATGTTTGAACATACGTTTCGTTAGGTGACATTCTATTATGGAGATGATCAATATTTAGTTCTTCTTGAGATTGTTCCGTTGAAATATGACGTTCGGGTAAATAAAGATGTCCACTTTCATCATTTGACCCCATTGATGCCAAACTGCTTTCAATAGGATAATCAGCTTCAATTATTCTTGTTTCAACATTGCCATAACCAATCAAAGGACGTGGAGATGATCTTAAGCTACTTAGCGAGTTATCGTTAGAGGATGGTAGTCGCAGACTCTGAGACCTACGTATGGATAAACAATCTCAATTAATTAAAAATTGTTACACCATTAAAAAGAAATAAATTGTTTCGGGGTTGCCACATTTTTCGAGTGCCCTAGTTATTAGTTAACGACGTATAGAGTTTTCATCTTACAAGGTTACTGTATCCAACAGTAACTCTCTTTACATAAAAATAATGGAATTTATCCAGCTTTCTTGCAATAAAAATAATCATTACCTATTGAAGGTAGAATCATTTCTGAAATTTTTATCATGTGAATTTTCCATAACTTCTCTCTGAGTTCGACCGCTAAAACAAAACATCGTCGGAAATTCATTAATAAATAAAACACAAGTATTCCCCGCCCTACCCCCCTCCCCTATAATAAAGAAAACAGTATTTTTTATACAACTAATACACCAGATGATCTACCTGTGACGATATTTAGAGCCACGACCAAAAATTTTCGATTTCGGTTTATTGACAGATTTTTGCTGATATTGTCTGAAAAACAAGTAATTTTGAGAAACATTGCATTATAGATCTGTTCATCTTCAAACACGATTTAAAAATGAAAACATGAATATAAAAGTATCACTAGAACATTTATAGAAAAATTACCTAAAAAATGTGTGAGTGGCAGCCGTCAGTTTCCAGAAAGATTTTGCTTTATCGCGACTTTCCATCATAAACTCCAAAGTGTCTTGCTCATTCAACTGATAATGTTGAGAATATAGTGAAATGATATCTGTATTATCGTTTTTGCAGCACAAAAAGTCAATATATGTTAATATAGGATTCAATTTATACAACTTTAAATATATGGACCTCTGGATGGAGCTTTATGAGAAATTTCCGTCGGTGAAAACTCAGTTTTCTTATATTAGCCCTAACATAAAACATAACAAAATTAAATATAGAAATATTTGTTCTAAAATACCTGAAAAGTGCAGAAAGAATTAAGACCATGTTACAATAGCTGAAATAAAGATATCTCACCATGAAAATGTATTGACACGATCCTTATCTTGAAAGACAACGACACCCATGTGAGCCACAGAAATATTCAATGGTGCACTGTCTTCAGCCTTTTAAATAAAGCCAAATTAATGACCATTTGCATAAGTTTGTTTAAAATAAGCTAGTGAACAAGGACAACCACCTACCTTGCATGGATATAGTGTAATGCCATAGGTATCAAGTCTTCGTGCAACATCCAGTATATTGCGGTCAACATCAGCAGGACTTTCTCCTCTAATGAATTGTCAGTTAAGTTTGTTAGCTTTAACTCATACATGAAATGATGTCTTATGATGTCATGCATATTTTCGCTCGACAGGAAATGACGTCTTATATTTTTAGTTCAATTTTTTTCTTCAGAACATTACATTCATTGCAAAACAAAAATGATTTGAAAGAATATTAATAACATAATTCAAAATTTTCCAACCATCCATAACAAGTAAAGATGAAAAGTTTAGAATAAAAATGATAATCCCTAAGTTTTAAATTGTTTTGTTTGTACCGTGAAAGGTGTCATTGCTGTAGTTTACTAAATAACTCTCACTTGTGTTGCTTATGGAAGTCCATTATAAGAGCTTCATCTTCATCTGTCTAATAAAGTAACATTAAAGTGACTTAAGATTTGGATAAATAATTACGATAATAAGTATCATAAATGAATTACCTTATAAGAAATTTAAAGTGCAATAAATTTTGCATTTGTTGAAGTGTTCTCATATACACAATGAATATATGTGAGAACAGATTCAAATTTACCTGTTCTGGGAAAAACTGACTTTCTCTGAGATAACCTGGAGGGTGTGAGACTGGATCCCAGTTTCCAAGTTCACCTATAAATAAAACATTGACCTGGATAAAAACATGATTTATGACATCAATTGATTAATTCTCTGACAACACAAATATCAATACCAGTATTCAAATACTTATCAATGTCATCACACTTTTAAATTCATGATGAATATATTTCATCATGGTGTAGTTTCTTGAAAAAATGAAAATAATAACTTCCCAAAGTAAAACTCATTCAAACCTTGAACATAATATGACGCCAGCAAACATGCTGTTTTTTTGTTACAAACCAATCTAAAGAAATAATGCAGCAAATAAATAAACTTACAAGGTTATAAAGTCATGAATACACACAAATCTAACTGAAAATTCAAAAAGAAAAATGATTTATTGGTATAGAAATGAAGAAGTATAAATTATTCAAAACTTAAACAGCAAAAACATACCTTTCGTTGAGCAAGTCTTTACGAACTTGTAATGCAAATAAATACCTAAAGAGCATATAATTTAATCAATACATACCTAAAATTTTTGTGTGGGTTGAACTTCAGTTACTATTCAACAGAACTATTTTAATTTAAAATTGTCATTGCTTGTCATTGTGTTTTCACATTCCATCCCTCAAATTTCGCCTGGGCACTAAGCGAAAGCCAAAGAAAATATCAAGACCATTAAACTATGCCCATTTAGTTTATCAACTTAAAACTAAGTCAAATGTTTTATTGTATTATTATTGCAGTATTACTCAAGTGAAGAAACAGCTTTATATTGGGTGTTGTTTAAACATGAAAAATCGCATTGGAGTCATTCGGAGCTAAATACATTTGCGTAAAAAACGTTTTCCCAGCTGACCCAATATTCCAAAAGGAAACGCTAAACATATGGTCAAAATGTATCCTGGCACAAGCAAGACTCTGCATTTTTATATAAAATATTCCCATTTATTTTCAAGAAGTGCTGAGGTGAATTGCAAAATTTTTACTACCTTGTTAGTTCCTCCTGCAGCTGAACAGGATCAGCAGCATAAAATTTTACACCAAATCGAAACAGTGTCTTTGCAGGATCTATTGAGAAGAGGAAATTCTATAGTATTGTGTTATTGAAATGTTTTCTAAGCAAAACTACATTAAGGGGCTGATCACATGAGCCCAGTAACCAGGATTCAGCAAGGCATGAAATGATTTTGAGTCATTGAAAGAGTAAAAACTTTACGAGCAAAACTTGCAACCTTTTCTTTGAAGTGTCATAAGTCATTTTTGCCATAATTTTCAATCCAGGCAAAATTATTTGCTGTCATTGTAAAAGTTTTGTGAATTTGTAAAATCAAAGCATAGAGAAATTGCTCAAATAAGTTTTTTGTTGTGAAGTATTTAATCTTTTCCATTTGCCAATAAATAATTTTCTTTCCTATACCTGATAACTTAAGGGGAATTCCCCAGTTTTTCTAAGTTCACTCAAGCTGTTGATTGTATAATGCCATAATATTTTAGAAATTATGATAATTAAATTAATGCAATATAATTACAATGATTTCATATAAATACATACAGGTACAATTAAATACATACAGGTACAATTAAATACATCATGCACATTCAAAAACACTAGAAAGTCAATATATGACATCACTTTATATATTGATTGTTGGAATAAATAATTCTGAAGAAAAGAACATCTAAATATACAATAAGGCAATACATGTTGAATTTTGAACCCATACCTTTTACTTGCTTGTTTAATGACCTTAGTGGATCTAACCAACACTAAACAAAACAACTTTTCAAAATTAACCATAAACAACTCAACTATAATGTCAACTCATTTATATTCAATTTAAATATAACAAGTTTGCTATACAACTGACTATTTTTCAAAATGAACTTGTATATGACTGACTGCTTTGACAGATATCAATTCAATGAGAAATTTGTTAATAAAATTATCCAAAAACATGATTTTCAACTTTCATCGTCAGCTCATTTATATTTTAACTTAATCAATTTCAAATACAAATTTATTTCTTCCATATGAATGACAATATGCAGCCAAGATTTTGTCAATCTTATTTTGAATTATGATTCTGTACATCTATTGATATATTATCTATGTAGCAAACATGAAAATGTTAGACATTAAATAAAAACTTTGATTTATGATATCTTTACATTAACCACATATTTAAGTTAATTCTTATTCAAACTTTCATCAGTAACAAAAACAAGGGACAGTAAGCCATAAATAAACCATGTTATTTCAGATGTTACAAAATAACATAATTAAGCAACTCAAAGGTTGGTTATTTCATAAGGGAATGATCTATTTCAATCTAACTAGCTGGAGCAGTTCTGAGTATGTTGTAATTGTCTTAATTAAATGTTAAAAAATCTGGATACAAAAATCACAATTGCCAGAAATCGCATATTTCTCAAATGAACACAATATTTTTTAGTTACTGCAATACATTAACAAAAAATTAAATTCAATAGAATATCCTGCAAAAATATTTCCTCATGCTCATACAACACTGTATGTACCTACCAGTTGATCGTGCTTGTCATAAAACTGAATCCCAAAATATTCTCGTTCAGAAAGATTTAGATGTTTATACACAAGATCATGAAGCTCTTGACCTTTCCATTTGCCCTTGAAGAAATATACCATCATAATCTGAATGAAGTATAAAATTTCAAGACTGCTAAAAAATAGTTCAGCCATTTTATAGTTGTTCCAGTATAGTATGTTGAAATAACTTTAGCTATACGGCTAAAGCAACAGCATTAAAACAAGGAAACTTGTCTATGGTTTCTATATTAGTAGTTTACAGAACATTGAAACATGTCATGCAATATTAAAAAATATCATATAGCATGAGTAAACTAAATGAATGAAGAATTTTATTTCAACATGCTAACCATTATCAACAAGTGAGTTGTTTTCCACATGGGAAATTCGCAAATTTAACAGAAATGAATTTAACAAGAATTAAAAAAGTACAGTTCCTAAAACATTAAATTACATTCATTAGACTACAAAGTTAAGTAAGTATTTACATTTAAATATCACGAAATTATTTGGGAAAGTGAGTAGTGACTCTGTTTTGAAAAGACTTTAGAGAGCATGACTCTCTGAGATCAAATCTACTTTAATTGCAAGCATTGTTTTAAAAGAAGAAATTTTTACCACAATGAAATCTAATTCAGTATACAGTTGTAAGAACCTATTTATTCATTGATAAATTTTCATACTTAAGCTACTCCACAATAGTCAAAGTTTGATTTTAAAACACAACATTGCAAAGTATTGCCTGACATCCCTTGTGGATGTCTCATAATAATAGTTATTAATTTACAAGGTGTCCTAAAATCATGATAGGTTAGTTGCATCCTGTATTTTCACTATTAGGGGCAGTTTACATGAACGTAAGGTAAACCTAGCAGAAGGGCTATCCTAGCAAGCAAGTGACCCTATATCACAATGTTTTATAGGTAGCGTTAACATGTATGCTAGGGTAACCCTAGGTGTAGAGTTTCCCTGTCAAATTAACCCTTCTGTTAGGGTTACCCCACTTCCATGTAAACAGGCCCTTGGTTGTATTTGTAATCAACTGGCAAAGCCTTGAATTTGAATATGTACATTTAAATAAAGAGTAATTTTATGATGACATCCTGAAAACAATGATTGCAATAAGTCATCAAATGAGGTAGGTAATGTAACTTTTACAATTGTCATTTTAATCTTAAAAATAGTTTCGATAGTTTTAATGAGTAATTTTGTAGTTAAAATATACCTACGATAACGTCAAAAATCGTTTAAAGTGGTTATATCACGAATTTTAGCCCCCCTTTTTTATTAGCTAAATCTAAAGACCTTGTTTCAGTGATTTTAAATCTGCAATTATAATTGAAATTGGATTGGTGAAAGTGATTTTACGGACGTTCAAAGTCACTAATGACTTGTGACGTAGAAAGTTGAACACATATATCAACATGGCGTATTCTACTAATAATCTTAATAAGAAACACGGAGGAAAACGCTGTGTTGCTGGCGGACCTAATCAAATTAGTTGCGCCAATGATTCAAAAACCGAAGGAATGTCGATGCATCTGTTTCCTAAAAAAGAAACAGAGTCGCAAAGACATAGAAAATGGGTAAATTTTGTGCGTAAACATAGACCGGGTTTTGAGGCTTCCTCTACCTCGTGTTTGTGTTCTGCGCATTTTGAAGATTTTTGTTTTGACCTTAATTTGAGCGTGCAAGTCAAGCTCAAAAGAAGGTTGAAGAAAGATGCTTTCCCAACCATTGACGTGGCTGGGATTCCTGAACCATTACAGGACGAAATAACCGATCGAAAGCGAAGACAAGTAAGTTTACGCTTGTTTATGTTAATTTTTCTTTTGTCATATGTAAATTCGATATAAGTTTTGTAGATTATTCGACATACTCTCCATAAGCCATCGCTGAAGGAAACATGTTCTCTCAATGAGGAAGTACCAACTACTAGTGATGAAGCTGAGCATGTTTAAGTATGCACTGGGGAAGCAAACGATTCGCCATTTGAACGGCTTGCTATTTTCCATTTTTACATTTATGCTATGATTTAATTCCATGTATTTTTTCTTTTGTCTTTTTTCCCAGACTGACATTGAAGAAAAGATATTCTTTCATTTAATTCTTTCAGCTTAACCTCTCAGTAGTTGCACCAATTTGTTTTTATTGTTTACTCTTGTTTCAAACCATTAAACTGCATGTCAACTTATATAGTGCATCCATGTATCTCCTATTTGGTTTTCATCTAGGCATATTTCCTGACCATTCCAAACTCAGCAAAGAAGGTCAGCAGTCTCTACAGTGCACAAGTTAAAGACTATTCCATCATCGCCCTCTGATGGTATGTAACCTGTTGTGTTACCACTTGGATATGCTTTCAGAATAAAGTGGTAAACACAAGCAGGTAAAGGCAGTATTCTCCCATCCCATAGACCCACAAAACCATCGCATCAACCATCTGTATGCCACAGCTCTCAAGTACCTGAAGTAAATAAAAGGTTGGACTAATTATTGTTGATGAAACAATGTTGATTATAACATTGTTTTCATACAATTTACAATCTTACATATTTAATGATTGTGATGCTTGGTGGCGATAAGCACGTCCATTCCTATCTCTCAATAGTGGCCCGACGTTTTCAAGGACAGCCTCATGAACTAAAGGCCCAAATTTGGCATGCTGTGTTATGCATGATATTTTCTCAATGCTGCCATCGAATGTCATTTTCTGCAAAGCTGGTCCAATTTCCTTACAGCATCTGTACTCTAATGCCTTCTAACAAATCGGTATGACAGCATTGACAATTACACCTGAAACGTGGGAGCATTCTGGTTTATAAAGTAACTTTATGTATATTACAAACAGGAGAAAACAACAACTTACCATTCACCAAGTGGAATTATGCCATCACTTCGTTGTTCTAATGTTGCAGGGAGAATTCCATCGGGATCATCTGGAGTATGCACTTCATCACCATCTGCTAGCATTTCATCGTCATATGCGAAGTCGTTTAAATGCTCGACATAACCCACGGATTTCGAGCTCGAATCAGATACGCATTCAGACATCGAATTCGAATTATCTGAGCACTGATTTGAGGCCATACTTTCCGGACAACTTGTTTTTTAATATTTTATTGAAAATACTGTCATTATTTGTTTTTAAGACAAGAAAAACGACAGCAAAATCACCTTCTATAATATAATATTATATTGACGGAAACAGACGTGTTCAACTATCTACGTCACAAGTATCAATATGGCATCGTAAAAAATTCGCAAATAGTACCCGACTTTGGAGGCAAAAATAAGCAACTTATATTTATCTGTTTAAGTCCAGCGACATGTCATAGTTCTTCAAATAATCCAAATTTTCAATTAAGCTCATAAAAGAGGGGGGCTAAAATTCGTGATATAACCACTTTAAACACAAGTTCGTTAAAAAGCGGATATAGGGCTTGACGATAGTAAATTATTCAATGTATACTTTTTTCTCATCAGCATTATGCTTTTATTATTGGAGAATGCGTATATTAAAATAATTATTTCTATATTAGTAATATTACATGAATAGCCAATAATAACAATGTCTTTTCAAGCCAACATTTATATTATATTAGTTCACAAACTCAATTTAATGAGTAGAATAGATACATTATAACAATAATAATTGCAGCTTTCATAGATGATAAAATAAATAAAACCCTGCTTACACTACATGTATACTTTAATAAGTACACTTTAAAATAGCTGCAACTTTCCGTTTATTTTTCTCATGCTTGACGTACGTAAACAGTAACCTGCTGCCCTATCTAAGTCCAAATTGCGCGTTGTCTTGTTGTAAAAAGTAGGATTTATAAAAATCTTACCTCAACATCAAACTTGACACTGGTATCATCCAGAAGACAAACGTTCAAGGAAATCATGTCAAATATCAAATACAGTAGCCACACAACGAAGCTCGCAAATTAACTTTATAAAACTGCTACAATATCATATAACAATAACATATCTCGATCACGAACGCGATTTTAAATATTTGTTTTCCCTTTCTTCCCGAGCATTTCAATAATTTGAGTCTGCAAAACAAAAATCATCAACAAAAGAAACTTCAAATGACAAAAATGTTGTTACTATCTTCCTTCTTTTAGTATCCCAATCACAGCATGGAAAGGTATCAATATCTTTATCGTTTATAGCAATTTCCCATTATCCCATCTGTCTTTGCGCGTCGTCGGAAACTTAACATTCACCACCGCGTTGCTTGATGTTACAACAATGGTTACACATAACAACCCATGGTAACAGGTCAAACAAATAGGAAATACAGAAATAGCCTTTTAAGGCAAAAACACTTTCATATTTACTAAAATACTTTTTAACCTTAATATCACAAAACGTTAGTTTCATATGTTATTTTGCTGCTAGTTTTTCTTTCTCCTAGGGCCTAGGGACTTTATAGAACTGACCACAGTTGCTTGGCAACTTCACATAATGGTGATTGCAAAACGAGTGGATAATTGAATATGTTTAGGTATTTTCTTTCTCGTCTTGCTCTGTCACTGAAAGTAATGATTTCTTAATTTTATTTCATTCTGCATGCAGTCTTTTTTTGCGCAACTGTCGCCTCTTGGTCTACAAGAAGAAAACCACATCAACAGGAAACCACTTAAGTTATCGAATATTTCTTATATTTCTGGAAGCATGTCAACTTGAGTGATCAAAATAATTAATTATTAAAGATATCTCGAGTAAGCTTAAACTTATTCGTTGTTAGTATAAGCCTACCATTTCAAATGGCATGGGCAATTTAAGGCTTATGAACTGAACTGACGCATTAGTTAAACCATACTTTGAAAACATTAGGCATGTGCAATGACAAGCCAATGAAATATTGATGTCAAAAATTAAATAAATCACTCGAAGTTGGCTTTCATACCCGCCAATGACCGGAATATCCATTTGAGAAACCTATACTTGTCAAGATCATGTAAAAGTTATCAGTTTTATTTTAGTTTTGTTTCATGTTTCAAGTTTTCTGGCAGTGAGCGTAGATTAAAAATTCATTTATCCACGCCCACGTTGAGGTTCGTTTAGTACTGCCACGACCCTGATGACAGGCAGTGACATGGCCAGCTTGCAAGTTTGTTTTGGTTGTGTTGTATAAATGTTTCCATGGCAGCACAACCGATCTCGCAGGCTGGCTACGATTGGTTAATCCTAATTAACCAATTCTCTACATGCTAACATTCAATAAGCCTTGGACTCATGAACTGAGACAAAGAATTGATCGAGCAGTACTTTTCAATCATTTATTCGCTAAGTCTCGCTTTCAAATTGGCTTAGTATACATCTTATGTGCTCTCAGACTCTTTTCTGCTGGATTTAAAGCCTGGTTTCCATATGATCGTTTATGTCGCTAGAGTCGTTTCTGTCTGTTGAAAAAGTCCCCTGCGGTGAGCAAACGACAGAAGCGATTATTGCGATGAACTGGTTTCCATTACTCGTATGCATCGTACCTAATTTGAACAAGTCACCAAACACTTGCTGTATGATGTATTCAAAATGGCGGCAGTGAATCGAAGAAGAAGACTTGTAGCGTGTTATTTTCTTTTGCGTGTGCTGAGAAGGCGAGCGCGAAAGCAAAAAAGAAAACATCGTTTTTGGGTTCGTCCCATGTTTCGAAGAAGAGAACGTCTTGGAATTTTTCATACTCTTGTTCAAGAAGTACGTGGACTTACGGATGTATCATGGGATATATCAAGTCGCTTATGGCGTAACGATCGTTTTGCACCGGTTTCCATTAAAAAAATGCAAGCGCGTAAAAGGTGTTTCCGGTCGTTTCTGTCGCAAGGATAGAACTCTAGTCTATCTCAAACGATCGATACGCAAGGATCGTTTCTAACGGAAGGATCGCTTTTGTCGTTTGAGTTGAGCGTTTCCATATGATCGTCTCTGTAGCTTCTACAAATTGCAAGCGACAAAGACGATCCTTACGACAGGAACGACCATATGGAAACCGGGCTTAAGAAGATAGGTCAATTCTGCAAAAATGGTTTCAACATAACTTCTTTATCCAGATTTCCGTTATGTCACACGAAAGTTTGATTGCTTTAGCAATTTAACTTTAATTCAATTTCAAACAAAATTATTCTACATAAGTTGTCAACTGTCAAGGTAACTGAGAACTTAACTTAATCAGATTTATCTCCAAAATTTTGCACATTGCTGGTTGCATTTTTCGTACTTATTCTAATGATTGATTAGTGAATATATGAATTGTTTATGAGTCTACTGTAAGGATAGCAACAAATGGTAAAATTCAGTCGTGAATTGATTTGTATGCTTTATACTTAAGATCCAAAATTTCTAAAAAAAATTTAAATTGGGAAAGGATAAGTCTTTAAATCTGACAGCTTCATTTGCTCCTTCATATCCATCTTGGGCCTTATGGTAGAATCAAAACATGAATATGGATTGGGTTGTAAATCATTTTTCTCTTGTCCCTCATTTTTACATTGATTTCTAAACGAAAAAATACATGTTTAGTTTGTAAATTTTCAAAATAGAACTCTTTTGATTCAAGTAAATGGTATTTTGTTCTAAACTTTCTCTCCATTCTCATGAGCTCATACCAATAATGGTTTCATCTACATACAACACTAAAGAATCACAATACAGTAGAAAGCAGAACAAGAATAGAGCATTTTGTTTTTATGTGGATAAACCAACGTTATATATACACACGCTAACAAACAATATGTAATTATGTAAAAACATAAAATATTGAGAAAATTGAACGAGATATGTTTCACTCATTATGTGAATGCTGAATGGAGTTATTAGCAAAAGAGCACGGTTCTTCTTCTTGTATTAGTCGAGTAAATTTTACTTATTAGGTATACATACTCATTAAACTTGTAAAATTGCCACGCCGCTCTAAGGCCAGATTCCAGGGCCCCTTGGATCCAACCATTGGCAAATGAGATCGCCTCACCACCAAAAAAGATTGGATGAATATCTTTGGGCTCTATTAGTGTGCGCATATGATTCATATAACTGTATGGCATTAGATGAACATAAGCTCCACGTTCTGACGGGTCACTGTACCAAGCTTGAACAACTCCTTCTTCAAAAAGCTCTGAAATATTTTTTTCATCATCAGGTAACAAATTTTCATACACAGTCTCTACTTCCCGCAAAGCTTCAGATATTGCTTCGTCTTCAGATTGAGAGCCAAATAATAGAGCTTCTCTATTCCATGTGTAAATCATAAGTACACCACGGTCTGCCATCTGTTCACATAATTCCTTGGGAGGGTAAACGATCTGGCTGATGGGTAAATTTGTCTTAGATATTCCACCATTGAATACAGGGAACCTTCCCTTCTCCCAGAATCTTTTCCGAAAGCCAAGCAATATTTTGGTGGAGGGTGCATAATGAATCTTACTAAACGCATCATTTACACGCTGTGGCAGTAAAGGCTCGAATTCAATTTGTCGCAGAGCATTCAATGGGACAGTCAAAATGATGGCATCAGCTTCAAACCGAACTTCGTTTCCAGTTTGAGTCTGTTGACCAATAACTTTGACTGCGTTAGACGTTTTATCGTCATTGCATAGCTTTTGCCATTCAACTTTTTTTATTATGATTCCATATCGAAGATCCTCTTGTAAACAATACGGATCACAGGTATCTTTAATAAATGCATTGGGTAATTCTTCCATTCCGTTTACGAGTGTTTTCATTTTTGGAGTCCACCAATCACCAATTTCCTCCGCTAGCGCCGTAGCAACTGATAACTACGTAAAATTAAACGGTTATTAGCTTAGAAAGATTGAAAATTATATTTTCGCAGTTTCATTTTACATGTATTATAGTTATTTGCTTTATATTCAACTCGTAAACAGTTAATTTATTGGCACTGATGATGGCTTCATTCATCTTAAGTCAAAACATGTTTATTCCAAAATTACTTCTTGTTCATCTCGAATGTTAGAATTATTTTTATACTCCTATTTAAGATTAGAAGGAAGTAAATGAGTTGTTCTTCCTCACGTTACAAACCATATAAAACTGATTCAGATTGACAAAAAGAGCGGTTCTTCTATAAATCAATTGTATATTTTCACACATTCCAATCTATACTACTGACTATATATGGCAGTATGGACAAGGTAGGTAACATAACGTGGTCACGCAAATATCACATTGTCAAATAGAAAGTTTGAAAAACCGCGTAATAAGCCTGGTTTCTTTTGATGCTTTTTGTATTCATTAGAATCAAATACGCATTCAAAGTAAACGACGATTGTACACATTTCATGTACAAAGAAAATGTATACATTTAATGTACACAGAAAATTGATCAATTCTAACATTCTTGCTGTCCTTAGCTAGCTGTGTGATGAAAAATTATAATTTTAAAATCAATTTCCACAATTATTGGTTAGCAATCAATTTACATAGTGAAAAGCAGTGTATTCTTTTATTACCTCAGAATTGGGAATGTAATTTACATCAGTGAGGCAATCTATTGCGATTTTTGGCCAAGGTCTGAACTTTGGAGGGCATTTTTTTGAATCACAACTCTCTTTTGATAAAAAAAATTCAGTGAAGGACATCTTACTCCAGCGTTCTAACCATTTACGCCATTCACGTGCATACTTTTCTGGATTTTTGTCTAGTAAGAAACAGCTCAAAAAACTCAGTTTATGCAACTCTTGTTTTTTGAATGATTTCTTGCGATATTAATTAGAATTTTTCATCGCTCTATGAAATAATAGGTTTTATACTTACCAAACTTCGGAATGCTCTCAATGACCTCATTTATAGTTAAGCTGTAGTAATCCACTAAAGAATATAATTAAAAATTCTGTCAGAAAAACTTTGTTGTTTCCTAAACATACTATATGAAGGGAACTCACTGATGTTATCAATTTTGTAGTGTTTTCTGAGTTGTTTCTTTTTGATATTCTCGTCCCATCCAGGCCATAGTTTGTCACACATTTCTTTTGCTTCAGCTCGTTCCTTGCAGTTGTTGCTCCTAAAGGCTACAAGGAAAATTATTGGAAAATCGCCGTTAGATTTGTACTTAAAGATATTTTACACGTGAGGAAATACATACGCAAATTCAAGTTCAACCTATACAGCATTTAGAGAGCAAATACAAAACGTACAATTTTTATAGTCACTGGAACAGCTTTATAAAGATCTTGTACAAAATGGCAAGCTACTGTCATTTGACTCAGTGTAGATAAAAACATTGTTATTTTTTATCTTACCACTGACTCTCACAGCTCTATGTTTAACCTTAACAAAACAATGTTTTTCGGGGTCAACATTATAAAACGGTTTCTTTTTCAGTCCAAACTTGTGAATATAACAATCCGTAAGATAATGGCGTTTGTGTGTGGGGATTCGCATTGCTCCAACTTTAAAAAAAAACACATTTTAGTCGAAATCTATACTTTGATAAAGAAATTCAACAAATCAGTTTGGTAGGGTCCATTTTTACCTTCTGCTTTGATTTCTGGAGATTTTTGAAAATTAAAATGCACAGTTTTAATTCTTCCTCCAACTCTGCTTTGCCTCTCAAGAATTATAACCTGGAAAATTAGAAAACGTTATTGTCAATTTACGTTACAATTGTGTCTTTAGGAATTTATTATGATTTTTGATGCAAATATAATGTGAATTTTGAGAAGATGTGACATAAACTATCAATAACAATGTCTAGAAAGTTGTAGCTTTTGACAACTAATCGACACTTAAATCGCGAAATACCTTTGAGTCTCATCTCGTCGGAGGGGCGGGGGGTTTATAATAAATCATGAGATGTCTATGCGTGCATCTCGTCGGGGGGAACTTATCATAAATCACAAGCACTCTACTAGGTAAAAATCAAAATTCTAAACTTCCTATAATATGCATATTTACTTTGTGACCGCTACGCTTGAGTTCACGCGCTGCAGCAAGACCAGAAATTCCTGCTCCAACAATCAATACAGTTTTAGGGTTTTGAGTCTTTTTTTCATTCATGTCCTATAACGGAAAAAGAAAGAAAATCGTGGTATGTCATTATTACATTCGTTTCATTAATTTTGCAAATTACCTCTGTCTCTGCCATATCATCCTCATAGTCACTCTCTACATTTGATTCATCTTCCCGCTCATCTGTTGCAGAAAGTCAAAATTTAAATGTAGTATTCCTTAATTGAAATTATTTATGTCATTATTTATTTCAGACATCACAATCAGTAACAGAAAAAAAAGGTTTAAGAATGTTTTCCACTTTACAAACTCGCTTGTCTGCTAATCAATTATAGTTTGTTTGCTTTGGCTAACGATAAAAATCATGGATTATACAGATAATGCTTTAAATTTTTAAGTTTGTTTAAAAATTGTTCTTTGCACTCAGAATGCATTAATAATAGTCAGGTTATTCTTTGTCAAAGTTGAAGCTATTTTGTCTACATTTGAATTTATATTTACTAATGCGGCACAAACGTTAATACCATTCTCATTAGGGGTCATTTCAGACTCATCTATACCAGTATTTGAATAATTTTCCGCATCATCATGTTCTTCCTTGAGGATGGGTGAATCTGGATCTAAGTCGAAGCCACGTCTATAAAGGAATGCTAAGCCTCTTTTAACTAAAAGTTTGAAGAATGTTCTCTTCTGTATATTGATAAAGTGGTGCGCTCCAGGTAGATAACCAAGAAGACGAAGAGGATCAGGCCAATCGTATTCCGCACCAACTTCATCCTCTCGAATGTCTTGTTCTTCCATCTTTTAAATATACATTAAAAAGTTGTATACATACACAGCCTGATTTCACCAAATTGATTGAGCCGACAAAGCTGCTGATAATTTTCGTAACAATGGAAAATTTACTTATACTTGTGATATAATTGGAATCGGACTTTTTCGAAATACTGAAAAGCCTGACGGTTACATTTATTTTCAACTTCAACTACGACATTTCTTATTAGTCTATGTAGCAATTACTTAAGTCTATATCATGGTCTTCAATAGTATTAACAGAATGTGGCCTTTTCAGAATTACAGTAAAATCACGGAGCAGGAAATGTAAAATAATCAATTGCAACAACACGAACCGACATACCTCAATATAAACCCGTGAATGATGTTAGCTTCTGTCTCGTAACTTGTGCAAATGACGGAAATGTGATGTCTAAGTACATTTATGAATTGTGAGTTCGTAGCTGGTCATGGTAACCTGGTTCTGGGAAAAGCCCATTTTTTTGCAATCATGCTGTGCAATCATATGACTTCAAAAGACCTAATCCTTTGTCTCTCTTAAGACAAATTCCCCTTAAACACTCTTTCAATTTTTTGTTAATGGGAAATTTTTCAAATAGATTTACGAAGACATTCACGAGATTTCCACGAAGATATTTCAACAGAATTACAATATCTAATTTATTTCAAGTTATTGTTGCTTGCAGTTTCATGCTTTAGTATACAATTTCAATGAGCTATTTTTTCATCATGTGTCATGCATTTTACTTGCTTTGTTTGCAAAATTCATTAATCTTGATAGACAATACTTTTCAGATGGTTTATAAATAGGAAAAAAAATTTCGACAAAATTTTCACCATGCTAAGGACATACTTTGTTCAATCATAAACAACCTGCTTTTTCAGAAGTTATGGGTAGTTCTATAGCTGCTGAAATTAAATTGAAATTATAGAATGCAACAGTTACAGTAAGATTATTATAAGATTATTCTAATGATTTCTGACAGAAAAATCGACATGCTTTGTCATGTTAATTCCATATATACAAATGCTTACAAGGTGATATTTGACTTACAAATATTAATTAATCACAATTCAGAGGACGAAAAAAATATTTACAAAATTACAAGTGAAAGATGCTGAGACAATCAAATCAAAACTAGTATTCATTATTATAAGCAGCCACATAATGGCTTTTTCTCCAAATTATTTAATTAAAAAAACTACGGAACCTGATTAAACCAGGCACGCAGCCAAAGCGATAATTTGGGGGGGCATCTTCATATATATATATTGACATGCCCCATAGTTTCTTTTGAAATCCGTTGCTTTTCGGATATTTAAATGAATACATGAATATTGGCCCTCAATTTCCCTTATGGCTACCTGCCTGGAACGCGCTGAGTAAGATCTCAAAATAGTTAACTCTTCATTAAGAGTTTTCTTCTGCTTCAAATGCCATTTTTTATATGTGGGATGTAATTCCAAGAATTCTGGCAAAACCTTTCGTCTGCTCTTCATAGGCAAATTAGAAAACATGTAACTTCAGAGAAAACTGGCAAAATGAACATCTCCTCGCTTCACTTTAATTAATGTATTAAAAACCAATTTAATACACCCAATTTTCCCAGCAATTATAAGAGACTTCAATCATCCTTTTTTTCACTTTAAAAATCAACCAAATACTCTGCCTTTCGGTTTATTATATCGTAATATATCTGTACTAATATTATGTCATAAACATTGCTAACGAATTACGAACTGCAGTGAGGACTGCGAAAGTTGCGAACTTGGCGAAACACGTGCTAATTTTCTAATTTTAACATGACCCAGCGGACAAGTGAACTCTTTTAATTATAGTTGAGTGCCATTGAATTAAATATTATTTAGTTATGTAGTCAATGATGTGCGATGGTATGTCAGTGCTCTGGAAAGTGCAAAATGGCGGATGAAAGGCAATCGAAGTCGAAGAAAAAAACTATAAAGTACTTTCTATCGTCACCTTATAAGTTGAATTGGTATGTTGAAATCGATGTGAAATAATACTCGTAGATTTTTTTTGCAAAGTAATCAACTGTTTCTCAAACTTTACAAGTTTGGCATAATACACAAATGAAATAATTTCTTAAAAGCACGATGGATATCAGACATTTTAAATGAACGACGAGTTTTTTTATCGTAAGCATGTTTCGGCATGCTTATGCCATCTTCAGTGCATAAAATGAAGGTGATTATGCTTATTTACAGGATATATATATATGATAATATAAAGGAGTCTCTGGATTTTTATTTTGAAATTTTTATTAAGCTTTCAACTCGGTGCTTCATAATATGCCTGGGTTACCAATTTTCAGATATATATATATATATATGACATAAGCATGCCGAAACATGTTTACGATAAAGAGACTCTTCGTTCACACAAATTTAACCTTTAACGAAAACTGAGTAGTGGACAGATTGTCTGCCATTTAGCCGTAACTAGTGCCAACTAGCGAACAAGTGAAAAGTCTTTGTTTATATTTTTGAGCAATTCAGACTTTAAGAATAAAAGCTAAGTACTGAATATTATGAAATTGCAGGCCAGAACTAGATAAAGGAGACAACAAACTGATACTTGATGCAATAAAAAGGTGATGAAATCACGTTACTATTACAAATCAAAAAATATATACGTAAATAGAAACTCAAGTATATATAAAATAATTGTTTTTTCTAGTATATTTCCAATAAATGGGCTAAAACGTGAGAAATCACTTATATCACAAGAAGACAGCAAGTTTGTAACTTGGCAATCAATAAAAAGCTGCATGGCAATTGGTGTAAATTCTGTAACAAAATCTTTGGAAAAAGATGAGCTTGTCTTAGTGCTTGTTAGTGTCACTTATTTGATTTAAAATAATGTACATTGTTTTAAATTTACCAAACATTCAACAATCTAGGTATGCAAGTCAACAAAACCTGCTCTGCTAACCAAACATTTGATGTTACTCAGTGCCACTAGATCAACTTCATGCTGTGCTATATTTGGACTTAGTGACATTATGGCTTCTTTTTGTGGAATGAAAACTGTGGCTGCTTGTGGTTTTAAGGTTATTTACATTAATAATAATTTGGGGTCTAGTATTTAATGCTTTTGCTGAAAAATTTGCACCGTAGGTGTAAAAGGATATGTTAACTATTGAATGTCTTTGGTCATAAAGAATGTCAATTTTTTCCAGAAAAATCTTGAAGTCAACATGATAAAAGATCTTACAGACTTCATAACATGCAAGATTCCTCCATATCCTGAACATTACTTAACTCTGTGGAATAACAATGGCCATTATGACTTTAATAAAACTTGTGAAGAAGAGGAATCAAAAGATTGTCAAAATAAAAAATCCAATGAAAATCTCAAAAAGCAAATGAAAAGAAAGATAGATGCAACATATGTCAAAACTAAAATTAAAGGTCTTTCACCACGAGAAACTCCAAAAATGAAAAAAATTAAAATATCAAAAACCTATGTAGTCAAATGAGACATATAACACAAACATTACCTTACAACTGGATGACTGTTACTTTTTCCAAACATCCTAACACTACTACCAGACATGGAATGCACTCATTATTTTTCAAGTAAAACATAAACAAGTAGTACCCAACAAACTATGTGCATTTGTGTACCTGTTTGAGTACAAAGCACTTGAACAGTCTGAATCATGTACTTTTTATTTCACATTGTAGGCCATAGAAAAACGTAAATAACTATAATATATGACTAGAATTGATTGAAATGCTACGGACTTGAGTTGACAAGACAATTCTACCTCTTCAAAAACTATCTCCAGCACGATACACTATAAAAGCCTGCGTTCAAAGGTTATATAGTAAAAGCAAGCGTAATATTTTCAATTTTTACCGATACTAAAATATAACATTCTGAATATTCAATATGAATTGGAAAATTCCTAGAAAAATTGAAGTAACTAAGCTAATGTTGCACGTTGGCTGATTACTTGAGATGCATTGTTAGTAACAGGCATCTTTGAGCTTTTGAATGATTGATAGCTGTAAAAAAATGCAAATAATTAAAACTAATAATTTTTTACAAACGTGACACGAAACACCAACCATACTAGTATAGGTAAAAGCAAGTCAACAACAATATATCTGTATATTCAACATTATATGTTTCAAGCAAAAGTCAGTTCTTTCATCCGTTTCTCCCCAGTACTTGGATTCAAACTTGACTGAGACTTTTGTTAGAAGAATTAGAGCTATTGTAAACTTTTTTAATCCCAAATTAATCTCTCTAAACGATGTAATATACCTTTTTTCTCATTTTATACCCAGTCTATCTAATGGTACTCAAAAATTTTTTGATTTTATAACCGTGGATGACGTCCTCGTGAATAAAACGTAAATATCTGCACACTTATCGCTTGGCGCTCAAAAAGTGGGAAAAAAACAAAATAGTTCCACTTACATGGCAGCATATTTAAGTCGTTCTTCTTGACTCACCGATGGAGATACTTTAGACAAAGCTTTTTGAAGGTCAGCATTTTTTATTTTCATTTCATCTCTCGAAATTCGCATCTAAATACGAGACGGATTTACAATTACTTGATTAAAGTCCTTCCACCATAAATCTATCGTCAAAAATTATGTAAAGGATCCGCTTACTGGTGAGTGATTTGCTTTACCAAAAACGTGCCTGAAAAAATTATCTTGAAGCACACCGGCCTAAACAAAAGCAAGATAAGCATTTTTGTAAAATTTAGGCAACGGTTGCAAACGTTAAATTTCTCGGAATTTCCGAACCGATAATTGGAGGGGTGGGATAAATATTCATACATGCAAGTTATAATCCATAAAAAAATTAATTCCATAATGCATAACATGCAAATATGAGTACTACCCCCAAGAAAAATCGAGGTGGCTAGGCCCTGATTTTCTCCAAGACGTTATGTTATATTCCCAGTGCCAGATACAAAATATATAAATTTAAGCAACCACATAGGCTTAGCATAATAATGAAGCATTACAATTATAACAATAGGTTGATTTCTAAATGTCACTTTTCAATGCACCTTGTAGTATAGTTTAAATATTTACTAAGTCCAACTAATAACTCGAGGTAAAGACAGTCAACAAAACCCTGTTTGTTTAAAATGAAGGGGCAATGAAATAAAATTTTTAGACCCTATAAACGTGCAATTAATGACACAAAATATATATAACAGTGCATGCTTTCATCAACCTTTAATTATTTCACAGCATTCATATATTTGAATAGTTGTTTACATGACAAATTATAAAGACGTCGGATGAAAATAAATGCATCAAATAATTCGTTTTTTTAATAGTCCATTATGTATAGAAAATTCCCAAAGATTTGGAGATTGGTGAAAAATCAAAATGTGTGCTGTCGTTGAGTGGGTTTCATATACAAAAATTCCTTTAAATAATTGTTGAGGACAGACAAAATCTGACCGTCAAGAACTTCTTGCGTTACACATTTAGTGCATATCACAGCAAAAAGACACGTTGAACATGATTGTACCTGTTTCGCCCAATCAGAGTTTTCATTCATGGTCAACGGGTCTTTTCGTTGCTTTAAACTGGGAAAATAAACGACATTGCTGGGCGTTGTATCACTTTTGACCACTTTATCTACAAAAGGAAAATAATAGCAGTAATGGGAAATTAATATATGCGATGTGTTAAAGAGTTAGTTTGCTTCAAATCCACCTGAAGAATAACTGGTAAAAAATTCTTTGAAATTCCTAGGGTTATTCAATTTGTTTGCATTTCTATTACAGAATACACAAGTAATACGAACGCAAGAAATACATACATGGTTCCAATAAACAGAATGACTACTTTTAGCGAAACGATTTTGATTGAATCAACATCATCGAGTCAAATAAATACCTGAAATATTGAGCTTCATCTCATGAATTCTCTCCAATTGAGCGTTAGATAACAAAGCTTTTAAGTCAGCACCACTAAAATTTTCAGTCATCCCGGCAATCTCTGAAAGATTGACGTCCAAGCCAAGTTGAAGTTTTGAAGAATGTGCTTTAAGAATCTCTAATCTCGCACTCTACAGAACATTGAAATGATATATTTAAGAATTATTTTTTAGAAATTTCCTCACAATCGACGCTTCTTGAAATCGTTCTTCACCCCGCTTACGCCATAAACTTATATCAAGACGAACAAACCACTAACACAAAATTAACTACCTGATCTGGCATGCCACAGTATAAAGACTTATCGACACGTCCAGGACGTAGCAATGCTGGATCAATAAGATCTGGTCTACTTGTAGCAGCAAGAATATAAACACCTTGTAATCCTTCTACACCATCAATTTGTGTTAACAATTGATTTACCACCCTATCTGTAACACCAGTACTATCATGACCACGTCGTGGGGCCATAGAGTCAAATTCATCAAAAAACAAAATACAAGGCTTAGCACTTTGTGCTCTAAAAGTTTAAAGAAATTATTTGAAGAACTGTTAAAAGCAACGATATTCTAAGTAAGCTACGTTTGAAACACACCTATGGAATAAATCTCGTACAGCTTGTTCACTTGCTCCGATGTATTTGTTCAATAATTCCGGTCCTTTAATGCTCATAAAGTTCAGACCACATTCCTTAGCAATCACTCTAGCTAACATTGTCTTTCCACAACCAGGAGGTCCGTATAGAAGTATTCCAGAAGGTAATCTCATGGAAACGCTGCTGTATAATCCAGGATACTGTAAAATTCATACAAGCTAATGTTTACTGTCGTACACATATTAAAATTAACATTTTATACATCATATAGTGTTAATTTGTGTTTGTTACGTTTTCTATTGTGACTTAACTAAAGCTGATTCACCGCCCTATATTTTATTTCTAATGACAATGCACCTCGTTGAAATCACAAAGACCGTAATGCCAAAAGTACATTTGATTTAAAGAACTCTCCCCCCCTATTCTTTTTCATTTTCAATTCCCTCTTCTTAAAATAATTTTTACTGTTCTATGCATATCTTTCAAATACATATTTAACAATTGTACAATGACTTCATATAATGGATGAGTTGTTTGAGGCACGACTGCAAATTTTCTACTATGTTTTTCAAATTTTTTAAATGCTATTGTGTAGATAATATTGCTTGCTGTGAATTTGACGTTATGATCGAGTAATTTGTCTGAGAGTAAAAACGAAAATCCTTACTTGTATTAACGGCTTGTTCGCTATTTTCATCACCCGCCCGCCGTTTTCTGTAAGTTTACGTTTATCCTATACTATCCTATGCAACTTCATTCTAACTCCAGTTTTTCTATCTCTATCAGCATGGATAAACATTTTTCTCATAATGCACATACATACCTTAGCCGGCCATTCCAATGTTTCCTTGAGTGTTTGTTTAATGTCGTGAAGGCCACCGACATCTTGCCACGAAAGATCATTTCCAAGATGAAACTTGATGCCGTGTAAACTTGCTGGTTTGAAATTTTGAAAAACCTTATTAAAATCATTCAAATTTAATTTGGCGGATTCTAAAAAAAGAAAATACCACAGGGTGTAACTTCTTCCATGTGTTCTCACTATAAAGAACATTATAAACAATGAACAATCATATTACTTTGAGATAATATATCATTTCCTAACAAACCTCAATCGTAAAATTATAGCCCCGTACATCGGTGGAAACACACCGTCTCTTATCTAGCTATTTTAATACTTTTATTATACACAATCGTATCGTGTTTTGGAGATCTACTATTGCCCGGATAAAACCAACGTAAATTTTTTTTCAAGTGAGTCTACAGCTATTATTTCTTAAATCTCGAATGAATTCATTTTCTTTCATAATCTTGTCTATAAGGTAATGTGAGCAGTTTAGCAAAAAAAAGTAAGTATTCAAAACTTTCATTTAGACTGTACAGTAAAACGTTTTAAGAATTTATGAAAAATTTCATTATTGTTATTTGAGCAGCCAAATTAAGGTAGATACTTTTCCGGAGACAAGTGTTTAACAAATAAGTCATGCAAAAAATCATAATTTATTCTTAAAGAAAGTTCGCCATACTTAGCTAGCCACAATACAAAAGATATTTAGACTTACGTATATAAAATGCTATATTCTAACCTTCTTTTTCTTTGGTGTGACGTCGAGAAATACAGGACTGAAATGCTCTAGCAACCAGAGTATTCAAATCTTTAGGAGAACACCCTTCACTTTTAGTAGCAATATTGCTGAAACACGAACGAAAATTCTTCTAAAAATTAGTAGTTCATTCACCAAAAACTAAGTGGTCATAATAAAGCAGGATAGAAGAAGATAACAGTAGCAAACTATGGTTTACTATGTTTCACAAGTGGAGAACACAGAAAAGTTATTTGAAATAGACTGTATAAAAAATCTTTTCATGAAAAAATTACAGTTGCAAAACTGATGATTGTGTAAATTGAATACCCGATGTTGTCCACAGACATATCTTCATCGTGTTTTCTTAATATTGCTTGCAGTATTTCAATACGTTGTTTTTGATCAGGAAGTGGAATCTCAACCGACTTGCTAAACACGTGACTTCCATGACTTCTGCGCAAGACAGGATGGACAGAATCACGCGATATTGAAGTTGCTATGACAACAACTTTGCTGTTGTATGAAATCTCGTTCTTTACCAAAGTCTTGAACACTGCACGAACGAATACGCGTAATTGGCAAATAACAGAAAAAATGTGTTCGTAAACATAGCTATAAAATATTTATTGGGTTACCTTGCGCTAATCGAAGATTATAATGGGCCTCGGGTCCATTCTCCTGCAGCAATGAAGGAGCAGAAATTAACTGATCGAGATCATCAAACAAAATGACGGCAGGTTCATGCCAAGCCGCATTATTAAATTTGTTTTGCCAAGATTTCCGTATTGTTTCGATTCGTTTACCTGAAATGGTAATATTTCATTATAGTTTTATGATATCATCACAAATGCAGACTATATGAACAAAGTTGATCGTAGAACAGATTTCACGCTAGCCATATCATAAAGAAATGAAATATTTTAACTTAAAAGCGTCCACTCGTTTGTCACCTATGCATCTAAATTTCTACTTTTACGTATAAATTCGTATAAAAACAATTTTACGATAAGTTTCCTTTTAAATGAGACAACGAACAACAGTTTTCGTGTTTACAGATGTTCGTGAGAAAAACGGAAATTTAAAAAAGGGTAAAAAGTAGTTGAGAGAAGAGAAAAGTTAACACCAAGTACAATGATCAATGTTATGACGATGATAAGCTCAAAAGTTGCATTTTTACGAGTCGTGACAGTTACATTTCTTACCTCTTAATGAAACACATTCAACTATTGATATGTGAGCTAAAACAGGATGTTTTCCAAGACTGTTGCACAGTGCATGAGCCAGCGATGTCTTCCCAGATCCTCCAGCAGTTGAGCCAGTGCCATAAATCAACAGAGCATTGTGTTCTGGTTTATTTGAGCAACAAATTTGTTGTGATACAGGATGAAAACCAAGTCCATGAAGCAAGAAATTCATGCACGTTGCATAGATCTCATCTATACCACTAAAATAAATGCAAATGAATCAGAGATAATCGTCAAAATCAGATTTGAAATTGTGTTGTATCAGAGTTTATCCGTAATAACTTTAATTTTATAGTTTTTGACTCCGAAGATGACTACCGCTAAGGTTGTCGAAATGTCAGTCATCATTAACAACGACAGTCCTTCTCAGGTTTGAGCCTTATGAGAAACTTATAGAAGGAACGAAATCACTTGACAAAAAGAAAACTGAAAATCATGAAGTGCATGAACTTTTTCAAGTGCTTGGCAATAGGTGGAACAATCAACCAACTAAGTTAGATGAATACATATCTAGTTGCTAAATTTTCTTTCGCGGCTACTTTTTTCTACCCATTGTAAGTGTATTTATATTCTACGCTAGTTGTAATTCTACGCGAGCAAATATTATAATGGAAAATATAAACTTTACCCAAGTGAAGAAATACGACATGTATCAAGATGTTCATCAATAACTTTGGTGTCTTTTGCTGGGTAAGGCGAAAGCAAGAAAAGCTGGGAAGGTTGTATTTCTTCATTAACTGTTACAGATGCTGTATCTAATGTTCGTTCATTAATTTCAAAATATTGCATTGTGGCTCGAGATGAAGAAGATCGAGGACTTTCTCTTCCAATACCAGAGAGTAAAAACTCGCACTTAACATCTAAAATCACACAAGTACAAAACATGTTAAAAGTTTTGGAATTAAAGGACTGGGCAGATTCCAAGAGTTAAGCTACACCTTGTTTTAATAACGTATACTTATTATTTTTCTTAACTTTTAGGTGATAAGTCACATTTGTATGTTTCACTGTCAAAATAGTAAGCTTTATTTCCTAATAAAATCGACAGTAGCTCTACAGCTTGACTTATGTGACCTCATTCACCGACGTTTGTTAACGCTCTTAGTTCATTCACCTCTTCACCATAGTTCGAGACAGCACCAAGCAAATAAAAAAAACGAAATTGCTTCCAGACATCAAACAAGCAAAAATAAAAATTCACTATATAAATACTTCACAAAAAGAAACTCCCCTCCAAGGTACATTAATATAAGTGATAAATGAACGAATCAAAGTCAGTCTATAAAATCGCTTTTGATGCAATAAAACGAGCATTCTTCAAACTGTTTTACAAAAAGATTGTTACAAACAAATAATGTTGTTTAATAGTGAGTAGAACGTACATTTTATAATACTGTTCAAGTCTAATTTTGAAATTTAGTATTTCTGAGTTCAAATGACTATACAGTAAGTCTTTTCTTAAAGCACGAGTGACCTCAATCTGCACATGGCAGTTAGCAAATTACTGTAAGTACTGCATTATTTGCGATTCATTTTTATGGACTATATGATATTTGTTGGGGGTGGGGGTGGGGTAGGGGTGGGAGGATTTTCTTTTTGTGAGGTGTTTAAAAAACACGAGCACACTCACCAGCTGTGATATTAAACTCAATCAACATCCGCGACGCTAAGAGAAGAGGATATTTATTGGTAATTTCCAATATCCAGGATATGAACGCCTGGATTATAACATCCCTATTCAAGAGCTTTATCTAAAAAAAATGAAAGGAATTTCACGCATCCAATGTAACTTCCCAAAGTACCTCGTTTTGATATCGAAATATCTACGTTGAAATATGCCATGTGCAAATAATGTTGGTATGTAATTAAATAGTTAATAAGCTCACCTTTTTTGCCCCTTCACCAAAAGGATTCAAAACAAGCCCTAACAAAATGGATGACTTATGGTGAACCTTCTTGATCTGAACTGATGATTTAACTCCAATTTTCAACTGGCGGCGAATCAAGTTATTCACAGCTACATGACCTAAGAGCAGATCTTCCTTAAGAAGGAAATTTTTGTCATGTCGAAAATTCTTTTGACTAGTAAGTACAAGTCTTATAATTGTTGACGTTGAAGAAGAAACAATCCCACGTTCATTTGATAATACATTACGCTGTCTGGTACTCAAATTCGAATTAAATCTTTGTAATCGGTTGGCTTCATATAACTGAGCTCGATCTAGAAAAAACATGTATATTCATATAACCTGCATCCATCTATATATCCTGCATAGATCACAAAAATTCTGCATACATCCCAGATATCATACATACATCCTGCATGCAGACCATTCTGATGCAAAAATCTGATTAATAACTTTTTTACGGTCGGTAAATAAAAAAAAGTTGATCCCAAGGTACAAATTTCACGAAATGGTCACCTTCAGCTTTCGCTTTGAAAAAAGGGAAAAAATTACCAAAAAGACTATCGTAACAAATTTTATTGGAGCGTAAAGACAACTCAGTCATACGTTTGTGAGCTTAAAGAAGACGAAATGAAATTTATTGCTACTTTTAAAAACAATGTATGTAACTTGCTCATAAAACATGGTCATATTCTTAATCACCTATGTCATAATAAGAATATGTTATTTTTCATACCAGTGTCTCGATACTCTTCGTTCGGTGTTGAAGCGTTACTTGATCCAATTTTCGTTTGACTTGTATCCAACTTCTCCTTTATTGAATACATTTTATGAATGGATGCAGTAAAGACGTAATATTTTGCACTGACAGATTTACCATCACGTCGTAATTGTTCATTTGACAAACGATTGGCATAACCTGCTAAATTAGGGGAGTAAACAAATACTGTTGACGGTTGTTTGAGTAAATTTTGTAGGAAAGGATCAAGACGAGATTGCTCAATTTGATCTGATAAAAACACAAGACGTTGTACTCGATAACTATCTGAAATTGGAACCTCAAGAGTTTCTGCCTGAGACGTTTTCATTTTCGAAAGTTGCGTCGAATATTTAAAATCCTGAGTTGCTCCAGTGATTTTTGGAAAAGGAAAACTGTCTAAGTTTTGAATGTCTGCAGTATATGGAGGAAGAAAATATTTTAATGCGTTTACAACACCACCAGTCAATGGATTAAAACGAAGGTTAACAGATGGATAGGAACGTTCACGATTAATGCGATCACCAGCCTGATTCAATTGTCCAGCCCAGCCTGAAATAGAAGATTTTGTTTGACCAGAATCAATTGATTTCCCAGTCGCACTACTTCTCGACGTATTAGAATCATTAACTTCTCCTTTAGGAAGTCCAATTTTGCCTTTTATGATAGCACTTTCAATTGACTTTCTCGTTGTTTCACTGGTATCCTTGAAACCACTTTTATAACTTTGAGAACGTGATAATTCAGATGTACTTTGTACTTCACTGCTTGCACTGTTATTTAAACTTGATGAATCACCACCTGTCAATACACCACTACTTAAGCTGTTGTTTAAACTAGATGATTCACTGCTCTTGATACTTGAATCTTCACTGTGTTCATCATCATCAGTATATTGTGATAGTGAATTTTTAAATTCAGCTGGTCGTGGAACATCTAATCCTTTCTCATCATTATTCTCAAAGCCACTTGCAGCTTTTGTCCAAGGAATCAAATGTATCTCTGTGAATTCTTCAATTTGAGAGCAAGAGCTAGCTGGACAGACATCACCTATAAGAAAAAACTTAGTTTACATTTTATGTCTTAAAAAAAATAAACATTTCACTGTGAAAAACATTTCATAAAATTTTGTAGATTACAACGTAAAGTTGGTCTTTAGTATTTTTATAAATATGGAAAAACAAGTTTTTTAACCCATTCCCATCTTAACAAAGATCATGCAAACTAAAAAAGAGAAATATTTTACTTACCAATAGTTACTACAACAAAATTATTCCTTTGAATCCAAATAGGAATCTTTGCTCCATCCCAAAGAACACGCAATTGATGTATCAGATTAGATTCAATGTAACTAGAATTTACTTCCTAACAATAAAATAGCACACACATAAAAAAACATGATTTTTTAGATGTATATATTCTAAGAAATATTGTTTTCTTTAAAAAATAACCATTTTCATATTTTTCTTCTAATTGCAACGAGCAAATATATACTAAATTAGTAAAAAAATACATAATAAAGAAACTGACCAAAACATCATAGTCACTTTGATCGCTTGAATAACATGAAACACTCTTACAAGAAGTGACACTAGCCAAGGCTGTGGCAATTACCTAAAGTTTTAAATACTTATGATAATAAAAATGAGAAAAAAATATTAAAATGATTAATAAATTGAACAAAGTTAAGACCTCTTGTCCATGAGACAAACCCAGCAATTCACCAAATTTTTTGCTGACTTCAATTACTCCTGAACTATTTGTTGATTTACAGCTACCACCAGCCCAGGAAAAGTACAAGGAAGAGTCTTTAAAATTTACACGAATAGCTTTCACAGTTGTATCATCCTAAATTAGAAAATTTCTAATGTTAAAACTTTAGAAACATGCAAATTTCTTTTACCATGATCCAAATGGTATTTGATGAGCATTAACACTTAAATGACATTTGCAAGTCATGCAGTGGAAATTATAATTTATTGACAAGCAATACATAAAATGACCATATTTCAACTTTCACTTCAGGTAATCTCCTGACTGTGTACTCAGGCTTAATCGAAACACTATCACTAGTAAATATGTTGCATTTCCTTCTCATACACAAAAATCTTATTTTAATGAATTCAAAGAAAATAGATTTATAAATTAGAATAGACACAAACATGAGTCGTTCATGAATTTGGTAATTTTTCAATTGGCATGATAGTGAGCACCAACACATATTTTTAATTTGTAAAATATTTAGTACATGGTTTTATTTTACAAACTACATATAGAAGAAACTCATTTTTATATACGGACTAAAACACACGTCATGTAATGGAGTTGAAATGCCTCTGTTGTTTTTGTACAACATTATGCTTGATTCATCTGAATTCAAAACTATACACCTTTTTCTAATATTGAATTTAATTTAACAAGCATAGCTATCACTTACTTTCCAAATAGAAGACCAACTTTTGTTAAGAGAATCAGAAAGATTCACAAAACAATTCCTTAACGTTGAATTGAGATAAATCGTTACAGGACAGGAAGTGCCCATATAAAATAAACCTTTGCAGTCTTTGACAAAGCAAGAACGTTCGCCAAATCTAAGAATTTAACATTGTTTAACTTTACGAAGCAACTTTCAGCTTGCACCATAAAAATGAAATGGTTCAATGACGACTTAAATTCAAATATAGCTAATACGTCATGTAAGTGAAAATGATTACAACCATCCAACATGGCAACATCTAAATACCGTTTCGAATCTCAAAGCTTTTTTTGAAGAATTTCATTTTCACTTTGCACTTAAGTCATGATAATATAAAGAATTATCCCTCTTAGTTTTTTAGTAGTTATCAACCAAAGCTGAAATGACATTTTTGGATACGATTGAAGTATTTCATGAGAACAGTTTGCATTTATATTGAAATGTTCACAACAAAATACTCTCTATAGTTATCACTGCTAAGTGCTATCTCTTCCATCTTCAATGGATAATTATAATCTCTTACAAACAGGAAATATTTTTGACGTTAAAAAGCAAGTATGTAAGGAGTATATTCAATCAAAAGCTTTTTTAAAAGTTGATGAGAAGTCTTGTGCGAGCTGTACAAACGCTTTCCGTACAATATCATTTTCTGGAGCCCATTCTTCCAGAGAGACTGATATCGATTTCAATACCAACATAAAATCTTTCAGAAGTTGATATGCTTCTCCATGCATCAAGCCATTTTCACTTATAATTGCTTTGTAATTTCCATGGTTAAAGAAATCGTACACATAACCATTAAGATTTATATCAGTTGGAAAAACAGGAACAACTTTAACATCGGTATAAACCTGAAATCATCACAGATTTTTAAGTATACAAACCAATTATTTAGTCCAATGTAAAAATTTGGTGACAGACAGTTAAGAAGTAACAAAAATAAATAAAAGATAAATCCAGGACATAGGAAGAGAGGAGGGGGTAAACTGGAGACGAACGTAGATTCAGTTCTAAAAATGATTCACCATGCTTTTTGCAAGATGCTTGCTTTACAAACTTCAACTCAATTTGGCTTTCTTCACTCTTGAATAGGATACAATCATCGAATAACATATATAAGACGTATAAGAATGCACTTTACCTGATAACGGATGTTTGGAACACGATCGTTTGAACTGTATAGACGATCATCTGTATTCCCAGATAGAGCAGCAAAAGATGAACACATCTTATATGGTACTGATAACGATTGTAGTTTGTTCTCCAAACTTATTGGTGGTAAATTCATTTTGTAGTTTTCTGCTGAAATAAGTTTAACTGAAGACAACGGAAGAGTAATATCTTCTCCCGAAGTATCATTGACGTGTCCAGAAACAGTTCGAATATATAGATCAAAAACTTCGTGAACATTACTATTGTACTTGTCGAGTTCAGCTTCGAATTCAGATGGTAGTTTTTCTAGACGAATTTTTGATGTACTTCGTGGACGTTGCATTAAGAATTCATGCAGTCTACGACGAGCAAACAAATGACTCAACACAATTACGAGAGACTTCATGAAATCTTTGGAAAATTTGCCATCTAAGAAAAAAAATCAAAATGTCAACATAGCAAAGACAGGAGCACGATAAAATATTAATTTGTTCACTTTCATGGATTTTTGTAAAGGTGTAATTACTACTAGTTCATAGCTAAAGCTTTAAACAGTTCAATCCTCAATCAACGCTTGATCAACAATAATTTCTTGCTATTACACAGGCCAAAAATTAAAAAAAATTGCGGAGTCTTATACCTCTCTTGCGCGCATTTTTATTTCTACAAAAGTTATGAAGAACTTTACTGCGTAAGAATGACAACAGAACAAAATTAGACGGCTCATGATAATGAAGATGAATCGCCAGACCTGCCAAGCCTTGAGGACATCCTTTTAGATCAAGAAGACCCTAAAAGATATGAAGGAAATTAAACATGATACATAGTTACATTCATAATAAAACACCGACGTCAATGAAATGGTTATAAGATATCTTGTTGTATTAAAACAGGTATATACGGAACAAAATATTTACCTGCCGAACTAAATGCTCGACGCAGAACAGGAAATGATGTTTTAACTGTAGATCAAGTTCCGGTTGATTTTTGCAGATTAATGGATTGTGCAATAGTGTCAAAGCTTGATTTAATGCAACTTCACGATCCTTTCCTTTATTGACAATAAGAAGTAAGCGAAGCACTAAAGACTCATTTAACGGAAAATTTCCAATGATACGAGGCAGGCTTACGGTCATAAGTCGATTGATTTTGGCTTGAGGGATACCAAAGAAAATGACATTTCCAATCATATCAAATCCTCGTCTTCCTGCCCTACCAGAAATTTGGTGATATTGAAGAGTATTCAAAAAAACTGAATCATGTGCAAACACAACTGTTTTGCATGGCATATGAATGCCTAAAGCTAGAGTCCCTGTAGCAAACACAACATTTACAAATTTCTTTCGAAATAACATTTCAACGGCACTTCGTTCTTTGTTGTTCATTCCTGCATGATGATACCCAACTCCCCGTCTAAGACATTCTTGGAAAAATTCTTCCCGTTCACTGCTTGTTTCTCCCCGTTTCACTAGTCTTTGGACAATAAGATTAGCTTCATGAGCATCGAGAACACCTTTTCCAGCGTAGCTACAGTTTTCTGGTGGAGGATTGTCAACTAAAAAACAAGTTGCATCGGCCGAGGTTTTATTTCTTTGATGCGATGAACATTTCTGCCCAGCTGAATTGGTTTTTCGTAAAACCTCACCAGCCACATCTTCATCGCGTTGTCGTTTTTCTGCTTTTTGTATTTTCCGTTCCATTTTTTCCGTTTTCCTTCCATCATGATCGCCACCATGTTGATTCTCTCTTTTTTGAAGACAACTAACGATTTTTTTGGCAAAAGTCTCGCACAATTTACGATCAAAACTGAAGAATATGACAGGTAACAGATTTTCATTTTTTAGCTTTTCGACCAAATCAAAAATGTGATCCACAAGCCTGTATTTCTCATCTTGAATTGAAACATCTAACGAAGTTTCCGGTAGAAGTTTATTGATCACTTCTTCCCCTCTTTCATCATTTTTCTTTATAAACTCCATAAATTTACTTTTTACATCATTTTCATACCTTCTAACACTTTCTTTGGAGATAAATGTCTCATTTTCAAAATACGATTCTGGAGACAACTTTCTCACTAAATCATCTTCAGGAAACACTTCCTGTACGGCATCATAGAACGCCATTGTCTCTCTTGGTGATAAAGTGACATGGGTAGGAAATTGGGAATCTTTTTTCAATTGACGAGTATTTAACGCAGAACAAGGATGAACGTGTTCTAACTTTGGCTCCGTCTCGTCATTCAAGCGTGGTACATAGATGAACTTTTCAAGATCGTTGTATCTTTCGTTGTGGGTAACCAAGGCAACGTTATAAGAAAATGGAAAATTCTTTCGAAGAGTATTGTTCGACCTATCACGTTGAAACTTGTCCTGCTCAACGTTTTGCAGCCAGGAGTGCAGGTCACGAGGGTTGTGAATAGTTGCTGACAACGCTAAAAATGGACAACGTATCAAAAGAAAGAGATGTTCCCACACTTCAGCATTATTCTCTAGTCCAATGCAATGAGCTTCATCAAACACAACATATCTAATCTTGTCAACCCAATCTTGTCTGTCAGGAGACAAAAGAAGAATCTCAAGGCATTGAGGAACAGTGATCAATATTTGACATTTAAGAGCATTAAATCGATAGTCACGAGTGAACACACCATACACACTTTTCCCAGGAGGCATATCTTTCTTGTATCTATTAGAAAAATGTCGCAGTACACATTTGCTGAGGTATAATGGAAAAATTATGAAAACGATTTACCAATCCAATTATTTACAATTGAGCAGTGATTTTGATTTCTTAACCTTTTCTTAGTATAAGTTTGTAATTAAAATAGTAGTTATAGTACATACCTTGCAGCACATGTAGCAGCAACTTGATTAACTAAAGCTTTTGTAGGAGAAACATATACAACAACACCTTCATTGTCTTCTCTGAGCACTTTTTCCATGCAGTAATAAGAGACAAACGTCTTTCCTGAAGACGTTGGAGCTACAATTAATGCAGATTGTTTTTTATCAATTGCATCTAGCAGATCTCGCTGCCATGTTTCAGGAATGAAGTGATTCACTCTGTTGTCAGGATCCGTACGTGTTTCTCTTCTTAACCTCTCGCCAAGGTAAAGAAGCTGAAAACGTGGACTTGGTGTATTCAAACTATATTTGTCCTCAAAGTCGAAAGACCTTTCGGACAAATGATTTTTTATCACAATCTCGCTAAAACCTATACCATACAGATATCTTGCCAAATTATCTTTGTCTTTCTTCACAAGGAATTCTTTATTATCGATCAACATCAAAATTGTAAGAAGAAAAACTTGGCTTCTTTTACATCTTTATCTTTTTTATCGTTACAAAGCTCTTTCCACCTTTTCCACAAAATTTCTGCCTTCTTTACCATAATACTTGACTTTAGCTTTTCTTCCTTTACAGATAACAAAAATCGATCAATTTTGATGACAGCTAAATCAAATCGCCCGTCTTGTTCAAGCTTGCGAATGCCTGTTTTCTCTTGATCCCAAGCTAGTAGTTGTTTATTCAAGTGTTTCTCTTTTATTCTTACCTCATTCTCCTGCTTAATTTTCTGGCTTTTTTGTGATGTCTTTTCTTTATTCTTTGCTGTTTTCTTTTCGTCATCAACAACAATTGCAGGAAAGTCATACTCACCATGCAAAGATTTTCCATACCTTTGCATATGCCTGGCATGAAGAGTCCTTCGTCTCAAATCTCTCTCATCACTTGCATCACAGGGCGTTCGGTCAAAATCATCACTGAGTGGTTTACGTGAATGCCAATGGTAAATCTCATCAAAGTCATCTCCACTTACCACTAAACGAGCGACATCAGGATCATCAATTTCGAGCTTTGTAACACACATATTTTCCCAAATCTTTCCTGCATATTCACTCAATAAGACACAGTCTATATGGATCAATCCGTCTTTATTTGCAACTGGTTTTATTTGTCTTGATTTGCAATTCATATTCAAAAAATTAGTTTGCCCAAAAGTTGATTTTGAGTGACTAACATCACAGCTTTTCTTTGAATAATTGACATCAAGATATTGAAGATAAGGTACATCTAACCATTCATTCTCCTTCAGTAATGACGATATTGCACGTACCAGACATGCAATTTTTTTATGTTGAGAAGGCGTCAATGTCAAAGCACTTTTATCACTCGAGTTTTCAAGCAGCAAAAACAGTATGTGGTAAATCAAACGTCCATCCCACGAGTCACAAATCGTTTGTGTAGCAAATGGTAGTTCGTTGTCATTTTGGTTACTCGCAAGACTTCGGCCATTACAAATTGATATCTTAATAAACTATTCTTCAATTTATCACGAAATGATGATTTGTTGTAAATTAAATGATGAACCTTTTCGAGAGAATACGCTCGGTATTTCAGAGGAAGTGATGTAAGTAAGACCGCATGAATAAGAATAAGACGTGCAATATCCTGTTGGAAATCTTTGTTTTCTGAACTCCTCAATGATTTCATGTAAACACAAGTTGACACAACAAACAGCAGAAGTCGACCATCAATGACACCATTAATTTGACATGATTCATCCAGTAAGGATAAATTGCTTTTCACTGCTGTGCAAACATTTTCAATGATTTTTTCATTTGCAAGGAAGCTTTCATCATTGTAAAATTGGATTTGTTTCGGGTATCTCCCACTCGCTGAATTTTCGCTCATACATAATATGAAAGCCGTTAAGGGTGGATGTACCAAATTCAATTGGATTTGTAAACGCAATATTTAATTTCAAACTCAAAACTTGTAAAAAATGATGTTCAAACAATTCAGGTGCATCTTTATGGATAAAGTTTTGATTTGAATTTCGTGACATTAATCCGTCGGAAAGAAGCATAAAAGAAGGAGCAAATTCTTCTATGTATTTTTGAAATTTCATATCCCACGGACTTTCAAATTCACATAAAATCTTATGTGTAACGTTTGCTTTTAGATGCTCTATAATGACATTACGTGCAAGGTGGATACTTGTTTGTGTTTTCCACATTTTACCGAGATCTTGGAAAAATACTATTTCAAAGACGCCACCTTTACGAACAAAAAGATGAAGATAACGTTCGAAAAGGTAAACAAGATGAAGCAATTGACCACTACAAGTCCAGTCTAGATTTTTGTCCAAAGCCTGCTCCATCAGCAAGGAATCGCCATCAATAAGAAACATCTCAGCATCAGCAAATTCATTCATCAAATTTAGAAATTGCGGTCGAAGTTGATCTATGTTATCCTGTATATCACTCCCCTCAGACATTTCAAGATCATCTGTATAATTGTATGGTAAATTTTATGGATAATTGGTATTTGGTACTGAAATTATAGGAATTTATTATAAGGCAAAAACTATAGGAAGTTGCAGCCTTCAAAGCAGGCCATCCCATACAACTGTTGCCTGCAAAGTACAATCTTCCACGTTTATTTCAGTGTCTGCAGGAGCAAGTCATGCAATATACATCGGGTTAGCTTCAAAATCTTTCAAATTGTTGGCAACAAAACTGTTTTTTGGATTGTATAATCAAAGACCAGAAATAAGTTTAAGTTATACAACTTATGTATTATGAGATGACTCAGTCAGTCGGTCACATCAAAAAAATTTCAGATATTCAGATATTTATTCAGGAATTAAAAGCCAATACAAACAACACATTCTGTGAAAATTGTTTTTCCGGCCCCACCAGCAGATTTCATTCATACAACCATATAAAAACACAAGCTACTAACAAGAAAAGTCAAGAAATACCGCCAGTTATTTCACGTGCGGGAAACCAACGGCTAATGCAAATGCGATATGGTTTTTTTCGTGTATCGACTATGAAGAGGAACGAATAAAAAAACTCCTCACCATAATCCTCGTCAGATGAACTATTCATTTTCTATTCACAGCTTCTCAATCTATACTTACAACAAATGCATTTTAGCATTTTACACAAGAAAAGCAAAATATACTGACAAAATGAATTATTGATTACCTGGTACAAATCTGAAGGCAGACTTTTGCTCTCGACGCTCGATTTGCTCGTCCCGATTGTGTTTGTTCGTTTTTCGCTTTGCTGTAGATTTTAGATTAGGTGTGAACATGTACAAAGGGCTATAATTTTTATTTTAATGAGGTCTATTGCGAATGACAAGTGTTTCAATCTCGATCAATATATTTAAAATAGTTAATGAGCAGCAGAGGCAAAGTCTATTTCCTTTCTCAAAAATATATAGGCCTGTTTCAAACGTCGCATTTTACATGAGCCAAATGCAATTAAAACAAAAGATAATGAGGAATTTTATCTCATTTTCTTTGTCTTTAATGCATTCGACGCATGTAAAATGCGACGTTCGAAAAGGGCCTTACTTCATATAAAATCTGAGGCCTGTTTCAAACGTCGCGTTTCATATGAACCAAATGCATTAAAGACAAAAGAAAATGAGATAAACTCCTCATTATCTTTTGTTTAATTTAAATGCATTCGGCTCATGTAAAATGCGACGTATGAAACAGAAACAGGCCTGACCCATTGAATAATTAGATATAAATAAAAAGAACAAAGCGTATAGTAGATATGAAACGAAAATATGTACGTGTTTACTGTTGATAAGAAATTAAAAAATTTTGTTTTTGCTGTTTGCAAATTTTCATTCTCAGAAAAAAAACATTAAAGACTAAACTTACCAATACCAAACAGCAGTTTTTATCAACGAATATATAGACGTTACAATTATATTTTCATTGAAACAACTCAAACGAAAGTAAACGTGGCAATGTCGTCTAATGCGGCTTCCAAGAATAAATATCACGAGTTATATTGTGACGTCATCGTTGAACTCACACATGAAAAGCAGGGTCACTTCTATGTCCTCAGTACCAATATCTTGATACTTCTCAAACGCCAAGAATAAAAAATGTCTAATTCTTTGTGAACATCCCAGCGGCCAGCACGAAATCAAAATGTCCATTTCAATCATCAAAATATCAATAAGCGTCTTCATGGATGGCAAGATATCATGAGAGAGTAAAGGCAGTTGGTTGCCACTGGCGGTTTGCCCACTTCAGTTTTAATTCACATGAGCAATCTACAACATTGCAAAGTCCTTTTTTGAAAAAAAATTAATTCGTCCTAGAGATTGTAAACTGCAAATACAAAGTTCCAGCCAATGATTCCAACCAATGGTTCCAGCCGATTTTAGCGTTGCACAACACGCAGGTTGGACCATTGGGATGGACCAGTGGGTTGGTTGGGTTGGGTTTGGTTGGACTATTGGGTTGGTTGAGTTGGGTTGGGTTGGATCAGTAGGTTGGTTGGGTTGGGTTGGATCAGTAGGTTGGTTGGGTTGGGTTGGACGTGTTGGTGGTTTTTGGTCCCAGGCACTGTGTCCCAGGTTTTGGCGGTTTGGTTGGCCCATGATCCAACCTTTTTTAGTCTTCTTGAACAGAGCACAGAGTCAAAGCCGAAGGTGATGATTATTATTCGTCTATCACCAACAGTTTTTTATTTTTAGTTGATTGAGACGTTAAGTCTGGTTAAATTCAACTTTATGTATAATATGCGATAAACTTTTGTAACGAATATTTTTCACCGTCAATGACAACGAACTTGGAAGTGCTTGAAAACATATCAGATGTATCTGATGTTTTAATTGAAAAAAATAACGAAATTGCTGAAAATGGTGAAACATCAAAACAAGAAGTTGCAAATTCTGCGAACGAGCAAAGTTCACAGAATATCAAAACAAATGTTGAATCCTCATCGTTGTGCAAAGTAACTTGCACTACAGAAAATGAAAACAATGGAGATAATATAAGGTTACGTATAAATAGACTGGTACTTAATGCTTAACTCTGTTTAATAGAGAATAATACAGTGATTGTTGTATGTTTTTGAAAAATGCTTTTAAACTTTAATGTCATAAAGATCAACGTAAATTTTTAAAGGTATTATATGGACTTCAGTATGTCCCCTCATCAAATAACTGGCTCATGGAGTGATTATGAAACTTCTTCAGATGATAATTTCCTCAAGGGTTGTAAATGGTATGAGTTTTAATGGAACCAAAATTGTAATGTGCAGTCACTCAGCAAAATCATGTAAATGTTTATCTTTATAAGCATTCAAATTGTCAAAAAAATTCTTGCCAAACTTAGTGCTGATACGTATATGTGATGATCAAGTAATAGGTCCTTCATAATCACATTCTATTGGTAAAACATGATTTTTTACTGTTTGTTTCTATGTTATTTTTATTGTATCTAGGTCACCAGATGGAACATGCATTTTAACATGTAGTGATGACAACATATTGAAACTTTATAATCTACCTTACTTAACTGTATTCTAATTTTGCTACTATTAACACACTACCTGAAATGGTATGTTCGAGTGAGTTAAATCCAGACACCATATTTCCCTCTGATTTCCAACAAACTACTATTCTTAGAAATCAGTTCTCGCAATGAGAGAAGGAGAAACAATTTATGACTACAATTGGTACCCAAAGATGTCTTCTTATGAGCCTGATACATGTTGGTAAGTTTAAGTATATTATTTTTAATAAAATGTAGAGGTCCATTGTTGATCAAAATAACATAAAATTTATAAATAGGTTTCTATTCAAAGAACTGCACAAGACTAATTAATAATTGTTTTTTATTAAAGATTATAAACATTTCCATTATTAGTTTTATCAGCAGTAGTCGTGATCATCCATTACACATGTGGGATGCCTTTACTGGACAAATGAGATGTTCTTACAGAGCTTACAACCAATTGGTGATGATTGATTTGCCTTGTTTTATATATCCTGACATTCAAGCCAAAACGAAAATTTGTATAATTATTTTGTAGGATGAGATAGTATCTCCTCATAGCGTGGCCTTTAATTTGGATGGGAGTAAGATTTACTGTGGATTTAATAAGATGATACGCATATTTGATACATGTCGTCCTGGTAGACAGTGCCAGTCAAGGCCTACAGGTAAGTACTGGAGAGGGATATCTTACATTATAATTTTTGTGGGCATTAATTTTGATTATCATTTAATGTAGTGAGCAAAAAACAAGGCCAACTTGGCATCATTTCATGCATTGCTATATCTCCTGAGCAAAATGGCCTTTACGCGTGTGGCTCATTTTCTAAGTCAGGTTTGAATTTGTCAAATGATTTGCTTCAAGATTGTGTGTAAAGTTTATGCACAAATCATTTCAACTAATTTTTTTAGTTGGCATTTATTGTGAACAAAAAGGGAGTTTATTAACCCTATTGGAAGGACATCAAGGTGGTGTGACACATTTGTTATTTTCTCCAGACGGACTTAAATTATATAGTGGAGCAAGAAAGGTAAGCAGAGCTTCAAAATTTACATAAGTCACATGGGCATGTAAGTTCTTTTGCAAACAGTTCTTCGTTTGTGAATAAATAAAGTCTTTTAGCCTTAATTATGGACTTTAATTGAAATAAAGATGCACTCTCTTAAATTGTCATTAGCAACTTAATCTGATATCAGGCTATTATTAATATTGCAATTTTTCTGTACTTAATACAGTTATAAAATTAAAACTATAAATTTTACAGGACAATGAGATTATATGCTGGGATTTAAGAAATCCAGGTGATGTCCTTTTTGTAATGAAAAGATCGGTAAAAACAAATCAAAGAATGTATTTTGATGTGGACAGGTACAAAAATAATTAAAATATAAAGATTCATGCTATATATTTGGCCATGTAAGAAATAAAATGAAGACTTATATCGTGCTTTCTAGTTCAGGTAAGTACATAGTGTCAGGAAACCATGATGGAACTGTGAGCATTTGGGATACCTGTGCATCATCAAACGTCATATTACCATGCCTTATGACATACAAAGGACACAACGATTGTGTCAACGGAGTCAGGTATATATTTAAAACTACAAAGAAAATAAGCAAATTTACAACTATTTTGAAATCATTTAGAGAATGTCAGTTGATATTCACTTTCATACTTAATATGTTGTCTTATTGTTAACTTGTGTTTTCCAAAATATGTACTAAAAATATCCAATCAAAAACAATTGTACACAGTCTGCATTTTGAAATCAATATTCAATGGATATATTACATTGTACTGATTACAATCTTCTAAGTGTATAAAATTTAGAGATATAAGCAATTGATAAAAGTTGTATGTGTTAAGGGACATTTACAATATTGTTATTTAAAAAGTAATATTGCTTTTTTAAATTAATGCAGCTTGCACCCAAGTCTGCCTTTCCTAGCAACAGCTTCTGGACAAAGAACATTTCTCTTACCTGATGATGTAGATTTTGAAAATGATGATGTTGAAATCAACAAAACAAAAGTAGACAATTCTCTCAGGCTTTGGAGACTTAATTTTCACACAGAAGAAATGATAAATGTTGGAACATGAGTAACACTAAAATTAGTGGTACCTAGACAACAATTATTGTATAATATCAGGAAGAACTTTGAATAACATAAAAAATGATGCTTGAAAATTCTTTATCACACAAAAGTCTAATTATTTTGTTTTTATCATTTTGTTAAATAGTTCCTCAATATTGATCTACTCAAGATAACATGTTGTAAAGTTGTGGAGTATTTAATGTAGTATGTTAAATTCTATGAGTAAAGTGTAGTTAAGTTCTAAGACACATCACCTGATGAGGTTCACAATTGACTCTTAACACTCTCCACAGAATAGAGATCATTTCGTCTTTGTAATGTAATTGGAACTTGATTACGAACATCCTCTAAGTACTGAAGATCTAAAAATATATTTTGCTTTTCAATATGTAATTATAAAGTGGTTGTCATTTACATTTCCAAATATCAAGTACTCCACGACTACAAAACAAAAAAATACATACCAATATTGGCGAACACAATATCTTCACGGTGCTCACATTTTGCGATCACTTTACCCCTAAAAATATAGAATAGTAAGTTTTCAATGAATAATCTACAACATTAAAGTGACATCAAAGACACATCAAGGAATTTACCAGGGATCTGCTATGGATGTATGACCCCATGCAACGTAACTTGCTTTATCATCACGAGCTGGTGATATTGCTGCACAGTAAACCTTTATTTAAATAAAAAATAGCGAAAATAATGAAAAGGGACACGGAACTTTGTTGAGCGTTTTGAAAGACGATTACGTAAACATTAAACAAACATGAAAAGTACGTACAACCACAACGAGTTACAGTTGTACAATTATTTAATAATGGAATATTTATAGTAACTTCAAAAGAAAACAATGAAAAAACGTTCGTAAAACTTCGTATAGCAAAAATTATACTATTTTAGCAAAAATGAAGCAAAACCTCACCTGATTATTCAAGCCCTAAAACAAAATAGTACATTAGAATTTAGTGAATTCTATGTTTCGTAAATATATCTATATAAGTCAAAAAAATACAAGCAGCTCATGTATTCACCACTAGTACGCAAAGTTTATTGAACATTTTAATTTCAACACTTTATTTGCAATTATGGTGTCAAAAATTCTCGTAGGAAAAACAGCAATTTTAACAAAGTAAATGAAAAATCTAACATTCTACCACTTTATTTAAAGCTCTAAAAACAAGCAAAATCACAATTGTCCAAGAATGTTGTGTTTTATTTCAGGAAATTGATCGGTCTTTAGTACATGGTTTTATTTTACAAACTACATGTAGAAGAAACTCATTTTTATAAACGGACTAACACACACGTCATGTAATGGAGTTGAAATGTTGTTTTTGTACAACATTATGCTTGATTCATCTGAATTCAAAACTATACACCTTTTTCTAATATTGAATTTAATTTAACAAGCATAGCTATCACTTACTTTCCAAATAGAAGACCAACTTTGTTAAGAGAATCAGAAAGATTCACAAAACAATTCCTTAACGTTGAATTGAGATAAATCGTTACAGGACAGGAAGTGCCCATATAAATAAACCTTTGCAGTCTTTGACGAAGCAAGAACGTTCGCCAAATCTAAGAATTTAACATTGTTTAACTTTACGAAGCAACTTTCAGCTTTCACCATAAAAATGAAATGGTTCAATGACGACTTAAATTCAAATATAGTTAATACGTCATGTAAGAGAAAATGATTTCAACTATCCAACATGGCAACATCTAAATACCGTTTCGAATCTCAAAGCTTTTTTTGAAGAATTTCATTTTCACTTTGCACTTAAGTCATGATAATATAAAGAATTATCACTCTTAGTTTTTTAGTGGTTATCAACCAAAGCTGAAATGGCATTGTTGGATACGATTGAAGTATTTCATGAGAACAGTTTGCATTTATATTGAAATGTTCACAACAAAATACTCTCTATTGTTATCACTGCTAAGTGCTATCTCTTCCATTTTCAATGGATACTTATAATCATAACAATTACAATTATAATGAGTAAATTCATTAAAAAGCTTATTTAAAAGTTGATGAGAAGTCTTGTGCGAGCTGTACAAAAGCTTTCCGAACAATATCATCTTCTGGAGCCCATTCTTCCAGAGAGACTGATATCGATTTCAATACCAACATAAAATCTTTCAGAAGTTGATATGCTTCTCCATGCATCAAGCCATTTTCACTTATAATTGCTTTGTAATTTCCATGGTTAAAGAAATCGTACACATAACCATTAAGATTTATATCAGTTGGAAAAACAGGAACAACTTTAACATCGGTATAAACCTGAAATCATCACAGATTTTTAAGTATACAAACCAATTATTTACTCCAATTTAAAAATTTGGTGACAGATAGTTAAGAAGTAACAAAAATAAATAAAAGATAAATCCAGGACATAGGAAGAGAGGAGGGGGAAAACTGGAAACGAACATACATTCAGTTCTAAAAATGATTCACCATGCTTTTTTTGCTAGGTGCTAGTTTTACACACTTCAACTCAAATTGGCTTTTTTTACACTTGAAAAGGATACAATCATCGAAAAACATATATAAGACGTATAAGAATGCACTTTACCTGATAACGGATGTTTGGAACACGATCGTTTGAACTGTATAGACGATCATCTGTATTCCCAGATAGAGCAGTAAAAGATGAACACATCTTATATGGTAATGATAACGATTGTAGTTTGTTCTCCAAACTTATTGGTGGTAAATTCATTTTGTAGTTTTCTGCTGAAATAAGTTTAACTGAAGACAACGGAAGTGTAATATCTTCTCCCAAAGTATCATTGACGTGTCCAGAAACAGTTCGAATATATAGATCAAAAACTTCGTGAACATTACTATTGTACTTGTCGAGTTCAGCTTCGAATTCAGATGGTAGTTTTTCTAGACGAATTTTTGATGTACTTCGTGGACGTTGCATTAAGAATTCATGCAGTCTACGACGAGCAAACAAATGACTCAACACAATTACGAGAGACTTCATGAAATCTTTGGAAAATTTGCCATCTAAGAAAAAAAAATCAAAATGTCAACATAGCATAAACAGGAGCACGATAAAATATTAATTTGTTCACTTTCATGGATTTTTGTAAAGGTGTAATTACTACTAGTTCATAGCTAAAGCTTTTTAAACAGTTCAATCCTCAATCAACGCTTGATCAACAATAATTTCTTGCTATTACACAGGCCAAAAATTAAAAAAAAATTGCGGAGTCTTATACCTCTCTTGCGCGCATTTTTATTTCTACAAAAGTTATGAAAAACTTTACTGCGTAAGAACGACAACAGAACAAAATTAGACGGCTCATGATAATGAAGATGAATCGCCAGACCTGCCAAGCCTTGAGGACATCCTTTTAGATCAAGAAGACCCTAAAAGATATGAAGGAAATTAAACATGATACATAGTTACATTAAAAGGGTTATAAGATATCTTGTTGTATTAAAACAGGTATATACGGAACAAAATATTTACCTGCCGAACTAAATGCTCGACGCAGAACAGGAAATGATGTTTTAACTGTAGATCAAGTTCCGGTTGATTTTTGCAGATTAATGGATTGTGCAATAGTGTCAAAGCTTGATTTAATGCAACTTCACGATCCTTTCCTTTATTGACAATAAGAAGTAAGCGAAGCACTAAAGACTCACTTAACGGAAAATTTCCAATGATACGAGGCAGGCTTACGGTCATAAGTCGATTGATTTTGGCTTGAGGGATACCAAAGAAAATGACATTTCCAATCATATCAAATCCTCGTCTTCCTGCCCTACCAGAAATTTGGTGATATTGAAGAGTATTCAAAAAAACTGAATTACCTGCAAACACAACTGTTTTGCATGGCATATGAATGCCTAAAGCTAGAGTCCCTGTAGCAAACACAACATTTACAAATTTCTTTCGAAATAACATTTCAACGGCACTTCGTTCTTTGCTGTTCACTCCTGAATGATGATACCCAACTCCCCGTCTAAGACATTCTTGGAAAAATTCTTCCCGTTCACTGCTTTTTTCTCCCCGTTTCACTAGTCTTTGGACAATAAGATTAGCGTCATGAGCATCGAGAACACCTTTTCCAGCGTAGCTACAGTTTTCTGGCGGAGGATTGTCAATCAAAAAACAAGTTTCGTCGGCCGAGGTTTTATTTCTTCGATGCGATGAACATTTCTGCCCGGCTGAATTGGTTTTTCGTAAAACCTCATCAGCCACATTTTCATCGCGTTGTCGTTTTTCTGCTTTTTGTATTTTCCGTTCCAATTTTTCTGTTTTCCCTCCATCATGATCGCCACCATGTTGATTCTCTCTTTTTTGCAGACAGCTAACAATTATTTTGGCAAAAGTCTCGCACAATTTACGATCAAAACTGAAGAATATGACAGGTAACAGATTATCATTTTTTAGCTTTTCGACCAAATCAAAAATGTGATACACAAGCCTGTATTTCTCATCTTGAATTGAAACATCTAACGAAGTTTCCGGTAGAAGTTTATTGATCACTTCTTTCCCTTTTTCATCATTTTTCTTTATAAACTCCATAAATTTACTTTTTACATCATTTTCATACCTTCTAACACTTTCTTTGGAGATAAATGTCTCATTTTCAAAATACGATTCTGGAGACAACTTTCTCACTAAATCATCTTCAGGAAACACTTCCTGTACGGCATCATAGAACGCCATTGTCTCTCTTGGTGATAAAGTGACATGGGTAGGAAATTGGGAAGCTTTTTCCAATTGACGAGTATTTAAGGCAGAACAAGGATGAATATGTTCTAGCTTTGGCTCCGTCTCGTCATTCAAGCGTGGTACATAGATGAACTTTTCAAGATCGTTGTATCTTTCGTTGTGGGTAACCAAGGCAACGTTATAAGAAAATGGAAAATTCTTTCGAAGAGTATTGTTCGACCTATCACGTTGAAACTTGTCCTGCTCAACGTTTTGCAGCCAGGAGTGCAGGTCACGAGGGTTGTGAATAGTTGCTGACAACGCTAGAAATGGACAACGTATCAAGAGAAAGAGGTGCTCCCACACTTCAGCATCATTCTCTAGTCCAATGCAATGAGCTTCATCAAACACAACATATCTAATCTTGTCAACCCAATCTTGTCTGTCAGGAGACAAAAGAAGAATCTCAAGGCATTGAGGAACAGTGATCAATATTTGACATTTAAGAGCATTAACTCGATAGTCACGAGTGAACACACCATACACACTTTTCCCAGGAGGCATATCTTTCTTGTATCTATTAGAAAAATGTCGCAGTACACATTTGCTGAGGTATAATGGAAAAATTATGAAAACGATTTACCAATCCAATTATTTACTTACAATTGAGCAGTGATTTTGATTTCTTAACTTTTTCTTAGTATAAGTTTGTAATTAAAATAGTAGTTATAGTACATACCTTGCAGCACATGTAGCAGCAACTTGATTAACTAAAGCTTTTGTAGGAGAAACATATACAACAACACCTTCATTGTCTTCTCTGAGCACTTTTTCCATGCAGTAATAAGAGACAAACGTCTTTCCTGAAGACGTTGGAGCTACGATTAATGCAGATTGTTTTTTATCAATTGCATCTAGCAGATCTCGTTGCCATGTTTCAGGAATGAAGTGATTCACTCTCTTGTCAGGATCGGTACGTGGTTCTCTTCTTAACCTCTCGCCAAGGTAAAGAAGCTGAAAACGTGGACTTGATGTATTCAAACTATATTTATCCTTAAAGTCAAACAACCTTTCGGACAAATGGTTTTTTATCACAATCTCGCCAAAACCTATACCATACAGATATCTTGCCAAATTATCTTTGTCTTTCTTCACAAGGAATTCTTTATTATTGATCAACATCAAAATTGTAAGAAGAAGAAACTTGGCTTCTTTTACATCTTTATCTTTTTATCGTTACAAAGCTCTCTCCACCTTTTCCACAAAATTTTTGCCTTCTTTACCAAAATACTTGACTTTAGCTCTTCTTCCTTTACAGATGACAAAAATCGATCAATTTTGGTGACAGCTAAATCAAATTGTCCGTCTTGTTCAAGCTTGCGAATGCCTGTTCTCTCTTGATCCCAAGCTTGTAGTTGTTTATTCAAGTGTTTGTCTTTTATCCTTTCCTCATTCTCCTGCTTAATTTTCTGGCTTTTTTGTGATGTCTTTTCTTTATTCTTTGCTGTTTTCTTTTCGTCATCAACAACAATTGCAGGAAATTCATACTGACCATGCAAAGATTTTCCATACCTTTGCATGTGCCTGGCATAAAGAGTCCTTTGTCTCAAATCTCTCTCATCACTTGCATCACGGCGCATTCGGTCAAAATCATCACTGAGTGGTTTACTTGAATGCCAATGGTAAATCTCATCAAAGTCATCTCCACTTACCACTAAACGAGCGACATCAGGATCATCAATTTCGAGCTTTTTAACACACATATTTTCCCAAATCTTTCCTGCATATTCACTCAATAAGACACAGTCTATATGGATCAATCCGTCTTTATTTGCAACTGGTTTTATTTGTCTTGATTTGCAATTCATATTCAAAAAATTACTTTGCCCAGAAGTTGATTTTGAGTGACTAACATCACAGCTTTTCTTTGAATAATTGACATCAAGATATTGAAGATAAGGTACATCTAACCATTCATTCTCCTTCAGTAATGACGATATTGCACGTACCAGACATGCAATTTTTTTATGTTGAGAAGGCGTCAATGTCAAAGCACTTTTATCACTCGAGTTTTCAAGCAGCAAAAACAGTATGTGGTAAATCAAACGTCCATCCCACGAGTCACAAATCGTTTGTGTAGCAAATGGTAGTTCGTTGTCATTTTGGTTACTCGCAAGACTTCGGCCATTACAAATTGATATCTTAATAAACTATTCTTCAATTTATCACGAAATGATGATTTGTTGTAAATTAAATGATGAACATTTTCGAGAGAATACGCTCGGTATTTCAGAGGAAGTGATGTAAGTAAGACCGCATGAATAAGAATAAGACGTGCAATATCCTGTTGGAAATCTTTGTTTTCTGAACTCCTCAATGATTTCATGTAAACACAAGTTGACACAACAAACAGCAGAAGCCGACCATCAATGACACCATTAATTTGACATGATTCATCCAGTAAGGATAAATTGCTTTTCACTGCTGTGCAAACATTTTCAATGATTTTTTCATTTGCAAGGAAGCTTTTAACATTGTAAAATGGGAATTTTTTGGGGGGTATCCTCCACTTGCTGAATTTTCGCTCATACATAATATGAAAGCCGTTAAGGGTGGATGTACCAAATTCAATTGGATTTGTAAACGCAATATTTAATTTCAAACTCAAAACTTGTAAAAATGATGTTCAAACAATTCAGGTGCATCTTTATGGATAAAGTTTTGATTTGTACTTCTTGACATTAATCCATCGGAAAGAAGCATAAAAGAAGGAGCAAATTCTTCTATGTATTTTTGAAATTTCATATCCCACGGACTTTCAAATTCACATAAAATCTTATGTGTAACGTTTGCTTTTAGATGCTCTATAATGACATTCCGTGCAAGGTGGATACTTGGTTGTGTTTTCCACATTTTACCGAGATCTTGGAAAAATACTATTTCAAAGACGCCACCTTTACGAACAAAAAGATGAAGATAACGTTCGAAAAGGTAAACAAGATGAAGCAATTGACCACTACAAGTCCAGTCTAGATTTTTGTCCAAAGCCTGCTCCATCAGCAAGGAATCGCCATCAATAAGAAACATCTCAGCATCAGCAAATTCATTCATCAAATTTAGAAATTGCGGTTGAAGTTGATCTATGTTATCCTGTAAATCACTCCCCTCAGACATTTCAAGATCATCTGTATAATTGTATCGTAAATTTTATGGATAATTGGTATTTGGTACTGAAATTATAAGAATTTATTATAAGGCAAAAACTATAGGAAGTTGTATTTATTCAGGAATTAAAAGCCAATACAAACAACACATTCTGTGAAAATTGTTTTTCCGGCCCCACCAGCAGATTTCATTCATACAACCATATAAAAACACAAGCTACTAACATAAAAAGTCAAGAAATACCGCCAGTTATTTCACGTGCGGGAAACCAACGGCTAATGCAAATGCGATATGGTTTTTTCGTGTATCAACTATGAAGAGGAACAAATAAAAAAACTCCTCACCATAATCCTCGTCAGATGAACTATTCATTTTCTATTCACAGCTTCTCAATCTATACTTACAACAAATGCATTTTAGCATTTTACACAAGAAAAGCAAAATATACTGACAAAATGAAATATTGATTACCTGGTACAAACCTGAAGGCAGATTTTTGCTCTCGACGCTCGATTTGCTCGTCCCGATTGTGTTTGTTCGTTTTTCGCTTTGCTGTAGATTTTAGATTAGGTGTGAACATGTACAAAGGGCTATAATTTTTATTTTAATGAGGTCTATTGCGAATGACAAGTGTTTCAATCTCGATCAATATATTTAAAAATAGTTAATGAGCAGCAGAGACTAAGTCTATTTCCTTTCTCAAAAATATATTAGGCCTGTTTCAAACGTCGCATTTTACATGAGCCAAATGCAATTAAAACAAAAGATAATGAGGAAGTTTACCTCATTTTCTTTTTCATTGAATGCATTCGACGCATGTAAAATGCGACGTTTGAAACGGGCCTTACTTCATATAAAATCTGAGGCCTGTTTCAAACGTCGCGTTTCACATGAACCAAATGCATTAAAGACAAAAGAAAATGAGATAAACTTCCTCATTATCTTTTGTTTAATTTAAATGCATTCGGCTCATGTAAAATGCGACGTATGAAACAGAAACAGGCCTGACCCATTGAATAATTAGATATAAATAAAAAGAACAAAGCGTATAGTAGATATAAACCGAAAATATGTACGTGTTTACTTGTTTTTGCTGTTTTCAAATTTTCATTCTCAGAAAAAAAACATTGAAGACTAAACTTACCAATACCAAACAGCAGTTTTTATCAACGAATATATAGACGTTACAATTATATTTTCATTGAAACAACTCAAACGAAAGTAAACGTGGCAATGTCGTCTAATGCGGCTTCCAAGAATAAATATCACGAGTTATATTGTGACGTCATCGTTGAACTCACATGAAAAGCAGGGTCACTTCCAGGTCCTCAGTAGTAATATCTTGATATTGCTCAAACGCTAAGAATAAAAAATGTCTAGTTCTTTGTGAACATCCCAGCGGCCAGCACAAAATCAAAATGTCCATTTCAATCATCAAAATATCAATAAGCGTCTTCATGGATGGCAAGATATCATGAGAGAGGGAAGGCAGTTGGTTGCCACTGGCGGTTTGCCCACTTCAGTTTTAATTCACATGAGCAATCTACAACATTGCAAAGTCCTTTTTTGAAAAAAAATTAATTCGTCCTAGAGATTGTAAACTGCAAATACAAAGTTCCAGCCAATGATTCCAACCAATGGTTCCAGCCGATTTTAGCGTTGCACAACACGCAGGTTGGACCATTGGGATGGACCAGTGGGTTGTTTGGGTTGGGTTTGGTTGGACTATTGGGTTGGTTGAGTTGGGTTGGGTTGGACCAGTAGGTTGGTTGGGTTGGGTTGGACTTGTTGGTGGTTTTTGGTCCCAGGTTTTGGCGGTTTGGTTGGCCCATGATCCAACCTTTTTTAGTCTTCTTGAACAGAGCACAGAGTCAAAGCCGAAGGTGATGATTATTATTCGTCTATCACCTACAGTTTTTTATTTTTGACATCGCTTTAGTTGATTGAGACATTAAGTCTGGTTAAATTCAACTTTATGTATAATATGTTATAAACCTTTGTAACGAATATTTTTCACCGTCAATGACAACGAACTTGGAAGTGCTTGAAAACATATCAGATGTATCTGATGTTTTAATTGAAAAAAATAACGAAATTGCTGAAAATGGTGAAACATCAAAACAAGAAGTTGCAAATTCTGCGAACGAGCAAAGTTCACAGAATATCAAAACAAATGTTGAATCCTCATCGTTGTGCAAAGTAACTTGCACTACAGAGAATGAAAACAATAGAGATAATATAAGGTTACGTATAAATAGACTGGTACTTAATGCTTAACTCCGTTTAGTAGAGAATAATACAGTGATTGTTGTATGTTTTTGAAAAATGCTTTTAAACTTTAATGTCATAAAGATCAACGTAAATTTTTAAAGGTATTATATGGACTTCAGCATGTCCCCTCACCAAATAACTGGCTCATGGAGTGATTATGAAACTTCTTCAGATGATAATTTCCTCAAGGGTTGTAAATGGTATGAGTTTTAATGGGGAACCAAAATTGTAATGTGCAGTCACTCAGCAAAATCATGTAAATGTTTTTCTTTATAAGCATTCAAATTGTCAAAAAAAATTCTTGCCAAACTTAGTGCTGATACATATATGTGATGATCAAGTAGTAGGTCCTTCATAATCACATTCTATTGGTAAAACATGATTTTTTACTGTTTGTTTCTATGTTATTTTTATTGTATCTAGGTCACCAGATGGAACATGCATTTTAACATGTAGTGATGACAACATATTGAAACTTTATAATCTACCTTACGAACTGTATTCTAATTTTGCTACTATTAACACACTACCTGAAATGGTATGTTCGAGTGAGTTAAATCCAGACACCATATTTCCCTCTGATTTCCAACAAACTACTATTCTTAGAAATCAGTTCTCGCAATGAGAGAAGGAGAAACAATTTATGACTACAATTGGTACCCAAAGATGTCTTCTTATGAGCCTGATACATGTTGGTAAGTTTAAATATATTATTTTTAATAAAATGTAGAGGTCCATTGTTGATCAAAATAACATAAAATTTACAAATAGGTTTCTATTCAAAGAACTGCACAAGACTAATTAATAATTGTTTTTTATTAAAGATTGTAAACATTTCCATTATTAGTTTTATCAGCAGTAGTCGTGATCATCCATTACACATGTGGGATGCCTTTACTGGACAAATGAGATGTTCTTACAGAGCTTACAACCAATTGGTGATGATTGATTTGCCTTGTTTTATATATCCTGACATTCAAGCCAAAATTTGTATAATTATTTTGTAGGATGAGATAGTATCTCCTCATAGCGTGGCCTTTAATTTGGATGGGAGTAAGATTTACTGTGGATTTAATAAGATGATATGCATATTTGATACATGTCGTCCTGGTAGACAGTGCCAGTCAAGGCCTACAGGTAAGTATTGGAGAGGGATATCTTATAATTTTTGTGAGCATTAATTTTGATTATCATTTAATGTAGTGAGCAAAAAACAAGGCCAACCTGGCATCATTTCATGCATTGCTATATCTCCAGAGCAAAATGGCCTTTACGCGTGTGGCTCATTTTCTAAGTCAGGTTTGAATTTGTCAAATGATTTGCTTCAAGATTGTTTGTAAAGTTTATGCACAAATCATTTCAACTAATTTTTTTAGTTGGCATTTATTGTGAACAAAAAGGGAGTTTATTAACCCTATTGGAAGGACATCAAGGTGGTGTGACACATTTGTTATTTTCTCAAGATGGACTTAAATTATATAGTGGAGCAAGAAAGGTAAGCAGAGCTTCAAAATTTACATAAGTCACATGGGCATGTAAGTTCTTTTGCAAACAGTTCTTTGTTTGTGAATGGTCCATATAAAGTCTTTTAGCTTAATTATGTACTTTAATTGAAATAAAGATGCTCTCTTAAATTGTCATTAGCAACTTAATCTGATATCAGGCTATTATTAATATTGCAATTTTTCTGTACTTAATACAGTTATAAAATTAAAAATATAAATTTTACAGGACAATGAGATTATATGCTGGGATTTAAGAAATCCAGGTGATGTCCTTTTTGTAATGAAAAGATCAGTAAAAACAAATCAAAGAATGTATTTTGATGTGGACAGGTACAAAAATAATTAAAAATATAAAGATTCATGCTATATATTTGGCCATGTAAGAAATAAAATGAAGACTTATATCATGCTTTCTAGTTCAGGTAAGTACATAGTGTCAGGAAACCATGATGGAACTGTGAGCATTTGGGATACCTGTGCATCATCAAATGTCATATTACCATGCCTTATGACATACAAAGGACACAACGATTGTGTCAACGGAGTCAGGTATATATTTAAAACTACAAAGAAAATAAGCAAATTTACAACTATTTTGAAATCATTTAGAGAATGTCAGTTGATATTCACTTTCATACTTAATATGTTATCTTATTGTTAACTTGTGTTTTCCAAGATATGTACTAAAAATATCCAATCAAAAACAATTGTACACAGTCTGCATTTTGAAATCAATATTCAATGGATATATTACATTGTACTGATTACAATCTTCTAAGTGTATAAAATTTAGAGATATAAGCAATTGATAAAAGTTGTATGTGTTAAGGGACATTTACAATATTGTTATTTAAAAAGTAATATTGCTTTTTTAAATTAATGCAGCTTGCACCCAAGTCTGCCTTTCCTAGCAACAGCTTCTGGACAAAGAACATTTCTCTTACCTGATGATGTAGATTTTGAAAATGATGATGTTGAAATCAACAAAACAAAAGTAGACAATTCTCTCAGGCTTTGGAGACTTAATTTTCACACAGAAGAAATGATAAATGTTGGAACATGAGTAACACTAAAATTAGTGGTACCTAGACAACAATTATTGTATAATATCAGGAAGAACTTTGAATAACATAAAAAATGATGCTTGAAAATTCTTTATCACACAAAAGTCTAATTATTTTGTTTTTATCATTTTGTTAAATAGTTCCTTAATATTGATCTACTCAAGATAACATGTTGTAAAGTTGCAGAGTATTTAATGTAGTATGTTAAATTCTATGAGTAAAGTGTAGTTAAGTTCTAAGACACATCACCTGATGAGGTTCACAATTGACTCTTAACACTCTCCACAGAATAGAGATCATTTCGTCTTTGTAATGTAATTGGAACTTGATTACGAACATCCTCTAAGTACTGAAGATCTAAAAATATATTTCACTTTTCAATAAGTAATTATAAGGTGGTTGTCATTACGTTTCCAAATATCAAGTACTCCACAACTACAAAACAAAAAAATACCTACCAATATTGGCGAACACAATATCTTCATGGTGCTCACATTTTGCGATCACTTTACCCCTAAAAATATAGAATAGTAAGTTTTCAATGAATAATCTACAACATTAAAGTGACATCAAAGACACATCAAGGAATTTACCAGGGATCTGCTATGGATGTATGACCCCAGGCAACGTAACTTGCTTTATCATCACGAGCTGGTGATATTGCTGCACAGTAAATCTTTATTTAAACAAAAAATAGCGAAAATAATGAAAAGGGACACGGAACTTTGTTGAGCGTTTTGAAAGACGATTACGTAAACATTAAACAAACATGAAAAGTACGTACAACCACAACGAGTTACAGTTTCACAATTATTTAATAATGGAATATTTATAGTAACTTCAAAAGAAAACAGTGAAAAAACGTTCGTAAAACTTCGTATAGCAAAAATCATACTATTTTAGCAAAAATGAAGCAAAACCTCACCTGATTATTCAAAGCCCTAAAAAAAATAGTACATTAGAATTTAGTGAATTCTATGTTTCGTAAATATATCTATATATGTCAAAAAAATACAAGCAGCTCATGTATTCACCATTAGTACGCAAAGTTTATTGAACATTTCAATTTCAACAATTTATTTGCAATTCCGGTGTCAAAAATTCTCGTTGGAAAAACAGCAATTTTAACAAAGTAAATAAAAATCTAACATTCTACCACTTTATTTAAAGCTCTAAAAACAAGCAAAATCACAATTGTCCAAGAATGTTGTGTTTTATTTCAGGAAATTGATCGGTCTTTTATGAAATATCAGAAAAAAATAATGCAGATCTACAAAATTCAGCACAATTAATAGCAATTAAAATACATGTGTAGAAGCAAGTGATACACTTTGTAGCATGGGGTGAAAACAAAAAACAATGCGTGTTCATGTGTTCGAGGGTGTGTTATCTTGTGCTTCATTATCCTATCAATTAAACTAACTCAACTAAGGACTACTTAACCTTTTCTCAAAGCACAAATACTAACATTTACCCCTACAACAATTTATGCTGTGCGTGGTTGTGTGCCAAACCTGCTTCGTATGAGTAATTCCCAATGTTCAGGACCAGTTGTCATGTTAAATGCTCCAGGATAAAGAATCAATTTGCATCCTAAAAAAAAATTTTCCCCATTTTATTACCATCTAGTTGGAGGTAAATCTTAAACGTGAATCTTAATGACCTAGTTTAGCATAGAGTTGTGCCATTTCCGAGAAACGTATGTCGTAGCAGATTCCAATACCCACTTTACAGAATGCTAAAAATATAAGGCATTTCTTTGTAAAATCACCGCTTTTGAGGATTGATAGTAAAAAAGAAATCACTATTTTAACCATCTGTGAAGCACAATTAACAAAGTGATGAAAAAAATCAAATAATACACACATGTTTCAAATGTTGTAAGAGAATTCCCACAGTGCAACACTTCAGATTCACGGAAAGTGATTTTTCCAGGAATATCAATATCAAATAAATGTACCTAAAATACCACAGTTTTCATATAAAAACCCAACCTACTTGGCTACTTCAAAAACTTACTTGCCAACAAGGGTGCAAAACAATTGATTCTAGAAAAATTCTAAACCATTCTCCTTACTTTTCTGTGTTTGGCAACCATTTCACCACTTGGAGAAAATACTGTACAAGTATTGAAATATTTATCACCATCTTTTTCAGGTATTGAGCCACCAACAATAAATACTTGAAGTTCTCTTGCTAATTCCAACAATGCATTAGTTGATTCTCCTGGAATTGGTTCTGCATATTTAGCAAAATATTGTGTTCCATATGGACTATTAAAACACTCCTAAAATTCAAATAAACAACCATTAAATAAACAATTGTATGAATTCCATTTTTCCTACATTAATCGATAAATCGACATAAGTCATAATGCATGGAGAATACAGAAATATTGTAATTCAAAAAATCTTAGAATATAGAGTAATACCATAGGGTCAATCTGTTATTTAGATAAGTTAGACCACATATCATCAAAAATTATTCATATAAATAGAAAATACACTTACAGGTAACGACACTATTGATGCCCCTTCTTTGGCAGCAGCTCTTATCAATTCCTTTGCATGTGTAACATTATTTGTTTTATTTGTACCAACAGCCAGTTGAATCAGGGCAATCTTGAACACTCAAATATTAAAAAAATTCCTATCAAACTACATGGGCTACATTACATATTTTATAATTTGGTCAACTATCCCTTTTACAAGCAAGTAGATGAGTTAGATTGTTTACGTTTTGCTGTCAGGCAGATTTATACCATGGAAGATCAACCATTGTTGCTAGAGTTGTCTAAAACACTAGACCAAATCTTCCAGCAAGAAAACGTAAACAATCATTCATTTATTCATAAATAATGTGCTGAGTTTCAGATAAGAGTTTGCAGTGGTCTTTATCAAAAGGGTGCTTTCAAAATTACGTTATATATGCATATAATTTCATGTGAATTAAATAGTCATAAAAATTTCAATACACACGCCATGGAAACTTTCCGTAATATACTATCAACTAAATAGTTTGTTTCATTTGCGAGAATTTACTCAACTCCTACATATAAAGCTTATAATCTTATCCATTGAACAGTTAAAATTACAATAGTTCGCCATTACAGTAACTTACCTCTGCCCGCCATAACGACTGAACTAACAAATAATTACCATGATAATTACCTGTGCAATAGTAATTATTATATTAATTATTATTATTATAAATTGTAAAACACATCGGTCATGACGTTTTCTAGCACTGACCTTCATAATTCATACATTGACATTGTAACATGGAGGCCTTGCTTTTGAAAAGAAATGTACTTCATGACACGAATTTATGCAAGCTTTCAAACAAATAAAGTAATATTTTAAGAAAAAGTTCATTAAGAAATTTGAACAAAAGTTGTTGAAAATTATTCGTTTTGCAGAAAATTATACTAACAGAAATTTTTAAGCTATTTTGTTACTATTTACTTTATTGCCAATTATTCCAGAGAACTTCAACAAAGCAAACAGAAAGCTTTGCTACGAATATGGCACATTTATAAGGCGACCTAATAAAATGAACGTGTTGTTCAACTGTTTTTTTTTGTTTACTGATTTTTGCACACGTGTGATTTTACTGTTTGTAACACACATGTAGTGTTACTGATTTTTGCACACGTGTGATTTTACTGTTTGTAACAAAGATTCTGTGTTGCTTATTTTGCACACGTGTGATTTTACTGTGTGTTACACTCATTTCGTGGTACTGTTTTTGCACACGTGTGATTTTACTGTTTGTTACACACATGTAGTGTTACTGATATTTGCACAATAACGTCCTCTTCAAAAGACTTACAAATGTTTTAGTCACATTCCCTCTCCAGGAATCTCTTTTACGAAAATTTTTATTCATTTTTAACAAATATTCGCTGTATATAAAAATGCTTCCTTGTTGAAGTGAGTACAATTAAATTTATATGTACCTCGACAAGCAATTCAACAATATGAGCCAGTGATTATCGAATATTAACGACAGGTTGTGAGATTTAATATTTTTATAATGTACAGCTTATTTCTAACTAACTTCTAATTGCCTTATCTCTTCAAGAAGACTGTCCTCAGTGTTGAGTTTTTCTTCCTAAAAAGTTACAAATTTACAGTACATAATGCATTTCTTTGGTATCTAGAATAAATCGTGTTAAAACAGGAAATATATTATCACAGTTGAAGTGAACTTTTACCAATACCATCCAATTCTGTGCATTTATGAAAACCTTTGTTGCAGGTTTAAACTTCACTTATTTTCCAGTAAATAGGCTCACACATTGCAATACGATCAACTAGTTTCAGCAGTCACTAATTTCATTTTTTCACCTGGTTCTTTTCTAACTTCTTCCCCGCTTTCTTTTGCAATTTCAATTCTTCAATCTGCTTCAGTTTCTACACAACAATAAATTGTTCATAAAATTAAACAAATATTTAAGAAATTGAAAAAAAACTTTTTCCTCAGCTGAACCTAATTCAAAACAAACAAATGCCATTGAACACGATAACAAAAGACAAATACCAAACGAGTTTGTATCATGAAATCACCAACACCCTCCTGCTGACAATAAGCCAGAAGCAGGCTTCGGGTTAGCGTAATTTCAACAGCAATATGTCTTTTGGTGTTGTATGATTTTGAGATAGGTGTAAATTGAAGTTTGATTGTAATTAAAAAAGCATTTTAACATATGTAACATGGCATGCATTTTCAACATTGAACAAAATGTATACATGCATGACGAAAACATGAAAGACACTAAATTAAATGTGTCATAAATTATCTTACGGTGAAATCAAATGTTCTCTAACGCAATTAACTGTACAAATACAGTTACATACAGAAAGTGTTGAGTTTTGTTATTTTCAATTTAGTCTTCATTTCTTGTTTTTGAGTTGTGAATTACATTTTTGAAGAGCTTTTTGTTCAAGGATTGGCTTTAGAAAAAGTACATTTTAGCAGAGGAAGTATATGAAAACAAACTCGCATTCTGTCTACAAACAAACCACCTTTTTTAAATTTTTTAACTTCTTCTCCTTCTCAGTAGTTGCACCAGATGCCACAGTGGTACTTTCAGGAATATCTCTACCACAAATATTGTTATCCTAAACAATTTCTCATAGTTAATCAATGAAGCTAAATGCATGTACGTAGGCCTATAAATAAATTGTTCTGCGAGCATAGTTTCAAATTCATCGAAAATATGATACATATATATTATCATACATATTTAGAGGGGAGGTGATTATTCATATAGCTATTCATCCTCGACTTCGTTTCGGGAAACATTGAGACTAGAGGGAAAACAAACTCATTATTTCCCTCGAGAGAATATATTAAGTGTATAATATCCAAGAATGCTGCAAAGTTTAAAAGAACTTAGAAACGGCCTTCTTGTCTTAATAATTCAAACCATTTTTAATTAGCTGATATCTATCAAATGACATAACTCTTTTATTGAATGTTTCATGCATCATGAGCAAATCATCTGTCTTCATCGTCTAATTAAATGTTGAAATAAATAACTGGGTCAAAGACTTTATAAAGTTTTACAATGATAACAAGGAATAAGGACTCGGGTTTCTTATTCTCCATGTTTGGAATTGGCAGGGAGGAAAAGCACAAATTTTCAGTAATATTGAAAAAATCAAATTGCCACTCTAAAGTCTGCAATGTACGAATAACATAAAACAAAATAGCCTAGCAACTTTGCAGTAAAAACTAAAACAAAATTCAAAATTCAATGTGTTAAATTAATTCACCTCATTTTCTTTTTTAGTTCGAGCCTTGGCTTCACGTTTCTTTTTATTCCTTAAAGCATTCGCAGATAATTCTTTTGTTTTCTTTGCGTTTTCTGGAGGCTCTATTTCATGCTATAAAAAATAGATTCTTGGTGTAATTTGTATCGCTCAAAAGGGAAAAACAGTTAAATACTTTGGCGTTATGAAGGTCTTACAAGCTTTGATGTATTTACGGGAGTTCCTCTGGCAGATGGAGGGCGATATGCCTGGACTTCATCTAAAAATAAAAACGTTAAAAAAATTGTTGACTCAACAATTATGAAAATTTATTGCATGCTTTCAATATTGGAGGAAGAAAAAGTAATGGGCCTGTTTATACCATTCGATTTCTTGACTTTCGCCGAAGTGATGGAAAGTTCTGGAAAAACACCTTCAGGACGAGGTTGCCAAGTAACCTTATTATAATTCAATGAATTATTTATAACTTGATGGTGAATTTTTCACATTTACGTAAAATTGAGGTTTAGTTAATGAAGTTAATCACCTACTTGCCAAAGTTCGTTGATGGACTTTTCGTAAATACAATTACCATTATAATGCCATATTTTGAATCTATACAAAACACAGGACAACATTTCTTCAAGTTGAAAACAAATTCCACTCTGAACAATGAAAGTTAAGTATTACCCATTTCCTTCACGTAATCTTGGTGATGTTGTTGCAGTCATAAAATGCTGACCATCGGGACACCATTCAAATAAAGTTGTATCACTGGCCTGAAAAAATCAAAAAATAAATTTTATAAGTAAGGAGCATGTAAATGGAAATAGACAAAAATGTTCAAGGCTTGTCAACTCCATAAATCAAAAACTTAGTTGGGCATGTCGACGGGTTTTTACGAACATTTTGAAACAACTTAAAAGTTTCCAAAAAACTTTTAGATTTGTTCTATGAATTATATTCAGGGTATACATTAGCTTCAAAAAAAAAAATCTGCGTTTCCAATCGCAATGCTATACTTAATGAACAACAAAGTTCCAGTTTACACAGTACCTGTAGTTTGTTGATCTCTTTATGTCGTTTGACATCCCAAAATTCCTTATAAAAACAGATTGAAATCACAAAAACACACCAACTTTTGCTGAAAATAACCATTATAATACCATATTTCCACGTAAGTTGCCAAAACCAGCAAGACAAAGTAATGTTGCTTGTAAAGGAAATCACAAAAGATACCTCACTATCCATTATAACCACCCATATCATTCCATATCTTTAACTTCCCAGTTACATGAGGTATGTTTAAATAAACTAGTGCTATAAAATCATGCAAAAAAGGATACTGTTTCCATGGGTATTATAATGTGCTGTATTTCTAGGTCCAGTGCCGAAATCAAACACTGATTCACATTTTAAATTAAATATTGTAGCTTTAGCTGGCATGTCTATTGCATATGACATTAAGGAAAAACGAGGTTGTATAAAGAAGACTATCAACAAACGTGAGTAAGAACAGAAATTAAACCAAAGATACAACCATAAACTACACAAAACTGTGTAGAATTTGGATTCCAATCAATAGCATATATCGGTCCTTTCTTCGCTAAAACAAAATGTCAATAATGGTTACTACGCTCTCGAAGAAATTACGTTTAGATTATTGATAAAAATACCAAGAATAACGGTGTTACTGTCGCCACTTGTCGAAATATACTGAAGACTTTGCTCGCCATAATAGGAGCCTCCAGTTTGATCAACTTCAGTACTTGTAAGAATCAATGCATCTTTTCCTAATAAACCATTAGTTTTATTACAAGTTGTAATATTATTGATGTTTGACGGTTTTTTGTAAATTTGAATATTAATTCATAAAAATTTGTCTAGCATTTTTATTATATTTTGAGGTCTACCTTTTTTGTTCCACAATATATTGACTTTATCAGCTTTAAAGAAGCTTTTGTTCGCAATTGGAAATTCAAAGTTTGCATATTCATAAAGACGAACATAGCTTGGGGCTCCCTAAAGCATACACAAAAAAAGATGACTATTAATCGACATAAATAAAACGAAAGCATTAACCTTTATTGTTTTTTTTTAAGTCAAGAAAAGTTCTTTCCAAAGAGTACGTTTCATTCCAATGAGCTCATATAAAATTAGAAGGAAAGCTAGTTTACTCGTTCATTCAAACTTAACCATTGAACGTAACCATTGAATTTAACCATTGAACTTAACCATTGAATTTAACCATTGAACGTAACCATTGAACGTAACCATTGAATTTAACCATTGAACGTAACCATTGAACGTAACCATTGAACGTAACCATTGAACTTAACCATTGAACTTAACCATTGAACTTAACCATTGAACGTAACCATTGAACGTAACCATTGAATGTAAACTTTTAAAGTAGCCAACAAACGTACCCAATGAGCCTAAATAAACCTAACTATTCAACCTAACTTATGGACTTCACCATTGCAAATGTAACCATTACACTGACATAAACCTACACCTCAGCATTGCTCTGAATAAGCAACTTGCAAGTCCGTCATAGTCTCTCTACCTTAGTGCCACGAACATAAGCTGCAATCTTATATGGAGGTGGTCCGGGTGCAATTTCGATACAGCTAACTCCTTGTAGTCGGAGCTTGTGCGCAATATTTCCTGTTGTTGAAAGATGAATAAATTAAAACTAGACATAAGGGTACAATCCACTCATTTTTATGCAATATAAAAAATATTATCATTTGAAAATTTTAAATGGGTAAAAATTTACAAATTTGGCTGATCAAACCATTTACTTTAGATTTTCTAAAGTTGTACACAAATACTTTATCCTGTGTATTGAAACACAAGACATACAGGCAGGATATATCATTCAGGTGAATATAAAATAGATTTCAAATATTATCTACCAAAATTTCCATTGACATAAAAATGAGCTTCGTTAGTAACACATAAAGAACACAGGATTTCATCATCAGACCATTTGAAATATCTATTTAAAAGTCAAAGTGGTTTCAATAAATTAAATGTTCATCTAATAAATACGACAAGCTTTTTAAAATAAACATGTTCCAATATCATATGATGCCATAACATGATACAATGTATATGTACTAGCTTGGTACAGCAAGGACAACGAGACAATAAACAGACATATTGACATACCCATCATATATTCACAACTAAAGAAAAAGGACAGAAAAACTACAAATAACACCAAAACTACAACATTACACTCTAATAATATTAACACCAATCATATTCACAATACACCAAAACCCATTACAACGCATTCTACACCATCCAATCACAATAATCCACCCGCTAATCCAATTAGACGCTCTAAGCGTCTAAAAATCAAAAACAATTGTATATAACTACTTCCTATATCATTCTGAAGAAGGCTCGAAGCACTGAGTCGGAAGCTCAATAAAATAATTTTATAAAGTTGCGGAGAAACTTTCATTTTTATATAAATACTAGTATGTTTGTAAATGTAGATCGTCCAGGTTGGTATAGTCCTGAGAAGGACTGTTTTTGTTGTTGTTGACCCTGCACGATCTACATTTACAAACATGTAACGATACTCCCGGGTTCAAACGATTTACTTTAATACTAGTATGTATATTTATCGTATGCATAACATTTTTTATTATACTGAAGATGGCATCATGAAATGTTTAAACATGTTTATTTTTAAAGACTTTACTTTAAAAAAGTCATATTTATTTTTTTACGCAGTTACGGTAAAAAAAATGAAAAACCACATCCTTTTTTCGAGAGAAATGCTAATTATGTAAGGAAATCATGTTATATAACTAAAAAATTATCTAGAAATTAACAAACGCGAGCAAAATTCATGAGGTACCACAAGGGGTCAAAACAAAAATAAATATACTTGTTTTCTCGTTTTTTGATACAGATTCCTTTGATGCAACGTCCTGTTTTTAATTCCCATATTTCCAATGTATTTTTATCACTTGGCTCACCTGCTCTAACTATATTAAATAAAAGTAGAAATTTCAATCAAAAAAAATAAATCGTATTTATTTATATATTAAAAAAATAAATTGCAATCCTAAACATTACCACTTTTAACATCCATGTTCATACATATTACATGAAAATGGTAAAAATCTTGCCTGCTAATATCTCCCATGTTACCAAGTATTTACTTTTTGGTGAAAAATAAAGTATGTTTGTCCTTTCTCTTGGTATAGTAACGAGCTCCTTTTCTGATTCAAAGTCGAATAATTGTACACTAAAAATTGAATTAAGCAATACACAATGAAGACAAGTTATTTTAACAGTAACAAAATTTTACAAAAAATACAAAGTAGGGTTCGAATTAGCGCATCGCAATTACCAAATTACGAGCCAATTTTGTGCTTTAGCAAATCAAAGACGAATAAATTGCGAATCAAAATTTGAAAAAATACATTTAAAACATAATATTGACATTCTTTGAATGGAAATTTATTAAAAATCTAATTTAGTACGGCTTCCATTTATGCTTTGTCTGTTCAAAAAACGTATGCTCAAATAAAATATCGATAACCGTTAAACGTATATTTAGAACATTGTTCTAAATATAGCACAATATACTTTGTCAGATTTAAGCCTGGTTCACATATGACTGAGACATGACTGAGGCATTATTAAGGGCAAGCCTGAGATGCTTTCTGATCTTGTGGCTGAGGCAGGACTGAGGCATGCCTGCGAGGGTTTTCAATGACACAATTCAAATTGCTGATAGACCACAAAAATTTAGCGGCAGTTTGAATTTGACAAAATAGTACTTCGTAATTTGAAAATAGCGTTACTATTAGTAACGCTACTACTTTTAACAGTCATTTCAAAATACATCAAAGATGGGATAGCCGGTTTGAAAAAAAGATAATAATTTGGATTTTACTCTTTGATTTTTGTACTCTGGACACAATTTATCATAAATACCCCGATAGTTGCGTATTGTATCCATAAGTTTTTATTTTTATCGTAAAGTGATCGAAATTGTTTTTTTGGTTTAATGTCCTGTGTTGAAAATTCATCCGCCATCTTTTTACCCAAATGCGTGATGGGTAATATGGTCGCCGATCGATCGGAGAAGCGTTCACATATAACAGAAATAACCAAAATATGTTCCGTACACCGCTGCTTAGCCGCCGGCATGCCGGGAAAGTTGAACACAACTCACACTGACACTTTGAATATTTTGATGTGAAGAAGTTAGCATTAACTGCTTTTACATTTAACATTCAACATATCTAAAATCGTGGCCAGAGATTTGCAAGGCGGAAAGCGAATTTTCAATATGAGCATAATAGCCCAACATAAGACTTTTAAAAAAGCCATCACAATAATAAAATAGAGAAAGATTTATTAATAACGTTTCGTCTTTAACTTAAGACATCTTCACATTATTAAGACATCTTCGAACCTCGTGTATATAATTTATCTCAAATAATCTGAAGATATCTTGAGTTAAAGACGAAACGTTATTAATAAATCTTTCTTTATTTTATTACTGTGATGGCTTTTTTAAAAGTCTTATGTCGGGCTATTATGTTCATATTGAAAATTCAACATATCATTTTCTGGTGTGTTACTTTAATGAGTCAAATAGAAATGTTACATGGATATAGACCGTGGTAAAAATATTATAGTACGAAAGGTAGTAAATTTTTTTTCAAATCTTTTAAATATAGTTTGGCTTATTGATCGATATCAAAAATGTTACGACGAACGTTTATACGGACAACTTTATTGTCATAACTTTCCACTGCTGTTTTGAGCAACGTTATAGCCAGAACGCAAATTTCAAACATTGGCAACGTGCGTATGAGCAACGTTATAGCCAGAACGCAAATTTCAAACATTGGCAACGTGCGTATGAGCAACGTTATAGCCAGAACGCAAATTTCAAACATAGGCAACGTGCGTATGAGCAACGTTATAGCCAGAACGCAAATTTCAAACATAGGCAACGTGCGTATGAGCAACGTTATAGCCAGAACGCAAATTTCAAACATTGGCAACGTGCGTATGAGCAACGTTATAGCCAGAACGCAAATTTCAAACATTGGCAACGTGCGTATGAGCAACGTTATAGCCAGAACGCAAATTTCAAACATAGGCAACGTGCGTATGAGCAACGTTATAGCCAGAACGCAAATTTCAAACATAGGCAACGTGCGTATGAGCAACGTTATAGAACCAAAAACATAGGCGACGTGCGTATCAACGTTATAGCCAGAACGCAAATTTCAAACGGCAACGTGCGTATGAGCAACGTTATAGCCAGAACGCAAATTTCAAACATTGGCAACGTGCGTATGAGCAACGTTATAGCCAGAACGCAAATTTCAAACATTGGCAACGTGCGTATGAGCAACGTTATAGCCAGAACGCAAATTTCAAACATAGGCAACGTGCGTATGAGCAACGTTATAGCCAGAACGCAAATTTCAAACATAGGCAACGTGCGTATGAGCAACGTTATAGCCAGAACGCAAATTTCAAACATAGGCGACGTGCGTATGAGCAACGTTATAGCCAGAACGCAAATTTCAAACATTGGCAACGTGCGTATGAGCAACGTTATAGCCAGAACGCAAATTTCAAACATAGGCAATGTGTGTATGAGCGACGTTATAGCAAGAACGCAAATTTCAAACATAGGCAACGTGCGTATGAGCAACGTTATAGCCAGAACGCAAATTTCAAACATAGGCAACGTGCGTATGAGCAACGTTATAGCCAGAACGCAATTTCAAACATAGGCGACGTGCGTATGAGCAACGTTATAGCCAGAACGCAAATTTCAAACATTGGCAACGTGCGTATGAGCAACGTTATAGCCAGAACGCAAATTTCAAACATAGGCAATGTGTGTATGAGCGACGTTATAGCAAGAACGCAAATTTCAAACATAGGCAACGTGCGTATGAGCAACGTTATAGCCAGAACGCAAATTTCAAACATTGGCTACGTGCGTATGAGCAACGTTATAGCCAGAACGCAAATTTCAAACATAGGCGACGTGCGTATGAGCAACGTTATAGCCAGAACGCAAATTTCAAACATTGGCAACGTGCGTATGAGCAACGTTATAGCCAGAACGCAAATTTCAAACATTGGCAACGTGCGTATGAGCAACGTTATAGCCAGAACGCAAATTTCAAACATAGGCAATGTGTGTATGAGCGACGTTATAGCAAGAACGCAAATGTTGAAATTTCAGTAGACGCACGTTTTAAAAAGTTGCAAATCGATTTTTCTCCTCCTAATTTGAACCCTGTCAGAAGGCTTACACAGTAATCATTAGATCAAAAAATAAAAAATATTTACCATTGTGAGTTACACCAAGCAATATATTTACCGTCTGGACTAAAATCTAAAAATCTGCTGCTTAATGTTGCCCTAAAAGTTATAGAATGCAAATAAACAGTGAAAACATATTGGTTAGCAATGAAAAATGAAGCAGATCAAATGATTTATTTCAATTTAGGACACAAAGGTTAATTTTTACAAAGCTATGTTTCACATGTTTAATGTGGAAAAGTGAAAGATAAAGTTTTTTGTCTCCTAGGACTCATAAAGTTTATGTTAGTTTCATATAAAACAATATAAAAACATACCTTTCAAAATTGGTATAACTACTTATGCTCGAGTTTATTAGTTTCATCACACTGACTTCATTTGATGAACGGACTAGAATAAATTAAAAAAAACAATACTTTACTTGTTAACTACAGTGTTCACACTAAATCATGACATTTTGTTTTTGGGAGCACCCTATATTTAATAGTTTTGAATAACCATCGCATTTAAACTTTATACAGTACAGTACTAAAACTCCATGATAAAGATCTTAATGCACATGTCAAGGGAAGAGAAAACAATGAAAAATATCTATGATCAACAGTGGAACTTGATAGCCAAAAAAATTCAATACATTCTTTAATTTTAGCTCCACCATCACCAGCAACAGTGATGGTAGCCATAACCAACAAGTTTCCATTTTAGGGTGACAGTAGCCAGTAGGTCTCTCACCCAACACTTTCACAATGTACACATAGCTATCGTTTTAAAAATGAATAGGGTAGACATGTGATATAAATATTCAATTTAATATTCAATTGAATAAAATAAAACAGACATATCCTACAGACATATCCTACATACAATTATGAAATAAATGGCATAATCACTAATTGGTACTGCTGGTGCTGGAAAAATTATTGAATATTTAAAAATTGAAAAAGCAGTCAAGAATAATACTCAAGTACATTGAAAACTACTTATTTTATGTTTGTTGGTTCTCTAATCAGACAATACATGCTAAATAAAATCACCTTACCAGCAAAAAGTTCGACCGCCATCTTAACTCATCTACTGATCTCTATGACTATTTGCTTGCAATTTGAATTAATTGTAAGATGAATCGTAACAAGAATCAGGCGACCAAGGTCCAATCCTATGAAGGGGCGTTGAAACATAATGATTTCTATTAAAGAGAACTGAAAAACGTAAAAATGGCAATGAATCAGACAATTTGATTTCGCGTTTAGTATTTCGGAACATTTGATAATTTTATTGACCAACTCATAATGGCCAAGAAGTGGTAAAAAAGATTGATCGAAAGCGCGGTTACCAAGGGAGAAGACCAAAGAGAATGTCGAATTGCTACATTGATGGTTGGAATTTTATATTTTGTTGTTCGAGAAGGACACCAAATCGTAACCAAGCTCCTACTCACGAAGAGCATACAGATGATGTAATTCTAGACAAACAATTAATAGGTGAGAACGAAAGTTTTTTAGCTATTTATATGTAGACTTTGGGCAATCAGTTATTTCACTTATTTCTTTAAAGGTGACGAAGTAGTCATTGTGAAATCTGATTTACGAATATGCGGCTCTGGTGCTGCTCTTGCTACAGCTCCTATAGTTCAAAATAAAGCTTATTTTGAGATCAAAGTACAATGTGGAGGTATATATTTCTTGTGACTCATAATCATATTTTGTTGTATCTACCCTACACAACAAACCGTCATATTTAGTCTTCAAGAGCTCCCTAGCTTGTTGAAATAGGTATAATGGCACTACAGATACTGGTTCTACTGTACTTTACACTACCTATCATGTTAAAGTGTGTTCTACTGTACTTTAAACTTGCTAGTATGTATAAGTTAGTCATACACTAATATACACCACATAGCATGTAAACGTGTTTACTAGAATAAGATATGGCATTTAGCATGTTGAATTGTGTATTAAGATAACTACAAAAAGATAATCACTTTCTTCTATAGGTGTTTGGGGTGTTGGTTTGGCATCACGAAAGTGTGATTTGAATCGTTTACCATTGGGAAACAATGAAGACAGCTGGGTTTTAAGGTCTGATGGCAGTATTTGTCATGCTGGAGAAGTTGTTCATAAATTAAATGTTATGCCTGATGAAGGAGACATCATTGTATGTGACATTGTTTTTATTCTGTCATTAAGAATTGTAGACATAATTTATTTATAAATAATCTAGGCTTGTACCTATGACCATGCTGAACTATATTTCTACATAAATGGGTGTAAAGTTGAATTTCCTCTAACAGGAATAAAAGGAACTGTGTATCCAGCGGTTTATGGTATGTACGTATTAGACAAAAAATCTTAAGAAGCTTTTTATCTCATCGTTGATCGTTCCTTTTATTTGTTGTTTAGTGGATGATGGTGCTATCCTAGATGTTATATTTAAAAACTTTTGTTATCCACTACCTTCTGGTTATAGTCGAATACTATACGAGAAATCACTTCTTTGATGGCAAGAATAGAATTTATTCACTATTAATGACGTTTTGTAAAGGTTGGAAAGGTAATCCTCCGCAAATCAATTGCACTGCGAGAAAGTATAGTCATTATTATCAGAGAGATAAAATGTTCATTGGTTAGAGAACTTTTAGCATAACAATTATATGAAACAATTAGGATTAAAGAATATTTTGATATGACCAATTTTTATGTGGTATAAGGTTTTTAGCATTATCTTTGAGTGGTTACACGGTTATAATGGGCAAAAATCAAAATGTTTATACTACCTTATGCTCTGTTGATGTTTTCAATTGTCAAAGTTGGGTTAAATCATAAAGATTACCTAGAACAGTGATGTACCACGAGCAAGTTAAATAGTTGGGAAAATAATGATCTTTGGAAACAGCAAAGGAAGTACTATGACCGTCTTGGGTTAAGCTCATTGTTTTTTTAATACTTTCAATAGATGGTTGCAGGATGAAGTCCTTCGTATTAGTTTAAATTTTAATATTTCATAATACTTTGTGAAACACAAAATTATTTACTGGTGACTGTCTACAAACATTGAAAATGAATAAAATTTAATATACACAAAATAAAGTAGTAGCTAATACGAAATGAATTGCAATAAAGCTGTGTGTACTTTCTTAGCAGAAATTCCCGCTTAAACAAGTTTTACAGTCATGCATTTAGCCTACAAAACAACAAAGTTGACGTATTTAGCATTAATTTTCAAATTTTGCAGAAAAAGGGGGATCTTTTGTTCAAGTTCGTCTTTAACGGTTTTTACAACTACGAAATAGCTATCAAGAATGGTTTATTGACACGTTTGAATCGTCTCGTGTGGAATGATAAACATCCTTTTATCTACAATCTTTCTTTCTTCAATGATCCAAGTTTCGTCAGAGCGCGTAATGCGTTTCCTGTTTTCTAAAAAAGTTCAATCAGATTCTCATCACTCTTTGCGTTAAAGTATGACATAAAGTTTATCACCATTTTGATTTGTAGCAATTTACCTCAACATAATTTGTTAATATACTACAACATTTTCTTAATAATTGTACATTTTTTCTCAATTTTTTAGATGAAACGACTTGCCAATTTATTCGTGAAAATATAAAAGTGATTATAACTGGAAATTAAAAAGTATGTTTCCACCAATATGATCTGGGATAACGATTTCTTCCAAATATTATAATACAGTATACAAATAATAAATGTAAATGACGAGTAATTGCTTGTCCTTGGTACTGCTAGGTACCTGAAATTATGCATGAATACGTACAGTTCAAGACGAATATCAAGTCTATACAGTATATATTATCTAATACATACCGCCCATCTCCTGCGAGCTATAAATTTTTTCATATGATCTGTCTTTAGCTTTTTTGCTTCGAATTCCGGAGCTTTCTGTGAAAAAATACAAAATAACTTTGGCGACTTTCTCACAGAAAACTTGTAGGATCAAGTTGATTGGGTTTAATAAGACTCAAAACGGGAAAATTGTTCAAAAACAAACACTCAAGTACATGGTGCATCAACGTAAAGCTATTTTAGTACTTTATGAGTAACTACCAATATCCATTCATGAGTTAAACATCTCTCCGCTGTATTTCTCTCCCTTGGAAAAAATCAAGTTATTTAAAAGTTCTTTCATCTTGCTTTTTTGAAATCGTATTTAATACTTAAAAACTCACCGAGGATTCTTTTTCAGTAATTCCCCAATAAAATCTTTGGCTAATTGACTGACATCATCAAAGAAATCATCATCTGTTTCAAAATCCCACATCCCAGTGCAAACATTATTTATTGTTTCGTTATCATCTTCACCCATAAACGGCGAGAGACCACTAAGTCTGGAAAAGTAATTAAGATTCATTAAAATACAATAGTTTATATATTGAGTGAAAAGTATGCGAGGCATTTGCAGCTGGTCATTTGAAACGTCACTCCATGCTCATCTAAAGTACTTACAGCACGTAAGAAATTACTCCAACGCTCCTAAAGAAAATACAAAACTTTTCACTGGACGGTAAAGATAGATTTTTCTTGTTTCTTGTCTTACTTACCACATGTCACTTGCAAGATGAATTGGTTCAAAGCTTATCACTTCAGGAGCTACAAAACGATTGCAAATGTTGAGACACAGGCTAAAAAATACAGAAACACAGTGTCTTCAAAATGTGGGTCAAAAGTGATATTCACCTTTCTTCTTCTTTCTTAGCTAACATCATTTTCCACTTACCTACAAATTCTGGTGTGCCGCACGCAACTTTCAACTCTTTACCATCCTCCAAAACTTTTGACATACCAAAGTCGATTAATTTAATATCATCCTTGTTTCCAGGACGAGGCACACACATTACATTTTCGGGCTGTAAAGAGTAACGATTTAATTACATGCTTGTTACAAGTAAAAGCTTCACTACTTTTTAGATAGTCAAAATCAGAAGGCAGATACCTTTAAGTCTAAGTGAACAATATTCTTGCAATGCATGTAATGTACGCCTTGTAATATTTGAATAAGATATCTTGCAGCATCGGCTTCATTTAGGTTGTCTTCGTCGACTATCTTTTGAAATAATTCGCCACCTGATATTCTAAAATTGATCATGTGTTTTTCATGTATGGATGTGCCAAGAGTGATGCTAATTAAATTATTCAATCGCCAAAATTATATTAATATGAACTTTAAAAAATATGTAAGTTTTTTATGAACGTGCATGAGAGATCACTGTTTTTTTGCACCGATACTTACAGTTCCATTACCATAATAAGTTCTTTAGAAGTTTGGTAAGCATCGTAAAGAAACACTAATCTTTCATGATGTATTTTATTCATCAAATTAATTTCTTCAGTCACTTCTTTCTTTGATTTTGGTGTTAATTTGATGAACTTGGCTGCGTAAGTATTCCCAGTACTTTTCTCTGTTACCTTATAAACGTAGCCAAATTTTCCTCTGTAATTAAAAAAATTTAAAAAATTTACAATAATGGCACATACATTAATTTTATAAGATTTATAAATGATGAGTAACATGCCATCTCGTACTTACTCTCCTAACTTCTCGTGAGTTTCGTAAAATGTTTCTAACTTTTCATTTGTCTTCAAATGAACATTAGTTGGCTCTGAAAATTCAAGACCATGTCCTTCTTTAATTCAAATGCAAAATATTAAACATTGGCAGTTGGCTTAACCTTGTTTCTAGCATATACATTTGACCATATTTGTCGTTTTGACGTAAGGCAGACGGAGTGACTTATTTCATTGTTATACCTTCGTGCAGTTTTGAACTTCAAACGAAATGTCACGAAAGCCTTGTTTGATGCTAGATGATTTTCTAACTTACAGAATCTGCCCATGCAAAAGTTTGCCAACTGTTAGGGGTTTTTGTTGGTATGTTTTGGAGCCCGATGGTCCAAATTAGTAGTAGTTCTAATCGTGTTTCAACGAGTCGACAAGACACCTTACCTTGTGCATTCAATGCACCATCCTCGTGGGCCATTGCGTTTAGTATTCTATAACAAAATCAAATGAATTTTTGATGTATTATTTCAAGGCATATGTTGATGTCGACATGTCATTCCAAAACTTCATATCGCCTTTTAGAAAGTTTAGAGTGTAACATGCTGCTAAGTTAATTGTTAAGGACTTTGTTTCCTGGTATATTTATAAACATTTTTGATAATTAATGTTTACATGACAAAGCAAAACAAAATGTAACTAATTTATAATTTTATTTTACCAAATTAGTCCAAAAAAGTTACAACGACAAATTTCTTCAGTGATGGCTCACGAAGACCTGTGGTGAAAATGAAGAAGCGCCGCTTGGGTATTAGCTGAGTAAACAGCGGATACTAAACGGATTAAGAATGTTGACAAATAATTCGAATAAAAGACACAAGAGAACTGTCATTGAAATACATAAATTTAATATCTGTTAAGCTCTTTGTATGACTTAATGATAAAGTAAATGGTCATGGAAGTACTACCTTCGTGTAGAGAGGTGAGAAAATGTGTTTTTTTCATCGAAAGTAAAAGACATAAATTCATTTCATTCCCTGTGACGCAAAAACAATCTTAGCAAAGTGATCATTATCTTCACAATTTAAATCACAATAGCCTGTTCTTTGTTACACGATTTTTACCAGCAATGTATAAGCTTATTTACCCTTAAATAGAGCTTTCTATCTTCCAACTACAATCGCAATTTTGTTTCATATGAAAATATTGGCTAATTTGGAAGTGAAACGTTAGTCTTATCATAGCACAGCAAACTGACACTGCACCATGCTGTGAAGTTTAAAAATCAAAACGTAGGTTTTTATAAAAGCTTTTGGTATTCTGTTATTTATAGTGTATGTACATAGTATTACCGAGCATAGATTCTTAATTATTCAACGATTCAAGAACAACGTTAAGTGGAAAGCAATTTCGTAAAATTACACTTATCAGCTGAACCCGATGTTTTCGTTGGTGATTACGAGAGAGAAAGCATCATTAACTTAAATGTGCTTCATTAATCATATTAATCATAAGAAAATCAACGATATTTCTTTGAAAGAACGTTTTCTTTCAAAAATACTTATTTATAATTTCAATGAATTATCTCTATGATTCTTCAATTATCTCTCCCAATTCACACATTTCAAAATTATTCAAGCATGTTGAAGCACTGTATGTAATTAACGTTACATGTTAGTACATAATAATTTTACCTACTTCAAATGAACTACTATAATTGCAACATACTGAAAGCGTCAACGTGGATTTATTGGCATTGTTGAGCACATGTTTTATAATAGTTTAGGAGAGCTGAAAGTTTTCGTTAAAATGAACCTGAAAAATCGATGAATAATATTCAAGGTTCATTAAAATAAAAATCAGTACAGTTACGTGCTATTTTAAGATGTAACACATGTGATTCTACAACTAAAGCCTCACTAAGTTTATCTTGATTTTTTCGAGCTTTTAGAAGGACTGCGACTACGACTTCTATCTTTCCGTTTTGCTTTTTTCATGCTCTTGGGAGATCTTGACTTGGAGCGTCTCTTCTTTGATGATTTTCTCCGCGGCGAGCTATCACGACGTCTTTTTTCAGCTGATGGAGAGGGAGACCTGTTCCGAGGTGAAGATGACGGCGAATCGTATCCTTTTAAAGACTAAATGATGGATGATATTATAATCAAAACAAGACTAAGTAAGGTCAATCAAAATAGTGATAGTTTAATTGCAAATATGATAAAAAAGACGAGAGGTAATGGCTTTTCCTCTTCACCTGCATAGATTTGGTGAGAGCATTAGGAGGTGTTGGACTTGATGACGACGAAGAATCACGAGAAACACTTAAAGATCGACTTCGAGATTTTCGTTTTTCTGATGGCGATGAATGGCGTTTTTTCTTCTTAGATTTCCGTGGTTCACTTTCCTGAAAAGAAGACACAATAAAACTTGATATGTTAAAACAAAAAACAGCAGGCATATTAGTCGGATTACATGAATTTGTGACAGCAACGAATTCAATGAAACAACAGTACAGGTATTCTTTGATATTCTAAAATGGACTTTTTTTAATGCCACAAACATTATTATTTTTACGTTAGATTAGATGACGTTTTTAACTTTAATAAAACCAAACAGTAGCGTACCTCGAGCAGCTGTTGCCTGTATTGTTCAACTTTTTCTTTAATACTATGAGGCGTTTCTTTGCCGCTGGATTCTAACTTGTCAGAATACTTTGCAACTTTTATTTCAACCTCTCTCAAACGTTTTCGTTTTTCTTCGTCTCTATCCTTTAAAGCTGTTGCCTCGACGGAGATTTCTTTGGGAACTTCACTATAGTATTAGCAGAATTGGAAAAATAAAAACCCTATAAAACCTTGAGTAAAGAGCGCGGCAGTTTATTTTCGAACGAGAATTAAAGAGAGCAAAGATGTCATTAGCAAAAATAATAGCTTGATATGATTCGCGAATAGTGTGATTGACGAAATGTCATAACCAAAACAGAACATATAAATATAGAAAGTTATGAATTTTTTCAGGAAATCGACAAGTTAATCACGAAAATGTAACAATCAAATCTTGAAATGGTCAATATAGTAGGTAGCCTATTGTACGTTTGAGTATATGTATTGAAAGAACAAAAACAAAACCTTGTGCTTGTTTGATCTTTTATTCTCTCCCATTTAGATTCCATTGTATCGCTGTTGTCCCATTTCGATGTTATTTCTGGATTATCCCATTTTGAAGGTATATGTGTGGGGGACACTGTGTAAAGCAAATTATATGTAACTTTGAGATAATATGGTTATATGATAATAAATATAACTATATAATAAAATTCATAAGCTGTTCAAATCTTTTTCTTAATAAAATATCGTAAAAAAACAACAAAGTACTAACCTTTTAATGGTTTTCCATCGATATCATCCACTTAAACGAAAAATAGTCAATTTATAATTTGGAAAATAAATTTTGCATAATAATAACTTTCTGCAAATAAAAAGAGTGGAACGATGCATAATGTTTAATGTTCAACTTACTCGGGACACCATCAAGATCATCCAAAGGTACACCATCAATATCTGAAGAATTTTTACTTAAAGGGAATCCGTCAATATCAGATGGAAGATCGACATCATCGTCATGTTCCATGTCAAAAATGTTACGACTTCGACTCTGTGCAAAAGTGATCATAGTGTGAATGAAAAATTTTTATGTCTTCGATAATATTACATGAAACGTTACATGTTTAATAAAATGTTGTTTTTATTTCATAGATTTTCATGAAGGTAAAAACATCAAAATAGTGAAACTTTAATATAACCAATCAGAAAGGAAGCGTTCATGTCACATGAAAATATAAATGTAGAAACGATGTTATACGTCCATTATTTTAATTTCCTCGCAATTCAAAAATGAATATCAATATCAAGCTTTCATTCATATTTATCTTCTTTGAATCTTCAATTATTACACGTATAATGAACTTACCACAATGAACTGATCAGTTATACTTTTCTGACCCTGACCAAGAAAAATGTTTTGAAGATTTACTAAAAAATCCGGAGGATAGATTGCCCAAGATGTCCATGCTGCCAAGCATTTCAGCACTTGTTTCTACAGAATATGATTAACAAACAATAAAAGATTGATAATGTAATAAGCTTTCAACAAAGAACACGAAAACATTGTTGAATCAATTTCATAATGATCACTGCATGTTTACAAAGTAAATAAAAAAGCAAACGCAAGGCTTGTAAACGCAAGGTCAATTTTAGTAGGAAAAATTAATATTATTGAGTAACAATCCTCTATTTACTGAGTATTACGTAGTAATCCAACATGATAGTCGAGAAGGAATAGTGGTGAAAGAAGAGGATAACACATGGTAGTCATAGAGAGGATAATGGTGAAAGAAGAGGATAGTGGTGAAAGAATGAGGAATGGTGAAAGGAGTGGAAGAAAGGAATAAAGAATGTGTGTGGAATAGGAATAAAAGGAAGAAGATAGGGAATGTGAAAAGAGATCATAGATCATAAGAGGACAGTGGTGAAAACAGAGAACAACACATGGTAGTCATAAAGAGGATAGTGGTGAAAGAAGAGAATAACACATGATAGTCATAGAGAGCATAGTGGTGAAAGAAGAGGATAACATGGATAACTAACAAGCAGAAAACAAGATAGTCGAGAAAAGATATTAAAGATATGTGATAAGATCAAACCCAATAGATGAAATAAACGTACCCTAAATTGTTCAGCTTTCATTCTGGTCTTTACAGCTTGAAATGTTTCATTTAAACGTTCGAAAATTTCCGGTAATTTTCTCTCAAAACTGGAAAACACATAGAAAGACAACAGGGACTACTGAAGAGTGATCATATATTATTTACGTGAACTACATAAATCGATACCTTCTTCGATAAAATGAAGCATTGCGAACTTTTGCAGTGCAGTTGTATAAAACATCAGAGACAGCAAATAAACGAGCGACCTAGCATTTAAAATAACCTGGTTCAATACGAACATGAAATAGTTTTTCAATTTTTATGCTAAAATTGCAAAAAGTTGGGATAAATCACTCTTAAATTTCTTGGGATTCCGTCAGTTTAATATTGTATTTCCGGCAATGAGACAAATTTGTTTTAAAAAGGAAAGGTTAATGAAATACGTAGCCTGTGTAGAAATTGTGACTAACTATTCTTTGATTGCACGAGAAAACAAAGAGATTTAATAACTCATGATACAACATAATTCATTTAATGTTCACGTACTTTCCCCCGCACGATAAATAACCGTAGAGTAAAAAGTTCGTACCTTAACATTAGGAGGTGTCTCGAGAATCGATAAAGCTTCAGACATACAATCACAGATCTAAGTAAACATAAGCCAAACAACAAAATTTAGATAAGTTGTTATGTAAGAGAGGAATTAAGTGTTCAACCGTGAAATTTTTTACTTAAACAGACCTCGTCAGCTGCATCGGCGTGATCAATACACCAAGTCATAAATTCTGAGATCTTACTTCGTTCGGGAACAAGTTCTCGTAACATGTTTTCGAGTTTGTCTCTATTTCTAAATCAAACAAACATCCACAGATAATTATTGAACATTCAAATAATACAATTATACATAAATATTTTAACTAATAGTAACAAATATTATCAAGTCTTAAACGTAATTTTTTCGCTACATTGTCTTTCACGATCTATTTGGATTGATCACTGTGTTTTATAAAAAAAAAATTAGTTATCACGTATAATGTGTGTGTTATACATACCTGTCACTAAGCAGTCCTTTTTTTGTAGACCTAGAAGGCTTTGAAGGCTCCACTTTTTTCTCTTCTTTTTTTTCCACGACAGTTTCTACGACAGTTTCTTCGACTTCTTCGCCAATATATGACGTACAATTTGGAGGTCTCCATACAGATCCATTCTTGAACATTCGAAATTCCTTCGTTTTCCATTTCGTCTGACTATCTCCCTAAAACAAGAAATACGTAAGTACGTGAAATGAAGCAAACAGCTTACGTCCAAAAATGATTACCAAACTCTTACTTGAAGTATTGAAAATAGTTTCCATCGATAGTAAATATGTTCCGGGCTTTGATTATCGAAAAGAAATCTATACAAAGTCAGAAATGAATAAATTTCATCAACTTGTAGAAAGTTACAATAAAGCTACAGGAATAATCAACGATCAAAAAAGTTTCGTAAAGGGCAGTATTAAATGTTATATCTGAAATACAACGTAAAATTTATTACTGCAATAGCAGCACAATTGAACTAAATATATAACTGGATGGCTACCTTTATGGCTATACTTGCATGAAGCGAAGTTTCACGTGAAGACACACGTGTCTTAAAGTTAAGTCCCACAATTTAACTTAATGTCGTAATGAACTTTCTTTGGGCCGTGCGTGGATGGATTGGAACTAGTTAAATTGATGGATTTAACTTCTGGCGGGAGGTTAGCTATCCAGTTATTTTTAAGCTCAATGGGTTGCATTCATCAACATCCACTGATAACATGATTTTTACCTGAATTGTGGATTATTCAGTTCTCTGTTCATTATCATTGCTTCAAATATGGGTCCTTCCAAAATCACAAATTCGATTGTTCGATGAATCAAATGAAGAATTGGCCTGCAACGTTGAACTTAAAACTAAATTTTTATTCCATCATACACTAGGTTTCCATGTACACAAGCCAACTTAATAAATTCATCCAAAACATATATTTCAGATAACGTAGCAGAAAAATTATAAAAAGAACAATGATCTATTAGTTGCATTGGAGTATTAGCTAACAACAAGTTGTACTTTAACACGAAACTGCAGCTTCAACACGAAAGAGTTATAAGAAATGGAAAAGAAATAAGAATAAAGGTGTAGTAAAGTTTAATTTACGTCAACTACAAATGTTTCTGTGTTTACAGTTGCATACAGTAATTCCAAATTGAGTATGATTAAGAGGTGTTGGTCGAGAGAAAAAAAAAATCCAAAATGAAATGTTGTATTTAATATAAAACTGAAATGGTGCATTCGATGAAATTTTGTCAAAAAATGCTTTTCAGAAATGGCATTCCACACTACAGAAAAGTGACAAGCTGTGCTCATGTTAATACGTTTTTGTTTGTTTTTACACAGTAGCTAGCTTCTGTTAACTTTCTTAAAGAATTACGTTCATTTTCTGCAACAAAAGCTTTTGTAGATGACCAAAAAAATACTTAACCAAAACAAACCAACAAAAAGATCAAAAAGCGCGATCACCCGTTGTCAAGGTGAACAATGGCAACATTACTGTAAAATACCTTTCTGTCGGGATAACAACTTTGACAACTGCGTTGGCTAGAGTCTACAATTGTACCACATAACATTTTGTGAGTATCACATCCAGTATATCAGAAGCTTAAGGATACTGTCAATAATGTCTTACTTTTAAAGCCAATGCATAGGAGCTAGCTAACAACTCATTTGCAAATACAAAGGTAAGTGGCTAAAAAAGCAACTACCACTACGATACAAAGCAGAAGACCTGTACTTGTATATAGGGAAGCAAAAACAGCAATTTAAACTGAAAAGCGCACAAGATTGAAGACTGACTTCACTTCGTTAGCCCTAGCAGAAACATGAACCGAAGACTGTGTCAATAAAGTAAATGACAATACCAACCTTACTACTAATGCCGTTCATATCAATTATCTCTGATTGTTCATCGTTTTCTTTCACTTTTCCAGGTTGGGCATTGAATGGTAAACCTGACGGCGGAGGTGGCTTGTTTGCCTCTTGCATTTCTGGGGGGATATAAATAGGATGTGGAGGGATAGGAACAGCTTTACCCCAACCAAGTTTCATTTCGTATCCTTTAATGTCTTTGCCTGAAAGAAAAAAGGAACACTAACTACAGGAACATAAAATGTTCATTTCACATGCTGCGTTCTTACGATTTTGAATTGAATAAAATTTAGCTACGTAGGTTCTACAACATAGTTTGTACATTTAATAGTTTTTGAAAAGTAAAGTTTCAAAATTAAACTTTCAGGGGGAACTGAAAGTAGGGAAACTGCATTCATTACATTTTTTCTCAAAACACCAAAAACTTCCTAATTAGAAATGTACTGTTTTCTAAAAAAAAACACATTTTTAATAACACTCTTCAGAAGTAGTGTTGATTTTGAAATAATACAAAAATTTATGCATTTGCTTATTGATTTTTAACATTCATCATGAAAGGAGGAAAAATTTTTTTGACGAAAAATACTTTTTAGACATTTATATATGACACCTTTGAGGGCACTGATAGCCTTATCACCATCTTTTCGTTTCATGAATGCAACAAAACCACAATTTCTATTTCGAGATTTTTCCTCTTCAGTCCTAGGCCACATAATTTTTACACTTGCCAAAGGGCCAAACTGCCCAAACAATTTCATCAATTGTTCTTCATTCATCTAAGCAAATGTTATCAAAGTAAACATATGTGCTGTCTTTCTTCAATGATATAACATGAAGTACCTCAGGACTTATGTTTCCAATATAAAGATTTGTGGTATTAGGATCACCGGTATCATAAGAACCATATGTATAAGGCTCATCTGCAAAGTTGATATAACCAAAATTATTGATAATATTTCATTTTATAAGTAAAATACAAACTTGAACAAGTTTCAATGAGAACAATATTGGTTACAAGAATGAATAAATGTCAGTTCGTAAAAAAATATTCTTCTTTTTCTCAATACATTTGATGTTTGGAACATTTAATTTTATATTTATTTGAGTAAATAAAAACAAGAGCAATTGAATCAGGTCAAAAAACATCTATTTTCAGGAGTTGTCATAAAAGGAATTTTTCCAATTATAAGGCATACATGATTATCAACATGAATATTGTTTTACATAAAGAATTAGTTTTGAAACTTTATTCCACAACTGATAAACTAAAAAGCTATAAAGGCTGTAACATTGATACCTTTTTGTGGAGTAGCCAACAATGTTGGAAAATTATCAAAAACTTCACTAGGAATATCACTGATATCACCCTTTTTTAGTTTGTGACGAATTTCTCTTTCTTCTTGCTGTCTATTAAAATCAGTTTTAAAACAATCTACTTATTATTTACACCAAACAATTTTATTTTTACATTAATCATGAATCTATATGTCATACTATAAAATGGAAGTCTAGCAGACTTCCTCTGCTTCATGTTAACAGAAAACATGTTCAAAGCGATAAAATGTTAAGACAAGTAAGTTAGTTTAATTTAATAAAAATTCAAAACACATTTTACTTTTTTAATTCTTCTTTAAAAAGTTCAAGATTACTTTTCTTCTTCTCTTTCTCTTTACGTTTCTTTAATTCCTAAATTAAGAGTATTACATACGTATAACATAAACAAAGAAGTGCATCACCCAAAGCTTTGTTGTTTTGTAATCATAATCCACATACTATCTTTGTCTTAGAATTGACAGCAGGTTTTAATGGCTGTGAAACGTCCTGTTGAAATGCTTTTAGTGTATAGAGTTCCCCAGATTTTTCAGACAATATTTCTGGAATTATAAATATGAAGAAAAAATATACATAGATATAAACGAATTTTGCACAGTTGCATATTGTAAATTTAAAATACAATTCTCAATTCAAGTAACTGAATTAAAATTCATTACCAAGAAGGGCATTATATGCCTATAACAACATGTGAACTATAAAATGCTACTACCAAGGCTAAAACAGACAATGAACTGTGAATAATGCAAGCATAAAGATTAAAATGAATAAACCTTTCTTTTGACCAGGATTAACAACATTTCCTCTGACAAAAGTTTTTCCCTTGGATGCTGCTCCTTCAAAAGAGGCAACAAACTTTTCGTATACTTCAGCACAGTTTGCTTCTTCAACCTAAACATACGACACATAATCAGTACATAGCTATTGAACAATTGTTAAGTTAGTACATGCATGTGGGAAAAAATTCTTACATGTTTTCAAACTGGAATAGAATTTAGTAAGGTTATATGAAAGAAGAAAGTGGAAAAGATGGATAAAATTGTGCCCTATAAATTGCAATGTTTTTTGCAACCAAACTTCAAACACTTGGAAACAATGTATTCGTATCACAACTTATCAAGAGTCTCCTTTTTATTGAATAGATCATTGCAATGTCTACATAGGAGACTTTTCTGATTTTTAAAACTTTGAGACATTTTCTTCACAGAGGGTCTTTTATAGAACAACATAATGCTTATAAGCAGTCATAAAACCTTTAAAAAGTGATCAAGTTTCCTTAGGGCATTCTAGTTCTAAATAAATGTCTTCATCAGAGCATAATTGTTAATAAAAGATCAGGATTAAATATAGAGATATAAGCAAAAATTTAGGAGATTACTAAGCAAAATTAAAAATTCATTGTGCAAAATTGCGGAAAATTTTTCCCTAGCTTGTGCAATTTTCAAACTTTCCAGTCTGGTTGATTGGTAATGAGGTGGCTAAGGCTAGGTAGGTCAATTCCTGTTTCTAACTCTCTACATCATAAAATATTCCTCATGACAAAATTTTTCATCATACATAAAAAACAAAATGGTAAATGTATGTATGTTGGCTTAAATTTTCCTTTCAAAGTCTAGAAGTGAAACCAAATGTTTTTTCCAATGCTTTAGATATATTCATTTACATATGTAGTAACAACCTTACTGGTGCCTGGAGTGTCATGAGACTTACTACAACATAAGGAAACAAATTTTTTTTGAATAATTACTTTTCTTATCTCTTTTTTCGCAAACTTCAAAATGCAAAAATTGTCAATATTTCTCTATACCAGTTAAACTTCATACTTATAACTTGCTTGCTCCATTTCAGATTTGAAAAGCTAAGATACATGGAGCTTTTACATAGTTAGAAACATGCTATGACCTATAGTCATGCAAATATGCCAATAGCTCTAGGTTAAAGTCTGAAAAAAGTTGTTTAGGAGCATAACATTCGTGTACCTTCTTTTTCTGCTCAATCTCTTGCTTTGGTTTCACCTTCTTCAACATCTTATCCACGGTCAGACGTTAAATTTGAAACATGTGTCTACTCCAGGAGTAAAATTTATAAAATTCAAAATTTGCAACGAGATTCCCCATACTTTATGGGTTGAATTAATTCAACTATGAACTACATAGCGATTTTGTCTAAAATAAACATTGACTTCCAAATTCATTAACATTACTTTGTAGACCTAACGATATAAAAAATATGAGAGCAAATCATATTACTTTTTGAAAAATATAACTTGAAGATTGTAATTCTTCGATATTTCTACTCTTTTACTCCATTACTCCATCTGTCGACACAATAGACATGCGCAATCGTAGCAACATGTCAATTTCCTAATCAGTACTTATTTGCTCATAATCAACCCTTGTGAGTGCCCAATATCCTAAGAGATTCATCGGTTACATGTATTCTACGTCATGTATTGGCGCGACCAGGGGCGCGACGCCAAAAAGACCAAAAAAATCACAATCATTCCAGTATTGGATCAAATGTCACTCATGTCATGTAACCCGGATCAATTCTTTCTATTGACTGGATGGATAGTAATAAAAAGCAATGGTTTCAACTGGACAGTAAATGAAACGTTAATTTCAAAAATCTAGGATGGATAAAATAGCCACCTAACTCAAACGCTTGAGAAAGCCGCATATTTAATAATGCTATTCGTATCAGACGTCACAGATTCATGTGCGCAACATATACAGCCAGCCTATCGCAAAAGAGTTATCGCACGCGGGGAAGTCAGTGAAAAGATCTTTTCAAGTAGGGCTAAGAAGGAAGGCGTACCGATCTTAGAACCTTGACATTCCCAGTGTGACAAGATGAAGAACCTCAATTACGTTTGTCCTATTTACCTCAGTTCAAAACGTTAAACTAATATTGCTAATTATTGCGAAATTGCAAAGAGTGTAAAAGCAACTCAGTTTCTAATAGTTAGGTTATGTTGGGCGAAAATTCGACAGCTCAAACGCCGTATTACATTATCAATCGGTCATTCGACAAAAATAAATGTTTTTCCTCGCTTCGCTGACTTGTACCAGCTATTTGACGGGTTGAAAAAAACTTTCTTAGTTATCTCACTCCGTACCAATAACTAATTTATTATTGCCATTTCAGAGTTTGACTTAAATTATTTCATTGAAGATGTCTCGATTCCATCAATAATGTAAAGAACTGTAGGATGGGAAATGCTCTAATTTGTTTGTTCAAACGTTGGTTTGGCAAGCATGATCTTCGTCTGTTGATGGTTGGCCTCGATGCTGCAGGGAAAACAACAATTTTATATCAACTTAAATTAAATGAACCGATTTCTAATACGATGCCAACAATTGGTTTCAACGTGGAAAGTGTTGAATACAAGAACATTAATTTTACAGTGTGGGATATTGGAGGTCAAGACAAAATAAGAAAATTATGGCGTTTATACTTTCAAAAGACAGAAGGACTAATATTCGTCGTGGATAGTAATGATAGAGACAGAATTGAAGAAGCTAAATCTGAACTTTTTCATTTAATAAAAGAAGAGGATTTGCGTCAATGCGTGATATTAGTTTTTGCCAACAAACAAGATCTTCCATTAGCAATGGGTACAACACAGTTAGCAAAAAGACTAGGCCTGCACACTTTGTGTGGCAGGAAATGGTACATTCAAGCGACATGTGCCACAAAAGGTACAGGAATTTACGAAGGATTAGATTGGTTATCAAAGCAAATACACAGCCGAAATTAATAAAAACATTAACATTGCCAAGGTGTACCACGTATGTACAAGATGTAGGATTAAAAATAAAAGATGTGTCAATCAATGGCATGACAAAAATGTAGATATTATCATGTAAACATCGAGTTAAATCACATTACTGCAATAAGAATTTCTTCGATTGCTCGTAGCATTTATGGGTTTTTCCCAAACAAAAAAACCCCACAAAATTATTAATTGGCTATAAATACTACCTTTGTCACTAGAAGAATTATTATTGTATAGTCGATCTCTCTTTTCAGATTATTTAAACTTTTGAGTGACGATGTTCCGTTCTTTTTCTTTTATATTCAACATTTCGATCACCAACAGATTTGCCGAGTTCTTTGGTATTTAAGTTCGTCATTGATCGCTTTCGGCTTTGAGAATTGTATTCATCTTTTAAGTCCTTGCTATCTTTTCTGTTATCTTTCATCTTCTTTTTCAATTTTTTCTTTTTCTTCTTCTTTGAGTCTTTGTCATCCTTGTATTCGAGAGGATCTTCGTCTTCGGATGCAGAAGGAGTTACAGGTGCACATCCAGTCAATGGCAGCTCTTTTCTCTCTCCATTCTCGTCACGTTCATCCCCTTTAGGTCGCTTGTAGTTCGCAACATGATCAACCCGAATGGTTCGTCCGCCGAGCTAGAGTATAAGGAAAGTGCATAAATATTTTGCATATTCAAATAACTAGGAATAAAACTAAGAAGATATTTCTCAAGATTTATTCCTAATATCATTCTCTAAGACAATAAGTGTTATGTTAGTTGGTGTTGCACGCTACTTAAATAAATTTATTTTACTCAACACAGTTGCATAATAGAAATGGTGGATTGGATCATTTAGACAGGATAAACTTTGCCCATGTGACACTTTAACCTATATGCATAAACTTTGTCAACCTTTATTCCATTTAGATTATCCACAGCTAGAATAGTGCTTCTTTGATCTTCATAACACAAGAAACCATAGCCTTTAAATTTTCCAGATGACTTATCCCGTACTAAGTTTATGTCTACAATTTCTCCATACCTTGAAATTAATTCATCGGTACATCAGATGTAACAGTAATCAGTAAGATGGTCTTTCAGTCTTAACACAAACATTTTGAATGGTAAACAAATACATGTTAAAACTAGACTAGGAAATGTAGTCTGGGAAAGGGTTGTTTTGGGGTTATAGGCAAATGACAGATGTGGTTTCCAAATAAGAATGCTCATTGGATTAAAAACTTCAAAAACTAAGCTACTGCAGGGACATCGTTAATTGGAGACAGGGACATTAATTCATAAGTGCTTGATATGCCATATGAAATTCCTTTAAACCTATTGTTTTCAGCAGATTATAACATGCACGTATGAATATTACAATTTGCATTCAACTGGTAACTGTCCCGAATTTTTCGCGCTTTTTTACGTTTCAAACGTCACGTTTGTCAGACAAAACGTCGGGTTTCAACTGGTAAACGTTACATTTGTTCAAATCGCGGATTTCCAAGTTTGTAACAGCTTTTTCTTATATTATATGGTCAATTATCAAACTTTGCAAATCGCCTAAGATATACAGATGTAATTTTCTGTTGCTACATCATTCTTTCAGTGTAAAATCGTATAAACATGTTACCATCATACTTGGCATTGTTGGCAACAGATGGGGTTGTTGTGACAGAAGGGCCATTAGCAAGAACTTTGTTTTAACTAAGAGCGAACTACTCTTTTGTTAACGTGGTGAAGAGAGCCGTTTGATTATTTATATTTTTGTACAGCTAAATTAACCGCCAAAACAATATAGCGTTCTAAATATATATTAGTAAATAAACCAAACAGATGCATAATTATGCCCACACAACCCGACGTCTGAGGAGACTGAAGAGTTTATCATCTGATTTGTTTATAGAAAGTAGCGTTTCATTGGTCCGATACACGGTATAGATTCCTATAAACCTTACAAGCCTTTGAAAAATCCACAAAATGTTATCCTATTACACATAAATTTACATCAAGCTCAAATGCAGCATATGCTGCAGTACTACTGTACTACTCTACTATACTTTTAACCTTCATCAACATAGAGGATCAAAATATGGATTATATTAAACCCATTAACCAATAGGAATCTTAAATTACACAACCAATAAACGGGCACTTCGATTGTATTCAAACAACCAATGGTGTAAAAGCTTCGAATGGCTTATAAACAGCGGCGCGACTTTCAATAATAACTCCATACATCTTACTTGCCCTCATATTAGGCCTTTGTACACTCGAAGCTATTTACAACGAAGAAACGAAGACTTGGCGTTTGGCATGGCTCGAACAAAGCAAACCGCACGAAAGTCCACTGGTGGTAAGGCTCCCAGAAAGACTCTAGCAACTAAAGCAGCTCGGAAAAGCGCTCCTGCAACCGGCGGTGTCAAGAAACCTCACAGATACAGGCCTGGAACAGTCGCGTTGCGAGAAATCCGTCGTTACCAGAAATCTACCGAGCTTCTTATTCGCAAACTTCCTTTTCAACGTCTAGTTCGTGAAATTGCCCAGGATTTCAAGACAGACCTTCGATTCCAAAGCTCAGCTGTCATGGCTTTACAAGAAGCTAGTGAAGCTTACCTTGTTGGTTTGTTTGAAGACACAAACTTATGCGCTATTCACGCCAAGCGAGTGACTATTATGCCTAAAGACATCCAGTTGGCAAGACGTATACGTGGCGAACGAGCTTGAGCTGCCAATACTCCAAAAATAACACAAATGGTTCTTTTAAGAGCCACCATATTTACAAAAGAATAAAGCTTTTTGTGCTATACATTCATCTTAATCATTTGTTATCAATACTATTTTTTAATAGGTACATTAGTCCTTTAACCAGGGAAGGCTGTACTATCCTTTAATGACTTAAATTTCACTTTTTCCATAATGATCTCAAGCTAATTATTTATCTCCTATTAAACAACTTATATTTGCCAGGCCTAAACAACAATTTTGCATAACACTACAGGAAAAATGTTCATGACAACCACATTCATTTCTATTAGCTAATCACCAAGGAAATTGTAATTATGAATTATGTAAAATGTTAAAAAAACTAAGTGTTACATTAGGAAAAAAATTTGAAATCAATAATGGTTGTTAAGTTATGTTAAGTGTGTTGGTAAACAACATACAATATTTCCCAAATATTGAACAATTTCACAACAACTTCAAAGTCAAACAAAGATTAAGTTAAAGGAATAAAAGCATGCTGACTAAAGTAAAACTAAAACACAAAAAGGTCATTGATAGTGACTTACTGTGAGAAAACACAGAGGACATCTCCTTCTGTCAAATCATAAGGTAATCCCCCTATTTTCATAGAAATGGTTAAAATCATGAGCTCAAAAGTATAATTATAATTATCACACACTTGCCAGAAATCATAAAGGTCTTTTAACAAATGGTAGAAAATTTACAGTATCTATTGAAAGTTATAAATTTACCAATAAATATGTAGGCACTGTCTTTATACTGCCTATGCCATGATGAATCATCTTCAACACCCATTGACAACATTTTCTCATTGAGCTTCTGGATATTTTTTACATTCCTAGAGCCAATCAATACAAATAAAATAAGAGTAGTGGCCAATAGTAGTTATTGATTTGATACAATACAATGACTTTCCATTTCTATTTTCAATAAAATATCAATACAAACAACAACAAACAACATTTGTATACCGGCCAGTATTAATCCCCGCCAGGGGGGTTGACCGGTCCATGAATTTTTCTACTCCAAACGTCTCTATCTCTCGCAATACAATATCAATATGGATGGAAATTGTCATATATTTCTGTAGACAGTTCATATGGATGGAATTTTGTATTCTTCAGACCACAAATGTTGATGTAAATAAATTCACTGTTTACAAGACATCAAAATAAGTTTTCCCCCCACTTCCTTATAATGTGACAAATATTGAAACAGTTGCCACTCAAAAATACTTTTTGTACACGCTACTGAATTCTCAACATTGGAAATATTGATAATTTTGAGAAATATTGAATATTACAAATCCACAACTTTTGCATGACAGTATTCATAAATTTACTGGTAGTTACTGGCATCAATTTTAATTTATAAATGTATGTTAGTCAAGGTGAATTTTTTGTATTCTTTGTGTGCAACATACTTTTGACTCTGAAGATGACTACCACTAAGGTTGTCGAAATGTCAGTCAACAACAACAAAAACAGTCCTTCTCAGGACTATACCAACCTAGATGATCTACATTTACAAACATGTATTCTTTCACCATACAGTACAATTCAATTGTTGGGTTAAAGATGATTTTTTGTATCAACATAAAAAACAACTTATGTTACAACTATGATTCAATTGATATTCTAATGTGGTTGTTTACAAAATTGCTTGTAACACAATTTACTTGTTTCACAATTGCACATGCTAATTCATCAAACTATTTCAATATTTAGCCTTCCCCAATTTAAATGCTCTTTCAACAGCCCTAGTCTCTTGATTAGTGAACATTTTGATTTTCATCTCCATGATCAAAACCTTTTATCTTTATATACAAGGGTTTTTCATCTTCACTTACCTTGATTGCACATGCAACCAAAATCTTATCAAAGATCAGATGTGTTTGCAAATAAAATTATTTTATTCCATACTTTAAGTTATGCTGCTAAGTCATTTGAAACACCAAAAAACTTACTTTAGTACACCAAACAAAACTTATAGTCTCAAGTATTATTGCAATAAAACTTCAGTGTACAAAAGAGTCATAGGTGTTGACATTCCCACCTCCTCCTACCTCTTCACATAAAAATGATCTAAATAGCAATGAGGACATATGTCCTCCAATAGCCATTGGCTCTCTATTAAACAATGGCCTATTTTTATTGAACTGGTCTTTCTATGAAATAAAAAATGGTATATAGAAGGATGAAGGTGGACATACGTTAAGGGATTCATAACTCCACGTACAAAACAATTCTTATTTCACGATTGCCACAAGAAATGGACGATAACACATAGACAATTGAGAAGTTAGTAGCAAGTAATTTATTTTAAGAGTTATATGAGTGCGTGGGATTTCTACGGTCAGCGGTTTACGTCATTACCACATTATATATCTATTCTGTGTCATTACCATTACAGAATACATTTAGCGCTCACAATTTAAATGAGTAATAGTATTGTATGGAGTATAATTGCTTCATTGAAAGAGAACAAAATTTAGTATTTTTATTTTTTACAAATATGAAATTCTAATACTTTTTCAAATGAAGTTCGACAAACTTTTCAGAACTGGGCATCAAAAAACAATACTAGCATTAGATGTCAATCGTGACGGAATATTGTCAAGTATTTCTGAAGACGGTCATTGTATCTTGTGGTCGTCTGATGGTCAAATTGCTCAAGATTTAGATTTGAGCAACGAGCATTGCACTTTGTGCCATCTGCATCCTTTGAATTCCATTGTTTTTGATTCTTCAAATAGTAACACGTTTTATATTTCGTGTGGGAAGATAATTTTAGTGTATGACATAAGAAAATGTTCTAAATCTCAAAGAAAGTACGAGTTTAATACCGATGAAATAAATCAATTGTGTGTTAACCACAGTGGTCGGTATTTAGCTGCTTGTGACGATGCTGGAGAAGTAAAAGTAATCGACGTTCAAGAGTCCTGTCTGTTTAAGACACTCAGTAGACATCATGACAACATATGTTCAACTGTTCAATTTAGACCAAAAAAGTCTTGGCAACTACTGAGTGCAGGTCTTGATTGCAACATTATTAATTGGGATTTCTCGTGTGGGAAACCTCAACAAATATTTGACATCAACTATGATATTCATAAAAAAACATCCAATGAAACATTGCCATTCATCAATCCACCTTTTGTTCACTCAATTTCACTTTCTGAGGATGGCAAGAAATTTGCTGCAGGATTAGGTAAACTTATCAAAAATTGGTATTGCAACTGCATTTTAGTGTTGTCCACATTGGGAACATTGCTGGTCATTCATAATTAGTTCTTTCTTGTTCTATATATAGGTAATGGTGACATTGGACTATTTCAGTTTCATGGCAAAAAGTTTAAAATTATAACAAGTTTAAAAGCTCATGATACAGAAGTAAGCCAAATATTCTTCCACAAATTTAAGAATTTTGAGGAGCAATCCCTCGTGAGTGGAGGCAATGATGGCAGGCTTAAAATTTGGAAAGAAATTACTGATGGTCAAAGTTCAAACTATAAATTATGTTACACCATTGTTCATGGTAGTAAAGTAAACTGGATCACCTGTTCTTCATTTGTAAAAGATAGTATATTTGTTGCAGATCAATCTTTTCATGTAGCTGAATATAGATTGGAGTTATAATATGTACTTATTTATACTATATAAAATTGGACACAATATTCAAACATAGAGGTTTACTTGTGTCGATATGTAATTCAATAAAACACCATGGATAGGCTACATTATTATTGGTATTTTCATAATTTACAAGAGTATTTGCCTGAGTCAACAACTATGACTTAGAAGTCAATTACTTCCTTTTAAACATCTACAAAGGACTTATTTGTTATATATGTAGTAATTAATCACACTATATTCAAACTAAAAATATACACCACCAACATTATGATTACTTTTTGTGTTTGATCAACTTGTTTGACCTTTGCAATGACCTCAGTTAATTGCAATGACCTCAGTTAATTGCAATGCAAGAATGTATTGAACTGTCAATTGTAGATGTGTACCTTATGCACAATATTTGTTTCAGCAAAAATCATCATATTTTGGTGTTTCATAAGGTATTGTTTAAGAACGTACTGTACAATAATAAAAAACAGCTGGATTCAAATAACGCATTTGAAAGTAAATGACAAACTCATACAAAATGATTCTAGTTAAATAAATGAATAGCGATCTCTTATGATTTGTAAGTTTTGAAAGCACCATTAGCTTTATTATGATTGAAATCTGTCAAAAGGCATGTAGCAGAAAATATAGTTTTTTGTTATTTCAAGTGATATTGGCAATGTTGTTCAAGTAACATCACTCATAGTGAACTCAACTAAGGGCACCTCATTGCAATATTACAGTAGAGACAAGTGCTAACACTAAGCCTGTGAGCCTGACATATACAGTTCGTCAATTTACTCTCGCAACAAAATACTCCAGGAGAATAGTTGGGAGAATGAAATCTGTACCAATGCACTTTATATGCGCATCCCATTTTCCTAAATACAAATACCACTAAAGGTTGGGAGCACCATGTTAGATTCATAAATTAGTGGTTACATCCTCGTTTATGACCATTATTCATGATTCAATGCAAAATGTTACTGAATCAAAATATTTCAGAGCATCAATGATAAACTACTTGGTTGTACGATCACCATCACCAAATCCATCACGTGATGATTCAGAATCAGTATGAGGTGTACCTGTGGGTGACGATGGACATGAACTAAGTAAAGGTGTGGTAGCCCTTGGTCCTGTGGGTGTTTTTACTCCGTTCACAATAGGGTTTGACTTGCCAGGTATTGCTAATGGTGATGATTTCACAGGTGTGTGAACACTGGATGAACGTGGAGAGGTTGGTTTTCTAAAGGAGACATAAATATTAATCATACACAGTAAAAAACGGTGTGAAGAAGGAAAGTAGGTCATTAAATATAAATAACATACGTTGGAGTTGCAGGTGTAATTCCTGTTGATCCTAAACCACATGGCCCATTCTTAGCAAGATCTAAAAAAACAAAACTATTTTAAAAACTTTCTTGTTGTTGTAAAATATTCACAAGGAATACAATAACGCTGTAGAAAAAACAACAATTTTGAAAAGCTTGGAAATCGTCGTAACTTGATATGGTCAAAATCGTTCAATAGTACTACCTACATTTACATGGGCAAAAGTTTGAAACTTCCCTAAATAGTAAATATTTCTATAAACAATAACTTGTTCTACCCCTCTCAATATTCTAAATGTCACTCAAGAGTTCTATAATTTTTTGATAGCTCCAACATCAGTTTCAATCGTTCGTTGATGTCTCTTGTAAAATATCCTTTAATAAAGTTTCATATCATTTCTCTAAATAGCTCTATAATATCACGTAATACTTGTACAATATGACTTAATAGTTCAACGATATTTCTCAATAGTAGGCTGTTAATAGATAAATCAAAGTACGAAATATCAATAAATATCTCCCGTACGTAGTTCACTAGCAGAAAAACTGTTCATGGCAACACAGGGTAAAAGAGCTCATAGAAAACGAAGTTAAAACGTAAGACTAAATAAGCGATCATTTATTACAAGCAGATCAGTTGTTTAATTCTGATCTGTGTGCCGTTTCGTGAGATTTTTGATGTCTTTTTACAAAAAGCGATATTATCACTATTCCTTTGAATAATTTATATTTTGACATCGGTATGTATAAATAACACAACAACAACCTGCCTACTATATTTGTTACAACACTTATGAGTTCCATAATACCTCACATAGTTTGAAAATATCAGTTCTATGTCACTCCAAAATTCTACAACACTTCTCAAAATTATAACTATCTCAACATCTTTCTCTTATATCTCTCAATAAATCGACAAGATCTCACACTATAATTCTACGATATATAAGATAAGACATACTGCAAAAATATGATCTTGTAAACTAAAGATTCGAGTTTTATAAACGAGAGACATGATTTAAAAGCAAAATTTCGATTTTATTTCAAAATCATTATCAAGCCAAGTGATTAATTACAAGCAAGCGTGATCCTTAAATCGTTGTTATGTGATAGTTGTTGTTAGATAATGCTTGAAGGTAAATAATCACTTGATAATGACTTTGGAATATAGTCCAACTATTGCATTTAAACCTTGTCTCTTGTTAATATAATTCAAATCTTGAGTTTACAAGATGATGTTCTTTGGAGTTTTATTTTATATTTCTGTTAAATTGTTCGTTACAAAAGATATTTCCCAAAAGTTCTTCCATAAGTTCAAAAAGTTACATGTCCATGGTTCGGCGACAAAGTTGTACATTACAATTCTACTGCAAGATGAGTGGATGTTTGTCTCACTGACCTGTAACATAAGGTTCTAACGCTTTTGGCACCATAGTCTTTGCAATTTCTACATCACTTTCTTTACAATTTGTCTTTTCCAAACCAAATGCCATTCCCATTCGTTTTAAAACTTCGATATCATCATGAATTTCAAATCTGTTGTCGAAGTTAAATAGATATTCAAACCTACAAAAGAACATAATTTATGAAAACAATAAGACTGTTTTAGCTGTTCGTCTGTATAATAAATGTTGCTATCACAAAACATGTTCGATAGGTCTGCCCCTCACTCCCCCCCAAAAAAACAAATTCTCCATAGGCAAGCAGGAATCGAAATCTCTATAGCTCAACAATACCACACTTCACTGTAGCTTTGGTAGTCTAAATAATTGTGCGAAACTATTAAGCTAGGAATCAATATAGTTGGTAGAGATTTTCTCAACTGCATTTCATTACCGATATGGAATTGCTTTGCAACTTACTTATCATTAGAGATACTACAATCGATGACGGTTTTCTTGCTCGTGTTCACGATTATGAAAGGAAGATGAATTGTTGTATCGGAACGAGGTACTCCTTTTTCTTCCTCTGTTTTTTTGTTCCTTTTCACCAAATTTTTAAACGCAATTTGCTTCAAGAAAAATTTACATCATACATAAAATTGACAGAAATAAACTACTTAATTTTTTTCAAGCAATAATCAGTTTGAGAAGAAATGAAGAAACATGCTGATTGATTTTAACCCAATACCATTGACAAACTACCTCAAAAAACCCACTAAACCCACCTGTAATATCAACTCTTGAAGTTGCGTGGTTTTCTGTTTGATTCTTGCTACTTTTTCAGCTCTCTCAGCCTATAATGAACAACAATCAAAATAAAAACAGCAATGTCAATAGTTACATAAATCCTCTCATGTCTTATACTCTACGTATGTACTTAGTATTTCCAGCCGAATGAGATACAAAAAAATGCAAAAAGAGATTTTTCATTCGCAATTTGAGCGTAATTAGATGAGTAAACAGGACAATAGACGGTAAAGATTAGAGATCAAGCTCTTATTTTTCAAGCAAACTGTATATTTTTTCGCAATTCAGCACAAAGGTTTCCAAGCCGTTGCAGTTCGTCAACAATAGTGTCGAAAAGGCAAGCCTCCAGCTAGTTCACAACCACAGTAAAAGACGAAAAGTTACAATAAGTTTAAGACTCAAAATATAAAGCAAGTGATTAGCAGCGTAGAATACCTGTTCCGCAACACTACAAACTTACAAACATCCCAATAATAGTATCGTCAAAAGTTGGAGATGGTACTTAACAATCAGGAAGCTAAAGAGATAAAGACAGGCAATGAGCAGCTAATGAAAGGCAATAGGTATTTCTTGATGATAAGTATAGATATATAAAGCTTGAGTACTATACCACTATATCATGGACGCAGAAAGTTGGGATTGAATTAGAATGAAAACTTTGAGAGTCGCGGATAACCAATTCAAGTTTTGTCCTTTTCTGCTGTTGACATATATACTCGACAGCTGTGCAGAGAGAATATCCAGAGGCAAAAACACAAAACAGCAAAAACATGGTCAGCACCAAAAAATGCTAAACCACCAAGAAACGTTAAACCATGTTAACCGCAGTTGAGAAGAAAATAGGTAAGGCACAGGACAAAAAATCAGGAGGCCAATTAAAAAATTGCACTTTTTCTTGCCCAACCTCGACAGAGAAGAGGTCGGTTGAAGCAAAGGGTAGTTGAGGTTATATTGAATGTCGATATAGAGATCATTTCAACCTGTGCCTGGTGGCGTCACGGCGTTGTTTAAGGGCGAATAACGGAAATAACAGAATGAGTATCAGGCATAATCAGACAAAGACTTAAATCTATCGTCGGGAACATCTTATGTACCGTGGGAAACCTCACGTACCGCGAGGAGCCTCTCATGTAACGTTAGGTACCTCTAGCATACAGTGGGGAACATCTGATGTACTGTGAGACTAGACGTGTATATAAGAACCATCTAAGTTATCGTTTGAATTATCTAGACGTGTATATAAGAACCATCTAAGTTATCGTTTGAATTATCTAGACGTGTTTATAAGAACCATCTAAGTTATCGTTTGAATTATCTAGACGTGTTTATAAGAACCATCTAAGTTATCGTTTGAATTATCTAGACGTGTTTATAAGAACCATCTAAGTTATCGTTTGAATTATCTAGACGTGTATATAAGAACCATCTAAGTTATCGTTTGAATTATCTAGACGTGTTTATAAGAACCATCTAAGTTATCGTTTGAATTATCTAGACGTGTATATAAGAACCATCTAAGTTATCGTTTGAATTATCTAGACGTGTATATAAGAACTATCTAAGTTATCGTTTGAATTATCTAGACGTGTTTATAAGAACCATCTAAGTTATCGTTTGAATTATCTAGACGTGTTTATAAGAACCATCTAAGTTATAAAATCGTTTACAATAAAGGAACAAATGTTAATTACGTACCTCGAGATGTTGACATTCTTGAGCTGAGTTAGTCGGTAATCCTATCCATTTGATTTCTTTTTTTTCTTTTGAAATAATATTCATCGCCATAAGGACATTGAGAGCGTCATAAACTCGCCTTCTGATATTTTTCTGGTCATATTGCTGCACATAATAAATAATAGCAATAAAAACCTTTAGGTAAACCTAGTTTGATCAACCACAAAAAACCTTTAGATCACAAATAATCAACATCAATTTTTACAATAAGAATGTACAAGTCCACATGATGAAAACTCCACCGACTGACCAAGTTCTTAACATAAAAAATCACCTGCTCAGCAGGACTTGCGTGTTTTTCAGGATCGCTAAACTCTTGCACAAGTTCATCAGCAACCTGAAGCAATATAAATAAACAATATCACTGGAATGAAAACAGACTATTGTGTAAATATTTTTACTTTTCCATTTTCTTCTAAGGATTTACGTATACCTCGTTGTAAGATGTCGTTCCCTTTTGTTGGACTTTTTCACAAACTTTCATCGAGAAATGACGTAATCCTTTGCCAACTTTATCGTTAGGAGTTTTAGGGCCAGTAAGTATTCGTTTACCACGCTTTTTTCTTAAGAAATAGATTAATAAGTGATGATTATAACCTCCGCAAGCCATTTATAGAGTAGTTCAGTGAAGTCATGCCCAAATCAATGACTATTTTCAAATATAGCAATGCAACAACTATTTCCTTATATAGCTATTTACTCCGGACAATGACTATGCCCGGCAAAAATGCACAGAACCTTCTGGTATAGTTTCAGAATGGAAAATGGTCGTTGAGCAAATTTTGCAAATAAATAGCTACAAATGAAAAGCATCCTCTAAACAAATTTTGAAAAACCATATGGCTTAGGAAACACAATATTGTTTCATATAATTAGAACCTTTTAGTTTGCGCTTAAAAACTTGAAACATACATACAATACATGACAGCTATTGTTTTAATTTTTGATGTCTTCAACTTACTATCGATGTGAAAAGATCACGAAAGTTATTATAATTAAAACATACAGACAGTTTTTCCCTCTGAGAAAAGCCAAAACACAAAATATAATAGTTGTGAACATTAGAAACGCTATTTTCATATTCAAATCTGAAACAATGAAACAATGTGTCGCAAAATACTACAAGCAAATAATTAGGTATCATTCAAATGAATTATAGTTTGTTAAGCATAAAAATAATAAACCTTTCAACATTATCAGGTGATTCATCCGTGTCTAATCCTCTTTTACGCCCACCAGAGAAGCTTTCACCACTGAAATAAATATTTTACAGGTTATAGAAACTCTGCTCTATAATATTCACATTACACAAACTTTTCTTTCATTTGTGAGGAAAGAATGCCACCAAAGAAGTATGGCTTATTTGAACAGATTATAACTCACAATATACAGATTTTTCACAAAACTAAAGACTGAAACTTTGGTCGATATTCATGTATTGGTTGACAACAATACATAAACATCATCAATATAAAATGGGTATTGATACTGTTTGATAGTAATCTATGACAATATCAGATCAGTAGGTGTAGGAAGGGATTTAAAGATATCATTCAGAATACTTACGTTTGGGGGGGGAGGTTGAACATACTTTAATATAAAGAACATATTTTTTCAGGATGGCAGCCAGGAGGGACAAAGGGTGAAATCTCATCTTTCTTCATGGCAATTTCAAATTGACAGCTATACGTTGTTATCAGCACACCCTATGTGACCAGCACACCCTTTCTGACCTACCTACCCTACGTGACCAGCACACCCTTTCTGACCTACCTACCCTATGTGACCTGCACACCCTATGTGACCTATCTACCCTATGTGACCAGCACCCTATGTGACCAGCACACCCTATGTGACCAGCACACCTATGTGACCAGCACACCTATGTGACCTACCTACCCTATGTGACCAGCACACCCTATGTGACCTATGTGACCTACCTATGTGACCACCCCATGTGACACACCCTATGTGACCCTATGTGTGACCTACCCCTGTGACACACCTATGTGTGACCTGCACACCCTATGTGACCAGCACACCCTGTGACCAGCACACCCTCTGTGACCAGCACACCCTATGTGACCAGCACACCCTATGTGACTAGCAAACTCTATGTGACCAGCACACCCTGTGACCAGCACACCCTATGTTACCAGCACACCCTATGTGACCTGCCCCCCTTTTTTCATACATCCTGTCTTCACACCCGTTTTTACTATATCTTATAAAATTGTGGGGGGTTGAAGATAACTCTAAGAGTGGGATTTTGAATACCTATAAAGGTAGAGGGGTTGAAAGGAGGGTAGGTATATGATAGAAAACATAAATTTTAGTTGTATTTAGTACATCGTACCTGGACCAAGCTCCAGCAGGTGAAGCAACAATAAATTGTTGAGGAGTAGTTACACTAATATGAGTGTGTGGTGAAGATGTTCCTAATACCTGTTTTGAATAAATCAATTCTCATTTTTTAAAATTTTGTTAAATACCTATAAATAACAAAACATTCTGTAAAAAATAAACACAAGCTTTGAAATTTGGTTTCGAGTTCAGCTCTTTTGCTTAGAAAAAAATTTATCCACTATGAAAATGCATAAAATTGATATTTCATTCTAAGGGTTGTTTCAAAGAGAAAAAAATTCATATTGAAATAATGGTACCAATTTGAGAAATATTGATCAATTTATTTAACTGGCTGTGCATACGCATGGTAGCCAAGTCAAGAAAAAGAATATGTTATCATTTGTGTATCAGAGCCTATTGACAATACACTTAGGTAAGTTTTGTTTGTCAAGAAACATTTCATTTCTTATTAAATAGTAAAGTAATCAGAAAAAATGAAACTAAACTTTTCCTTTCTTTAGACTGGTTAGACTATCATAGTTGTTGGAAAATGTCATTTGTACATATGATTTTTACATTTTACTGGCCCCTACCAGCAAAATTTCATTTTTCAATTTCCATCATGTTAATAAAACTATTTAACATATCAAGGATAAAATTTTGTTAAATTGTTTTCTTATTATGGGTGTTTAAAGTTGGTGTTCCAAAAACCTTGCCTCCATTGTGCCATAAAGTTTGGGTCTAACAAAACTCTGACATCATCCAAGATAAGTGGTATTTATAATTTATATGTATATTTTGTGTTCATCGGTCCCTTGCATAATGTCAGAAATATATGTTGTTCCAGACTTTTCTGAGAATGGACAAGGTCTATCAAAAACAGCAGTTTTACCAACTTGATACAGCCATTAAATGACACTGTTTTACCAAATTAATGCCCTTTTTAACTGACATGCTAGAAACAACACCCTACTTTAATATGGCAAATAAAAAATTTTTCTGTAAGGGGCACTTTGAGTAACTAGGCTTACCACTAGAAAAAAATAACAAAATATTTCTTGACATTTTCAAAACATAAAGACTGACCCACAAGAAAAATCACACCTACCATTGGTGATGTTGGTACCGTTTTTGGTAAAATCATTGGTGAAAGTTTGGTAGAAATTACAGTTGGACTTGTAAATTGTTGCTCAACAACTTCAACTAAAAGTAAAATTTCATGCAGAATTTTTAGCTAATACTCAAACAGCATTCTTTTTTAAAATATTTTGTAAAACAATCCAATCCTTTGGTACAACAAGAAGGCGCTATAGTTTATGTTAGGTGTAAGCATGATTAATATAAAGGAGTTAAAAGTTAATATAAAACACTCATTTACTCACAGGCCTGGCACCCTCACCTACCAAATACTTGCACACTATCTCCCCCAACAAAAAAAATTGAATTCAACCACTTGCTCAAACTAAGTTTGGGATAAATTTTCTTGTTACTTCAATCATTCTACTAAGTTTTGTGATCAATTTGCACTTTATTTAATGTTTCTACATAGAAAAAACTGTGAAAACATTAGGAGAGTTCCAAAGTTTATGAAATAAGCCTCAGTTCACCTACCTTTTGGTTCAACCATGCCAACAGGTTGAGTTTGCTTACTAGACATGTTTGACATAACCTGCAACTAAGTCATGTCAAGGAAATACACAGTTAAAAAGCAAGAAACAAAGGGTCCTGTATAGTTTTGAATCATGAATATTTGCCCTACTGAACCATAACAGAATAACATAATCTTCAACAAAATACCTGTGAAAGATGCGGCTTAGTATCGGGAGCTCTTTTTAAACCATTTATAAAAACTTTAACATTTTTGTCTTGTGAAGGCCCTGAAGCATTTTGTAAAGCAGTAGTACCGTTTTCTATCGATTTTATGCCAATATCTGAAGCAAATATACGAAACTGTTAAAAATTTCAATAAATTTCGAGTTTAAATTTAACCCTTTAAACTTAAAACTCCGGTATTTTCCTTCAAAAATTCTGCATCAACCTTACGACTTATTCCTTTTATTTTGTAATTCAATCTCAAGCTTTGAGACGACAAAAGAAAATCATTTGTAAAAAATCACATGTGAAATTTCTATAACAGAAAAGTCAATAGTCACCACGCAAACATTAAATAATTACCGTGGTCTTTCCAAGGATTTCCCTCATTCTCGCTCGCAGTAGTCATGAGTAGACGACGACCGATGCATACAAGTCAGATAGTTTAAAATGATTGATAATGTAAAATTCCCCGTAGCAAATATTTAAGAACCCAGATACTGGCCGTACTTGTCATGAACAATCTTCGCCCTGCTTGAAAACGTCAAGACTTTGTTGAGCTGAGGTTGGCCAAGTCACATAGAAAAATCGCAAATAGTTTTTGCTATAATGTAAGACATTCAACAATTCTTTACAGTTTCGCTCATGTGCAATGGTGTAAAGTTTGACTCTAAAATGTTTTCTTTTCTATTTTCGAGGTAAGTTTGGTCGGTTTTGTAATGAAAATTTCGTTACTCCAGTCTTGATGGAAGCCCCGACAACTGAGCTTCGCGGTGGGGAAAGAACTTGCACTCTGATTGGTTGAAATAATTACGCGCGCTACGATTCCCAGGACTAGGCCCAGGGACTTTCCCGCGCAATTTATTACTAAATTGGTTCTGCTGGGGGTCTACAAAATATATTTATTTATTATTTTTACCAAGGTAACCATACTTGAACTAACCCCTATATTGTTTTACTGATATATACGTGACATGCTGTAATTTTTATCTAATAGATCGTTATTTATCAAGTTTCAATGAAATATTTTAAGCTGAGCGCAAACTCATCACGCTCATTAGTTAATGAATAATTTGTAAGAGGAATGGTGACGAGAGGGGCATGTTAGAGGGGGAGTGAGCGTTACACCCCAGGTTGTGTAAAATATGTATAATAAGTTGGTCCACAAACTGATAGAGAACAAAAAGTTCGATCCGTTTTTAAAATAATTTTTAAAGATAGACACTACACAAAAGTTGGTCACAGAATTAAGAACGTTTAATTATTTCTGGGTGTGTCCCCACGATGACATGCAGATTTTAAGTGTAATGCTTTTTTCTGGTTTTTTTCCACGACATTAAGGCCCATATGACCGTAAGAACAGTAATCACAATAAGGACAGCAGTCAGCGATGACGACTATGCTACGTAAAGAAGATAGTAAAAGGAAAATAGAAAAACATTCTTGCATTGTGTTGTTGATTTTGTTGTTGGTGAGCTATAAAACAGATTATATACCTCCCATCAAAGAGTTATAACAGTACTTTATTTCATTTTCGTACATATTACTATACGAAATCATTCAAAAAATACAGTCAAATTTAAAAAATTCGCCTGACAATGTTTAAAATGAAATGTAAAACAATTAGCGTTTAATTCATAAACTGGGTATGGAAATTTATTCATCATAGTAAGGAATCGTAGAAAGCACAGATGAGCGTGTATATTTAAAATGGTTGATACTTTTTCGGGTAACGAACCAGCTTCATGTCTCTAAAATGTTTGCTACAATGCGTCCATCCAAGGTGATGAAACAGCTGAAGAATGAGTGAAAATGTTTCAAATATGAAAGAATCAACGATGTCAACGAAGTAAAAACTTAATACCTCAATCACTTTTTCATATTGCTCCAACGGCATGGCTTTCTCCTGACCATCTTTAAGCAATCTTTTCAAAGCTCGACCATAGTATTTCATAACATAAAAATAAGATACCACAAACGATGAAACCTAAACAAACAGTTATGCCATAAATAAAAACTAGAAAAAGGCATCAAATTCTGTGAAAACCTCTTGCTTCAGTCAAAGGCCTGCTTTATATTGTTTGCGTTACTTTGTTAACAATAATTGTGTTGGTAGCCTTATTCGTAGAAGTGAGTTAGCTAGTTGATAGAAAGTTGATAGAGTTATAATGGTTCTTACCTTTGAATCTGAAACTTCAATCCACTTAAAAATTTCTGAATATATGCTTTTAAGCTGTTCTATAAAAATAAAAGATAAAAACAACCTTAGTGTGAGCAAAATAGAATAAACTAGTGATCCAAAGATAGTGCAAAGTTAAAAAAAACACTGCGCTATCACACCAATCACGGGCGTGAAATGATTTCGAGTTATTGAACGCTTCTCTGCATCCCGGCTGCAAGGGCTCATGTAACCTAAAATAACCACTTGTTGTCGTCATGTCTTGTTGTGCATAGTTTAGATGTGAACGATTTTCTTTTTGTCCACACGGTGTAATGCCTGTGGTTGTGTATAGTCTCTGCGCACGGTGAGGGCACGCTAGCCAGGCAACGGTCATTTAGGTAATGCATTTGTCCGATTTCATAAAGTCCTGGGGACAAGTAACTCAATCTAATAGCACCCATTTTGATGATGCTAAAGACCCCAAAAAAGTGGATGCAGTCAGACATGTGACCTTCTCTCCGATAATTTCTCTACGCATAACAATACTAGCAAGTTCGCACTAAAACCGCCAGTATACGTGGAAAATCCTAAGTGTTACATGTTATCACCTAAATAATCTCCGTTTATACTTGATCCATCTTCTTGTTGTTTTTTCAAAATTGACGCTAAAGCATTGCCCTGAAAAATAATAAATTACAGTTCGTTACTTTCTGAGTTCACAGGTGTTGTATTGAGGTACATTAAAGTACACAGGTGCTCCATAGAGGTACGTAGATGTACACAGTTGCTTCATAGAGGCACGTAGATATACAAAGATGTCCCATAGAGGTACATAGATGTACTCAGATGCTCCATGGTGATACGTAGATGTACACGGATGCTCCACAGAGCTATATAGGTGAACTGTAAACGTTGAAAATCTAAGAATTAATGGGAAGCAATAAACTCACCTTTATTATGTACGCTTCCAATAAAGCAGTTTTTAGTTTTTCCATATCTCTGAAAAAAAAACCGATTCCTAAGTTTGCACGAACACAGCTGTATTATCTCTATCAAACTTTTTTCGAATTAAAACATTCTTTCAAAATATATGTTCGTTAGAATCGTTACACAACTGAAAGGCAAAAGTAAATGCAATATGCATATAGAAAGAAATGAATTAAGCAAATTGGATTCTTAAGAAAAAAAACTTTGTTTCTATTTGGATACGTGAACACAAACTTTTTCTTATTAGCAGCATCTGTTTGAGGATCACATTTCATTCCATAATAACTAAGTAATTCATTCTTGTCTATCTAAAAAGGAAAAAATGCTTAAGCTTAATTTATTCTCAAAACGAACTTCCAATTTTTAATTCCAGTTAAAATACACATTTACAAAATGTCAACCTTTTGTATTATATCGTTTTCAGCTATTGCGACAATGTCGTCCAGCTTTTGATCTCTATCCTTGAAAGACAAATTATAAAGCCCGTTGATAATTAGCAACAGTTAATGCTTATTAATTAAAAATATTAATGAGATCCATGATATTGCCACAAGGAAAGTCGGAAAATCTACACTATGATGTAGGATGTAAGACAGTTGTGAATTGTCGCCACTCATCAAAATGACATCTCAAGTTCCTTTGAAATCCATTGTTTACTACGGATTAAAGCATGCACATATGCTCCCCACACACTTACAATTATTGTTCTCCATGCGACACTGATTATTTTAGAGATCTACCTTGCTTTCATCTAATGTTTTCAGTTGCGCTAAATGAAGTGGGATGTAATCAGGATATGCCTTCTTTAACTCCTCGTACAGACTAGAATCTTGTGCTCTATATGTGTAATAAATCGAATAAATACTAGGGAAGAACGTGCTCTAATGCATGTATGAATAAATACTAGGTATCAATTTGCTCTTATGCATGTATGCTCACACAGAAATGAAAATGATGACATACTTTGGGAGCCAAGAAACTTTTAAATCACGAACTGCTTCATCAATTTGCTTTGATACCTACAAAGAACTAATATTGAGCGATAAATCTTGCCAAGGTTAAGAAGAACTGAGATAATAAAAACTTATTTCAGCCAATAATACTGATATAAAAAAAGAAAACAAGACACAAAGACGATGATGAAAAATTTTCATCAATCAAACGCACATTGTCTGTATCAGATGTTTCTTCATCGGTTACTTTGTTATTTCCTGTACAATCTTTTCGTTCCTGACTATTTTTCTTCAACGCAGGTAACGAGAAGATATACTTGAAAGGATATGTAGACTGTTTAAAAAATTTAAAGAAATATTACATTTCATCAATTAAGAAGTCACCACATTCTCAGACGTGGCTTTCAAAATCAAGAAATGTTTGAAAAAACATACGACTTTGTTTTTATCCGTTGATTTTAGATATGTTACGGCACCGGATAAGTAATGGCCAGCTTTTATTCCCTTCATATATCTGAATAATAGATTTCAAAGAAATTAGTGTTTTCATACTTGGACAATAGTAGACAAAATAGTTAGATAAATAAAACATAAAGCGCGAGGGTCATTAAAGAAACAGACAAAACTTATCAAAAATAAAGAAAAGATAATTTTAAATGTAAGAGATAGGAAAAATAGTTTTATGAACATCGACACTGACGACTAGCAATTGAAAAGTACGATAGTAGTTGATCGATCATGCAAAGTAAATGCTTAATACATCCTCAAAACACGCTGTAAGCAATACATGTCAGGTTGAAAGAAGTATATAACAACATCAAAGTAACAAACAAAAACATCCTTACTTGTCATGTGGCAAATGACCTATAAACAATGGTATGACGTCATTAGGGTGTAACTTTCGGGTACCAAACTTCTCACTGCAAATCATCGCCGATAAACGACTTGGATGTATGTCCAAGGACAAAGGCGATGCAATCTTTTGCTCCAGAATTACTTCCATGGAGGTAAGACGCTCTAATTTTTCCTTGTGTTCGTGACGAACCTGTCATAACAATACGTCGACAAGATTTAACGATAAGACTTTACTATAGTTGTAAAATATCACCAGAATGTGTACCTGAAGTCTTATGACATAATCTCCTTTTTCAAGCTTCACACTGTACTATAGAAGTAAAATGAACAAAGACAATGTCAAGATTTGTAATCTTTAATAGGCACAGAACTTTTCCAAAATTTGGCAATATTATACAACCTTTAATAGGTTAAACATGTAATCAAGACTAACCCTCTCAGAAAAAGCGTCACCAACACCAATCAACATTTTATTTGAATTATACAGCATCCACATTTGACCTTCATATTCTGATTCATAAAGTAGATCACTAAGAAGGCAGGCGTTGACAAAAATATCTGTGGCCTTGTTCTGTGATAATTTGAGAACACAGAAAACGCAAAAATCGTTAAATCTACATGTCAACAACAACAATCAAAGACAAACAAATACAGTGATGTTCCAATACAAACCAGGTTAAAGTTGTAAAGCAACAGAAGCTCGTAAATATGTCTGCCATTCGGGAAAACATCCCTATCACCAAGCGGATTTATTGAGCTTTCGCTAGGTCTAGAAATGTTAAAGAAATAAGGTTATATATTATGGATCCACAGGTATTTCAAAGCTTGCCGACACACGGAAGAAAACACCCAGGGAATCAAGCGATTTTTAAACATGATTTATCCCTTCCATCCAACATTCATGAGAATATATACCATGCAAATTTAATAAACTTGTTCTACGAGGGGGGGAGGGGAAAGAAAGTTTATTGACCTACCTTAATGGTTGACAATAAGTATTAAGACTTATACTTGGGGAAATCTCCTCAGGCACCATTGCACAACGGACATCAACACGTTGATGTTTCTGAGAACTATGCTAAAAACAGTAAATAAATAATAATAATTATCATCATCATAGAGAGAACAAAAAACACCTAACTATGAAAATATCAACATTACTTCCACTACAATTACATTACCATAGTAACAGACTTTAAACTTGGTTCCACTCCATGAAATGATAAGGAGACCTTAATTGACGATTCTTCACTATTTGCCCACCATTTAGCAATACAGACCTCTAATGTTACACAAGCCTACAAATAAATTAGATTCTTTAGCTAAATCTGTTGCAGACCAATGTAAATAATTATTTACATACCCAAACAAAAAACTTATATGTGACCGTAAATGATTTTTGACTTACCTCAACAGCAAACTTAAGTGTGACGTTCGAGTTTCCTTTCAGCTCCATAAAACGGCTGAACATGTGAGTTTGGTAGGATTTCAAGGGAAGAATTTGAACAGCGTCAATCTTAAACTTGCATCTTTTCTCGTTACTGGATCTTGACATGTTTAACTCTATATAATTCACACAGAAATAAAACTTTCAGTTCAATAAATTTGAACTTTGCATTTCGCAAAAATATATATACATTCTGATATCATACAGGCTGTAACTTTCAACTGCACATATTCTTCCAGCAATACATGCTGCAGCGAAGTGATGATTGTCCGACTATGATATGTTCTCTTGTAAATTTTCTTACACAAACAACTCAGGGACATCATCTGCTCGAAAAGTTAGCGCAAAGTTGTTTTCAATTACAATTTTTCCAAGCAAGCTCTGAACTCTAGGCACGACAAATACCTAATGCGAGCATTCACCAATCAGCGCCCGTGTTTTTAGATAGTCATTTTATGACACAATACATTAAATTATTAACTCTACCTGCCCACGTTACACCAGAAGGAACAGCAAAGAAAGTCCTATGAACATCGCCAGGTTTGAATCTGATTTCTTTATCATTCCACGCTACCAAACTATCTTCAGCTATCCTGTGAAAAAAATTTCACACTAAATTATATCTTTGGACGAGAGAAAAATGCAATGTTTAAAACAAGCATTCCCTCAAAAAGCTCAAAAACCTATAACTTTTTTAACATTTTATTCAAATTCTCCTCATAAACTCGGATTTAATTTTAAATCATGGATTATGAAATAAGCATTATATAGCTATAAATGTAATTCTCTAACGTATTTTTCCAATGAGAATTTATATTAGCTTATTATAACGAAACACTCGCAACGTCATTCATGATAGAGTACAGCGTCATTATTAAAGCATACACTCTGCTATAACAGTTAGCTATAAAATTTTGCGTTTCCGTTTTCTGTAAAGTTGGAAATGTTGCAATGAAAATATTGACTGATAGCTTTTATATATGCAAACAGCGATTTATTTCTACAATTTTTGAAGAAGCACTATAAACGAAAATCTTCCTCAAAAACTAATAAAAGATTATTGAACAGCCCCATCGGTAAGTTTACACTCCGATATCTAATGTACTACCCCCCTCGGTAAGTATACACACCGATATCTAATCTACTACCCCCCTCGGTAAGTATACCCTCCGATATCTAATGTATTACCCCCCTCGGAAAGTATACCCTCCGATATCTAATGTATTACCCCTCTAATACCCTCCGATATCTAATGTACCCCCCTCGGAAAGTATACCCTCCGATATCTAATGTATTACCTCCCTCGGTAAGTATATACTCCGATATCTAATGTATTACCCTCGATATCTAATGTATTACCCTCGGTATACGATATCTAATGTATTACCGTATATAGATATGTATTACCTCCCTCGGTAAGTATACACTCCGATATCTAATGTATTACCCCCCCTCGGTAAGTATACACTCCGATATCTAATGTATTACCCCCCTCGGTAAGTATACACTCCGATATCTAATGTATTACCTCCCCCCTCGGTAATTATACACTCGATATCTAATGTATTACCTCCCCTCGGTAAGTATACACTCCGATATCTAATGTATTACCCCCTCGGTAAGTATACACTCCGATATCTAATGTATTACCTCCCCCCTCGGTAATTATACACTCCGATATCTAATGTATTAATGCATGTTAAAATTCTTTGAAACTAAGGCATACATGGAACTAGAGTTTCATAATAGTCAAAAATCACAAACTGCAATCTGTTTTACCTGCATAAGAATAATCAGGCACTTGTTTGGTATAAATATATTTCTATGTGTGTGTTGAATTAAACACATTTAAACAGACTATGAAAATCACCCATTTCAGTGAGACATAGAAATCACACTCCCGTTAATCAATAGTGAACTCATTTTTCCATTGATGACAAAACTTTTGCTGGAAAATTTGAACTCGAGCAATCAGATAATTAAAAATAAAAAAATACCGTCTTCGAATAGTTTAGACTCGTTGAGTGTGGATGTAATGGTGCTTTTAGAATACAAACGTACATCTTCATCTATAAATTCTTAGTCATGCAAGCATTGGTTTCTAATACTTCATAGGCATAGAGCCTTGGATATGCAGTTGCAAATTGCAACTATACTATAAACGTTTGCATATTGAGATTAGTCATTGTTAATGATGGTGTTTCTATGTGTGTACGTACTTGGAGCAAATTATGACAGAAACTGGAACTTTAAATAAATGACCACGTTTGATATCTTGGCTATCATAGCCGATTACCTGAAACAAAAAAGAATTTTCAATAAAACGTGCATTCGTAAATACTTCCTGTTTGTTTATCGGGGAGGGGGGACAATGTCCGCTTTCAACGAAATCATACGGTTGCACTGTAGAATCTTAATTTAATATTTTTCAAGATATGAAGAATAAGGAAGACGCATATACAAAGTTTGATAACTCCCAAAAGTGGTTAAAGCTTTAAAATAAAGTTATTACCTCCGCATAATGATGACCAGGTGGCAGTCCAGTAGGATTAATACTAACGGCGAATGATCGCTCTAATATTCAAAGAGAATTTCATAAGAAAATATCACGATAACATAGACAAAGTTGTTTTCATAAAAAAACAATAACAAGACAGAGTTCCATAAATAGAGCGAATCATTAAGATGCAACTGCGTGTATTGTTATTTCACTTACCTTTATTCATTAAAACTAAGACTTTGGGACACACCAACCACGAAGCAGAACTCACCAAACTTATTCGCAAATGAAGACTTATTTTTACGTCATTTTCTAATGTAGAACAGTAAAAAAACTTACAACGAAGGTCGCAAGCGTTGGTGAAAGGTTAAAAGCTTCACTTCCATAAAACAATGATAAAAACCTCCAATTCAAACATGATAAACTTACCAACATGATCCATATATTTTGGTTCAATTGAAATCATTTTCTTTGTAACTTTAGAAGTTTCGTGATATTCACGTAAATAAATTCCTTTAGTTCCATTCCCACAGTGAATCTGAAAATGATTTCAGGATATAGTAACAATATTTGAATATATATATTAGCTTACACTAGAAATGTGAAAATTCTTAAAAAGTCTCTACCTTATATCGAAGTTCTCTATCAGAAACGTTACTGTTAAGAAGACATAAATCAAATGCTTTGTCCACCTAAAACGTGTTAATGAATGAAAAATCAAACAAATGTTTAATGTTTTCCTTAAACTACAGTGATACACATAATGAAACTTATGAAACCTTTGCAATGAAAAACTCTTACTTGTAATAAACCATGACCAATGGCGAATCGATCGATATCTACAGTAAAAAAGTACAACATTATGACTGTATGATTTTATATCACCATAAGAGAGATCAATTTCAACATAATAATTTGCTTTCGTATCCAGTGACTGTTTCAACATATGGTCATTTTCGGGGTTTTTTTCATTTAAACTCGAAATAAACCGTGCAATAAAACATGTAGCGATGAATAAATAATGGACAATAAGCTACTGTCATAAAAACTGTGTAAATGCTATGTTGCAATTACATGAAAAACATTTACAGGTAAGATTTTCAACTGAAAAAAAAGATAGCTCTTGACTCTTACCGTTGACGAATGATCCTGTATTTTCCAAACATCTTCTTATGCTATATAGAAATGGGCAGTTCGTAAGATTTTAGTTCAGCAACGATGAAAGAATCATTTGATTTTCTCCCTAATTTTTACACATACTTCTACAAGCAAATTGGCATAGTAAAAAGACAAATTTTCATTTTCTCACCTATATGGGGAGTACTCAACAGAGTTTTGTTTTAAACCAGAAAGCAATAAAGCTAAAAAAGCATACCATACAGCTCAAAATACTACATTTTATGCTGCTAACCATTATCTCCGTGTACATAAGTGTGATTATGATGGGACTATGTATATTCACCTATAGCACCACATGCGTTTGGCGAAGACATTGACGTGCCGTTCATGAGCTGAGAACCACTCAATGTCCAATTTGGAACTGATGCAATTGCTGCACCAGGAGCACTGATGCTTACACCTAACGAACCGTCAGTCCTGCGGGAAAAAATGTTACGCATATAAATAGGATTCTTTGTTGTTAGCTGACCGCTGACTGAAGCTTTAGTGGTTAGCTGACCGCTGACTCAAGCTTCTGTTGTTAGCTGACCGATGACCCGAGTTTTCATCCCAAAAAGTTATATAGCCCACATCTAAGTTCTTCTCCATAACATGAAAAGCTAATCAAGATGGTTGTTTGTCAATGTGTCTGTTTGTTTGTTAGTGCGTTTGTTTGTGCAATTAATATTTTATGCTAAATATTGAACATACGACGGTCCTCGAGAAGACCACGTGTATTGCATTCCAGGAATTCTTTCCAGTAATGAATATTGACCTTCCATCATATCAGGCGAAACATAAGCGCCAACACCTAAGTAAAAACATGAATATTTGGGAATTTAAAAAAATCCTAAAGAAGATATGAGGATACAAGTATTTTTAATTTACATGATAAAATAAAATTCGCAAAGTTTCCTTTTAATATGCTCTGTTGATTTTGCTTTTAAATTAAATTTTCATTTACCATTATAAACTACAATATTGAAATGTTTTCATTTATATAAACATGTCTCAAAACAACCATACCAATAGCAGATGATGCCATTCCACCTGGAGCACCGACTGTGGATAGTGCAGGACCATTATTTCCAGCACTGGATACAAATATTATTCCATGTTTGTCCACAATTTCATTTATACGATTGATAACACAGCTAAGATAAGTTTAAATACCATTAATACATATGAACAGAACTAAGTATATATTTGTTGAAAGGAAAAAGTAAAACAACTACATTTTTATCACGACAAGTCTGTTTGGTGATTACTCACTCATCGGGGGTTATAATAAAACAAAAGTATCAAATAACAAAGAAATACATTGTGTTATTTACATTTCAAAAAATTAGCTTGAAATATGCATTGTCCTTCAATACAATTGCAAACCATTTTGTTGGTGCAAGAATTATGTGAAATACTTACTAAGACAGATCTGGCATCATACATAATCTCTTCCTTACCCAGAATCCGTCCAATGAGCAGCCTCTCCATAACTCATATTTATCAAATCACATCTATTTTTCACAGCTTCTATAAGCTAAGTAACGTATAAAACATCTTTTAGTTATAATAAAAAACAATTTATTTCCATGATGCAACATTGCCACATACGTACCCCACGAATCATGGATGGTGCAGTTTCCATGGATCCAAGTCTGGTATCGCCAATTTTTATTGATAATATCTACACAAACAGATTGTATCAGTTAGTTAGCACATTTTGTCGTGATTAAAGAAATGAAGAGTTGAATGTTAGTTTTGTCTTAAAATATGTAGTACATGATTGTAGTTTCTACATCCATGCCTTTACCACACTGTAAATGTACGTTTATTTTACTTCAAACATTAATCTTATACTTAGTATGTCTAATGAATATGTAAATACCTAAGCACCAGGAGCTACTCCGTTATGTTTAAATACCTGAGCACCAGGAGCTACTCCGTTATGTTTAAATACCTGAGCACCAGGAGCTACTCCGTTATGTGTAAATACCTGAGCACCAGGAGCTACTCCGTTATGTTTAAATACCTGAGCACCAGGAGCTACTCCGTTATGTTTAAATACCTGAGCACCTGGAGCTACTCCGTTATGTTTAAATACCTGAGCACCTGGAGATACTCCGTTATGTTTAAATACCTGAGCACCTGGAGCTACTCCGTTATGTTTAAATACCTGAGCACCTGGAGCTACTCCGTTATGTTTAAATACCTGAGCACCAGGAGCTACTCCTTATGTTTAAATACCTGAGCACCTGGAGCTACTCCGTTATGTTTAAATACCTGAGCACCAGGAGCTACTCCGTTATGTAAATACCTGAGCACCAGGAGCTACTCCGTTATGTTTAAATACCTGAGCACCAGGAACTACTCCGTTATGTTTAAATACCTGAGCACCAGGAGCTACTCCATTACATTCTGGTTTATCAGGGAAATATCCAGCAGCAATACATGCGACATGAGTTCCATGAGAGCCTGGTTATAATTATTGTAAATAACTTATGCATTCAAAAATGAAAAATGGTGAAGGACTAAAGTTTTGATGTTACATTACCTGAATCAGTTACAATGCTGAGAATGTTACCCTTTTCATACACATTGACGGTGTAGTTCATCATATCTATGGAAAATATAAAATAAAAGAAAACAATAACTGAAACGAAACAAAAAGTTACTAGAAAAATTGCTAATGCAACCATCAATAGTATAAAAAACATTGTGTTTGCAATATAGAACAATAGTGATAATCGCTCAACTTTGAAGACAAAAAGAGTATATTCCCCTTACCTTGAGTACCAAAAGTACCATAATCCCTGACTCCTTGTAAGGTGATAGCACCTGACAACTGGACAAATCACCAGTTTCTGATGTGTCAATACAGACCCTGATAAAACAATTTTAGCATGCTTGGAAAAATAATAAACTAGATGAAATAATTTAAAGAAAGTAAAAACAACCTCCAACCATTGCCATCATCAAATACGACACAATCAAACACTGGTCCAATACTTTCATAACTCTTTTCTAACATTCCTAAAACTTCCACTTGCGCCTCACATTCTTCCTTGTTTTCCTACAACATATACAGACATAACCATAATTTCATTAATATGCCCAAAATAATGTGAAAAAATATTTTGAGAACAAAGATTCTCGTGTTTGACCAGGCAATCACAAGCTTCTTTTGTTCCTTGTGGACTATCACAGCCAATCGCAGGCTTTTCTTTAAATGCAGATATCACAACCAATCACAAGTTTCTTTTCGTTTCATGTGGACTATCACAGCCAATCACAGTTAACAAATCTAATTTATGAACTAGCACTTTTATGTGAGTTTTATCCAATTATCATAGAGTGCTGCTTAAGTATAGTTGCATATGTTTTACCAATGCACAGTTAAGGCCAAAGTTTAAAAGAGAAGAGAAAGAAATATACATAAGTAACATCAATAAAAGCTTTCTACCTAGTACCTTATCATCTTTATTTTGTGGCATTTCTAATGGAACTTTTTTCATGACATTGGCAGTTAACCTGCGATGTTCTGGATCCCATTGCTTTTCTTTTTCTTCTTTCTAAATGCCAAAAAATATGGAAAGTAGACTGCAGCCACATTTTGCAACAAATTTTTATGTTAAAAAATATTATTAGATGATTATCAAAAAAACCTTCATTCTTTCTTTAAGCAAATTGGGGAAAACACTGAAAGCACTCTTTATTCCAATGTGATAGTCTTGCGTTGGATTGTTCCATTCTTCGAGCACCTAAAGAATACACAGCTTGAAAAAAATTTTTGCCTTGTGCTAAAATTATACAGGTTATTAAATTAAAGACAGAGATGATGATACATATAAGTTTATCAACTAGATTACCTAATTACCTTCAATTTTTTCCCAGTCAACCCTACAATGAATCCATCTTCATCAGGTTTAACAACTACAGATATATCAACATCTCCACTACCAGAACAATCAATAAGGTCAACAATTTTACATTTTCCATCTGTAGTTTCCTAAAGAATAATTAATTGCTTAATATGAATAGATTTCAAACACAATTAGATTTTATGTTGCATTCTCAAAAATGGACATGTTTGATAATTTGAAAATAGATTTAATTTCTGAAACATGATTTGATGATAAACTCTATCATTTGTTTACTGTATTGATAATTTTTGCAAACATTTATTATTCATGTAATTAATTAAAATTCAAAATTTCTTTTCAAAACTTAGGAACTAATAAATTCACTTTAAGTAACATACAGATTAACATGATCAACATGCAAGCAAGCAGTTACGAAACATTTTTACACACAACTATAGCAAACATCAACATCTCCAATCACTTTCACAATACGTTTACATACAACAAGTTAAATCACACATATATAAAATATTGAAGTTTGACTTAAGGCAACAAGAGAAAATCAATTTCAAATAATTTACATAAGTTATCGTAATAGAATAATGACAAATTTTATTCCAAAACCAATACGTTCAATCTATCTATCATCCATTATCCATCATCAAACCTTCAATCCATCCGCTCCTGGGTCAACGCCTGTATCAAACACTGCAATAAGCACGCCTCGACCATCATAATTTGGATTCAGCGTCTGGAATCTTTCTGCTCCAGTTTCCCGTTTAGGAAGAATGCCTTGAACAGGAAAATCAATCGGAGGATCGTCGGCCATGATCTCTCTCGCGTGTACAATGTGTAAATATTGAAAATATTAAAACTATTAATGGCAATCGTATGGATGGAAATGCTATAGAAACCGCATGCTGGATAAATTAAGATCGTCGTGTAATTTGCATTACAATGTTAATTATGTGAATGTGTAATTGCCCCATAGTCCCCATGCCATACACATATACCGATATATCATACACTGATATATCATATATGAACAGAAGTTGAAACTTTTATTTGTGCATAAGAGCTTTGAGTTGCGCTTGGCTAGATCACTTTGTAAATATTGATTATGTAAATTCAATATTTTGTGACAGAGTTTTATTTAAACTATTGTTATGTTGACATCCCACATGGTTGATACCGGAAAGAAATTTTCAAAAGTTTAGCACAAGTAGTCACTCTTTCATAATTTATAAAAAATAAAGGTCATGAAATTAACTTTGCATTTTCCTGTGAGTGATTTTGAGAAATATACTGCTCCCAAACTTTTTTCATTAGCCTTTAGTTAGAGACTTCGTCCATCGAAATAAGCTTGAAATGCCTTGCCGGTGCGAAGTATTTCTAAACTCATGAAGTGATTAATGTAGTGAGAACACATGAGAACGCCAGACGTGAAAGTATTTTCAGATAATAGTCATTTTGTTAAATTTTCAGTGTTTTTTATTGTTTCCATGGATTACTTGTTGTTGTTGTATATTGTTCATAAATAATATGTTTCTTTGGAGACAATACACTTACAACCTCATAATTGAAAGAAAAAACCAACACACTAAACTAATCCGTTTTAACAACTCAAATTTTTCTACTGCTATGCAAATACCATTCATTTCTTAAGAAAATGAATTTCATAATTCATTCTTGTTTTTTACGACATATAAGCTTAAAAGATAGCAGCTTTTTATTAAATCCACACTAACGATTGTTGAAATTGCTATGTTATTACATGTTATTATTTCCTGTCAGGTCACACATCAGTGGCAACGCTATATTTATCTTCCAGAGGAATGCAAAAATTCTCTTAGAGTTAAACAAAAAAAATATGTTTTACCAGGCTTAGCAAATACCTTTCTGTAAAATCAAACACAAATTATATGAACAGATCTTTATTTTGAGAAAAGTTTTTTTTAGAATAATAAAATGAATGATATTTAAATTAGCGACTGCTATACATGCCATCAAATCCTCTTACGGTGAAGTTATTTTCTCCACTGGAAATAACTTGTATCACTTTTTTTCTCTTCCATCTGCAAAATACCAAGGAAAAGGACTTTCTGTACTTCTTCAAACGCCATGCGTATACAAAAGGATTTAACAAAAAGTTCAAAAATTTTACAGGAAAGAAGTATCTGGCAAAAAGTGTTACGCTGCTTGGAGAAGTTCCTCTGAAAAGCAAATACCCGTAGTTAATTTGAATAGCAAGATTGTATGGAATAAATGTCAGGAACATTATAAGAACTAAAATAGACACAACTTTCACCAATTGTGCTTCGATAGCCATTTTGTATCTTTTTGAGAGATTGGTCTTAGCTTCCTTTTGAGATGAAGGTACATCACCGACTGCATTTGAGGTTTTGAGATTTTGCTTAATACCATGAAGCATATTCAGATATAGAAACACGATAACAAACAGAAACATTTCTAAGGTAGAACTGAGAACGAAAGGAGAGACTAGCGGTAGAAAATGAATAGAGGAAGCCATTCCACCACATATGATCCAAACACCAATACAAAAATAAAGCGTTAGTTTTTTTGATCGAACTGAGTTTGATTTAAATGGGTACAGTATTGCAAACCATCTCTCCACACACATTCCAAATACCGTAAAAACAGACACTAGAACCGACGTCCAAATGAGATACCACAAAGATATATCGTACATGTTCATCGAAAACAGAATACCATACAGTATTCCATTAATGGCAGTGAGCAAATCAGCAACTGCTAAACATATCACTAAGTATGATATTTTTGTTCGGAATTCTTTTAAAGGATCCTTGATCATGACCAGAATCAAGCACGAATTTGCCAAAACTGATAAAATGCCAATAACAATAACCAAAACATTTTCAAAGGTGATGTGGGTTTCATCATTCTTCTCCATTGACTGACATTCATTGCTGCAGTTTGTATTTGTAACTCTCGTCAAAAATTGTGAACTTGTCGAAGACATCGTTTCTTATTTTACTTGGGCGTTTCGACGAGTTGGCGTGCTTCTTATATTTTCATATAAACAATCAGGAAGTTATTTGTTAATTATTCCAGTACCGTCATCTTGTACACAGTGATCAGGACCTATTACTATGACCTAATTGGTACATTATCTTTAATTACCCTACTCACTAATAGCATAGTAATATTATAACCAATCTAGGAGGACCTGTCCATATGGGGTAGGATTGCTCGCCTAGCCGGGATAATGATAATGCGCCAATAAAACAACCCATATTTTAAATGTTTTCTATCTTGATCCAGTCCTAACATTCAGTGATAGATTTAGATTGAAATTCATATACACAAACGGAACTTCAAGCAAAGTTCGCTCATGCAATGTACTCAACTTTTAATTATTTATAACTATAAGTTGTATGTCACAGGGGCGTCGGAAGCGGGGGAGGGGAAGCAGGAGAAATAAGGCTTTCTCACTTTTTCTGAAAGAGCGGCAGTACCCACCCACTTTTTAACAATAAACATAACATAATGAAAAATAATATTTGGACATAAAGTAAACAATGCTGAAACTGTCACGAGTTGTCTTAGGACTCTTTCTGTATAAATAGGTAGTAATAACAAATTAGTCCAACATAGAATAGCTCCGAAAAATTCCACTTGCTTTTCGTTTTCTCCACTGTTTTGCAACGAATGAGAAACGTGTAACGTTTTACAATTTTGATACTTTGAATTTTCGATTCTACCTAATACATACGATATATGTTGAGCACATAATGCTATTGCCAAATTGAAGTCATAATTTCCTGCTGTGATTATTGAACAATACTACTAAAAACACCGACGAAACGATGATGGACCCAACATTTAACAGTCAGGGAGTTTGCCACAGATTGCCAAAGAAACTGTATCAAACGTTGTTACTTAACTGCAACCAAAACATGTTCAGTTTTACGGAATGTAGAAGTAAAAGATAAGTAGGCAAAGGACAATCGTTCTTTCCAGTACAAAAAAACGTGGGCTTACGGAATTAGGGGCAGGGGGTAGCTGCGCCACAAGTAAATTAGAAGATTGAAGAGTAGAGCAAATTTTGAACATTAAACTTGTAAAAATGCGGAAGAAGGAAATTATGACATGTAATTTTAAGTCAGAAATTTGGTAGTCTATTGTTAGTTATAGAGAAATATTTACTCCCTCCTCAAGAAATGATTGTTCCCGTAAGCCTATATGCAAAAAGGAAACAAAGTGATTTCATATGCTAAAAAAGGTGAAGAAAAGTAAAACTTGAGAGAGCCGTCTCAAAAATGCACTCCCACACTAAATATAACAAAATAATAAAAAAACAAATTAATTCTAGCATCAAATGATATCCGTGTCGGATAATTTTCGAAGAGTATTTGTAAAATAGAAAATGGAGGTTTGCCTCCCCCCCCTTTACACTAGAGAAATCAATTTTCTTTTTGAGACATTATGTCAAGAAACGATTTAACGCATGCGTACAACTATTTGCAGTGAAATTCACAGAAATTTCACACGGGGAATGGGATTAACCTGATAAAGATTGTTAAATCGTTTCTTGACATCAAGCGAAAATCCAGGCACAATTTGAAGAACAGTCTTGTCTTATTTCATGAATTAAATATGTCTCTCGACTGTCAATGTTGGTTTGTTAAATAAATGCAAGATGTCTACCTGTAAGATAATTAACTTTTGACTAACTTTGACAGGACAATTTTCTCTGATGTAAAATAAACAAAAACTTTATTAGCAAACCAATTTTATACTGAGCAAATGACATAACTATAACCTACGTACAAGTATATTCTAATAAATTCTCAAACAGTTTTCTATTATCTTTTTCACTGCCAGTTAAAATAATTTAATGCAAAATATTACTTTCGTTCTCCTAAAAATTTTGCTACGAATAATTTATTGGACCTTAAAACTAGGCCAAACATAACATAAACCAATTTGTTTTTGACACATAAAATTCTCTGAACAAAAAAATAAATAAATTAATAAATACATATTCACCCAACGTATAAGCACGCTACCAACAATGACATCACTAAACTACTATCAAAACAGCAATAGAATAATACCAAAAAATGCTTTCTTTTCACATAAATTAGGCATACAGTTTTACGATACTGTAATGCTATAGGCAATAATTAGAGACCTTTTTTTACTACAAGTAATTTAAGTATAATTTATATCTAGTCTTCTAACGCTACATGGGATGTCGGAGCTGGTAACGTCGATTGATTGATTTCCATTTTTTATGTTAAAATGAATTACCCGTTTAAAACTGGGGTCAAATTTAAAATTCATCAATATGATATGTAAAGTAGCAGGCGTAAAAATATCTTACATTTCTGAATGATTTGGAGGGCAATTTTGAAGAGAAAACTTGATAAAGCTCTCTAAGTAAAGGTTTAAGATATCTAACTTTACTATATATAAGTTTCTCTATCGTTGCAATTAACTGCACATGGCTTCTTACCACAACAAGGACTTAAAGCAGTAGATAGTTTAATAAATACTTTATCATATGGTTTCAATGATCGAAGACATTCTGGTAACCATTTCCATGTTCGTAGTAACGTAGGAAGGAAAGACGGTTTCTTTTTTTGTAGTACATTTATCAATGCAGCCAAGAGCACGACAACGCCGATAGGAATTAATACACCAATAAGAATTGGTGTTCCTGCGTATGAGAGGCCAAATACTGCAGATGGTATGAGGAAAAAACACAGTACAAGATACACCAGCGCAAACCAACGGTATTCTGCTGTTATATCGCCAAGTTTTTTGGCAGTTTCTATTGGAAGTTTTCGCATAAATGGTAGCGGATACCAGATGGCAATTCCAGTAAGATTGAACAAAAGATGACAAAGAGATATTTGAAGTGCCTTGTTTAAGTTTGATGTACTTGCTAATGCAGCCAAAATAGCTGTTCCAGTCGTGCCAATATTAGCACCAAGAGTTAACGGGAAGACACGTTCAATTGTTACAATTCCAATACCAACTAATGGTGTTAATGCTGACGTAAAGATTGAACTTGACTGAACTAACATTGTTAAACCAGTACCAACCAATATGGTGAAATATCCAGTAAGATATTTCAATGGTCCAGGAAAATCAGCATTTAGAGTTTTTCTAACCATAAGGGCTAGATTGCCCTTCAGCATTGAATGCAACAACTTAACAATACAGACTAAGCAAATGCAAAGCAAAGTAATTGACACAACTAACAGAATGAAACCAACTACAGAGTCTTTCATACCAGTATTGTGAAAGAGGAAGTTACAAGTAGAAATAGTTTTATTGGGAGTAGTGCTTGAACCATTGATTTTTTTAAGACAGGACTTGATCAGACTTACATCAGCAGAAACCTCTTTTCCTTTTGCAATACGTTTTATAACATTCTTGTCAATTTGGATTACTCTACTGGTGAGAGGTTTAGTCAACTTTTTCAGAAATTCTACTTTAGTATTCTGTTCCCCTTCAACACCAAATGCACGAGTAATTTCACCAGAGCAATATAGAAGATACGACTTGGAAAAGATTTTTTTTGTAATAACTTCAACTGGAAGTAGGACAAGAACAGTAAGCCAGTTGAAGAGGTCATGAACAGTTGCACCAGCAAATGCACGACGAAACTCATCACGCTCTTTGACATGGCCCATGGAAACAATTGTATTGGTGACCGATGTACCAATGTTAGCACCCATAATAATTGGAATAGCATACTCCACTGTCAGAACTGTAATAAAAAGTACAAATGCAATTAAAATGTTTGTAGCTGACATTTATTAACACATAATTACGAAGATGAAAAATAAACAAATCATTTGATAAGTTTACCATGCACTTAAATATTTTTATCTAGAAAATATTCCCAACCACAACATGCACATAAATCTGGTTATTTACATAACAAGCTAAAATGTTGTTTAAGGGGTCAAAGTTCTCGATATAGACAATCTTCACCTTGAACAGCTTTCAGTGTTCAATTTCAGGTTTAATTTTTATGTAATTTTTGTGAAATTAAATTTAAACTCTTTTTATTAGGTTCATGTACCAAATACAAAATCACATTATTATACAATTGCACAAGAAACTACATGTGCAATCAACTTTACATAGCTATGACATATGAGATGCATTAAACTTCTTACAAATGATATTGAATTACAGGGTCGACAATTTATCCCAAATTTAATTTTAACGAAGTGAATGAAGAAAAGAAACTGGGTTAAAAAAATTTTTCAGCTAAAGCTTTGAGGTAAAGTTACACAATATTTTTATAATTTTCTCAAATTTCACGATACTTGAATACATAGTATAATTACATAATCACACACATTATTCGAAATAGAAAGCATTCTTAGCTTAAAAAAATGGTTAAATCGCCTGAAATTTCGTGTTATTCTTGGCTACTATTTCGACCAGATTGCGACACAGTTTCTGAAATATTGCACGTGCATCTTCGCTCACGCGGGCAACGGAATTTAGCAGTGAGTGGAATGGCAGTAAAAAGAAGAAATGTGTAAACTTGTACCGGAACTTTTCATACAAACGGTAACAAACTAAATATGGTTTATATTAATTATGTAAGCTTGACCTACAGTTAATAACTTAAAATTACCGGAGAGTTTCCTTTCTTTCGTTTCATATTGGCTCCTTATTCTGAATATTTAATGAACAATATTTTTAAGATAAAAAAATCTCTCAACTCACTTCCTGAAGCAACCATTGCAACAACAACCGAAGTTGTAGTTGATGAACTTTGAAAGAGAACAGTTGCCAACAGTCCGATCATCAATCCAGCCACAGGATTCGAGAGTATACTGTCAGCAGCAAAAACTTTGCTAGCCGTCTTCCCACCCAGTAAACGAAAAGCTGCGCTTAGAAAGTTGAGTGAGCATATGAACAAGTAAAGGAAACCAAGAAGACTAACTATCTTCAGGATTGTACGAACTACAAGTAACACTTTGCCACGAGTAGTTAAATCTATATTAAAAGTAAAAATATGGCGCCATATAAACCGCCAAACGAAGGCGCAATTAAACTATGAAACGGTGTACATACCTTTCCATTTCGGGCCAGATCTTTTAACTTCAGGCAATGCCCATGGATCTACCGTGTTATCTCTATCGGCTTTCAGTCGCTGTTTGTCTGTAGTATCACCTTTCAATGTTTGAAGTTCATTCACCTATGCAGTTTTCACAATCGTATAATTCTATAATCAATCAAATCGATCTGTTGTAGTAAAATTGAACACTAACCTCACTCTCATTCACGAAAGGAGCCTCCATTATCTCAGGGAAGTGAAGCTTTTTGGCACCGGCAAAAGTTGTTTAGTCACATACAATTACTTACTACAACTGTTAATGAAACGAGGAAAACTATGCTATTATATCTTGCCTTTCGTTCTCTGATTGGTGAAAATGTAGCATGCAAGCAGCATACCAGGAGCACGTGAACAAAAAATATGAGCATGTGGACAGTAAAAACTTACACATGGCTACACATGAAATGAGCACGCTCTCATTGAAAGAACGCCATAGAACAGGAAGTCTTGATTGTCAAACAAAACAATTAAAACAACAGAAACATTTCTTCATTTTCCATAATCCATATGACATTCATTCATCAATCATTGGTTTCACTATAAATATTCAAAAATAGGTAAACTTTTGAAATATACTTAGATTTAATTTACTTTATCAGAATCGTCAAGAGTCAGAGTTGAAAGTTTAAAGAAAATTCCTGACTTAAGAACTTATAAGTACAGGAAACAATGAATGACCATTGACGTAAATTAGCGCTTAGATCGACAGTCTGAGTGTTCCGACTGTTCTCAGTTTCACTTCACACGTCACTGGGAAATGATTTTGAGATGGGATTTTGGTATTTAGAATTCGACAACATATCTTTACAAGTTTCATCCCTCCTCTGCTAAACCACAGAACAATCTTTCTATAAAAATGCTAGAAATGCTTCAAGCCATGTTACATAAGAATTTAAAATAATAAAATAAAGTCGTTAAATTTAGATTGGTCTATTTTTGTTTACTGCGCAAAGAAATGTTAAAGTCTTGAAAAGTCGTGTTGTGTGCGCCAGTGCTATACACGAGACATAGCCAATGGCTTTGTTCTATAAAAGTCCTTGGGTGATCTTGCTCGATCAGTCGATCGTGTATTTTTCATTACTCTTAACTCAAGTCCACGATGTAGACACGTGGGTAACATGTGAAAAGTCATGTTGTATTATTTATGCAATAATCGTTCAACTTGAATTTCTGCCAGCAATGGCAAGCATTTGGTGACGTGCAGGCACGTTTCCTGAACTCTAAAAGTTTAGCACGAACGGCACGACTAGGGGATAGTAGCTACGCCATTGCCAACGCTGTCCTTTAGTCTTGAAATTTGGCCGAAAAGACCGTGAACTGTTATTACTTAAACCATATTTAAAATTTAAATAAAAAAAAGAAAACATAAATTTCACAGGTGAATTTTACAAATATCCACAATATTCATTGGGAATGGGTTTATGGGAAGTACGTATTTCTTAGATATATACTCTTGGCTATTGTAAAACTTGTAATCATAATTTTCAGGTATGCTCTGTGATAAGTACAGTCTAGGTCCTAGGGCGTATTGAAAGGGAGATGGTTGTTAAAGGGAGCATTCCGGCAAAGTTGGATTCTCTTTTCTTCTTTAATAGTTTTTGCCTTGTTGCAATATAAATATATGTTTGTAAATGTAGATCGTCCAGGTTGGTATAGTCCTGAGAAGGATTGTTTTTGTTGTTGTCGACTGACGTTTCGACAACCTTAGCGGTAGTCATCTTCAGAGTCAAATGAGGCGTAAACATAAGGTTAGCCGTATTTGTTATCTGGTTCTTACGTCATTGTATTGTGTGTACAGGAATTTACTTTCAGGAATTTACAGGAATTTACATTTACTTTAATATAAATATATATAATTAAAAGAAGTTTCTCCGGATTTATAGATAGATACTGTATATATATACTTTATAGATATATATACTGTAAATTAATGCAGAACTGAAGTCTCGTGCATTATAGAGTGTAAACAAAGGTTTTTCGAGCATTCGACCAATCAGAGCCTTGTTTTTAAAATTTTATTATATATAAAAATATATACATCAGAGAGTCAACAAAGTAATACATCTGTTTTAAAGTGATTACAGTCGGTAAAACTGTAAAAGATCGTTATTTAACAAATCGATAACTTCAGCTTAGGTGTCATGCATATACGGGACGAGCAGTTGCGTGTTTGTGCTGCACTATAATGACGTCATAGAATGACAGGGCATAAACATGAAAGTATTTTCATGTTGTAAATTATTTTATATTTCAGTTTTAGAAGAGTTATTGGTTTTTACGTATAGTTGTGATAAAGGTATTTTATATCAAGTTAGTATGAAAAGTACCATATGTAAACGACGAACGTCTAAGAAATGGAGAATTTAATGCTTTGATAAACAGTCTTTCAAATACATAGTTACGATTCTTACGAAATAGTCAAAACCCAAAAATTCTTCACCTTGAATATTATCTTGATAGAAAATCCAAAGATGCCTTCAAATTACGCTGCAACTTTTAATAAAAATGAACTGAAAGAACGGCTTTCTTCGCAACAATTTTACGTAACTCAGAATAAAGGAACAGAAAGGTATGTTTGAAAGATATTTTTATAATGCTGTGCTTGCTGTAGCCTTATACTGAACTTTTTGAATGTGCTTTTGAATTTACGTTCACTCGTGAAACTACTTCAATATTTATCAACTGTATCTGAGTTGAATGTCAAGTCGAAAAGCTATCTTGGTAACTGAGATAACTTTTCAAAATTTCAAAATTCTACAAGCCTTGAGATATAACAACATAATCTTTCTTTTAAATACTAGTAAGAAGAAGAAAATTTATGTTGGTTAATTGCTCAATGACATATAAACAATGGGCTCTTGGGTAGAAATGACAATTATCTGTTTGGCTTTTTTTAAAACAATTGTACAAATATTGCAGAGCTTTTACAGGAATGTATTGGAATCACCATGAGAATGGTATATATCGTTGTGTAGTTTGCAACCAGAAACTGTTTTCATCATCCACAAAGTTTGACTCAGGCACTGGTTGGCCTTCTTTTTATGACCTGATTAGCTACGGTGCTGTCAAAGAGCTCACAGATAAATCCCTTGGTATGACAAGAACTGAAGTTGTTTGCAGCAAGGTGAGATAATAGACTGATTAATTATTGTATATATAGACTGTTTTTCATAGACTGTATAATAGACAGTTTTTCATGTTGTGAGACATTACATTGCTGTAGTGTGGTGCTCATTTGGGTCATATGTTTCTTGATGGGCCAAAGCCAACTGGCAAAAGATATTGCATAAATTCTGCATCATTGGATTTCAATAAAAAAGGTACTGAAATGTTTTTTAGAAGTTTTTTCCATTTCGTAACTGATGCTCAACATGACTTTATATTATTTTATTCAGATCCTTTGAAAGATGACTTATAAATATATTTTAACCACTTAACTAAGCCATTTTTTTTAATTAAAACAACTTACTCAAATTTGTAAAATTTACTGTAGAATTAGTATAACATCTGGAAGCTATGATATTATATATGTTGTATATGTAGCTGTCTTAAACCTTTCTTACTAACAAGACATTGCTTATGCCATTTATATACATTCAAGGAAATGCAAGACAGTTTTTTTTAATATTATTGGATTGCCAAAGTTTGAAGTATACTAGTATGACTGAGCAATGCATGTAACATACCACATATTTTGGTTAATGCTAGTTTTTGATCATTTTTCTTGTACATATAAGTATTCTGTGCAATTATAACATCAACAATATTTGTTTTCACACTTATTTAAATGTCATATGTAGCATACATACATATAGCAATGTAAAACATATCTTAAAACAGTTTTGTCCTGATTGAAATGTAAGTCAGAGTAAACTAAAATATATTTTTTAAAATTCAAAATCTTATTGGTTAAAGTTTGACTCGAAAAAATTCTTTAATTAGAAATTTCATATCAACACAAAACAACATGATTAATTTTATTGTACATTCAATTCACAATGAATCGCTATAATGTATTCTGACATACCTTGGATTCACACTGATAGTTAAATCTTTGAAGAATACCTTTTTTGGCCATATATATTTATTGTATCTGATCTTAGCAATGATGAAATCAAATTATATAAAATTGTGTGATTTATAATTGATTTGGATTGATTTATTTTAGTAATTAATGTCAATTGCATAATTTATGTTTTTATTAAATGAATAAATTGCATAATTTTTTAAAGCGAGATCGCATATACGTATAAATAGCTGAAGTTTTTCAATTTTTTCATTTTTTTGGGTTGGCATTACGCGATTCATCACACGTGAAGCATGTCAGTAAAACCGCCATCGCGATTTTTCCACCATTATCAAAAACGTCCAGTTCTTTTTATTTGTCTACACAGTTTTCTCCAATTTCTCATCTTGCACTTTGCTCTTCATGAAAACGTCACGTTAAAGGGAAAAAGAAGTAGGGAAGAACAGCTAAGAACATGGAAAAACTACATAGATAATGTAAGAACTGAGGCATCTCCGCGAACATTAAACGAGTTAACGATGTGTTCGACTATGGTACAGTTTTTCACTGGTCTACTTACTGCATCCTTATAGACAAACGACTTTCGAATGTGTGTTTGAGAAACAAAACATCTTGTTCAATGGTTTCATTCACATTTCACACATGAAACAGTTTTAATTGATTTCAGATCTCGCATTGAGTGAAAATGAATAAAAAAAACACGATAACTTTTGTTTTTCCATGTCATCGACTCATCAATAATTTTTGTTCATCTAATCAGTTCAAAAACATTTGGAAATTTTGGTAATTCATATTTCAAAACAACTTTCAAGATCAAAGCACACACGTATAATATAATCTAATCAACCTGTATATAAATTTACAGTGGAATATTACCATGTTTTTTACAAGGATTGCTTAAAACCTTTGTAGTTAGTGTTTGCAGATCTTGACATAACCGGACTCTTGTTGTTTGAGGTTTAATAATATCATCAACAAAACCTAGTAGAAAAAAATGAGAAAAATACAGTAAAAATAGAGAAATACACAAAACAAACACAAACTAAAAATGCAATAAACAGACAAGAAAATATTTATTTTTATTTGGATATTTCTCAATTATCAACAATATAATTCCCGGAAAGTAAAATTCCTGTGACAGTAAGGAATCCCATAATAATTAACTAACAGTGCGTTCACTACACATGCTGGCCTGTACCTGAGCACATTAAGAAACTAAAAATAACAACGAAAATGACATCTATTGTTAAGTTGATGCTTCCTGACTTTCAGCTAAGAGTTTACCTTGCTGGTTCATCAAGTCTGATTTACATATTCATAACTGAAATGCATTTATAATTCACCCAAATAAAAGCAGTAAAAATTTGACACCAGTAAAAATTTGACAGAATTATCTATTTTTTCAGAAATGTATTGTTTTTACAGCGAGATTTCAAACACGAAATATGTAGCTATGACAAAAATTATACAGACTGAATACGCCTGTGTTTACTGGCCCCCTAACTTAACCTTACTTCACAGTCATTTCAAAATGCTATTACGCATGCTCAATTTTACCTCTTGCAGCAGCAGGAAATGGATTGGCAAACTTTTCTACGTATTCTTCCTCGCATTTATCTAAAAGAAACATGTTCGTTGTTAAAAGAATTGAAAAAAGTCGAGAAAAAAATAAAATAAACATAACGCTGAATTAAGGCAATATAGTAGAGACTGAATAAATAAAAAACGATTTACCAATATTAGTATCACCTCGAAAGATTATCGATACGGCTCCCTATAGATAAAAAATTAATGGTGTAATACTGTCTTTATTCATATCCTCTTATTTTTCTAACATAAATAATTAATATTGCTCTCTCGAACCTTTGCTCCCATTACGGCAACCTCGGCAGTTGGCCAAGCATAATTAAAGTCACCACGTAGATGTTTTGAACTCATTACGTCATAAGCACCACCATACGCCTAAAATGTAGCAAAGATAATAAAGAATTGTAATGCATTAACTTAAAATCAAAAACTAAACTATAAGCAGCTACCTTTCTAGTAATGACAGTAATTTTTGGCACAGTCGCCTCCGCATAAGCATACAGAAGCTTTGCACCATGGCGTATAATTCCACCATATTCCTGTTGAGTGCCTAAAGCCGAAATAAAAATGCAAAATAACGCAACTGTTATGTTATCTTACACAAAACAACCGTAAAATAGAATTGAACAAAACAACTTCAAATGAATTCATTTTGGTGGAGTTGGACGAGTTCAAGTCAAAGTTTACAGACAATATAGAAAATAAGGAGCTTTACCAGGAAGAAAACCAGGAACATCCACTAATGTTATTATCGGAATGTTAAAACAATCCAAGAATCGTACAAATCTTGCTGCTTTTACAGATGCATTAATATCGAGACAACCTGGAAAAAAGGGTTTGGTAACAATGTTTTAACTAGTACCTGCTTCCCCACTCTCCCCTCTCACACACACACACACACAAAATAGAGCATTTCTTCCATGGCAAAATACAAAATTTCGCCATTTTTCAGAAAATATTGAAGACTTAATAAAAAAAGAAGCTCTTTCTTCTACAAATTAATATAACTAACTATACATAATACCTGCAGCTTCTAAGGGTTGATTTCCCACAATTCCAACTGTTTGACCATTCATTCTGGCAAAACCAATCACAATATTTTTGGCATAGTTTGGACTTATTTCGTAGAAGTCACCTTCATCAACAATCTAAATAACATAAAATAAGCTTTCACGTCACCTTCCATAAACAAAGTTGAGTCAAATCTGCCAAAGACATCGATGACGTCTACCTTCTTTGGAACAGACTAACAATTTTAATCTTGTAAAAATACATTTTCATCTAAATAATTGAATGACTTACACTGAAAATGACATTTTTGATATCATACGGTTTATCAGAATCAAATGGAACCAAAGTATCTAATACAGGACATAGACGGTCTCTATACAATATGTAAAAGCAAAACAAATACAACAGGATTATGTAAAGGTAGAATTAATACAGAACATGGACGATCTTTACACAATATGTAAGAGATAAAGAGAATAAGAAGCTTCGTTTACATATTTAAAAATCGACACATTTTTTTCATACATTAGGCTGTACTTACGGAGGATCGTCAGCTTTTAAAATCGGCGACTGATCTTTATTACATAGTGGTAGATAATTAAATAATTCTCTGATCCTATAAAACAACTTTTGCCACTTAAAAAGCGCAGAAAAATCAACATGTGTAGAGGGATTTTCAGATTGGATATAAAAAACAAAGATCGTAGTACAAACTTTTATATCTTTTCAAAAAATCTTGTATATATATAACGTGAATAGTCTTGCAAAGATATATTATATAACCCTTAGTTAAAAAGTATGATGCATTTCGGAAGACATTTTCTCAGGTAATATGTCTTCGCTAAAGAAAACTGACAAACTCGTATTTTTTATAAAACAAATTGAAAATGGCGTCATTCCTAGGAGAAAGTGACTTCAAAACACGTATATAAGTAAAAAAGTCTTTTAGTTGGCAAAGCAACGCCAACGCTCATGCTAAGTAACGCTAATTATAGAACTATTTTCATGATTATACGTTTTAGTTGATGACGTACGTACAACGGTTGACAAGAAATGTTTTGGCTCTCCATATCTCATGGAGGACTAGGCCCTAGTCCAACATATTTATAACGTCATCTAAATTTTATTACTCTGTGAGACAATCACTAAGAAAATTAAAAAGGGAAAAAAATTGACAATGCATTTCTAAATAAAGAAATGTTATTTACTACCATGAAATTTCTGTGAGTACTCACATTGACAAAGCGTCGATGTCATTTTCAAAAGCCCCATGAGCACAACCTAACATGACGCATAAAAGTAAAATAATTAATACGAGCGGGTTTCTCAATCACGTGAAAATAAGGTTAATGAGAAATTTATAATATGGTTTAGTTTGATCGCAATTTGTTTGACTAAATTTTTTGTTTTGTTTGGTATCAATATTTTCATCGTGAGGTATGATATGATTTCATAACAGTTACTTTTAAAAATTCATTTTGTGTCGCGAGTGGCAAGATGAATTTCTACTGAGGGAGGGCAAAATTTCTTCCCAGTCTTTCTCCCGACCGGAAATCAACCAATCAGCGTGTGCCATTTCTCTCAGTCATGTCCATATAATATAATAACCGTTTTTTAATTGCGAAAACCGATTAAAATCGTAAGTGATATCCATGTAAAATATTTAATACTTAATCAAATTTAAGGCCAAGTTTGTTTGATCTCATTATCAACTCCGAATTTGTCATGCGATAAGGGCGCAAAATAATCCAGATTACCAGAAACAGTTGTATGAGTTTTTGATCCACCAAGTTCTTCCTGAGTAACATCTTCTTGGGTAACAGACTATAATCGTGATTCAAAATTGAAGAAAAAAATTTACTTATTTAAAAGAATAACTTATTTTATGAATAGTCTGGGAACAACATTAAATAACTACATGTTTGTAAATGATGATCGTCCAGGTTGGTATAGTCCTGAGAAGGACTGTTCTTGTTGTTGTTGACTGACGTTTCGACAACCTTAGCGGTAGTCATCTTCAGAGTCAAAATGAAGTAGTCAAAATGAAGTAGTCATTTTGACTTTGAAGATGACTACCGCTAAGGTTGTCGAAACGTCAGTCAACAACAACAAAAACAGTCCTTCTCAGGACTATACCAACCTGGACGATCATCATTTACAAACAGGTAACGATACTCCCGGGTTCAAACCATTTACTTTATTAAATAACTACAAAAAGCTTTCCATTAAGTTACCTTAACAACATCTGGACCAGTTATGAAAAGATAAGATGTATCCTAAACAAGAAGGATAAATGAATTTGCCAATTAGGGCAGTGCTCAGCTTCCTTGGTGTCTTAAGTGACGTACTCGTACGTAAATTAAATAACAAAAGTCTAAAAATCTTAAAAAAACGATGAAAATTGTTTTTCAAAGAAATTCAATCAATTAAAACAGCTAAAATATTCAGTGATTTGATTGTTTTCCTTTTAACTAATTTCAGTAACGCTTTAATATTAATTTGTGCATCAAGAACTTTTAAATTTCAAACATACTTTATCTATAATTTAAATAAAACGCTCAATAACAAAATAATTAGTTTTAGAAAACTAACAGAAAAATGAAAGTTTAGTAAACTATGGTATCAATAGATAAAATGAGCGGAACACTCCATTTCGTCCGTATTGATGTTGCCGTCATGCTATAATGTCCCACTGATTGTAATCTTGTAAAAATGACAGCTCAAAAGACTTCTTTCACAATATCATGCCAGCAGATTATGACAGTCATATTGAGAAGGTATTGATAACATGGAGAGGGGTAAATAATGCCAATTAAGCTCTTCCATTAATCACTTTTGCAGTATTTTCTTCCCATTTTAGTGGGTGAAAATGACAGGATCAACTCGTAAAAGCGTGTTAGCACACAAACCGATCCAATAAGTAATAATAAATCACCATTAAAACAAAAATCATCACTCACGAAACTTTTATTGATGATAATTTTCATGGCAACTAATATGAAGCTTTTCATGTTGAATGTATACAATACCTTCACCATGAATGTAAAATCTGTAATTGCTGGAGAATAAACTGCACCACCTTTGAAAATATGTTGAAAAAAATTATTAATGTTTTTACATAAAACAACAATGTCTACGATTGTTTTTATTTACCTGCACATGGTCCCATGACGACAGAAATCTGAGGAATTACACCCGATGCCATAACATTCCTCTAATAAATATAATTACATACATTTTTAGTAATCTACTATGACTAAAATATAACAAAACAAGGCATAGAGTCTGGAAATCAGTTATACTTCGTGGGTGAAAACTTAAGTGCATGTAGCAGACACTGTATTTCTTTTAGTTGCGTTTGTTATATGAGTAAAGTACATGTCTCACACCTTGCATAAGGGGAGAAACTAAAAGCTTGAGTGCTGTACATGTCTCACACCTTGCATAGGGGGAGAAACCTAAAGCTTGAGTGCTGTACATGTCTCACACCTTGCATAAGGGGAGAAACCTAAAGCTTGAGTGCTGTACATGTCTCACACCTTGCATAAGCGGAGAAATTAAAAGCTTGAGGTCTGTACATCTCTCACACCTGGAATAAGCGGAGAAACTAAAAACTTGAGTGCTGTACATCTCCCACACCTTGCATAAGGGGAGAAACCTAAAGCTTGAGTGCTGTACATCTCCCACACCTTGCATAAGGGGAGAAACTAAAAGATTGAGTGCTGTACATGTCTCACACCTTGCATAAGGGGAGAAACTAAAAGATTGAGTGCTGTACATGTCTCACACCTTGCATAAGGGGAGAAACTAAAAGATTGAGTGCTGTACATGTCTCACACCTTGCATAAGGGGAGAAACTAAAAGCTTGAGTGCTGTACATGTCTCAAACCTTGCATAAGGGGAGAAACAACAAGCTTGAGTGCTGTACAAGTCTCGCACCTTGCATAAGGGGAGTAACAACAAGCTTGAGTGCTGTACATGTCTCACACTTTGCATAAGGGGAGAAACTAAAAACTTGAGCGCAGCACATCTCTCACACCTTGCATATGGGGAGTAATTGGAGCTGCAAAAAGAGAAGTTCATTTCGCACCTTGCCGTTTCGTACCCAACGTTGTCATTTTCTACCCAACATTGGATGTTTCAACCCAACATTGCATGTTTCCTACCCAAGCTTGATTGCTTCATACTCAAAATTTGTTGTTTTGTACTTATTAATTTGTCATATTTTTGAAAAGTCTCTGAAACACAATTGAAAAAATGATAACATGTTTATCAATAGGCCAAACTATAAAAAGGCAAAACGACATCTGTCTGCTCACATCAGTAGGCCAATGGGAGGCTCCTGTGATAAGTTGAAAAGACAAATTTCCATGACATGAAGTATGAGATATGCTCTGGAGCATTTATGTTTTGTATTATAAGCTCTTGAGATTTTAAGCGCCAGTTACTAAAACGAGATACTCACTCAATATCTATTATTTCCGAACTATTATCTAGAAGTGATGTCAATAAAAGCAGTCATTAGAGAATGAAAAGACCAGAGAAGTGGTTATGAAATGACAAGAACATGAAGCAAGTTGACACAGATCTAGCAATAGTTTCACATTCCATATATACAAAATGATATATACATGGAATACATATGTTAAGTTCCCAAACAATGTATTTACTTGATTTTTAATACTTAAACTAATATTTACTTAACATTTTATGATGCCACACCTGCCATTCAAACAAAGATATTGCCTACTTTAATGACATCCTATAAATCCTAAATCTTTAGGATTTCTATTATGTATAATCTCTGATGATGGCTTTGGAATAATGACATCCTAACTGTTTGAACTAATCCATTACAAAAATAACTATGCTATGCTAGTAGTTTTAATCAATATATCCAAGAATCAGGTCAGTATTTGCATATTAATCAAAATAACTTACAGAAAATCAAATAAAAAATGTTGTAGAAAAGTGCAAGATCAATGTATGTTAAGCATCTAAAGTGGGCACAAATTCTACAGTTTACAATATATAAACTAGCAGCACGTACAGGAATAATGGAAAACAAAAGATGTTAGTACAAACTGAGGATGATTTATAATAAAGTTTTATAACATCAGCCTCCCACTCAAAGAATCTGACAGGTCACATGCTTCTACAACAGACTAAAATTAGTCAGTGATTATTGTCACTGATGCATATTTGTATCACCTGAAAAATATCTGCATAACCAGCAAGGGAATCCACACCTTCTTGAATACGAGCCCCACCAGAGTCATTTAACCCAATCACTGGAGCACCAACAAGCAAAGCTTTATCCATAACCTAGAGAGAAAAGTGGTGGTTAAAAACTTGATAGTTTGCCTTTACTATTTCAAATTTGTCAAATATTACTTTGCATATTTTCTTAGCATGAGCTCCCGAGAGACTTCCTCCAAACACAGTAAAATCCTAAAAAATATTGGCAAATAAAGCCCTGGAATTATTTTAACTGTTATTCAGGCTTATAAAATGTTTGTCACCTGACTGAACACAAAACATGTTCTTCCATTAATAAGTCCTTGACCAGTTACAACACTATCACCTGTAAACTGCAATAAAATAAACCAATTATTTTTAACTAGAGATTGTACAAAGAACCTGACCAATCTTCATACATGTGTATGCATTATCAACATATGTTTGATGCTGAGCTTCTTTTATGTTGAAATTCATTTAAGTCCTGATATAAAATCTCACAATTTATTTGTACGTAAAAGTAATTATAAATCAATGAATATATTTATATTAATGCAACAAAATGAGCCTATGGCAAAACTACATCAAAAGGACACAGTGACTTTATTTATTATCAAATATTCCTATTGAAATCTTAACAGATTTCAATTCTTTCTTTTTCTTCAAAAACATTTCAATTTACCACATTATTTTCCTTCTTCATTCCAAAATCATGACAGTCATGTTCCATAAACATATCATATTCTATGAAAGACCCTTCATCCAATAGCAAGTGTATTCTTTCTCGGGCAGTCAACTTCCCCTTGAAAAAAGCAGGTATTTTATTGTACATAAAATGCTTTTACTAGATTGACATGATAGCTATGCCAACTTCAATATCCGCCCATTCACGGGAGTGTCCAGGGTTATGGAGTTGGACTTAACCCTATCTGTCAAAATCATATTTCATATTTTGGAAGCTTGGCAGTGGTAATCTATAAATCAGGGAGCCCACCCTGTCATATTTTGGCAGTACACCTCTGGGATGCTCCACATCAGCAGAAAACCCTCTTTTACAAAATTGTGCAAATATCAAAAAATGATATTTGCACAATTTTGAGAAATTTGTAATATTACGAATTTAAATATAATATTACTTTCATCAATGTTTTTAAGATGGAACGATGGAATGTTCACTAATCAACTACAATCACTCTGACAAGATGCAATCATTAACAATACGGGCTTGCGCAACAAGATAAAATAGATTGTAATTGACAATAATGTTACAATATTTGTGAGAAACGAAAGATATCGCAGCAGATATATCGAAGAAGTCCAAATGTCTCAAATAAATTTGAAATTTAAAATACATTGTTAGCATATTAGTTTCACATATACCTACTCGCTCATGTTGAACATCAATTCTTCTAAGACCTCCACCAACTAATGCTTCTTCTTTTTTCTTTTCGATCCGTTCAGACACAGTAGATGAATAAGATTTGACCATTGCAGCTGAACGAACTCGAGGTAGAATAATCCTATTACAATATACAATTCCGGATAAACATTTGGTCATTCTGTTGGAAACATGACTTCGCGCACAAGCCAATAAACTCGCCATTTTGTACTCCCCGTGTATGGGATTTCGTCCAGCACATGTTGGAAATGTATACAAGTGTCTCACATGTCGGTCTAACCGATCCATTGATCCAATACATTGATCCAATATTTTGATCCAATATTTTGATTTGACCCTTTTTTCAATCACCAGAGTTAATTACGATTTGAACATGGATTTGAACGGATTCTGGGATTCTGCAAAAATGAATTAATCAGCTGGTGAAAAAATTCTTTCAGCAGTATATTATGTATTTCACCACAAACAAAAAATACGATATTGAAATGTCGACGTATAATATTTATTTGTGAAGATATGACTTTAACGTGCCCACTAAACAATATTGAACGTCCATGACGTTTCTCGCAAAGAATGGATGAAAACTCTTCAACTACTTCACTGTAGCACTGATAGGTGCTTGGAACTTCCAGTAAAGGACCACAAGTATGCACACCAGGCCGACGGACTAAACCATTGAACTCGGTGAATGTGATTTTCAACTTCATTTCTGGCATAACCACACTGACTCCAGTAGTGAACTGAAGAAATGCAATGACATTACTTCCAAGAGATCAGAGATGTAATTAATTCGGTCAAGTGGTCTAACGTTACTTGCTCGTTGTCATTTTGCGGAAATGCATCAAGCAATTTAGTGACCTTATTCTGTGTAGGCTTTTTTTCATCACAAAGCAAGAGAATGTTTGAGATATTCTGGAATTCTTTACTTTTGATTTTCAACAATTGTAGTATCGGATTCCAGGGTTAGGAAACTACTTGATAATGTAACACTAAAGAGCATTTTCAAATCTTGAAAGTTTGACGTAAATAATGTTAAATATATAATTTACTTTAACTTGTTGATTAAATCTACCTCATTCAGCAGCTATATACTTGCAGGCTGCCAACATGTACGCACGTACCTATTTTTTTAAATGTATGTTGTATTTAATAATCGCAGTGTTTTGGGAGATATACCCAAAGACCAAGAAATGAAAAAGAAACGTGAATATTCATGATAGCTACAATATATAATGTTATGACAAATAACATCGCTTGGCCCCAAATGTGGACACTGTTTTTTTCGCAAAACAAAACGAAATGAGAGGGAAAACCGGTGGATCCGGTAAAAAACCCTCCAATAAAAGAAAAGATCAAAAATTTAGAAAAATTTCCTTCATTTTTTGTAGTTTTAAGATGTTTCATATTTTTGTTGTTTTCAATGATCCCGATGGTCTACTTTAACATGCAGCGACTTAAATATACATCGCCATTTATATTTACAGAGCGACAAAAAAGCGGGCTTACTATCCTATTGATACAGCAAATATTTTGTGCTCGAAAAAAAGAAACGCAAACTTTGGTAGAGAACAAAAAATGAAAGAGCGCAAAATGTTAACAAAAAATTGAAAAAATAGACGAAAAATGAAAACTAATAGCAGCCATTCATAAATCATATGAAAAAATTATTCAGTACGAACGACCTGAACATTTACCTGCCAATAACAATGAAAAATGAAATGACCATGACCATGTCATGTTTTGCATAAAAATGCATAAAAATCATTTTTGATGTCTATTAGACTTCATTCGATTCAAAATTTCCATGTTGCTTCATTAAGACCTTCATTAATAGCTGGCTTTCACTTTTGTGCTTTGTCAGAAAATTAAACAATTGTGAAAATTTAGTTTTATGTAAATAAATTGGTTGAATTTGAAACTGCGTTATATAAGTGTGAATCTTTCAATCAGGACGCTTGCTTCCTGGTGCGTTTGTTGATCGTTCATTCATTGTCCGGTTAGTATGCCCACAGACATAGCTACTCTGTAAAAAAACACGTTATACACGTCAGACCATAGACATAATTAATGAACAAAAACTGAAATTGAATATACTGAAAAGAACAAAACTTTAATACCTGATTTCCAAGCGTTGTCCTGGTCAGTCTGATCCAGGCCACTTAGTAGGCTCCTTTTTTTTCATCGCGTAGTTTTTACGTTTATATTATAGAAATTTATTATAACGTTTTTATCTATGAAATTCAACAAACCTCACGTGCAGTATTGCAATTTTCTTTATAAACGTTAAATAAAATAAATAAAAAGTAGCGAGTGAAAGCCAGCTATTTTCTTTCAACAAGTAACATCTTTTATTGACATTTTTTTTAATTTGGGTGTTTTTCGTGATTAAGGTTCAAATTATAAAAATAGACCATCAGGATCTTTTTCAACTATCTCATGCAGTTACTCATAAAACACTTATCTACTCAACTTACAAACCACAAGACATGGATCGTGTTTTTCCACTCGCCTGTTTTCCATCTTCGTAGAATATAATCGATTTTTATACTCCAATCATCTCAATGTTAATGTTCCTACGAACATATGCCGTTATGCGATGTCCATTCAATCTGTTTATAGTTTATACCATTCCATACACGAAGTTACCGGCATCACCAATAAGTAGCTACTGAGAATCGCCATTTCCATAGACTACAATTTACGATGCACTCTTATGGTAACTTCAAGCGAAGGAAAAGGGATCACTTCAATACCCCAGTTATATCATCACTCAAAGAATGCTTATTGCAGAGTTGATCTTCTGTTAGTATCAGTTGACCACCTTCAGGTGGGTGCATATAACAATGGGGCCCATCATCATTATATGAACAAACAACTGACATCAACAAAGAATCCAAACTACAAATGAACATTCTTAGCCATGAATCACCATGACACATGAGTAATGACAAACTAGTAAGAGTAATTGAAGTGAATGAGACAGGTGGTAAAGGGACTTTCACAACTCCATCCATTTGGGATCTACAATATAAGAAAATGTGAAACACATGTACGAGATTTCATGATGAATAAATCTGCATATGACGTTAGTTTGCGTTTTTAAATTCTTAATCAGATATATTGAGAATGAGCAAGTTGTAATATGTTTTCCGTTTGACTATCCAAAGAGTAGAACATTCACCTACATTGCACGAATAGCTTTAGTCAGATGAGTTTCAACCATGCAACAAGCTTCAAACGATCAAAGGCTTAACATCGTATTACGAGGCCTACCCTATAACTAGTTGATTATTCCATGTATTATGTCACTTTTCACAAAGACAATAAGTAATCCTTCATTGCGTTTAAATAAAAAAATGATTAGAATCTTCCGATTTTCCCCCTTTTTATGTCGTTATGCAAAGTAACAATGCATGATGTTGTAGGTTAAGATTCATGGGACGATAATCAGTTTAGAAACTAGACTTTCATTTTGTCCAAATTGTCATTAAATCTTGTAGTCATGTCTTGCTAGGCTAAGGATAGGAGGGGGTTTAAATGCGTTCTGTTTGTCCTGATGTTTCTCGACTACTAAAAATATTGTAGGAAGTCGACCGAGTCGTAGAAATTCGAGCAAACGACAATTACGGCTCTCATTTATTGCAAGTCTACACCACAATCTGTGAAAACTGCACCTCTTTGCACTCAACCACATAGTGCGTTGGAGACAGATGACAAATTTAGTGTATTTATATTCATTGCATGTATTCAGTAATGATTAATGTGACATTGAAAGAAACAAACCAAAAATCAGAAGCATCAATAAAACCCTTCAGATTTTTACAAGAATCTAAATAGAGATAAATCAAAAAGCAAATAATCATTTATCGTCAGTGCAGTCACTTACTTTTATAGTTTCCAGCCGTTGGATCTTTTCATTCATGATAAGATGCAAGTACGTGTTTAACACATTTCAAAAGAGTTTTGATCGCTCAAATTTCTTTTTGCAGCTGCTGTCAACATTTTGGATGTGATACGGATAGTATATATCAGTACATCGTGGTTTTCAAATGTTCAAATGTGTGCGGTATATCCATTGAAAAAAGCTTTTTATGATTGACGTCGTTGCAGCTCTGCGTTGATAGGTATTAAAGTTCGCATGCAGGATTCGTTGACAGCTGTTTCCAAACTTACTTGACCTGGCTCCTCCTCTCTGCGTGGTATCTTATCAACGGAATTTTCTCACAAATATCGGAAAAGGCCTGTTGCTGTTGATCGAATTATTCCCAAATTATCGTCTATTACTAAGTAGTGTTAAACACAAACCAATCTTTTTCTTTTGTAGCTACTTCAGTCCTATGAACGTATTTACAACTGTATTTTTCTATGTTTTCAAAAAGTTTCTTCAAAGTCATAGATTCCAATTCTTATTCAGTTGCATTCAGATGTTGGCGGTCTTGACTTTTTATCAACACGTTCAAATACATCTGTAATCAAATGAGACGACTTTCGGTAACTTGTCATCGATGACAGTTGAAGGCAACAACTTTATTTTGCTTTGCTTTATTTTATACTTGTCGCCTTTGTGTGTATAGACTGGTTCCATCTCATATGAACAACATCTGCATTCCACAACGCCTCGTGGTGTAAATATGGCCAGACTTGAAGTCAATAGTATTTTTATACATGGTGTTAAGCATGTCATTATATGTATTTGTTCCACATGATTGTTTTAGGTTCATTGTTAGTGCTTGAACAAATTACCGGATATTTATCAAAACTAATTAAAAAAGAAACGATTAAAAACGTAAATATTATCATTTTGGGCATTAAGATGTTGGTGACGTCAACCAGAACGCCCTTTAATCCTTCCTAACATTACTGGTTTTCACTGGCGACAAAAGCATATGGACAAACAATAACAAAAGAAAATACAAAAGAAGGCAAGGAAGCGACTCAGACAAGCATCAGCATATTCCCTGCTGTAAATTGATAGTGGAGCCACAAGCACATCACTTCCAGAAAGGATCTAATTTTGCACTATAACCGGTATCCTTGACCGGCTGAAACCTTCCATCAGTTTCATGGCGACAATAGAATAAAAAAAGACATGGTGCTCTTGTAGTTTTACAATCGTTTAAATGAGCTTACAATGGGATTGTATAACGTGCTGTATATTCCAGAAATAGCTAAGAAAGTAGCGGAAGTTTTATTCGACAACGAATAACATTCAATATTTAATTGCTCAGTTAAAACACAACAATTACATAAGATTTTCAAATAAAAAATAAGATATATCCTGAGTTAAATGATTATCATCTTATAACAAGATGAGAAGTGAAATAAAATAACCATATAACAATACCTATAAATGTGATATAGTAATGTATAAGCAGTGGAGTAGCCAACACGTCATTAAGACCTTCATGCTGTACAAGTTTTTTTCCTGTGCGTGGATTTAGAGCATAACAACTGACTTTTATAGAAATAAATATTCATGTGTGATATGTTCTAAAGTTTACAAAACAGGATTAAAGCTCTTGAATGCGTGTACTATTTCACAATTAATTTTCCACTGAAATTAAAAAATAAAGTGGGCCACTGGCGTCGATTTTATGAAAGAATTATTGTCAAATGAAAGCAACACTGACAGTGCGTGATTTCACAGATTTTCTGAAAAAACATTATCCTGACGCTAGAGAATTTATTACTCTCACTATCGAACGTTTCTGCTGACCGTAATGGTCGAACAAGCAGTATAAGTAATGCATAAGGTACAAAATTTTGGTATAAATGTTTTATCCAGGAAAAGGGTTAGAAATCTAACTCAACTGTTATTTCTCAAATAAACCTACCTACATTTATAGAAGATTATTTAGCGTTGTATGATACAAAGCAAAACCCGCTGTTTCTTATGCTTTCGTTTAAAATGGCAAGGAAACTGCATTCAACAACACTCAATTTCCAATGATAGAAAAGTGCAATTTCGACTTAAAAATTTTATTTAAGGAGTACTCGATCATTTCAGATTCATATGAAATAAAAAAAAATGGGAAGCTAAAGAGCTTCATTTCTTTTGCTATATAGAAATATAAACGTAAAACATTATCAAATGCACGAGATTATATTAAAGTTTGATAAACTTTCTTTCGATACGCTGCACAAATAAAAGCATGCCTCCCTCCACATTTGAGTTAGATTTCCAACCATTTTCGTGGATGAAACTTTAAGATCAAAATTTCATACCTTATGTACTGCTTATTCAACCATTACGTCTACAGATCCATCTTGTTATGTGCTACGCGACCATGCTACGCTTTTCGTCTGCAGAAACGCTCAATAAAAATAATAATTTCATTCGTTATATTTCTTCACACACAACCTCGATTTTACGCATACTCCTCCCTCATGACTGTTGTGTTAAAAATAAAGACAACTTTTGTGGAGTTCTCCCAAAGGTCTCCTCGGTTTGCATAAGCCTGTGCAAACACAGTAAACATCTTTTATTTCAAAATTTGTTTGAATTTGTTTGTATAGTTTATTATAGTGCGTTCAGACTGAGTACCCTGGCATGGTGCTCAGGCACGGGCACCAATATGAACGCAACCTTTACGATGTATAAGTGCCCAGGTCTGGGCACCAGGAAAAGAGATAGTACCCAAGTACGGTGCTTGGGCAAGGACACCATTGTGAACGACGACACCCGAGCAACGTGTACAGAGAGGCACGTATTCAGCACATGGTTTCAAGACTTGTTTACAAAGAAAAACATGAAATTATAAATAGACGAAGCTAGTGGGTACTACGTATTGTAAAGAGCCTGCAGATTTTTGCCCAAACCAGGGTATCGTACTCTGGCTATCAGTCTAAGCGTGCTATAATTGATAAATCTAGCATGAACTAAAAAATGAAAGTGGAACATAAGTGAGACATGAAATACTGTTAAACATCCATACTTATCAAATGTAAGTATTTGTTAAAGCGGATTTTCATACTTTTACACTATACAAAGCGAGAGATAAGGAAATAAGTGGGGGGAGGGGGGGAGGCTTCTCCGCGGCCCCTGAACCTTGTCGAACAATTCTAACTAAAAATTGGTAAATTTGAAGTTCAAAGTTGGGCTATGAGAAACCGCGCGCGGTCAAGAGGTCTTGATGACGTATGCAGTGTGACACAGTGTGACAAAATGCACCATTGAGATACGTCGAGGATTTAACAAAAATACAGGAATGTTTATGTTATGAAGTCTTAATACATAAATTAAATCAATTCAATATTTTATTAAACGAAGTTTGTCGCATAAAAAGGTCGCCGAAATAGGAAACAGTTAAGTTGCAGTAAGAGCGAAGGTTTCGGACTTTCAATAGTCAATACTGAAGACAAAGTTTGCACATTTATAACAATCTATAAGATTCATTAAACTACTTTCGGTGCAACAAGACTTAGATTTACTACAAAACTTATTATCTATATAAGTCCAATGCACGTCTCAGCATTGTCAGTTTCCTAACGTATCAGTCTTCAGTCTTAAAGAAAGTTACCCTTATCAGAATATGTTTTTGTCAATATAATGATAGCCATACTGGAAAACTTCTACTCAAACTTTCCACTTGAAAAAATGAAACAAGCATTAAAGTGACGAAGAATTAATAGCTACTGTCTTTTAATGTCATATACTGTGTATAGATTTCTATATCTAGAGAGAGCCTTAAACAATGCTTAGCACAGCAGTTTCTAGGACATCTTTTTGTCTCTCCAAATCCCATGTCACACAGTTTAAGCAAATAACATCACTTCAGATAAGCTTGACGATGGAAAAGTTCAAGAGAGAAATCAAAATAGCTGTTATGATGGAGATGAGTATCCTGATTTGATGCCTATTCCTTTCGATTACGCTGCGAGAAATTCAAGAGTTTGGAATGAATTTGAGGTATTGTAAATGCTTCGAAAAAGGAGGGTTTGCTTCAGTTGTCAAGGTAACTTTTTATTACATACAAAATCGTTTAAATAGACGGTAGTTTGGTCATGTGAAGGAAATTTTGTACGTGATTTGGAAATGCTTTATATACGCTTAGGTATGTAATAAATTGGACGGCTGTCTCTATGCGATCAAAAGAATTACTTTGAATCTGAAAGTGTGCTGTTTAATCGCAAAATTACTCGGGAAGAGAAGTTACTTTCTAGATTGAATCATGAAAAGATTGTAAGGTTAACAGAAATTTACTATCCAACCCCGTGTATACCTAACCGCACCCAGCTATAATCTCGAGCATGTACAACCCTTGACCTTAGGTCTCGGGCTTGCACTGATCTGCTCTCGAGTTCTCCCAAAGGTCTCCTCGGTTTGCACAAGCCTGTGCAAACACAGTAAACACCTTTTATTTCTTAAATATTTAATCTTGGAACGCGGAGTCATCGCAAAGAGCAAACGTTTAATCGCATTCTTGGTTAAACTCGCACCATGCGTTTTAATAAATTCTTTGTGATTTTTGACGTTATATTAAATCCAACCGATTTTTAAGTAATCATAAAAGCTCGAAAGAAAATAAATGCATGCTTTCATGACATTTCCCTCACCGGAGCACTGTTACCATAGAGAGTGCAAGATAAACAATGTGGATCGTTCGAACTGACTTAATACGCGGCACGGTGAACCCATTTCATGTGTTTTTCGCAAAACGAGATATGTATAACTGATGTCGGTGACATGTCACTCAATTTTACTATCTAATGTATTACGTTGTTTAGGCCTCATATCTATTCGGATTCCTGAAGTTTCAAATCAAACAGAAACGTATAGAAGTTCCGAACGGTTCTATTTTGTTGTGATTGTGCGATCCCCCTTATTCCGTAAACCCCGGAATTGTTAACAGACAGACAGAGAGACAGAGACAAATCGAGATTTCACCAGTATATAGGTCGCGTGGGGAATGGGCGGAGTCATGTCAAGAATAGTGTGTGGTGCCACGCTTACACTCAATCATTCAAAGAGAATTTGAAAGTAGATCATGAATACATTCTAGAGGAAAAATTAAAACGTTTGTTTTGAATTTGCCTTTTTCGCGATTTGAATTTCTCAAGTTCTCCCAAAGTTCTCCTCGGTTTGCATAAGCCTTGGCAAACACAGTAAACATCTTTTATTTCTTAAATGAAATAACTGCACTGCCTGCATTCTGATTTCTGAGGCCATATGCAGCATAATGGAGTTTAAATACACGATCGTTAATACAAGCAATTAAAAAAAGTCGTCGCTTTGCTCCGGTAAATATGGACCAACAAGACCAAGCTGTTCTTTTAGAACTCTAAGTTTCGAAAAAATACCGTCCCAGTCAAAATATATACCTTGCAACCATCTTGATGGGGACTTCCCTTTCACAGAAACAACCTTTTCTCGCCCATGTAAAAGTCGATCATTGTGAAACATAGCGATTTGACCAGGCTTCAAACGATGATCAATAATGTTCTTGGGATCTTTCAAATGAGATGCAAGCACATATAGAGCATCGTAATACTCAAGCAGTTCGTCTGGAGTACAATCACCTTTAGATTCTGACTCCATTTGTGCGCTGAACTTAAAACTTGAGATGCGACCGTGTCTGTTTAAGCTAAATTGTAGACAAAACTTATTGTGAAGACATAAATTGAAAAAATAGTGAGAAACGCATATTTACACAGACGTTATGTTCAAAAAGTAACTTTGTAACTTTCAAATGAGTGTCTGGAGGTCAAATTACGTGCATTACACGCATTACGTGCATTACACGCATTACGTGCATTACACGCACGAAGTTTTATGTTATACGAGATTTGTTACAAAACATCTAATAAACATGTCTTTTTTTACCGAAGTCCTTATTATTTTTTTTTAAAGAAAGAATAATCGTAGAAAAGTAGTGTGGCATTAAAGGTGATGGAGCTTGATCTTTTTACTGTCAATTATGATGTTTCCTGTTGATTACCTATTCTGAAATGGAAAACATCAACAGTGGAAACCATTAAAAAAAATGACATCGTTGATTGTTTAATTAATACACATCTGAAACATACCAGAAAGGGCAAGGGCTAGTTTATTTCGAAAGGATTCGACTTCATAGAGTCAATAATTTACATGCCACTGTGGTTCTCTTTCAAATATTTAGGGATTTGTATACGTACACCTATTTACAGACACCATTATTTCTTGTAAAAAATGATGTTCGAAATAATGTTGCACGTGCAAAACTACATTGTTCTGAAAGTTATGAATGCAAAAATTTTTAAGATATCAATAAAATGAAAAGCTTTGGGAGGATTTCCTTTTTGTTGGTACATCAATTTATCTAACATGTGACGGATATGATTTAAAACCAAATCTCATGTAAGGTTGTACTAAATATTATGGTTCACAGAAGCTAATTGTTTTGGGTAGAAATCATTGAAAATACATTTCCAAAACTGATGTTGTTTTAAAATTTTATGTATTTTTTATGTTACACGAAGTTCGTAAGTATCTTGCGCATAATGGTAGGTACTTTGGAACAGAAACGCTTTAGTTTTTTGGCACATTTACCGACAAATAAAAGCAAACAACTTTGGCAAAATGTCTACACTATACTACGAGAATTCAACTTGAGGTGCATGGACATTAATTTGTTTAAGATATAAACAATAAACAAACCTAATTATGTTGTGAAAACTTCCAACTTTAAAATCCCCACAGGCGTCTGATCCGTATTCATAAAATGGCACGAAAAAGCGTTTTAAAACGTCAAATGCTTTATTATCTTGGTAATAAACATTTCTACAAGCATTAAACCCATCGACAAAAAAATTGGTTCCTCCATTAGAATTATGTTCGATGCAATGCAGTAACTGGATCTGGAAATAGGGACAAAGTTGAGTTTACAAACATGCCAAACAACACTCATGGGACTTAATGTAAGTATACATTACTTCATAGAAAGTCAAGTCAAAATGACAAGGAAGTTAAGGAATGACTATATATTTCCTACCAATCAATTATAGCTTTCTGAAAGCAATAAAACGTTTACAAGAAACACAGACATAAAACGGTTGGAAGTCTTAAGAATAAGTTGAAAATATATGCCTTTTTAAAAAAATCCGTACAGCTCGTTTTAGTTAAACGTTAGTTTATGTTGAGCAACATCACTTTCAACTTGACTTGCAGCCATCCACAATATTTCTGAGAATTTAAGAGTACCTATTTATTTACTTACATTTGGAGACTTAACCAACGTTGGTAGATCACTGTGTAGAGGTAACCCTCGATCTGTAAAAGCCACGTTAGAAGGATTGTCGACAGCTTTAACATCAAAAAAGTTCCTGCGTGAAGAACAGAAAAGTCTTAATAGGGCTTGTAATTGAGTTGTAAATCGTTCTCAAAGTAAATAAATACTAGAACTTACAATGGCAAGGGGAAGTGCTGCTTCGCCCCGCCCATCCATTGTCAACAAAAAATTGCCAGGTACAGTCGGTGACCCTAAGGTTAGCAGTTTAGGGAAGGGGGGTTGAGATGAGCACATGCTCACAGCTGCTCATAATTACTCACGAACACTTGCTCAAATGCTCATAACTGCTCGTGAGTTCTCATGACTGGTTGCAACTGCTCATAACTGCTTCAACACACTTGCTCATAAATACACGTTGCTGCAGCAAAATATCACATTTCGAAAAAGGTTGTGCTGGCGGAATGAGCTGCAGATATTGTGGAAAAGTATGTTTAAATTCTCCAGGTAAAATCTCTAGCAACCGATTGAAACAAACTTTCATTGAACTCACAATAGCGTTAGCACACGTAAATGACAAAAACAAGCGCGATGTTTACATAAAAACAACTACCGTGAGTTAATGAATTATATAATTCCCATGGCAAACCTAAATAATTTCACGTGTCAAAGTTCAAATGTAACGTCATCTGCTCCACCAGCTCCATCGGCCGCAGAACCCCCTTCCCTATTGGTGGGTTGCAACCATCCCTCTGGGAGTAAGAGAACAATGGAATGCTCCCCATGTCGGATGAAATTTGCATTGAAAATGAGGAAAATCCTTTGTTAAAATCATCCAACATGGCGACTATGACGTAACTTGCAACCCAAGAATACTGCTAAGGTCCACGACTTTGTGTACAACATATTAAGGTGATTTCGTGTTCTAGCACATATTGCAAATTAGCTAGGATAAAATACTTCAAGACAAGTCTGGTGAATTTCATACGTTATGATTGCATGTAAAAGGTTTAGCGCTTTGCCATGTTTAAAATCTGAATACACGAAGTCATCCGCTCGGAAAGTCGACGTTCAACTTCCGGCATAAATATCTCCCGTGCTTACATCTTATTAACTTATGTCATTATACAACTTTTAAAAATGAATTCATTGTCATTTTGAATGAAGTTTCAAAAAGACAAAAGTTTCAAAAGTTTCAACTACGACAGAAAAAGTACAAACCCATAATAAGTAGTTTTATGGTATCCAAAGCGTTGAGCGATCTCCATGACGACGTCTGGTCTTGATGGAGCATTTTCCATCAAAATTATTCCTTGTTGGTAAAAGTTGTACAAAAAATCAAATAACATTTGATCTTCATTCATCAATGTATGATAATCATAGCGAAGTATTTGTTCTTGCATCAGTTTTCTGTTCCACAAAAATAGCTCATCTTTAACTATACTGTCCTTATTACGTTCTTTTTTTTGTTCTGGCATTCTCATTTTATAAAGCCATTCTAGAGAATATGTACTGTGATGATCATCTTGCCACGTACAATTCACAAATTTTCCATCAGCAGAAATTGTAAGTGCTTTTGCTTTGGTATCCAAAGTCAAATCTTTGATTGTATTGAAAAGTACTTGATTTGAGGCTGGATCGTAACATTGAGGACATTTGCAGTTATTACGTAAAAATGCATATGGATATCTTGAGAAAGAACCATCACTCCAATTCACCCTTAAACATCTCTCATCGACACTTGGGTGAATACTTTCAATCAAAACATTTCTGTTTAAAGCGATGGAGGAAGCATCTATGAAATAAAAAATAAGAATGTAGCGATAGAAAAAGTGAAATGTCTCTATTTATGTATGATGAACAACGCATTCCACGACGATATTTTCATGTGGTAGGTATATCTATAGCTACAAAGTTCTTAATTTTATTCATTCAAGATAGTTTGGAGCTTTAACAGAAAAGATCAAAAATAGCTAATAATTTGAAGTTCTCAAAGTTATATAATACAAGCTTACCCTAAGGCTAGGATATATTGTGAGCTGAGCTATAAAACAAAAAATGGCAATTTATGGGAGCAAATCACTACTAAAAATACAATATTTCTTTATATAGCTAATTGCCTCTTATAAGCCTTCCCACCTCCTTCTACAAATCCCTCACTAAAAGGTTGCAAAATATAGCTTGCACCCTGTATTGAATTTTGCTTATATCAAGCTTTACTCATTGATGTACGCGTTCGTTTGAAATTAACCATGCAATGCATGGAGAAAACTGCATAGCCCCCTAATGCCCACGGCTATTAAGTCCTCTTGCTCGACTGTTGTTACATCGTTAATTATTCGGAGTCAAATTACACGATAATTCCCCTTATCGTTCAAAATCGCCAAACTTGCGTTAAAATAAAGGAAAACACACACTCCAAAAAACATCACGGAGTGTGTTCTTTCTTTATTTTTTAAAATTATCGGGTGTAAAAGGATTTTGCGTTATTATTACAAGCCTTGGTAACAGAAATCGTCTTTCCCACAATAACACAGATAAAATATTTTTTTGTATGACACCACTAACATGGTTGAATTGCGAGTCAAGAATTAAACTACAGTAGCTATATATTTGCAAAGCAAATTCATACATAGGTGCATTCAACCAATTCAAAAACAGAATTACAATTAAATGGCTCGATGAATTGTTTATTCCATAACTGACCATGAACAATGTACGCTTCAAACAACATCGATGGTTGTTAATATTCAAATAAGTGAACTCAAATTTGGATGAAATTATTGTCAAACGGAAGAGTCTCATGCATTGATAATTCTCTCCGCAACCATGTTACTACAAAGTGAACACATGCTTTCAGGGATATAAGTGATTAAGTGTTTCCTTGTGCGCATTTAATATACACGACGAGTATTTTTTAAAATAGACATGTTTCGACATCTCATGATGCCATCTCATGATGTTTCCTTATGCCTCGAGACGTTAAGCAAAAGCCCCTCGGTCTGCGCCCTCGGATTTTTACTAAACCTCCTTCGGTTTGCAGGACATTTAATCACTTATATCCCTGAAAGCATGCGTTTACTTATAATAAATATTCGCTTTAGCGTCGCTCCCCCTTCATCGCCACTCTCTGTTAAGCGCCACATCGGAGAACATTAGTACGGGGCTCAGAAGAAATATAAAGTTATTAACTTTACGCTTACGACAACCTAGTTCTCGTATTTTGTAATTTACTTGCGCATTTAAATACGTTATTTGGTGATTTAGAAGTAACATCGTGTGTACGTGGCACAAAGAAAACAGTTTTATTGCATACCTGAATACCATTTGTTTATATTCACGTTTGCACCTTTTCTTGTCAGTAGTCTGTTCTGTGTTTTGAACAAAACTGTACAGACCGAAGAAAATGTGTTGATACGAGAAATACCACCTACTAGCAGTACGTTATGCATTTTCATTTTAAGCATTTTATGCATTGCCATTTTAAACGAATACGTTGGCATCACCGACATATGCAGAGCACGATAGTCATGCACAGTTCATGGGAAAAATAATCTTACTGATGGTCGGTCACAAGTGAGTTTTTGTGCATGTGTGAAATATCAATAATTTGCGGTATTTTTATCAAGCGTTTAATGATTTATAAACAGAGGGGTTCTTTAAGAAAGAATAAGAAAGAGGTTCTTTAAGAAAGACGTGTCTTACCAAAACATAAAGAAATGGAAAGAAAATGCGCGGATCCAGCGTTAGGCAGGAGCAAAGATAATACGCTAATTGGGTTGGGGAGGGTGAATATTCATACATTCAGCTTTGCTTGACTGTAAATTAGGTCGTCCAATCTCACCGGTATGCAGCAATGGAAGTCTACGTGAATACAATATATCACGATTTACTTGCTCTTCCACTTGCAACGTGCGTAGAGTTAAAAGACCAAATTGTATCCTAAGGGTTTGAGCGACTTTAACAAACTACTTATTAAACAGTCTTTGTCTACTTTCATCTGCCTCATAAACCCGTGAGTAAAACAAACTCAAAATATCGCCAAAATTTTCAAGTCTCGTCAACCAGTACTGTGCACTTTCACCATCACAATTCATGGAATCCTGAACTGCTCGGCATAAATCATGTTTCAAAAAAGCAAAAAAAATTTCAACATTCGTAAGCCATCAAACGCCAGCCATTTTGACAGTGATTTTTCTTACCTCTCCCCGTGTTAAATTTAAAATTCTATTCAGGTATAAATTACCATAATTGACAGTCGATTTGTTTTTGTGTGATAACTTCCATTTGCTTTCAAGTAAGTTCAATATTTACGGACTGTTTTCAATTGTATCTTGGAAGCATTTGATATAATTTACGACCGTTCGATTTAAACGTATGACATTGGTAATTTTGTCCTTTTTGGACGCCCATACTTTGTAGATGGCGAAAATTGGAAAATTATTTGTAGGCTCTTAGCCAATCGCAATCGAGATTACATGAACATTGAATAATAATATGTATTATTAGGATAAGCTGATTTTTTAAAACTCCACTGGCCCACAGATGAAAATTACTGCCACGAATGAAATATGTCGATATTAAACTTAAAGTTTCTTCTATAGAATAAAAACTTCTAGAAAAAGATGAAAAATAGAATTATCTTACTTGAATTTATCTGATTTGCCATTTTCCTCAACAAAGAACACGAAAACCATTATTGTTTCAGGATAATGCTCAATAAGATCTCGCTAATTGTGACAGTGCTTACTTAGCTACAATTATAACTAAGAAACAACATACCATGTATGTTGTGTAATATTCTTTACTTTGGATGTTGTAAATAGTTGTGCACTTACAAAGTCGGTTCTTTTATAACTTATTGAGTCAAGAAAGCAACTAAGAAAGGAATTTGCGTGATATTAGTACAACAATGTGTCATAAGCCCCGACGATATTTCAAGTGATGGCCATAAGCCATCACGCGATTCAAGATTTTTTAATTAAATACTTTCATAGTAACTGAAATGAAAAAAGTAAGCTGAAAGAGGCAATCGATTGATTTGGGTCTTAAAAAGGCCAGCCTTTTTTACACTTAGTTGACACTTGAAGGTCAACCCTCGAAATACATGTATGTCTTCAGATTATACATAGCTTATACAACCATTGGCAAGTATGATCATCCCATTTTTCTCATGTGTGTACGCTAAATACATGTTAGCTAACATAAATTTCACTAAATAGAGTCATGTCGCAGCAGCTAGCAAAAAATTGATTAATAATCTGTGTAGGATAATCAAAAGCTTAATTGATATTTCTGTTGCTTGTTGTTTATGGAGAAGCATGTGTTGAAGCGATTATGCAAATTAAATAAATAGTGCAAGCTGTACCGACATTTTCCTAAGGGTTGTACTTTCAAATTAAAAATCCTTATGAGATCACGTGAATATAGAAATAATTTCATGGCACGTGGCTCATGTAGCTTCATTTTTTATCAAATTTTCGTTTTAAAACATATAAACGCTTATTGCACATTTATTATCCTAATATGCATTTGTGAACTAAAATAAATTTCGCTATGTCATGTTATATTGAGACAATGATAAGAAACAAAGGGTTAGGCTTAAAAAAATGGATACAACGCAGAGTTTACGAAATGGCTTCAACTTCAATTTTAAACAATGGATTCATTTAAGTTTCTAGCAATGGATTGATCTAAGGTTTCAAACTATAAATTCAACGTCACTGAGGGTTAAAACACTGAATTCAACCAAGGTTTTAAGCAAGTTGCAAAAACTGATTTTATAACTTAAAAGTATCACAAAGAAAGTATCTATAAATGTTTCACTAAACACAAGAACCGTAAAGCAAGATCGCCTTTATAATTTTTTGAAATTTGTCACCGAATCCCTACTTCCACCCAATTTTAGCGGTTAATACCCCCTCTCAATAAAAAATATGCTCGCAGCCCCGAAACAATACAATTGAAATTCTCATACAACTGGCCCAATATATACGTAGTTTCCATTACAACACAAAATCTAAATTGAATCTCAAATCGATTGCTTAATTTTGAATCAAGTCCATAACAGCCTGAAACTTATAAACATGTATTTACCAATCGCGTATCAATGTACTTTGAAAGAGCTTCTTTTTTACATTCGCCCCATTGTTTTTGTCGTGCTGAACGCAAAATCTATAAAAAAAGAATAGAAGTGTTTGCCACAGGCAACAATACCCGTTACAATAACATGAATATATCGTCTGGGTCGAACACTAAGAATAAAAACATAAAAATACAGGCTAAATATGCAAAAAAGAGTTTCCAACAGAATAATTAAGGAATTCCGCTTAACTTACTCTTTTACTTCCTTTTTGGCTGTAATCAATCGGTACCAAAATTAAAGAAACGAATTTTGGCACTTTCTATAGCAAATAAATAAACCGTAAAACCGCTATTGATAACAGAAGCATTGAGCATCTGACAGAGCTATCCTTTTTGAATAACAATTTCATTCATTCAAAATAATTAGTCCAATGAAACAAGATCAGCTAGTAAAAGAGTTTCCCAAAATACAAATATTTTGTACATATAACAAACATAATAAAAAAATTAACTGTCTTACACCATAAAATGAAAGTTTACTTTTGAAGCGGAGAAAATATTCTTTCAGTTTATGACTGCCCATACACGGTGATGAAAACCAAAGTTAATTAACTATGTAAACATGGCATTCTATTACTACTGAATATATAATACTAAATACTCCCATGGCATCTTTAGTAAAACATTCTGAATTTTAAACTCGGTCTTATTGATTAGTGAACAACAACAAAAAAATGGAAATGTTACATCATTGTCAGGAAGGGTGGAACAATTAACGTTACAAACACATCAACAGAATCAATGATTTGACATGAAAAGGAAGACGAAACTAAAATTAATATTTTGGTCATGGCAAAGTTTTGATTGATATATTATATCAAATAAGTACAAAAGTTTGCAAATGCACAAAATTTAGTCTTTACTGAATGAAAGCTTGATTGTGACTGTATGAAACTGTTATTTGTAACATGTGAATAGCTTTGGTGCAATCCTATATTCATTATTATCATTATTAGTAAAATCTTTATTAACTATGTTTTAGTAATTTCCCTTATAACATTGATGTTTTTTCCGATACAAGATTATCCTAGGTCCAATTTAAATTATTTCCTTCAAATCTTCTTATTTGAAAGTTGCTGAAGATGTATAAATATCTTAAATACCAAATCTTGAAAATCTATTCAGTTTCATTTCAATGCTTCCATTGATAAAGCATGCAAATTTTTTCTTTGACCAAAACAATATTAGCTAGACAATACTGATAAAAATGTCTGCACAATTATTATTCAGTTTTTCCCTACTAACTACTATTCAAAGGACACGCTCAGTTAATTAAATTTAATAAAATAATAAACATGAGGCTGACAATCAAACCAATCAATCTTTACGAGTTTTTAAACATATTTAAACTAATCATTTCATTAAAGGAGGTCGATTTCTCTTGTAATGCCGAACTCTGATAAAGTTACAAGCACAACACACATTAGAAAAAAATTCAAAAATATTCCTTCATTTTGTGGAGTTGAATGTTTTGGCAAGACATTTGATTTTTTTTAGAATTTCAAGACCGTGTCATCAAGATTACTAACACATAAAATTAGCAATGTTGAAAAAATGAAAGAAAGAATGACGTCTTATTAGAGCTTGACGTAATGTCAAAAGACAAAATATTAGCAACATTAGTGATAAAATTGGATTATGAAATCTTATGATCCTGGTTTAGACATGATTATTCATTTTTGTGGTCTATATAGCATGGATAAACAATGCCTGGAAGTACTACTTTGAAGTATTTATTTGAAATTGCAAAGTTTAAATGCTTTTTCAGCGTAAAAGAAAAGGTAATGAAAATCTTCGATTTTTAACGTTGCGATGGCAGTTTTGCAACACTAGCAACACTTTTGACACATGTTAAAAATATGATTTTAGTATTTATGATGACAATAGCATCTATGAAAACACACGATTGTACTAGCGATTTCAAAACGACGGAATTGATTTCATCATAATCAGTGATAGCTACTTAAAATAACAGTCGAAACTCGAAACTATAAAACTTGAAAATATTGAAATCGAAACGTCGGAAAACAAAATTTTCATCGCTTTTGTATGGGTTGAAATATGTTTTAAGCATTTATAATTTACAACAACATAGTTAATAATTTTAAGAAAATAATATACGCTGGTGGTCCAAATCACACAGGCAATAAAAATGTGTATGACGGGGAAAAAATATGGCATCCTAGGGAATCATGAAAACAACAAGCAGACAATTCATGTGATGAAAGCTGATACATTAGTAGTAGAGCCAAATAATGACTGCGTTACATTTTTTTGTAGACTCATTCGATATACTTCTATTACCATAGACTATAAATGGGCGTACATAGCAGGACACAGTGGGCAAGATTATAGATTTAAAAACTTACCAAATCTGTCAGCAATTTTTGTAACCTGGACCGCACAAGTTCATGCAGCCAAACTGCCGCTTCAAACTCTATTGACACCTGTGAACTTTAGTCTTGACATATGTAATTAAAGCGCTTATGACTATAGTAGGCTGCAAACCGCACACAGTATAAATTGAAAAGATCGTGCGTGAATAGTAAGCAGTTCACACTTAGTCTTAGGCTTGAAAACACTTCGACAACTTACAACATGGTCGCTTTTATAAGAGCTTTGACAATTATCTTTGCTCTACTTTGTGGTATACACATGTCATATGAGGAAACGACTCAAAGGACTTTCAACTTGACCGAGGTTTGTCTTAAGTAAAGTAGTGATTTTAGTCCCGCTGTGTAGCACTTACCTTACGCTAGTTTGCTAAATTAACCCCTAAATATCGGTGTATTTACACTTATAACATTTGCGCGTGTCCTATATACGTCGTTGTTTGCTTATATAATAGTATCTTACTCAATTGTATCTATGTACCTGTTTGGTACTCTAACAAATATAACCGCATAATCACTGACAGTTTGGTCAATCTGGTGACAGAGAAATGCGATGTATCATAAGATTGTCGACAAACCTAATCAAATTTGGACATTCTATATAAGCTAACTTTCGAATAGATATCATATTAGTCTACGAACTATATCGCTTTTGTGAAAATGTTTTCTTTAAACAAATTACAAAAGATAAGATAACGCATTGTGATAACCACATTCATAATCAAATTGTGCGTGCAACAATCCATGGATCCTATTTGACCAGCACATTTTACGTCAGCTTACACATTCCAAGGGAGATTTATATTCATTACTACATATTAACAGCTTATTTACAATTAAATGCTCTCGAAACTACGATTAGATATGACGGTGTAAACTGAAAAGATGAAACAAACGATATAGCATTTATATGAGTTCAGCAAATCTCTAAACATCAGCAAATATGTTGCTTGTTATGTTAAATATTTGATAAGACAGCGGCTGTGTACAAATGCTTTAAAACAAACCATATGTCCAGATGTGCACAGTTTTCGCCATGAGATAAACCTTTGCAAGGGCGTCGTTTCATATAAGGTGTTTTAGATGTAAGGATCAGAAAAAGAATTTGAATAATTTGCATATTTTGTCAGCATGCCGATGGTAAATTCAACTAAAATTGGCCAATTATTGATCAATATCCCAGAGCGAAGCCAGCCCGTTTATTCAGTCCTGCTATGCAAATATTTCAGTGTTTACTCAATATAAAAGCAATAGATTTTTAAAGAAATGAATAAACGATAACTTGCTTGACACGACCCCAAACGTCAACATCCATGTATGCCGTAGTTTTGAAAAATTTACATCTACGTAATCTTAACACACAATCCATTCAAGTAGGTGATGAGAAGGAAATATTTCCACTTTTACAAGCCACTCAAGTTAAAAACCCACCTAACACTGAATTTATTTTAAGTATACATTACCAATTGAACCAATTGAAATGGAGCTAAAGTATTTCTTCCAAGACTAAATGTTTTTCAGTAAAAACAATATTTGACGGAGTTCTTTTACAGTCACATGTTTTTAGAAGTCTACGAGAATGCAATTTATCAAAAAAGTTAATTAAGAAATATCTCTCTTCCGTTCGTAAAAATCTTGTTAGTGACGTGGATCTTGCTGTGCATAACGGATCTCCATGTTATTCATAATCCAGCTTTGCTTAAATGGTATTATCTTCGAAACTCAATACAGGAGTAAATTAAAACACAAGACGTTTCTGCATGGTAAAGTGGCTATTTTCCCCAGCATACTTTAACTAAACATCATTTATATATTTCAGGAAATATAAACAGACTCGTAGTATTAGAAATATCTTTAAAACAATACAAAGTCACAGTTGATTTTCCTATTAATATAAAAAATCAGCTAATAATAGTAATGTATAATCTAGAAAACTAGAAAAGAACTATACCACGGTATAAAGTCGGTAGAAAATTTGGCCATATTGTTATGTTAGAATCATCAGGGAAAATATTTTGTGACGTCTAGTGCTTCAATAACACCAATACGTTTTATTGAAAAGAATGCTTACATATAGAAATGGAAGTAAGAAATAGTTATACAGAAAGCCATAATAATCTCGGTGATCCGACCGCCAGATTGAACGGAAGTTCTAACACTCAAAACATAATCAATGTTAAAAAGACACGATAAAGTACTGCGGTCGACAAAATTAAAACGTGTTAAGCAAAGTATTCTTTCGCAACTGCGAAATTCGCCCTATACACAAGCCTTCTGCTAACAAATTTTCATTCTTAACTCTCACATAAATTTGCGCACTTTTTTATTTACTTTGGCAATTTCCTCTGAGCAAACACAGTATAGACATTACAGACATAAATTCGATTGTCAGTTATGATATAAAGAGAATTCTAATTTCCTTTGACACAAGTGCAGCCGGAACGCGACTTAAGTACTCCGACAGGTGTACGTATTAAGCACGCCAAAAACATAACTCGTAATAGACAAATCTCTCAATATCTTTATTGAAAATTGAATGGATATTACATGGCAACCATATTGAAAGGAGATTTAAAGTTCATAGCTCATACACTCTTTCAACGCCTTAACTTAATGTCTTTGGATGGTAAATAGTTTCCAAATGTCTATTGATTTTAACAAATTAATCCCTTAATTGCCCATACAATTTAGCTAACTGTGCGCGTATTTAACATAATATGCGCGAATGACGACGTATATTGATGTATTGTTTGTTTCATTTTGTCTTTGTTCCCACTGTGAACTTCGTCTGGCAGGAATAACACAAATTATTCACGCTGGGTATCAAAAGAGATTTATCGATTGTAGTTATATCCATTTCTGTCAACACTACTATTCATAATAACATACAAAATATCATGCAAAAATAATCAAATAAATATGTATCACATTTGCTTAAATTTCCATTTAAACGCACAATTTTCATGTCGTTCCCATAAATACAAATTTTGAATAAAATTTATAGAATTGTGATCTTACAAATAAATTGACAAGATGATTAAATTCTAATATTAACAAATCAAAAAATTTAAGCAGTAGCTAATTTTGTTTAAAAATAGATTAAGAGTTATCTATAGTCACAATTGAACGTAATTTGTTACAATAATTTAAAAATAAGACGATTTTTTTAAATGGTTATACACATCAATTTCCTCTTATTTTATTTACAAAAGGTAATTGCCCATTGTTCATATATCTTGTGTTTTAACTATGGTTTTAGTGCTTTATAACATCACTAAAATTAAAATCCATATTATTTGTTTCGGCATTATAAATAAAACAGGAACTACGAAAAGTGTTTCCGAAGCACTTGTCAAGTACGTAAAATGAGCAGTCTCGTGCGAAATAAATAAAAGAATTATTGTTTTTGCTTTGTTTTCTAGTATTTTGTTGTGTCTAAATGTGCCCCATTTCCCCCAATATTGTGATTATCTACCCAAAAGAAAAGGATGAGCCTGATAATATATTACACAAAAACAAGTCAAAAACTTATGACTTTGAAACGTTGTTGAAAAGTAAATTTGTTCATTTGCAAAACATACTATGTGATCACCATAGTTGAAAGACAAAATACTGTCATAAAATAATGAAAAACTCAAAGCAAAAGATTATCTCATTTAAATTTCTGCAATCTAGTCAATAGGTTTTAATTTCCAGTCATCCTTGGTCGTGATAGTGTGGATAAAATTGGATTGGAATAAATTTGAAGTAGGCATTCTTTAATCTTCATATTTGTTATTTTTAGAAAAGTTGCTTGGGAAAACTTTCATGCCAGAGATTAAACACTGGAGTATCTTCGAGACATTGTCTTTCTGACTCAGATTGCAACAGTAATGAATACTGCCACAAGTTTCATCAAATATGTTTAAAATCTCATGAATTTGTAAAAGTTTCACAGAAAACCTCCGTGAAGAGTTGTAAGACAAATTCAAATTGCCATAAAACTGAGTATTGCCATAATTTCTGGAAAATTTGCCTCCCCAGTCAAAAAGCGTACAAAAAGCCAAGAAAAAAGCGACCTTCGTGGTTTTGTGACACATCTAATGATTGCAAAACCGACGAACAATGTCACAAAAGATTTCACGCATGCTACAAGAGACCATCGGTTTCAGCTGTCCGAAGAGACACCGGCAATTCCCGACGATGTCAAAGTACAAGTGATTGTGGCACGAACTTTTATTGCCATGATCATTTTTTTATTTGTTTGGAAGACGTACCAACCGTAAATTCAATTCTTCCCAAGCGAACCAATAAAAAGTGCAACAGAAGTATCCAGTGCCCAAACAACATGCTCTGTCACAACTTGTGGAAGATTTGCTTCTCACCAGCAAAAATCGTGAATTTGCCAAAAAGAAATAAATCGCGAGGATGTCTAATAGACAGTGACTGTCTTAAAGACGAATATTGCCAAGATAAAAAGATATCTCAAACAGTGGTTGCTCGGCAAAAGCGAGCCATTCGCAGGATTTGTCTTCCTCGAATGCATGCAAAGAAGCTCAAATATACGGTGCCAGATGTGACCTGTACCACTGAAAAAGACTGTGGACCAAATAAAACATGCCTACGAAGTGTAAGAGTGTGTATGTCATATAAGTTACCGGGAGAAATGTGCTTGGTAAACAAGGTAAATACTTTAGTTTACACCTTGCTTATATTTATTTATTGGTTTTAAAAAGTTTAATTGCAAATTTCGTTTTTTTTTGTTTCGATTGTTTTTCTTGTTTTTTTTTTACGTATTGTAACTTTTTTCTTGCTGCTGTTTTTTCTGCTTTTTCAAAAGCTGCATTTTTCGTTGTATTGCTGGTACACATTTTTTGCATTACTGGTACTTAATTTGTTGCATTACTGGTGTTCAATTTTTGCATTACTGGTACTTAATTTATCTCATTGATGGTACGTAATTTGTTGCACTGCTGGTACTTAATTTGTTGCATTGCTGACGTTTAATTTGTTGCATTACTGGTACTTAATTTGTTACATTGCTGGTGTTTAATTTGTTGCATTACTGGTGTTCAATTTGTTGCATTGCTGGTGTTTAATTTGTTGCATTACTGGTGTTTAATTTGTTGCATTACTGGTACTTAATTTGTTGCATTACTGGTGTTCAATTTGTTGCATTGCTGGTGTTTAATTTGTTGCATTACTGGTACTTAATTTGTTACATTGCTGGTGTTTAATTTGTTGCATTGCTGGTGTTTAATTTGTTGCATTACTGATACTTAATTTGTTGCATTACTGGTGTTTAATTTGTTGCATTACTGGTGTTTAATTTGTTGCATTACTGGTACTTAATTTGTTGCATTACTGGTACTTAATTTTTTACATTGCTGATTCTTCATTTGTTGCAATGGTGGGGCTTATTTTGCTGCCATACTGCAATCACCTACAAGTTTACTGGTTTAGCAAGTACAATTAAAGCTGTTATGTTACATTGAGTTTGACCTGTTCACGTTGATTTTATTTATAAAAGCATCCATGTAATGAGTACTTCATAAAGTTTATGTTTTATAAAGATTTCAATTTTGTTTGGGTAATTCGTTAGGTAGTTTCTATCTTCAAACAACAAGAAAGAATAAGGGCACGATTTTAACTTGCTATCAATTTTCTGAGCAAAGTTTAGGTGTGACAATACAGAGACTATAGACATGACACTTTACATCAACTATCGGTAATGTGTATAGTTGACGTTCTGAATTTTATCAATAAAAATATAAATATTATACAATAAATGGCTGTTTGCAAAAGGTACAAAATTTAGCTGCTGCCTTCAAGCCTCATATGATCAAACCGATTTTTAAACAAGCAGTTAACAGTTGGCAACTACAAAAATAGAAAAAAATGCAATAATTCAAGTATTGGTTGACTATATAGTTGAATATAGATATTGGTTGACTATATAGTTGAATATAGATATTGGTTGACTATACAGTTGAATATAGATATTGGTTGACTATATAGTTGAATATAGATATTGGTTGACTATACAGTTGAATACAGATATTGGTTGACTATATAGTTGAATATAGATATTGGTTGCCTATACAGTTGAATATAGATATTGGTTGACTATATAGTTGAATATAGATATTGGTTGACTATACAGTTGAATATAGATATTAGTTGACTATACAGTTGAATATAGTTATTGGTTGACTATACAGTTGAATATAGATATTGGTTGACTATACAGTTGAATATAGATATTGGTTGACTATACAGTTGAATATAGATATTGGTTGACTATATAGTTGAATATAGATATTGGTTGACTATATAGTTGAATATAGATATTGGTTGACCATATAGTTGAATATAGATATTGGTTGACTATATAGTTGAATATAGATATTGGTTGACTATACAGTTGAATATAGATATTGGTTGACTATATAGTTGAATATAGATATTGGTTGACTATACAGTTGAATATAGATATTGGTTGACCATACAGTTGAATATAATTGGTTGACCATACAGTTGAATATAGATATTGGTTGACTATATAGTTGAATATAGATATTGGTTGACTATACAGTTGAATATAGATATTGGTTGACTATACAGTTGAATATAGATATTGGTTGACCATATAGTTGAATATAGATATTGGTTGCCTATATAGTTGAATATAGATATTGGTTGACTATATAGTTGAATATAGATATTGGTTGCCTATACAGTTGAATATAGATATTGGTTGACTATATAGTTGAATATAGATATTGGTTGACTATATAGTTGAATATAGATATTGGTTGCCTATACAGTTGAATATAGATATTGGTTGACTATATAGTTGAATATAGATATTGGTTGACTATACAGTTGAATATAGATATTGGTTGACCATATAGTTGAATATAGATATTGGTTGCCTATATAGTTGAATATAGATATTGGTTGACCATATAGTTGAATATAGTTATTGGTTGACCATACAGTTGAATATAGTTATTGGTTGACCATATAGTTGAACATAGATATTGGTTGACTATATAGTTGAATATAGATATTGGTTGACTATACAGTTGAATATAGATATTGGTTGACTATACAGTTGAATATAGATATTGGTTGACCATATAGTTGAATATAGATATTGGTTGACTATATAGTTGAATATAGATATTGGTTGACTATATAGTTGAATATAGATATTTGTTGCCTATACAGTTGAATATAGATATTGGTTGACTATATAGTTGAATATAGATATTGGTTGACTATATAGTTGAATATAGATATTGGTTGCCTATACAGTTGAATATAGATATTGGTTGACTATATAGTTGAATATAGATATTGGTTGACTATACAGTTGAATATAGATATTGGTTGACCATATAGTTGAATATAGATATTGGTTGCCTATATAGTTGAATATAGATATTGGTTGACTATATAGTTGAATATAGATATTGGTTGCCTATACAGTTGAATATAGATACTGGTTGACTATATAGTTGAATATAGATATTGGTTGACTATATAGTTGAATATAGATATTGGTTGACTATACAGTTGAATATAGATATTGGTTGATTATACAGTTGAATATAGATATTGGTTGACTATACAGTTGAATATAGATATTGGTTGACTATACAGTTGAATATAGATATTGGTTGACTATACAGTTGAATATAGATATTGGTTGACCATATAGTTGAATATAGATATTGGTTGACTATATAGTTGAATATAGATATTGGTTGACTATATAGTTGAATATAGATATTGGTTGACTATATAGTTGAATATAGATATTGGTTGACCATATAGTTGAATATAGATATTGGTTGACTATACAGTTGAATATAGATATTGGTTGACTATACAGTTGAATATAGATATTAGTTTACTACAGATAATAGGTAACTATGAACTACTAATGGTTTTTTCACGTTTCGTAAAAGAAATCCTTCTAAAAATAATAGCTTCTAGGAGCATCATAAATTTTTACCTTAAGTATTCTTCCTGACAAATTATCGAGATTCATATTTCCTAATTTTGTTACGTGGTGATGATTTATAGTCGTTTTTGTGGCTCAGTCGTCAAAACCAGAACAAGGCCATTCTCTTAAATGCAAAAGCGAAACATTCACTAATGTATTTTAAACATAAACAACATAAGAATGAAACAAAATTATTGGCAAAATTACTTTTTAAAATCTGGTTGAAATAAAACAAAAAACTTAAAAATTCACGTCATGTCACATCGTCTTCCATAATTACATTCTGATTGGTTTGGATTTATAATGTAATTAAACGCTTTTGATCATTGGTGTGGTTAATATAGCTGTTGTTTTTGCTGATGGTTTTGTCTCTGATAATATTTTCTTTTTTTGATTTAGATGTTGTTTTATTAATTGTAGCTGTTCTTTTTTGCTATTGTTGTTTCTCTTTGAAATTTTGATTTTTGTAACAATGCGTTGTCTTCGCAAAGTTTGTGAAGCAGGTCAGCCGTAACTCTCCCCCTTTCACAATCTTATATTCAAATTTTGACACTTGCCCAATCGTAGTTTGCTTTGGTTGAGCATGTTGCAAGTCACATATGTCATCAATTTTTTAATATTGCTCATACTATTACTGTGGTCGATGGTCTTGAGAGTACTGCTGTATTAACACATTTGTACTAATTATGTTTGTGAATACTTTGCAGAGTGATTTTGCAAGCGATTGCGTAAGTGGATCATATTGCAAAAGAAGAAGAAAATGGGCATCGCGTCGAAGAATAATAAATAAAATGAGACTTCCAGAAAAAGCAGCTAATTATCTCATGAAAACAAGCAAGAAGAAATTTGAAGTTGGAAGATGTATTCTATCAACATAAAAATAAACACTAAATGGCCTTTGGAATGTAAAAATTAACACATGCATCAGAAAAATGCTATACGCCAAAGATGGACAGACCATAAAAATATGAAATACAGTTTTTGTATTCACAAGTGACACAAAGTACAACATGCTTGACAATGATTCATTAACAGAATTTATAATTCATTATATCTTACACAGTATAATTTATACTATATGCAGTATTTTCTTGTAAAAAGTTTATTTTTTTATAGATTAACATGTCATAAGTTTTCTTCTTTTACTTTAACTCGATAATTGCTTCATTAAACTTTTGCAAATAAAAAATATAATATATAAAACCATGCAGCTAGCTGCGACCAATTATATTAACAGGGCAAAAACATGTTGCCCTTTCATTTTTCATATGACTACAATTTTGATAAAATACAACAGTTCTAAATATTTCTTCCTCAGGCTCAATGGGCAATATTCCATAGTCAAACTACTTGAGTTTTTTTATAATTCGAATTTCGTGTGCAGAAGTGTTTGCCAATTATCTAAAAGTGTTTCTCTAGTTTCATGAATCCCGTTTGATTTTTAGAATACGTCTATGATGGATCTAGCGTCAGTCAGAATAAAATACATTTCAAAATTTGAAAATCATACATATTAATTAATAAACCGATAAGACAAAACGTCGCACCAACGTCGCGCGAGATTGACGTGCGAGATCGATCGATCAATGTCAGACAAATTCTTTATTTATTAATAAAACCGTAGTTTTGGGCCGCTTGTGGTTGAATTCTTTCGAAATAAACAAGTACTTGCTGCAATGTTTCAGATGTGTATAAAATGAACGATGTCATTGTTTTTCACAGTTTCCACAGTTGATATTTTCCATTTCAAAATACGTATTCAATAGTAAGCATCATTATTGACTGAATAAAGATCAAGGCCCATCACCTTTAATGCCACAATACTTTTCTATTCTTTCAGACACGCGTGTCTGGAGGTCAAAATTGGCTTCAAAAATTTATTATGCTTTTCTATTACAGGTAGCGTTCCATCTATTATAGTTCAGTGATTATAACTGTGTTGGAATTCAGCCTGTGCAAATGTGGAAAACCGATTTTAGAAAGAAAGTAAAGAGAATTTGCAAATCAATCATCGATGCACGTTAGAGGGAAAATTTGTTTCGCATTATTGTTATCTTATAATGCTCGGTTTGCAGAAGTCTGTGGAAACACGAAAAAATTATTTTCCTTGTAGAAATTCAGCATTTAATTAGATTGATATACTAAACAAAAGTATTTGTACTTTACTTTACAAAAACTTTTTGTTTCATTCTGACCGTCATTTCTAAATTTCCACACGTTTCTTTCATTTTTGTTATAAATACCGATATACAGGTCACAACACAAGGTAATCAATACAATAACTAAACACGCGTGGTCTATTGCTAATATTTATGATAGAAAATTTTCGATAGCTAAACACGCGAAATACATATATGTAGCTACTAATATTTTCATCAACCTACGCACGTTTACCAGCACACTTTTTCGTCAATATGAGCTACAAGGCGGCAATTTGGGTAGTGAATGAAAGAACTTAAAAAATTTTCTAAGATCTTAGAAAAACACCACTTCAGGGATGAAAGAAAAACAAAGTTTCCCAGCCTATACAATAATTGGCATAATTGCTACTTCACTGTTCTTTCTTTACAATATGACTTAGGTCAAAATGAAATATTTTGTAAAAAGACATCGCGAAATTTAATATAGCTAAATCTCCAGGGTTCAAAAAAGTATGGAAAATTCAAAAAAATCTCACTTCATCTTTTAAAATTACTTGGATAATTTCCTGATTATTTGAAAAAAACGTCATTTATATTTTTTGCATGCTTTTTAATTCGTATTATCCCATTTTTTACACTTGTACATTAATGGACTTTTTTTCTTGACGTCCTCTTACTCTTATACACGATAAGAGCAAGCTTTTATTGAACTAACATATCATTACTTTTTAATCCTAAGGACATCACGAAATCAGTTAATTCACGTAGGAAAGGTCAAGCTTTAAAGCTAGACTTTATCCATGGATTTTTCTGGAACCGTACACCAGTTTATCGCCGGAAAGTGATACTGTAAACATAGACTAACAAATATTCATGAGTATAATTGCCTAATTCAGACATTAAAGTAGCAACAAATCGATTCATATTATGTTTGATGGCATTTATGAATTGCATGTGTTGGGGAAAATTATTAGCTTGCTAGATGTATTGATAATAAAGGACTATCAGTTGATTGCAGAAGAATTTAAAAAAAGTTTAGATAAATTATAGTTCACACATTTTCTTGAATAAAACTCACTGTTCAACGCAAATGCAGAGTCTTTCAGATACAACAATCTCAAACACAATGGGCCTGTCGTTAGCAGCAATTAGAGTAATGTTTTGATGAAAAAAAACTTGAATAATGATGAACAAATATTTGATATGAGCAACACTTAAAAACACTTGACTAATGTATATGGTTTTGATTTTCAAACACAAAAATGTTTGTAATAACTATTCAGGTTTAGAAAAATAATAGTTATTTCAACTACACATAAATAGGGCTAATATATGACCAATAACTGCTAATATTTTGCCATATTTAACAAAACGAAACTTATTTTAGAAAGCTGAACAATCAAGAACAACAAATTTATGAAATTACTCTGTGGGCGAAAAAAAATGAAGCCCTATATGTCATAATTTACTAATAGCTAATATCCCACGTTAAGTCAAAGCCGCTCAAAGAGGCAGCTCAAAATATTGTCACCATCGAATTTAGGACAATATAGCTAAGTGCTGGTTTAGAAAATATTTCCTTAAATGTGGATAGTTGGACCTGAATATCAACAAATGATTCAATAGCCATTGAACAATCATAATGGTTTTATTGATAATAACGTCTAGCGGCAAACATCAAAGAAACGTGTTGTGCGATAGTAAAATTTAAAGTCATCAATGTGGATTGTACATTTGAACACATGAACAATGAAATACTTTACTAAAAGCTTCTTGTCAAAAGCTAAACACTTAACACCAAGAAAAAATGTTTATGGACAGACAACAAAATACGTGTAAATTGTTTTTTTGCAGGCAAGACGAGCTAAGTGATTTTCCGTGACTTCAAAATTCGTACATCGTGATTATTTATATTTACAACATAGAAAGTACAATTACTCATGATTAGACGTGAGAAATATATAATTTTTTTTCTAAAGTGCATGGTTTTTAGAAGTAGACAGTACTCGATAACTGGAAAACAAACTTTGGCTAGAATTTGCGTGAAATGAAGGAACAAGTTTAATCACTGTAAAAGCGAACGGCAGCTAAAAGTTTAAGAAATACCATGTTATTTTTAGATTCTTGTTATAATCATTTATTACCACCATACGCACAGTTCAAACAGGGCAGATTCATGTTTCATCAATTAATCAGCAATAGATCACCAGTACCCATTACCGCTAAATCATCATAAAGCCAAAAACAAACGACTATAAACCAGTGATAACGGATTGAATTTATAACAAAAATTCAGTAGTATTCCAAAACACATGAATTAAGTACTTGGACAGTGAGGAGTAATGTCAGTATACGAATTAATTAGATGTGTCCTAACTCTCTTGCTTTTTGACAAAGTCAAACTACGCAAACAAAAATAACTAAGTTGAAAACAATGACAACTACCCAGAAAATAAACACTGCTTTGAAATTAATGAGTATTTTTATGCCAATATGTGTGTACTTTTTTCTAGCTTTATCTTCTGTCGTAATGAAATTTACATTTCTATTTATTTGATGAGTGAAATATAACCAATCTAAAAAAAGAAATCCGTAGCATTCCTTTTAAATTATGTACCGAGCTTGTCAATGTATGGCAAAACATTTAGTAAAATGCCTATTGCTTTTACTAAATTCACTGACAAAGCGTGAATTCAATCTTTTGAATCCCACACTAAAGCACGCATGGTGCAAGATAAACAGCCATTTTATTTAATGTCGGTGTCTTTGACAAATCGATTAAGTAAAAGCAAGCAATTTAGACACTGTCAGGAACGGTATCAACACACAACCATATCGCAGCGCAATTTCGCTCAATTGGTCGAGAAAAGAACGCAAGACAAACAAATTAGCTATGCAACACCAACATATCATATATTTAATTATATGCATGGTTTTTGAATTGCAACCGGATTATAGAGATATAAAAAGCGCTCAACGTGAGTCAAAGGATTAGTCAATTAAGAACAATTCAGTATAAGCAGCTTATCTTGTAGTCTTAAAACTTCAAACAAAACTGTCGAGAAAAAATAAACGACAGCAATAGCAAATCAAAGAAAATGATGCTGAAAATGATTCATTTATCATTTATCGTCGCCAGCTGGTAAGTTAGTCCTTTAAAACTTCTTAATGTCTGCGTGTCTTGACGATTTTGTCATTTGCACAATGCGTTTCATCAATATGATTTAAATAAGAACCTAAAAAACCAACAAATACTAGGTACACAGCAAACCTTAAGTTGACAAGACTTATGAAAACATCGAGCACCTGCTGCACCTCACAACGAGGATGTTGATATAAACGTATAAGAAATAAGAATGACTATAAGAACATTTATACATAGTTATATCGTCATTTTAGTCCATATATTTAATGCTTCCCCCTTTTGCAGGCACTTGCTTTTATCGTATAAAATAGTTGTTGCTATAAACTGTTAGGGTTGGTTAAACAACGTAAAAGTTGCTTGAAACCTTAAAATTAGTATGAAGTATGTGAAACAAACTTTTGTAAGAAATCAAAGTTGTTCTGTATATCAGATCAAAGAAAGAAGATGTTGCCATATATGGCTTGAATTCAGTCGCATTTAGAATTGATACAAAATACTTTTAAAAAATGTTATGCTTTTTATATCACGATCAGTCATATTTTTATAATCATATTGAATAAGGGTAAATTTTATATAACAGAATGTAGACTGTTTCTTTACACATTTAAATTTGGTTGTGGCTTAAATTATTTCTATGAAGATGATTGTGTCAGCTTATGGCAAGAATTACACTTAGACGATACACTGGCCAAAATTGGTTTTAAATGACATCATTTAAAATCTTGTTAATACAGTCGTGAAAATTAAAAGCGGCAACACGAACGAAAAGCCAAATTAAAGGACAGAGGCTTGCGACCACTTAAGTAAATGCAATTACTACACACGCAACATATTTCACGTAGAAATTGACAAATTTCTGCCATTTTGACCTTAACTGAAGCATATTTTTTATCAATACGTTGAGCGAATCAGTTTCCATCATTAACACTGAATTTCACAGTCATACATTCATTTGTTTGTGAATATTATCCTTTTATCACTTGTCAAAACGGAACCGACTTTGCTTCATAAAGACGATGAAAAAATGTCAAAGATGGAAGTTGACACATTTAGTTTTTAAACATCCTTTGAAAACAAAACTTTGTCAAACTTTTTTGAAACTTATATAGAAAAGTGAGTTATAATAACAATATTTTTATAGCGATAAATACAGTGAAAAACATCCGTTGCTTTGTACAAAACGACAAAGCCGAAAATGATTGCTTGTCGTGAACTATTTTGTGCATTCTTCAAACTGTCTGGTCAAATATCACTAAATACTTGTAGCTAATATCAACATTGGGGTTTGTTGAACTTCACATTAAGGTGGTCATCCCCCTTTAGAGCAATTTTTTTTAGTTTTATAGGTAGACACTTCAAAATAACATTTTTGGGAAGTGCTGAATGTGAGAAATCATATCTGACAATTTTTTTTTTTGATCACTCATTAATTATGCTAATTATCAAAGATGGCGACTAATTAATTAGCATAAAATGAGCCTCTTTTCAAACACGATTGCATCAAAACTACTAATCAGAAACTTATATATAATACATATTTACAAAGCTTATATCAAGACCTAGTGCATGACACTTTTTGATTTTGTTAAAAAGCTATTTTAAAAGAAATAAGTGAGAAAAACTAGGTATTCAGGAAAATTTCATTCTTCGTTAGTTGCATGAACCTTAATTTTTCATTATTATTAAACATTATCAAATTTTTAAAAGTGTCATGCATTAGATTCAGTTACTAACTATTACCACAAAAAATTTGAGCTTTCTACAACAAATATTGAAAAAGTAATCGTGTCACAAAAATTGCCTTCTAAGAGGAAATAAGGAAAAGGAGAAATTAGCATTTAAAGTTTTATAATGATCTTACTGAGACTAGAAGGCACCAGCTTCATAAGTTTTTCCTTCATTCTGTTCACTACTATCTACAAAGTTCTTTCTCATATGCCTGAGTGTTTTTCTTCTTTTTTTTACCTTCTCTGTGCTCTTCTTGGAGGATAATTTGATACGATCGGTATCACAATGCAATGCACCATTTGTAGTAAACAAGCCAGGTAGTATGTCTAAGTCACTAAATAATTTGAGGAATAATATATCTCCTTCATTGAATTTAAGCACAGCTAAGTAACTTGAAAGTGCTACAGTTTCCTGTTCCACATATGTGGACTTTGGGCATCTTTCCCAAATTAGCCCGTTCAGACACTCATTCACATTCTGTGTCAAACCATGTGTACACTTTTGCAACAAGCTTTCATCACTTAGACTTTCATAAATGGGTTCAATGAGCTCAACAATACTTTTGGTATACCATTCTTATGATGGTATGTTGTAGGGTCTTTCTTGTATCCACACCAACTGTCTTCAGTGTCGGGGCAAAGTTCATGTTGAGGGTTATCATCACTTGATGCCACATGATAAAGGGATGCCTTGATTGCTTTAGCCATTTTATCTATGTCATGCAGGTTCTCTCTCACTGCCAATCCATAGTAATTTTGCAGAAGGTCAATTTTAGCATCAGTCAATCTGCCCTTTCCACTCACACCTTTACCATCCCCAGTTTCACTCCTTTATGTGAACTCTTCAACCTCGGCGACTCCCCTCTCTTTGCATGTCCAATGCATTCCAGTTTTTGGAATGCAATCTTTCCATATGGTTCTCTTTCAACTATAGCACTATATGTTGATGAGTCACCATCAAACATATTCTTATATCTCAATCCTCTGGTAGCCATGGACCTCAAAATTCTGATAGCTCCACAAGTCTCCATGCTATTAGAACTTCCTTTATGGTTTATTTTGCAGATGTGGGAAGCCTTCCATTCATTGTATCTCACATCATGCTCTTTCTTTTGCCACTTCAAGCACTGCTGGCATTTGTCTGAAAGAACTTCTATATCCAGACATTTCTTAGTGTCCAGCGATATAGCAGTGACAACACCGTTATGGGAGGTATGCCTCTTTTGCCATGTCCCATCAAGTGAGATGCCACATTCTCCATTCTCATTGTCAAGTCCTTCTTTCATTTTCATTGCACAAGACAACATACTGTCATTGGCCAACTGTTTCACAACAGGCAATAGTTTCTTATTTTGAATATTGGTGAAGTTTTGGCGACTTAGAGGAGCTGGCATGTTCATCACCTTGTTGAATGTAAGCATGGCGGAGTGTCCACGACCAATTTCACGAAATGCCAACACTGCTCTAACATTTATTTCATGGGAGTGACCTTGCTTCTTCGATGTATTAAAGCAATATTTCCACTCACATTCATCACTAAGACATTCAAGGATTATGTAATGGGAATAGCCATTTTTCTTCCTCATGTCAAGATGAGAGTGTATATTACCACCACACTCGGGACAATAAAACATCATAAACACTTCAAAAAGCACAGACAAGTCAATGAAAATTGTACCTTCATTGACGTTTTTCATTGGAGGTGGACATTGTCGAATTTTCTCCGTGTTGGTGCCAATTTTCATCCCGGAAGGGCCAGGATTTTCATCACAGTATCGGCCACGTTTGGCCATCTTCTTGATTTTTGATGGCGGAGTTCTAACCGCTTTTCTCTTTTTATTCCGTTTATTTCCCATAATTTTTAAAAGTAAGAATTACAAAAAATATACGAAAAATCAAATAAAACAAATATTTCAGGCGTAACTTAGTAAAACAAAGACTATTCTGACGATTTCAAGAGAGCACTTTCGAACCGCACGAGGCGAGCAAAGCGGTATGATTAGATGTCTTCGAGTCGTTGCTATGCCGACTAAATCCTACCAATTACAATGAATCTTTCCATAAGAGCTCTGAATAACATACACCAAAAGTACAGCTCGAAAACAGCTATTTTTTTGCTTTTTTTGTGGGTGAAATATGGTTAAAAACACGTTGCTATGGCGTTGCTAAGGTCGAAAATTTAGGACATGGTCTCTTTGGTGGCTTTTTTTTGATATTTTGCATTATTCTATCGCAAAATAGATCCTATGTTCATCAAGTACAATAATCAAAGTAACATAAACTGCAAAAAAAATTTTTCCAAAAAATTTGAAAAAAAACGTGTCTGAAAGGGAGATGACCACCTTAAAGCAGCCCACTGCCGCACTGTACTGAATTTCTCAAGTATGTTGATATTGCACATATCTTGAATAAAAGAATGTCAACAATCGATTCATTTAGTTCGGGTTGTGTCACTAAAAAGTGACATAATGCAGCGTATATCTTCAAAGTCATATACATATAAATGTCCGTTTTTGAATTTCTAAATCGACGCCAGGGTTGCTAGGCTCCAACAGTTTCTTATGGCCAAATATTTTTTGAAAAACAGCCAAGTTCCAGCAAGAGGGAACTCTTTTCCTTCAGCTTTGGTCGTCATGGGTGTTTGTTACATGGGATGTTACTCAATGTCACCCTGCTAAAAATACTTAACATACGTAGCCATGCATTATGGGAATTGACACGTGAATACCATGATGTACGTCACTACAAATACCTCTCTCACTGAAGGTCAAATTGAGAGGCTTACATATCAAAAAGATTTTCACATTTAAAATCAATACCATTCTAAAACTCAGCCAAATTGTCATTCTAGTTTTCTGTGGCCAAAGAATAAAAGAATAAAATTGAGTTACTCGGCCACAGCCAAGCTAACTTACCAACCCTGATCTAGTAAGGCAATTAAAAATAAAAGAGAAAAAGAGAAAACATTTTAACTTCCATTACAGTGAAGTTACAATGAGACGTCACGCAGAAACACCTTATTTTATCCAAGTTGAAAAAAGACACAATTAAACGATTCTTTTAAAAATGGTGAAATTTCCATTCAATCTGTATTATTTTTAGCGTTCACGAAAGTTGCACTAAAGCTGTCGGCGATCACGTTTCAACGACGCAGTTGACGGACAACAGAGAAAGACTACCTGTATCCAACAGCAAAGAAATTGGTTTAAAGGTACAGTTATGAAATACTTTTTCTTAGTTTCACATAATGACTGCAATGTAAACTATAATGCACGTTTACTAAGTTTAATCTAACAAATTTCATTGTTTATAGTAAACACCTTATTTTATAGGTTTATTAATATAAAATATATTAAAATAATGCAACACAATGTCGCCAATACTTAGCATTAACTATAAATCTCATTTGACAACTAAACGCTTTCAAATATTTCTTGACGTAATATGTAACTTGCATCAAAATCATTCTAGTGTTGTGTTATATTTTGAACTAATGCATAAATATGGGAGCGTATATTATGTGAAATTATGTTTTCTCTGACTTGTTATTACGCAGCGAATACAATATAATATCTATTTGCTGACGTTTCGTTTAGTTCAGTTAAAGAATTGCCACACACATTGGTATCGTTGATTTATTGTCTTTTATAAAGCTGTCTTGTATACTTGTTATTTCAAGATTTCCACTCGCTTAATGTGTTAAGGTCAACAAAATCATGCTTTTGACATATCAGCCAACCGTCAATCCATTCTGTGTTCATTCATTCAGATTTAATAGCAGAACCAGACTAAGTACTTATGCGCATGCGTAAAGGAAGAGTAATATTTTTGGTGCTAAAGGTGTGGCAAACTTCTCTGAAGGTCTTGAGCATACATATCGCAAATTTTCAAACCTGGAATACATGAAATGCCATTTGTGCTTTTGCAAGGAAAGAATGCCTCTTCTCCAAGTTGTCAGTTTGGATTTAAGCTGTATTTATAACATAATAATTTGATGTACTAATAGGACACCTAATCACCAAACATAGATGACATTAATGTTAATTATGTTATAGTTTTACATGAAACCATCTCCTATCTACGCTACGACATGTTATTCATAATCCATACATCATTCCTATCAATTAATACTTATTTCTTTTATCGCTAGGAATTTTTCATTTATTAGGAAATTATTCGCCCCATAGTGGTTCGGCTATGTTGTTGCAGTGAGATGATTGCAAAACAAACAATTTTTTATGGCCCATTCCGATACGGCAGCTTGTGGGGCAACTTTTCGAATGCTGTCGAATGACTTTAGTTGACATTCATATATATTTAAAGACGACGGTGTTTTGCCAAGTATTTCTATTTTCAGAATTCGTGTCATATCACTAGTATTTAAATTAGACATATCACTAGTATTTAAACTAGTAAGTAAATTGTACTCTATTTCATTTAATACATTAAGATGCATCATTGAACCAGCATAAACAACTAAATGAGAGTTGATACTCTTGGGTGCACAATCAACATAAGTAAAATGACATAAGACAATGACTAGTCTCCATCAGTGTTAAATAAGTAAAATGACATAAGACAACGACTAGTCTCCATCAGTGCTATAAAATCAGTGTTAAAACTGAATCCCAGCCAAAAATTTCACAAATTGCATCTGTTGTAACGACAATTTTACAACAGCATTTTTAAGCATGGGAAAAAATAAATGCTCATGTAACGAGAGCGGCAAGAAATGGAAATATAGACCCCACGCTTCACCAACACATGAAAGATGCGCCACATCACAAAAATTTTGACACTACCACATGGCTTTGATTTAAAGTAACCTTTAATTAAATGCTATGTAACACTCAGCATTTGCAAAAAAAATTCAAATTCATCACGTCTATAGAACAAAAAATGCAAACATAATACAAACATATGTTTTGTTTCTATTTCAGGAATTTTTTGGTAAAATTGCAACTCATTCAATGGAATGTACGAGGAGAAAACAAGGAAAGTTTCATTATGATGTTAAAAATGGTAAATTATTATTATGTTACAACAACGAGTGGCGTGAAATGGGTTGGAAATTAAACAAAAAGGAAGCAAAGTTACCATCGTCATGTCTTGATGCAAAGTTGAAAGGTTTGGGTAAAAATGATGGATTGTTCTGGATAAACCCTCAGGAAGAAGACGATTTACATAATTCATTCTTAGCTTACTGCGATATGACTACAGCAGGTGGTGGATGGACTCTAGTGGCAAAAATTACACATGACTATGCCTGGATATGTCCTGAAAGAAAAGGTTCCAATTGCCTCAATTCTAATGTTGATCCACTTACCGCTAATCTTTTTCATAAAGTACATGCTCGTGACTTCGTTGATCTTACGATTTCGTCGGATGAAAATTCAGGAATTCATTTGAGAAACGAAATCATCAGAAAGTTGTTCGTCGGTGAGCTTTAAATGAGATAAAATTGTAGGTTTACATGACAGAATTAAAATAGTCAGGTACAAGCAAGCAAAGCTTCGCTAAGGTGTTGTTTGGGATTGAAACTTCCAAATATAAATCAAAATATCAAAATATAATAACAATTGCCACAGCTTGTATACTTTAAGCTGCTGTCCCATTATGTGCTTTTGACTTATTAATGATTAGTAATATTTGTACATGTGTTCATTAAAACATCTCTTTCTCTCGTCCTTTGTTTCTCATCTAAGTGATTTCAGTGTAAGCAACATTTACTGATTTACTGAAAGAAAATATCTGTTAAACTTTAACGTTAAAGTATCATTTAGGTGGTCGACGGTCAGTGCGGTTTTCATTCGTCACATCATCAGAGGGCTGGACTCCAAGCGAGGATGCGTACGCAGCTTTTAGCTATGCAAACACAAGCAAAATATTTCTTGGAAAAACACTGGCTGATTATTCTCGTGTAAATGGTGATTACACATGGAATGTCCTGCGCCATGATCGCAAACATCTCAGTTTTACAGGTAAGGACCTTCACGATAAAAAAGTCGAAAATAAATACAATATAACACCGTTTTTAAAATGCTTGCAAACCTCAAGCAAGATTCCCGTCACTGCACTTTTTTTTGTTGAAAAATTACGTCACCTACAGATAATTTTAATGTCGTGTAGGTGGCATAGAGCTAAGATAATCACAATCGAGATTGCATCCACATTGTATAATACTATTCTTTAACAGGTTCAATAATATGCTGGGGAATGGATGTTGATTCCGATTACCGCTACTATGATCAAGGTTTGCATGTTGGAACTCCAACAAGAGGAAATAAAAAATGCCATTTGTCCAACGACGAAAACGAAGTCATGCTAAAAAGCCACTACGCGCGTTTAAACAGTTCTGGTCGAAGTGCAGAATGGGACAGAGCACAATTTGGATTTCTAGGCTCACAATTTCTTCAAGCTCCATGCCAAAGAATTGCCCTCTGGGTTCGATAGCAAAATTTATTTATTTCTGTAATAGAGAATTCAACCTTGAAATATAATTGAACTAAAATATACCTTCATTTAAACAAAAAACTTTAAAAAATATTATTTGCATATTACATCAAAGCTGTTATTTCTCACACATGACCCACAAGATAAGTATGCAATGGAAAGTCACAAACATTCAACCATCATGTACTGTTATTTAATTAACATAAATTCATATGTTTTTAAAGTGACTTATTCAAAGTATACAAACAGTAGCTATAAAATATCCTGTTTCCTGTAAAACTAAACAGTTGTACAAGAACTTTGGTATGGACATCAATTGACAAAGCTCGGTTTTTGGTAAAAATACAGCTACACATGCAAAATGTTGTTAAATCAATCAATTGAATTTCACATTTCATAACAATTTCTTCCAAATCAATGAGTGCATTGTAGGGCTATTCATTGAAGATAGGTTCATAACGGTATGCGCATCGAAAGTGTGTTTATTAAAGGTGTGTTCACTGAAGGTGTGCTCATTAAAGGTGTGCTTATTGAAGGTGTGTTCATTGAAAGTGTGTTCATTAAAGGTGTGTTTATTGAAGGTGTGTTCATTGAAGGTGTGTTCATTGAAGGTGTGTTTATTGAAGGTGTGTTTATTGAAGGTGTGTTTATTGAAGCTGTGTTCATTGGAGGTGTGTTCACTGAAGGTGTGTTCATTAAAGGTGTGTTTATTGAAGGTGTGTTCATTGAAAATGTGTTCATTAAAGGTGTGTTCATTGAAAGTGTGTTTATTGAAGGTGTGTTTATTGAAGGTGTGTTTATTGAAGGTGTGTTTATTGAAGGTGTGTTCATTGAAGGTGTGTTCATTAAAGGTGTGTTAATTGAGGTGTGTTCATTGAAGGTGTGTTCATTGAAGGTGTGTTCATTAAAGGTGTGTTCATCGAAGGTGTGTTCATCGAAGGTGTGTTCATTGAAGATGTGTTCATTGAAGGTGTGTTTATTGAAGGAGTGTTCATCAAAGGTGTGTTCATCAAAGGTGTGTTTATTGAAGGTGTGTTCACTGAAGGTGTGTTCATTAAAGTTGTGTTTATTGAAGATGTGTTCATTGAAAATGTGTTCATCAAAGGTGTGTTCATTGAAAGTGTGTTCATTGAAGGTGTGTTCATTGGAGGTGTGTTCATTGAAGCTGTGTTCATTGGAGGTGTGTTCATTGAAGCTGTGTTCATTGTAAGTACCATTGTTCATTGTATGTTCATAAAACGTAAGCTTATACTTGGTTTGCAAGCTACATCATAGCTGTCTCTGTTGAGTAATTTTAACAAAGGATTTTCCTTATTTACAATGCAAATTCCATCCAACATGGCAAACATTCCATTATTCTCTTACTCCCTGGGGAATGGTTGTAAGCCACCAATTGAACGCATGTTCCTTGAAAGTGTGTTCTCAAAATTTTTTTCCACCCATCCACAGTGTAGTAAAATTTTTCAGTGCCACATAACACAAGTGGTGAGATATTAAGATTAGATTACAAGTTAAAATAAAAGTTATAAAAGTCGTTTTTGAAAATTATACCATAAAAACAAAAACGCCATCATTTGAAATCACCAAAGCTACTTCATTGAGTTACAGAGCTACACATAAACATGTTAGTATTGTGTGATGAGATTATAAAGAGACAATCTCCAGTGAGCACAAGACATACTTTCTAGTCTCTGGGATCATGTGAATTGATCAATTAAAGTACAAACTGATCAATAATAATGCAACTTGACAATGACAATAAAAACTGATCAATATTCAATAATTATATAAAATGATCAATAACTATTAAAACTGATCAATGATATTAAAAACTGTTCTATGATAATACAAGCAGTTCAAATTAATCAACGAAATAAATAAGTTCAAATAAGTTCAACAAACAATCCCTCACCTTATGTATCTTGATATTTCACCAGAAAGTTGCAAATAAATGGGAAAAAACGTGAATAAAACCACATAACGTTTTGATTAAATTTGAAAGCCAAGTTTCACTTAACTACAGAGTAACATCAAATAGCACAAATATAGATTCTGACTTCGTTATCCTTTCGAGTTGGTGTAAGTAGTGATGGACTGATGGGTGATATCAGTCAGATACCAATGGGTGATACAAACAATATGTTCAATAAATTCACTCAACACTGAATTATAGCCTTCGAGCCTGCAATGTTTTTGCTCAACAACAACAACAAACATGTGTTAGCGCCATTTTAGCGCCCATCGATAATCGACCAATGAAACAGCAGGCAAAGGGCAACCTATGACAATTGATGACAATGGTTAATAATACCACGTGATGTTGTAACAAAGGCATTTGTTGTTGTAAAAGATATTTGCTTAGCCCAAGAATCTTTAGCATTGGCAAGTAGGGTCACCTTGAGTAACCCCTCCTAGAGAAACTTGGTTTAGAACTATTTAGTAGTGCAGTTAATTGCTTTAAAGTAAAACAAGTTGTTAATCAACTCTAGCAGTGAAATAAAACACGTAATGAACCTTTTGTAGCGAACACCTTACGCCATCCGTTGTTATGTATCTTGAAATATTGAGAAGAGAAAAGTTTCTTCTCAGATATTCCACTTCCTCAAGAAACAAGAAAACGTTGTTTGACTATTCTCTAATTTCTCTTTGATAATCAGTATACTGTTGTTGAATGCAACAGAATCTTTTGGTTTAGTTACATTGTTTTTCATTTCAATCACTTTCATCACTATTTTATAACTTTCATATCCTTGAAGTGAAACATTCAAGGCAATAACCCCTACAGAGTATCGTATCACATATCATACCATGTCAACAAAATAAAGCTTTACAATTGCTCAAATTTACATTGAGGTTATGGCTTGGATTGAGTTTGCCCCTTTGCGTATACCACTTCACCGACGAATTGAGACCGCTGCAGTGGCCGTCTTTTATTATTCTTTTTATTTTGGTGCTTTTGCTGGTACATGTATAATAATTGGCCTGTTTTTCACTTCATATTATCCACTTGCATTGCTATATTTATCTTGGGCATACATCTTTGATTATGGCACACCAAGTCATGGTGGACGGCGTGTTGAGTTTTTCGTCGATTAAGATTGTGGAAATATTTCCGAGACTATTTTCCAATCACTCTTATCAAGACTGCAGAACTTGATCCAGAGAAGAACTACATATTTGGTTATCACCCACATGGAATTCTTTGCGCAGGTGCATTTTGCAATTTTGCGACAGACGCAACGAACTTCTCGACGGTCTTTCCTGGTATTATTCCTCATCTTTTGCCACTAATGGGTAAGTCTGTCGATTGAAAAATTTTAAGTAAGACAATTTAGATTACAAGGAGTTAGAAGCGTTGTTTGTAATTCTTGAGCAATGAGGTCCAAGGATTTTTAATCAGACTAAATATGTACAGGCTATTTGAAGTGCGAAGAAATCAGATCCTGGAAGGCACTGATGATAACAAAAACGTTACGCTTGTGTGTCAGTGTTTGCGTTGTGGCTTGCACAAATACTTTTATTTTAAAAAGTTAATTGTTTATTGAATTGGAGTTATATAAAGTTAATTGGGAGCGAATCATAGGTATATTTTGAGCTAATCACAAGAGCATTACAGTGACTTTTCACTGATGATTTGTTGATGACTAAAAGATCTGAATCCATGGAAGTAAAGAAAGCAAAACTCATTTTCCATTTAATGAAGGCATCGGGTTCAAAATGAGCAATATAAGTTAAAAATTTACATTCCTTACAAAAGACATAAAATGAGAAAGGCAGAGTTTGCGTTGGAAATGATGTCTTTAAAAAAGGAGAGAGTCATCACTCCGCCTTTTCTACCGTGTTCTATTTGATCTTGTTGTACTTTGCAATTTTGCATTGGAGTTGGAAATTATGAAGATTTGAGCTTATAGTCATAGTCTTCGTTTCTAAATATGGTGACAGGTCAACAAAGTGTAAAGAAAATATTTGCATGCGAACAGGAAAGGATTATCTGTTTTGTGTTGGGTAATTGCTTCATGAACACATGAAGGATCGTCCTCGAGTAAATTTGCTGTGGGGAAGGAAGGAGTATGTGTCCACTCTAGCCTCCAAAAAATGGAACACACATAAATACACACACTCATACACACATCATGTTCTATGTTATAACAAAAACTATTGGTGTTTCCACTGGCACTTTATACTATAATAAGCATTCAAAAATGGTTAAGTCCTAAGTACATTGGCGTTTGTTTTCCAATATTTTCTTTTTTAGCTCTTTTTAGACCGCCATTGTTTCGTGATTACATCATGCTATCTGGAATGTGTGATGTCACCCGTGAAAGTTGTGAATACATTTTGACAAAAAAAGGCGCTGGTAATTCTGTTGTGATTGCAGTTGGTGGTTCAGCTGAAGCGTTGGACGCACATCCGGGTACTTACACTCTCACTCTGAAGAATCGAAAAGGATTTATAAAACTTGCGCTTAAAACAGGGTAAAAAATATGATATACTAGCGAGTTTTGTTATCTGTGCACTACATCATCAAAAAATTAGATGAAAATGGTGATGATTTTATTTAATAAATAAGACAGTAACACAAATTAAAAAAGCAAGCTACTGCTCTACAAACTTATGTGATCTCATCGTAAGTATAGTTTTTTTATTTTAGATCATCTCTTGTTCCAGTGTTTTCATTTGGTGAAAATGATATTTTCAAACAAGTCAGTAATCCCCGAGGTTCTCGTTTGCGAGAAATACAAACAAAAATTCAAAAGACTATTGCTTTTGCCCCAGTGTTTTTTTATGGTCGCGGTATATTTCAGTATAGTTTTGGTCTTTTACCTCACAGGAAGCCAATACACACCATTGGTAAGAAATCTTTATTTAACATTGTTTTCTCGTGGATCAGATCAATAACATGAACAAAATCTTGACTGGGTAACTTGAGATGTTCATTTCTGAAGGACTCTTGACTTTTAATGGCATTTGCAAGTTCCCCAAATTCATTACAATTAGCTAAAATTCAATTTTACTAAAAGTAATAAGCAAAATCCCTACAAACGAACAACCAAGGATAAAGAATTGAATGACGATGGGAGACTTTTATACCAGGCAGGAAAGCGTTGGAAAGCATGGCTAGAATTACGGAAAGCTAATAAACAAACAAAAAACATACATTTTAGCTAAAATACAGAGAGAAAAAAGTCATGTTTAGAAAAAAATGACAAGAAACAGAAACTACTTTCAAGTAGAAGCTATCTATGAAAAAGTAGATAGTGAAGACTTGACTGTGCGTTATTTTTAAACAAAGTAGAGCAACATGTTCAATTGAAATATAATTTACATTTTATGAAATGGCAATTTAAATTGACTTTGTTTAAGTTGGACACGCGATACAAGTGGAAAAAAGAACGTCTCCTAGCGATGAAGAGGTTGATTTATTACATGCAAAATATACCGATGCTTTGGAGAAGCTTTTTGAAGAAAACAAACAGAAGTATGGTGTGCCATTAGAGACAAGATTGGAATTTGTTTAAAACCAACTAAACTTTTACAATACACCCACATTTAACTATATATAGCATGTTTTCTAAACAATGATTAACGATTATTCCTAAATATTCTCAAACGTTGTATATACAGTCAAATGGTGAATACATATTATAAAAAAATAGAAAACTAACCAGTCATCTTGTTCATCGTGTTATGATTGTTTGCCATTCGTATTTTTTAAACATAAATGGATAAGAAAATATAGATCAATAAAAAGAATTGTGAAACAATAAATTCACGAACATTTTAGCAATTTATGGTAAAATTTTTATGTTGAATGTAAGATTGCAGTTTGCGTGATATAACAATATTACAACACGACAAAGATCGCCATGTAACCTGTCTTATTTTGCTACAAAAACGAACTAGTGCTGGAAAATACAACACAAAAACACAAATATTAGTAAATAATACATTTATGTAGATTACGCCAACCACATTCGAACATTAGAATCAAAATTTTTCATACATAGTTCGCATCATATTTTATTTAAAAAATTTCATCACAAACTTGTGTGTTATTTTATTTTAATTATATATAATTCTGAAAACTCTCATCGATGACTTTTCTCAACAGTATCATCAAGACACACACGAGCGATCTATGACAATTTGTTTAACTTTCTGCATATTAAAATATTTGCAACTTTGCAATCAAAACGCCCTTTTTTCACAATATTTACATGTCTTAACGACCCTTTACTCAGTGAATAAAAAGTCTATTGTTAGAATTTATGATCTTCTATAGCATGATTCAGAAATACATCTGACATATGCAGGTTCAAACAAAGATGTATTGCTCCAGGAATGCGTTTACGTAAATACTTGAAATTTGTCCATTTTCATACAAACCGTTAAAATTTCCAAATAAAATCCACAGTCGCTCATCGCCTGTCCAAATATGTTCCTTCATCAATAAATGTTTATTCTTTACAGTTAGGATGTAATATTTTCTTGGGTCTTCCACTATTAATGTCGCTGAGTTGCTTCCTTAGCAGCCATAATTAAAGGAACAAGACTTGCTAATGGTTTGGCATTCTTCAGAAATGGATGCTAAAAAGAAAAATTTTAAGCCTAAGAAATTTGAAAAGCTTTCGTGAACATAACTTACAGTATAAAAGCGGGGGGGGGGAAGACGACTACAAAAGAAAAAGAAGGGAAAAGGACACATTTCTATTTGCAACTTTCCTATAATCGATTCAGTAAGTATTGTTTCTTTAGTTTTGTTGCAAATTCATAAGATAAAATGTCAGTTAATTTATTCCTACGTTCAATATTAGTTAAATAAAGATATAAGATCAATGGAGAAAGAGATAAGAGAGGTTAAAGAGATATGATACGTCCAAATGATAGACAGCCGTCGTAAATATTAAATATTTACTGAAAGCAAAAAATATTTAACTCAAAAATGTGAAATTGTTTCTGAAATCATTATAAACAATCATTTGAAGAAATATGGTTAAATAATACTAAAAATTAAATTAAGATTTAAATTATACTAAGAACAGACATTTCTAAGGAATAACCAAAAATCATTTGAAAATCATTTGAAGTTTATGGTTTACCTGGAGGTGTTCCGTTAGTAGCAATCAAGTACAACGCCTACGCAAGATAATTCATAACACAACAGAGTTGAAGAAAATACGTTAAAAAAAATACTGATGTACGCCTACGCAAGATAATTCATAACACAACAGAGTTGAAGAAAATACGTTAAAAAAAATACTGAGAGTCACTCACTCTGAGAGGATTTTCATTAAGATATGGAGGTTCGCCTTCAACCATTTCAATTGCCATAATCCCTAAGCTCCAAATATCAACCTTAAAAAAAATATAATCTTACTTCCAAAGAATTTAATTTCATACGACATACGTAGCTCATACGTAGCTCATACGTAGCTCATACGTAGCTCATACGTAGCTCATACGTAGCTCATACGTAGCTCATACGTCAATACCTTTGGTCCATACGCTTTTCTAGTGACAACTTCAGGCGCCATCCAATAAGGTGTTCCAACCATAGTTGAACGTTTACTCTGTTCTGGCGTTATTGTTGCACAAAAACCGAAATCAGCTATAAAAAACAAAGCAAAAGAATTAACTTAAACAGACAACAGACCAGTATTTCAAAAATCTTGAAGTCTATTTTTGCTAAATTACACTCAAAAGTTGTTGAACAAAAACTTACAATATACAAATATCATCACTGATGAAAATGAGTTGTAGTTTAAGTTGAACAGTTCAGATATCGTTACTTTTAATCACATGTCTGTGATGAGTGTTTGAAACTTACTTAACTTTACGTTACCATCCATTCCCAATAAAATGTTATCACTTTTGATATCTCGATGAATGACGCCATTACTGTGAAGAAATTCTAAAGCTTGTAGAACCTGCATAAGAACGATAGATTGTAAATAATTTAACCCAAATAAGCATCTCTATATTATAATCCATACGCATGTTAATCACGTGACGAATGTACCTCGCGACATACGGCAGCTATTTGTCCTTCATCCATACATGTCTCTGTGACAACATCAGTTAATGAGCCACCAGCAAGATAGTCCATAACAACCTATATTTTATTAAAGATATTTTAAGACGATTCTAATCCCATTTTTGCTCTCCCTACAGTACACGCAATGTTTTCGTTAACATTTGCCATCCATTGATTTTTTACCTTCTCCTAACACTACTTCTACACAAACTTAGCACGAAGACCCAGACATTTCTACTACACGTATGTACATGTAACTATAATGAGGGAAAAGAATTCGAAATAATTTTAAAGCATTTAATACCCAAAGTTCTTCACCGACAAGATAACTGTCTACATAATTGACTATGTTCGCATGTTTGTTTTCTCGCATGACTAGAATTTCGTTGATAATAAGCTCCTATAAAACAAAACATCATTACGTGTATTTTAAAAAAAATTATCATGATAAAATGTCTGACTATAGTACCTTCTTCGGCTGTTGTGAAAGATTCATTTGTTTGATGGCAACCTGTAAATAATTAAACACACACGAAAAGAAATTTTAAGTCGCATATATTTTGTCAGATGAAGAAGTTTTATAAAGTAAACGACCTCGTGTCCAGTAGCGACGTCAATAGCAGTGTATACCGTCCCTGAAGCACTATATTAACAAGGATATAAAGTTATTGTCGGTTTTTAGTTCCAACGTACAAATCACGAAGAGTCGTCATAAAAATATAACGCCAAAAATAGCTGCATAGTTGACTAAAAACATACATACCCTTGACCAATTTTCACAAACTTTGTATATTTCTTTTTGGGATCTCGTACTGTAACAATTGTTCCTTTAATTAAAAACGAAACAAGCCGTAAATTTTAAATAAAAATGCAAATAGCTTGAATTTTTAAAAGTTCTTACTCAGCCGAGAAAGTATTTCTTCATCGGTCATTTTCTTTTTCTTCTGTTTTGTCTGAGCGTTTTTATCATTAGCTAAAATATTCAGAATATCAGCTAAAATATTCATTCGTATATACAGGAACGTATGTGTGACATTTGTTTACTTGCAAAATTTATAAATTCTATTAATGAAACTATCGGCCATCTGAGCCAACTTCATCACATTAAGTTCACAAACTTTAATTATTCGTTTATCTTTATGGACACCGATTGGTGAAAAACAGTTAAACAGTTGCATTTGCGCATGGCTAAAAATACGTATAAGACGTATGAATTCTGAAGCTATCATTTTCCAGTCATAAGAAAAGTCGTATGTCCAATACAAAAAACTTAGATTCATTCTTATATGATTATATTTCGCAGACAATATGATAGTCACAAAACAGTTTTGCTTTGGATTTCACTTGAGGTTTGGATGTTTAAACTTTAAATTACCTTCCTTTTCCTCTGGTTTACCAGACGGTTTTACTGATTCATTAGGAATGTACTAAATATAAAAACGTGCTGAGATAAGCTTCATAAGTTGTACACAAATTCAATATAAATCGTCTAGGAGCCTTGTGATTGCGTGTATGTATATCCATGTAAATCAACACAATCCGGGAAGTGGAAAGTTGTTGTGAGTTTTCATATGAACGATATGTTTACATTTAAGAAAGATATGCCTCAAACAAAGATTTCTTTCGTGAATTTAATTTTAGATACATGAGAATATCGCAGTTTCCGAAGTAAGTTTGTCGAACACGTGTCAAAAATGCAAAACATTTCAACAAAACTATATTGCTATAATATTGTATCTATAATATCTCTCAAAAATTGTGGGTCAAAATTTGTTGACGAGTCAATTACGTCATTGAAGACACTTTATGTGTAACTTAGGAGTAGCTCATGACGTAACAGCAAAAATCCATTCATGTTTGGTTAAAGCAGATGTTACAAAATAAGTAAATAAAATATATAATAGTTTGATATGAATAAACTATGTACATTTAAAATATGGTTATAAACTTTGCGAACATCATGAGGATTGGAAACGTTATTTAAATGTTTCAAGTCTTAGACGCCTTTGTGTTAACGTTGACGAACATCTTGGGTAGACACAATTTTTAGTTTATCCCACTGTGACTTTTCTAACAGTTAAGTTTCCTATACTGAAGGAGAATCTTACCCTCTCAAACATGAAGAGTGAAGCATAAGTTAGCTGGGGGGTGGGGTGGGGGTGGGGTGGTTACTTGAGTGCAATTAAGTTATGATTTAACTAACTGAGGAATAAACTGGAAGTTAGTTTGATGCAATAAAATGTAAGAAACGGTCTAGAAAAACATAAGATACATCATATGAAACCTACGGTACAAAAATATTTAAGTGAAGAACATTGCTGATCGGACAATAAACATGAAAAAGTATCATTAGATATGGTCGTATTATCTTTGACGTCTTTACGCTCAATTTTGCTTCCTTATCAAAATTTCTTACACAGATTAAGGGTGATTAAAAAAGGAAAGTCTAAATAGTAATAGCACCTTTGATTTGGTAATTTCTGGTCGAGATGGAACAGTCGGTGGTTTTTGTGGCTGACTCGAGGGAAGAGTCGTGTGATTATCATTTCTTCCACTTTTACTATCCTACAATCACAAATACAAATGGAAAATTTAAATTTTTTCATAAATGAGTAATTATAGTGTGGCAACATTTCAAAAACATTTTTAAGCAGAAAAATTTTCCACTTCTTGTCCACGACTTGAAACAAATCTTAGAAGTTTCAACAACATTATACCAAAAGAAATATTTTGAAATTCCATCATATAGCTACTCACATCTTTAACAGGGGGTGATAAATTGCTTTGAGGATGAGTATTTGATGATACTGTTTCATCTAAAGAAAAATTCTCGTGTCAGGATGTGTAGCTATGGCAACACAGGATATCTGCAAACATCAGCAGAGGTATAATCTTTGGCCATGTGATAGTAAGACAGTACAAATTAAAAAAAAATGGAACTATTTCAATTTTATAGATACCTTCGTACTTTCGGTTAAAACATTTAAAGATGTGAAGATTTAGGTGTTAGATATTGGGAATAAATACATTTCAAAGTATTCTGTGATCTAAATACTAACCTTTAAGTTCTTTAAGTTATCATAATATAAATTAATGTTTCAGGTATAGACTTCAGTAAATTTTAACACTGAAGTAGTTATCAGTGACAGAATTAACTTGATTATTTTAGATTACCTCTGACGGCATTGATGCCAGCATCAAGGGAGCCAGTACGAGGCCGTGAGTAAAAGTGTGTCATCATTTTAGTAGAGTTTGGTGGCGATTTACTTTTTCTACAGTTATTGTGAACAACATCAGGAAGAGATTTACTGGGAGTTAAATAATGGTTACCGGGTAATGTTTTATCACCTCCATTACAGTTTACGGCATTAGTTTCAGTTTTAAAAATTTTGAGTCTTGATTTGAATGAGTGAGATTTAGCTATTCCTGTTACTGACTTTTTGTTTGTAGTTTTAACTGATTTATTAAGAACAGGTGAATTATAACCAGTACTTGACGATGAGGCAGATGACGATGATGATGAAGAAACCAAAGATGTGTCTAAAAATTATTGGTGAAATATTCACGAATTATTTTACAAGAAAACATTCAACAAATGCCAATGTGGACAGTTAGTTCTTCTTAACATTTCTTGGACTTGTTTTTTAAATATGTGACTGCAACGCCAACATCCACATTAAATTAATTAATTTAAGTAAATGTATTAAAAGAACTAAATGATTAGGCAATTTGTGTTAATGAAAACATTTTATAATTTATATTATAAAATTGCTGCTCAAGCATTAAGTTTTATAAAATATGTTTTTTTAGTGAATATGTTACGTATATTTCATGATGTGAACATTTTTGAACGACTGAGAATTTATTTTATATCTAGTAATGAAGCAGTACATATGATCATATTGATAGGTTTTAGGCATCATCCCAATGTAAATCTTTCTTTAGTAGAAACATACATTCAGAAATAGTGACATGGATAAATATTGATTAAGTAGATTGAAAAATTGTTCATTAACCAGGACAGTTGTTCATAAATAATGTTGATAAACCTTTGCAAGATGAGTAAATCAGTAAATGTCTTGCAAACAATTTTCAACCAATGTCAAGCAGATGATGAATAAAATGAAAAAATATTCAAAATGCTTATTTTGACGTATGGTTACAAGTACCTTTCACAACAGATATTTTTATGGATTCTTTTCAAAACGATGGTATAAACATTAGCTGTGATCAAATTTTGATTTCTTGCTCTACAGACTTTTGATCACAAAATTATGCGTACTTACTATATGGTTTAGACACTTGCATGTACTTTGCTGGTTCCGATTCTTTGTTTGCACTGTCATAAAAATTCAAAACATCTAGAATTGCCTGAAAAAAATACAGATTATGTTGTAATAATTATTAGCACATAATTATTTAACAAAACAAAATAGCTATACTCATAGAAACTAAAAAATATCATTAAAATTGTCCCAAGATTGTATAAGTGTTTCAACATTTAATTTAATAATTGCAGGCAAAAATATGATAAATTAACTGTAGAAAAGCAAGGAAGGTGAAGAAACTACAGAAAATGAAATAACAATTCATAAATCAAAAATTAAATCATGTAATTCAGAAATAGAATTTTGACAAATTGGTTTAAACTACAATTTTCCGGACTGTTTTTTCACAAACTGAAACTTTTTCAATCTTCACAAGTGATAAAATTACACAAACATACAAATATTAATCAAAACTATTCAAAATTTTCTTCATTTCATACCTGAGGATTCTGCTGCTGTTCCTTTTTAGTTATGTTTGATGTTTGTAATAAAGTTTTCCATGACTCAGGCATACCCTAAACAGATAATTTTTTAAGAGATTTTTTCTTAGAATGGTGTAAATAAAATATATTTATCAAATTTGGAATAGACTCTCCATTGAAAATTCAAAAATAATGAAATACATTCTGAAGATTAAAGTATTTTTCATTATATAAAATTAGTTTGTTAAAAAACCCTGATTTAAAGTTAAGCAGCATGCTAACAATGATAAAGCCCAGCTAAAAAGTTTAGTTGTGCCATGTAAGTTTCTGAACATCATTTCTATTTATTTCTTAAGAAATCTACAGTTTTTGCAGTGAGTAGAAAATGAATATTTGCATGGCAAAACAAATGAACTGGCTATGCAATTGCAACTAAAATAATGGTACATGTAAGCAGTCTTTGAGCAAGACTATATTATTTACAAAATTACAAACTTTATTTTCTAAATATTCAAACTACATAGAACACATAACGTGGATATCATTGTAGATACCATTCATTATAATATCTAAAACATTTTTTAAAACTATGTTTAAATTTGTTGCTGGTAAAACTTGATCTTCATTTGGTAAATTACTGTTTTATTGTAGTACTAACTTTTTACCTCTTACAAGATTTATAAAACAATTTACAAACACGTAATAAGCAGTAGATGGTGTTGTAAAGGTTTTAAGTTTAAGTAACGACAAACCTGAGTCCACTTTACGCTATATAATTAATCCACACAAATATTCAAGTGTCATAGATATTGTTGAAAATTAACAATAAAATATCACATTGACAAAATCACATTACGTCCATTTAAAATATTTAAAGTAGGCCTATTATTTCTATTGGAATAATATTATTATTTATAGATAAAACTTTCAAAATATGAGTATATAATATGGGATAGAGATAATTTGTCCAGACAATCCCTTGTCAAAAATATGAAACGAGACACTGATCAAATTACTTGCAGGCAAAAATGGTGAAATGTGGTATGGATTTTTCTTATATTAGAAGCGATACTACAAAGCTGTACTGCAGTAAATTTTCATATAGCTGAAAAATAAAATCAATCGAGTTTCATAAAACGAAAACAGGCTTTCAAAACATGACAATCGCAAATCGAGCATTCACATCCGCATGAAATGTTGTCGCATAATGCAGCATATTTAGTTTCAAAAGTGAAGTCCATAACTGACCGTAAATTCACCAGTGACGGGGTCAAAACCCACATGAATTGTATGTTCAAACTTTGTAGGATATGAAATTTCTGGCTTTTTCTTGTTGTCTATGTACGAAAAAGGCAGAAATTATAAAAAATATAAAACAATTGTAACACAATAATCATACAAAGCAAACACTTATGTTCCACGGAATTAAACATAAATTTGAAACTTAAATACAAAACTTTACGTACATTTCTTATCGTCATCTCCTTTCATAGGAAAAAAAGTAAATGTTGCTTTCTTCTTTTTCTTGTCTCCATCAACAGGAGTGTTAGGAAGAGGTCTGGTTGATGCCGGTGATGTAGAATCTTTATGCGAAGTCGATCGCATTGGTGGCGCTGGGGGACAATCGCCGTCAGCCATTCTTCAAAATTCTCTGTTGCTTGTTCGTAAAAAGCCTTATGTACAGGTGAACAGTGCAGAAAACAGAATTGTTTAACAAAATTCCACAATCATATGTTGCATGCTAAAGCACTCCTACTCACTTCCTTTCGATATGCACGCCCGCAAAGACCAGAGGGTAATTCTAAATATAACTATGATACACACACATATATTAATGTATATAAAAAACGTGAATACAAAAAACTGCATAAATTTCATCATGAATTTAAAGTAGACTGGAAAATACAGGAACGTCTTCAAGTGAAGAAAAAGAAATCATTTTATTTCAGATGAGAGATGAGCCAATGATAATCTTAAGAGACTAGGAGTGAAGCTAGTTGTATAGAGTTACCATGGAAATTACTGTTTTAATAAATCATAAAGGCATTGTACACAGTAGTGTTCCTAACTTTCTGCATTGAGTGAAAAATTTTAGAGAAATGTTTTGTATCCTGTTCATGAGAGCCATTGCTACGTATTCCAAAATATTCAGGTATAAAGCAGATCAGAAACAAGCAAAAAGAATATGGTCTGAGCAGTTGAGAGAAAGTCAAAAATCGACTGCCATATTGATGTTAGACATTTGTTTATTCACCTTTTTCAAGGACTCACAAATTACAACAGTTTATAAATATGTAAAATTGAAATGTGTGCATTAACAGGTTATATTCCCAAATAAAATTCAAATGAAATTAGAGAAAGCAAATCACTGTTGTCCTTTCAAAAGAAAATTGATGCTCACATTTTCTACTACTTTCATTTTTTGTAACTACTTTACTTATAGTAAATTGTATGAAGATTATATTATATCTTGTATCTATTGTAACTTGTATCTATTGTAACTCGTATCTATTGTAACTTGTATCTATTATAACTTGTATCTATTATAACTTGTATCTATTGTAACTTGTATCTATTATAACTTGTATCTATTATAAATTGTATCTATTATAACTTGTATCTATTATAACTTGTATCTATTATAACTTGTATCTATTATAACTTGTATCGATTGTAACTTGTATCTACTGTAACTTGTATCTATTGTAACTTGTATCTATTATAAATTGTATCTATTATAACTTGTATCTATTGTAACTCGTATCTATTGTAACTTGTATCTATTATAACTTGTATCTATTATAACTTGTATCTATTATAACTTGTATCTATTATAACTTGTATCGATTGTAACTTGTATCTATTACTAATATCTTGCATGTAGCTCTATGTAAAAATAAGCTAACTTTATGAATTTTATACAATTTCCTTTGTTATTTTTATGCCCCCTGTGGAAATCAGCACAAATTCACAGGGTTAATGTGGGTAAATATCTTTTCTATATATCTATCTATGCATGATTAATTAGTGAAAAATGAATATATTTTAAAATAATATACATAACTTTAAATGTCTATACATTACGTAACAAATTAAGTTATATGTGTAACATATATTTATGTTTAATTCATTAAGGTTCATTGAATTTGTCAAGCTTCTGATAATACTTCAGTCGTTTAAAAAATATGGTTTTTGCAAAGCTATAAAGTTGCCGATCTAATCGTGTGACTTTACGGATTTGTAAAAGCTCGCTTGTGCTAACTTTCAACAGTTCATCACCACCCAGAGTTTCACTCACTGGCATTTGAAAGAACTTCCTCTTGAATTGAAGGCCAAAGGTCTTTTCAAAAAGGTACTGGCTTTCTCGTTGATATTCTAATAGAGCAAAATATGCCATTGATAAGAGATTCTGTTTAGCTGTTTTCAACATCATCCTTGCTATTTCTTTGCTGTGGTTGTAATACTCTGTACTATTATAACAACCAACCTCAGTCAGATTGGCCAACATTCGAGTTTGTCTATTAAAGGCTAAATTATGAGAGCAACCAAGGAACTCTGATAATTTCACATTACTCCAATTTGAACCCTTAAAGCAATAAGAAACAGTATATATCTTGTTGTTACATGTAAATATTGATGTCATCCATGTAGCTCCGCGTTGAACATGCTTGTATTCACTCAAAAATCGCTCAACGGGTTTACGTAATATAGTAATATAAAATAATCTAGTTTTACTGGCTCGATCTTCACCAAGGCGAGATTTCAGTACATTTGGCAAACAATCGTGCCATGTCGTCCAGTCTGCATGAAGACCACATACCCAGCCAGTAGAATATCTTGAATATAACCAAATTTCTTCATTGCCTGGTCGTTTACACATAAACCGTGATTTCTTTGCTATTTGGATCTTTTCACATTTCCTTTCAAGTACAAGATTTCTTACTAAAATCTTCCCAAATGCAGTCCCGCCTGTTTTTTGAATGTGCAAAAATACGATAACGTCGTTGCCAGTTATGTTAAATTGTTGCAATTTTACGAAAGAGTCTCGGAGTAAATGAATAAAGGTCTTATTTTTGTATAAAATTCTCCTCGTGTTTGTTACCATCGAGACATGTCCAATCTCTTCCGATATATTTTTGAAGTGAAAGGTTTCTATGTCGTCATTAAAGTATACAACCAGGGTTATGAACAGAACCAACAATATCATTACCTTTATTTTAAACATCATGTATTTATCAGCTTCATTTGCCCAAAGCAACTACCAAAGGCTTAAAAAGCACAAGTGAAATTCAAGACGCACAAGCAAATATTCAAAACATAATTGCTATATATACAATAATGCTTCGACATTGTTTCAAAATATTGCCTGCAGAAACGGGTGCTTTGATTATCTGCATAATTACATAAGGCGAAGAACTTTATCGCATTTCGTGCTATCAAATAATAAGATAATACAAGATGCGTACTGGGAAAGACGAGTAACTGGGATGGTAAAAACAAGACTCTAGGAGATGTCTAATGCACCCATTGATTGCACCATGAACTGTAATCAGCGTAATCAGCAAAGGGATTGCTACAATCCGATTTTGTCGGATCCAAAAAAACGGATTGTGTGAACACGTATAAAGTGTGGGCGCTTTCCTTTTGATGGAAAATGTGGAATTCTTGGTGAAAAATCAAATGGAACGTGATCTTCCATAGAAAATTGTTTCGGAAATTGCGGACAATCTCTTGAAGTTGTCCTCGAATAGGAAATTTCGAAACTTTCGATTTTTGACCAGGGATATACCAGAAGCGAATTCTTAATATAAATATTAAAGAACAGTAAAATGAATGGCTCTTTTAAAAGCACTTTTCTGGGCTTTCAATTTTTCTTTGTTCCTTTTAAATGGTTTCTGGTTTCTAGTTTGCGAAGATTTAATCGTCCACACCCACCATCCACAGATCGAAGAAATGGCGGGTCTTCGGTCAAAATATTTTCAATTTTGCGGACCTATGTATGGAAATGAGGAGCATTATACTCAAAGTCCAAATGGTAAGTGAATGGTAATAAGAGAAAGAATGAATAAATTATATTCATCCCTTTAGCAACCATTAGCAACAGCCTGCATTCGTTTAGGTCGTTCCAATTTGATGAAGAGCTTTCGGAAATTCAAACTGGTGTTTTTGGGCGAAAGGAAAGCGCCCTGTGTCTCCGACAGTCAGATCCGTCAATCTAAAAAATCGGATGAAGATCGAACTGCTCTATTTTCATCCAACAAGATCAAAGGAACTGACAAGTCGAACTACATAAATTTGACAAAGACTTGGAAACAAGAACAAAAAATACAAAAACTATATCGATAAATATATACTGGATAACACGAATGGCTGTTTACAAGACTACAAATATCTAAATGAATTTGTATAACAATAAAATTATCGAACCGTCTGAACAAGCAACCAAAAGTTGGTACCGAAACAATCGGGTCCGACAAATCATCGTGTGAACTGGTCTCCTTATATCAGTACTCTCCCACTCAAATTTCCTAGTTCCTTAGAAAAAGCGCGAAAATTCCTCAATTTATCACAAAAAGTGTCTGTTGCTCTTTTCTTTCGTATTTTTTCAACCTTTTTTCATGCTTATGAGCACAAAGCCACAAAAAATTCATCATAATTTTTGTAGTTTTGATGATCCTTTTGCTTGTTTATAAATGGCTGACTCGGAAGTAATTAAACTAATTCACTAATTCAAAGAATTGCATAATCTTATCATGAAAGAAAAATCAAGCTTGAAAGAAAAACGCTTGGATTTCTAAATACTACTTATATGTTTTAAGTGAAGGTGTTTTGGCCTTTGGGCAGCAAATTAGGTCAGTCGCTAACCTATATTTCTTTTAATATATACATTTTAAAAAATTTGCTGCATGAGTTTAGATTTAAAAATGTAGTTGGATTTAGACGAAACAGCTTTTTTTCTCATATTTTACACGAGAATATCATATAAAGCAAGAAAATTTATGTAATTAAGTGCGTATAGCTATGTTGCTACGTTTAAGTTTGCATAGCCTTTGTGTGGTAACTGGTAAGCTGATTATCGGCGTCTACAATGTTTTGGTGAAATTAACAAAATTCCTTAAAAAAATCCTCAAAAACATCAACTCTTTAAAAAAAACCCTTACAACTCACCGAAAATCCTATTTTTAAGGATAATTCCTTAAAAGTGAGAGCACTGCTTTAAACTCACGATCATGTAATAATTGACAGTTCAGTTCACTGACCAGTCCGCCTGGCTGCCATGCCTCTCGGCTTGTTTTATTTTTCTGTGATGTCAAACTAAACCCAAATAGTAGTGCATTTGAGATTGCGTACTAAGGATTGCAAGGGGTAGGTTACACTAACTCCTCTAAACATGGGGAGTACAGTTAATTATTTTGGGGGAGGGGGGGTGGTAATCGGTACATCTCCAATGACATTCATGTTCACCTATTTACCGGAATTGTGGCCAGACTCTCATCAACTGTCAAACGTCTATCTGGGTTTGTCTGGATGGAGTTACCGCCCCACTACCTTATTCGCTCTCCGCCAAACAAAATCTGTAATAAATCTAGTAAATAAGTTTTAAAAACAATTTGCAATTTGAAAGCCAAACGTTGCGTATGCATATCTTTGTTTGAACAACATGTGCCATATTTTAGCCCTAAGTGTTCCAATTGCTTTCTAGCTGCGTCCTTTTCGTGTGCAAACTATTTCAAAAGTGGTTCTTGGTAAAACAATTTTCACTTTATAAATGGTTATTTGCGAAAATTTTACTGTCAGATGAATCATTGTAAGTCCAACTATTTCCACCAAAGGATTTTGCAAATCTTTCGTACTGATGACTTTAGCTTCCCAAACTATTCAGTTTTTGTTTTAATGAAGACGGTAATCTTAAAATTTAGTCGGCAAACTGACGACACGCACTTGAAAAAAAGCACTAACAAAAAAAAACACGAGAAAGTATGCATATTCATACGTTAGCTGATCAAACAAATTTGCGGAATGAAGCTATATTCATTTTGACAATAGGAAACGATAAAATAAAAAGCTAATTATTACAGGTATCAAGTCATGTCATACCAAGCTATCCATATGATTTCAAGACGGAACAGAGCACGCATATGACTAGATGACTAACGCCAAGCATTTACAATATTTAAAAAAAAACTCTCTGTAGGAATCAGCAATCTTTTAAGTTAAAACCGCCGAAACCACGGGTAGCTACCTACAAAACACAACAATTCTAGTTTCTGTGTAAATTTGAAAGTGTTATGTAGACTGTAAATAACCAACAGCCAGATGGCCAGATCCCATTGATTCAACAGAGTTATGATTCTTGCAACATTTGCAAGCAAAGATTCATTAAATACATTCGTCTTTGTAAAAAAATTTGAGCATTAGAACCATGAAGCTACATTTAGTGTGATTGTATTTCTTACAAATTGGTGGGTTAGTAAAGGAAGGGGAGGGTAGACTAACAAACTGTTATTTTATATTAAGCAGAGCAAATGCACTGAGTTGAGCGAAACAAAATTCCTTTTATGAATATGCTCGAAGGTTATCTACATTTTCGATCAATCATAGCAGGACGCAAACAACACAATGGGATAAAAAATTTAAAAGATTGACCAGCCATGTTGATGTATAACAGTAAACAAAAATAATAATCGATAGGAGGGCCGCATAGAGACGAAGTGTCGTCTAGTAAAAAAAATGAGATAACAATGTGAAAGATTCTAAAATCTTAGCAATCTATTGCAAGACTTTTAGATAATAAGTATATCTACAACAATCGTTTTTTTACGCATATGTAACCCATATATTGTCGAATGTTTTATTGTTTTTAAAAGTTGTGTGGCAAAATTATTAACTTTCTAAATTGTTGCTACAAACCCCCTCCTTTGTTTAAAAATTGAAATTGAGCACCAACGGAACGAAAATACTGATATTAAGAATGTAAATATTAGTGGAAATAGTCTTCGAGCTCTTATCTCCTATTTGTGCGAATCGTTTATCACTCGCTATAACTTTTTACGGACGATAAACAGAGAAATTTCAGTCAAAACCAGTCAAAACATAATACATCTCATGCTGTATGCCTTAATTATATAAACATGTTTGACGCAGTGGATGTGACAGATTTGTTGAACTGGCCGCAATTCAAAATGGTTGTCATATCCACCAGACTAAACATGAATACTTTGAAAGAGTTGTGAACAAGGACAATTACATCAACACTTTTTGTGTAAGAAATATTTCATTTGTCACTTGTCACGCAAAACATTAACTTTATTGATCTACTGACATGCCTTACTTAATTTTAGTTAATTGAAATGCCACAAGAGGCAATTTTGAATAGTAGCATACTGTGCATTGTGCAGCATGAGCACCAAAACATCACTTTCAGCAAGTCCGATCTTTCCAGCGCCCTGCAGTTATCGCATGCACAGAAACACAACTTTTCAATAACATTTTCAATTTTTCTTCTTTGCTCATTGAAAATCAAGTATTTTCGACAGCTTGTAGTGTAAGAGAACTAGTGAACTATTTTGTCTTGTTTTAGCTAAAAATATGTATTATTCATATTTGAAAATGAAACTAGGTCGTCACCTGTTCGAATGTATCTTAGTGGCAAACCACGATGAATCGTCCATAAACAAATAATTGAACTATTTACATTTCCCATTTTCCGAATATACAACTATATGATACGTTTTCTTCGATAGTTTAAATAAATTCTTCACGATAATTTGTTTCGGTGCAGCCTTGCCAGAAATCGAGTTGCAGCTAAAATCTTTTTCGATTGTAAGAGTTTAAAATATTCCAATCTCTGAAAAAAAACCTCTTTTGCATAGTCATACAGCTGCATATCAAGTCTATTAGATAGCCGTATTTTTCTAATCACAGCAGGCGATAGACGACTAAGCATAGTTTTACTGAAGGTTCGGCTTTTTTGCTCAAACGACTTGCCAAATTTCAAGCCAAACGTTTGTTCAAAAACAAATTGACTTTCTTTTTGAAATTCAACAAGACCAACAAAGGCTAAATTTCTTAAGTTCTTCTTTGCACTACGTAAAATTGCTTTCTGCTTTTCATTAGTTTCATCTCCATAACATCCGACCTGATTAATATCGGCCGTCATACGCGTTTGTCTGTTAAATGCTAAATTGTATGGGCAGTTTAAAAATCTTTGCAAAGTGACGTCGCTCCAATTGATACCATGATAGCATTTCGGTGAATTATATTCTTTTCCGTTGCATACATGTCGGACAGTTTTCCATGTAGCTCCACGTCGCACATGTCCAAATTCACTTAAAAACCGTTCGACAGGATCACGCAGCCATGTTATGTAAAATACACGATTCAAATGCAATGGACGACGTCTTTTACGTAAAACGTTTGGCATACATGTAGACAGTTCTGTGTAACCTGCATGAGGACCACAAATCCAACCTGTAGAATATCGGGAATACAACCAATCTTCCTTGGAACCAGGTCTTTTGCATTCATATGTATTACCTCCTTTGAATTCACAGGGTCTCTTAAGTTTCAAGTTTTGCACTAAATTTCGACCGAATACAGTGCCTCCAGTTTTCTGGATGTGAAGAACAATCATGGTGTCACCAGAGCTAACGTTAAACGGACGAGATATAAGTCTTCGTGTACCTTTCAGTGGAGGTGAATCTTCAAAATATACACGCATATTCAGTGGTGAGCTTTCAAATCCGACATCGTTGGTGGAACATTTATGAATAGGGCACACAAGCATAGCAAAAAAGAATGTTGAAAGCATTGCAAATATAAGAAGAGTTGAAAATATTGTCTTCTTCATATTATGTGTTTGAAGTATATACTCCTTCTTGACTAGAAAGTTGAATAATTTAAGTTTCATTAAAAGGACCCATGTCCTGATTTTGATTCAAATTTCAGCACTTAGCATGATAAAAAATAGCCACAGTTGGGAATCTCAGTAAGTCGGCATGTTGAATCATTACATAATTGTTACATGATAGCAACTACTAACATGTAATATCATTATTATATATTATAATTTCATATATTACTAATTAGGACATAATCTAGAAGCTTGCTTGCATGCGCTAGAAGCTTGCTTACATGCGTAAATGTTTTAGAACCGCAATCGCATTTGTTGTTATTGTGGTTAACTATATCTTGCTGTAACATACTGTATTGCGTATGGGATGTAGGTCACAAAACCACAATACTTGCCATTAGATATTATATATATATGAGTAGTTTACACCACTGAGTACAACCTACGAGGACAACCTACGAGCACAAGCTACGAGGAGACAAACTTAGGAGGCATAGCCTACCGAAGTAGGTTGACAAGCTACAATCTACCAGACAACTATCTTGGCTTCTGTGCCATAACTATCTTTTGGCTTCTGTGCCTTTAATCTATTTGGAAAACTATTGTGAGTCATTGTTAGAGTCACGAACGCTCAAGAATAAAGACTCGCGGTTGTACTCGAAAAGAAGAGATATATTTTACTCATACTTATTGATATTATTATTAAGACACTTATCTACTTTAATATTTACGCGTTGATTTATAAATTGTTTGAGAATTATAACTGGTTCACACTATCTTTGTTGCGTGTGGAAATAGGACCAAAATTAATAGTTATTCTTTCGGGACCACGCACGTAACAATAATGATAAGGGAATAACAGAAACAACGTTGCCTTATTCTAGCTATATCCGGTAGCTGTACATCACTTCCCGCCTCCTGGAGAGTTAACAGTAGTGAGAAAAGAAATCATATAAAATACCGACTGAAGTGCATGCAATCTCGAGAATGTCACCTCCCCAGCTATGTTTATACAAGAGTTTACACAAGGACAAAAAAAAACAAATCATGAAAGAGTTGTGCACCATTGCAATTGTTCGTTTAAGTAAAAGTTATCAACACTTTTGACAATTGATAGCTTTGAAAGAATGAGAATATTTTAATTTTTACTAAAGTAATTAACTTGGATAAAGCTATAAAGACACAAAGTAATTTCCATGTTCGCTAGATGTTACATGCACAACACTGAAACTTCATATATTTATTTTTTATACTTAATATAAATACTAGAGCCCAACAAATAATTTTAAACATAGTCATAAACAATTTGGTTTTATGAAATTTATTAAAAGAGTGACGTTTCGTCTTTACCCAAGACATCCTCAGACTAATTGGGAAGTTAACAAGAATATAGATATATATAGAGCTATTTACATAGTTTGAGGTATCAGGTCACTGTGAATGTGTAGGTGTGATGTGATGTATTGTATGATGTAAGTGTGATGTATTGTTAGGGTGAAGTGTTGAGACTAGAAAAGCTTAAGAGGGATGGAGCTGCCTTAGGTGTTAAGTGAAGGTTTTAGTTTGGAGATGAGGAGGCTTTCGTGGATCATGAGGTCGAATGTGTCGGAGCAGGATGAGATGATTTTAAAATCGTCTGGCGAAGCAGGGTGGTTGGAGGAGTTACTATGAGAAAGAATACTTGACATTAGTGGGTTCGTATAGCGTTTTCCAGTCAAAGGAGAGACCCCCAAGTGTTCCGAGATTCTGGTGTGTCAGTGGCGTGCGGTTTGATCCACATACGACGCGGAACAGCATCGACACGTGTATAAATTAACAAACATTTTTATACTTAATTGAAATTTGTTATTTTGAACAAAATAGGCATATCCAAAAATTCTTGTATAAGGTAATGTTCTTGATTGGTTGATTGACAATTATGTTGCAGCAAGTGTATAAACTTTCGTGTAACACAAATGTTGCAAATTTTACGGTTGTGAATAAGAAATATATATCGAGAAAAAATGTTACATAACGTTTAGACTGAAATCTTCGCGTGTATTGAACAAAAATGTCTAAAAATCCGAAGTCGATTCATCTATCTAAAATCGGTCATTACATTAAACAGCACGAGAATTTGAAATAAACTTTAACAGCATGATCTTGTGTAGGCTTTATAAATAAGCCGAATCATGTTGTGCGAATACTTACAAGCTGAGGATTAAAATAATAGAACACAAGAGATAAACATTATTGACTATGAAAAGTCTCATATTACTAGAATCTGGAAGTTTCGATCGACTCATTTCATTTATAAATAAAATAAAGCGCTGCATGCGATCTGTAATGGATATTTGACTGTTTTCAAGCTTTCGAATGATTCGTTCAAGTTCTCATCAAGCGATTGAATGCTTTCATTTTTTACATGGTAGTATTATGTTTCTTGTTTAGAGACGAAATTCCACAAAAACATCGAAGTCTCTTTCCAATTCATTTACTGACTGCTTTTCAATAAAATTCAATCGACAACATGCACGAATGCAAAAACAATATTTATTTAGCGCCAGTTTATACGGATTATTACTGAATGCATAGATAGGAACAAAACCATCACAAGCAGGTTTGACTGTTGTATAACATTACATGCAAGTGTCATGAAGTTGATAGATTCCATTTCAACCATTTATGTTTTTTGAGCCTAAATTTATAACAAGAAGCAATAATTAACATCTTGAACTTTTATATCAACACTCGGCAGTAAATCAAAAATCCTTCCAAATTTCCTTCGTGTTTTATTGATGAAGATAAATTCAAACGTTTCATTAGAAGAGGGAAGCGCGGGTGATGAGTGATCAAACAAACATTTGTTTAATGGGTACATTAATAGTGATTTTCATGCATAAATGGTGTTGAATGGTTAATATTTTTCTGTTCATATTTATTACTTGCGATCTATTTTGAAATGTATGACATATTAGTTACTTTATCAATCTTACTTGCAGGTTTCCAAGTAATAGCAGTTTTATGTATGTTTAATAATAAAAATTGAAGACTTGAAACCGGTTAAAAATCCGATAAACTCCATGTCCAATGAATGTAAATGACTTTATTTTCAGTTTTTTGTTCTTGATGGTCATCATAATGAACGAACAAACTATTGTGTACATTTTACAACGTAATGTTGACGATCTTTTTAAAGTTCTCAAATTGCACCTAATTATGATACATAGAGCTAAAATAGACGACCAACAGCATAAACCAAACTCTGTTGCTTGTAGAACTTACAGCTCGTCCTTACGTAAACGAAGACTTAGTGAAGCGATTTGTAAAGGGACGCTTGGTTAGCTTTCACGAATTACCTGAGTTTCAATCAGTGTATGTAGCCAGAGGTATTTTCGTTTTATGGATCGATCTTCTGCGTAAGTTTTTTTATATCCAATATATCTGCAGCTGTTACTCCACAGCAACCTCCTATGAAAAAATTTTGCTTCAGTTTCACTGTATCTTGTTTGAAATTTTTAACTCAAATGGGGGTTGTTAAATTGAATAACAAAGTAAATGGTTTGAACCCGGGAGTATCGTTACATGTTTGTGGATGTAGATCATTTGTGGATATAAAATCTACTAACCTGGACGATCTACATCCACAAATTGTATAATGATAAAACTTTTGAAGCAAATGATTGCGCAAATAATTTTTTGGGAGAAACTGGCTGAACAAGTTTATTTGCAACACTTCTTTTTAATCGTGTAACTTCTTTATGGAATAAATTACCAAATTTTTTAAAAACTATAGATAATTTTCCAAGATTTAAAACAAAACTTCAAGACTTTTACTTTAAGGAACTTAATTTAAAATATAGTATGTAAACTTGATGGGTCAAGCTCTATATATTGTAAAGTTATACTATTTATATTTACATCTAATCACTGTTAGAAATTACCTATGTATATAAAGAATAGAAATTATTAATTGGGACTTTTGTTCTGTTTTCTGCACCCCTCGTTGATGTAAATATTTCACAGACAAATTCATTAAATAAATAGATAAACAAAATAAATTAAGTCTCTAAATAGTGATATTTAAGTATAAAAGTACGGAACAATGCAAAATCTTTCTGCATTTTATATCCAAAACACAAACACAACCATTGAAAGACTTAATGAAAAAGCATAGCAGCTCCATCATTCATATTATTGTTAAACACGAACATATTATAAGACAATTTTAAAAAAATTTTCAAACAACGTTTCAGATAAATAAACAAGCAAATAGGACAAAAATTCTGTAAAGCAAACCACAACGGTACAAGCTAACGAACACAACAAAAACAAGTTACTACCGCGCGCGTTTTCATTGAAATATTAAAATTGAAATTACCGCAAAGGAAGCTGTTACTTGATCATGGTAGCATAGTCTGCCCTTTATTGTTTAGGCCCTTGTTTGTCATGCGCGAAAGCAACTTGATCATGCTAACTCAGTCTGCCCTTTATTGTTTTGACCCTTGTTTGTCATGCGCGAAAGCAACTTTATCATGCTAACTCAGTCTGCCCTTTATTGTTTTGCCCTTGTTTGTCATGCGCGAAAGCAACTTTATCATGCTAACTCAGTCTGCCCTTTATTGTTTTGCCCTTGTTTGTCATGCGCGAAAGCAACTTTATCATGCTAACTCAGTCTGCCCTTTGTTTTGGCCCTTGTTTGTCATGTGCGAGAGCAACTTTATCATGCTAACTCAGTCTGCCCATTATTGTTTTGGCCTTGTTTGTCATGTGCGAAAGCAACTGTTGTAGTCGTGTTTCACTCGTCGTTGGTAATATTTTTGGATGCATACTTTGTTAAGCTTTGTCGATTATTTAAGTAAGTATGGTACATTAGAATTTATAATTTACTTCATAAAAAAATATGCAAAACACATATAAATGTACAATAGCCCAAGGTTCCGGCACCTGATGCGAGGACAATAAAGCACCCCCCCTTGGAAAACCTTCTATCAAATTACAATAGCATTGACCCACCCTAGGCTAGTACATAAAAAGCATACTTCGTCACGTTACTAACTTTTCTGCCTGAGTCATTATTGGGTGTTTTGAGAAGAATTAAAAGAGCTTCTAAAAAAAAGTCATACTTTTCATTGAAAATTTATTGAGTCTTTTTGATTGGTTAATTGAATTTTGCAATAAATACAGAACACATGAAGGTGCCAACACAGAAAAAATAGTAAAAAGTTAGTAACGTTCAACGTTTCATTACAGGAACATTTGATAAAATATAACAAAGATAAAACAATTATCGGTTAAGTAAATCATCTTTAACTTCTTTTTCAATTTTCCTTGTCGTTGCAACGTAAGAACATAAACACCCAGTATAGCTAAAGCCCAAAAACTTTCTCACATGAGAGCAGCGAGTAAGCTAATACCAACCATCCAACCTCGTTTTTTTACTGTTAAAGGAAAATCTTAGACGACTACATTACCTAATACTTTACTCTATAAGGCAAAATAGTGATATCACATTGCTGCAATTCTTGTACATTACAGAAAAATATGTCTCTTTTTAAGAGGTAGAACTTATGATGTTTTTTTTAAATATGTCCCACATACAAATTACAAAAAATATTTCCCAAAACAAATTATGCTTTTCCAAAGTTAAACATAAATATTATGTTTAAAGTCATTTACTTGACTTATTAATAACGACAAAATAAAAAGAATCCTTCAAAGCTTACCTATAACATTAACACCTTGTTGAAGCCAAGTTGATGCAAATGTCTTATACTTAGGAAGGGAATTATCTCTAAGAATAATATAAAGATACTTTGAGCTGGAATGAATGATAATTTTGTTTATGACGAATCAAATAGTACATGATCGGATATGAGTTTCTTCGAAAATATTCGTGAATGAGACATAAAACTTTGACAGGATAGACAAAATTATAAACCAACAATTATGATAAATAAAATCACGGATCAGCTATCTTACAACAAAAACTTTATCCATGTCAAAAAAAATATTCTTTGCTTCAAATATGCGCATGAATAAAAAAAATAATTCTGCCCTATTTACCTAGTTGGTCCAAACGCTAGGTTGTAGTTGGGATAAACTACAACTGGTTTCGTTGTCTTTTTTGAATACTTAATAATAATGGCTAAAAATGAAGATAAAACTAAAATATAGTATTTTAAGAAGCTGTAGATAGAAAACTTCGATAGCTATATCCAGATGATTTGTTGCGTTAAAAGACAAATTAGATAGTTAACTAAAGTTTAAAGCAAAATAGTTTAAGTAAAGGATGCAACTGTCCGCTATAAACAAATAAAAAAGTACAGAGGCAGTACAGGTAAAATGACAAAGCCTCAAAGACTAAAATCTAACGCACGTAATATCTATTTTTGTTGCTTCATTCAAAGATTTATACTTGTGGGTGTTTGTAAGACGTAAAGTATTTTTTGCGAGATTTCAAAATTTACGAAAAAAGTTGTTGAATTCATTTCGTAATAACCATGAACAAATAAGAGTGAGTTAAATATAGTTTTTATCTATGTCAGATAACAATAGGAAAAAAACCCACTTCATCACCTCGACAAATTGAGAAGGAGTACAATTTATTCCAACAGCTTCGACCTATGAAATATTAAAACTTTCATATTTTGATGATGATAGAATTCATACAGTGGACACTAATATCGTAGCTAATATTCAGAATATGAATTCTTATTTTGATTCTCTGATGATAACATCGGTAGATTTAGCCATTATTCGTGGGTGCAATATGCTCTTGAAATTTTCACCTCAAAAAAACACATTCTCTTCATGTATATTTTAATATTATTTTGATATTACCTTAACTCTACACAAAGATAAAATGAATGAAGAAGTACCTGTTTGAACTTTTCAATGACTGTAATTGCATCACAAAAATTCTCACCATGACATAGATGTTTATCATCCTATAAAATAATATGTAGTTAAATGACACATGCAATATCATGTAGACAAATAGAATATCGATATTTTCACCTTCATTATTGATGGTATAGTTTGATTTCGTTAATACGTAGCTATATTTACATTCATATATAATATATTGCCCCTCATATTTTTCAAAGATCATTAAGTCAACGCACGTTTTGCAATTACGTCACATAAAATGAGCCTGCAAGCATTTCAATATCTTGAAAATAGAAATTTTTTAATCAGAATATCCCCTCCACTCCTTTTCCTTCAATTTTACATGATATCTAAGCATTTTCAAATTCTGTGCAAGTTCATTTTTCATTGAAATAGGTACAAAAAAGCCATATAGTCTTTGTTTTACCTTACAAGAAAAAGCAATCCAGCACACTACACCAGGATAATCAGAAATTACGCTCAATATGGCTTCAGCCTCGGTCTGCAGGAAAACAAATCAAAGTGCATGATTTTTTATGAAGTTCTTGGGACACAATTATTCATTGTTAGGGAATTTGCACAAAATATTGAACATTTATCTCTCTAAATAGAGAATTTGATAAAAATACTTACAAGTGAAGGGATAGTTTCAATAGCCAAAAAGTCAACACCAGCTTGAACAAGTGCATTGATTCTTGGCCTATGCCACATTTTTAGCTCCTACAAGAATAAATACAAATGAAATTGTCATCTTTATGGATGTTTTACAGAGGTAAAAAGACAGGCTTTTACGTATAAATTTGTTTTGTTATAATTACCTCAAGATTTATTGTATCAATATAATTTCCGTGATATTCAGATCTATCACATAGACACGCACCATATGGACCAATAGAACCTCCAATAAGAGTCTGTTGTGAAAGCTTTGTACCCTTTATGTAATTGAAAAAATTCCAGTGACAACACGATCCATGTACAAAATGGTTAAAAATTCTTCATTATTTAATTATTTTTAAGGTAATTAACCCTTTTTTTTGAGTCTCCAAATTGGTTTTAACCATAAGTTATTCTTGTGGTTAGAATTATGACAAAAAAATAGCAAATTTCCACAATTCTGTCTCTTTCCTCTGCAAATCTACCTTATAAGACTCTTTATTCACAATACCTTCAGTTGACATTCTTCCAAGTATTCTTCACAAGCTTCTCTCGCTATGGCAACACATTTTTCATCAGAGTTCGAGCCTCATCACTGGTGCAATTAGCATATTTGATGAATCCTTCAATGCTGGCCTTCATTTATGATGTAAAATAGGAAATTGTTTTAAATCTATGAATAGAATTATTTATTGAGTAAAGTTTCATCTTAAGCTTAAGGAAGTGCCACACTTGAATATACATACTATTTGCAATTGGTATAGTTACAAAGTGCATTTTTTCTCTACCTGGCAAATCTACAGCTAAAGTTGGAACATGTTATAACATGTTCCTTTTATTTTCTCTACCTGGCAAATCTACAGCTAAAGTTGGAACATGTTATAACATGTTCCTTTTATTTTCTCTACCTGGCAAATCTACAGCTAAAGTTGGAACATGTTATAACATGTTCCTTTTATTTTCTCTACCTGGCAAATCTACAGCTAAAGTTGGAAAATGTTATAACATGTTCCTTTTATCCAATATCTCTGATTATTAGCAAGTTAACTTTGTACCCCACTAGATCTCTTTGCATGTTTGCTTTGTTAGAAAAGTTTCCCTACAAATACTCCGAGTGCTCCCTACACTTCCCGATGAGATAAATAAAGAAAATCTCCTTTACAGTCAAAATCCTATGATAACATTTCATATAAACCTGATATGATGCTGTCAAGATGATGTTTGAACCACTGTTAAGAAAACTGACAAAAAAAATTGACAAATAGACTGTTATCCTGTTGAATACAACAAAGTGACTAAAAATACTTAGAAAATGATTTAACCTTTTATGAGCAATTTTTAACATATCAGGATGTTCAATAATTGCTCTTGCACTCCACAATCCATCGTTCTGATAATTTAAAACATATAATTATGTTTATTGCAAAATTGAGTCCAACTTTTTCATGAGTTTGACCAATTGTTGATAATTTAAAAGATATAATTATGTTTATTGCAAAATTGAGTCCAACTTTTTCATGAGTTTGACCAATTGTTGATAATTTAAAACATATAATTATGTTTATTGCAAAATCGAGTCCAACTTTTTCATGAGTTTGACCAATTGTTGATAATTTAAAACATATAATTATGTTTATTGCAAAATCGAGTCCAACTTTTTCATGAGTTTGACCAATTGTTGATAATTTAAAACATATAATTATGTTTATTGCAAAATTGAGTCCAACTTTTTCATGAGTGTGACCAATTGTTGATAATTTAAAACATATAATTATGTTTATTGCAAAATTGAGTCCAACTTTTTCATGAGTTTGACCAAATGTTGATAAGTTACAACGAAAATGAGCCAGCAAATAGAACTACTAAAATTTGACGTTTTTATTCAGAATGAACATACACACAAGCCAGGTATAAATCCATATATGATAAATAAATGAATAACAGTCATAACACAATATTTGGAATCTGTGTTTTGAATACATTATGCAAGACAGAAAATAATTTCTTTTAAAGAAATAAATCATCGCAAGATAAGATTTAAAAGATCATTTCTATGTTTTTATAATTTGGTTAAAACCTTGAGTAGGACAATTGAAAAACAATTTCAACACAATACAATAATAGTATATCATAAGTTCATAACTCACTTCAAAGTTTAATCCAAGAGTTTCTAATTCAGATCCCAGACCTCCATCTAAAATATGAACACCAGAAAACATTTCAATTCAATTTCACAACAAAAATTATTCTTTCTGAATCACACACAGCTCTGCATCTATTGACAGTCATGAATGAACTTTCAATTGTAAACCAATTGTCCCCCAGTGGAGTCACCAGGCCATGAACGTGATGAACAAGTTTCAGGGTCAATAAGGTTACGAATATTGAACATAAAATTATGCATGAGTCAATTGATGAGGTCATTTAGGTCATTCGGTCCCAGTGCCCAATTTTATCCCCAATGTTCTCACAATCAAAAATATTTAATATTTAAATAGTTCAAAACTCACGAAATTCCTTTGCCAAATTCAAGTTTGAATTCTCCATAGTTTTTCTTTCAACGCATATTTTTATCTGCATTCAAACCATAACATATGCCCTGTGACCTTTGTCATAAATCTGCAAACAAGAAACAAGCATTTTAGTAAAATACAAAACAATCGACAATTCGTTTAAAGTAACCATTTTATAACAACGTTTTGACAAGTGTTACATGTCATTATCAGTAGAAAATGTGAACTTTCCAAAAATTACAAAATTAATTGAACGTCATTGTTAGAATATCGGGAAGTCCCTACCTCAACGAGCATGCGCATTACCACAAAAACAAAGAGTTTCGGTTTCGAAAGTCGAAATCGTTTGTTGTGACTTTATGTAACGTCCGCGTTTTTCATTTCTATCTACAGGATTTCTTTGCTTATGAAGGTATTTTTATGATATAAATTTCAAAGTTAGATGATAGAATATGTTTCAGTATTCTTTTCTCTATCTCTAATACAGCAACAATTCTTTAATTGCAAAGATTGGTGATGAACATTGAACAATATCTTATTTCGTTGGAGTGCGAAGATAAGAAGAAAATCTACGACGTCAATGTTGTGATATTTGTTTTAAAATTCATAAAGTAGTTATATCAGGATAAGAAAGTGAGAGAAAAAAATGCAAAATTCAATTGAATTGAGTTCATTTCACTATGAATTTGTGAATGACGTTAATTTGAACGAAGAAACTGCTCTTAGTAAGAATGAAAAAGCTCTTGCAGATCGAGTACGACATTTACAAAATGAAAATAAGGAAATGCAAAAAGCAATAGAAATTTATCAGGAGGCTTTACAGGTACATATATTTTTACTTGTTGTTTTCATGAAATGAACTAAACATAAATATTTAGTGCACTTTTGTTTGTTGTTGCATGTGTCTGATGAATATATGACATTTGTTTTTGTTTCTTACTTTAAAATGCTGACTTTTCAGTGAACACATCTTTCTGAATGATGTTTAACATCAAGCTCTGTCTCATTCACTAAATGGTGCGAATGAATACTTACAAATCCATCTTTTAATTTTAGTTGTGCCAGGAAAATTTGAACAGTGTTGTGTCACAGCAAGATAAGTTGCTATCTGACACACAGAAAAATTACAATCAAGCAAAAGCTAAAGTTGATTCACTAAATCAGAAAATTAAGACTCTTGAAACTCAGCTTGAGGAGAAGATAATGGAATGTAGGAAGAATAAAGAAATTAAAGGAAAAATTTATGATGAAAAGGTAGACATTTCATAAATATTCAAATGATAGACTTCGTTTTAATTCAGATTTTCTCTATGATAATATGTAAAGATTTGATCTTTTTTGAATGTGTTCCCAAACATTCAATCATATTTTATTTGATTATTTATATAAAATTATGTAAAATAGGTATTTTTTTACAGCCATTAATATCTGCTGAAGACCATCAAAGTCTAATTGCTGAGTGTTTGGAGTTAGAGAAATTAATCAAAACTCTACCTCAGAATGACTCTGTACCACAAACTATTTACAATCAGTTGATAACTCAAGCTCAATCTATGAAAGAGAAGCTTGGGCAATTAAATGTGAGACATGTTGAACTGGAATCTCAAAACAATGAATTTAAAAATTCCAATCAAAGAGGTGATGAAAACATGAACCTAAATTCCAAACCACCAAAAAACAACAATGACAAAATTAAAGTGGAATTATTGTCTCACGAGTGTCAGACTACTGATGAAGTCATCCTTGCTGATCAGTTATCGCAAGATCAGGTTATATTTTGTTTTGATATTTTTTATAAGCGTGCTAATATTATTTATGAATATTTTAACAAACAACACAATATTGGTAAGGAATATTTTTCTTGTTATTGCCTTATATTTCATGATTTAGATTCACTCTTTGTCATAGTTGTTCTATTTTTTAGTGCGCTAAAATATCAAAACTTGAATCAGAAATCCAAGAATTAAAGAAACAAATGGACAGAAGTGAAACAATGTTTTTGACAGAGAAGGAGGATATTTTGGAAAATAAGGCAGCTTTGGAAGAGCAAATAAGAAAAATGAAAGAGACATCATCTATACAAGCTAATAAATCCTTTGATGATGCTATTGCTGCAAAGAAGGATCTTGAACAACAGTTGAGGGAAAAACAACAGAATTGGCAAAAGTTGAGAATGACAAACAGAACATTTCCAGTATGCATGAAAAGTTGAGTGAAAAATTTGGTAAAGAAATTGAAAATCGAGAAGTATGTTACTGCTACTGTCCATAATTCATAAGTTAGGTTTAATTATTTACCTTCAAACTCAATTTTAACAATTTTTAAGAGAGTGGAAAATGAACTTAAAGCACAAGTTGTGACGTTCTGTCAAGACATACAAGTCAAAGAAACAGAATGTGAAGACATGAAGAAAAGGTTTCCATAAAGTTTTAATCTTCATGTTCATGATTATGATTGAGATAGCAATTCATACTTTTGTCCTGTCTTGAAAATATTTGTTAAAGAAAGTTTGTGTCCTCATATAAACATACGTCTTATCTTTTATATGAATCTTTTACTATATTTAAAGACTTGAAATTTATGAAAATGAATGTAACAGACTGGAAGCTCAATATGAGGAATTGAGGTAATTTGCAATACTTTTTTAGTTTATTTCATACAAGTTTAGTTAATGAATGAATTTAACTAATTGATAATTGTACAGGATTTACAACTGTAGCTTTTTATAAAAGAGGGATTCATAAAGTTATTGTATGACCTACATAAATACTTTGTATAAAACGATCGCACAATTGAACTATAAATACACGTTCATTTTTTTTAGAAAAACCTCTGAAAATAGAAACATTCAGAATGAGCGTAAGGTATGAATGATCTTTTTTTGTTTGTTTTCGCTATCGATGTTCAGAGATAAAAGTCATTGTTGTAGAACTCTAGCTATATTTTACTCACATATCTCTAAGGAATTAGTAATATTTGAACATTTAGGTCGCCGGTGATTTGGCCGAATCAAAATCTCAGGTTGATAATCTCACAGCGCAGTTGTTGACTGCTGAAGAAATGATTGAACATAAAGATGCAGATCTGCAGAAATTACAGAAAGAAAATCAATCACTTGTTGGAGAGTTGGAAACCGTTCCATTGCTGAAACAGCAGGTTTGTTTCCGTGTATCATAAAACCATCTAAACCGCGTAGAAAAAGTGTAGTTTTCGCATTATTGTAGTTATTTTATGCATGGTTTGTCACAGTTTTTCCACATTTTATCTATCCTTTCAATTTATAGCTCGAAGTTTTCCAAACTGACTTTAATCAGGAACAGGAATTGCGACAGAAAACTGAAGAACGTAACAGAAAACTTGTAGATGAAATAAAAAAACTTCAATTGGATGTCGAACGCTTGACAGAAGAGATGAATGACCCAACAGGCAGTAGAATGGCAGAAATGCAACGGCGTCACGGTTGTGGTAACACTAATCAAGCAGAAAATGGGGTTTCGGCTGCATCTTGGAGTATATTTCATGACAGATATCTTTCCCCTCGTGGAGGGCCACCAACAGCTGGGCTAAACAACGCTAACAGTGACAATGATATTAACCGTCAGGTCTCTGGTGGACGATGTCCAAAATGTGATCAAATGTTCCCTGATCTCGACACGTTACAGACTCATGTTGTACAATGTTTGGAATCTGAAAGTTCAAAGGTCTGCCCAAAATGCAACCGTGCCTTCCCAGATTTAGATACTCTTCAAATCCATGTCATGGAATGTCTTGATAATTAGTTATGCACGTACGTAAAATGACGTATTTTTGCTATTTTCTTTATGATCATTTGGATTTTCAATGTCAATGTACTACGTATAATTTTCCATAGTTGTTTACAATATAGTTACAGCTAGTCACTTGCTTCAACTGAATTTCAATAGTAATAACTGTTATTAATGAATTACCTGTTGAAGTAATATGATATCCGTATAAAAATTGCTCTTAAAAAATTTAAAGATCCAATGTTTCAATTTTATTTCGTTGTGTTCCTTGTTCTTTCATCCTTGGAGAGTTAGAATCATTGGTGTTGGTCGATTTTCTCTCAGATGATTTTTGCTTAGATTTTATGATGGTTGTGTAAACAGGTTTTTCGTAGCTTGATTTTTTCCCGTCTACACTGTCCCGTAACGATAAACCCGTTCTTGATTCTATTAATTTCCTAGAAATACCATAATCATGAATATAAATTTTGGTTCTAACGATGTTGAAGCTTTTGTGATTTTATGGCTTAAGGAAGACAGGTTACAAAGTTTCAAAAACATTGTTTGTATCACTACGCGCCTACAATATCATGAGTTTTGATGTATACATGGTAATAATTTTGTGCTGACCTTTCCATACGTTTCAACAACTTTCTCATGGTCAACAATAGAACCAATACAAGAATAGTGAATATGGCAGAAATTACCAACAAAACAATAAAAATAATCAGCAAATCTGAAAGAAAAACAACGCCAAACATGAGAACACATGAGAAAACAGAAACAACATTTTGTTTATCAATAAACTCACCATCATCGTCGATTACTATGTCTTCCTCACCTGTTAAAACTTAACAAAAGCACATTGATAAAGTTATTACATCTTATTCCACACCATTTCCACATTCCTAACCCAATCATTTATGTTTTTTTGACAAATCAATTTAAAAAGTGTTATTAGTTGACAGTTCTTGACCTTCGAAAAGAGCGCAAACTTTACCTAAACATCCATAAAGTTCGACTCGCATACAGATTTGAACATTCCATTCAACCGGATGGAATCTGAAGTATCTCGCCTGAATGGAGCGATTGAAGGCATGGTAGACGACGGTAAACGGATCTGAGTTACCAGTAAACATCTTAATTTACAAAATAATATTCAAATAGTAAGATATTTGAAGCTGTCTGACAAAAAACAAGGCCATTTAGCGAAAAAATGCTATACAAAAATTAACAAATGAAAAAAGTTTCGCAACAGTTCAAAAAATCAATCTCGTAACTTTCCTTACCAGTGCTTGAGTTTCTCCTGATTTTATGAAAGGTATCCATAATCCAGATTCTCCTTCACGATAACTTACATAATATTCTTTGACCCAATGATTAAAAGCCTCACGACCTCGTCCCTGTGTTGCCATTGCTCGTAGATCACTTTTTCTTCCTGTTTTAAATTAGTGAAAATTAAATTTAGACAGCAAAATATAACGTTGGAAAAACATGAACCTAACCTAAATCAATCTCTAGAAATTGTCCTTGATCATTATCTCTAGCGCACCATCCTGATTTTAATGGAGGCTGGTATGGAATATTGAGTCGACCACGAAACCCTCGAGAGAAATCATCATAGGACGATGAAGCACTAATTCTGTCATCAGATATTCTTCCATCACCAACACCGATAGGTCCCAAGCAGTCTAAGCAACACATACACAAACAAGATTTAACTGACAAAGATATTTATTACTGATGTCTTATAGTATTTACTTCTAAGCGTTCTTATTTTACGTATCTGTCAAAGTAATTGAATTACTTTTCTTTTAAAATGCTTAGAGCTTCATAACTGTTTATTTTTTGCTGTATGGTATATACGCGCATAAAACAAGGAAAGTTAAACATTCACCAACAAAATGCGTAATTCATCGCATCACGACTATAATAAACATTTAGTTTGAGTCATTATTGAACAATGAATTTTACCATGCCAATTTATAGTTAACGAACTACGACATGCACATATTATATACTTTATTTTATCGAATCAAAAAGAAATAAAACTCTTACCATTTGTAAATACAGCATTCAGCTGCAATATTATAAAAAGAGTGAAAATTAAAAAGAAACGTAAAATGTTAAATCCAAGAAAACCAACGTTCGACATCTTCGACAGCAATGATAAACCGCTAAATTTTAATGGTGAATACTAGACCGGGAATATGTGAAATGCCATGAGATCAACTTTACATTCACCGAAAATTACCATAATAAAAACCAGTATTATAAAGGAATTGATTTATTACACTTTCCATTCAGTGATATTGAATCCTGGCATCATAAGAAACAATATAGACGGTTGAATAAAGATAATTATGTGAAAGTGAGTTACTTTATGTTAATGGTTTAAATTATATTGTTCATATACAGATAGACATGCTTTTATCGGACAAAATCTTGGACATTACGACAAAATAACATGAAACATTGGCTCACAACAGCTCACATTAATGTAGGAGAAGCAAATTAAAGAACGAATGTTTCATAAATATAAAGTTTAACATTATAAAAGTGTAAAAGTGGAATACATGGGTTGAAAATACATGGGCTATATATGAATAACAATCTCGGCAATAATTTTGAACAAATTCTTTTGTCATTGAAATATAGTTTAACACTTGCTTTTAGAAGTGAAATTACTTGAACAATACAAAATGAACACAACCTTTTAGGACTTCAATCACTTAATGTATTGTATAAACAACTAGAACGCAGTTTATATAAATATGTATTTTATTGATCAAAATTACTAACTTGTACGACATAAGACTTATTTATGTGTTGATAAGATGCGATTAAATTTCTACGTATTTAAAATCGATAAAACTACTTTAAAATATTCAAACTGTTTGTTGATACATTCAACCACAGTGCATACTTCATATTTTCTACCCATTATGTGCGACGTCATAAGCCACACGCGACAGAGAAATGATATTCCTAAAGTTCAGATATTCTAAAACAGTCATACAGGCAGTTTTCGTATTAAATTTCGGTAATATGTTTTGTGGCAAAATTCGTAATATTTATAGGTCTTTCACCACGCTATTGCATCTACGAGTTATAAGGTATGACCAGTTGGCATGACAACATGAACTACCTCGTAACGACTCATGATTTATGTTAATAGAATTTGGGATGTTAAGAAAATAAAAAAAACTATTTAACTTCCTAATTCCTCAAGACAGCCATGCATTCTTCAAAGATCATATACAGTTAGTGATAAAAATTATAAAATAGTACCGGGGGGGAGTGTCTATGTACGACCTATAATTTTTCATTCGATGGAATCCATATCACCGGACCGGATTGTTGACGAATTATCTCCTTCACTTGACTATATATATCATTGTATGTGTCTCCAGATACCAAAGCTGCAAAGAATAAACAAAAATATTCAAATAGACTTTCCGATTTTAATTTGCGATTACGAATTCATTTTCAAACTCCCAAACAATAACACTTGCTGTTTAACCTAGTTTAACAGAGTTCACTATTTAAAGTGCATAAGAAAGAAAAATGTTGCTATTTAAAGTATTAATTAAGAGAACTTTCAAAATAACAGTAGACTTTCTAATGTTTATGCATATCTCTTTTCATTCTCACATATTGAAATTTTGTAATGCACGATTTACATAACCAGTGACGTCACATTACATAATGAGTGACGTCAACTGCATAATGGTAATCACTTTGCATGAAATACTTTGGCAGATCGTAAGACCATTAATATTTCACAACGAAGGAAACACTTCCAACTTGAAGTAATACCACAGCAAAATATACGAAAGGGTTCAGTTTTTCGTTATTTAACATCATGTGACTGATTGTGTAAAGTAGAAACTCAAAAAACATCAAGAACTCAACAAAAAATTGTAGAACAAAAAATAAATAATTCAAATATAAAAATATTTCAATATTTGAAATATTCAAATGTTGATAAATAATTGAAATATAAAAATATTTCAATATTTGAAATATTCAAATGTTGTTCTTAAACCTTTTTTCAATCAAAGAAACTTGACTTAACCGGTAACAATTTGTTTTAGGACCATGTTACTTGATTTTACACAATTTAGATTCCCATTTAAGGAGAGGTTAACCAACATACTTTATGAATGAATGCTCATACACACCGGTAAAATACTCCGCAAATTCCTGTTCCAGTTTCTGCGCTCGATCGTACGTTTTTATTGCCTGTTCTTCTGTTATTCGTTTGTTTATTTCTCTCAAAGTTTCCACAGATTTTGGTTTGAGGAAAATAGCTATAGGATACAGCTCAGCTACTTGAAGCCTTTTAATAGCATAACCACTTACGTCAAGAATACAATGTTTGTTCTGCAACAAAAGTTTTATCGGAATATTAAAGTGTAAAGTTTTTCAAAGTAGCTTAAAGATTGAGGAGAATTAAGAACAAAAGCACAAGTTGCTACGAATAAAACAAATTTTACCTTATCTGCAACCTCCTTGACAGATGAGACACTAGTGCCATAAAGATTCTCGTTGTATTGTCCTGCTTCGATGAAATGATGATCTTGAATAGCACGTTCCATTTCTTCTCTGGAGCTGACAAAATGATAATCTCGTCCATCAACTTCATATTCTCGTCTTGCACGAGTAGTATCTACAACAGAAAATATTTAAATTTACTTCTTCATTCTGTAGTTGAAGCTTCCTCTGCAAAAAAGTCTACACAAGGTTTCACGCAAAGATCATTACATTAAAAAATGAATTTTAGTCGATAGAACAAGGAAAACCTTACAAAGAGTACTATTTTCCCTAGCAAAGAAAGAGCCGTATCAAAATCCTGATTAAGCTTTGCAAAACAGTTAAACTTTGCTAAGAAATGTTTCAAAATTCAATGTATTTCAATAAAATACTTACGTGGAACACAGCTACCAAATTTATCTGGAAATTCTGATATGAGATCATCATTTATTCTATCTTTAAGTGGTCCAAGGACAATCACAGGTCTAGCATACCGAAGTTCGTGCTGAGTGACTGGCTCATATGACATAATAGAATCTTCACGAAGACTATAATTACTTTCACTATCACTAGGATTTGAAGTGCAACTTGGATCTATGTCACTTGTCTCATTTTCCGATTCTTTTTTACTTAAGAATGATAACTTTTTCAAATTGAAACTAAGTTTTTTACCATCACGAAATGATCCCTGAAACACATAAACAGATGACGGAATAGTTAGACAAAATACTGGTAGAATTTGCTAGCTTTAAACAAAGTATTTATGCAAGCGAAAATTCCAATGGGCGAACATATGAGAATCGAGAAAAGTGTGTATATAATAATGACCTGAAGGTTGTTGCCTTGTTCTCGTTTGAACTTCACTGATTTCATTCTAGCTCGTTCACGACGTTCAACTCTGTAATAATTAAATAAAACAATAAGAAATAGAATGACACAGAAAAAGTTCAACATAGCTACTTTACCTCTTCTTGCTCGGTACCACTCCTCTCGATTCCTCTTCCCCATCAGGACCTAGTCTTCGCGCTTGCCACCACTCGTCGTCGCTAGCGTTGGTTACATGAAGTATATCGCCGTAATTAAAACTCAGACCCTGGCTTGGCAAACCGCTGTCCTTAGATCTGTCGTAGTCAAATAACGCTCTACGAAAATACAATAAAAATTTCAATGCGCATCATTTATATTTCTGATAAGCAAAGCACTTTACCACACAGACAACACAATACAGAAGTATGAGGAAATAGTCAAAAATCTCTGTTAAGAGATTTTTAGTTTGTACAGTCATGTGCAAGAATAGCCTTTATATAATATAAATATTTACCTAACATACAACTGCCTCTTTGCAGACGTTTTAAGGGATCCTGTATTATTTGTAGTGTTCATCAATTTTTCTCGAAGATCGTGAATCTTTGCTTCAAATTTGTTGTATTCTATAAGAAATGACAAAACATAAGTAGAAGGATCTTATGCGTATTATAACACTAAAGAGAAAGTCTGCGCTGATACAAATTGAAAGTAAAAGATACACAAATTACAATACAAATCAAAATAGATGAAAAACAATATTTCCACAACTAAATCATATTTTTTTTTCAATCAAAAAGTTATTCAATCAAAATTCTTTATAAATACACCATTACCGAGAAAATATATGAACGTTTAGTAATATTTGTCGTAGGCTCCAAATAGAAATCATGTATAACAAATGGATAAAATACTGAAAAAATATCCCTCAAACTATGGAAACTGTTTTTAATGTCAATATTAATGTCTTTGTTGTGATTTATTCAAATAAAATATTCATACAATCAAATATTCATTTTTCGATTTATCGAGCTCATCACAAACATCTGTCCAGATATTTTGTAATCAAACATTCCAAATTATGTTGGAAATTGTCATTATTTCAAATATTATAACGAATAATTGAAGAACAGAAAAAGCCTGTTTTAAGGTATAACGTATAATTTTAGCATTTCAATTTTCTGATATTAAAAATGCCAACAAATTTAATGTCAATGCGTATACAATACATAATCTTAATACATCCAACATAACAATGACGACGCGTAGAATCATCATTATAATAAACAAAAAAATCATCAACAGTTTTATTAGAGGTTTGTCATAACAATTGGTAGTTGTTATGAAGGCTACTATGCTACATGAAAATAAACGATGATCAATAATTTGTCTATGAAATATATTTTTTTCAGTAATTACGAACCTTCAGGTTTATATTCGGCAATAATTGTGACAGTACTGCCAGAACCTTTCAAAGCTGCAGCAGCTTGTTCATGAGTTGCATTTGTTAAATCTATATCGTTGACCTGAAGAAGGAAAGTATTTATAAATTCATTTCTGTGAAGGATACAACGTTTATTTAACCTTACAATATATTTACGACAAAATCCAAAATTGGATGAACGAGCTTCGAAAGTATACGTATCAAAAACAATCTACGAGTCAAGTTCATAATTTTTACGTCATTTTCAACATTATATATTAATATTGTTATAGAAAAGAGAAAAGATAAAAAATCTTTCGTTCATAGTTTCAATCAAACTAAGAGAAAGTTTCGTGGTACCCTGCAATGTTATATGAATGTACGACAACATAAATATCTTAAATCCAACATACTTAAGATTAGGGATACGCTAACAGCAAATAATGAATCAATTTTTGTGCATATTTAATAAATACAGTTATAATATCTGATCAACTCCTACTGTACATACATTAAAAAGCATTATACAAATAGAATTATAAAAACAACTTCGTATTTAAAAGCAAAACATACCGACAAAATTTGATCTCCTCTTCTTAATTCTCCACTGAGATCAGCAACTCCACCAGCCAAAATAAAAGAAATAAAAATTCCTTCGCAGTCTTCGCCTCCGACAATATTAAAACCCAGGCCAGAAGGTCCTTTAGTAAGTACAACTGTTCTTTTATCCCTATGAATATAATTTGTTGTAAGTCATGAGCAACTCTTTGATATATAAACAGCCTTATCCAAACGATATAATCATAGTACCTAGGGTTCAAAGTAACGGTCGAAATGTTTTCGGTCAAGATGATCGGTCAACTTCGTTTTATCACGGTCAAAGTCCGTTTTTGACCGACCGTCCACCAAATATTGTGAAAAAATATCAGTAGTTTTTGAGAGTACAGATTCCCATATTTGATATAATTATTTCATTCATACATAATTTCTAGTATGTAAACCTAACAGGTTGTTTCAATGGACAAAGTTCCGACTTGTACGTATATATAACATACCTGGAAAGCTCTTCCTCATCAATAATTACAACAGGTGCAGGCGATAATGATTCACCAACGCCATTAACCGACGGAGTTTTTTCAGACAAAGATTCCTGGTTTCCCTCGTCAGAGTTATTTACAGCTTCATCATAAGTTGGTGGATGGCTATCATTGGCAAAATCTTCTCCATTTTTATTTTCTTCTTCTTCTTCTTCTTCTTCTAAGAACGAAATGAGAAGGCTCGTGTACATGAAGTACAACTATTGGTTGAAAATAAAATATTTACAAAAAATTATCTAAGCACTCATTCAGAAAGTCGTTATTATTCAAAAAAATTTTAGCTACCATAATTCTTCACAGTAACGTCATTAAATGTACAAACATAAAATAATTTAATTTGACTTACATTTGCCCAATCATTATCTTAACTACAACTTGCAGAAACTTATTGGGTATCTTACTAACTAAATGCACCGAAACATTAATTTGCAAAATTTTATCTTGTCTTGTAGTTAATATGTGTGCGTGCACAGGGTTTAAAAAGTTTGAATAAATAATTAAAAGAGACAGAACATAAAATATCATAAAATAGTCAACTCTAATGATTGCTTAAAAGTAAACTGCTAAAAGTCATTGTAGTGTAGTCAATCAGTATGGACAGATACCACACATCTTTATGATGACTCTTAACTTTACCTGCATCTTCAGTAGGTGTCTGTGGGGCAGATGATCCTTGATAAACAAATGAAGATGTATCTCTGTGAACAAGCAATACAACTGTATCACTCGATGACTTAAGTATCCCAACAGCTTGCTCATGTGTGACACTATTCAACGATACACCATTCACCTGTAAATATAAGTAATCTTTACCATAGAATGTTATGCACTTGGATTATAAAGAAAGAACAATGAAAATCTATTTAAACTTATGAGCTGTAACAATAGTAAATTGCAAAAACTTTTTAACTAACACTTAATATCTTGTCGCCCTCTTGCAGTCTTCCATCATACTTTGCAGCACCACCATCAATAATCTTAGTTATAAAGATACCATCATCTCCTGGGATATGCTGATTACCAACACCACCAGCAATACTGAAACCCAGACCTTTTGTCCCCTTTGATAAAGTTATTTCAAGGCTCTTGCAAGCAGCTGTTTGCTCTTTAGGTCTCTTAACTTGAAGTGTGATCACACCTGAACTCACTTTTAATGCATCCACAGCAACTTGATGAGGCACATTTACAGTGCTTGTGTTGTTTACTGACAAGATGCAATCCTTAACCCTAAACACAACCATACTTAAGTAATTCAATACTATAAAAATAGGTATGTTGATTTGTTTCATAAATAATGAAATTAATGTGCCAATATATATATTCTTATCTTAAATCAATAAATATACAACTACTTTCTTAAAAAATTCTTTAGGGAATAATAAAACACCTTAATCGACCATCATAAGCAGCAGCTCCTTCGGGAATGATTTTTGTGATGAAGATGCCTGAATCATTTGCATAATGTGGATTGTCAGTGCCACCAGCAATACTAAAACCCAAACCAGTTGTGCCCTGATAACAAAAAAACAGTGAAAAATCATCAACTACTAAAAAGTTGATTTTACATAAAGCTATAATGAATGACAACATACTCTTTCAAGTACTATTTCCTCATAATCAAAGTCTCCTGGTACGTTAACCTGTTAAAAATGAATAAAAGTTATTGAATAATCATTTTAAGTAATTCAAAATACCACAAAATCAAACCTCATCACTATCATCCTGCATAGTTGATGTCTCACTTAAAGCCTTGAATAATTAGAAAAGAACCCAAAATAATATTAAAATGGCAATACTCAATAATTATAAAAATATCTGATAGAATATTAGATGACAAAAAGCAAAATATATAGTGCTTTCACCAAGTCATCACAAAAGAAAATTTAAACATTTGGGGGAGGAAGGTACGGTTTCAGCAGTTATGAAATGTTGAACTTTAACCTCTACTTTGTTGAGTATATTTTTTGTACAAATATACACCAAACTTGCACACTTACCTTGCTTGTACATTTCAAGGGTTATCAGTAGTAAAGACACATTTTCTAAGCTTTAAAATCAATTTAAGTGTATATACAAATATGGATCATTGTCATATTTACCAAAGGAGTTTCATCAGGAGCAGTTGTAATTGATATAACAGGTGGAGGTTTTATAACACTGGAAACATGATGCTAAAAAAATTATAAAAACAATAAAATGTTTAGTTGAACACAAGATTCAAAATGATCATATTCTGCTGGGATAGCCATAAGCCACAAGCAATTTTCCATAATTGTGAACATTCGACTTTCTACATGTATAATCAATTTAGGTCTATATACACATACATATATAGAACATTATCATATTTACCACCATTAACAATAGAAATAAATACATATTAGTGTGTATACTAGCCATTATTTATAAGTTGACATGCTTCTTAATGGAATAAAAAGTTAACAATATTATAGTATGCTTATCCTAAGACAATAGTGACAGGTAAACAACAGATAACTAACTTTTAAAGAATACATGTACACATGAAAAAATGAAATGTAAAGATTAGTATGTGTCACCCTTTCATATGTATGACAAAAAAAACCTGCTGCTAGGTAACTACGTAATGCCAGAATGCTGATAAAACAAACATTTCTTTACAATAAGTGAAACTTGACAACAAATAAAAAGGAACACCCAAATTCATCACACAGTGGGATGAAAATAGCAGTAATTAGCATTGGATTTTCAAATTAAAATAACCGAAAACAGTCAGTTTCAGAAACCTGAAAACCATTGTAACTTGATGGAGAATTTTCCCATTTTTTTGCCACTTCATGGCTATCCATTTCTACCAATAAGTCATCTGCATGTTTCGATTCATCGACTAATGTCAGCAACGTCTCATAATATTCTTGTATGTCTAAATGTAAATATTACAGAGATACATTCCCAATCAGTAAAAACATTGTTTTGTGCAAATAATTCAGTTACGGCCTTTTTTATTTAATAAATGATCCACTTGATAAAGATGCTTTATGCTGTATACTATGATATCACTGCTATGTGTATCCACAACGCAAGGTTTCTAACTAGAAGTAGACGCAATTCTAACTCATCATCACTCGAAAATACAGAGGATACAACCTTAAAAGATATTTTGAAATTGTTATCTGATGTGATTGAGAAAGCGTTAAAGCCATACCAAGTAAAGAGTGAAATAAATTGCTTTGAAATATTTTGATAACTCGCTCGATGGCATTCCTCAGGGCTTGGTCTTGAGGCTTTGTTAACTTCGTTCTATAACCTTCAAGAAGCTGTAGAGCTCTCTCAGCATCTACAATTCAGATAAAAATAACAATTTATTGTAGTCGGACATGTTTAATGTGAACAAGATTAGATTCATGCATTAGATAGACCAAGTACAACCGCAAATGGCGGAATTCCAATATCTACTGACCTTCTTTGCGCACTGGCATCATAAGGAAGTGAGATTTTTTGAAGCAATTCAAACGACTAAAAAACAACTATGGGTAATATTTAATTCGAAAGATTTCAGCATAGGCAATGAAAGAAATATGTATAGAAAAATAACGCTTATTTTAAAGCTCAGTTGACGATGTTTATCATCTGCCAAATTGCCGCTGTGCAGCCACAAACTCGAAGGAAAGTGAAACAACAGATGAAGTCACGTGAGAGTCATTATACCTTGAAGAATGTTGTGCAAGGCATTTTATTTACTATTTTTGGCAGACTTTGGAAGACGAAGACACTAGCCACTTGTTTTTTTTTCCTATTAATTAACTGGAAAAGTCTACATAGTCTGTTTACATAATTAATTATAACGATATGTAACCACAAAAATCTTGATTTGATTAAAAAATTTTTACAAACCATAATATATTAACTTTACATAAAAACAACATTTTAATAATCCAAACTCATTAGCAAAGCCGTTCCTCTTTTCACCCAGTGATCAGCAGTCATAACACCAGATTTTAAATCAACACTAACGACATACGATGCTCGATCTGAAGTACCAGTACGATTGGGATAATAATAACAAGGACACGAATAATTTCCTAAAGCATATAATTATAAAATCAAATTATCATAAGACTCCAACACAAATTTTTCATTAAATTGAGCGTTGAAGTTAAAGAAAAGACACGACTATTAATTAACAACAAATTAATACTAAGTATTTTTTTAATAAAAACCATCAAATGTCAATTGCTTAATTGCTAATCATGGCCGGTATGATTGTACAGTTCGTAAATTACTGCAGCACATTTTACAATAAATTTACAGTTCTGAGCACTTTAAGGCAAGCCCATCCATAAAATTATATTTTTTAGGTATTGACAACCAAGAGTGTTTTTCTGAAACTAATTTGAATTTAAAATTGAGCTGCTATAATGTATTTTGACGAACGCTGGACCGTTAAAATACCACTAACCTTTTCCAGTTTTTTTCTTGTTTTCAACAGGTTTAAAATGTACAGTTGGTATAGGACAAACTAGTTGCATAGGGTCTGCTTCAATTAAAGCGGCATTTTTCTTATCCCATCCCGCACCTTCTAAATAAAGACCACGAATCCAAACACCATCCTAGAAAAAAGATGCATCACTATGTCGTTACACAAAGTAAAATAGCAATGTTAAAATACACGAATTGTTGGAAGTTTCACTAATAGTATGAAGGTTGTTTTGAATAAGTTTTAGCAAGTATATGACAATCGAACCTTAGGGTACTGGGTAATGTTACTATCGTCAACAGTTGAAACAGTAAAGTCCCACGACAGAGTGTCAACAGAAATGTTGTTTTGTCTCGCAGATGTTTGTAACACTGCCGTTAAAAATCCAGTCGGAAAGGTGAAACCTGACATCCAAAATATGATCGGCTGATGTGCAGTGCTGGCCCATTTTGCAAACTGATCAACACGATGAACTAAATCCCGTGTCCAATTAGCTAATGCTTTATTGGATGGATACGCCTACATCGAAAACAAAAAAACGAAAATAATTAAAGATGAAAAAAAAAATAGGAAAAACACCACCAGTCATAACGAAAAATCTCTAAGTGAATGACCCATTTTGGGCTTTCGCAAAAGCAACACATTACTTTCACTGACATCCAAGACTGGACATAAAGTTATTATAAAACACACTTTATATATGAGCAAATAGTCAATTTTACATTAAAGTCAACAATAATGTACATAATTGTACTCAACTGGATGTATATATGATAAAAGTGCTAGCTACAACCACGTACCTTTCCCCACAGAGGTGGGACACGAACGTCATAAATACAATTAAATGTCTCCTCCATATCACATGACATCACTACAAGTCCTTTTATGCCACGCTCCAATTCAATTAGAGATGATTTGATTGTTCCAAGTAGTTTGTTGTATCGTGATATCTGGGTTAATGTTAGTCAGAACTTTCATGATAGGAAATACATTAATAACTTTGTTTGATATCTATTAAAGAATAGCAAGTTGTACCTAATAAAAAACTATCAAGCTATACATAATGCAAGAAAGACAAGCTATACATAATGCAAGAAAGACAAGCTATACATAATGCAAGAAAGACAAACTTTACATAATGCAAGAAAGACAAGCTATACATAATGCAAGAAAGACAAGCTATACATAATGCAAGAAAGACAACTTATACATAATGCAAGAAAGGCAAGCTATACATAATGCAAGAAACACAAGCTATACATAATGCAAGAAAGGCAAGCTTTATATTATGCAAGAAAGGCAAGCTATACATAATGCAAGAAAGACAACTTATACATAATGTAAGAAAGGCAAGCTATACATAATGTAAGAAAGGCAAGCTATACATAATGCAAGAAAGGCAAGCTATACATAATGCAAGAAAGACAACTTATACATAATGTAAGAAAGGCAAGCTATACATAATGCAAGAAACACAAGCTATACATAATGCAAGAAAGGCAAGCTTTATATTATGCAAGAAAGGCAAGCTATACATAATGCAAGAAAGACAACTTATACATAATGTAAGAAAGGCAAGCTATACATAATGCAAGAAAGACAACTTATACATAATGTAAGAAAGGCAAGCTATACATAATGCAAGAAAGACAAGCTATACATAATGTAAGAAAGACAAGCTTTACATAATGCAAAAAGGCAAGCTGTTGTAATGCAAAAAAGGTGATATCATAATTGTTACATTTAAATCCATGCGTTGAACATGCTGACTACACAATTTACCTCTTGTAGCAAAACAACATTAAGTGGCGACGGATCATCAGACATGATTTTGGCAGTCTGTTCATAATCTATCTCATCAGGAACTCTCTTCAACACATCTGCAGCGAGGTCTAATACCTGAAAAGATTGTATAGAGTTTCTTTATTTGGCAGCCAATCGTCAAATGCATGAATAGCAAATATATCTTATGCCTTCTGTTCGCGTGATTCGCCAATTCCACCAACAGAAGCAATTTGTGGTTGAAGGGAAAGCAGTGTATCAAACAGATTTCTGAAATCAAAAAATGATTGGGTTATGGGCTTCATATGATTGTTAACGCATCATAATTTGTAAATTTTATATTATCAAAGAAAAAATAAAGTCTGCAACGGTAGTATATCATTTATTGCTCAAAAGACATACTTATTTCAATGGAGAATCAAAATAAGTTCTACACTTCTTAAATAACTATCGCACAACAAGCTTTATACAAACCTTGTTTCGATAATTTGACTTGCAATATCAGCGTTAGGATGTTGTCCAAATGCTTCAGGGTGATCAATGTTAGGTAACATGCTGATATATTCCTATTTAACATTTGAATTTATTGCCTTTTTAACTTTGAAAGTTTTCGCATTCAATCAAAAATTATTGTTAGATACTAGTGCAAGATAACATATTTAATAACAAACTAAAGTTAAATATTTCGATACAATATGTAGCCTACGTCATATACTCACACATGTAGCCTACGTTATATACTCACACATGTAGCCTACGTCATATACTCACAATGTAGCCTACGTCATATACTCACACATGTAGCCTACGTTATATACTCACACATGTAGCCTACGTTATATACTCACACATGTTGCCTACGTTATATACTCACACATGTAGCCTACGTCATATACTCACACATGTAGCCTACGTCATATACTCACACATGTAGCCTACGTCATATACTCACACATGTAGCCTACGTCATATACTCACACATGTAGCCTACGTCATATACTCACACATATAGCCTACGTCATATACTCACACATATACGAAAGATAAACCGAAAAGCTGAAAATAACTGTTTGTGCAATAGCTTTTCGAATTAGACATTTTTCGAAGTGAAATTGCGAAGTAAATTAATTTTAATAAAACAGTATAATTTATAAGACAGCTCAAACAAATTGACGTGTGCGGGGAAAAACTTTTCTTCAACATTTCATAGACCTATACGAGAAGTATGAATTTATGACGTAGACTATACAATCTGTAACTTAAAATGAATAACTGGGTAATGTTCACCTACTCTGTAACTTTATATAAATATATGGGTAAGTACTCAGTGATCTCATATTAATATATAGGTACGTACATAGTCAGTAACAAAACACTAACTTTATACAACATATGGATAGACATTTTGTAACTGTATATGAATATATGGACACATACTCGGTAACTTTGTAAAGGTCCATCTTTTGGAATGTAATAAGTTGGTAAAGATGACAACCTACAGATGATAGAAATATAAAAATGTACTGTGTACAACTGTATTGTAAAGTAAATGAAATAGAGTGTCGTACTCACAATTCAATTAAATTAGAAATACCATTAATATAACATGAATATCACACTGTATTGTCTTGACTTTTTCAAATATGGAATTTAAAATGAAACGCTTGCAGTTATTGTCAAAAATTTGGTTTGATATTGTAACTGAATAAAATAAGTTCCCGTCCACAACATATGGTACTTTTTAAGAGCAATGTTCAAAAATCCTATGATTGTGTGTGATACTGGACTATTGCAATAAACATACTCCGAAATTTATTTTAATTTTAAAAATCTACTTGGGGAACACTTAAGTAGGAACAAGCTGTTGGTATTACGAAAGTGACTGTCAGCAAAGCTGACTACAGGTTAAATATAAATAAATAAACAAATCTTACTTGAAGTATGGGGCATCCAAAGAAGCATCACAGAAGAAATCATTAATGTAAGTCATTAATAACCTTCGATCAAAATCATCCGTCACATGACCACCGTAATTGACGCCAGCAACCTTGAGAGGTTTAAATTATATTGTGAAGTTTGTGAATGAAAAAAAAGAAATTTACATTGTTATCAAAGGCCATGAAAGATCATACCAAATATTTAAGAGCTTCCCACGGTGTTTCTTCATATTCATCTAAATACATACCAATTAAATTCTCAGATACCTATAAACATAAACTCATTGGGTTACGGCGAAACCCTCTCGTGTATCTACGTACATCTTCACGACCGCGTTTCTTTGACAAACCTCAAAATCAGAATCATTGAAACCGTACATAATATTCCAGCCCAACATAAGAAATTTTTTTCTTTCAAGGAGAACACTGTGAAAGAAACAAAGAGCAAAAAGAAGTTTCTTGTACTTGTCTTGTTTTTGTCGTCGAGTGAATTGTTGTTCGGTAACAAGTTGATAAAGTCTTTTCATGTTCGCCTTCAAGCCCTGGAAAGTATACCACGAAAATCTCTAGTGCCTCTGACGAAAATTTGTACGAAAATGTCCATCCATGTAAATTTGAACTAACCTTTGGTGGTTCAGTCGTCATTTTAATACCAACTTGAAGTATAGATATTGGAAAGTCTGGATGAGGACTGCTGCTTAACCATAGACGAAAATCAACATGAGGATTTTCTACTTGTAACTGCTCCACAAGTTTATCCAGTTGAGGCATCCAACTTAGAGATAAATGGCAGTTGGCCAAAAATACCCAATTACCCTTTGAAAAATGATCAATGAAATGGAAGTAATTTTATTGTTGTATTATTTTATAACAATCGGAAAACACGTACACAAAATATGGAACACTTAAGTACAGAATTTCAGCGGTCAAAAAATGTTAACTGTAAAAGTTATACGAAAAACTCAAAATAAATTATTTAAATAATTGCTTTGAAAGAATTTAAAACATGTTAATTCTTCATTTTTTCAGGTCCATTTTTACCATTTTTTTCAATGAAAGTGATCACCTCTTTAACCCCTTTAGTGATTACCTTTAACCCCTTCTTTAACCCCTTTAGTGATTACCTTTAACCCCTTCTTTAACTCCTTTAGTGATTACCTTTAACCCTTCTTTAACCCCTTTAGTGATTACCTTTAACCCCTTCTTTAACCTCTTTTGTGATTACCTCTTTAACCCCTTCTTTACCCGCTTTAGTGATTACCTCTTTAATCCCTTCTTTACCCGCTTTAATGATTACCTCTTTAACTCCTTCTTTAATCATTCTGGTTGCGATGGGAGCCTGACCTTGGCCAAGTGATAGGGCATGAAAACGGTCACTCATACCACAATTCTCAGCCAGGTGAATCAAAGCACTTGTAGGATCCTATTTTATACAACATAAAACAAAAATTGATGTAAAAACTGAGTCAGGTAGTTTTAAGTTAAACTTAACTTTACAGTACGTGGAATACAAATGTGTAAGTGATAATTCGTCATGGAATTAATGAAAGTATTGATATAAAAATGATATAAATCATTACTCACTACTCCTGGAGAAAGAACAAAAACAAGTGGCGTTCTTGTTGTAGAGTCTTCAACCACTGAACTCATATCCAGCACCGGTGGCTCGACAAACCTTATGTTTATACGATATAATTTGATGCAATTGCACCACATAAGAAACGTTAATTAGGTTAGAGTCTTGAGTTTAAATGCAAATGCGTTCAACTCATCTAATGCAGACTTGCGGGTTTCAGCCCCTTCCTCTCCACACACAGACAAAAAATTTTTTTTGAAACATTAAAAATTTTGCAAATGACAACTTCATAAAGTAACTTTCATACAATGTCGTAACTCTCTACAAGTGAACTTCTCATAAAATAAACGAATACAGCCACAGAATAGAAACTGCAAAGGCTCAAACAACATAATCGAAACTAAAATAAAAATTTCTGGACTGCACACAGCTCTAAATCAAACTACTTACTTTGAACCAAGATTGTTGATAATAAAAGATGTTACGGTAAAAGAGACTCGATCCGGTCTTAATGATCGCACAATCAACATTCGTTGAAGTTCATTGCAAGCATTCTCCCATTCTCCTAGAAACGCAAACATTAATTGGAATAACTCGTGTTCATATTCTCCCATTTTAAAGTGTTTCTTACTCTAAGTGTAAATATTATATTGATAATAATAATATATAAAAGATAATATAAATTAACACCTTTACAATCATATAATAACCTGGTAAAGGTGTTGTTTCAGGCTGGGCACTTGTATACCAGATAGTCCAGTCACGTGGATACTGTTCAAATGACGTCACAAGTCCATGGAAATTAGGTAACCTAAATATTTTGGTTACAGTTGGGTAAAACAAATATATACGTGAAGTTGACGAAAACAACATATAACAACGTACTTGTCAAGTTCCGTCAAATTATCCCAAGCTGTGTCCGTCAGCAATTCAGGACAAGGATTGTCAATTTGTTCTTCTCGATCGAGGACCTTAAAACAAACGCAGGTTTTTTTATTCAATGAACGCAACAAGCTAAAATAGGAAAAATAAAAAACATGTTGGATAAAATATCATACCACGCCACCACGTAAAAAGAAATTGTATTCGTCCATGTTCAGTTTTCCAGCTGCTTGAAGTATTTTTGAGCACATTTGAAATGAGAAAAGCAATTTATGACGTTCAAATAGACCACGACATGTGTATCTAAATGAAGTAGTTAAACATTTGTGAATGTTTTTCAGTAGAAGGCGAAGGTACATGCAGCCATGCAAGAACAAGAACAACTTTAAGTAACCATCTTTCATGTATTTACCAAATATAAAAAAACGTTAGATTTACAATCTATTTCACAAGTTTCCTAGAAAAAATTTAAATTCGACACAACAGTTTATATGAAATACACTTACTTATAAACCGCAAAAGTGTGATAATCATTCAAATTATGAATGCGTATTTCCAACTGGGGACTGCGTTGGCTCTTCTCAATAGACAAATTAAACAGGCTGATGTATGAATCCAAAGAAAATTGATACATTGGATCAATACAGCCCATATCATTGAGCACAAAGAACAATATCGACGCACGTTGTGCGCATGATCGATAGCCCTAAAAGAAAGCTTGAAATATTACTTTAGACAAGACGACATAAATCTATAGAAAGAAATCAAACCTCTCGAGCAGCGTCAATTTTGATTTCAGTTTGTTCACTGACTTGTAACTGTTCACCAATTTCTTGTGAAGTCTGCTTTGATGAATTTAACGTATTCACTAACTCTTCGTCATCCAATAAAGATCCTTGAGCAGTTTGCAGAAGTCTACAATTTTCAACAGTTCTGATGAAATTCGCTGTTTTAAACGTTTTTCGAAATTGTACAAAGCAAAAAGAATCGTTTCATTACTTCAAATTTTTAAATTCACCTAATATTATCAAGCAACATTATCATGCAACGTTATTATGCAACATTATCATGCAACATTATCATGCAACATTAATATGCAACATTACTATGCAACATTATCCTGCAGCATTATCATGCAACATTATAATGCAACATTATCATGCAACATTATCAAGCAACATTAATATGCAACATTATTATGCAACACGAGCAACGTCATGGCTACGTACCTCAGTATTTGATCTTCTAGATCTTCTAATTTTTTTTTGCCAGCAGCAATGTTGATGACAAGATTATCTTTCTGTTCTTCAAGTTCTGGACGCTCTTTACGAACAACAATGCCAAGTAATTGAGCCTCAAGACCTGAACGTTAAACAAATCAAGAAATTACTCAAGAATATCAACAAACTATAATTTAGTATTGCCACATTACAAACACTTTTACTCTTTTCATCATTAATATATCCGTCACAAATATTATTCTCACCTTGTTCTTTTACAGCAAAGTTTACGATTAAAGCTTTTGTAGAAATTTCTGGAGTATAATGTGGATTGCTTAGTTTGGTTGTTATATAAAACCTAAAATCAGCGTTATACTCCACTTCCTTGTCACCAATCTTGATATACATAGAATTTCCTACACAAAAAAACAGCGTAGGCTTGTGTCGTAAAATAGTGATACAATTATTTTGAATTTACTATTATTATTAAAGAAAATTACTTCAAATCTGCAAACCTCGTTTTATAAATGATTTATTGAGAATTGGGGCAAGGGATGGATCAAGTTCTTCCTAAAATATCGGCAATAATTAATATCATTGAAACATTGTAAGTGACAGAAAAAAAAATGTAAAAAACGCATACCTGAACATTTTGAAGTAATACAGGAGAGCCAAACTGAACAGCGTTTTCTAAAGTTCTTAAATAATCTGATTGCTGAAGGTCGATTATTTTGAGGCCCTGTATTGTATTTATAATATTTACTATTAGCGATGTTAGGTTTAGGTTAGACCAAATATTAGAGAAAGGTATCATTGTTCCATTTTATCTAAGGAAAGCAATGAAATGGAAATCGTTATAATAGCTAGAAAGTGTTCTACAGTCTTCCCAAGTTGTAAAGATTAGTCATTTGCAGCTGGGGAGAATTCTGCTGCTTTCCAGAGTTGTCAACAACAGTGTAACATGAAACTCGAGAGAGTTCTACAATCTTCAGCATTTTTCATCTTTAGTCTAACTTGTACAAAAAAATGAAACCTGTACGCACATTTTTGTTTTCCATATTTTTAATCCATTTTATGGCTTGCCCTTGTGGATCAACCATAAGTGGCCATCTAAAAAATCAATTTTCATAATTACATGATGGATAAAGTAAATAGCACAAAAGAGTTGAAAAATAAACAAACCTGTTTCCACGAGTAACAATGACGCCATTTTCTGTGGAGAATTGATCTGATGGAAGACCCTTACAGAAATATATACATGTTACATAACGTTAAAAAACGACAAAACCGCATTTTGTCATTTACATAATACAAGCACGTACCTGAATATTCCATTCACGAACAGTTGTTGGCTTCGCCAGAAAATCAGCAAACGAGAATTTTGGAGTACATGCAACTTTTAATTCTCTGACCTTAAGTTAAAGAAACTTGAATAGTTCATTACACACAAATTACGACTGACTGTCAAAGAGTATTTTAGTAAAACACAAGACAGGAGAACACTTCGTATAAAGGAAACAATATTTAATCTAAACATTTCGACAAGTGTTGCATGTCATCATCAAAAGACAATGTTAGCTTTTAAAAAATTACAAAAGTTAACATTTTTCTACTGATGATGTTGAAATGTTTAGATTGAATAATGTTTAGTTTATAGCTACCGAGTGTCTATTGTCTTGCGTTTTATTACACGAGTTTCTCAAAGATCATGTTCAATGATGGAACTCACTTGAGCAATCCAGTTTTGCATAACGAGTTCATCGCGGTAGTTTGAAAGAAATGGTCCAGCATATGAAAGAAAAGCAGCAGCCAATAAACTATCCCCAACTAAATAACGAATGTTTTCCTCAAGAATCTAAAATGAAGACAAAATAACTATGTTGAAGTGACTTGCAATCATTTTCGTTGTCAAATTATTGTTTACATTCCTTTGTAGGTAAAAAAGTCATTGTGATACCTTAACGCTAGCTTCCCATCGATCTCTTTCACCAGCTAACCCAGATACTAACTTTCCTGCACGGTCAAGTTTTAATTCGGTCAATTCAGCTTTCTTTCTCAACTCTTCCTTTTGAGCTAGTTTTTTATCATATTGCTTCTTCAACTCTTCCATTCTATCTGTTACCTATTCAAAAACATTATTTTAGTGAAGAAGACTGTACTTTTTATCAGGCATTTTATCAAAGATCCCTAGGAATTTTAGGATCAATTCTACCTGAACAATCGCATTTTAGCACGTCAAACTCTTAACGTGCTAGTTAAATCAAGACACCAAATGCACTTGCCCATTCAATGGAATAATCACAGTCGTATATTTATAGAAATGTACCTCTTTCAGTTTTGCCTTTGCTTCTGTAAGAATGGCTTGTTTTTCATTTAGTTGACTCGTCGCTTGGTTCAATCTTTGTCTTTTTGGTTCAACAACCCTATATATCCTACCATATACCTCCATAGCCCGAACCCACATACACAATGACTTTGCCGCCAAAGAAACGCGACCGATAATCTCAGGTTGAAAGTCTGCTTGAGAGCAATATGTTCCTATTTTTTTCAGCACTCTATCAGACATATTATCTTTGTCAAAGTTGATAAGCTGTTTAATAAAATTTTGTTCGCCTGAAAAGAAAATTTAAACAATATGAATATCGAACAAATTTCCTCGTTCAAGTCAAGAAATAAAAAACTACAAAATTCAGCATGAACAGAAATTTATCAAGTAGACTAGTAGTGTTACCTAGTTGTCTCTTAGCTTCAGCCCAGGTAGGTTCATTACCACGTAAGATCATCACAGCTTCCATTACCTTTTCAACTAAGGCAGGAGGTCGACCATACGACTTTATTTCAGTCATATCTTTTTTATTGAGTGCTTCCAAAGCCTAAATTTTCGTTTATTTAGTACGAACAAATTAACAATATGACATAACAATAAACAATATATTTACAATGGTACAAATACAAGTGCAAAGTACATTTTCTTGCACGCAAGATGTACACGACAGTAACTTCATGGCTTAACACAGGCTAAATAATACAGTCTCAATAAAACTGGTAATTTTATACAAAACTACAAACAAACGTACAAAAAATACCTTCATTGCTTCAGCAAGTGCTGGTAAAGCTTCATCAAGATCATGTTTAGCTTGATCCGCCATCACACGACATTTTTCTTCCTCTTCGGCAATCTTTTCACTACGAGCAGCAACAAACTAATAAAAACAAACATAAATTTTTGAAGCTATTTTCTAGCGAAATAAAGAGATATATTTATTGTAAAAAAACACAACTAAAGTAGTGCACAGAAGAAAAATAATAGAAATAAAAGAACTTTTTAAGTAAAATACAAATGAGATAAAATCACACTTTTTGTTGTTCATCAGCATCTCGCCTTTGTTGAACGATAACAACCAAATATTCTTCACATTCTTTCTGAAACTTTGCCACTTTTACTTTAGCTTCCTCTAACTCAATCGACATAGACTCAACCTAAAAAATAAAGCAACGTTTTCAAGATAATCGAAAATGTTTTAGAACAAAAAATGTCAATCTTTTCGTTTCTTCATCAGCGCTACGGTCAAACTATTGTTATACACCTTAGCTCTAGTTTCATCAATTCGATCCAAACCATTTTTCAACTTAGCAGCAGCATCACCAAGTTCTTTACGTTTCTCAGCAAGCAAACTATAATAATTATTCAAATAATAACTAATCACATTATTGGCATCAAATGAAGATTAACTCTAATATAAATTAGCATTTATAACAAGCCAGACGATGAACATGATTTGATGTTTATCAAAATTTTATCATCCATGCAACAATCAGTGTACCTTTGATAACCAGAAACAAGTTCGAGATAGTTAGTTGGTGTGACGTAATTATGACGTTTCATTTCCAACAACATTCTGTTTGACATGTTCACAACAGATCGATGAGTGTTGACAAATATTTCTGCCATATTTTTTTTTGTCTAAACAGACAATCATTTACGATGAAAGATGGCCATAAAAACACGTATAAACAAAGCGTAGTTGTAGCAGAAAAAAACTGCTGACAAAAAGCATTTATTAATTATTGTAAAGTTCTCTATTACCTCATCATCTCCCAGTTCCATTGGTTCCAAATATTTCTCAGCAACTTCAAGTAGAGCATCATTAGGCCATTCGCTAAACCAGTCAATCGTTGTACAGTTTACAAACGCTGGGTACATTCTTATACGATTCCTTGAGTATGAACAACACAATCATTAATTCTTCACATGTGAACAGAGTAACATGTTGTAGTCTCACTTTATGTTTTATAATTTCTGCATTCCTTAGCCTAGTCACAATGAATTATGGAATTTATAATCATAGATTAATGAATCAGAAGTAAGAGATGTCAGTGATCAAAGACAAGTCAATGGTCTGTAGGTAAATATCTTACCGGAAAGGATCACCCACAGGACTCATGCATAAGACGATATGCAAATTACTTCGAACTCTTTCAATGAAGTAAGAAAACATCGATTCAGGAGTATCTAAAATACCGTCTTTCTTAGCGACTTCAGAAATAGCGTTTCGTACCTGTGAGTAATAAATAAGTATGTTTTACATTATAGAATAATGGTTCGGTAAAGAACGACGATACACAAAAAATACACAAAAATATCAAAGGCCTTTCTACATGGTAATCACAAACCTCTTCAAATTCATCTGGTTTATACAAATTAGGAACTTCACCACTACTTAGGATGTTGTTAACGTCCTCGAGAAAGCTCTCCTCTAACACTTGAGTATCGTTGAAGAGAAATATTGTTGGTTTATAATCTACACCAGTCATGAAATACAGTTTCTTTAAATCTAAATGAAATGAAAACGATTTTCAATATATGTATTAAGGTTGAAGAATTGCTTTATGTCAGAAGATGTTCTTTTGCAGTAATAAATCAGTTGAGTTTTCATATATAAAATGTTAACAGTTTTTTGTGTTGGGTGTAAAAGTCATTACTCACCATCTCTGAACTCAGTTTTTTTGTAATTTCTGGTCACTTCGATTTGAAAAACTTTAAAACCAATCAAATAAGCAGCTAATTTCGTCAAACTTTGTCGACCACTTCCACCAATGCCAACGAGCAACATATTGCCCCGAGGTTTACCAATAACACGAACTATTCGAGTAACTGAGGAAATGATCAAAAATAACTAAAATTATTTCCCAATTATAAATGACGACCAATTATCAAATTATTTCCTCGTCAGTTTAAGACTGAACTTATTCATGGCATTCAACTAGCTACGTAAGCATCTCTCTAAACAATGAAATACAGTCAATAATTTGAAGCGTTAAGTTATATAAAGTGATGTTTTCGTGAAGATAAATAAATGTTGCTTTATGTAAACAGGAACATTTTTTTAGTGAACAAATTAACCAAATTAGCAGAAAAAAGACTCTCAAACCGTCAGCTCTTGAACCAGCTTTAAACTTATTGACACTAGTCGAAGTACTACAAATGACATAAAATAAAATTTTTTTATGATGACAAACCGTGTTCTATTGCGTCTCTAAAAAGGACAAGGGACATAGGGATGACCCCTGGCTCCATATTGTAATCCTCAAGTTGATCTTCCATATATTTTTTCAACACAGGAAAGTCGGATAAATCTTCATAAATCTCTCCTTCTTTGATAAAGTCACCTAAAGAACAAAAAGAGATTTGAACCAAAGCAGTAAACGTGCCTTCATGCATTAAAAGATTGTTTGCTGTATCATAAAATTTCGTATTAATTTACATATGTTGTCATCTATTTTAAGAAAATCAGTATGATGATACAACAATTTGATAAATTTAGGATCTTTGGGAGAAATGAAATCCGTATATGTTAGAGTTAAAACAACTTCACCATCATTAAATGAATAGAATAACTCACCAAAAATGGGAGGTTGTCTATTTGGACAAAGATTGTGAAATGTAAGATCAAATAGTGTTCCAAGCTTGTCACTGACCAAGGTAGTGAAAGACTCTTTATCATTTTCGTCAATCAGACGGTCAGAAAAAACTCTAAAAGAAGATTGGTATTAACGATTGAACACAAAATTCTTTCAATCTACAATTTGATTATAAACATTTGTCTGTGAACTGTCCTGGATAAGAAACAATCACGCTTAGAATACATATAATAAACATACCTAAAACATTCATGGATCCATAACCGTGTCATGGCCGATTTTGAATCTTGAAAATCTTTCCTGGCTCGTAGAAGACCTTGAAATACCTGAATGCAAAAAATTAAAATGTTTTGTTTTTAGTCGCAACATGTGAATGTCACGATCAAAGATATTATACCTTGGAAATATCGCGCAAATTAAAAAGGTAATGAATTTTTGTCGGTGTTGGTAACATTCTTGCAACAATAGCGTTGTATAGATCAACGGTTGCCTTAAAATAAAATATAAAGTGGTGAAATATGCTTCATGACCAAGTAACTACGCATATTCTTGTTCACCTGTGTCATCAAGTCACCAAGAGGCTTTACTTCTTCTTCAAAGTCTTGTAACTTTTGATTAATCATTGTACCAAATATCCTCTTGATTTGACTTTCCTATGATTAATCAAACATCAAATCAAATCAACGAGACCAACAAACATGAAGCTATTAAAGCATTAATGTTACCTGAGGAAAACACATGTTGATGAGATTGAACCTGCTTTGTAAACGACGAGATATAACCATTCTTCCACCACCAGGTGGACCCATAGCACAAAGCAGGTGCATATCCTAAAAAGACAACTTATTTACTTATAATGGCAAAGAATTCAAGACTTTTCAAGATAATGCATAGCTGTTCATGGAATCTGCAAAATTAATGACATTTTACGAGCGAAACGCAGCTTATTCAAGTGACAGTATACTCTCTAATGTTAATTTCTTACCTTGACATGTTTCACTGTTTGTTTTGTTCTGTCGTACCAAAATCCGTAGTCTATCCATTGTCTCATCAACTCAAGAGGAGGTTGTGAACCAAATGTATCCTTCGCAGGCATGTTAAAGTCATCAAGGAATGTTAGCAATTGCTTTCCACCAACAGGAACATAAACGCCTTAGATTGAATCAAAAGTAAAATTTTCTATCCAATATAGCAATACAGAATACGATTGATATGCAAGGATCCATAGAAAATGAATTTTGGAACACACATCCCGTAAAGTTTACACTATTTTTCATCCCTTCAATTTTTGCTTTTAATCACAATACTGCAAAACGTAGCATTAAAAACGACAAACCTTTTGTTCGTTTTTCTACTTTGCTCTCGATAATATCTTGTACATTATTCGAGGACGTCTAACACATAGAGTTTAAGTTATTAATTAATGTAAACATATTTATCGACTTCAAATGCGTCACATTACATGTCAGTGACAGTCTGACAGCTACAAAGAAAGATTCAAATTAAAAAAGACACAATTTACCTGAGCAGACATATTAATGGTCAAGATAGAATATGATTTAGGATTAAGACGTGATAAAACAGTTTGGGAAACTGATGTTTTTCCTGTACCAACAGGTCCAGTTAATAAAACAGGACGATGAGCCTTGATAAGATTAAAGACCAAGAAATCATATCGTACTGTGTCGACAGTTGGAACGATGATTTTGTAAAATGGCTCACTATAAAATAATAATTTTGAAATTATTAAACTGTCAAAACTTGCAAATAAAAGAAGAGATCACGATGATTGACAAAACATTTCCAAACATGTTCAAGATAAGAACCTCTATGTCTTACGTAAATCAAATAATAATTTGACAAAAATTGGTTCGCGCTTATTATATGTTTTAAGAAAGATAAAAACTACTTTAGAAAGAGTGTGAAACATTTTAACTTTATTATATAGTTAAACCTTGGGTTATAACGCCAGCCACTTCTAAGCTTATCTTCCCAAGACAACCATGTACTTTGTTTGATATCAACATGATACTCATACACTGTATCCTAAAAAAACACATAAATCAATAAAACATACAAACATTACTTGCTCTTCTGATAGAACCAAGAACATGCATTTTTGAGGTTTTTGATGTTTGCTACACTTTTACACTGAGTAATAGGAATGGATTCAGGATGATTTTGTACACTTCTACACTGAGTAATAGGAATGGATTCAGGATGATTTTGTACACTTCTACACTGAGTAATAGGAATGGCTTCAGGATGATTTTGTACACTTCTACACTGAGTAGTAGGAATGGATTCAGGATGATTTTGTACACTTTTACACTGAGTAATAGGAATGGATTCAGGATGATTTTGTACACTTCTACACTGAGTAGTAGGAATGGATTCAGGATGATTTTGTACACTTCTACACTGAGTAGTAGGAATGGATTCAGGATGATTTTGTACACTTTACACTGAGTAATAGGAATGGATTCAGGATGATTTTGTACACTTCTACACTGAGTAGTAGGAATGGATTCAGGATGATTTTGTACACTTATACACTGAGTAATAGGAATGGATTCAGGATGATTTTGTACACTTATACACTGAGTAATAGGAATGGATTCAGGATGATTTTGTACACTTCTACACTGAGTAATAGGAATGGCTTCAGGATGATTTTGTACACTTCTACACTGAGTAGTAGGAATGGATTCAGGATGATTTTGTACACTTTTACACTGAGTAATAGGAATGGATTCAGGATGATTTTGTACACTTCTACACTGAGTAGTAGGAATGGATTCAGGATGATTTTGTACACTTCTACACTGAGTAGTAGGAATGGATTCAGGATGATTTTGTACACTTTTACACTGAGTAATAGGAATGGATTCAGGATGATTTTGTACACTTCTACACTGAGTAGTAGGAATGGATTCAGGATGATTTTGTACACTTATACACTGAGTAATAGGAATGGATTCAGGATGATTTTGTACACTTATACACTGAGTAATAGGAATGGATTCAGGATGATTTTGTACACTTCTACACTGAGTAATAGGAATGGATTCAGGATGATTTTGTAGGGGGTTGCTCCAGTTAGAACGAAATGGTTATTTTGTGGGTGTCACCGTGCTTTGTTTTGTAACATTCTGCTTTTCTCACAAAATGATTGAGATATGTTTTGGAAAGATGCTCCATCAAACACAAACACAACAGCATTTTGCTTGATTGCTATAAATATTTCGCAGGTCAATTAACAAGCCTACCACACCCGTATCTAACCAAGGCTGGATGAGGTGCACACCCTTTCATACTACGTAAATCTGTTTTCTGGTTCAAATTGTGCAATCAAGTGAATTTTCAAGCAATTACAATTTATTTATTTATTAGAACCATGTTCAAACTATAGCAATAACTTGTGTGGTTTGTCATGATTGGCTGCTATTTACCAAATTAAAAATTCATTTACCCTATATTCATCTGATGTCACTTAAAAATGAATAAAAATTCTTACTTTACTCGGAAATTGTCCTTCAAGTTCTCGTAAGAAATTATCCATTTTTTTACGACCATCTTCATCAACAGTGGCACCAATGGACCAGATAAGGGAGAATAAGAACCACATTTCGATCAATCGTGGATAGTTATCATTATGTGGATGAACCTAAGCAAAAGCACGAATTTATGAGTAGTCAAACGTAACATTTAAGAAATGTTTTTCCAATCAATATTGTTATGAATTCAAAGCAGAAAGAAAATGTCTTTATTCTAAGCATAAATAAATGAAAAATCAAATGATTACCTATCAAGTGACAGGGTCACACTGCTAAAATAAATCTTTCATTTTCTCAAAGAAATTCTTCGAAGTTATATTTTCTTACCCCATTTTCTTCGGTAGCCAAGGCTTCAAACAACGCACAAAGAGAAACAACTGAGTTCAACTCAGAAGAAGGTATTGGTTCTCTGCAGTTTACTCTACGGAATGTGAGACATTTTTCAACAAACTTGTCAAAAAGCCTTTGCAAGTGTTCAATTGACCTCTGTAAAATAAATAACGATATTTAGCACTTGTTCAAAAAACTATATGCTAAAAAATAATGAATTTTATAACAAGATGACTTGTGCTTTTGAAAATTCTTTGTAAAAAAACACATGGCTAAAACAAAACAAGATATTTAGCTTTTTGACAACAGTTTCGATTTGTAAACACAAATATGATAAAATTATATTCATTTCTTTTAATTTCACGAAAATGTTGTTTAACAGTACGCACTATGAGCTTTAAACAGACCCTGGGTGATAGAATGTATTAAAATTTTCTATTTTTTTCAATGGCAGTTATAACTTTCGTGGGTCATTAGCAATATGTACAAACCTTGTCTTGTCTTTTTTTCAACCAAGAATCAACATAAGGTTGCCATCCTAGATCAACAATGTCGTTGAAAACCATACCACAACGACTTACAGTAGCAGGCGAAGCAACTGCAAGATCTTCTACTTCAAACAACAAAGAAACCTATTTAGAGGAAGGAAAACTGATTGAGTAAATGATCAAAAATGTATGAGAATCCCGGAAGGAAAGTTAACCCATGCTGCATAGAATAATTATTACAATAAAAGCATGGACGCTCTTATGGATGTTCTATATTTATGTATGATTGTACACTCTGAGTACTGTACAATCAGAGCACGAGACAACACACTCACCACGAGAGGTAAAACTACAACCACACGAGACAACACCCTCCCCACGAAAGATAACCCAAACACCCACTACATGAAAGGCAACAAAACTCGACAGAAAAAATGCTAACCTGATCAGGCATGGCAATACGTTCACCATTAATTAATGTCAAAACTTTATTATCATCCATAACAGAATTCATTGATTCAATCCATAGCGTATCTACAGGACCGTCAAAAACAATCCATTTTTCATCCGATTTTTCATCTAAATTAGTGAAATATATGAAACAAACAAAAAATTAATCTTGCATAAGACCTTCTGTAAACGACTTTCAAACGATGCTAAATAACTAAAATCAGTACTACTGTACCTGAACACGTTTGCCTCATTACACTGGACAATACGCCATCAGTCCATTCATTTGTATTTAAATCAAATTCACCGTAAAGTTCACCAAGAGACAACGCTTTAGGGTTTAAAGGATATTCCTATTCAAACAAAAGTTAAGAGCCAGGGAAAAATACTAAATCGTAAGCAATACTTAAGAATACCTTCACAAGATTATATCCAGCAACTCCTTCTTTTTTCATTGTGCTCAACACTTGTTGTAGCATTTGCCAACTGACACTTTTACCAGAACCAGTTTTCCCAACTATCATTGTTGAATGTCTGGAGAATACAAAATCAATTAAAGATCAAAAAAATTGGTTGAATTGAATGATTACCGTTTGATAAATTGCGATATTTTTTTCGCACCTGGAATTCTTTGTTTCATAAAGTTGGATAATTTTCACAACTGTTGTAGGATGTTCTTGCAAACCTGCATCTTTCAGTTCTTTTAGAATTACGTTTCGCAGCTAAATAATTAATGACAGAAAAAAATGTAATGATTTCCTAATGATATTCGTTCAAAACAGAAGTAGAACGTGAAATTTTTTACTTAGAACGTTTTAGAACGTTCAAATCACTATTTATTAAAACGCAAATCACAGCAGAAATGACTGTAAAATGTATCAATATGCAAGCACACGAATTAGACATTCAGTTTCTAGACGAACATGCCATAGGAACGAAATTAAGCAACCTTTCCATAGTCGATGACTGGCTTTTCAATACCAGGGAAAAGATCATGAACAATACCAAGAAACAAAGGTAAATCTTGAGCAGTTAACTTCGCAATATTCATGTCACACATCGACAATAATATAACCTGAACAAAAACAAGTTCAAACGTTTTGTTGAATAAACTTGGGATACATCAAAAAGTGTAACACAACAAGAGTACACGAAGTTCAATTGAAATATTGCCTTGAAAAGCGCAATTACCTTTGTGGATGAATAAAATTATCGAGTTCAAGAGAGTTCTGAAAACCAATGAAAACCCAAGACACCAAAGAGAAAGCAAGAGTTAAAAAAGTCTTGGGTATCAAAGTATTGTTTTTCAAAACGCTTCGGAACTTTTTTCGCCATTCACAATGGTAAATTGCGCTTTTCAAAGGAAATACTTAGATTTTTCATTATTTTTCTCTGTTCCAATTGAAATGATGATAAATATCTATGTATTACCTCTTCGTCGGCCATATCTGGATTAGCACGTTTCTTCCTGCCAGCGTAACGAAGAACGGAAGTTAAGGCTCTCAGGCCAAAGTCATAATGGTCTTGTTTTGACAATTGCTGAACAGCTAGCGAGTATAATGTATGCACCTTTTTGGCTAACACCTTGAACGTTGGTAAAAGGAAAAAAACAAACTTTAACGTCAATAACATTTGCGCGAGTAGAGATGAATCTTGCACAGTACTTTGAACACGTTGCAGGTGTTGCAAATGTTGCAAGGAAGGAGCAGGTTTAGAATCATTTAGAATACCATTTTCAGCCAATACCTTAGTATTATTGAAGCCTTCACCAAACAAAATAATCTCTGCTATCATAGCAGAATCTGGAACGACCATAGATATGGGACGAAACATACTTTTAAGTTGTCAGGCAGCTCAGTACGACCAGCATAACCTGAAATGACATACACAATTGACTGGAGCAACGGTAATTATAAACCGTAAACATGTCCATTAATTGTACAGCTATCTTTGACGATTTAGTACCCTTTTGTAATTGTTTTCTTTAAAGTCGCGTCAGTAGAGCATTTATAAGTATATATGAAAGTAGCCATACAGTTGTATGTACAGTTTATTTAAAACAATTTAATTTTCCAACAAATACCTGGATTCATTGTTATAAGTATATATGAAAGTAGCCATACAGTTTTATGTACAGTTTATTTAAAACAATTTAATTTTCCAACAAATACCTGGATTCATTGTTATAAGTATATATGAAAGTAGCCATACAGTTGTATGTACAGTTTATTTAAAACAATTTAATTTTCCAACAAATACCTGGATTCATTGTTTTAAGTATATATGAAAGTAGCCATACAGTTGTATGTACAGTTTATTTAAAACAATTCAATTTTCCAACAAATACCTGGATTCATTGTTATAAGTATATATGAAAGTAGCCATACAGTTGTATGTACAGTTTATTTAAAACAATTTAATTTTCCAACAAATACCTGGATTCATTGTTATAAGTATATATGATAGCCATACAGTTGTATGTACAGTTTATTTAAAACAATTTAATTTTCCAACAAATACCTGGATTCATTGTTATAAGTATATATGAAAGTAGCCATACAGTTGTATGTACAGTTTATTTAAAACAATTTAATTTTCCAACAAATACCTGGATTCATTGTTATAAAGATACCACATGACCATACTAAGGTGATCTCTCTTCCTTCAAACACAAATCGAGAGAGACCACCAGCAAGGGCAGACAGAATAGACAGAATTTGTTGAGCAACCACGGACAATACTTCAATGTTGATACGATTAAATTCGTCAAAACATCCCCATGCACCTGTCTAAATTAAGGAAAAAATTAAAATATTTTTCAATAAAAAAAGTATTTCCGAATGTTTTCTGCGAGAAATGTGACCATTTTTAGCCGTAATTTTACCTGAGCAAGTCCACTGTACATTCTGCCCATGGATTTATAATCTAATCCTTCTGAACAATTGACGACAATTACATAACTACCTAGAGCCTTGCCCAGATCTTTTACAGTTTCAGTTTTTCCAGTGCCAGCCGGACCTTTAGGACTTCCACCACGATGTAAGTGAAGCGCAGTTGTCAGAGTCATATAACATCTGCATATTGAAAAGAATGTGAAACTTTGGGCTTTTTACAAAGTTTGTAGTAAAATGTCTAAACTTAATAAGTATGTGCAGTGAAAAATTGTATACCTAAATGGTATGTATACCTGTCAGTTAAAGGAGTGATGACCAAACGTCCAGAATTACCAAGATATTCATATCCATACTCAAACTCTGTATTAGTCTGCTTCACTACACAATTATCAATATCCTAAATAATCCGTTGTAATCCATTATGTTAAAAATCATGATAAAACTTTGATAAAATCAAAAGTGGAAATCATATGAAACTTAGTGTAATCTTGCTAAGAAATAATGCAAGATCTTACAGGGATCTTATAGTACCTTAGACCTTATCCTAAACTAGTAGAAAGAACTGTAAAATCTTATAACTCGCGTTAAAGAAACAGGTACATACTCTTTCCCAATAAAGCCTCAGTTGACTTAACCAATCAAAAGCATTGACGTCATTGCAACCAGACTTTATAAGCTTCTCAATTACATCACGCGCATGAACTTCGATGGTGACTAAAGCCACAATCTTTAGACGTTGAAGCTTTGTTAAATTACCACGAATAATGTCGGAAAATTTATCCAATATGGATACCTATAAAGGATAATAAAATTACAACTATTAATGGAACATAAAAGAAAAGTAAGAGTTGTAAAATAACGATACTTGTTTCTTTTTTAAGCTTTTCAATGCTTTTTTGTCACCGCGTTCTTTGGTGCTTGTAAGTGACTTTGTACAATCATTGGTCCATTGAAGTTGACTGGAAGTTATGATTAACTACATTAATGGAAAATACAAAATAATTTTCCGCATATATAAAGACTCAACTAAAGTATTATTAAATACCGAACGCCTTTATTATTGAGGTGCGTTGATATACTCAATGAAAGAATGATTATCAATTAAACAAAACCACAACCTGCATGCATTTCAAAGTGAATATTTACCTGTCCTGCCCAATCTTTTACCCATTTATCCCTCTTGTTTGTGTTTTTTTTCAAAGCAAGACGACATTGTTTTAATAGTTCTTTCAATGTCCATTTCATGCTTCGTTCAACGTCACATAACCACGCCTAAAGAAGACGATAATACACATGTTATAAAATAATTCGAAATGGTCAATCACGAAAACATAACATGATATTAAAATGATAAAACTACCTCGACAGGTCCATCTAACAAGACACTTTGACCAAACTCAATATATTCTCCATCAGCAGAAAACATGCCTATGGCTTCTTTCTTCTGAGAAATTCCTCGCTGAAAGGAATGATTACTTTAAAAAGTTGAAAAAAATGGCGCTCTTTTTTTAAGTAAAACTAATTTCCGAACTAAAACTCGACAGTAGGTAAAATAATTTCCTTTATACCGGATGCACGAAGATTTCATTAAAGTATTTGAAAAGTTGTCACTGTATAAGACATTGGTATACCTTTACTATTTTTAAAGTTTTGATATTATCAAAACACTTCTTTAAATGTGGTTGTACCTTTCAAATAAAACAAAAAGTATTATAAATACTACTCATAATAAGACATAATGATGACACTTAGAACGACACAACAACCCAAACTAATGATGCAATTTCAACTATTTTGTAAAAAATTTAACGTTTTTTCCCATCATTCATAGCACTAGTGCTTACAGCATCTGGGTTCTTTGATTGGCCAAGAATTTCCAGCAAATCGTCATTAGAAAGAAAGTAGAATCTTGGAAATATTTGTCGTTTTGTTTCAAGATACATATCCAATGACTTCTGGATTTCTTCCAACTTCATATTCATATTAATAAGAGTATCCAAAAGACCTAAATTATCAAATGAATAAAATTGAGGTAGATCTACGTGTAGTATTTCAGTTTCTTCGTCTCAACTGAGACCAATCAAAGAACAGGAAAAATACATACGTCTCTGTAGCATTGATAACGCTGACAAAATAAAAAGGTCGTCATTTTATTTCAATAAAAGATATTTTAACTCACCTGGATGATGTGTTCCTCTTCTTGCATTTGGATCATTATTTAGACGTTGCATAACGATCTGAGTTAAATAACGTAATCATCAATTTAACACAAATGAAAAAATCCTATTATATGTTGAAATAGTGATGTTGCAGACAAATAAAAACGCACTATATTTCTCTTAATGTACGAGATAACACGTTTCTTATCAGGCGTGTGCCAAAGAATTTTTGTACGTAAAAACGTACGCCCATTTTTTAACCCTCGACAAGTGTGACACATCCATAGAATAAAGAAAGACAAATAAAAATACCTTCCAATTGCTGTTCACATCATCAAACTCAGCAGATTCGCGTGGTAATTGTTTTCGAATGTCCTCACCAAGGAAAATATTCTTAAAAGAAAAGTGCAAAAAGTGTAAAAAGACATTTTAAACTTCTATAACATACATAAATAAGCCATTACGCTTTCCACAATATTTTCTCAAGTATTTAAATTCATAACAACGACATTCATTAAATAATTACAGACCTTTTATTGTTTATAAAAGAACAAAAGCAATAATACGTACCTCTAAATACATCCACTGCCGTTGTACAGTCAAAATCATTTCAGTTACTTCTAAAATCAGTGATAACGTCCTTTCCCATGTGTCAACCTTAAATTAAGCGCATCACTACACTCATTAGAGAACGTTGACAAAACACACATACCAAAATAGTATGAAGAAGACAATTGGTGATTGAATATTTACCTCCTCTTCAAAAGCCTTCACAAACCGGGACGCTTTCATAGTTGATAATGTGACTTGATTATCTTCCAAAACCTGAAATACTTCCTCCGTACCTCTGAGAAATAAGACAATAGTATTTTACTCTACTATATGACAAGTATGAATATCACGTGTTTGACATGTGAATAATTCACCTTAGCTTGTAATGACCTCTATCTTTGTAAGGTTCGATGTCCAGTACAATTGTCTCCCAAGATGATGATATTGAGTTCAGTGCCTAAAAATATGTTATTTATAAAACTTAATAAATTTATTTATTGTGATTCCCATTCACTCGGAAGCAGGATAAGCTAGGCAAGCTGCATTCCTTAACCTTCCCTCCCCCTTCCCAATAATTTTCTAAAATTGTTCAACATATGTAAAATGTTCTATGTAGAGAACTCACATATTACGTACTTGTATTCATACACGATGTACATACTCTATGTAGAGAATTCACACAGGACATACTTTTGCAGTAGAAAACTCACACATTACATACTTGTTGTATGTAGAACATTCATACACGATGTACATACTCTATGTAGAGAATTCACACACGACATACTTTTGCTGTAGAAAACTCACACATTACGTACTTGATGTATGTAGAACATTCATACACGATGTACATACTCTATGTAGAGAATTCACACACGACATACTTTTGCTGTAGAAAACTCACACATTACGTACTTGATGTATGTAGAACATTCATACACGATGTACATACTCTATGTAGAGAATTCACACAGGACATACTTTTGCTGTAGATAACTCACACATTACGTACTTGTTGTATGTAGAACATTCATACACGATGTACATACTCTATGTAGAGAATTCACACAGGACATACTTTTGCAGTAGATAACTCACACATTACGTACTTGTATGTAGAACATTCATACACGATGTACATACTCTATGTAGAGAATTCACACAGTACATACTTTTGCAGTAGAAAACTCACACATTACGTACTTGTTGTATGTAGAACATTCATACACGATGTACATACTCTATGTAGAGAATTCACACAGACATACTTTTGCAGTAGAAAACTCACATTACGTACTTGTTGTATGTAGAACATTCATACACGATGTACATACTCTATGTAGAGAATTCACACAGACATACTTTTGCAGTAGAAAACTCACACATTACGTACTTGTTGTATGTAGAACATTCATACACGATGTACATACTCTATGTAGAGAATTCACACAGTACATACTTTTGCAGTAGAAAACTCACATATTACGTACTTGTTGTATGTAGAACATTCATACACGATGTACATACTCTATGTAGAGAATTCACACAGTACATACTTTTGCAGTAGAAAACTCACACATTACGTACTTGTTGTATGTAGAACATTCATACACGATGTACATACTCTATGTAGAGAATTCACACAGGACATACTTTTGCTGTAGAAAACTCACACATTACGTACTTGTTGTATGTAGAACATTCATACACGATGTACATACTCTATGTAGAGAATTCACACAGGACATACTTTTGCAGTAGAAAACTCACACATTACGTACTTGTTGTATGTAGAACATTCATACACGATGTACATACTCTATGTAGAGAATTCACACACGACAAACTTTTGCAGTAGAAAACTCACACATTACGTACTTGTTCGATAGATAATTCTTTTGTTGCTGCAGATGACACCTCAGATATTTGGGACGCGTATTGATCAAAACCAAGATTAATGATAAGTTCCAAAGTAAAATCACCTATATTAGTTCAATCAAGGTGAAAAAGTTTTTAGTTTGAGAGAAATAGTCAGTGTTTGTATTTGTTATACAACAAAAATCATTCAAAAAGTGAAAAAGTAAACGGACTAAAGTTTCTACATTAACGGTTAAGCTTTATGTTGTACTTGTTTGCAGTTCACACAGAGGCACGTACTTAATTGCCTTCGTCCCAATTGCATGATGGGAAGATAGAAATTGAAAGTCACGTGATACCTTGTTCATCAAACGGTTTCTGAATGTTTTCTTTAATTTGCGTCCAATGTCGATTTCGCATGGCTGGATTTTTTAAATCTTGAATTAATGGCATCGTACGTTTAAATTGTTCGATTCGACCTTTGATGGAATCACATATATCCCAATTACGATCCTAGATCAAGACAAGAATACTTTGATTTATGAATGAATTATAAAAAAAATAAACTAGTTCCATTCTTCATGGTATAATGATTACATTCACAACAAAAAACAAAATGGGATTCCTTTGCAGTTCGTACCTTTACTTCCCTGATTACTTTATTAAGTTTTTTTAGCTGCACTTGCGCAGTTGATTCCATTTCTTCCGTGATCAAATCAACGAACTGTCCGGTTTTCCAGGAATCCCACAATTTCTCCCATTCCTTGGTAATTTGCCAAATTTGGTCAAGATGTTCCAAGTCCTTCTCAATTTGTTGAAGTTCTTTTGAGGAGGGTTGTTCAATTTTAAATATGCTCAATCCTCTTCTTAACTTCGATTCTTGTTCTTTCAAATTGCTAACATTTGTCTTGTAATCATGAACATCTTCCAGAGCCTAGGAAAATATCAATATCAATATCAATATCAGCAATATCAATATCAATATCAATATCAGCAATATCAATATCAATATCAATATCAATATCAGCAATATCAATATCAGCAATATATACCAGAAAAAATGTCAATTGAAAATTACTGTAATGATTACTTGTTATTACCAATATGCAACTGACTTACCTTATTAGTAGAAATATCACTACTGAATGGACCTCGGTTACGAAATTCGTCGAGAAGTATTGAAACAGTTTTCTTGAATTCATCGGCAGAAAAAAGTAAGCCTGATTTAAATTTCTCCTTACTTTTCTTCAGCATAATTTCACTATTGATTATACATTGCTGAAATGCATTCCACTCACTATTCAAATCATCCAATACTTTTTGGATCTAATAATCAAAGAATAAGATAGAATCGGGATATAAAAATAGCAGTAGCGGATAGTTGTGCACACAACCTTCAATAATACATAAATTACAATAAAAACCTGTGAGCTTAAGTTCATATGAAAAGTGCTTGTTATATGAAGTACACGTCTGAATAAGTGCTTGGTATATGAAGTACAAGTCCTCAATCCTAAAAATGATATCCGAAATGATTTCGTAATAAAGACCACGTAAATATACCTCTGGTGAAATAGAAACTTCATACTTCTCCAAAATGGCAAATTGTTGGTGTAACGGAGGAAATCTTGCTTCAATTTTACTAAGATCAGTTTGCAGTAGTTCCAACAAAGAAAGACTTTCACCAAGTTGATCTAAAGTCTCGGGTGGTGTACTTAATCTAAATAAATGTTCACAGAATTAAATGTACAGACAACACTCTTCAAATATTACAATCTTAAAAGTTGTAAGGATAAACATTATTTCTAACAAATGGTTCAACGGTTGGCTTTACGTTGATTTTCACATTTATTTCAAAAGAATGGTTTGAATTTTGAAATTTCTATGTATACACATAGTTGCTGTCTTTATAACTCCGTATTGGAAAGTTATCGTATAGAAGAACACACTGACACAATGATGAACTTACTTCTTACTGTTTTCCTTCAGAAATTTGTCTAACTCTAAAAGTTTGCTGCTCGCCATTTCATTCAAAAGAGTTGTAAATTTATTTTGCCATTCATTGCAATGGCTCAGCAACGAAAATTTCAAGGGCGAACAATCCAAAAGCACAAACTCAATATTGAAAACGGTCTCTTCCTTCTGCACATTATTCGCTAATTCAGTGTATCTGAATAATAAACAATAAAAAACAACATTGACGTTAAGTTCTGTACAAATCATTCCATGATTTTTATTGTGTATAAAGTATATCCTTACCTAGCAATGTCGGCATCAAATGAAGATACCTGTGGATTGAGTCTTTGGTACCGTCGAATAAAGGCATCTTTTTGAATCTCCCAAATCTCCCGATAGCTAAATGTGAATCGAATCATGGGCAAAATGCATGATACATCATATTTTATCAACATACTATATCAATAATCTCCAACACACCTGTCCCAAGTACCAAGATATGACTGTAGATGTGACGCATTAGTAGACATTCCAATGTTCACACTTGTCTGAATTTTCTTGATTTCCTCATCTTTCGATAACAAAGCATGAATAGGCTACGACAATTAAGAGAAAAACGCATGACAATAAATATTTGAAGTCATATGGATGGACTTTAAAACAACATACAGGTCTTGTTGATCTCTTTTTCGTCAAAAGTCCAGGTAAACGTTGAAACACAGCAAGACAATCGGACAAATGTGTCGCAGTATCATTTACTATACTTGCAAGCTTCGATAATGTTGGCAAAAATTCCACCTTAAAAAAGATTTTCAAATGTCAGCTAATAGACAATCTATATAAGTTAGCTCTATGAGGTTTGGCAACATTGCTTGAACACATGAATAGTTTTAATGGTAGCTAAATAAGGAACACAGTCTTACTTTATCTCCTTCAAGGATTACTTTAACTCTGAATAAAGGATTTGGAGAGTTTTTTCCATCACCGTTAATGGCTCGGGATAATTCTTGAAGTGACCACTTCAGATTGAGACGAAAAGCCTCTTCAACCATGCGGTCCATCTTTTCAGTGTAACGAATCCAATGAGTCTGAACCTATCGGTGAAATCAGATAAAAAGATCATCGACCCAAGATTATTATACTTCCTATTGTTCCGATGCAATAGCATTACACGATGAACAAAGTAGAAAGCAATGTTGCATATTTTTTTGACAGGAAAATATATGGCAAAGGAATTCTTGATTTTTAAGTCCCTTTAAAACTAACAAGAATAATCAACATATGATGTATGTAAACACGTTTATTTACCTCAGGTCCATCGTTTTTAAAGACGATATAAACTTGTTTCATCGTCGATACAATTTCAGCATGAATTTCTTTAAGTCTTGTCATTACAATATCACGGTGAATTTTCTTTTAAAAACATCCGATGAAGATAAAGTTAAGAAAATCGTGGTTACTTCAGAGTTCAAGACGAAGTAGTAAATACAGTCAGTTCTGTTTCAATATAGGTAGGTATACCTGGACATCCTCAAAATCTAGATTATCATAAACACGTTTATCATCGATAGCGACCAGCAACATTTCACTAATCTTTATACAATTCTTGGATATCATCAAATTTGCATTTTTGTATTCATCCACGATTGCTTGAACCTTTAATGTCATTCATAAAAAATTTCTATTTTCATTTATCGTTGATGAATTGCATTTGTCGTTTATGTACAATTAAAATCACCTTGTTCGAATTCTGTCTGCATTCTCCAATAAAGAAATCAGAAATTCCTTTACTCGCCCAGGTAAGTTTAGTCAACCCAGGATGGATCTTTCGGTCGAGAAATCGAATTCGTTCACGGAACAATGCTCTTTCTTCAGAGGATAATGCTGCAATTATTCTGTAAAAAAAAGATAAGAGCATTTCAATCCAATATTGACTTGCCCATAAAGATAAACCAATTGAAATCAATCAAATTTGGCTTAGATTTCGATGGCTACTTGTTGCCTAGCCATGTCAGTATTTTTTAATAAGCTCCGTTACCTTAGTTATTTTAAATGAGAGATATTTGAAAGTGTGTTCCATTAAACGCTAATCACATATTTGCTTTTGCTAAAAATTGTTTGGTTTATGAGTATTTTGCAGGGATAATGCACCCTTCCTACACCTGCCTAAATCCATCCCTGTTGACACAACGTGTGAATGATATGAGTTTCATTCCTGTTTGTAATGACTATTTACTTCTAGCAATAAAGACAAAAATAAAGACAAAAATAAAACCTGTTGTAGTCTCGAACAACCAGAAGAACGTTTTCGCGAAGAACTCTTAAATCTTCTTTCTTTTGATAAAGGTCAGCAACGTAATGTGGCGTCTCGAACATCAATTGTTCCCAATAGTTGATTTCATTCAGTAGTTTTAACAAATTCCTGTAAAGATTTATGGGTATAACAACATAGTGAGAGTATACGTAAAGAACGAATCTTTCGTTACTAACCCTAAAAAACAATAACAATAAAAAATAAAACTCTCCGTAAGTATTTGTAAAATACAAAACACATAACGTCTTGAGTTGCTATACCTGTCAAAACGCACATCCAACATTCCTGTTTTTTCTTGACTTCGACACATAAGCGGAGTGTCCAATAATTTAACAGTGTCCTAGAAGTGAAAATGAATAAACACCATTCAAATTAATTGGAACATTAGAGTATACGTAGCTCAATTGTTTTACGCAAATTTACCTTCAAAACAAAGAAATATCGTTGTCACAAGGAGTTTCAACAACGACATTTCAACAACGACGGTAAAATCCACAACAATATACAAGAATAGTGAATTGACAGATAATGCAATGTGACTCACAATGTATAGACTAACTTCGGTGCTTATTTAAATACGGTGCGAGTTAAAGAGAGACACACGCTGATTTATAAAAGGAAATGCAGTAAACATACTTTATCGACAGTCATTGTCCATTCATTAAATGTCTTCCTCACAAACTCATCCAACGCCTATAAATCAAAAATCACCATCATTGTTCCTTCAGTTTAAACCATTGAAATGAAAATAAATTTATACCTTATTCATTACGCTCATTTCAATGGATATAAATCAATGGAGCAATTCAGATTTAGTTAAACGTTTTTTTAAAAGAAAAATTGTGTTCTACAAATGTTGATTTTCAATCAGTAAAATTCTGCAACTTCTTACAGAATTCAATTGTCTTTCTTGTCATACGAGTATTCAAGGTTCATAAACAGCTGTAATATATTTTATGTATGAGCATCAAATTATTTTGGGAGGTCTATACCTGAGCAAGTTGATGGTACTGCGCACGAATTTCATCACCAGAGCCAATTCGCGGAAGAAATACTGCATTGTTTAATACCTAGTAAAAGAACAGTTCATAGTTTACACAAACAGCGAATTTCTTGAACACAAAATCTGACAAAATAGAAATACCATCATTTGTCTATCGATACGTTTTTTTAACATCCTTGCCCAGTTAGCAATACCAGCATATTTAGGATGCATTGGTGGAAGATCTTGTGCTTTATTATTGAATTCCTTCTTTACGGTATTCAATTCTTCATTAAAAAGTTGAAACACTTCCACTGTTTTCTTATCAATAGTTCGACGAATTGCCTTATCGTAGAAAAATTAAAAAAAGAAATAGCTCTAGATCAAAAGTTATTTTTACTTAACCATGCAACTTGTTTTTAGTTGAGAAATCGTGAAACTTATGATAAACGACCCACTATAAGGTACAATGCGTCGTTACGAACAAATTTAGCTGCGTAAGTAGATTATCTGGCTCGTTATTCCACATAAATGCTTAGGTTGTCAACTTTGAAATTTTGAGAAATAGACAAAGTTTGTCGAAGCAATACCTCTCTAGCAGATAAATGATGAAATACATCCAGAATATCAACACCTTCTTCAACTCGACTCATACTTTCAAACGCTGAAGATATGACATTCTGAACCATCACTTCTAAATCTTTTACACCTGAACGAAACCTGTTCAAAGCGAAATATTATATAAACAAAGTGATTAAAAACATCTATGTTTTCCTCAAGATAGTCTCGTTGAATGTGGAAACAAATAAAGCCTTAGCTGCGTATTTGTGTTTATACTAAAACGTTACGACTATAAATTTAAATGATTGACAACATAACCAAGTACGTTGATTGGTCTAGAGCTGTGTTTGCATCAGCCTGTGCGATGCACATCTAAGCTCAACCAATCAGATCAATCAAAACAATCTATCAGTCAAAGAGAATTTAAATATCGATCATGATTACAATTTAGAGGAAAGATTAAAATGTTTACTTTAAATTTGTCTGTTTCGAATTATTGTTGTTTCATAAAAGAAATAAAAGATTTTTTCGTGTTTGCACTGGCTTATGCAAACCTCGGAGACGTTTGTGAGAACTCTCGAGCAGGTGCAACCCTCGACCTTCGGTCTCGAGCTTGCACTGATCTGCTTTCGAGTTCTCCCAAAGGTTTCTTTGGTTTGCATAGGCCTGTGCAAACACAGTGAACATCTTTTATTTCTTAAATAATACATAAATAAAAAAAAATACCTGTTATAATCATCATGCCAAGTTGTAGCCTGAAAAATATAAACTTTCAATAAACAATTCCAAACATTGAAACGAGAAAAAAACAGACATCATCCTTGTGCACCTTAACATCTAATATTGTTCTTCTAACGTCCTTCAAAATTTGCAAGTTCTTTTCAAACGTAGCTTCAATCTCCAACAAACTACGTACAATATCTGGACCACGAATTCCACGGAAACACGGAAGTGAAGTTTTTGGACCTTCATACCTCCGAGCAAAATGCATCTGACCTTCACACACCTAGATTAGTATGAGTATTTCACAAAGGTGAGTTTCAACATAGAATCAAGCAGTGCATACAAACACATGGAGCGTTGATGAAACTCACCTCAATCAAATCTTTGCATCTTTGAAGGAAAGCATCGACTTGGGCAAAAATACTGGTCTGGTCAAGAATCCAACCATGAGATGAACATCTTATATGAACACGACTTATCTATATGAGAAAGATTCTTATATTACTAGTATGTTTTACATAGAAAGCATCATATTATCCAAGCAAATACACCCAATTCATAATTTTCACAGTTTAATTGGGAGCATTTAAAGAGCAACCCATCATGATTAATCAGTTTAAAAAGTACATGGTTTTATTTACCATAGCATATGTCTCCTTCCACGATTCACAGCAAGTTATACTTTCCCTTAAGGCATTAAGACTAGTTTGTATACGACCTTCAAAAATATCGTCCAAACAAATGGTATTGGTGCAACGTTTGATGATTTCGTTGCTCACCTAGAATAAAAATTCAGCGAATGTTGTAGATTTTGGAGGAAAGACTATGGTGGGATTGAAATAAAAACAAGTGTGCGATATTCGTGCTTTTTAAAGGGTAAACGACAGGTTTATGAATATGAATCATAATGGCCTAAACAATACATGAAATAGCTATTACGTACAGCTATAGTAGATGAAAATATGTCAATTAAAGGATCCGCATAGTGAAAAAAGAGCTACTTCATTAAGGTGTTTTAAAATATCTAAGTAGACATGAAAAAACAGTAAAACGTTAAAATATATGCAGTACGTATAAAAATAATATAATTTTATGAACAATTTGTAACTGTAAAAACCATCGCTCAAAACGACTGAAACTACTTCTACCTATATACGGAATGTTGCATATGATGTCGTCAAATATTTCCACTTATCAAGAAAAAATATAAAGATCGTATAAAATATACACGATGTATAGTAGATTAGAATGTATTTCTACCTTCCTCAGGAGAGTCGTCAATCTTTCTCGACTTTTATAATGTTCAGAATTCATCCAAATGATCCTAATAAGACTGAGAAGTTTTGGTAGCAATGCAGGGATATTTTTAGGCCGAGCTTCAGCGAGTTCTTTGCATGGCTCCTCCAGGGTAGATAAAAACTTTAGATTGCTTTGAGCTTGAGCTGATCCATCCTGGAAAAATTAATAACGTCATGAACTCGCTGAAGAACTATATCGAGGGACAGTTGCGCTGTAAAAACAATTTATAACCTGAATGAGCTTGGACAATTTCATGAATGGAGCAAGATACGATGATTTTGCTGTTTGTAAAATTTTTTGGATTTGTTTCACTCCAGGTTTATCAAGCTGATCACTAATACCAGACAAATCTACACATCTACTGTTCCAAAATTGAATTTCCTCCAGTGGTCCAGATGTTTCAGATGTTTCATAAGCATCTTGACTGTTCAAAACTTCCTTTATTTGACGAGTCCAGTGAATCATCGCAGCTAAAATAAATAAGGAGATTTATTTTTCGTGAGTTCAATTTCTTATTCCGGTTGTCATTAAAAATACCGTAAATAAGTGTCCGAAGTCTGCAATTTTCAATAGATCACTTGATGAAAAGGAGTAAAATAAATATTTACCCCCAAAAGAGCTAATGGAAAAGCCTTCTTCCCATAAAACAGTGTTTTCAGTATCACTTCCGCAAAACAACAAAACTTATGAGGAAAATGACGGCTTGGAGCCTTGGAAAGACGTTTTTCTTTACATTTTTCAAAGTCCTGCAGAAATCTTTACAAATTCATGACATAATTACTTTTTCTGTCTCCTAGAATATCTAAGTACAAAAAATGGTGAGAAAGTGGTCGAAACAATGGTCAATGATAAAGCAAAGCTTGCTCCCAAATCTCCAGAGAGCTTTGGATAGAATCTTATAGGATTATATCGTAAGATCTTACGTACGTAAAATGCCGATAGGATTCTGTATAAGATCTTGTTTAAGATTTTTCTAAAGATTTCTAACAGGAAAATTTTTTTATTCAATATGAAAGTTAAAATGCAACTATAAAATGAGTAATGTACGTATGCAAACCAAAAACTCAAGCTTCTTCTAAGAAAACAAAGTAGAAAATTAAATGATTCAACAAAGTTCGACGAACTTTACGTGATGTATGCTAAACACTGTTGCTTTCTCTAAGTCAGATGAAGTACCAAAGAAATAGCACTGAAATATATTCATTTTATTGATTACATGCAAGACCATGGCTGAAAATGTAAATCAAATCTTTGGTAAATGTAAATACAAACCTTCTAGTCGTTGAACATACTCTTTACTCTTGGCAGCCTGCTCGACTGTGAAACTATTATTTTCATTAGGAATATATAAGACAGTCTTTCCTTGCATTTTGTATCTTGCATCAGTAAGAGATGCCATGAAACGATGTAAGTGTCCACAAAAATCATTTTTTATGCCTGATGTTAAGGTTAAGGTAAACTTGTCAAACAAACATGAAAATCAACATTTATCTACAATGTATCTAACATTCAAACAAACAATCTTACAGACTAATTCACTGACTCAAAAATGTTTATGATAGCCTTAACGTTTGGAAGTCCTTGGCAACAAATTTTCTGTCAAATGTAAAAAACTTCATAACAAAGATACTGATAGGCCATGATCTATTTCCAAAAATTAATGGTGCATATACATTAGTCATAATTCTCAACAAACTTTCAATATGATTTCCTTTGATTGTGCCAAACTGTAGTTTCCTGGCAATATTATCTTTTGTAATCATGACACCTTGTTGTCGAATCAAATATGACATTTCATCTGTTTTAAAAGCAGGTGGTTGAGTATTGATGTGAAAACCAGTATTTGGATCAACATAAGCAATAAGAACAGTCAAGTTGGTATTTTTTAAAAATTGCACTATCATTTCATCATGTTCAGCAGTCCACATGTCAGGTTTTAGTTTGCTCAAAGTTACTCTTCTTTTAAGTAAAGGTACCTGAAAAACATGTATGTTGCATATATGACAAGACTTTCCAAAGGAAATGTTTTAAGTTCTAAAAACATTATGCATTTCATAAACTTTCAGATCATACTAATCATAAAAAGTTTAAATTTGAAAACATGTTCATAATTTAACTGTTCAAGAGTGACCATTTTTATGTTACATTTCCCCAGTACAATAAAGGGAACAAAAATGGAGGTCACTCATTGAAATTTTTACTGTGATTACCACATTGGCGGCAATACAATGGCATTTCTTAGTTTCTAACCCTTCTGCTAGCTAATCACAGCCAGTAATCTTATCAAGTATAACACATCAAGGTGATTTTTTTATTTTATACTGTCACATTGTCACTGCTATACTCCTCCTACGCATATCTAACTATTATAAAGATCAAAATAATGGTTTAATAATAATAGTTAGAAAAGAAAAAAATTTGTAATACAACGTACCATCTCAAAAACATCAGTCAAATCTGTTGTTTCCTCTCCATTAAGGCCAGTATTTTTCATGCTATTATCTGACCTTAACCCGGCTGAGTCTGCCAATCCAAAATTTGTTGCCTGGGCTGTATCCTGTCCAAGCTTATTTCGCTCGCTATCTTCAGAATGTTCAACTTGAGCGACATCATCTGATGCAAGAGCTGGGCTACTTCCCGCTATCTCAGCCATGTCTCGTTAAAGCTACCATAAGTCCACGACCAACTAACTGTCGGGCTACATTCGCTCAATGTTTGGGTAAATTTAATGTTAACTTTCACGTTCAACTAAAAGTTTTAGTATCCATAACTGCCAAACAATAAACAGCAATTTTCCTTAAGTTATCCGTCAAGAGAAATTCTACCAGTCGTAGTTTTCATTTTCGGAGTTTCCCACTGTTGTGAGGATGGCGCGCGTCACCATAACTACGAGAAAACGCTGTACACAGCGTACCCAAAACTTAAGTTGTGCAATGCCATAAAAAATTATTTTTTGAGATAAAATGAAATCCTTCAATGGATAAAACGCAAAAAACCCTTGCCTTTAAATAATAAAATTATAGAAAAACATGTGACTAATAAAAGCGCTTTTGATTTTTAACGATGGCTGTGATTGAGGGATTCAAAAGGTTAGGGGGTATATCACATGGGACACGAGGGAATAATATTATGTGAATTCTATAAAGCAGCGCCAAAATAACAACAAGAATAACTTAATGATCATTTTCATTTCTGTCAATAAGCAATTTTCATTTGACACACAAACATACATATATTATATACATTTTTGTAATAAAACTAAAAGAAAAGAAAATAAATATAATACCTGGGGTTTAGTTACTCAAACTGTGCAACAAAAACAGACGTGCCTAAATTGGAATTATATCAACTAGCTTTTGCCTAAAAACCATCTTTCGATTTTAACGCAAAACTCAATTTGGGCCTAGCATTTTTTGTTTTATTCAGAATCACTTCTTGAGCCCATTTTTCCTGTTTTTTCATTTCCTGTTCGGCAACGCGTTTTTGCTCAATCAACTTTCGTCTTTCTTCCACCATTGCTAAACGTTCTTCTGCCTATAAACAGTAAATTCAAGTATTGCTTATTTAGTTACAAAAAAACAACAGTCATTTAAACGGCAAAGACTGACTTCATTCGTTACCAAAGGGCAATTTCAAATGGCAATTTATGTTCACGTTTTACAATGACCATAAATTGACATCTTTGTAACGAAATATAATAACATCAACTGAACTGTTGTGAAATGAAAATACTATTGTAAAGCAATAAGAATTATGAGAAAATGAAAAAGTAAAACATTAATTTCTTTAGCTATTGGTACAAGGAAAATACACATTTTACAAATGTGTTAATTTTTTACGCCATCTGTTACAGACTTTCTTCTTGCCGCAATTTCAGATTCGTATAACCTAATTATTGAGATTAGGAACAAGCGAACGAGGTGCTGTAAAACACCTCGCATTACATGAACACCTGAATTTAAGTTTTTTTCATCAAACCTTTGCGCGAGCTACTACTTATTGAGCCAGGCGTATGACATAACATCTTCCGATTGCTTTATACTGTCGTTTGTACCTTTATTTATAACAAAATCAAGTATCCTGATCAGTTTGGGAGATGAAATTGGTTAACAAAGAACTATCTTATGTTTTAAGCATGCGTCATAGTTTACTGTCAGCCTACTGTAATAGTTTTCAATAACTGACTTTCGTCAAACATTTACCTAATGTCTAACAATTTCTCCACTTTTGTATTTTCCTACAACTAACAGTTTGGTTTCCCCACCGTCAACTCAACCTGTTAGTTTCACTCAAATACAAATCTGTTTGTTGTTTTGCCTAATGATCAATTCACAGCGATCGCTAATACTATGGCTCTTGAAAGAGCTATCAATTGCTTAAGTTTGGCTCAAGTTAACTTACTTTGACAGGCTGCCTTAAAACAACACACAGTTAACGTTCATATTAATATGGCAGCCAGCTGTAATTGCTTCCTTAACTGGTTTCACATCAAACCAGTGTAAACACTACTAGCACAATCTGACTGAAATTGCTTCTCTATTGCAAACCTAAACATTCCTTTGTGCTTATTGTCCAATAATACTTTTTCAGCCAAGTCAAGAACTTCTAATACGACAGCTGCAGCTTGTTTTTCAAATGTTTTCATACTAACCAAGAGGTATTTCAACACAAGGAAAATAGAGCTTTGAGATAATATTACTGTCAAATTTGTCATATCTTTAACAATGAGAAATTGAGTTCTGATATGATTCAATTGTTCGCACATAAAAAAGATTTAGCTTAGACAACATCTGAACTTGAACCTTCTTGATTAATCCTCCCTTCAATCTGCTAACCTAACAACCATTGCAGTCAAGTCAAATCTTTTAAAAACAGCATCTTTTCTGAAGCTTCAATTTTAGCCTTTGTTAGTTAGCTTGGTATCTTAACATGTACATGGAGTGATGGATTAATTTCAAAGATGCAAGTTTAAATATTGTCTAAGCTACCTGTGATTATAAATATGTCAGAATTCAATTTCTTGATTCTTTGACGATGGTTTTGTAAACTATAATTAATGCTTAATGTTCAAGTTGATCATGTGAAAAATGTTTATAGCAAAAATATTTACTAATGTACATACGTACTATAATGTACACACACACTATAATGTACATACATACTATAATGTGCATACATACTACAATGTGAATACGTACTATAATGTGAATACACACTATAATGAGAATACGAACTATAATGTACTTATATACTATAATGTGAATACACACTATAATGTGAATACGTACTATAATGTACATACATACTATAATGTGCATACGTACTATAATGTACAAACATACTATAATGGGCATACATGTAAGACTAAAGCAAATTACTCAAATCAATAGGAAAATTAATCAAAAAAATAAAATACACAACTCACCAAAGTATGTCTCATTTCTTCAATTTCTGAATTTTTTGATTCAATAGTTTTTTCCAACCGTTCTCTTTCTTTTCTTTCTTGCTCCTAAATTTTGTTTAAAAATGCAAATGTTGTGAAAAATCATATTGTATTATTTCTTCCATGTCTTCACTAATGACAAAAATGTGAACATAACAGTTCAGTGTGAATTATAATGTTTGTACCTTTGTTGATATAATCAACAAGAAAGAAACATACCAACATTTATAAACTGCTTTAGCAGAATAGTTAGCAAGGAAGCAATTGTTAAAGTTTGAAGCAAAACAATAGTCCATATGCAAATTAACGGTGTGCAATGTGCAATTTGCACATCATTTTACCTAAAATGAAAACAATTGCACATCACTTTTTCAAACGATGTGCAAAAATCAGCGGTTTTAACAAAAACACTGTCGTAAATCATATGAATTTGTTCACATTTGAAAATATTAATTTAGCAATTAGCGCTGTATAATAATTAACGTAATATCGATTTGATTATGCCTATAAAAAAACACTTTTGTCAAAAAAATTGCACATCGTTTTTTCTGAACTAAATCACACACTGCAATAGTGAAAGTATTTGAACACTTTACCTGTATCTGAAAATAACTTATTTTTAATGTTTATGAAAGTCCAACATGCTACCACAACTTTATGCTTTAAGCAAATGGTTAACAAATAATGATCTAAAACTTTCTTTAAACAAGGATAACCAACTTATCTGCTGCCTTCAAGTTTGTTTTTTAGAACAAAATCTGTTCTTTTAGTTTAGTTTGTGTCAGACTCACCAATCCAAAAGGTAATAAAAAATGTCTTCACAATTCAAAGACTTTTGAAGACGTGTTTCCCTGCACTGTTTACTTCAGAATAAATTTTCAAAACAAAGCTATAACAAAAGTTACTGTTGAATAAATAAATAGATTAGCACCTTTATTCAAACAAGGTCATGCCTTATAATTGCAACAAGATTTATTTCCATTTATGTAGTTCAATACTCTACACTAAAAACACAACTGACAACTAAAACATTTAATATGTAATAAAATTATAGAAGATACTTAACATGACAGTAGCTTCACCTGTTAGCAGCAATTGATTTCAATAGAAATCAAGTACTGGTGATAATTAATAAAAAAAAAGCCAAAGAATCTGAAGACATACCTCCTTTTTCTGCTGAAATTCTTGTTCTTCAGATCTCTTTTTCTCAAATTCTTCAAGTATTTGCTTTTCCATAACAGACTTTGCTTCTTCCACCCTTCGAAGCACTTCTTGCTCAATTTCATCTTTACGTTTTGCCAACTCTTCTTCAACACGTTTTGCAACCATTTCTTCTACTTTTTTCGCAACTTCTTCTTCAACAATCATTTTTTGACGTTCCGCAGCACGGCTTTCATAAAACCAAACACAAGAATAAAAAAACAGCTGTACCTATTTTGAACATGAACTATAAACCAAAATCTAAACTTATTCAAACTTAAACTAAATTTTCGTGTTAATAACAATTTATTCAATCAGTACCAAATCATCAAAACAATTCATTTATAAACTAAAACTTATTTCAATGTCAAATTATCGCCTCCTGAATGAAATTGAAGTAGAAAATTTAATTACTTACAGTTTGCGTTGTTTTTCCATTTCCTCAAGCTTACTGCTTTCATCTCTTTTATCAACCTTCTTAACAGTCCTACCAAATCTATCTACACTGGGTGAGCGTGTTTTAGAGCGTCTACTTCGTTTACGTCTGTAACTGCTTGGAACGGGTGAAGTCGATCGCCTTTTCACTGGTGACCGGCTTTTACTTCGACTTCTACGTCGATAACTTTTATCCTTTTTGCTTTTTCGACGAGGTGAAGCACTTCTGCTTCTTGAACGAGATTCAGAATGCTTACTTCGTGGCATTTTGAAATAAAAACAACCTATCTGTCTTGAAAAACAGTAAAGATTGTGAATTGGACCAGATGAAATGAAATATTTGTGTATTTACTGTATTTCGCATATCGTTTCACACGCAATGCATGCTGGGTAGAATATAAAACAAACATGGCCAGTCCACTGGGCAGTTCTGTGCCCATATAGTGCCAGTGTATCATTTGTATGTGCAGTGATCTCGTGTGAGTGACTCCACGTAAGATATACTGCATAAAAAACTTGAACAGGTTTCTATGGCGCCTATGATCAAATACAACAAAGCATGATACAAATGCAATATTTTACGATATAGTTTATGCACTGGGATAGTAAAACAATAACGCATTTTTCTGTTTTCAATGCACAATTCGCGTTGCTGATACTGACGGAAAATCTCCTTTTTTGCTTTCATTGTTGGCAAACATGTGCATGACAATTTTAGCAGGGTGACAATCTCAGCCACACCAGTATATATTATTCACTCATTCTCCAGAAAGATATCAAAATTTATTAATTTTTTGTCATGATATGATACAATGTTATGATCGCAATCTAGGTAAGAAATTACTTTCAGGTAAGTTAAAATGGGCAAAATAATCATCAAGAAAGTTATAAATAAAATTTCTTCCATCCTCTTATTATCTCAAAATAACATAGACGTCTATTCGTTGTGGCTACAGGTCCTTGCCTTTGTACTTGAATTCAATTTCGTGAAAAACAAAAACTAGAATTGGTAGTGGCTAAATATGCATAACAGTCCGCCAATCTTAAGACATGAGACAGCAAATGGCCAATTTGATCGTCCAAAAACTTTTTAATATTCCTCGAAATCAGTATAATTTTCGAGTTTTAGCTTCATTCAGCATCAGAGAAAGTACTGAATCCTGTTTTGCTGCTTCTGAAAATTCGCCAAATGATAAAACACCATCCTGATTTTTGTCAAAGTTTTTGAAGACTCTGTCAGTTCTAATATCTGACAAATTATAAGCTTTGCGATTCTGGCTCAACACTTTGTCGACAGAGCGTACAATTAATTCCATTTCTTTTTTAGTGATAAAACCATTACCGTCAACATCATAAACTTTGAAAGCCCACTCAAGCTTCTCCTCTGCCGAGCCTCTAGTCGTTACAGAGAGCGAGACCATAAATTCCCTGAAGTCTTAAGAGATAATAAAAAGAAATACTGCTATTGTATTTTTATTAACAGAATTGCCACTTTAATAGAATGGTTTTAAATATGCACACATGAAAACAAGGAGGCAGACATTTTTCTACAAAACAAAATAACTGTTTTTTTCACCAACGTTTTATCCACGACATGTAGTTGTAGGAGATCCAAGTATAGAAAAAAATATTTCATTCCTTTCAATTCAATCAATCCAAAATTGGCAACGATACTTCTTTTAGTGAAATGAATTCATCATTTTAAAATGAATTTAAAACTAGCCGCTCATTACTTAAAGTCTTAAAGTATATTGCTTCGTAAACGTTGAAGTAGCATTTCAGGTTGACTTAAACAACTGCAAGGAAACAAGTTTAACGAAATGAGACTTAAAGTGTTCTACTTGTTGTAAAATTTTTATGTCGAATAGAAAAAATTTAGGTGAAGTTTCGAAGTTTATGACCGTTAAAGCATGTAGATTATTTTGTTGACATGTATTAAATTTGGGAAACGCTCTCTTAGTCTTACCAATTTTGCCATCTGAATTTCCGTCAAACGTTCGAAATATATGATCTGCAAATTCTCTAGCATCACCTTTCGAGAAAAAACTTTGATACATGCTTTCAAATTGTGACTTTGAAATGAATCCATCTGGATATTCCCGGATGAATTTTTGATACCATTTTTTCAACTCTTTTTCTTCAAACTTCGTTCGATTCAAAAGGTGAATAAGTTGATGGGGATCCATTTTACTTTGTTTCTTGCCCATCTTCAGTTCTTTATGAAATAATAAGACGAAGTCAGGCTGTGGCTGGTGTGGCAACGAATTTGAATATTTAAATCCATTCTGTTCATTGGGACAACGAACAAACTGAGAATTTTAGAGAAATAGTAACAGCAAGTGATGCAACAATAGACATCGAAGTTCAATTATGACATTTGCATACAGAAGGCTAGCAACGCGGTAAATAAAATACACAGTAATGATTACCTCCGTTAAATTTTCTTTTATTTCAACGTCACCTTCTAAAAGCACTTGATTTCTGTCTGTCCACTTTTAACTATTGGCAAAACTGAAATTCATATTCATTTTAATCATGTGCTACACTGTCAGTAAAAACGAGTTATCTTTTTCGAACATCCAACTAATGAATAATGCTCCAAATTATAACACATCAGCCATCAGGTTACCACCTTCTCCACTACATCATTTGTTCAAACTAAGCTTGGAAAGCTCACGGATTATTGTTCAAATAGAATAACTTATTCTTCTAGTTAAAACTTCAATGCGTCTATTACTCCGATTTCAATGTATCAGCTTTCGTTGATGAATTGATTTCAATTATAATTTTCAGCTGTTGAGCGGCGCCATTCAACGAATCACTAATCAATTCAGTTGAAACAATATCGAACTGATGTACATTAAATTAGAAAATATTATCAATCAAAACATAACTTTCCATGACGAAGCTGTCGCGGCCAATGCATATTACATTCATGAACCTGAGCCGAAATGTTTTGACGATGAAAGAAATAAAGGAATTGTAAAAAGTTTATTTCTGCATGGTTTGTTCGAACAAAAATATCGAACTCGTGCAATCTGAAAATTTTCAGTAGTTTCAATGAGTTTTTGTAAATTTATAAAAACATATTTTCTTGAAGCTAGGAATTTACATTTGCAAACCACTTTTACTCAGTTTAATTATAAAAAATTACCAAACTTGTAGTATGTAACGAATTATTAATAATAAACAAGAAAGCATGACTGAACTTCAAACTTTTAAACAGATGAACAAAAATCACATATAATAAAAACCATTACAATTCAAGCCTTTTGAAATTAATTTATTGTATATTCATCCACACGTTACAAGGATTAATAATTCATTGTGAATGACAGCAATCGATGAGCCAGAAAATATTGTTTGGCATGTGATCATGCATTGAAATACTCTTATTCCAATCTCTCCCTCCTTCCCATGACACACAAATTATAACGTTTTGTTCAACGGATGATGAATATTTGTGGCCTTTCAAACAAATTTTACGACAATATTCGTAATCGTTGACGAAAAATTGACGGTAATTCAGCAATGACTAAAATTTTAAATTTGTAATCATAATTGTATAATTGATTGTAATCACTTCAGTTCTGCAGAGATCTGTGAGTGACCTTAACAGACCATATTTGATGATTGCTCAACCATTGATGAACAGAACCATTTTGCATTTGAACTAATTAAAGAGCGAAATGGCGTCCATCAACCTCTTAATAGTATTTGATTTTGATCACACTATAGTTGATGGTAACACCGATACATGGATCACACAACTATGGGAAGACTCTAAAAAACTCATGAAAAACAGAGATTTATGTTGGACTGACCGAATGGCAAACGTATTCAGTATTTTACACGAAAAACAATTTACTAAGGAGGATTTTGTTGGCTGCCTTCAAACGTTACCATTTACTGAAGGGATGAGAGAACTTCTCGATTTTATCAAAGCTCAGAACATTGAATGCATTATAATTTCGGATTCTAACTCTTTTTTTATTCATTGTATATTAGAATATGGTAATGTTTTAAACTGTGTACAAAAAGTGTACACAAATCCAGCCAAATGGACAGAATCTCAACTATTAACTATTCACCATTATCACTCTCACAATTGTAAGCAATGCCCACCAAATTTATGTAAAGGTGATGTACTAACTAGACATACAAAGAATAGTGATCATGATGAAAAAACTGTTCTTTATGTTGGTGATGGTAAGAATGATTTTTGTCCAGCTTTAAGCATGAAGGAATGTGATTTTATATTTCCTCGAAAAGGATACAGTTTATTGAAATTACTTGACGAGAACATGCAAAGAGTAGCTCCAACAGTGGTGCCTTGGACTAATGGTTTGGATATTTTAGATATGCTTAAAAATATTTTAAGTATCTGAGATTGTAGTAAAACATTTTAAGATTTGTTATTAACAATTTCTACTTCATATAATTTTGTATTAAGTACAATTTTACTTCCCTAATAATACAAATGAAATGCAAAACTATTTTATGGCAATATAGTCATAGTAAGACTAAACACAAATGATGATGATGACAATGATAATGTTGACATATTTTTCATAACTGCCTTCTTGCCAATCACATATTGACATACCGGAATTACAAACATTTCACCCTTTTTCTTTATAAAAGCTAGCAACAGTTATCAAAGTAAAAAGAAACATTGCAAGGTCCGTAAGAAATTCGAGAGTTCCTAACATGAGTCTTTTGCAGACTTCCAGAACTTTGGATGAAACTCCAGCCAACTGCAATCCTAGCAACCAGATTTTAATATGCTTTCCTGGCATGACCTTGAAAAAAATTATAGAAATACCAATGAGTTAGTTTGCTCATAGGTTTAGTTTATTGTTTCATTAATTTCATTGCTAAAACAAATGTGCCGTAAGGCAAGTATTTTATGCTAGTGCATTGTTTCTATCATATTATTTTTCATATCATTTTTCATATCATTTTGTTTCATATCATTTTGTTTCATATCATATTGTTACAGGATATGATGGTATAATTGCTATCAATCGTTGATTAAAATTGATTTAATTCATTATATTTTAATGCAAGCAACAGTTCTTATCACCGTTGGACAACACAAATGCATTATGACCTTGTTCATTGGCTAAAAATGCACCTACCAGCAAAAAATTTTGGGGTTGTTAAAACTAGGTGTGATTTTTTAATTTGGTCAAATCGTTCTCTTGACATGCCAGTTATAAGTTAGCTTTCAATGAACCTTGTCCATCATTGTTTGAAGTCTGGGTCATCCAAAGAAGTGGGTCAGGGTGCATAATTATTTTTATATATTGCATTGACAAATCCCTTGCATGACGTCACAAGAATTAGTCAATGCAGACACTTCTGATGATGCATAAGGTCCATTAAAAAGACATTTTTCGCCAACCATAAAAACAGAACGATTTGATCAAATCAAAAAAATTTTTTCAGTGATAAACTTAAAGTCACATTTTAAATTTAATATTGCAAACATAAAATTTGGCAGGAAGGGCCACTTGGATCAGTTACTGTATACATAAATTGACTGTGAAAAAAGTTACCTTCGGATAGACAAATATTTCTACGTATGAGAGAAGGAAACTTTCAGTTTTTGACAGAAGAAATTGCATGATTTGTTTAACTTTGAGTGTTGATACGCATAGACCAATTACTTAGTTCTTTTCAAACATGTAAAATGTGAGGAAAAAACACAAAATAGTTTCTCAAAAAAATTTTAAAAGGATTTTTATAAATGAGAAATCAATTAAATGATGTTAACGATGTTGCACAGGAGACCTTTTTGAGATCTGGAAAGCTAATCAGTGCAAGCCAGAGACCAAAGGTCTAACATGTAATCAAGCTCAGATCGGTTTGCACTGGCTAATACAAAGCTATACCATATACCACTTCAGAACACTTTTTATTGCTTTTACAACACTAAAATGCTAAATAATTATAAATCTGGTTACAGGATAAAGCTAAAAGTTGTAAAATCTAAGTTTTTGTTATCTGCTTAAGTCTTTGAGAGGACATCAAAAACCTTTTATGTACACCCAAAATTGCTTAATAATTTACCTTTCGCAGTGACGTTAAAGACAAACATATTTCCAAAATGCAAAACAGTCCAAAAAATGAAAACTGAAAAAGAAATGCAAATAATTAAAAACAATGTCATTAAGACCATTAAACAAGTAACAGCAATTAAACAAAAAAGATAGTTTTAAAGAGATGAGCATACTGAATCTCGTCATTGATTGGTTGTTTACTATGTTTAAATCAAGCATTTGAAACATATTAAATTTGCAAAGAAATGTAAAAATAACACCAGGAATTTCAGTTTTAGAGTTAACAAAATAAAAATATCTAAACTCCAACTCCTAAATTAAACAAACACAATTCTAGCTCAAATGACATTTCAAAGTTAGTCGCACAAACTTTCAATATATATTTTTCAAAATCTAAAAATCATCATTCTAAGATTTCCCAGCACGTTTTCACAATATCCAAAATGACTTTGTACAGTTCTTGATTCAAGAATGCTTGATTCAAACACGTCAACGTTAAGCTGTGTATAATTATTCTTAAGTACTTATCAAAATATAATTCAAACTTCAGTCAGAAAACCTCACAACCTCCTTTCTAAAGAATCCTTTATGAATGTATAGCATCTCAGCTACGACAAAAAGAGAAGATTGAACTGTTAAACATAACATAGCAAATATAATAACGACAAAACTCCGCAAGTTTGAAGTTTCATAATGAATTTCTTTGGAAGATTCATTTTCTTTCTGCAAGTTTCTTGTTTCATTTACAACATGATTATTATCTTGGTAATTCATGATAGAATTTGAAGAGCATTTATTAGCTAAGATTTCTTTGTTTGTCTTATTTTCATTACGATGTTTCTCACTTTCTTTGTTTTTATGCAAAAAATATTTGGGAAAATTCTCATTTTGATAGACCCCATCAACTTCATGAAGTGATTCAGATTGTTGAGGTGCACTTTCCTTAACTCCAATGGTTAGATCGACTTCCAGAGCACTGTCGTCCATTTTCGAATTCCCGATATTCTCTGATGAGCAGTCACTAGTTTTATCACAAGCATCTTCACTGTGAGATACGTTTTCTTTTAAAAAGCCAGTAAGTTTTTTAAGTCTTTCGTCCGCATTTTGTAAAATCTTTCGTCGACGAAGTTCGCGTCTTCTAGTCAACTCAATGCTTCGAGTAGTGGCATCCATCTTGTAATGAGCACTTTGAGCGATGTACTGATGTATTGCGATGTGCACTATAGGTACAATATGAGGATATGGGTACAATATGGTACATTACCTTACAATTTGAAAATATCAAATAAAAATTTATACAAGCTGTCTATATCAGTTCAGATTGTGGAATATAAGATAATAAGTCATATAACTTTAGTAATATACAATTTTTATTTTCACTGTTATTATGCTATTGGTGTAAAATGGTATAAAAGGATTATGTAAATAAAATTTAATGATATCACTCAAAATTTGGTGGGTATAGGTACTGGCTGACGGATACTGGGTAGTAGTATTAATACAGTAAATGATAAAAAAGAATTCAGAAAAAATGTGAAGAAATACTTGTTGAAAGAATAACAAATCAAGGAAAAACATGATCAAGTTAGTTGTAAATCGTCAAAGTTCAAATGTATAAGAACGAGAAATACAGCGTATATTCTGTATCAAAAGCAGGCCAATGAATTGTTGATTCATCGGGGAATCTCAGACTTGCTGAAGACTCTACGGAAACTCCTGTCACAATGATTCTTAGTTAAAAATTGCAGGTGGTCCTTTTATTCGTTAATTGTAAATTTAATTGGAATTATTGGATTACAAGTCCACTAATCTGAAAAACGCTTTGAAAAAATTGTATTAAAGTACGCAAATGACTGTCTAGAATTACAAAAATAGATCTCAAAACTCATATTTTAACTATATTTACACATGGGGAACTATACGTACGTTTTGACAAATAGTGGCGAATGTTTTTGATTAAATAAATCGTTTGTAGGTTAAAATAATTCCTTTTAGGTTGGGGTTCGTGTTTGAATAAACTAATATTACAAAGGTTAAGACAGCCCGAGGTATTAGATTTATATCATTCAAATAATTTGAGTGTAAATGGGAAACATATACATTTAACATCATGAACGTTAGAGTAGAGATCATATTCATTCAACTGTCAGTGATAATCCTAGAATAATGAACGCTGCACAATTTATAAATTCTGATTTCATTTGCTGAATAAGACCCGAGACAGCACTTGCAAAACTTGGTTTTAGTTTTTAGTCTCGTTCACAAAAATATTCGACTCGACGATAAATGTAAACTCCGCTTTTACTTCGATTGAGTGGATATTGTCTGCCCTTGAGACCTTGAAATGAATAAAATAAAGTTAAGGATAAACATTTTAATAAATCTTTCCTAAACCTTTTCACTACTAATGAAAACGAGCAATACAATAAAACCTTTTTTTATTTGACAAAGCGAACGTACCAATTGAGAAACATTGGTCTTCCAATAAATCCTTGTGGTCCAGGATATGGCAGCCACTGATCAGGTGTTCCATTATAATTGGCAGAAGAACTGCTGTTATAAGGTGTGTGGGAAAACTGAGGAGGAAGATCTCCATGAGGTGGAACAACAGGACTCTTAGTAAATGTACTAACGGGAGGTAAAGCAAAATTAAAATTGCTGTTTGAAGATGGATTGATACTGGGTGAATGGGGTACTGCTGGACTTGTCAGTGGTGTTCCTGGGGCTGAAAACACAAAAAATACATATTAATATGAAATATGAGGATAACTATAACCCAGCCTAATATCTACAAATAGCAATTTTTATGCCAGGCCAAAAAATTATTTGTAAATTGCTAATCATAAATCTGTGTAAAAAGCCATAAATGATTAATTAGCAAAATTAATGAAAAACATATTTTTTTAATCAGTGTCTTTTCATCTACAAAAGAACTCTTCGAAATTCTGCTTGATTTTCTTTTGTTCTTAGTGATTATTTTTGAAAATTGTTTTGCCAATGTGAAGATCTGGGCGAGACGTTTTTCAAGCGATTGAAAACACTCGTGAATCATGTTTTAAACGGTAAGATAATATTTACCACTTTGTGAATTCTGCACTTCACTCGGTGATCGTACAACGCTTGATGGAGCATTATTAATGACTCGTAGTGTAGGAGATTTATTTTGAACGAATTCGGTAGGTGACTGTATATTCATAACGCCACCATTGTTTCCATTTGATAATCCATTAATTTGTGTCGTCCTGTTGTTCAAGGAATTTCCTGACAATGTACTCGGTATGCCCTCAAATCCATCATGTAGAGTCTGCATCGCCATCATGTCATAACCTGAAAAATTTACCAGTTTTTCTAAATACAATGTAAAAAGCACACAATAATTTTGCAATTGTATACATGTAGCATCACTTAATTTCTCCATTACCTTGTTGTGGTGAAAGGCCAGGCATAAGTGAAGGTTCAGATACAGTATGCAGCTCAGTCAATTCGGACTTGACATGAATATTATTTTGATTGTAGTATCCATCAACAGGTGTTATAGCATTTGAAGACATGGAATAAGGTGTATAGGATGGTGGTGGAATTATTGTCGACGTACAAATCTGTGGAGAATTCGCTTTATTGTTACTGTCTTTGGAATTTTCGTTGCTTTGATCTTTGTTGATCCAGACCTGCTATTTGAAAAGTGAATATTTGTGAAATATTGTCGTTCATTGACTGTAATTAATGTAACATGCACACAAAATTTTGCATTAAGTCGAATTTAAAATTAGCTCAAATAATATCTAAAACACACAGCAACGCTACACTCTCACCACCCAAAAAAAAAACACGAAATTCTTAAAATACTGCGTGTCTTGCAGCCATTTTGTATAATATGTTCTAAGGTTCCAAGGCCCGTTCACACGATCCGATTTGTCAGATCCTAAAAAAACGAATCGTGTGAACACATATAAAGTGGGCCTCCGGCAGTCAGATCCGTCATTCTGAGAAATCGGATGGAATTAGAACTAGCTCTATTTTCATCTAACAAGATCAAAAGGACTCGAATAACCAAATTACGAATGTACTTAATAACAAAAATGCTGTTCACACGACTATAGATAACTATGTAGATATCTAAACGACTATAAACATCAACAAAATTTTCGGACTGTCTGAACAAGCAACCAAAAGTTGGAACTGAAACTATCGAATCCTGTAAACAGGCCTTCAGTCAATCTCTCATATGACTTTGTAAAGACATATAAAACAAACCTGACTTCTCAGCTGCTCAGCATAATCCATTCTGTTTACAAGTTCATCTCGACTAAATACATCAGGATAATTAGATTTACTGAACTCATTCTCTAAAACCTCGAGCTGTACTTGGGCAAACGAGCGTCTAGGATTAGTATCTTGAGATTTGTAATCAATATCTGGACAGTTTTCCTCTCCATCTTCGCCATCTGAATGACCACTGCCTAAGGATGGAAAAGATGCAACGGTCGTATTTTTAATGTCATAAAAGTTTCACTGTTACATTTGCTTCTCATTTACTGCACTTAATAAAAAGGTGGCAAAAACAACGCTGCTTAGCATAGACACACCTTTCTGTGCTTCTGTCGTTTGCACTAAATGCATGAAAATATCTTAAGACTATTCAACGCGCTATATTGCGTTTTTTGAAGCTAAAATAATACGAAACTTAACGTCAAGTACGAATGAATAAGGTTAAAATGAGAAGAGTGAAAATATGGTAGATGTGAGAAAAATGGTCAATGGTAAAAAATGTGATGGTGGTCGGTAGAAAAAATTTGAACTTCAATATTCAAATGTGGAAACGTCACAAAGTTGGTCATTGAAGTACGATACTTCATCAAATGCATTTCTCAGTTCTCGTACTTACAGGAAAGGTACGTTGACTACTCTTGTAGAAAATCTATAGAGCAAATGCGATACGACTTTTTCAAAACAAATCGAGCAATGTTTTATGCGATCTGTCGTCACGACCCGCACGAGTCAAATGCAAAAAGTTTTTTTTGTTTGTTTTGCTTCACACGTAGTTCAAAATCATGTGTGAGAATATTAATAAGTTTTAAATTTCAAGACACATGGCAAACATGTTTTTGATCCTTGAATATTTTTTCATACTCAACAAGTTTTTATCCTCGTTTTTTTTATCAACCATTTACATTTCATTCTCTCGTTTCATCACGACTGAAGCTCCACCTCGTTTATGCAGTTTTAAGTCATAGCTATTATTTTAGAGAAATTATTTTCAGTGAAAAGTTATGATTTTTAAAAAGAAATCGTGCAACAAAACAAAGTGTTTATTCATTAAATAAATCAATACACTCAACAATTAAGAAAGAAAATACCTCAGTAAGTTTTTATTGGAGTCACGATCCATAAAATTTTACTTTGGCTGCCACAATTCTTGTAAGTAACGATTGAATTTCAAAAGCAACATACAATTGCGTTTGTATTATGTTGACTAGCTTTTGGAATTTTTCCTTGCCGCCAAACCTTATTTTAGGTGGGTTAACATTAGCATATTGCAAATTTTTGCATTTAATTACTAAAACATAATTACGCCATTTAAAATGACAGATGCTATTTGGAGAATATGGCGCATATTTTGGAATTAATCGTTGCTTGTTTCATGATAAAAGTAATTTATCTTACCTGTACTTTCTGTGCTTTCAACAGAATGTTTTCTTCTCCCGTTATGAAGACTTTGTACTTGAGCAAGTTGAGGCATAGATAACAAGCCAGTTATTGAATAAGGTCTTTGAATGATGTTGTTCATGTTTATATCTTTGATTTCACTAATACTAGTGAGTTGGGTGTTTAAAGGCCCATGTTCGGGGCCACTTACAGAAGGTCGTTTTTCTGCTATTTTATTTCTCACTATTCTATTGATTGAACTAACACTGGGAACATTTTCATTGGCACAAACACCTTCAGCGAGTAAACGATCACGAATTTCCCATGCAAACATTGTGGGATTTTGTCGTTTGTAACTGGCAATCTTTGCTACTACAGGCGGGGTTGCAACTTTCGGCTTGCTTCCACCAATGACACCAGGTTTTATTGACCCAGTCTCGTAATATCGACATAAAATCTTACTGACACAACCATGCGAGACTCGTAGTTGTCTTGATATATCACATGGTCTAACACCACTTTGAGCCAACTCTACAATTCTTCTTCTGACTACCTCTGGTAATGGTCTTCCATTTACGAATACTCCACCAAGCTGGTTTACACCACCATGACCTGTAATTTCAGAAAGTAGCATCTTTAATAACTTGTTTTATAATGAATTGAATTATTTGCAAAACAAGAAGAGCCAAATGCCATATAAAACCGTTTTTACAATGTACCGGTATGTGCCATCATTTACTTCCGAAAATCAATGAAGCGTTTGCTCGTCACTCAGGCGTTACACGCTGCAAGCCTAAACACAAATAGAAAAACACAAGAAGATCAGCTATGATGTTGTTAACTGCTTTGTGCCTAGCTAGAAAAGAATAATTTTAACAGTTCACTTAATTTATGCTCGTTCAAAAGCGCCGTGATTTGACAGGCAATCTATGTCTAGTGACAGAAACCAGTGATGCTCTGAGCATGCATGAGTATTTCATAGTGACATATTAATCTTGAAATCAGCGCACGCGTTCTCGACACTGGACTCGGGGGTAAAATTATACCTTCCACATGTCTATTTCGATGATTGATCACTGACCGAGAGAGTATTGTGTTCATATTCCAAAAAAGGAAAGACGATATAACGGATCTTGGTAAAATGATATCCAATATCTGCCTATCACTAAGCTATCACTACTTTATTTACTAAGTTGTCTTTATCCTTCTAAAGCCTTGTGCATGGTACTCAATTTTATATTTATGTCTCGCGAAAATTAACCTAAGACTGACATAAAAAGTCCGCATTACATTTGTGAACGACATTAAATAAATTGTCAAAGTAAAAGATTAAGGTCTACCTCGAAGCGTATGTGATGTTTGCTTTTTGTCACAAAAAATATTAAGCTTGGTAAGAAACAGAAAAATTTACTGTTTACATAGCTTAAAATTGAAATTTCATTGATGTGTAATTTTATTAGTCATGTTATTGGTCCGTTGGTGCTTAATGACGGGAGGAAAGAAGCATTGATGACATATCATTGTAAACACAAAATGAAGTTAAACATGCTTTGTGTTTACAAAATATTCTTAACCTTGGTTTGAGCATAAATCCATTTCTACATTAACAAACATTCTGATGCTATTGTCGAATCGCTAAGAAAATCAATGTCGACTAAAAAATTAAAATTTTGATCAACTGTAATCTAAGTGAGAAGTTATGGAATTTATGCATGTATGGCGCTAATTACCTCACTTGACAACACTAATGAGGCATTTTTCATTCTTGATTACCGTTGCTTGAACTAAAAGATGTATCTGACAGTCTGAGCAATCAGTCATCTGTCCACATAGCTAGCTCCTAAGCAAGTTAAGTTTTTTTTACCAACCGAATAAAGAAGAACTTGAATCATTGATTTTGAAAAAACGTTAAAAAACTGTGTAAATACTCATCAATCGTGAATTAATAGTTATGTTACAAAATGTCAATGCAAGAAGAAAGCGTTCAGCCGAAGCCGTTCTTATTGAAGGCATTTAGTTATTTACAGTTCTCTGAACCGTGGTAGACGTCACAAATCTTAATTCTTGGCATTGATGTTCATGACGTATATTTAAGCTAAATACTATCGGCAAATGATATAAGTGTCTCGCACTGTCGTACACACTCATTGAAAATACGTAAATGGTATTATGTTGTTTTTACTCCTTCCTAAAATTGCAGTTTTTTAAAAGTTTAACGTGTTTGGAAAATAACGAAGAGCGAAATAAAATTTATAATTATTTATCATAAAGCATAAATATATTATATACTTCACAATTACAAAATAGTCGATATTTATTCATATTAGAAACCACGTTGAATTGGCAATGTGTAAGCGTACCATGTTTTGTTCTAAAAATATTTCTGATACTGTGATAGGAAATGACTTTGCAAGTTCGACTAGTGATATAAATATTGAATTACTCGTCTTCATATTTCCGTTGGTCATATGTAAATATTTGTATGCATAATTTACCGAACTTTCTATGCTAAAGACAAAATATTCCATAATTAAAAAAATGTATATCTACTATTGGCCTTAGCTACGCTTCACAAAACTGAAAATTCTTTAGTTTTCTTCTCAAATTAAGACCATCTTGTATTATTACATCAAATGAAAATTGTGTTTGGTTTGAGTACAATATTTTTCATTATAATCACAGCTGGGTTACAGCAAGTTTGAAACTTTGAACAATGATAGTGTACCCCCAAAACGGCGACCTCATAGAGAGTGCCAAAATTCTAATGAAAGAGACTAGAAAACAAACAAAACAATTCCTGCGGTTTCATAGCAGGGGAACATGGTTAGCGTCTACCCATGTACGTTCCACGTACGTCCTTAAACTGAATGTTAAACAGCCTACATCAAATCCAAAACGATGAGTAGAGAGATCTAGAGTTGGTTGTGAACAATTTATTGGGCTTAACTTCAATAATGCACAAAACATTGACACGATACAAATGTACGTATGTGTGTTTTGCATTTTCGTGACAAATTCCGAGGGTTTGCTGGAAACCCTCAAATGCTCTTGATAATAAAATATTCATATCAGGACATCCGTGAATAAATAATAAACAACATAACAGATTTTATCAGCTAAGAACTTACTTTCATCTTGCAACAAAATATTTTATTACTCGTACTAAACAAACGTAAAATATCATATTTAACATTTTAGACCTCAAAATTTCCTAGCTTACAGAAAATACATGCAATCAACGCTGGCTGAGGTTGTTTGAGCAGCCTTCTCACAAAGACTTCACTTTTATTGATTTTTTGAGCGTGGTGCCATAATGTCTAAGAGCTCAGCCTGGTAGGCGTGGCAAAAAAATTTGAAGTGCTATTACCCTGGTAGGTGGCTACTACCACTTTTAAACTGATTATTATTTTCTTTGAAATAAGTTTGATACTTGGTCTCACCTAGTTCTTAAAAAATTACTTTAACAAAAATGTTCACAATTTTCGAGATAGCAGTTTTTGTTTTATCTTCAACTATTTGGCAGTTACATACAAAGCCAGCGAGGAGATGCGTTTTGTAGATGTTGAAATAAATATTTCATAAAACGTTTAGTATACATTTGTGAAGTGAAAACTTTCACCAATCCAAGGACAAAAGTTTGTTTATTTTAATATATCAGCCAATGCTAAAGTAATATTTTTGAAATTAAGAAGTGTGCTTATATTTACAGTTACAGCAAGAAAAAAAATGACAAATACCTACACTCTATGGGGGTTGTTCAACTTTGCCTTATGAGAATATATTCTGTGGGGACGGGTATTTAACAATTTACCAAATATTTTCGTAAACATTAGTGCAGCGACTTTTGCTAGAAATTAATTTAGTATTTGTTTGCAGCTGACTTAGAAGCAGTAATTGCCTTAGATTTGTCAATATATTATTTCTGCTTCACATTAGGCGATATGTCATGCAATGAAAGAAAATGTATTTGAAGTAATCTTCCTTTTATCTACAATCAGCCGCTGTAGTCTATCAACTTATTAATCTGTAAATCGTCTAAGTATAATTTTTATCAACGTTTGAATAGATAAGTGATCTTAAATCATAAAATCAAGTATGAATTACATATCATATCAGCTGGTTTATATAGACCAGTAATATACGTAAATGATCGTGCGTATCTAGCTGGATTCAGACTTAAGTATCGTATATAATTATTGTATACATAAACTCAATATTTACCGCGTATTACAGCATTTAGTTCAACAGCAAATTAAAATGATAAATTTAATTACTACAGTAGCTATTTGGTTAAACCGGCAAACACAACAACATTTGGACTTATATTGTTTGATAGAACTGAAACATTGAGCCAGTATGGTCATGGGCGCTAGATCAGTATACATTTATATAAAAAGTAATATTTTTTACTGACTACCACCATTCAACAACAAATAAACATACAAGTTTCGGAATTTCCCTTCTAAAACAAAGCATTTTTAAAAAATTTCGATGGATGACATAAAATAAGAAAGACAGAGCACGAAATCAAAACTAAAGCGAAATAATTCTGTCACAATTGCAAAGACTGCAACAATTAGTGAAAGTGGTGAAATGTTATTGATAAATTGGTTGATATGTAGAGGCAAGAATGAGTTACTAATTATTGTTAGGAGAAATATCTTTTAAAATATATATAATGAAAGTTCAGGGTAAAGGAATGAAAGAAGTGATAACGTTATTTAATATTTTTGTTTTCCTATTTCAATTCGCCCTCGACACAATCCTTATCTCATGCAAATTTTGAGCGACGTGGCATTTTCATTCAATAAACACACGCTTTAAATATTTAACAAAGTCAGAAACGCCTCTGAACGTCAGTTATTTTCTAAAGCATTACAAGAAGTTTACATTCAAAGTTTAGTTACTCTTAGTTAGGCATTCACAGAGCGTATTTCCGAATTTACCAGCTCACACTCAAAGATTTCATCAGAATTAATGAAGTATGCAGAATTTATCGACCCACATTTAACGCATTATAATAGAAATCTTTAATAAGTCTCTAATATTATCGATGTTAATTCTGCCAGAGCTTCACCATCAAGAACTGTTATTAAACAATCAAGTTGTGCACAGTTGATATTGTAGAGTTGAAGTAACGTTAAGTGACGGACACGAGTAGCCGGCGAGATTTTGACTTTTCACCAACTGAAAGCGGAGGTGGTTGAGGAAGAAAGAATTCACAAGTATGACTTACGCTTTACGACAGTAACCTTAGTATTTTATTTCACTTGACTGCATGAGCGTGGCGAAGAAGTGAGCAAGTGATTACCAATATTACGGTGTTTACACTAACGAACACAGGCGAATGACTCATGACTCACAGTGGAACAGTTATGTTTTCGGCCACTGAACCATAAAGTGAACAGCAAATTGCAACGAGTCACCCTCTGTTGGTTTTCTTTACGATAGCTAATATGTATCGAAGAACAAAATACGCTAAGACCAGGCCGAATAAGGTAGCTGCAATCCTGGTTGGAATAGTCAAATTATACCGCGAAGTAATGCGAACATAACAGGAGCATACATTTTATTGACTAAGTAAAACAAATAAATGACTTTGATCGCTTCTGGTTAAACAAACTGTATTCGGTAAATAACATAAATGTAATGAATGACTAACCTCTTTTTGGACAAGAATTTAGAGCGGTGAAGTGGCAATGACTCCTATACTGCTTAAAATAGACTACAACAATGTCCGAGCCGTCTAACTAATAAACCTCTCAATGGTATAGATATGTTAATAGGTCATTGAGCCGTCTTTGATTGGTAAATATGTATATATATTTTTCTTGAAGGTAATTATGACGGCTGACTATTGTTTCAGAAAAGAAAAGATAATGGAGCTGCGAGTCTCCCTGTGGTTGCAATCTACAAATATAATATTTTAGCTTTGTTTATTACAAAACACAAATACGAAAACTGATTTATTTCGCTCACCAGATTTTAAAAATGCGTCAATCAATGTTTATTCATTATTCAAATAAATTTATGGTTCACGCGGCATCACATCGGGACGTATGAACAGTTATAGAATTGCGTGCATTTGTATTGAACGAAATCGATGCTTTTCACTTGACCATTAATTAAATAATAAATGTAAAGTAAAAGCGAAAATTTATTCTAAAGTGCTCCACTTTTTCAATTTAATCGATATTTAAGCAATAATCTTTTGGATGAATGCAATAAAGTATATACTAGTACCCAAACCTATACTTGAATCATAATCGCAATATGTTTTCGTGATAATTAACGTTTAAGCTGTGAAGGCAACACAGTGCTTTTTCAATAAATGCATGTATTGAACATGACCGCCTGTCGTGATCTTATTTCTATAACGAAAATCCAGACAACTTTTTGTCCTTTTTTACAAAGTACATTGCTTTATCACACATTTACAATTTATAGTTGCAGTCAGCGTTGAATAGTCTGTTAACTCCAGTGAACTCTAATACAACCTCGAAAGTTTCAAGAAATTGAAAGGGACATCAAACACATATCTCCCACAACCTTCTATTAAAACAACAACGAATAGTCATCGCGATTCATATGAAAATGAAACCCAGTCGTTCTTGTATGATATGTATTGATACATTGTTGATTTGCTAAGATTGCAATAAAACGATTAAACTTCGAAGTAAAATTCCACAGATCATTTTATTATCTAAAATGCATCATAAATTAGAATACATAAAATCAAACTGTTTCGTAAGTCGAAACGTATTTTTCAAACTCCCTAAAACGTTTACATCATAGAATACCACACGTTTGGGCAGTTCATTTAAAGCAACTGAATAATAAAATTGTACATGTCCTTGTTCCTGGACGCACATCGGAACAACACAAGACAAAACAACATTAAATGGTGTAAATTTTCTTTCACAAACTTGAAAGAATTGAGCGCATTAATAAATCATTGAAAACAAGCTCGATACATATTCGTTTCCTTTCAAAAGAATATCTAGGTAGCACCAGTTTCATTCTGGAAATTTTGAATTAGAATTCAAACAAATTATACACATTGTCTGCATGTGTAAATTCGGGTGGAGTATTGCTAATGGGGCCGATTAACTAAAAATAAAACAAACGTTGTATGGATAAATCGTTCACGATCTGATAAAGAAGGTCAACCTACAACAATTTACAATAATTATAAGATGAACGACGCCACATTTCAATTGCATTTTAGTAACCAATTACAGCGATAAAGAGTTGCAATATTTGTATAAAAACTAAAAATAGCAGATAGCCTGGTCAAATTTTACTTCTAAGTTCAAATCTATTTTTGATGATCTTAGATCTTAGAAAAGAGATGCTTCTAAAATTTTATTTGACAGCAATAGTTTGACATCAAATGATAGCTTTATATTGCAGCATATTGTTAACGTTGATTGACGAATAAAATGGTTTTACTCATTTTATAGCAATACGTTTTTTCCTGCAATATTAATCATGGAAGTGGAGGCTGATAGCGCAGTTACCGACAAAGCAATTACATCATAAGTGTAAAAGGCAGTAAGAAAGTATAAACAAAATGATTTATGGTGAATAAAAATCTGATGTTATTGTACTGTTTCGTTGAAATCCATAAGCTTCCCCCCCCCCCTGGGTAGTCAAGAGGTAATTACATCCTATTGGCTTTTAACAGCCACGACTTTCGTTTCGATACAATAAAAGCTCAACGTATTCCTATAAGTTCTTGCCATGTTTAATAATCAGTCATTGACGATAAGACGTTTCACCACAATAAACTTCTTACGAAAGAAGCGGCTGCTTTTTCACAACATCACAAACAGCGCGTCGTGTAAAACAAAACTTCTTTATTGTGGTTGTCTTATTGCGTGTTATTTTAACATAATTTATGAGTTGAAGTATTAAAGGAAAAATCATTTCCGGGCAAACATCCTGTTTTTTTACATAAAATTTTATTCTTAGAGAAACTGCGCAGACAATACGAGATGGAGATACGTTACTCTATTGCACAGTGTGGTAGTCTGTGTCGTTGGATCTTTCTGATTGTTGATATCATGTTTGAAGAGTGAATTGGAGAAAAGTAGAACTAGGTGCAAAATGACAAGAAAAGAAAATCGTGCAATTATTAATTATAGTTTCAGACAATCCAATATCTTATCTTAAGGCAGTAACACTGCACAAAAGTGACATATTTTGTGTTATTGATTTGTACTTATCAATTTAATACTGTATAAACCAAACCAGAATTATTTGTTCCGCGAGTTTATCTGTTATTGTATTAGTTACTGAAAGATACCGTTATAACTGCAGGGAATATAGTTGTGGGTTAATTTAATTAAACCCCTGGCAAGTTTCTCTTTACTATATTGTTTGTTTGTAGATATTGTTTATTAACTAATAATACTCCTCATTTTCAACAGCGAAATCATCCCCAAGAATAATCTACGTCGTTAATGGAAAACACAAAACCTCCTTAATTAGACGCAAAGTTTACGCACTGCCGTCACGAAAGTAAGTCGACATTCATTTTTTCCTCCCCGAGTAATTCGGTGAAAATTTTGATGCAGTTATAGGTGGAGCGGTTACACCAGCAAACGTATAAACCAGGCCAAATTATAGTAGCAAAGGTAAATAGTTCAGAAAGGTCAGAAACGAATGATGTCATTGCATAAAAAGTAATTCAACAATTAGTCAATTCAGACATAAGCATTTTTCAGCGAGTATCGTAACCAATGAATTTCAAAATGCAGTATTAAAAGTTTCATTAAAAATTCCACATAGTTCACACCTCCTATAATGACAGTTATAAAATGGTCACACAAAAACCAACACGTTTAATGCTATGAAAGCAGTACATGTAGATATTAGTGAAAATATATCTCTATGGAATTTCATGCTTAGTTTCACTTATAAATAGATTGTACAAGACTATAAAGATTATCACACGTTGATTTTGCATCTCCCAACAACATGGATGTGTTTGGTTTATAAAACACAGGATTGTCAACATCAGCATAGCCAGTGCCCAATGTTCTCTTCATTACAATTACCTATAACAAAAAAAAAACAATCAATTATTAGAAAAGCTTTCATTAATTCATAGTTGTATATTCATTCATACACGCAATGCATAAAACGAAGAATTGATTCAAATGAATTTCTTTCACTGCATGATTTCATGTCCATGGAAAACAATGCATGGCAATAAAAGTTATAATACCACTATAAATAACAACAATTCAAAGCCAATACGAAAACAATACATTAGACATAAAGAAAAAAACGCCGATCATTGCTCTATTCATAACTTTATTATATTTCAGTTAAAATAACACATATTGACATTTTGCACGCAAGGGCAAAAAATCTTTTGACTGCGCATGTGTATGTGTTCTTATCAATTTTGTTGTTGTACACGCTACTGTTGTAAACCTAAAAGTATAGTCAGTTATGTTAGAGTATAGTCTAAATTCAACCCTACTTATAAAATTTCATGTCATATAGAAAACTGATTTACATATGTAAATTTCTTAAACTATAGTAGCTCATCATCTGCAAACACACACACACACTGTACTTCATGATGGAGAAAAACGTCACAATTATCATGAAACAAATTATCAATTCTAGCTCTCAAATCTAGCATAAAACGATTGTGAAGCTGCGATTCTAAGTTTACTAGTTTAAGTAGTTTTTCCGAGGTTTTTCAGTACTTACTAATTGATCATGTTCGTCGAAATTTGGTAATTGGAAACAAACGAAACAATTTTACAAACTATCCATGTCATATGAACTGAACGAAAAAACTCATATCCGGAAACAAAACCTAGTCGTGTTAATGCACGATAATAAGCCATGCAAACTTACATTTTTTGAATTCCATACTTCTAGGACTGGCATTCCAGCGATAATAGAGTTCGGATCATCTTGTGCTGCAGAGTTGATTGTGTCATTTGCACCAATGACCATTACCAAATCGGTCTCGGAAAAATCATCATTTATCTCATCCATTTCAAGAACAATGTCGTAGGGTACTCCTGCCTCCGCTGAATCAAATCAAATATACGATAGTCAGTAATTAATTGGCCATGTCTCAATGTTTCTCTGTAATTCCAATCCTTAATTGCATTAAGTGTTGCATTACGCATAAAATGAAAGAAACGCAAACACAAATTTAACGTCTACCTAAAAGAACATTGAGTTGTCCAGGCATACGACCAGCAACTGGATGTATTCCAAAACGAACATTTTTTCCATTCTTTCGTAAAATATGGACCATATCAGCAATCGCATATTGTGCCTTGGCCACAGCTAGACCATATCCAGGAACTATGATTATGTCTTTAGCATCGCGAATCAACTCTACACTACCGTCCGTGTTTATCTCTGTATGAGTTCCTTCAATCTTCATCTTCTCACCCGTACCTAAAGTTTAAAAGATAAATAGAGATGCATGTCCTTTTGTCATACAAGCAATCTTTTTACGATATGACCATAGAAAAAAAATTTGTGTCGATGTTTATCAGGTAATAAATGGTTAGGTTTTTATAAGTTATGCTTAATCAGCCTATTTAATCCAATAATGCCAAAAGCAATGTTAAAGATGAGGAAAAATTTTGTTGACAGCAAATAAAAAAAAATCGATTAAATCCCTGAATAAGTGTTTAGATTTTCTGGTTCACAATGAATGGACATCGTAAAACATTATTGACGTTGAAATTCTTGGCTCATTAATTAAGGCGCCCATGGTCGCTCAAAATAACACCTAAAGCAATTATGATGTCATAATAAGGAAGCAGTCCTTGGTTGTACCTAATAAGAACAAGAACCTCTCAACCAAAATGCTTACAAGACTTGGAAGTCGTGCATTGAGTATGTTATCATATAGCAGTAACAACGAGTCAAGCAGTGAAATGAAATTCGACGATTCAAAAGTCATCTCAGGCGATTGGGTATTCATACGAGAAAAACGACCTCAACGCAGCTGTACAAAACGAAATGCGCGTAAAACTGACGAATGGTGTACAGTGGCAAGAAAAAACAGCAACAAAGTAAATACAAATACAGAAAACGAATATGAATTGGTGGATGACATCTTCACAACAAATACGGAGGATAGTGAGAAAAACGACAAAGCTAAAGGATGGAATGTTGCAATTGAGGAAGACAATAGCGTTCATGCTGTCTTGACAAAAAAACAGAAAAAACTTCTAACAGTTGCTGAAGAAAGCAAAGTGATGTTCGAACAAGGAATTACACCAAAACGACTTCAAAATAACACATTTTCAACAGACAAAAACCAATGTAAACGTCAAAATAAATCCATGATGCATACCAGCGGAAACAAGAGAGGAAGAAAACGACATATGATGGCTGACACATATAGTGGCAGAGGTGGAAGAAGAAACATTTAAATTTTATAATGTTGCAAAAATATCAGTGGAAAAAAACCAATCATAAAATTAAATGATTTAAAAACAAATCACAAACTAAATGAAGAAAAATTATCCAATTATTTGCTTTTCATCAATGTTTTCTTTGGTGGAGGGCTTCATTAATGAAAACAAAAAAATTAAACAATGGCTGATACATTTCACTTTTTCTCTTGTAATGGCACATTTTCTTGTGTTTTGAACATTGTAATCACGCGTAAAGATGCATGGATGGCATTGCTATAGTGTACTGAGTACTAAGTGCATGTATACGAGTATATGGCCAGTCGTATTAATCAAATTTTTCTTGCATGTACGTATTTTAACCAGTTTTAGTTTGTTTTTAACATTCTACACTGACTAAACAGGACTTCCTGACTGCCACTATAATGTACATCTTACTTTGTTTAAAATCACTTCCTTATCAGCTCACGCAACTAAAATTCCTGCGACTCACCAGAAAAAAAAATTAAAATTCAGTCTGCATTTCGGTCAAGTATTTCTATCATAGTTCATTGAGATTTTAATTGATGAGATTTCAAAAAATATGCAATACCTGTTGATAGGGTTCCATAGCCACCAAACAAAACATTTGATAAAGATCTATTCATTGCTTTACACATGATGTAAGAAAGAATGCCTCCAGAAAAACCAACAAGAGCTCCAACAATTGTAAGAAGATCGTTTTGTAACATAAAACCTTCAGCACATAATGCCCAACCACTATAACTGTTTAATACTGTAATAACAACTGGCATGTCTGCTCCGCCGATAGATGCTGTCATGTGAACACCCATTAATGATGATAATACACCAGTTGCACCTTGAAAATACAGGATTCCATTTATATATTTTTGATAATTTACACTTTATTTCGTACTGACGGAGATTCATATTCAGTTGTGAAAAATGTTTCTTTATTTAATATATTCAAATCATAAATCAACCCTATACGTGTGTATTTGACCCAATATCAATGAACTTTTCTTGTTTAACTCTCAACTCGTAAAATACATAAATTGTGTTTTGCTTGCTGATGATGATGACACACGTTTAGCGTCATAGCAATGTTTATTAATAGTTTAAACTAAGACACAAAAATCTTCTATTTCCAAATAATTCCACCAAAGAAACTAAAATGGCGTGACTGATGTGCAGTTTCTCTTTCCATTCTAAGTTTGCCAAAAAAACAAGGTATTTTGGAGCTGAGTACAGCTTGTTTTCTTTATAAAAATATTTTTAAATCTTTGCAATCATTCAATTTTTTGCTAGAAAAGCTTACCTAATGTTGCCATGCCCGGAGTGAGATCATTAGTATTCATATAATATGCCAAGGCACCAACATTAGCCAATGCCATGCCAACATTAAGGGCATTCTTGCCTGGTAGTGAGAGAGGATTGGAATTAAGTAAACCTTGCAATTTTCCAAAAGCAGTCAGGGATCCTGTAAATGTTATTCCACCAATAAAGGTTCCAGCAAATATGGCAGCTTTGTGAACCTGCCCCGAAGGATCAGTAGCAAGTAAATCAACATCAATTAAATATTTAGAATATGCCGTCATTACAGCAGCTAATCCCACAAAACTATGGAATAAAGCAACCAACTGTGGAAGATCTGTGACAGCAATACGTCTCGCTATGATTGCTCCGGCAGTACCACCAACACCACACATTGCAGCCATCTGACCCAAAATTTCAGGAGAAACGTTTAATGATCCAATAGTGGCAGCCATTCCAGTTGATACACCGATGATTCCTAGTAAAACAGAAACATTTGCGCTTTTTCTACGATACTTTACATAAACTACGTTATGACAGATTAAATTTGATCAACATTTGATAAGTAATGTTACAAATATTGTTTGATAAGTGATGCACCTTACTATCAATAGTAAACAAAGATGGGCATATTCGGTAATTTTTTAAGTTTTCGTGGTATAATAATTTAATGATATAAAATCGTGAGCTGAAGATTAACTCCACTTTAGTAATTACATGTACGTACAACTGCATAAAAATTTCATGTCTAAGACACGTACCAAGAGCATTCCCTACTCTGGAAGTTTTCTGATTTGAAAGACCAGCTAGAGCACCAATACAGCATAGTGAAGAAGCAAGGTAAGCCATTTGATGAATATCACCATATCCTTTAGCATTACCATAAAGATATCCTCCCATCAACAGAGATCCAGGTATACTGTACAAATATGTGTACTCAGGAGGATCATCTGCAGGGATAAAACAACAAATATGTGTACTCAGGAGGATCATCTGCGGGGTAAAACAACAAATATGTGTACTCAGGAGGATCATCTGCGGGGATAAAACAGCTTTATTGCACAAATAAGAGAGCATTGACTTGTATATACATATACATACAGAAACACACTCGTACGTTTGAATGGAGATAAGATCTTATAAGACCAATGAATCCACAAATGTTAAGCTAATGTCCTTTACATGGAAAATCTTATGAAAAACTGTTGCACAAACCTGGTCGTTTGAACATGTCTAACATCCGTTTAGTGATAATAAATCCTCCAGAGATATTTATGGACGATATTAACGTAGCCATAGCAGCCAATGTGGTAGCTGTATTATTTGGTAGCAATCCACCCCCCATCATAACAAGACCACCAGCAGCAGTGATACCAGACACAGCATTAGTAACAGACATAAGAGGCGAGTGTAAAGCAGGGGTAACACCCCACACAACTTTATAACCAATCACACCAGCAAGTGAAAATGTTGTTACCATTGACGCAAAGGAGGGATTTGGAGAGATAAAACCAAGACCAATTACACTTGACAAAAGAGCTACAAACAATTGAACACAAAGAAAATACATCAAACTCATTTGATAGCTTTCAAACGATGTTTCTCCAGATGTTTATAGTGATAAATTATGTACATGCGTTGATCCAGTGTAGAAGCTGGGGGCTAGGGAAAAGGAAAGGATTTGGATAAAAATTATAAACAGTTTAGGACAAAGTATGAAGTTTACATATTCCTGGTGAATCGCATATAAATAGATTGGAGTTTATCAACTCAAGCATCATACCAGCTACTCCACCAGTTTCGTATAATTTCTCATGAAAAGGACTTAATTCAGGTGGTTTAACAACATCTTTTCCTTTCACTGACTGTACTGGCGCCGCAACAGGAGGGGTAACTGGAGCAGGTGGTGGCCACATCATTTTTCCTTTATCAAGAACGATTGAACCGCGAACCACTTCATCTTCAAGATCAACGTTAAACTGGCCTTTCTCTCCCATCGACAACAAGTATTTTGTCATGTTGTTCGCGTACAATGTACTTGCTTGGGTTGGTAGACGGCTGGGTAAATCTGTATACCCAATAATCTAAGGCAAAACACAATAGCAATATACATTGCCAACATAAATAGCTTTACAACATATTTTTTTTTTGAAAACGTTATCAAGAGAATACTAACTTGTACGCCTTTATAATTGTAGCTGTCCCCGGGCTTAGTAAGCTCGCAGTTTCCTCCTGTTTCTGCTGCTAAATCAACAATTACTGAACCTTGTTTCATTGACTCAACCATTTCCTTAGTAATTAGCTTTGGAGCAGGCTTTCCAGGAATCAATGCAGTTGTAATAATAATATCAACTTCTTTCGCTTGTTTAGCAAACAATTCCATCTCAGCTTTGATGAACTCAGGTGACATTTCTTTTGCATATCCACCCGTACCTTCCATAAAATTATATATTAAATACCTACTACAATAAAATAATCATTTCGTTAAGAGCCATAAAAGCTACAATTGATTCAAGTAAAGCACATATATTTATGCTACCTTCGCCCGACTCTTCTATTCCCTTGATTTCCAAGAATTCTGCTCCAACAGACTGAACTTGTTCTTTGACTGCTTCACGAGTGTCGAACGCCCTCACTATAGCCCCCAGACCTTTCGCGTTAATGATGGCAGACAGACCAGCCACGCCACCCCCTTAAGGTAAACATTTATATTATTCAAAGATTTTAGTATCACGGAATAACGTGACGTCAATTGGATATGAAAGTGAATAACATGAAGTACGTTTTACAAACACCACCACTGTTGGTAACGATGAAAAAAACTAACCATTCCAAAATTTCTAAAATTAACCATTTTAATAAGGTTGATTTCATTTTCTATCATGGTATTGTGATTGCCAAGTTAAATCTACCTCTGCATGAGTCACTACTCTTTCTCTGTCGTTAACACTTAACAATTTTAATGGGAGCATTAAATCCCTACAACTTAGATTTTCTTCAAAAGTATACAAATTGTTGTACCTATTACAAGAACCTTAGCAGGAGGAACTTTGCCAGCAGCTGTTATCTGTCCCGAAAAGAATCGTCCAAAATGATTGGCTGCCTCAACGACTGCTTTATAACCAGCAATATTTGCCATTGAACTTAGGGCATCAAAAGCTTGAGCACGACTTATACGTGGAATACAGTCAACCGCAAAACATGTTAACTGTTGTTGTGATAATTTCTCCAAAAGATCTCTGTTTTGAGCAGGATATAAGAAACTGATGAGAGTTGAGCCACTCTTCATTAGCTCAGATTCATGAACTCCATGTTCTGGGTGAACTGATGGAGGGCACACCTTTGGAAAAACTTAACACAATTAGTAGCAAATCCATTGCAAATTAAAATTTTAATTTTGAATCAAAATCACTGCTTCATAACAATGTTACTGGCATATAATTTCTATTTTTCTGTTTTAATAATCTTATGAAATTTTACCTTAATAATAATATCAGAATTCTTATACAATTCTTGAAGAGGTTTTATTTTGCTCCCACTTCAACATAGTCAGAATCTTTAAACTGTGCATTACTTCCTGCACCATCTTCAACAATAATATTAAATCCAGATTTTATCAAGGATTTTGCAGCATCAGGTGTTAAGCCAACTCTTTTCTCATTGAATTGTATTTCCCTTGGGACACCAATGGTAAGTTCATTGTAAGCTTGTCCTTTGAGAGTTTTTTGCTCCTCTAATAAATTCAGCATGTAAGAATTAAACTCTAACTCAGGAACAATAGCTTTTATATTCACCTTTTCTTATTCTCCTTTCATTTCATAAAGAATGTTAAATAAATGTATTCACCTTTGATAGATTGTGTAGAGCAAAACCTCAAAATAGAAGCACCAACACTCGGCAGAATATTCAAGTCCTGTTTACATAAATAAATAATACGTATATAGAAAGTTATTGAAAGTTAATGCAACTACCTAATGTAAGGAGTTCAATAAACTCAATAATTACTCACTTTATATATATAGCTATTTAACCGATATGGCCAGTTAGTGTGAACATTTTTTAATCCTAAAACAAAACATATTTTATGTTAAACTTATGGCTGATTAGGACATTTGAGAAACAAGGAACATTTGTACATGCATTTTTTCATTGGTGTTCATATGCCCAGTTTTTCATTTTATTTTACTAAGCTTTGTCAATCATGTGTAGTCATGAAATTATCTTTAATGTGCATTGCATACAAGGCATGTTTGATTGGTATATAATATATTTTCCACTTCACATAAAATCAATAACAATATTAGGTAGCCATACCTGAATATAGTCTTACAGGGCTTCTTTTTAAGAAAGCTGCACCAGCTTGAAGAATCATTGCTCTTGCAAAAAACTATCAGCAAAATAAAAAGATCTGGATGTTAGTTAATCTTGGTTAAAGTTTGTTGAGCAAAAATGTTGTCAATGTTTTTGATGCATTGTAAAGATAACTTAAATACTCAAACTGGTGCATCAAACAATAATGATAGCGAGTTTTATCCTCATTAATATAGTTTATAGAAATATTTACTAATGGAGACTATTATTAATAATTGATATATATATAATTTAAAGTAACTATTTAATTCGCTTTTAATAAATACAGCCACAGTTAATTATAACAATTTAATAATTAGTCCACAAATTTACTAGCACGTAGTAAAGTATGCAAGTCCTTTGAGCAGATTTTAATTGTCAACAAATTGCTCTCCATGAAATTGTTTATACACACAGTATGTGTAATATGCACAACATATTTTGTAATTAGTATTTCGGAACAACCTGTGGTTTTTAACACTTTATCTTAAGGAACTAGAAAATCAAACTTACCGAGCTGTGTACTATCTAATGCACTTTTCTCGCAGAAACGTAGAAAACTTCAAGTTCAGATTCCAAGAAATACGAACTGAACAGTTTCCTCTGTGTTGTTCACACTTTACGCCGGCCGCGCGGTACACGTTCTTAGCCAGCCAGCAGACGAAGACTGGGACGGGAAGCAAAAACAAGTGATTGGTTATTGGGAATTACGGTAATTTTAGAAACAGTTCTTTCTTGACACGGCTAGACACAGTAAAATTTTTATTTAAATTCACATAAAATATATTGCATTGATATTATTGTATAATTTCATATATGTTACTCCTTTAACTTGCGAAGGGTTAAAATTTTAATTGCTTGTAACCTTTTTATACTAGTCATTTTCAAAAGAAAAGATGATCGTAGTGATAGGTTAGTTAAGTCATGTTATTAAAATAGAAACCATTGACTTTATTAGTATCAGATTATATTTATTTATTAATTACCAAAGTATGCCAAAGGATACCCTCCTTGCAATAACTATGTAAAAAAAAACATTCAAAAAGCAAGACGAAAGACAGTGTTTGTTTGAAACTTTGTACTATCTTTAGATCCCCAGTAAATTAATTGTTATTTGTTACATGTCGCGTTCACATTGGCAAATAATTGGATTGATAAACATTGATAAGAAACAAAACAGGACTTCTAATTGAAGTACGTTGATTCTATTTAATGCAATTTAGTGAATAAGTTATTCAGGAGGTCCGGGTGGAAAAATTACTCGACAAGAGAAGTTACTTTCTAGATTGAATCATGAAAATATTGTAATTGAATGAAAATATGATCTTCGCACTTTGCTGGAAAATATTGTAAAGTAAAAAGAAATTGCTATCCAAAATGAATCAAAATTCTAAAACATAGGGGTTGAAAGCGAGATTCAATTTAGACCATACAAATTACTTGACTTTTAACCTAATGTTATCTTTATGAAAATTATTATAAAAAATAGATAATCCTTTTTTTTCAAGAAGCCCATGGATGCTTTCGTTCATGATGAGAGAGATATTTTATAAGGAGGCTGTCGTTCATCACGAGAGAGTTATGAGAAAGTTACATTGTAAAAGGTAACAAGTAGAAACGAATAAACAATGCAATAGCAAGTTTCCGCCCATCAGACCCAGAGATCGCCTGCGATAGGCTTTGTTCGGGGTACGCAGGGAGAGTGCGGTCGCGACCAAGTCTGTGCTCCTAAGCTGTATGCTGTAAGTTGTGGTATTATTAAAGTCCCTACTGCGCATGCCCAGATGACTTTTTTGATAATTTGCGACTAAGTGCGTCAATTTCCACGAAAGTAGCACAAGTGTATCTAGTTAGTCGTTGCCATGACTATGAACAATTAGTCGAATTAACTGCGCATGCTCGAGCGCAAGCGCAGAAGATTTCTCTACTAAATTGTTACTAAGAATGCTATTTACGTCAAAATCGATGCTGCTAGATGCAGTTAGTCGTCGCCATGACCATGAACTTGGAACAAGTCAACTGCGCATGCTCAAGCAGACTGCACATGCGCGGATGATTTATCTGTATATTTGTCACTGAGCAAGCTAATTACGTGAAAATCCGTGAAAATCCGCCACTGCAAGAGCCAATCAGATTAAAAAAGGGCAGGATTTCACCTGCTGCTGATTTGTAAAAATAGAAACAGAGAAAATTCGTTTGAGATTACTTTCATTTAATTAGAGTAAACATCATAGAGAGATGAAACAGTCAGAGCTTTTTAACGTCGGACAACAATACTGATGATTTCCAACAGTGAAAAACAACCTGCAAAACAAATAAACTTGTCAGACACACAATGAGAAACAAACAGAAGGGTCACTTGTGGGTTAGGCCTGCGCATGGGTTGCAACCACTAAAATGACATGACGTCATTTCTTATGTTCATATATTCTAGTATCTTATAACTCAGATTATAAGTGTTATTTGGAAATATGTACTTTTCCCGAACGTGTGCCCCCTGCCTTGCCATAAAAACAGTCATTTTTCACTACTTTTCCAGTAACACAAATCCATTTCAGTAAAGCTACCTTAGTAAATTGCTGTGTTGCAAGAAAACCATTGTTTGAAAACCGTCCAGGTATACTACCGCTGTCCAACCAAACAAACGCAGCAATTGCTTCGGACTGAACAACAATTTTGAATGTGTTGCTTCTCCGAGACATCACAGAAACATTGGAAATCTGGGAACAGGATAAACACATTTAGGGAATACATCACAAACAAACCAAATTTCTTCACAACAGAAGAATAATCACAGCCGAGTTTTAAAAAGGAAATGAATAAGAAACAGGTTGTTTACCAGAATATTAGGATTAACAAGCGTTACGTCTGCCAAGGAAGAAAAATAAAATATGTTTGTTGGAATTTCCAAAATATTGTTTTCATTTGCTGGAGAACAGGATAATGTCATGACACAAAGGCTCCGCTTTTCACAATCACTTGAGGATAATATATTCATTATTCCTTTTTGCCAAATTTTGAGCTAAAAATATTTAAACAAATGGCATTATTAAGTGAATAATTTTGCAATCGCAATAAATTTTGTACTTAAGAGAATAATATTGCCTACTATAAAATTTTTCTCGACGAAATAATATAGCTACAAAAATATTGAGAAATCGTTTTCGCGTGTATTGCCAAGACAACAATATTATAGTTTTGTATCAAGGAATAATTTTGTTGTACACGTTATCAAGTACATTGTCGAAAATCGTAAAATTTCACAAATCAACAAAATAAAAGGTATGTAAGGTGATGAGACATTTAACATAAATGACAACGTCTTTAATTTTTTTATAGCACACATGTTCCGGCATATTTAGGCGATCTTCAATGTAGAATAATAAGGGAAATAATTCTCAAATCTACTTTACTCATCAAACGAAAATGGAAAATGATCAAATTCCAAGAATCAATTCAAGAGAAAAGAGCGACTTATTTACTAACGGTCAAAACTTACGGATGATTGTGAAGGTACTTTCTTCCAAATTTTTATAATTTTCTTTGGATTTTCGTTATCTTTCCAAGCCCAAACAGAGATATTCAACTCAATTTCAACGTCCTACAAAGTTAAGATAACGACAGATCTAAACGTTCTGCAAAGTATTCCATTAAGAAAATTTACCTGAAGCAGATCAGATACAGCAAAAACATACAAAGTATTGTTAAGTTCAAACGGTGAAATAATAACTGGAGCAAAAATGTCTTTAACGTAATAGTGCAGCATCTGAAAAAAGGGATAAAGCTGTGAAAATTGGCAACAAGCTGGACTTGAAAGTGGCCATGAAAAATAATACCTTCCATTTGCCGCCATATTCTAAAGATGACCAAGTTGGAGCAGGCCAAATGCTGTTTAACCTGATAAAAATTGTTTACTATTTTTTGTATAAACCTGGCCAAGAAAGGTAAGAAAACTGCACGAAAATTTCATTAATAAAATAACTCGAATCTTTTTATTACTCAACCAAGACCAAAAAATACTTACTGCCAATAAATAGCTCCCATTGTGTGACCTCGACCCTATTTTTTGTGATGAATAATTGATGTTAGAAATTACGGTTGATACAGATCTAACTTTCGCAGTTTTTTCAGAAATAATATTTGCCTGGTTTATGATACTCCGTAGTCGTCGGTAGTGCTCAGATTCTGTTTTTATACAAATAGCTTGACTAGCCTAAAGAACAAAATATAAAAAAATTTCATGGAGCAAAATTTCCGAAATTAAAACACGACGAGGATTATTAATTATACCTGAGAAAGATAAAGGATGTCCTTAAATTGTTTTAAATGATCAGTTGAGCTTGGTTTTTAAAGTGCATTTTCATTTGATGTAACATTTCTTTATTTCCTAAAAAGGAGAAAACTTTATGAGATGAAAAGTTTGATGCACTCTAGAGTAAGCGCAATATACAACAGATTACAAGCAGAAACACGAATTTCACATCATATTAAATAAAGAACTCTTACAGATCCAAAATGAATTTTTTGTAGTAAAACTTCTCCTAAATCATATAAAGCTGTTGGCAAACTAAACCATCCCTGGTTATGATTATTGAAGTTTTATCTACAATAGTCTCTAGCGTCATTCCAAATATACAACAAAATCTTTACAAAACTTTACATAACACAACTGTCGCTACATAAAATATTACAAAGGTCATATGATATTTACCTGAAGCATGATGTTGTCTGTGTAACATCAAAGGACTAAAATATGACCAATCCTCTGTGCTAGTTATGTTAGAAAGTGTCTGAAAACGAGGCAGTGATTGTAGTCCATATTCAGAAGCAAAGCGTGGTTGTGGATAACCCCGAATATCCAGGCAATCCATTGTGTAGTTGTAATAGTGAACTATTATAAAGTCAATCAGTTAGAACGTCATACATGGTTGAGTGGAAAAGATTTTTTTATATAAAATTTTCAGCACAAACAGATAAAAAGTATAGAAAAGAAGCAAATTAATTTACACGAAATAAAACAGTAGCTACCTCGAAATCACTAACGGTATTTAATTATTTGAAAAGATATTTTCTAAAATACACATGAATTTTATTTTCTCTTTACCGTCTCCATAAAATTCACTGTTTGGATTGCTAGATATCCACGATTCTTTCTCCGTTTCTAATCCATTGGAAGGCGAAGAGGAAATGAACGGACGAGATGTATCAATTGACAAAACTGTTGTTCTTATAGTGTCAATGAAAAGCTTATAAAGAGAAAAAAGCCAAAAACTGTTTGCCTTGACTCAACAAATGAAATTTATAATCGTTTTTGCTACATGCCATTACCTGTACGTAGTTTTTCTTATAATATGTAAGATTCTTCACATCATACCTAAATGTTCAGATTAATACAAATAAATATGCTCGATACTGACCATTCTCCACTTTAATGTAACAGCTTATAATTAATGGTGATAATACACTGTGTTGAGTTAAGTATTCAAAGAATCTTGAAACGAAAATTTTAAAATTCAAAGGAATGCATATTTACCAATTATCTGTTACACTTGATTCAATTTCATTATTTCCACTCCAAACCAAAATAGAAGGATGATACTGTAAACGCCAAACCTGAATAAAATGTTCGTAATGAAACATATTTTAACTTAAGGCAATGCAAGGCCAACCAAGAGTCAATATTTGTTACCTGTTGTTTAACCTCCGTTTGTACAGAATCCAAAAATTTCTTATCAGCAGGATAGTAATCACATGCGAACATGAACTCTTGCCATACTAATAAACTTAAGAATTCCCCAAGAAACAAAATCACCAAAATTGATCTACTCTAGTTTTTTAGAGATAGAATACAACGTATAGTCCAGATATAAATATACACCACTACCCATCCATAATCAACTCACCCATTTTCATATCAAAGTCTTTAATTAATTTTAATTTATTCACCAAATTTTCTCCGTAATTCACTCACCCCAGTTCATCAGCAATAGCATAAAATGCCTCATGTTGATATATACCACCGCCCCAATTTCTAACAATATTCATATTCGCGTCAGCTGATGACTGCAGTACGTTACGTAATACATCCTCCGTTACACGATCCTCGAAAACATCTAAAAAATTTAAGATCATGGTCCACAGCAAGAAACTGGTCAACCTAGTTTAAATACTTTCTTGTCATAAAAAAGTTGTTTACGAATTTTCAATAATAGATTTACCTGGGGGGATAAAATTTGCTCCTTTCATGAACATCATAACATTGTTTATCTTGTATGAGAAACTAAGACCTTTCATAGAAATAGAAATAACATCAAAACAACGTATTCATTCGTCACCAGTCTCCTGACACAAGCATACAAAACATTACCTTTTGACATCTGCTCCTGAACAAGTTCAACTTCACGAAAGCCGATACGAACTGTTTTCTTTGAAATTTCAAATGAATATGTATTTTTCACTGTAACCTAAAGAAATTATACCTATATTAAAAAATTACTTTCATCAAAGGAAGAAAAGCTTTGCATTCCGTCTACAATGTGTTGTGCATCCTTCAGTTCGAAGCGTTCATATTAATGCACCGCTATTTAGCTCAATCTGTGACTAACATAACGAACACTACATATGGTTGCATCATTGAACTAAAATACATGGAAAGCTACCTGTAATACAAAACCCTAATAATTTTTTGAAGCCGTGATTTTACCCCAGACACGCGTGTGTAGTCAATCAATTTTACTCAGCGAGAGAATCTCGAAACACTACACACGAGCGTCTGGGGTAAAATCTCGCGTGTCTGGGTGCAAGATTTGACTTCAATTATTTGCTTCAGATAGCGTTCATGGTTCAATTCTTCAATGGTTTGCACTTAAATTTTAGCAAAGACCAGTAAAAACTTTTACTCACGTTACAACAAAGAATAAAGTTATCGCCTTAGATGAACTGTAACAATACATACAAACATACCACGAGATTATATAATGGTTGATCACCATATCCTCTTGGCCACCATGTCTTGACGTCGTGTCGTTCCAATAACAATATGCTAGGTAATGAAATTTGAGTAAGACCAAAGGAAGAGCACCTTGCTTTTCCTTCTGACATCAAACCAAAAACAGGCAGTAAAGCCACTAAACTTGACAAACTTTCTTCATTTCCACAAAAAAGTAGTACATCAACCTGTAAACGCCATACAGCACCGCTAGAATTGACTGAAATAATGAACATTATAAAATCTAATTAATATCACGAAGGAAGACGCAGACGAGGATTAATTTTACAACTACTGGCACTAAGAAATAGTTTTCAAGGCTGCGTTCCCGCTTGAAAAATAAAAGTTAGCCGGAAAAACTGATTTTGACCTGTTTTGGTCAAATTTCATCACCGTGTGTTGCTATTTTTTTACGTATAATAGTCATCCTCGACATTATTCAAACTTCAATTATCAACACGAAAATTGTACCAAAAACTCACCCAAGAACGTATCTTTTTATAACCGTTCAAAAGTTGTGGGGGGTGGGGGTGGGGATTAATTTGCCGATTACAAAGAGGGTGTTGTATAATTTTGTATGTAAGGGCGAATCCTTCCATATCCCCCCAGGATTTACGCATTTTTTGCATTTTCCTGCAATTTGTACTCATTGCAAACAGTTTCCAAACTTTGTCAACCATACAAGTCATGGCCAATGATCGCGAGCCAAAGCAGCAAATGTAAACATCAATACTTATCTGCAGTTTTGTTTTCGCAAATGACCAATAAACACAACTTACAAACACAATTACAACAATCAACTTTTTTGGTTAAATTATTTTTGTTTAAAGAAAGAGTCTTTGCATTTATACCTTTTATTGTTTTCACAAGGACATCATTAATCAACGCACTATTAAAAGCATTGATGGATATATTTCTCCTAAAAATTGGTAAACATACACAATTTTTAAATATCAGGTGTATGTTACATAAAATAGTGGACTAAATAATTTTTCCCTTACCATATACCTTGACTTGCAAATGCTGGACCCCAATCCTAGATAAACAATGATTTGACAAAAAGTACACCTAAGCAGTGTTGCTAGCCTGCTTATTAATCATTAAAAGCATTTTTCTGTTTTCACATGCTGGGAAAAAATTCAAAAGTGTTTATGACCCCCAATTTTATCATAGTGATTTTTGATTGCATTGTAAATACAATTTAAATGACTTAATGACTTCTTTAATAAAATTCTGTTATTTTTTCTTTTTGGAAATATGTATCTTTTTTTCAATATGCAAATCACATTGTTATGATGCTTGTATTTTATTAAAATGAACAGGAGAGTATGATTAAATTTTGACATTTTGTACATCAACCAAAAATCCTTTGGATAGATTAGATTCATGAGAAAATGTACAAAAAGAAAATAAAATAATATATGTACCCAACTGAATGAACATTGCTTCTTTCTTATAAGATTAACATGACATTCTCCATGTTGCACAGGTGGTGGGCAGTTCGGAGGAATAGTATGAGTATATAATTTACTTTTTTGTGCAGCATATGTTATAGCAGATGTAAATGAAATGATTATTTCATTAGAACCAGGAACCAGAAACTTCTTAACGTCCCAATCATATCTTTGAAACATATTTTCACTTTTTCCAATCAATATGTTATTAACAAACACATCAGCAACTGTGTCTAATCCTTCACATCTCAGAAGAATGGTGTTCTTCTTAAGGAAATCATCTTCCACTAAAAAGTCAAGGAAGATCAAGGTGCATTTCATGTAAACAGCATAGCAAATATACACCAAAAATGTTACAACTAAAACTCCATATCAAAGAGCTTTGGCATAGCATTCGTGGCCAGGCTTTGCAAATTCCATATAATAATTTAGTTTATTCAAAATGTAAGCCTTTTTCAGTTTGGAAAAAGGTTAACTCTGCATAAATGAAATGCACATTAAAATCTAACTATTCAATTCCTACATACGTCAAACATAAGTCAATTTCTGTTTTTTCCAACATGGCTAAGAATTCTTACCATTGAATACCCTAGAAAATGTCCAGTTATCATAATCAATCCATCGATATACCTCATCATTATATCGATAGTAAGGATCATCAATTATTCTCGCTTTCAACAGAGCGGTGTGGACATAACCAGGAACTAACACATCATTAACTTTTATGGTTCCATTTTTGTTTTGCAATTGCCAATTTCCACCTAAATCTAAGCGTTCTCCGTTAACGAAACCGAGCAAAAAATGTAAAATGCATACACATCTTGTAAAAATTGAAAAATTTATCATAATTTATGATCATCCGACGTACAAACCATTGAACTTAAATACAATGGTTCGATGGTACAAACACAAACCAATAGTTTTGTGTCACTTACACAATGGTCACAAACCTCCACTCCCCCCTAATCACAGCTCGTAATTGCTGTCGACAATATTATACCAGAATTTAAAAATCCTACTAGTCGTTTATAAGTGAGCTTTATTGTAGTTTTGTTTGCCTCTAATATCAAAATAGGAATACAAAATTTCAAGACAAGGACATTGCATTTTAATTTCAAATTTTCAAACCCAGCGTCTTATGTTTATAGTACAGAACCAAATGTCTCGGTTGACCAGACTGAATCACATTCACTCGGCACTGGACATCAAGCCGAATGAACTCCCCAGCAACAGACCGTTCACCAAAGCCCACGAATTCAGAAGCCATATATTTTGATTGGATTTCTATCAAAGGAACTAAATTTAACGATGTACACGATCTTTATTTCATCCAATTAACATTTTACATCCTATTGTATGATGTATGATTTATTAAATAAAAGCAATAGTAAGAATTACCCACACAAACAACAGTTCAACAGATAGTACGATTAAGAGAAATATTTTCATTGAACCTTTGTACGTAACTTGAATATATCTACACACTGACTTTTGTAATATTTTGCCAACAATAATCTGTCATTTCTAATTTTTTTAATTCGTTTCTGATAAGATATGCTTTTTGATATTCGTTTTTCAAAGATTCTTGATAGATCGGGAAAATTTGAACAAGCGTTGAAAGCGTTGAAGGTGTATGAATAACTATAGCAAAGTTTAAGCAACGTTTGCTGATGGTTTCATTAAAGTTTTTATGAAGATCCTTGCCCTAGCTTGCATATAATTGATTACATGCTATATAGAAATTCTAAATTTAGTAATAATACAAGTTTTCCTAACATATCTATTACCTATAACATATAGACCAACTTATAACATTTCATTTGTATGTACTATTGCAAAATGTATGAAGACGTGTTAAAATACAGATGTCAAAGGTTCAGTCAATTCAATAATTGCCACGAGTTGTCATATTGATTGTGGTTAGCATTGCTTCAATAGCGAGATATCTTTTCTTTTAATAGCTCTGAAATAGATGTTTGATGTTAAATACAAAAATTTCGTACAAAATATTGATACAGAAGTACTGCATATAAGTAAGGCAACTGCACGCAATATCATACTTACCAGCAACATATAAATATCAAATTTACGAAAACCTTATTCGCTAACTTATCTAATTTCGGACAAATATACTGTTGACAAATATATTACCTCAAATAACATGCCATGACTAGAAGAGTCCACAATCCTTAAGATTATTCTTAATGATGACATCAGTAACAGCATCAAAGACAAACTGAATGTTGTTAGTATCTGTAGCACATGTAAAATGCGTATATATCTCTTTCGTGTCCTTTCTCTTGTTCAGATTTTCAAATTGCAATTGAATATACGCAGCGGCCTCTTCGTAAGTGTTCGAACCTTAAAAGCAACAAAAACATAGACGAATATAATATTGGGACATGAGAAGTAAAACTCAACGTACTCAGTGCTGCCAAAATTTTATGAAATTAACAATAGAACGAGCTAATGTAAAATTTGAAGAGAACATTCACTTTACCTGTGTATTCAGGAAAGCAAATGGATAGAGGAGATTTTGTTATTTTTTCAGAAAACAAATCCTTCTTGTTTAGAAATAGGATGATGGAGGTTTCTGTAAACCACTTGTTGTTGCAAATAGAATCAAACAGTTTCATGCTCTCCATCATACGATTCTATTTAAAACGAAATTAAAATATAATAACGTTCATGAAATAGTAAACAGTTCACGTTCTACCATTATTTTTAATGCTCTTCAGTTTTTTTGTCTGGTATGTCAATATACTCAGTTTTAAGTTTTACAATTAAAGATTCCCCCTCAATAGTAATTTTAGAGGGGTAACAGTGCTTAAATTTTGAACCTATAAGGACAGCTGTGTTCAGGGCAGACTTTTATCCATTAAATGGAACAAATAACCATAAAGGCAATGCATAGATCACAATTTATGTGGGGTCGAAATTTAAAAGGAAATTTTTTACAGTACTGTGCAATATTGGAAGAAGTAAAATATTCTATATAGAATGGAAAAGACGAACATGTTGTCTCTAGAGGACAACATATTACAGCGATCCACAAGTATATATTTGTTAAAGGTACTGAAAGACACTACGTAATTTAAATGGGTGGTAAGAAATGAAAATTGAATGTTTAACTTTAGTTAAAATAAATTTATACAACTCATTTTTGATGTAAGACTATAATCGTACGGAATATTATTCTATTTAAAGTGAACAAGGTAGCTACGCGTACTTAAGAAAAAAATTACGCACAGTGAACTTTAACTGATAGAAAAAGCTTGATGACTATTTTTTCCGTAAATGTTGACTATGTATTAACGCTAAATTCACAAGAACAACACCAAAGCTCTTCCAAGACCAATCAAACCTATTTCCCAATAAAACTATTTTTCTACACCTAATTATTAACGTTTTAGTATACAACATGGCAACACTCATTGTGTTGATGTTTATTTTCATATCTCCACCTGCGTTTTCTTGCATAATATAACAACTCGTGATAATGAAATATTGAAGCATCTGATATAGCATGTTCAAATAAGACAACAGCAACACCTAATCTTTATTTTTATCATACGTATGTTTTTAGAACATATGGTATTCTTTCTCCCAAAGCTAATTGATAATTGAAAGTAATTCTCAAATAAAGCACAACTCGCCAGACTAATTTTAAAAGAATTTCCTTTTGCTAGTTATAAAATAAGCAGCTAAATCATTATAAATTGATGCAAGGATTCCTCCAACGGAAGCTAAATGCACTTTATTCACTATACACCATGTATATTATTTGAAAAAGGTTATTGTAAGGGGAATTAAATAAAGCAGTTGTTGATATGCAGCCCAATGCTACAAAATTACGAACACATTAAAATTCTGAACAATGATTATAACAAACCATTTCATCATCTTCTGCCAACATAAGATCGTAGGCACTCAAAGCAACACAAAAAATGATAGCAGTAACTCCTTCAAAACAATGTATCCATTTTTTCCTTTCTGATCTTTGACCACCAACATCAAACATTCTGAAAGAAAATACAATTTAATGTACTGTGAAAACAGTACACATGTACTACAGCAACTACTACATAGCTCAATATACATTTTTAGTTTAAAATGTTTCATATTTTCAGTTATGATGTCTTCTAACTTTTGCATAACACCTTTGCCACAAACACTAACTCACTTGAAATGGAGATCTTTAAAGGTGAAATGAGTCTCAACTATTCCTGTTGTTTTAACTCTTGTTCTTAACACATCTTGTTCAGTTGGTATGTAGTCCTTTGATGCCAGGCGATCCAACGAATTAAGGTAGCTAAATTTCATAAGAGAAGGCAGATCGTGATGCTTAAATCATGAAATCAACAGTTATAAACTTCAACAGAAGCATACTATGCAGCTGAGTCATTCAATTGATATTCTCTTGATCTTCCAAAACATGCTTGGACACCAGAATCATTCCACAATCGTTTCATCAATGACACCAACTGGTCACTAAAATCAACATCATCCATTCCTCCAGACATGGCAAAAAGATTTCTTGCATCATCCTTAAGAGATTGAAATACATCAAAAGGCAATAGAACAATTTATCTGTCCGACAACAGTAAATAATACAACATTAAATATTAAGTCAAAATCAACTGGAAGACCAAGTCAAATGTACAAAAAAATTGAGTAAAAGTCACTACATCCTATTTGCTATAATTAAATTTACACCCAGACTACCAACAGAATTCAACTCACATAACTCATCTGATCATCATCCAATATTGATAAAGATAGGCAATGCAATTATTCACAACAACAATTAAGAATTTTAATGATTACTTACTTACTGTGAGAAATTGAAAAAGCTAAATACAATACTTACAGCATGTCCTGGCTGTGCAAATTCTATTTTCAATGTCCCCATTGCTCTGATTATAGCAATCATGGATTGGATGGTATTGCTATACACCACTTGCTTGTATTGAAGACATTCATCTTGTGAATAGCCACTCTCATGAATAATTCTTAAGAAAAACAAATAAGCAATAGTTGTCAATCGTCAAACAGTGAATTTAATTGGATTAAATTAAGATAGTGAATGATCAAAAATAATTCTCAAACTAAGATGCAATCTTCATCTACCAAAGAACCTCAATCTCTATTTTTATAACCATTGTTTATGTCATTAATAATGGAGAACAAAATAGATGAATTCTGCTAGAATCACTTAATGCATTGTAAACATTGTATTGCTTACTTCATTTGCTTCACAATGGTACTCTTGCCAGATTCACCAGCACCTAATAAAAAATATTATTTGTCTATTTGTCCATTTTACAAGTTGGTAAACATTGAAAAGCTTATTCCATAATGCACACCATTAAGACCTATCTGTTCTAATTTACTTGGATATCAAATTGTCTGTTAAGATTAATTTGAACAAAAATAATACATGAATATAGAATAAATTGAGAAGACTGTGTTAGCTATTAAAGTAAATACTTTTGCTTAAATAATAAACAGCGACATAAACTAAATTATTGCACGTAAAAGAGCATATGACTTGCACCTATATACTTTATATACTTCGAAAGATACTTTCTGTGATATATAAGAACCAAATGAGCAAACACTACCCAGGTTCAAGAGAAAAAATGAAAGGAACTTGAAGCAATTAGGAATTATTAGTTTTAAGTACAATTATGTCGATTTTCTCTGACCTAAATGTTGATTTGTATATAAAAAATATGATGAATGTCACAAATTATAAATAACTTTATGGATGAAAGAGCATTTTGTACATTATTGAAAATATTGTGAAGACATCTGCATGATAATTTATCAACAGCAAATCAAAGATTTAGGACACAAAGAAAACTTTTATGAATGGAATAAACATTCAAGTTGAAATGAACTTATAAAATCCTCTTCTTACCAAATTGACAAATTTTAGATCGCATATATAATAAAACGAAACGGTATAATGAATTAAACAGTTTTTTAGCAAGACTTTAACATGGGATTACAAAAAAAGCAAGGAATAACAAATAACAAAAAAAGAGTCAAGCTGATATACAACATTGTGATATAAGCGGAAAAAAAGTTTCCATAATTTTCCAACAGTAAGCAATATACCAAAACAAGCAAAATCCGGGAGGAAATAAATGTTTCATCGGGGTGTGACATCCCAGTTGAACATCAGTAAACAAACGCAATTACAAGTTTTGCATTTTGAATAAAGACGAATTCACAAAATATAACTTTAAATATATCAGCAGAATTAAATTAATGCAACAGCGTTAGTTGAAACAAACTGTGGACTGTACACTAAAAGCTTTCTTGCAATTACTTATCTGCCGACGATTAACAGTCAATGTCGAAATTATGCACTAAATAACATCATAAAGTGTTAAGGCCAGACAAAGACTAGTATTTTGGACATCAGATTTCCTCTTTGAGAGTATTATCTTTGCTTATTTGACTTCGTTTGAAAGACGTAAAAAAAAGACGGCGATTTCAACAATATTTCGAATTTCACTAAGAAGCAATGATATGGCCCTACACCGGCTGGGCCTTTGGGAATATTCAATATAGCACAAAGTGAAAAATAAAATCCACAACGAAAGTAGCATACTTATACCTAAGTGTGACAATGCATTAAGCTATACCTACCTAGTAATAAAAGTTTTACTTCTCTAGCAGCTTTTTCGCCATCTGCACGAAGATTTTTGTCGATCATTTTGCTTCGTTCGACGGCAGCTTTATCTTCAGCACTCAACGTACAACCCATCTTTGAAACACTGTCCTGCAGTAATTTCAAGCGTCAAAATACGAAATATTCAATGTTTTATGACCTTTAACTGTATTACACGACCAGTTCTAACAAACTACTGTTGTTTTGATCTTATTTTAACAAAAACCGCTTCATTCTACAGCCGTCTGTAAATGTGAACGCTGCTCAATTTACTTGATCAATACAATTCACATAATCAATGTCGTGCAATGCATTGTGGGTTTTATGATTAACAAAAGAAAAGGCCCGCCCGGAACTAATTGTACAATTCTTGTATTGGCATGACCATTCGTGCATTTTCAAAATATTTGCTCAAATATTTGTTTAATTTGACTATATTACTATATGTGAGGAAATGGAATTGAATACAAAAATTAGCCAATTTCAGTGAAATAAATGAAAAAATTACCAGTTGCCTATTGAGCCTTCTTGAAAAATTAAATATAATTACAAAAAAGACTTGATATTCTAAGCAGAAAATTTCAAAACAGATAATGTCTTGTTTTTTAGCAATGCTAACTGGAGCAGCATTAAGTACGCGCATATGATCATAAATACAAATCAGACATGTCATGTGCTGACCACATGGTTGCTGTGGAAATACAAATATCTGTAGAGTGTATCGTTTTGCAAATTTGCATAAAAATATGCAGAAAACAAATTTACATCAACAGAGCAATGAAGATTGCTTACTTGTGAACTGCCATGTTCATTCTATTATGACGCCCACAAAAATACATTTTTCTGTGAACAATAATTTTTAAGTTTCAACCTTGGTTTGAAGATTAAAAATTGTTGTCTCATCAAAATGCGCATGACCTTACATGTTAATTGTTGTAAAACGAATCAAAATAATTTCTAAGAATGCGCCGTATTTTAGTCTAAGCGTGTGAGCTAACAGTTTGAGCCACTGAGCTCACACATATGGTGACATAAGCATTGCCATATTGAATGTAAACATAAAAATTTTTAGCATAAGCTGAAAGATGAACAAAAGAAAGACAAAAGTAGACTTGAATGAAAATCCCAATGTCTTTGTCTTTGTAAAGAGCTGATTACAAGCCGATTGTAAAGCGCAGATGAACGAGCTTAATTGAAATTTTTATTATTACATGGTAGACTTTAACCCTGGAACTAAGAATCCCAGAACAAAACTATTTCTCATAAGTTTCTTATGATAATAGACTCTCAGAACTTGTCCAAACTAAAAAATACCAAAAAAGATAACATTATGACCTCGTTACACAGAGTCAATACTTGAACAAGCAAACTAGATAAGTCAATATTAACTTCTTTTCGATGTAGCAGGAAAGCGTGCTTAGAACAAAGCCATTACTGATTAGTTAATAGACCTCAAACCACAAAATGTCTTGGGCAAAACGTCTTGGGCAAAATGTCTTGGGCAAAATGCCTCGAGTTCGATGCCAGAGTGCAGGTTGTACTAAAAGCAACTCTATCACCGTTCTATACTTTTTTTCTTTCACTGTTTTGTTCATTTTTTGCAAAACTTGTGATCAACTTTTAATTTTTGATTGTTTCTACATCATTCTATCGTATACACGAGAAACCAAAGCATGGATTTAAAATAAAACACTTGTTTTACCAATGGTTCCGATCTTTCATCAATTCTGTGCCGCTGTATCATCATATGTACCAAAACCAATTAATTCAAGGTGGATTAACCCTGATTATTACTTTAATTAACGATAGCGAAAAATATTGATCACAATTAAATTCTGGACTAATGATTACCGATGATGAATAAACTGGGCAGAGAAAAGACTTCTCGCATAATTTCGTCAGTGATACGCTGCCACAGTTAAACTGAAGACTGAAATTAATGCAGATAAATGATGGTGCTATATTTAAAATAAAATGTCTTTATCTCTTGACAAATATATCAAGTAATTACCAACAAACAATTATTTTTACCCAAAATTTCCTCCATTAGGATATGAAAGGACAAATCTTAGGGCCAATACTTAGAAATGATAATCCACAACTATTGCTGCATGCTTTTACTTCAATAATTCAATATTGCTCTTTTTAAATTAATCAAATGACAAAGATAGAAAGACGACGAAGATTCTATGGTCCTATTGCAAATCATAATAATCATTAAAGTGACTGAGGACAATACTTCCCAATCTTTTTGCTAACCACGAGAAGACTTTCCTATACCATTATGTGTTAGAAATCATAATTTTCAACATCAACACGGATGCAGAACATTTGACTTGAAAAAAGCTGCACACTGAAAGTAAGGAAGAACTTGTGCATTAGTTTTCATGCCTTTATTTTGATTTTGTAAATAATCATATTGTTTGCTTTGACAGACAATAACTGTTTTCAAAGACTTTTAAATTCACGAACTCTCAGAATTTGATTTCCTCAGTCCTCACCATTTGCCACCTTTAACGCACGAAGTGGCACATGGGAAGCTACTTATCAGGGCCGCGCAGCAGGTGTAGCTAGGATGCTTATGCCCCTCCCCTCCCCGCCTTTTTTGCTGCGCAAATGTTGAAATACAGTTTTCATTTAAGAAATAAAAGATGTTTACTGTGTTTGCCCAGGCTTATGCAAACCGAGGAGACCTTTGAGAGGAGATCTTTGAGAGGAGACCTTTGAGGGAACTTGAGAGCAGATCAGTGCAAGCCCGAGACCGAAGGTCGAGTGTTGCTCATGCTCGAGAGTTCTCACAAACGTCTCCGAGTTTTGAATAAGTCAGTGCAAACACGAAAAACATCTTTTATTTTTTTTATAAAATAACAATAATGCATAAAAGACAGACATTTTAATTTTTCCTCTAAAATGTATTCATGATCGATTTGCAAATTCTCTTTGACTGATTGTTTTGATCGATTTGATTGGTTGAGCTCAGATGTGTTTTGCCAACATAGCTCTAGACCAATCAGCGCACGCGTTTCATTGTGTTTCTTTTATAATCCTAAACAATAAAATTTGTATCTTCTGTCCGCGTATAGACAATGGTGTAGACATAGTAAACACTGACAATAACTTTACTTTGGCCTCCTTATATTTAAGATCGATGCACTACCACTGCTCAAAATAGGTTGAAATCTTAGCAATTTCAAATTTTTTATGCTATCTCTTCGGAGAAAATCTGATGAGAAGGTCGGGTAATTGTTTTATCACAACAGGAATGAATTATGTAAATAACAATTCTGCTTTAGCCAATTAAATTCATTGTACCACGTGATGTAAGCCGTCCATGCCTTCCCTACATTCTCTTCATAAGCCTCCTCTAAAAAATTATCAGCCTCGAAGAAGGAAGAAAGAAATTCACATTGATTTTTCGTCAAAATTCAACAATATTATGAAAGTTTGAGTTAGCATAAGCAACAAAACATTTCCAGTCATTCAAATGGCAACCGATCTGCATATATCAAACTCCAACGAGCCCATACATTCGCAACTTGACACTGCGACCACAGCAATGCAAGCTGTTTCAAAGTCAACTTCTTTGGTAGAGATAACTGAAACTACACACGGTAGGTCTTAAGTATTGAAGGTACAGATCACGAACTTCTATGATCTTCGAAGACTGATTCAAATCTTCCGGTTGCACCCAGTCTTCAAAACGAAAAACATATCTTATGCTTTCCCCCAGTCCTTTGTAATAAAGAGTTTTCATTAATATCATTGCCCCAGTCCTTTCTTCAAAATGAACCACTTTGTGATAGCGATGTGGCGCCAAACTCAAGCTTTTCTATAGTTGTGCGTGCGTAGAATATATTGTGTGAATGAGCCATATAAGATATTCTATCGTTCATGTTCAATTTAATGCATTGAATGTGAAGTTGACAATATGGCGCATTCATTTATGGTCAAAAAGCACTGTGTATTTTGTACTTGCCACGCTCCCATCTGATTATTGCAAAATGCAATATTTACGAAAATATCGATACATTTTCCCTGTTAGAAAATTTTTACTTCTTTAGTGATATTTGCGTTTACATCAACAAATATTTTACATGTGCCATCGCAAAGGCTTGATTGAAACTTCACATTGACAGGATGATGAGTGATCAAATATTTTAAGGTGATATTTTTGGTTTTGGGTTTTGTTAGTAAATGGAACACAAGAAACATCAGGCAATGATGAAGAGGTTGCAACTGCATCTACTAGTGATATACAGACAGCTGAACATATGCAAGGACAACAAGAAGCTTACTTAGAACCAATTCTTGTTGCCATGGAACTTGGACAAGAAATTTTGGAAAGCAATGATAATAATGACGGTGATATGGTCAGTAACAGATTAATTTTATTTGTGCTATGTGTTCTAAAGAATAGATCAAAAGATTCCCCTCTAAATAACTTGAAGAAATCTTTTTTTTTATATTTTACAACTTGTCTATTGGTCATTTAGCATCTTCCTGATATGAATGGGTTTTCAATGAGTCTATTGCAGCACCCTTTTGTCTAGTAAGTGCAATTGTAGACTGTGTATGTGCACTTATTAGGTTGGTGAGCATGAAAATGAAGCTACAGCTGTTGAAACTAACACATCAGAAAATACCATTCCAACAGATGGTGATGGTTCTACACCTAGTATGGTTACTATAACACACGAGCAGTTGTCAAACCTTTTTGCCAACTCTAACTCTGGTAGCACTGCAGGTAATGTTATAGTGACCTCATTACCTGATGGTAATTGCCCGCAAGGCAGTTTATCAATAGCTACCATCTTACAAGATGTTGCCTCTGGTATTCAATCAGCATCGACTGGAGTAGGCTCTACGACTATACAAGCTGATAATAATGGTGGTTCCTACTATCTGGTCACCCAAGGGGGTACTATACCAATAGTCATGCAATCAGGCAGTGCAATAGTCAATAATCTGAACTTGGTCAATACAGCTTCAGGTGATACATTTGTTCTTAATCAGGATTCTTTACCAGAGGGAGTATTTTCAACCTCTGTGCAATCAGACTCTGTAGGTAAGTCAAATTTATGGGTATTCACTACCTTTTCTTGATCACAATTGAAATTTGTGATAAATTACCAACTGTGTGTTTAAAAGTATATTGTTATTACTTATTAGGATAAAAACTATTTTTATCATTTCTTAATAAACATAATTTTTAGCATTGTATTCAGTATTCTTTAACAAAAAATTTTTAGAATTAAATTCTGTTTGCTTCTGGTAGCTGGTCAACCATTGTTGTATATGATCTATTTTCTTAGATAATTCAGAGAAAGTTGTAAATACCACTGGACAAGATCTAAATGAAGCAAATGATGAATTAACCACTGCAGCTGCTGCTGTTGAAGGGCATAAAGAAGAGTTGCAAGAAGCCATAACCACTGCGCCAAGTGAGAGATTAATTAAAATAATTTTATTGTATATAGTATAATATATCCCCCAAAACATTTTAGCTTTGATACATGCTGCTGCTTATTCACATTTTTCTTTGTATTCAAGTTCCAGTGGTTAATCAATCATCTGGAAAACGTCGTCTCAGTAATGGTCCTCGTGTTTGTAATCAATGTAATAAAGCATTTAAATATCCATCAGACTTAAAGAAACATCTGCAGATACATACTGGTAAAATATATGTTTGTGGTGAAGTGACGTCATTTTCTATTTGCTCATTTCTTTGTATTCAATATCCAGACGTGAAAAAGTTCAAATGTGAAGAGTGCAATCGATTTTTTCGTCGTTATCACCAGCTTGTTGTTCATCAGCGTATTCACACAGGAGAAAAACCTTATGTTTGTAAACAGTAAGTAATTCTGGCATGCCTTTCTTTTGTAAAATCTTTTTGGGTTTGCAAGCTTTGAATTTTTCATAAGAAGTATTACGTTCCATTTATTTCGACAATCCTTATCCAGTCCTCAAAATACAATTCTTATCCTGAAGATAATATTCAATTTTTTCAAAGTTATCCAATTCCTACGAAAACAACCATTTCAAATACATATCACTCTTCCAGTCAGTAACAATGAACGCGTGATTTCACTTGTTTTGAAAAACTTGTATGTGTTAAAAATCGTTAAAAGAGTCTTATTTTATTTCTTTTCACAGTTGTGGCACGGCGTTCCGTCATGATTCAACTCTAACCATGCACATTCGAACAAGGCACGAGCACAAACGACCGTTTCGATGCGAATTTTGCGATCACACTTTTGGTCGACTTTCACATTTACGTAAACACGTGAAGAAAGTGTGCGGTCCTAACAAAAACCAAAAGCAGGCCAATACCATTACTCAATGCAAGTATTGCGAAGAGATCTTTCCAAATAAGATTGATCTTCGAAAACATACGGCTACCTGTGAAAAAAAAGAATCCAAACCAAAGGATCCCAGTCAAGTCACCTTACATGTCTGCAATATATGCAACAAAGATTTTGCTAGTCCTTATAACGTCCGACGACATCAGATAACGCATAGTGACGAAAGGCCTTACATTTGTGAATTCTGCAGAAAATGTTTCAAAGAAAAATCTTCGTTGACTAAACACATGAAACGTGTTCACAAGTGTAAAACAGATGATTCTACCCCTTGTGAATTGATGGTGAGCATTACTAGTGATGATCAGCAGTTTGAAGTCGTGTCTGTGCCAGCAAATGATGAAAACATCTTAGCCAGTGCTAATGCTGTAGACACCAGTAATGAAAACGTCAATAGAGAAAGCACAGTTGATCATTCGGCACTAGTTCATGTTGCCACAAGTGTAATGGTTGAAGAACTGTTGCATAGTGACCAAAACATGGCAAGTGATCCTACAGCAACCTCCCAGACATCTTCACAAACTCCTGTGTACATGGCTGAGACATGTAAGGAGGATGCCCATCAACTTGTGGCCGAAGATAATGTTGCGTGTCTAACCGATTCTGACATTAATCCTGGTGATGGTTTATTACAAGACTCAACAAATGATTCAACCGAGGAGACTGCCATGGCTGTAGACGATAATCATACCACTGGATATAATGAACATCACCAACTTTCAAAGTTAGATTCCACTTCTGTTCATTTACAGCCCATTGAGTTAAACAACGATGATGACAATTCTTGCGTTATTCCATCTGTTGTTGCTTGTGATGAGCAGCGTAAAGATTAAATATCTTTAACTGAACTAAACTTCATACTACTTTCAACCATGTCGGCAACTGGTTTTCTCGTGTTTTCTATGAGATGTATAATTAAGCATTTGTCCTGTGAACTAATGTTAAATGTAGCTAGTATCAAAAAGTTGACTATCACAGCTTTTTTAAAACATCTAAATGTCAAAGACACGACAAGATATTCGGGTTTAATGAACGAGTGTGGCTCACGTTGGTTTGTTTAGTTTAAAGCTATTTTCTGTTGTGAAAAAAAGAACCACTTTAGCTTGGTAAAACGTATTTTGGTCAAATTATATCAATTGTATGATTTTTGTTGAGCAAATTTGAAAATGTCTTCATTCCGCTATCGGAATGAACGTGATGTTATTGTGTACAAAATATTGAAAGGAGAATAGCGGTTACTGCCCTGATATTGTGTATGAAATACTAAATACATGATTCTTTCAAAGAAAATTTGAAGTTATTAAGACATTGCTACTGAAACTTTCCTTTCTTTTCCATGTTTAGTGACAGTGCTCGTTGACTACTCAAATTCAAACAGATTGCTCCAGACGGTTGTTGTTATTCGCTATTTCAAATGTTAAACATTTTTGAATTCACCGATTCTACTTTCCTCGAGCAGAAAAGCTCGTTATCGACAAGCATACGAATGCACCTTAACTAACTTACTATTGTTTGTTGATGTTATAACTAAGAGATGAGTTTTATTTGACGTATGCACGTATTTACTTATAAATATGCCTAATTTAAAAAATAAAAAAACGTCTTCCTGTAGCTATCTTGGCTTGACTTAAGAAAAACGAAATATAATGCGTAAGCATAACTATGTGTCACATGGTCTATAATGGCCTTATCATTGTGTTTACTGTCATTTGATTGGCTCATGAGCAGATGTGCTGTCTTTGTGTCACCTCCAAGGCACAAGAGACAATTTGCTATTAATGGTGGACGGCATCGTTTTTAAATATCTGTATATTTGACCGCTGAAAATATGTTTTATGTTGCGGAATATCTGTTTCAGTTTTACTTGTCATTTTATCTTGACTAGTTGCTAGTTACACCGAAGGGTTTAGCACATCGCAGCCTGAACGGAAACTGAAACTGAGCGAGCTTTGAAGAAATACATAAACAATTTTTTTGCGTACACTTAATACATATTTCGACCTCCTGAAGAAAATGCCTGTCCGCTCTGTTCACGTTGAATCTGCCGATGAGAAAGATATTGTTGAACAGGTTTGTGTTGTTTTTTAATGTCGTTCCGAAAAGTGAAAACGTCAAATTTCACACGGAATTCATATATGTCATTGAAACAAGGCAAAGTAGCGATACCATATACAAATTTAAAGAATATTTTTAAACACTAGTTCTCCAAATTTACCGTTATTATTCATATCTTCTTAATCGTTGTGCTATAGCCTTGAACGATTTACAATAGATTTTTAAATTCTACCTCTGGCCCTCGTCGTATTTTATTCTATCACGCATTTTCTCCTTTATTGACATGTTTTAGAAAAGACCTATGGTAAAGATATAAGGAAAATGTCAACCGGATAATTTATTGTTTTCCCGTAAAGCATCGTTTTAAACTATAATTTTCAAGTTGATAAAACGGAAGTACGTTGATTGTTCGCCATTTTAATGTTTTCATATATAAGCGTGCAATTTTTTAAAACTTTTGTCTTCAATGAGTTTTTGATGTAAATATGCTCTTGTAAAAGTTAATAGTAACGAAAGGCTTCAATTTTATGTTGAAATCGTTTTGTAAAAGTTTATGAGTAACTACACTCATATTTCAGTTCAACAATAGTATCGACGGGCGGCCATTGAAAACCTCCCCTATATATGGACAATGTATATATATATATATATGTTGGTGTCAAAGGTACCCATATTTTGCTATCGCCCCCAAACCGCTTTAAGCCCTCTTCCGTCCGTTTAGGAACGTTTAACACATTTTGTAGATCATCTGTTTTATGAACTGTTTTCTTACGTAAATATTCAAAATATGCTTGTTTTTTTTTGTCACTTATGCCATTTGATAAAATCCAGCTTTTAAAACACTTCTTGTGGCGGGACATATGGAACAGACGATTTGATCACCAAAATACTCAATGTCTAAACAAAGTTTATAATGTGGACTATTAGAATTGAGAATGATGTTACATTTATTGTATAATGTATGGTTGACAGTCCATCATCTAAACTACCAAAAAAAAACAATTTTCATCAAATTTTCCTTTCCAACAAAACTAGAGTCAATTGTACTGCTTTAATATGTCGCTCCCTTATCATCTTCATATATAAAGGAAAAAGAGTTGTTGGGAAATGAAATGGTTTACTCCTGGGGTTTTTTGTGATTCCCAGCACATGCACCTGTTAAATTATTAACAAACTAGAAGTCGCCATTTTTTGTAATTGTTTATGATGCAGTTTTAATAATTCATAAATCTGTTGGTGAATGAAGGCCTTGGATTATATTTCGTTGAACAAAAACAGTGAAAAGTGAAATTCCTGTCCCCCAATGAGAATCTTAAAATTTTAGCAATGGATGATACAGTTAACAAAGAGTATTTTAACAAATTTCTTGTTAAAATTAAAAATAAGTTTTCTACATCTTTCAAGTATTTTTTTGTGATGAAAAACATGTATAACATTTACCCAAACATAATCTGAGGAAAATAGGAAATACAACATGAGAAAATCATTCATGTATATTCATCACAGACATTCTTAGTAAAATATGTGAAAAATGTGAGAATGTGTGAAAGCATGTAAAAATATGTGTGATAATAATGTTAATTGCATGCAACGTTTTTTTATGATAAGCTCTTTAAGAGTCTGTTATAGAAAATAATCTACCTGTTTTTGTTTTGTAGTCATAGGTCTATTAAACCTTGCATTGTATTCATAATTATCAAAGTATAATAAAAAGCCCACCTGGTCTCCGATTTTTTAATTAAGTCTTCAATTTATATCTTGATATTTTGTAATCCATGTTTGTACCAATATCAATATATTTTCATGGTTACACCACTGAATTTGATAGACATTATGTTTAAGATGAGCTATAATATCTTAAATATATTTTTTCATTGATAAGTATTTATTCTTTACCTTGAGAGATGACAAACTGTATCAAAGCAGATCTTCGGGCACATACTTGTGTTTCACCAATCAAACATAAATTAAATGTGAAAGAGATGTATTATTTCGTGTATTTTAAATAACTTGCTAATTAATGTTATGTCAAAGTTCACAGATTTGTACTTATGGTACTTGTTGAAATGTTGTAGAAAACGTCAATTTTTCGTGGTCACTCGCATGACAGCACATTCGCCTTTGTATTTTTTTTATGAAGTTACCCTTCAGTAGCACAATAAAACCCTGTACTTACGAATAGTAAATGTTACTTGCGTGATGGAAGAACCCCTCATTATCCAAAACATCAAAGTTTTGAATGGATGATGCTTCATAATGTCAAAGTTTTTAATCTTATCGTTGTCATGTTTTATAAAGGCAAGTGAAGAAGAGGAGTTCTTACCTGCAAGAAACAATGACGAGAAACCACCAGAAGAATTAACTGTACCTTCAGATTCAGCTAGTACTGCCAGTGAAAGTGATAGAATGCATGTCACCAGTTTTCATGAATCAAATAGCTGTCTAACAGACATTAAGCGAAGTGTTTCTTGTATATCGAGCGTATCATCCAATGGAGCGTTTTGTAGAATTTGTCATTGTGAACGAACAGAAAGTAATGATAGTACATTGATCAGACCTTGTCTGTGTTCTGGTACACTGATGTTTGTGCACCAGAGTTGCCTCCAAAAGTGGATTAAAAGTTCTGATATCAAAAAGTGTGAATTATGTCAGTATCGGTTTGTCATGGAGGCTAAAGTTAAACCATTCCGAAAGGTAAATAAAACGTCTTCAACCAAAGCTCATAAATGATTTCAAATTTTTTTAATAGACTATTTTTGACGTAGTATGACAAAAAATTTCACGTTTGACTCTGCGAAAGAGTTCGTTTAAAGATAAGCTTCCCAACTTTCCTTCATGTGGGAAAGCATACGTCCTTTCCTGTGTGACGTTTTCCAAAATTTGTTTTTAACTCTTATTAAATTATCTCTTTTTTTTTTAATCAGTGGCAGTCATTGAAAATGACTCACAGCGAACGAAGAAAGATTCTTTGCTCTGTGTCATTTCATGTTATTGCTATCACGTGCGTTGTTTGGTCTCTGTGGGTTTTAATTGATCGCACTGCTCAAGAAATTCGAAAAGGACATCTTGGTTGGCCATTTTGGACTAAGTTGGTTGTAGTTGCCATAGGCTTTACTGGTGGACTTGTTTTTATGTACGTTCAATGTAAAGTTTACGTACAGCTATGGAAACGACTACGAGCTTTCAACCGTATTATACTTGTGAAGAATGTCACCGAAGAAGAAGACGTAAAGGAGTATGTATAATAACGATTGCACATAAAAATCAAGAACTGCACAATGGTTGTATAACATTATCATAAATAAAATGCAAATAAAGTTAACACCAATACAGTTAACGCGATAAGTTAAGTTTAAACGTTAAGTCATAAAGTGCTTTGCTGTTTTAGTTTATATAATAACGTAGTTTTCTTGAATCGATCATTTGTTTGGCCACGAAATATAAAACATGCATGGTTACCTACATATCAAGTATAAAAACTTTGCAACTATGTTCAGTTTGGCTTTTGTGTTATGGAAAATTTATAGAAGAAAAGGTCTTTTGATAAACATTGTGGTGTCTATAACTAGCAGCTCATAATCTTAATTACTTGTTTAAAAGCAACACATAATTCTTTGGTGGATTTTTTTGCATTAAACTGTTATTATTATTTACTTTGTAAAGTTGTGATGAACCATTGAAATATATAACTTTTGAGTAAAATAAGTTCAACTAGATTTGATTTTCATCAAATTATGAGAGTTTTTTGTGTTGTACTATCCTTGTATTAAATTTCCTGCCCTCTACAATCTGTTTTTAAATTGTATAAAAAAGAGCATTGATAAGATTTGTAGTATTTGTTTTTTTGACCAAAGCCATGTGTTAGCTGATTACTCAGGTGGACATTTTAATAGATATATATCCTGTTTTATATTGCTTTTAGTTTCTATACATAATTGGAAAAAATACATAGAAGTTTCATTCTCCAAAGAAAGAGCTTTCCCATCTCTATAAAATGTACATGATTGACATATTCTCTGTATTATTATTATTTCGTTTCAATCATCTTACGCAATCCGCTGCTATAGCGGAGATGCAACCAAAGATCACGAAGATAAATACTATAAGTGAAAACCAGTGGCGTAGCTATGGGGGGGGGGGCAAGGGAGAAGCGCCCCCCTGCTCAATTAGCAAAACTATTAAAACGCACACTAAAACATACTTTAAATATTGGAATTCGAGTAAATATATTTTTAGAAAATAAGGGATATCTTTGTTTTTTAATTTTCCTTGTTTTAATATTTGAGTTCAAGGCTAAAAGCGTGGACAAAGAACGTTGAAAAGACGACATCTACGATATTAAAATGACGACTTTCATGAAGTGACAACTTTTTGAAATGACGAGACAAATTATACATATGAAGACTACTGGAGTGTTTTAGGCAATAAAACACGGTCTCCGCATCAGAATAAGCGAAATAACACAAAGCCTTTACACAGCTAACGCCTCTAAACAACGAACACTTATCTTTGTCGAAAGCTGTCAGAAATCAATGAAAAGCTCCACTGTATTTAATGTTTCAGTTTTATAAATATCAATGTTTATCAACCTATTTATCGCACTTACAACAAGAATTTGCTTAACTTATTATTCATACTTCATACTTTAGTACAATACGCTCACGACAATTAAAATCTATCCTCGTTGGTGATTAGAACATGCTTAGTTCATCACTGGTATTGTAGATAACATGGTCTTTTTTAGTAGCTACTGTACTGTGTATAGGCTACTTTAAAACACTAAATGAAACAACCTAACCTACTGGCAATAGACAAGCATGGTTTCCGAATATTCTCCTTATCATAGCCACTGCAACCATGCACAAAAAACTTCATTTTTCTAATAGATCTTTTGGAAGGCGATATGGTTTCCGACTAAATAGTCGAGGAACTGTTTGCAAATCAAACAGAACAGAAAAAAAGTGCTGTGACCATAAGTGTTCGGTTATGGTCTAACGCAATTGTTCCTTATAAAATAAGCAATTAACTATGTAAGATAGTAAACATTTCGTCCAAGTCACGTGTTTTTCATGTGCATATAAAAAACCGTGTTAAGATTTATAATATGCATTATACAGTCATTATAATTCATTTTCTTAAGCATTTGAACTAAACGACAAACTTTTTTATCATAAACATGTTTCGACTTACATCAAGTCATTTTCAATATGAGAATGAAGTAAACTTTTCCGATTCAAAGGAATTCTTTTGATCGCGAAGCATAGAGACAGCTGTCCAATTTATTACGTATATAAAACATTTCCAAATCATATACAAAAACAGGCGTCGTCATTTCTTCTCTGTCACGCTTGAATTTGTTTCACTGTTGTAAATTTCATTTTTCAAGTATTTCGTCTACCTCAATTAACGAATTAGAACATCTGTCATAAATGTCAGAGCATTGTTTATGCACAAAATATGCAGATACAAAGTTATGAATAAAAAGAGAAACATCTCTAACATTGTCACAGATATTACGAGTGGCGTAACAAAGTGTTGACGACTTTAATATGCATTTGTCAAAACAAGTTTAAGAAGACAAAAAGCGTGTCAAAAATATATGATTGAAAATTTGCTTACCGCATATACAAGCATCAATTTCGGAGTTCGCTCCGTCACAAATTAATTGAGAATTAATCTGAGCATGCGTAGTCAACTCCACCAATTCTCCAAGTTCATGGTCACGGCAACGACCAATTGTATGTACTACTACCGAGTATGGAGTAATTAGCTAACTCTGTCACAAATTTTCAGATAAAGCATCTGCGCATGAGCAGTCTGTTGACTGACGTTTCGACAACCTTAGCGGTAGTCACCTTCAGAGTCCAAGTTATTTACAATGCTGAGTTTATAATAAGATACATGATACGTGTTAATTAATAAAAGTAAGAGGATAAGGTGTGCTGAAATATTAGTGATAATTACATGGCAAGTATTATATGAGTGTGATAGAGATAAGTTAGAATATTTACAATTGGAAAATGGTGTTAAAGTGTTGAAGTTGTATGTTGAGATCAGGTTTTTGTTTGCGTATGTGTAAGGCTTCTTGCTTTCTTCTAACTTATAACTACCACACTCATATTATACTTGTCATGTAAATATCACTAATATTTCATCACACCTTATCCTCTTACGTACTTTTATTAATTAACACGTATCATGTATCTTATGCAAGAATGTTATATGACTTAATGTAAGTGGAAACATGTTTATGATAAAATTTTTTGTCGTTTATTTCAAATGCTGAATCAAATCTCGTGCTTTTGAGATCATATGGAAATTCATTTTTTATTCAGAAACATTCAGTTTCTACGTGTAAACGTTATATAGGATATAAGTTTTGCTGTAGCTGGTCTTACGTATTGCTCAAAATTTTTCGGACGCTCTGAATCACTCTTTCTAAATGGAGATGAGGATTTCTCTAAAATTTTATTGTGTACTTTCTTACTGCGATCAATTGGACATCGTGTCTTTCCTTTTGTTCATATATGTCCATCAGTTTGTCGATATCAATTTTTAAGTAATCTTCGTCGAATTCTATTTTCTTTTTGTCACTTTTCAAAGATCATTCGATCTTATCTTGTATTTGAATTTATGTACTTTGGTACACTGTTTTCTTGATAAGACACCTTTACCTTTCACTTCAGCTACACTTATCAGACCAACATATAAATTGTCTTCACTTTTTCCTTTACGATTACTATTTGTGCTTCTTTTTAATACACCTTTTTTGCAAAGCTTAGAATTATGCTTTGTCACAATAATTCCATGGTTTCCATCTACATTTTGGAGCTGCCTCTGACTTTGATTGGTTATTCCTTGTTTGAAAAAAAATGAATCGATTGAGGATTGGGCAGCTGAAAACCTCAAATAGATAGAAAGGCGTTCATCTTTAACATTTCTGTGGAATTGATTTTGCTGTATCTTCCAAATTGTCGTCGAACATGCCACATCTCATCTGCAACTTTCAGAGAAGAAACGCTTTTCTGAGATCTTACATTATTGATAACATTTTAAGAAAAACTAAGTACCACAGTTATTTCCTGATGTTTTTGGATTGTTTAGAAATATCAAAGACGTGTTTTTTAAAGGAGGACAAAAAAAATTTTTCACATATTCTCTTGTTTTCCTGCTTTTTCCTTTTTGATGACTTGATGAAAATCAGATTTTAATTTCAACGCATTTTAGAAGCATTAATTTGGTATTCTTGCAAACGTCCATTGGTTTCAATGCTCGATTTTCTTAAATTTTTTCTTGTATATTTAAGTAGACAGTTCAGTGAACAGTTTCATTTCTATAATTCATCCCATTTGACAATTGTACGTATGAAACTTTTTTTCCCATTACTTCTTCATTTCATTTATCAAAGGTAATGAAATTGAAAAGTCTCTGTCTGTCATGAGCTTTCCAAGTATCTGCAGTTTTGAAAATCATTTCTCATGAATTGCTAGCTCTTGCTGTAGAAAACTTTTCGAAGAACGTTTGTTTTTAGGATTTAATTGTTTCAAGGTGACGATCTTTAAATCAATGCAAGCATTTTTTTTATCAATAAATATTTCTGTGCACATGATAAGGTTTGAGATAAAAACATTCATTCATCGGAAGTATGATGTCGCCATGATGTAAATAATCCATACTATTCTATGTTTGGACAGCTAAAAATTCCACGAAGAAAAAAAATATTTCAAAATTTTATTCCGTAAACGATACCTTACGTAGACCTTTCAATAAGACCTGTGTTTGCAATGTTATGTTCGTTCTTTTAGTAATATTTATTTTTGTAAAACAAACCTCTCAAAATGAGCTGAAATTAAGTTCAGCAAAATTCTTTCTACATGAACGATACTTTGTCAAAACTGTCAGCAAATAACTGTCGATGTCAGTTTTGTCAGAAATTTATCCAACTCATTTATATATAATTCTTTAAATACACAAAATTTATCCCAGATATGACGCCGACTTTGACTGTTTTTTTCGTAAAACAAATTCCTTTCTCGATGGAAATGCAGGAATATGAAATCTAAATGGTTCTTTTTCTGGGTATTTACTTAAGCATTTCTCTACTTTGTTATGTCTGTTCTTTATGCAATTAATCTTCTGACATATTACCAACAAACTTTCTCCTTGTTCTTGTTTTTTGCGCCCCTTCTGGGGAATAGAAGCTTTATTAGACAGAACTACTTCACCAGTTGTCTTTTTGCCAAAACTAAACGGTTGTGTTCCATAAGAATACATCTTTGTTTGATATACTATTTTTTTCTTTGCAGAAATTTCATCTAAACTGTACTTTCCGCATGCAAAATTGATCCACGATAAACGCTGTATAGATTTTTTGTTTTCTTTAGTAACATTCAATTTTGGTAACATTTTTCTTTTTCAGATTTTTTCTTTCGTGATCCTTGTGTATGTAGACAACACCAGTACAACGTACAATTTTCAGTAAATGAACGATCGTCAGGCGCTGTTTTATTTAAATTAAGTGGAATCGTACAAATAATGCTTTTAAATTTCAATCATTTTGAAATATAGATCATTTGACTTTTCGTTTGTACATTGTTGTGCTCTTTTTAATACCTGATCAAACTTAATGCAGGAACATAATCTTCCATTAAAATGACAAATGACTTCACACATGATGCCACTAAGTCTTTAACGTGAATTCTTTAATACAGAAATACTTCAAAGCTCAAATCAAAGTCACACACATTTACAGTGATTTACATCAATAGATTTATTTACAATTGTTTTTATTTTACTTTAACAGGAAAGTTATTATTTTTCATCATGGCGAAACAGTCTTCACTTTCTCGTTTAAAAGCTGTCAATTGTTTTTTTTTAACTTCTTTATTTCCAAAGATTTGATTTTACATTGCATGTGATAATCATTTTCTTATCCATTTAAAGTTAATTAAAGTATAAAAACTAATTTTGTTTACAGCTGCTATTCATATGTGGAAAGGCAATATTATCGTCAAGTTATATCACTTGGTGTTGGATGTGAATCAGTTTGCACAGCTTTGCACGAAATTATTCATACTCTTGGTTTTTTCCATACATGCTCAAGAACTGATAGAGATTCATACGTAATTATTTATGACATAAATATTCAAAAAATTAATTGTATTTCACTATGAGTGTAGAAAGATCGATAATTAGGGGCGCTCATAGTTATAAATACATGAAGATGCAGTATTAAGCTTCTTTGAAATTTATTGTTCTTAAAGGCTTATACCATGCATATATATAAATATGAGCCACTCTAATTATCGATCTTCACACGCACAAGTATTTCACTCTAAATCATTTGATGATAATTTGATGTACAGTCAATGTCTAACTGTTGCCTTTCATAAATGTCGATAATGTAATCTTATAGGCATGGTTCACAATTTTCATAAATATTCGCATGGAAAAATTGACCATCTGAACTCTCCTTATGACATAACGTCAATTATGCATCTTCCTTAAAATACGTTAGCAAAGAACGATAAGTTAAACACAATTCAAGCAACAGCTGGCTCGCATATCAAACTTCGAAAAACTAGACATTTATCTCAGGTCGATAAATATCAAATAAATGCTCTTTATAAATGTGCTGTAACTGGTACAAGATGTTTTACTGCATTGGGTCTACCAAATGGTGTGATAGCCGACAGTGTTATAAAAGCAAGCATTTATTATTCAACTCTTTATAAGCCTAGTGCAGCTAGACTTCATAGAGTACTTTTGCAGTTTGACATGGCTGCTAATGCATGGCTTTAGGTAAGTTCTATCAAATATTTTTTAATAACTACGAATAATAATTCAAAACGTTGGTTGCAACATGAAAAAGAATAACAATTTTCAGTTTTTTTTGTATGTGTTACTATGAACTGTTGCCAATGTTTCAAAAATATTTTTGTTTATGTAGGGTCATTCAAAACCTTGTTTATTGACAAGTATAATACAGGGAATAAATAAAGTCATCGATAAATGCTTTAAATAAGGAGTACGTTTACAATTTATATTGATCTTGGTCAACTAGTAAAACTAAGTATTGAACTAGTAAGAATAACTGGAATTGCTACACAAGGATATGTACGAATGTTGTATGATGAATATACTCAAGCATATACTTTGAAAGATAAGACATCTTACTATTGTAAGTGGTATCATTACATATCAACATGTGAAGTATATGGAAGCACTAAGGTATATATGAAATATAACTTAAGCACGAAAATACATTTCGTACGCAGAAGAATTTTGGCAAATTATTTTGGCAACAAAATGAAATTAAGCGTAAATCTACGATTTACAATTTAGAGTTTACCAGGAAACTGGGATGGATGGTCAGTACAGCATAATGCACTGGTCCATCGTTTTACGCAAGATATGAACGACTATATCCAAAAACATGGATTAAGAAACCTTGTTTTTGTGTGGCGCTCTGTGGTTGTAAAGGTGAGTAAATAAAGGATGAATGAATACAAAGATTAACTTTTCCCTAAAGATTAGGATTTTTGGACTCAAAACACATTTCTACGTTTAATAGCGTTTTTTTTAATAACCATAAAAGCAGGCTTGAGCCAAGACGGTAATGAGGGGTGGGGGACATATTTATATATTCATTTTATAATCCGTAAAAAGACACTCGATTTCAAAAGAAACTAATACGGCATGTCATCATGCATATGTGAATATGCCCCTCCCCCAAATTATCGTTCTGGTAACGGTTCACATTTCATTGTAATTTTAGCATAAAATTGTATTTTTCTCTTTTTACTGAAAAGAGTATAATAAATTTAATCATGCAGTCAGACGCAGTTCACTCAGCCTTCGAATAAGAATACAGTTAGTACTACCTTTAGTTAAAGTCACAACTGTTTTATACAACTTCCTTTTGTATCTGATGCATAGATTTTGATATTCAACCAACTTTGTTAAGCATTGTTGCATGTGTGGTCCACAAAACAAAAGTTCTAAAATACTCGTTTATGCTGTTAATTAAGTTAGTACGAACATCGCTCGATTGAATGTCAAGAATAGTTGTCTCTGATTTCACAATCATTAAATTTCGAGATGAAAACCTACCTTTATGTAGAATGATGCGATAAACGATATCCATAAATTCATATAAATCTTTTCTTGATCTTTTGCATCATATGTGTAATTATGACAGAATTTTTGTGCTTGTCTGTGGTGACGAGGCAGTCCGTATACTGGTGTACAATTTCGTTTTGAAATAGTGAAATTTCACGTTATACGTAGTGTGAACCGTCAAAACTTGCACATAGCCTCTCCTGAATTCTTATATAATCACCATTCGATGACAGCAACTATCGTTATTTCAGTTTCTCTCGATGCTTGCTTAGTCGTCGTCAGTCATCATATAAATTTTAATGTTTGAAACGAGAACGCTTCAAAGTTTAAGCACTTAGGACGTAGTATAGAGTAATTGACGTAGTTAAATCCCAAGGGTCTCGTTTATCAATGCAAAATAATGAATTGAAGTGTTGTCTGCAGGGCGTATAAAAAAGAACATCCTTCTGATACCTTCTATTGTTTTAATGCATTCGGCGCATGTAAAATGCTAGGTTTGAAACGGGCTTTACTCATTAGTCTCAATCAAACGAGTAATTCGTAATGAAGTGATTTTTGCAACGATAACTTCGAGCCTAAGAACATGGACGCACCATCGATCTAATAAATTACGATATTCAGCAAGTCTGAAACAAGCATCTTAACGTGCACCTCCACAAAGCTTTTTTAATTCTACTGCAAACATTAATATAAATTGTATTCAATATGATGTCTCTTCATTTTTTCAGGCTTCTAATTTCATTTGGATCAGCTTACCAAAATGGCTGCCACATTGTGACTTTTAGGCTGTGATTGTTTCTTATTCTTCTCTTTTCTAGTCTGACATGATGATCTCCTGTTTTCTAACTCAAACTGATGAAATACAATCACAAAATTACGTAGAAAAAACCTTTATCGAAACGTTGATAACGATAATGCACACCTAATTATATATAGTCAGTTTGTCCCATTGTCCTTTCAGGGATTTTACGGAACAACCACTGGGAACAATAAACACTTTATGAAGATACGAAGAATTATGACAAATAAAATCTTAGACTGCACCCACCGTATGCATTTCTTGTCATATTTGTGCGAACCTACATCTGCCTACGACTCGTTAGCGTAGATTCTACTTGGCAATCGTACCTGTCAAAGTTAAATTTAGCTGATTTTTAATAAAAAATTTTCCCATGAGCTGGTGTACTGTTGAAGGCACAAAATCTTCAAAAGTATTTGTTATATTTTATAGTTTTTACAATTTCACATCACTTATTCTAAACCTTAGTTTCAGACATATTGGGACAGTCACACAAAAAAAGTCAAATCTGAAATACACACATTGTTTTTTATTGGCAACAAGAAAATAATTATTTAACAATTATGAAACCAAAGAAAGTGCAAACTGAAGGCTGGAGTGATACATATAGTATAAGAGATTGACTTAAAGTTTCTAACCAATATCAGATCGGGCATAAATAAATAACGTCTAACTGTTTGACTGGTATTGACACAAAGCGAATGCATAACACAGTTTTCTTTTGAAGACAACTTATTGCAACATATTTCATTCTTTTTCATTCGACGGACCAAAGTTTCCTCTCTCAAAGAATCAAGTAAAACAACATTCGAAACATTGGGAATGGTCTTATTGCCCATAATGTGCGCTCTAACTAAAGGTTATTATTGTTTACAAACAATACAATATCCTCAAAAGACCACTGTATATGATTGCTGTCATCACCAATACATTCCACCAATCAGTTTTCATATCACTGTAGACTCGGATAAAAGAAATCGTTAAATAATCATTCAGGAAGTGCAAATTATTAAACACTGCCAAAATATCAGTGTGGAAAATAGAACACAATCATAATGGTTCTTAAAGCAATAAAGATATATTAAAAAAAAAAGAGAGAGAGAAGTTTTAGTAATAGGTCTCTTGGTCTAGCCAACCTAAAACAAAAAACAGGAGATGAGAAAGGAATAAGATTGAAATTTAAAAAGAAACTTCACTTACAGCCTTTATATCTACGGAGAATGGTCTTCCTACATTCGTCGTAGACGAAAATAAGAATACTAAATGGAATAGCAAGAAGCCACCATGTAAACCTAAATAAAAACAAAATATATACAGAGCCATTTTTTAAAGATTCAAACGAAGGTTTATGATGTCATTTGGAAAAAAAGACGCGCAAATGAGGTAAAAACTATTTCGAAATCGAACAAACTCAATGAAACAAATGTTACGTACCGTAAAGGATACATGCGAAGGCCATTCTCCATACCAGGGGTATATGATAGAAGAGCTGCAAGAGCAGTCTCAAAAAAGAGGCCAAATGTCAGCATGTGGTTCCTAAAAATGGAATACGCAAAGATTAATTTATGAAAATACTGTGATTGTGTTTATTATTTTAGTATGCAAGGCTAACATACTTCATGCCTTGTTGGAACAAGGATAAACGTCTCGTTTTACAGATGATCAAATCTGCCCACTGCACAACAACAATACTGACAAAAAATGCAGTGTGGCAAGTGAATTCCAGTTCTTTGCGTTGCCTATAACCCTAAGGAGAGCAAAACAAAAAATATTTATGCTGAAATATGAAATGAGAAGTGTAGTTTTTATTGAAAAGTTTGTCCTTACCCATTGTTGACCGTAACTATCTGTGACAAACACATTATCTTTATCATCCCAATCACTTCGTAAACCAAATAAACGAAGAGGTAAAAAGCCATTTTCTGCCATGATAACGAAATATGAAAAGAAACCAGCACAAGCCTATAAAAATATGTGTATAATAACATCACAATTTCTAATTCGCAGCAAATACGTGAAATACGCACATATTGGGAGTATTTTTATAACAAACGTATACGATTGTACGAAAAAAATGGTTTCCATACCTGGATCATTCCAATTTGACCATAAGCCATGGCAATTAAACTATAAAGTAAATACGTGAGGTAATTTATTAAGTTCTTGACGACGTGTATCTAGGAGTATGAATATATATTATAGTCTACCGTTGGTTCACAAGTCTGTCATATTGTGGATTACGAGGCAATCGTTTCATAATGTCATTTTCCGCTTTTTCATAAGCAAGAGAGATGGCTGGAACCTTGATAAACAAAAAATAGTCAGAAGACGTGATTATTTATAATTAACATAAAATCGATTGTAGGAATTCATAAATTAACATAAATATGTTAGTGTTTCAATACATACGACAAAAAAACGCTACGCTGATGCTTCAATCATTTCAAAAATCCTAGAATTCACAATGCTGTGATGTAATGTATAATAATCCTAAACTTTAATGACGAGATATGATTTTTTAAATGTATATTAACCCTTTTTGACAAAGCAGTGCATTATGGGTAATAATGATCAAGTTTGATGGCGAGATAAGAAAATTAATTTTATTATAATTATTATACAATAAAATTTTTAAAATTTAATATTGCGATTCTTTGAGCCAAGAGCTGATGCTGATCATATTATTCCCATGTATGAGATCAACAAACGTAATCCGGATTACACTTGATGCATTGTTAAGTTGAAACGGTCAAAATATTTGTCTCATTGTAGAGTAAGATTTAAATTACCATGTCAGTTCCCAGATCGATACAAAGAATAGTAACAACACCAAGAGGTAATGGAACATTGAATAGTATATAGAACAAGAAAGGCGAGATCTCCGGAATATTACTGGTCAATGTATACGCAATGGATTTCTTCAAGTTATCAAAAATCAATCGACCTAGAAAGTAAAACAAATTCGGTTTTGAAAAATAAAAAAATCGTTGCCATTAATACACTGATAAAGCTACTTTATGCACTGATGTCTTCTTTTGGCATATTTGAGAAATGAGAACGATGCTAACCATATCGTCAGGTCGTGTTTCTGAAGCCTCAGTTGGCTTTATGTAATAGTAAAGAGAATTTGATTATTATTTCACCTTCTTCAACGCCAGTAACAATTGATGCAAAGTTATCATCAAGAAGAATCATATCTGCTGCTTGCTTTGAGACATCAGACCCAGCAATACCCATTGCAACACCTGTATAGAAGACAAGAAATTAGCACTAGTAAAGTATATAGAAATTGAAAAAAATTATTGAAAAATTAAAAGAATTCCATACAAGAGTATTAAACATGTCTGAATATAGTATTATTTACAGTAATACTAATTAAATTTGATGGCCGCATGTTATATACCAATATCAGCTTTCTTTAAAGCGGGAGAATCATTTACACCATCACCAGTCACAGCGACAATTTGACCCTGACGTTGGAAAGCTTCAACGATAACCAGTTTTTGCTGTGGTGAAGTTCTTGCAAACACAACTTCGGGATGAGACGTAATCAGTTTATCAATATCGTCAGAGTCCATATCCTATAAAAAATGAAATAAGCAAAGCTAAGGAGAATGCACAATTTATTCAATTAAAATTTTATGACTTTGGAAGTTTGAAAATTTTCCAATATTAGCAACTTTTTCTATTTAAGAAAAACATAGACGTATTACCTTGAGTTGAGAACCATGAACCACAGCAGCAGCAGCTGAACCTTCAGGAACATCATCCACAGGAATATTCATACGCGCAGCAATATCTTCAGAAGTCTCCGATTCTACAACATTATCAAGGACATTAATGAATAATATTTAAAGTTAAGATGCATTTACTCAACTATTATACATATTCATTAAGGAGTACCCGATAAACTTTTATTCAACAATTATCTCTTTATATAATCGACAAAAAACTGTTACAGGTCTTTCCTATACTTGTGTCAACCTTACCGGAAGAGATAATGCCAACTTGCTTGGCAATAGCTTTAGCTGTGATTGGGTGATCACCAGTAACCATGACAACGTTGATTCCAGCACTACGACATTTGCTCACGGCATCAGGAACGGCAGCTCGAGGAGGGTCAATCATAGACATTAATCCAACAAAACAAAGATCAGTCAATGGGAAATTAGGATCCTATATCGATGCATATAAATAAAATAATCAAACATAATGTTATGGACAAACAATGATACAATCATGAATCATCTGTAATGCACATATTCCAAAATTTGTTTCAGTAAGTAAAAAAACAATGGTTGTGTTTACATTGTTAAACGGGAAAATTTTGGAAAAATAACATCCATATTCCATAACAGATATGTCCAAACTGTGCTCACGTCATTTGAAAAATACAGTTTTGTTTACATTTACAATCTTTCATTTCCACATTAAGCAGTTTTAACATTCAAGAACTAAAATAATAAGGTGGCTCGCTTATATTCTTAGAAGTACAATCTAAAACGAAGGTGTAAATAAACGTACATCTTCAGCGACAAACTGGAAACCCTTGGGAAATTTGTCTTCAGGTAAGAAATAATGACAGAAACCCAAAACGCGTTCACCACGACCACCAAGATCCATGTAAGCTTCTTGAAATGAATTCTTCAAATCGTCAGATAATGGTATCTCTTTGTCATCGATGGTTATAGTTGAACAGCGATCAAGAATTCTTTCAGGAGCACCTTTCATCACCAATAAATATCTTGGATCATCCGTAATTTCATGAACAGATACTTGATATTTGTTTGATGAATTGAAGGGAATTTCAGCAAGTTTTGGGTTCGCTTTACGCATTTCTTCAACACTACCTATTGACAATTCAATGCACTTAAGCAACGCTGATTCCGACGCATCACCAGTGGTTTCCCTATGAAAAGTACAGTTGAACTGAGGTTTCTTATTGTTAGCATGAAATTACAGCATAGATATAGAGCAAAAAACGTCAGCTTTATAAAAGATTATATTTATACCAAATACATCTTCAAATTTTTACCTTTTCAGTATAGGAATTTCATCTTGATCTGGTTTAAACTCTGCACGGTTACATAAAGCAGCAATTCTTGCAAGATGATTCCAAGTTGGTGATTTCATCTGAGCAAAAAATAACGAAATCGCTTAAATCTACAATTTTTAAAATCTGTTTTTTTTTATCAATGTGGAAATTTATAATCCTGTACAAAAGTATTCAAGGTGTACTGGAATATAATAGAATTATTCTGACCTTATCATGTTTTTCTCCAGATTGATCCTCAGTTGTGTCAGCATCGACAATGACATTATCAAACCACATATGCGCTGAAAAAAGCCTTTACCTCACAAACAGATAAAAGAAATGCCACAATTAAAATAAAATCATTAAAACTTACACACAGTCATACGATTCTGAGTCAAAGTTCCAGTCTTATCAGAACAAATTGTCGAGGTACTTCCGAGAGTTTCCACAGCTTCCAAGTTTTTTACAAGACAGTTTTTCGAGGCCATACGTTTTGCAGTTAGGGTCAAGCACACCTTTTAAAAGACAATATCATCTTATTGGCAAAAGAACGAACTTCCAAACCTGTATGACATTGAGAGATTCTAAATGTACGAATGCAATGTTTCTATATACATGCAGACAATGAAATATCAAAACTGCATGGTATGATTGTATAAACAACAGCTTTTACAAACAGAAACAAGAAATCTAATCCTGAAAGCTAAAGCACATTTCTCTTACCGTTACAGTAGCCAAAAGACCTTCAGGTACGTTAGCAACAATAATTCCAATCAAAAAGACGACAGCTTCTAACCAGGTGTAGCCCAATGCGAACGAAATAATGAAAAATGATACACCCAAGAACACGGCAACAGAAGTTATAATGTGAATAAAATGCTCAATTTCTTTTGCAATTGGCGTTTGACCAGAGCCAAGACCACTAGCTAAGTTCGCAATACGTCCCATAACTGTAAGATCACCAGTACAAACGACCACTCCAACACATGTGCCTTCAACTGCATTCGTAGAGAAAAATGCAAGATTTTTCGTTTCGAGAGGGTTTTCATTACTACATTCAGGGCTGCGAATTTGCGGTTCAGATTCCCCAGTTAAAGAAGAGTTGTCAACCTACAAATATAAGACTTTCCTGTTATTGCATTAGCCATAATGATAGCCTAATTAACCTTACAAATACTGAGATAACCTACTTTAAAACCTTTTGCTTCGATGATTCTTATATCCGCAGGCAATCGATCACCAAACTTAACATATACAATATCTCCAACAACAAGTTGTTCAGCATTCAAAGTTTTTTTCTGTCCATTTCTTAAAGCAATTGCTTCCTATAAATGAAAATGCAAACGACGTACAATGTAACTCTCGCTACGTACAGACATTGTTTCTACAAAGGTTTGCATTTTAAAGGCCATAAATATTTACCACGTGCATGATAATTTTAGTGCAAGGAAATAGCAACTTGTGACATTATATACCTGAGGAATCATCTTTTTGAAACTATCCATAATACGCGAACTTTTAGACTCCTGTAAATTTATCAACTATGCTTTAGGAAGAGCTTCAATCTTTTTGACATACGTATATTATATCAAAACGTTCAAAGGCAACGTTTAAATATTTTTTGTTCTTGTCAATTTTTTCTGTCTCGTCAATTTATACCTGATAATAGGAGAAACAACCAGTAATGATAACAACAGCAGCCAATACAACTCCCAAGTACAGCTGAAATGGTAATGATCAGTCAAAAACACTGATGTAAAAGCAATGAATCCTGCAACTAATAATTAAAAAACTAAAATAATTATTTATGAGGAACTCAGAGAAAAATCTTCAACTGTAAAAGAACAAGTTTAAAGTCACAAATATTCATACACAGCTACTTCATTAAACATAACACAAGTTCTCACATACGTTATCTGGATTTGGCTCTTCTTTTGTTGTTGCTTCTAGTGTGTATGAGAAGAAGCAAAGTAATGCTCCTATCCACAGAAGCAATGAAAAACCACCAAATAATAGTTTACAAAACTTTATCCATTCAGGAGTTGTTTTTGGAGGACTAAGAGCATTAAGACCGTCTCTCTCCAGTATTTCAGCAGCTTTTTCTTCAGTCAAACCCTAAAAAATAAAATAATACTTTAATACTATAAAGCTAATAAATGGCTTGCAATTGTATCATGAAAAATCTGAGAAAAATTATTACAGGAGGGAATTTTATAACAAACATGTTCCAAATCAATGTTTTTTAATGAAAGCAAACCTTTCATATAGCAAATCCTGAAACATTTCAATGAACGTAACAATAAATGGTAAATAAAATTATGAATGTGTCATACATACAACCCTCTGACCTTGTCTAATGAAAATTTATCTCTGTAAAAATCAACATAGTGACACTTAGGCTATGGATTTGGATATTTCTTACTGGTTGTTGTAGTAAGGCGATACACGAAAAAAGGATTTAGTTTATTCTATGACAAGAATTTAATTGTGAAATGAAGTTAATTATGAAAAAACTCCTGCATTCATATTTCTATAATTGTATTTTGAACATTGTAATTTAACAACTTGGACCAGCTAGCTCACAAGAGAGATGAACACACAGAAAACTTGAGTAATGGTCATATAGCCTGGTTAAAGAGTTTGATTGTTTTATGAACAACAAGCTTTAAAATAAACAAATCAAACTATATGCCACATTTGCAGAACTGTTTAAATACAGCAAATTTTGTAAGTTCTCGATACTTTTCAAGAGCAAAGTTAAAATTTTCCAAAAACCAGGCACGGTCAAAGGGTATGATGAAATCTTTATAGTTAGAGCTTGTATGAATTGGGTACTAACAAGACATCATAGTGGATTGCAAAATAGTAATATCTTTATTATGTTTAATATTTCATAAGACATTATTATATATTAGCTATTTTCAAGTTAAATACTTTTGACAAAATGGTCAAATTCTAGTTTATAAATATTAAATTTCAGATGCTATCAAGCAGTTGAATCGAGGTAAATAAATGCTTTAATACCGCTATTCTCTTTTAATGTAATGTACTATTTCAATATAAGTTCTATTGTTGAGGACTGTACAGTTGCTGCTTTTACACAGTTTTCCTAAGCAACCATAAGTTTATCAATTATTCATTATGCAAAATGCCAGAAGTCATTCTTTACTGACAGTTACATTTTTAGCTATTAAAAATCTCTAACTAGATGGCAAATTGGGAGGGTGCAAATAATCAAAAACAATTTCTTTCAAAAGAAATCAGTCTGGCAGAGTTGAATATACTAACACACACCACACCCCCCCCAAAAAAAAAACCAACAAAAAATAGCACTCTAGTTTTGGTCCTGCTCATGCTTTTTCTATTATTACTACTAAATCCTAAACTCATGACATATTTATTAAATATGCTCAAGATTTCCATTACTAGCAAGTGGCGTAACCAGCCTGCAAATTTTGTTTAGCTACGTAAATTTCATATCATGATCATTATTCATTTCTTTAGAAATCTATTGTTTTTATAGCAAGTGAACACAAAAATGTACATAGCACAACCAAACCTTCGGGCTGGCTGTGCTATTGTTTCTAGCCAAAATTTTTATCTTTCTTAAGTTCAAAATGTTGTTATATAATATCATCCTTGTACTTCTACCTGCTATTTCTAAGAGTTAATTCCTATGAAAAAAAATCCATTTATACTTAATGAAATACATAGCTGCTCAATATGGCTACCACAAGAATTTTGTCTAGTTTTAAGATTTGTGCTTCAAATGAATTACAAACTTGAATATGGGAAAATTTACAATGAATGTTGCAAAAATGATGACTGACAAGGAAAATTTTACAATGAATGTTGCAAAAATGATGACTGGACTTTGAACCTTATACACAAAGACATTATGAAGTTTATTACACATATTTGCTGATTTGCAGTCCATAAATAATAAATATATTAAGGCATAGTGCAATTGAATATTATTGTTGGTGGCAAGAAAAATATTTATTCCAATTCTTCTATCATCAATGAAACATAAAAGTTGAAACAGACAGTAAAAGAAAAGGATTATCAAACATTGACTCTAATAAAATGGGCATATATAATGAAAGAATGTCAGCCCCCATGTACATAAGAGTTATGCAGGCGAATTCTTTTCATATTCAATTAAAAAAAATAAACAAAGAACTGGATTTAAAACTCGGTAAAAGAAAACTTTTATCAGCAAAAGGTTTTCTATGACATCTATTATTTATAACATTCAATAAGGAATCGTTAAATATTGAGAGTTTTCAAAGTTAAAAAGCAGAAAACGATCTTTGGTAATATTGCATCCAGCTGTGCTCGCTTCAGTCAAAATCCATACTTTCCCAATCAACTATTTAATAATATTGCATGGATGAGCGTGCATCAAAAATTTTGTTATAAAAACATTGTTGCTAGGGCTAACGGCTCGAACAAGGCAAAGCTGAATGCAATACGTGAATAATTTGCACAAACATAATATCAGATTTCTAGTTCTTCAATATGTAGTAAAGTCCGAACAACGACAGGTTTCAAAACCATAATCAACTATTCAAGATTTTAAAAATGCGATGTTGAAATACACGAAGCCATATGTTGCCTATCAATAATAGTTTGGACATTACTTACAGTTTCTGGGTTAGTTTCAAGTCTACGATAGCATTCATCCATGGGTATTGTGTGCCAATCCTGTCGAGTGCAAAGGAAGTAGAAAGATGACAGTAAAAACTGAGGACGAAATAACAAATAATATGACCTTCATTAAAACATATTTTAAAACATTACAATCTCTATTTCTTTTTTCAGATCCGCCAACTCGGCTTTCTTATTCTTCTTCGACACTTTAGATTTCTTACGCTTCCCATCCTCTTTGTCAAGCATAGGTGTTGTTTGAAGTTCATAGCTTTCCTTACGACCAAACTATACCAGAAGATAGAAGAAAGAAAATCGATTCATCCCGTTCTCAGAAAAGCCGAAAAATAAATGAAAAAATACAGCAAACTTACATTATGTTCCGACGCCATATTGCACAACTTTCACCGGCACTTTGACTCAGTTGGTGAGTTGGACAATCTTGTGTGTTGTGAAGGCTGCAATCTTTAGTCCCAGTCTCCCATATCAGTTATATAATGGGTGAGTGATTAGGTGTACTGCCTAACCGGGTTCACCGTAGCATTGTACAATACATTTATCCCAAACAAACTCATAATTTCAAAAACTGAAATCGTGCTGTATAATTATATGTTTCTGGCTTTTGAAGAGTGGAAGTAGTTTCTACGTTTATTTTATTTATTTGATATGATATTGGAACTTTGAAGTACTATTATAATGCCACTAATTACAAACACAATAAAACCTCAATATTCATATCATAAAATGCAAATTTCATAACTGAAACTTTGAACTAAGGAAATTGTTCGAAATTCCTCCCTAATTACCTGAAATTAAGACGATACAGACTCACAGAATTACATAACAAGTAGGAAAAGACGATTAAATAAATTGTAATTTGATGTGTGGGAAGACAAACTAGAACAAGTTTTTGAAGTAGCTGATCATTGTTAAGCAAATCCATCTCCAAATAGCTGACTACGTAATTACGTAATTTTTTTTAACAGCAAAACGAAATCCATTTAGACATTCTTGAAATTACTTGTTAAGAGCACCAACAAACAAAAAACATTTTTTTCTTAATAGTACTGGTTTAACTCTCATATTGACCTACGTTTTTCATGAATACCTAATAACTGTGTGAGTTTGAAGGATCGTCAATGGTCATGCCATGGATGAAGAGCATCGGAAATTGCTCATTATATAAAAATGCGAAGATTAAATGCACGTGACACAGGAGGAGATGCAACCATAAATATGATTTCTTAAGATTAAGAACGTCACGTATGTCTAACATTCCTTTGTAATTATTGTGAAAGTTACTGTCAAAATTGCGTAAGATTTTACTATCCAAGAGCAACGATATCAAATAATATTTGCCTTCAATTTTTTCGAACAAGTTTCCCAATCTGTTCCGTAAAATATCATCTTGGTGACATGCCGACGTCCAAAAGTGTACGTTTGACAAACCCAATGCCATGAGTATAGGACTCAATCATATCGTTGCAATTTCAATGGAATTTTCTCGTTAATATATGCGTCATTACGTCTCAAGAAATAAAAATTACGCTTAATCATCTCTAGAAAAACCATACGCGTTTTTTAACTCAAGCTAAAGCGTCTTTAAGCAGTATGCAAATTATTTAGTTAAATGTGGTGTTTTTGTGTTGGATATATCCGCTGCTTTCTTTGTGATCATACATGAAAGACCATTAAAACATAGAAATAACTTTAACTATCTTCAGAAGCAACTTTTGTCATGTTGCGACGTAATTTGTCCTTTCTATAATCACCCTTTTCAGATTGCTGTTGGTCTTAAATATGTAAAATTTTGAAAGATTAAGGTTAGTTTTCGTTGTAAAAAAGCACCAGAAAAGCGGAATCTTCAATCGAAACGTTAACATGCGACGTTCTAGTGCTCAAATATCTCCGGGTATCGGGAGGCATGGACCGAAAAAAAGATATTTTGTTTTCAAAATTTATTCTCAAACTTCGGCTCTGCCTGGCAATTACTCTCATTGGCAGCAGTTTCGTGAAATCTTTGCCTAAGAAATTCCACAGGATTGTTCACACTTTTTGTCTCTTTATTCTTTCTCAACAATACGTATCTGTGATAAGAATGGAGATGTGCTCATTTTCGTTTCTCACACACACTTGTGGAAGACTGGTTCCTAGTAAAACTTTTAGGTATGATTCTATTTGATAACAGTCAACTATCGATGTTTTATTACACCAGTTACGAATATTTTCATTTGTCAGCAACTACTTACCCTAGTAAGTGCATTTTCTTCCTCAATAACCATATACTGTACTTCAATCCCTACAGCATCCTTGCACAACATCCAACGCACTATCAGTAAGCAGTTTATTCAATAAACATGCCGAAATCCCTCCTCTCCTCCGAGAAGCTAACAGCCGAATTTGTTCATTCACAATTGCATTTTCCAACAGCATACGCCATGACGTCACATGCATTGCAAAGTTGAAATCATGATCCTGTGAGATACTATTTGGACAATGTGATCATTGTGTTGTATAAGAGCTGGAGGGAACAGGTGGCCCGAGCCTTTAAGTGATGTTCTATATACAATTAACACAGGCAAACCAAACATCTTAACGACTCTTTAGTTTTATAAAATTTATTAAGAGAGAGTTTTATATTTTTATCAGGTGCAATGGTAAACTTATGTTGCAACCTGATTAATTTTTTGTCCAAACGAAAGTTGTGATTTTGTTATGCTTGCTAAATAACAGATCATCAACAAATCCTGAAAAAGAAAGCAATTCAATCAGAAAATCTATTTCACACATACTTCACATTAAAGCTATGTAATGGCGAATGTGTTTTTTTCGTTCTTGTAATATAATTTAATCGCCAGAATGATACTTAAAATGACTTATACTTGTCAGTAAATATTCACAATATACTTCCGAAATTTTATTTGGTTAAAAAAGATGAAAGAGCACGAATGATTTACTCATCAAATAATGACTATTTTACGTAATTATACACGAAGAAAAACCACTATGAAGAAATAGCATTATAACTTTCTAAAACTTCATAAATCCACCAAAAACGAAATACGATATTTTTGTCATATATATTTACATCACTCCTACTTTCATTATTATCTTACACACCTGCATATTATTATTCATCATTGCTTCAAACTCCTGAGATTTGATTTGTGGGACGGAGTCAACAAGATTCATTAATAAACGTCCAACAGTGCTATTAGCTGGAATTTCACCTGTCTACAACATATAAAATGAAACGTTTATAAAGGAGCTACAGAGAAAGGCAACCCCCCCCCTCGCACCGTAAAAGAAGGCGTTATGCAAAACGGAAGAAACGAGCAAAAACCCCAAAACAAAATAAGTGAAAAGGGGCAAAATAAAGAAAAACTATTATAAAAATTCCAAGTTCATTTCATTTCCCTAAATTTTCGCTTGTCAAATATACTTTTAGAAAAATGTACATATGTGTTTGGACCAGGAGTAGACATCAACAACAGATGTTTACTTTTCACAGCTATAGATCTGTGATTACTTTTTATGTAAAACTTAAGTAAATCTTAACATTATCCCAAACTAGAGATTATTGTTTAGATATACTCTAACTGCCCTAGCAGATGAAAAACTCAAGTTGAATTTGAAAAAGGAATTATATCTATCACAATCTCTGAAAGAAAATTGACATTGGCATTGCACAGGCATAATTTAAGGTGCCAAATTTAATCCCAACAACAACCACAGGATTGTAATATTCATTTACAACCATTCTTCAAATGTAATTTTCTATTTTTGTCAGATTCTACAAAGATACGTATAGTTGTTGGACTAAATTCCATTGTTATCTCCAACCACTAAATATAAAATATAAGCTTTATAACTTTTATATATAAGTAAGCTGTATAAAAAATATAAAAAATTTAACAAAATTACGAATATCAATTCGTTTTTTTTCAATTTTGTCAAACTGTTAAGGTGTTTTTCATCATTTCACTTATTTTGTTTCTGCAGTTCAGGATTTATCAATCCCTCGCTTTTGTAAATAATGAAAGAGTTAGTAAGACTTGAATAATTGTTATTTATATCAAGATTGTAAATAGTCTATTCAGCCATAAATTTAGGAAGATTTTGTAATAATCAAAACAATAAATGTAGGTGGATGCTAAATGCTTTATCAAATCAAAAACATCTTGAATGAATGAATTCAATCTTAATTCTATGGTTGCATAATTCAATTTAATCTTTGTTCTACTTACCAATACACTATCAACATATTTCAAAAGGAGATCAAGCATTTTTGATATCTTGTCTGTTGATCTTAAATCAAACAAATTAAAATGAGATGTAAAAATTAATTTTCACACACTTGATAGCTCTATGTTTTATAACAAAATAATAACATGCATAAAATAAAGGACATTATCAAACTAATGTATGATCAATGAGAGCAAATCATCAAATAAAATACAAATTTAAAAGCATATTCTTAATCCTTAAGTTCCCATAGTATTCACCAACATAACAATGAGAGCTCAGTGCATAGACATGCATAGTTATAAACTTGCATAAATATGCAATGCAAAGCTTCATTTTAGTGCATTTCAAAACATATAATAATATGACAATGCGAATACTAACTGAAGTATGTTCTGTAAGTCAGATGGTAAAGATATGCTTTTCAAATTTGGTAATCTTGTTCTTTTCAACCATTCAACTAAAGAATGATAATATATAGAATGTTGATATTTTAAATAAAAACATTCTCATACTTATACTCTAGGTACACATACTCCCAACTTTTTCTGCTCCTGTATTTGATATGGTATAGTCAATAGGACAAAACAATATGCCTTCTGTTGTTTTTTCAGGAACACCAATGCTTGCACTGTGGAAAAATTTACAGATTTTTAAGAAACCAAAGAAATGAATAATCCAGGATATACATAATCTCTAATATCCATTGCAATCACCTCACATAAGCTTTTATTCCCAAGCTACTTTTTTCAAGGGTGGTATCAAGAATGAGATGAACAGGATTTGCTGTTTCGCGTGAATAAAAATCGTGAATCAAGACAGAATGATCCGTAACATCAACTCCAGTAGCAAACCTATAATATGAATAACACAACGTTTTATTTAAAGTGAGAAAATAATAGAATCTCTATTTGATAATCTTGAATATCTTTAATAAAAGTTTGTTTGACTATCTTGGGCATCATTTTTGCTTCTCTGAATAATTGCAACCCATTGAACCAAATAACCAGACTGTAAACTTTTTACTAAGATCGAAAAGATTGGCTGAGTAAGCATGCAAATTCCTGTTAATCATTTACACATTTTGTAAACTTTGAAGCTCTATTGAGTTTGGGGAAGGTTGCACGGAGAGTTTAGGGAGAGGGTGCAAGAGGAGTTTGGGGAGGGGATGCATGAGGAGTTTGGAGAGGAGGTGCATGAGGAGTTTGGAGGGGATGCATGGGGAGTTTGGGTAGGGTATGCATTGGGAGTTTGGGGAAGGTTACACGGGGAGTTTGGAGAGAGGGTGCATGAGGAGTTTGGAGGGGGATGCATGGGGAGTTTGGGGAGGTTATGCATTGGGAGTTTGGGGAAGGTTGCACGGGGAGTTTGGAGAGAGGGTGCATGAGGAGTTTGGGAGGGATGCATGGGGAGTTTGGGGATGGGATGCATGGGGAGTTTGGGGAGAGAGGTAAAGGAGTTTGGAGAGGGGCATGAGGAGTTTGGGGATGGGATGCATGGGGAGTTTGGGGTGGTGCATGGCCAGTTTATAAAAGGAAAGAGCTGAATATTTGGAATATTAAAACATTTCCTGTTGTCATTGGAAATATTAAAACATTTCCTGTCTTTTCATAAATATTTACTGATATCAAAAAATATAAAATTTCATAAAATTATTTTGGCTTTAAAAAACCTTAGCTGCATACTTACCTCATCTTTTGATTCGTTATGTGGAACACAAAAGCAACTCTTTATTTCAACAACATTTTTATCAATGGTCCCAAGTAAAGTTCCAATTACTCTTTGAGCGTCTTCACTTCTCCTTTCATAACTATCAACTATTGAAAACAAAACAACAGGATGAATGACCACTTTACTAGGAGATAAATCTAGAGTTTTCACGTTCACAGCCATTTTGTGTCGTGAATTTTAGTCATTCACGTGGTAATTTTCCATACACCAAACGGTACTTACGGGAGTGCACCAGTGAAAGAGGCACGCGTCACAAGCACTGAAAGTTATATATGTAAATCAATGGTCACAGGTGTGATTCCGTGTGAAAGTTTTCTCACTCTTGAATTATGATTAATCATTTTAAAAGAATGTTTTATTTTTGAGCAAGATATATTTAAGCATTCGTCTCAAGGATGTTCATGATAACCAGAGAACCAGAGAATTATCACAACAATGGATAACAACAGTTCGCTGGCGCCAGTCCTTTTTCCCAACACCGCCGCCAACTTCAAAAATTGCAAAATGGCGTTAGAAATTAGCAGTAAAAACAACGTCATAAGTGAGAAAGAAAATAAAGAGTCTAGTGAAAATAAAATCATTGTACCATCGTCAAAATCTTCCCAGGGAATAGTTAAAGACCCAAATTTTGCTGTTGTTTGCTCTTTTATTAAAATATTTGGACCAATGCTGCACTTCAAAGAGCTTTCTATTGCAACTCTCCAGCATTTTTTTGACAATCCATCTGAAGGTAATGTTTTCATTGGAGAATTGTATCGAGGTGAACAATGTGCCCTAGCTTTTGTATAGTTCTAAAGTAAATTCTCTAAAGTAAATTCTCTCCTCTCTTGTGCATTTGTTCTTTCTTTATGACTCACCAAAATTTTGGTATCCAAAACTAAAATCAGGAATCCTGTGGATAGCGTAAATTTTGAGCCCTGATCATTTTTCACTTTAATCCATTCTAAACTTATATACAAATAGCATCAAAAATTGTTCTAAAGTCCCTCTCTGATTCTTAAAGTATACTATACATTCTACTTTTTTCATAAAACTTTGTACACAGATAACCATGAAGATATTCAAGCACTTTTCATAAAATTGTTACGAAGAGCTGGCTATAGAGTAATTCCAGAAAAGTGGGAAAAAGGCTTGCTGAAGGTAACTCTTTTCATTTATTATATGTCTTTCACATGTGATGTTATTCTGAATTTTTTTTTCATCATTATCTTTTAGTTTGTAAAAGAATTTGATGAGAAGATAGCCTGGGACTTGCATCAATTTGGATTTCATAAACTTCTGGGTGCAGCAAAATTGGCAATTTTTAAAGTACTGACATTTATAATATTTGTGCCTACGGTAAAAGGTGTTTGTTCTGATTTTAGGAGTTAGAGCCAGAGGTATACTAATTCTGGTTTTCTCGTTTTTCAAACATATTTAGTGATGTAGGGAAAGAATAATAAAAATGCATTAATTGTTTTGACGATTTTGTGTAAGTTCACATCATTCATGTTTTAATTAAAAAATTTTATTTATTATGTTTTTTATAGCACTTACTTGAATCTCAATTTGACCACAATGACAAATTCAAGACTGCTGTCAACTGCGATCTTTCACCAGTTGATTTAAGACCTCACCCTTTGGGTAGTGATATTGATGGTCTTATATACTGGTTTCATGAGGTAAAAATCTTAAGGGGAATTGGAAAGAAGTCACAAATTTATGATTCAATAAAACAATATTATTGAGAAAATTACATGATACATAAATGCTTAAGTTCTACGTAAGTATAAAGAATGTAGAAATAATGTGCAATTCAAATTGAGCATACTATGCGAGGAAATGTTTAAAATCACTCAGCTTTGAATAAACAATGTCCTTCTGAGGTCCTTAGTACAAACCAGTTGCTCTCCCCCTTAGGTATGTTTTTCTGGTTGAAGATAAAAATTGAAAGCAATCGTTTTACTGTGCAATGCTTAGACTAGTAACTGAAATTTTAGGATGAATTCTTGCAAATCAGACTTTACTCAACAGAAGAAGATGAAGTGGATTGTGAAGCTTGGCAGGTTCTTGCATGGTATAATGGGATATCTCATAGTATAGTTTTATAAAGGCAAATTTTCATTATTTTTTCTCATCACCAACTTCGTAATTCAAAATTTTAATTTTCCTATGCTCAAAGTCCTTTTTATACTTTGAAGAAACAAAAAATGGGTCGCAAAAGAAACGACCATTATTTTTTTTGTCTCTTTATACTTTGTGCAGTGAAGTTGAAGAAATAATGGATGTTATAAAATATCTGGAAATGAAATCAAAAAATAACCCCAAAGATATTGCACGGGAAAAGAAAGAAGAAAGAAAGAACAAACTGAAAAAAACAAAGAAAAAAAAAGGTGCACACACATGTACATACTACGCAATTTTTTTTGTGAAGCACGCCATTTCTGACTGTTACAGAAACAGCGTTGCATTTACGATCTTTGCCTGCTGTAAGGTCGTGTTTTTTTCACTCTCACAGGACATAACTAATGGCTACAGTAAAAAAATTGTTTTTCGTATAATGTACAATTTTCAATGATGTAAAAAATAAAGCAATTTTAGTTGATACTCAAATCTTTTCTATGTATATTATGCGTCGTTATTATCGATAGTTGAGCCTTTTTATAAGATTAAAATATGCACACCGGTCAATATTGTATACCGTTAAGATTTTTTTTGGTTTAGTAACGGCTTTCATCATGTAAATTTTGAATAGTTTTATTTTAAAAGAATGTATTATGTTTGATGCTATAGGAAAACTGAGCAAAAAAGGGAAGTCATTAAGTTGTGTTTCCGGTTCAGGCGATGATGAGAGCGATGTTGATGATGATAACCCTTGCGCAAGATGTTTTTCAAGCGTTCATCCTGAATTGGTAAGTTTATGTACAGTTTAAATTGTCATCTATCGTCCATCGTTTTCTGAAAAATTAATGATTTATTCACTATCTTTTCTTCGACTTTCAATATGGCAATAGACCATTCAGTGTATTCAAAAAAAACCTGTTGTTTGAACGGTTTTAAGGATAAAATTGAACATTTATGGAGAAATAAAACATACACTATTTCCTTATAGCCTAAAATTAAAAGTTTGTTGTAATTTGTAACTATTTCAGATTCTTCTCTGTGACCAATGCGATGCTGCATATCATACAGCGTGTTTACGTCCCCCACTTATGAATGTACCTGTTGGAGACTGGTTTTGTCCTTACTGTTGTACGGTGAGATGTCAAGGGTTGTGTAAAATTGGGTGAAGCACCAAAGAAAATGACATCATTACAAATGTTGAATGTAAAAACATAGCTAATACGGTTCAGTATTGTTTAATGGTCAGTGTTCAATTAATTTTAGTTAATGCTTGTGGAAACGTTGAAAGGAATTTACAGCAGGATATCCACTCGTATTAAAGCTCGTAGCAGAGCCGCAAATAGGTAAGGTTATGTTCATTGTTATGCTGAAAGTACAATCATTTAATCTCGTAACAATCATAGTCACTCTAAATTGAAAACATATTCATTTTATAAAAGTTAAGTAAGCATTAAATTTGCATCACGTTGCTATCGTGACGTTGAAGACCTAACCGTGTCCTTAAATTTCAGGCACTGCCATGAAAGCTACTTTCATTCATGTGCGCATGCGCATTCATTTTTTCCAAATTTTTTTTTGACAAAAAAGCGATTAATTTCCATAAATCATCTTTGCTACATCATTTAGATCAATTTATCTAGCCGGATTCTTTTCACTTTTAAATCGTTTTAGAATAAGAATTCCATTCCCGTAACTTTTAATAACTTGGCAAATAATGTCAATAAATACAATGAAACTCTCCTTAATTTCAACATACAGCTCATGTCTGCCACGACACTATCTGATGTTAGTTCGGATTGCGTTGCCAAAAGAATGAGCTAAAGTTATATCCAGTCAAAGAAACAATAGTCCATTATCATGACAAATTGTGCCGACAACTGGAGATATTTTGAAATTTTTCTGACACTTTGGACAACAATAATTAAATTCATGCATCACGTTCTTTTCACTTATACTAACACATAAATGGTTGCCTATTTAAAACTTATACTCAGGCAAGATAAATTCTTAACGAGTTTCATCAGAATTTATCAGAAACATGCTGATATCTTTTTTATTTTTAGGCAAAATGCTTGTGGTATAAATTTATCCAACATACGACAGTCAGGAAGAGTTAGGAAAACAGTCGATTACACCTTCTCTGATTTTGACCAGGAAATTTTCGAAGCTGTTGACAGATATGGCAAAAATAAAGGCAGACATGATCAAATCCAGGCAGTTCCCGAGGCAGTGCGTCCTGTAAGACAGTCTAAACGTCGTCGAATGCTGTGCAGCGACAGCGATTCCGATTCAAACTATGAGCCTGGTAGTCCTATGGTCAATTCTCAAATCCCTAAACATCCTGAGCGACATGTTTATATTAGACGTCATGAATTTTCATTGGAGAAAGGTAGCAATGGCATAGAATGTAACGATAACAAAGGTTGTAAAATCGACAAGAACGCTTGTAATGCTGGTTTACAAATTTTAAGAAATGATAATTTTGGATGCGCAACTTCTATTACCGAAATAGACAGATATGTATCCACAGCTATCGATCGTAAGATTACTTCAAAAACTGAAATATTGAATGAAAATGTGAAGTTCAATGAAGACACGACAGATATTATTGACTCATTAGAGCTAGAAAATTGTGTCAACGGGAAAACAACAGAAACTGACTGCAAAATTAACAACGATCAATTAAGTTGTAAATACATAAAATAACAAAGTGATGTTTTAGTTTTGGTAATCCAATGTAATTGTAAATATTTTTACTTGTAAACCAGGAAAATAAATATGTTTATTGATGTTATTTCGAGTTTTCGACATGAAACTGTTCAACAATATTTCTGAGTCTGCACAAATAGTATAAAACGAAAGACACTAAAATGCACTTGTTTTGTAATAAGTATTTCACACAAGGTTATTTTCAATAACTTTTATCAAAATAAGTTTTTTAATTATGCTTGGTCAAAAGTTGAAGATTATGCATTGTCTTCCAAAAAACTAAAATAACATTATATTGATAAAGGATCCCTCTGACAGAAGTCAAAGATAGGCCATGAGTAGTTGCCTCATTAAAAGTTGACTTATTTTAGTACATCTTAACTTAGTAATTAATGTGCTATATGTAACGTACATTCCATCAAATACAGAGATGTGGATATCGAGGTATGTTCTTGACAAAATCTACCACGGTGCACACATATTGCAACACACCATTGTATACTGCATACTACTATAAATTTTACCTAAAAGTTTAACACGCGATTTTAGAGGACCCCTCTGTAAAACCACTTTTTAGTGATGTTGGCATCCTCAATAAAGATTAGCTATTATTATTAGACTGTATAATACAACTTATTTTCAGTTACAATGTAGAAAATGATATTACAAAACACCCAGATTCTAATGGAAAAAGTAGTTTAGTTATTGATATATTTACTTCATGTTATTTAAGACTTATAAATATCCATGCATTTTGTAGAAACGAAATCATTTTGTATCGATAATTTACCGTAACACTATATACATCCAGGATCCAGGAAAATTAACCATCACAAAGAAATTCCATAATGCTACAAATTTGTACGCTTTTAGATGAATACAAAGTAAATCAAATAGTTAAATATATAGAGAGGCAAAAAATCCAGCATATAGCTTAGTGCGTAATTTATACATGCAAGCTCAGACTTTTTACAACTGTGGTATAGTATCAGTAGTAAAGCCTGGATTTTCGTGTTGTATTATAGATAGATCACTATAGTGACTAGACCTAAATAATATGTTTTTATATTCACAATAACAAACATTTCAAAAAAAATTGAAACAATCATATCCGGTCACTCGTCATAAATGCTGAAAGTCGTCCTCCACATTGCACATTTTCTCATCAAGATCAACAATGTCATTATCATCATACAGATCAAGTAAATCATCGTCATAATTCCTAAACCAAAATGATCGGTTTAAAATTTAGGTATAGGTAAGTACAACACAAATGTGCAATAAAAATAAAATTTGGTTAAAGCAAGCTCACCCATCATCACTCGCTCCTTCCTCAGCAATTAATAAACCATACTCCTCCAAACAATATTTCTCCCAATCAGAAGGAACACGGTCATCTGGATCAGACTAAAAATTTCATGTTCACCAAAAAATCTATCATTCTTTAATGTTTCATTTATTATTTCACACGTTTGTGAATAAAGATCACATCCTTGTTAGTGTAGACATGATTTATAACATTTAGTTTTTACCTTCATCGATGCAAAAGGATCCCTCTGTTCGTATTCAACATATTTGTCTAAGTTGAGGAATGTGTTGAAGAAAATGTGAGCAAGTCCACATTTTTTCAAATCTCCAAGACTAAGTTTTCCATCCAACTTTGGCTTAACTAAATCGAGAATAGAACACACGCAGTCTTCAAACGACATTGCTTCAATTCCAAGAGCTTCCATCTTGGCGACCTGGTCTTCGTAAAAGTGCTCCAGTTCATACAATGATATAAAACCGTCGCCATCTAGATCCATACATCGAAACCAATATTCTATGCTACGAAGAACAAAGAAATTTTACAATTGACCTTACGTTTTCCTATTATTTACAACGACAAAAGAAACATGCAAGATGACGATATATAAGATTTTTCATATTTTACGAAACTGTATTTTCGAAAGCTCAAGATGATTCTTCTATTATAGGAAATGTCAGCGCATAAGTTTCGTGTTATCAGTAATACCTTCTTGGTTGTCGTTTGTCTTCTTCAGCTATCAAAAACCACACAAACTCTTCATAGGTCATTTTGCCGTTGTTTGAAGGACATCTTAAGGAAGAAAACTGTCGTCAACTAAAATCTCAATGCAATAATACGCAAAGAATTTTCAAATATTGTCTTGCATTATGAAGAATTGTCATGAATTATAAAGGATGACTTACTTGGTCACACATCCAGAAAAAATGCGATGAATAACTTTAGAAGACATAGCTGTAAAAACAAAACACACTTGGAAAATGGCAATGAAAGCAATGGACAACGTATGTATCTTTTGTGAGACAAAATATTAAGGAACTAAAGTAAGTTGAAAAAGAAATGGAAAGTGTTCAATCCAAATAAGATAAATGTAAGACTATAATTCTTATTTGTTCTTTTTTGAATTCTTAAAGAATTCAGAAAGTATCAACGCCTCGAGCTCAAGCTTGGTAAAGCTAAATTGGACTTAGTTATTCTTCTTAGGTACAAAAACAGTTTATGTTTGTAAAGGGGACAAATTCCGTAATTCCTTCTTTAGAAATGAGAGGGAAAAACATCTTCAAATTAACAAAACAAAGAACGAACATTACCATGATTTCCATGTTTCAAGAGATCTTTTTCATCAATCAATAAATCATGATCTGAATCCAGTTCCCAAAATTTGCAATAAATCACATAGAAATGTTCGTAGGAAAAATAATCGACAACCTTAAACGTGGAAAAGTTTGCGTTCACTTTTATAAATGGTCAGGTAACATATTTTATATCGCAGCAAACAAGTCAGACATCGTTGACATCGTTTACTCTATAGAGTCTCAATAACGTCCACAAACAACCCTAGTGATACGAATATTTTTCTATAAATGACAACTTAAGAAACCGTGCTCTCAAAGATTTAGAACCATATTTTTTGTCAACATTCTGCTCAAAGTCAAACTGCTATGATAAAGATAGACAAGTGAATAACGATTTGCTTGGTTTTGTAGTAATGATAAAGAACAACAGCACTAAGTGATATGGAGCAAAAGCAACAGTCAAATTAAGCGTTCCACATATTGAGTCTGTTTTCACGCTATTCTGCAAACCCCTCCCTCCACTTTTAAGCAGGTTCTGTCGTCCCTGACTTGAGAAAATAAATACTCTAATCTGTAGGATTTGAATTAAAATGTATTGAAAGAAACTCACCATATTAATGTCATCTTCGTCTTCTAAGATAGACAATACCTGCGAAAAATGTAAAAAGATTTAATGCATTTCATTCTCACAAAAGTAATTCATGGTCTAAATGAGTACTGTTAAATTACTACACCTTCAAAAAATTACTGTTTCGTAATTCAGGTAAAGAGATTTTTCCAGTCCATGAGCTGTTGACTGCGAAAAAGATTCTAGCAATAACCTAAAGAGAAACCGTCAATTATTTTCATGAATATATAAAGGTATCTCAAAAGAATACCTTTATTAAATCAAACCATTAAAATGAAAGCTGTAAAATCAATCCTTGTGTTGTAAAGTTGAACTCCCAGAGGTGTCAAAACTCAGATTTATTACAAAAAGACTGAGTTTAACAGAAGATAAATTTTGTTGGGAGGGGAGGGGGGGGGACGAGTAACCCTATAGTATTGAAAACTTAAGTGTTTCTAGAACTTCCAAGCTTTTCCAAATGTTAAACTTCTCTAGCACAGAATTTACATGGGAAGATTTTTCCAAAAATCCCATAGTGTGTTATATAAATCAACATTCATTCGTAAATGAATATTTTACTTCTATGAATGGATATAATTGTTACTATTTTTCTTTAGAAGGTTAAAACAAAAAGGAACTCCCTCTGTTTGCAAAAAAAGCCGTCTTTGGAAAAAAAATTTTCATTTCTAAAGAACATGGTTTTATTGAATTTAAGAAAGTTGTAAAATATGAATAAAACTTTTATTTTACCGTTTTAATGTATCGAGAGTGAAACTCAGGAGTATCAGCTAAGAATGCCAAGCCACTATGGTTATCAATAACATCCTAATCAATGAAAACATGTTTACTAAACAATCATTGCTCTATGTATTTGTAAAGCAACATCATCTACCTGGATAAGAGGAATGAAATCTTCTGAAATTAGAAAATTTCTTTTGTTGTAAGTCATTAGATACACAAATCTAGAAGCTTCATCATGGCAAGTCTGAGTTAACCTAAATTGAAATTCATCAAAAAGAATTGATAAAAATATCCACAAACATGCAAGAATCACATTCAAATTATTGTATAAATGCTGATGTTGTCAATTTTATTCCAAAATTTTTACTCCACACTAAAACTAAGTAGAATAACTCTTTCTTTGACTTGCTCGAGAATTCCACAACAAATGAAAGATAACAACGGAATGATTTTGACAATCAAATTATGTATTTTTATGTATAGCATCAAAGACATGTACTTACTTATTCCAAACTGATAGAAAGTTTTGATAAGTAACAAAAGAAGCTTTAAATCCACAACAGCAGTTGAACAAGATACTTCTCCAAAATAATGGAAACTTACAAGCCTTTGAACAAAAAAATTACAAAGAATGCAAAGTTTTAATATTGTACAAAGTATGTGGACAGGAAACAAAAAAAACATATTTGATTTTCAAAAAAGCATTGATCTGGGGCATATTTTTTTTAATAAAATGTACTGGGTATTTATGTCAGTCACACAAACATCTATATATACTCAAGTCATGATCAATATATCTAATTCATAAATCTTTGCTTGCAAGTCATGTACATAAATCAGCTTTATAGTATTTTTCTTAAATTACTCTTTTTCACACATATTACAGAAAAATCAAACAAGGTTAACAAAAATATTTTAAAGATTTGCAGTTTCAGCCAGTTTGTACAAATAAGAAGTTCAAGAAGGCAACACACACATTATCTCATGAATTCCTATATTTTCTGAAAATTAAAATATCTGGTATTTAATAATCAAAGTGTCATAATTTCAAACATCAAACAGCCAGATGAAGCTAACTATAAATACCTTGGTAATAGAAGAGAACTCTTTCCTTGGTATAGTAGGGTTTATTTTAAAGATATTTTCCACTAGTTTTAAAATCTTTTCATCCTCCTTCTTAGTGCTGGGTGAGGGAGTGCCTTTTGGAAAATAGAATTGTGGAATGGCATCTCTTTGTCCATCAGTTACATCAAAGCTTGCCAAATGAGGGTCACTATGTTTACAATGACTTTTACTTGTCTTTCGCTGAGTCTTTGGACTCCTTGGTGATCGTGTAGTAAGCACTGCATTAGGAGGTGCAGGTGGAGAAGCTGGACGAGAGTTTAGATAAGAAGGTACATGATGCTCGTAAGCAGCTGGAGAAACACCATGTAAAATATGACTGAGGTCATCTTCAAGATATTTTTGTGTTTCATTGGTAGAAAGCCATGTCAAAAAAAGTTCATCAACTTTTGACTTAAGTAAAGGAACCAATGTCATAGTTATACGCATCGCAACTTTTTTTAAGTGAAATTTATTCCCAACACACTCTCGTCATCGTACATGTCGATGAAAACATATTTGGTCAATTTAAACGACACGAAACAAGAATACACAACAGAATATCAGTTTTGACAAAGCACATTTCCATAAAGCCATATAAAACATTCACTATGCAGATAATGTACTTTAGTTGAATGATATAACAGTCATACTTTTATTTACCAACAGAGAAAAGTGAACGTTTAGTGAATCACAGAATCAGCTGTCCTGGCGGTCGCACTCTGTGCACATATTTCATTTGTTGACATTTGATTCATTTCACAAAACGACATTCAGTACATGACATGTTCTTTGATTGTTGAATAAATTATAAAAATTACATAGAGTAATTTCAACAAAAGGTAATGCCAAGAAGAGATATTAACTTATCGAACTGTGAAAAATTGAAAATAGAAAATGCTAATTGTCAAATCTTCTCTTTTCCATCCCCCAAACAGCTATGGCTCATTTCTGTATTTGTTTACCTATGTTTGTATGGTGTTCTTGCTGTCTCAATATTTGAACTTTATAGAGAATTATCAAAAAAAAGAATGATTACATGACAAAAGATTTCATGATTCTTTCCAATCAACCATTGGAAGTTTTGCTACATCTTTTGCATTCAATATACGTGTAACATCCATGTATAATGAATTACAATTAGAATAGAATGAGAATATTGAAAATCTGACGTACACAAAAAAAACATTTTGCTATACCTTAAAGGTGCATCAATCATGAATTGAAGGCCTTATTACAATATCATTGGCCCGGTTCTATATGGTTCTACATAATAATTATTGGCCATTTGACAATTTTTCATCAATATGTATTATTCAAATATTGCTGAAATTTTGATAGTGCTATATAAGCTCTGATATGGAAAATACTGACTTATTGTAAATTGTTTTATTGTTGAATTTATATATTTTGATTTCTGAACAAATTGATGATTATATATAATGAAAAGGACATCTTAAATAGACAACACACACTTGGGTTTAATGAAAGTCGAAACTAAAATAAGAGAAATATAACTCTAGTTTTATTTAGATACAAAGTTAGAAACTTGATAAATATATCTTATCTTCCAGTAGCAGGAGTGTACCTTTTCCTTACTTTTTTAAAAGATGTAATTTTCTTAACACCTGATTTACAATGAAGTTGTGACTTGGTCGTCTTATTTTTCTTTTTCCTTGAAAGAATAGGATGGCATTTACTGTTGGGGTTAGTATTTCTCACTAATTCAACACCATTTGGTATATCATTGGAACAGTTCCCAAGATTATCCTTGTTGCTTTTGTCAGACATAATATTTTGTTCAAGTTGGCTAGACAATTCACTGGTGCTGATCAAATCAGTGTCTTTTCCTGATTCTCCAACAATAAACGAGACACATTGGTTTTCTTGCTGCATAACATTATCTGCAATATTGTTTTCCAGTGATACCATCATGTCCTTTCAACTGCAAACTTCAATTCTTTATCAGCCCAAGAAATACTACCATTTGTAACAGAATTACTCTTACTTGTTTGTATTTTGTTTTTTTGACCATTGCATGTTTCTCGTGGAAACGTATCTATAAATTCTGCTTCCTCAAGTATCTTTTCAATTGCTGAATTATTCTCGCTATTTATATAATGGTCTGATGACTTTAGTATATTACAAAGTATTTTATAACAGGCGAGCACGATTTCAATTTGTTGGTCGTTTTGTTTTGCCTTAGTGAGATCAAGGCAGTACTTACAACCGCGATTGACAGTTCGTTTTCTTTTCACACATTTTCCACATACAAAATGCTGACAATATCCAGAGCTCATAGGCGCAGTAACAAGACTGTGGCACACTCTACAACACAGAGCGTTCCTAAGTAGAGGTAAAATTGCAACGAGTTTATCCCAAGATCTATGTTCTACGGACAGTAAATATCGGCAAGCCTTAACGTAAAGTAGCGTGGCGTTATCATCTGTATCATCCTCCATAAAGCAATCTGCCAACGCTTGAAATATATCGAATACCTACGGTGGCCCACAAGTACGATACACGAACACAAATAGAAGTACACGAACACAAATAGAAGTACACGAACACGAGTAGTAGTACACGAACACGAATAGTAGCACACGAACACGAATAGTAGCACACGAACACAAATAGAAGTACACGAACACAAATAGAATTACACGAACACAAGTAGAAGTACACAAAAACAAATAGTAGTACACGAACACAAATAGAAGTTTGTTTACTTTGACAATGACGAAACAATAATTATACAGTTTACATCACAATTGCTAGCGATTTAATATTCCGAGCTTACATTCTCAAGATCGTTTTCTTACATTCTCATTTAGTAGGAATTATCAAAACAAAACTACAAGCACTGTTATACATTACAATACTGTCAAGGAAGTGATGAAAAAATCCTACATGGTTGATGCAAAAAAACAGATTGAATGCTAAACTAAAGCAGGTATTTATAGTTTCTACATAATACAATTAATGAAGCAATCTGCTGGTGAAATAATTCTTTTCAACAGTATGTATTTATGGATTTCACCACAAAGAAAAAAATTCAATATTGGAATGTCGTATAATATTTAAATCTGAAGATATGACTTTATCGTCCCCACCAGACAAAATTGAATGTCCATAAGCTTTCTTGAGAAGAATGGATGAAAACTCTTCAACTACTTCACTGTAGCACTAATAGGTGCTTGGAACTTCAAGTAAAGGACCACAAGTATGCACACCAGGTCGACGGGCTAAACCATTGAAGTCGGTGAATGTGATTTTCAACTTCATTTCTGGCAGAACCACACTGACTCCAGTAGTGAACTGAAGAAATGCAATGACATTACTTCCAAGAGATCAGAGATGTAATTAATTCGGTCAAGTGGTCTAACATTACTTGCTTGTTGTCATTTTGCAGAGATGCATCAAGCAATTTAGTGACTTTATTCTGTGTAGGCTTTTTTCATCACAAAACAAGAGAGTATTTGAGTTATTTTGGAATTCTTTACCTTTGATCTTCAACAAATATTATCGGATTCCAGCAGTTGCAATTACTTTGTAGTATCGGATTCCAGGGTGAGGAAATTACTTGGTAATGTAACACTAAAGAGCATTTTCAAATCTTAAAAAAGTTTGACATAAATAATATTAAATATATAATTTTATTTTACTCTATGTTGATTAAATCTACTTCATTCAGCAGCTATATACTTGCAGGCTATACCAAAATGTACGCATTTCGTACCTATTTTTTTCAAATGTATGCCATTGTATTTAATAAACGCAGTGTTTTGGGAGATGTACCCAAAAGCCAAGGAATGAAAAAGAAACGTGAATATTCATGATAGCTACAATAAATAATGTTATGTCAAAAACATCGCTTGGCCCCAAATATGGACACTGTTTTTTTCGCAAAACAAAACGAAATGGGAGGGAAAACCTGTGGATCCGGTAAAAAACCCTCCAATAAAAGAAAAGATCAAAAATTTAGAAAAATTTTCATAATTTTTTGTAGTTTTAAGATATTTCATATTTTTGTTGTTTTCAATGATCCGGATGATCTACTTTAACATGCAGCGACTTTATATACATCGCCATTTATATTTACAGAGCGACAAAAAAGCGGGCTGACTATCCTATTGATACAGCAAATATTTTGCGCTCGAGAAAAAAAGAAACGCAAACTTTGGTAGAGAACAAAAAATGAAAAAGCGCAAAATGTTAACAAAAATTTAAAAAAAATAGACGAAAAATGAAAACTAATAGCAGCCATTCATAAATCATATGAAAAAATTATTCAGTACGAACGACCTGAACATTGACCTGCCAATAACAATGAAAAATGAAATGACCATGACCATGTCATGTTTTGCATAAAAATGCATAAAAATCATTTTTGATGTCTATTAGACTTCATTCGATTCAAAATTTCCATGTTGCTTCATTAAGACCTTCATTAATAGCTGGCTTTCACTAGTGTGTTTTGTCAGAAAATTTAACGGTTGAATTTGAAAATGCGTTATATAAGTGTGAATCTTTCAATAAGGACGCTTGCTTCCTGGTGCTTCTGTTGGTCGTTCATTCATTGTCCGGTTAGTAGGCCCGCAGACATAGCTACTCTGTAAAAAAACACGTTATAAACGTCAGACCACAGACATAATTAATGAACAAAAACTGAAATTAAATATACTGAAAAGAACAAAACTTTAATACCTGATTTCCAAGCGTTGTCCTGGTCAGTCTGATCCAGGCCACTTAGTAGGTTCCCTTTTTTTCATCGCGCAGTTTTTACGCTTATATTATAGAAATTTATTATAACGTTTTTATCTATGAAATTCAACGAGCCTCACGTGCAGTATTGCAATTTTCCTTATAAACGTTAAATAAAATAGATAAAAAGTAGCGAGTGAAAGCCAGCTATTTTCTCTCAGCAAGTAACATCTTTTATTGACATTTTTTTAATTTGGGTGTTTTTCGTGATTAAAGTTCAAATTATAAAAATTGACCATCAGGATCTTTTTCAACTATCTCATGCAGTTACTCATAAAACACTTATCTACTCAACTTACAAACCACAAGACATGGATCGTGTTTTTCCACTCGCCTGTTTTCCATGTTCGTAGAATATAATCGATTTTTATACTCCAATCATTTCAATTTTAATGTTCCTACGAACATATGCCGTTATACGATGTCCATTCAATCTGTTTATAGTTTATACCATTCCATACACGAAGTTACCGGCATCACCAATAAGTAGCTACTGAGAATCGCCATTTCCATAGATTACAATTTACTATGCACTTTTATGGTAACTTCAAGCGAAGGAAAAGGGATCACTTCAATACCCCAGTTATATCATCACTCAAAGAATGCTTATTGCAGAGTTGATCTTCTGTTAGTATCAGTTGACCACCTTCAGGTGGGTGCATATAACAATGGGGCCCATCATCATTATATGAACAAACAACTGACATCAGCAAAAAATCCAAACTACAAATGAACATTCTTAGCCATGAATCACCATGACACATGAGTAATGACAAACTAGTAAGAGTAATTGAAGTGAATGACACAGGTGGTAAAGGGACTTTCACAACTCCATCCATGTGAGATCTACAATAAAAGAAAATATGAAACACATGTATGAGATTTCATGATGAATAACTTTGCATATGACGTTAGTTTGCGTTTTTAAATTCTTAATCAGATATATTGAGAACGAGCAAATTGTTATATGTTTTCTGTTTGACTGCTCAAATGGTAGAACATTCACCTACATTGCACGAATAGCTTTAGTCAGTCGAGTTTGAACGATGCAACAAGAACTTTCAAACGATCAAAGGCTGAACATAGTGATCAAAGCATTTTACAGTGAAAGCTTTCATATTACGAAGCCTACCCTAAGACGAGTTGGTTATCCAATGTAACTCATACTTCAGTACTTTGTCAGTAAAAATACAGAATTTACATTTCGTTCTACACAGTTAAAGTGACTAATTTTCCGTTGAAGTGAAAACACACGAATTTAAATATCTTAACATTTCTATATTTGACGTCATGACTAAAATTTTTTATTCTGGTTGGCATGCCACCTTTCATAAAGACAATTGGTGGTTTTCAACCATTCCCCTGGGAGAAAGAGAACAATGGAATGCTCGTCATGCTTGATGGAATTTGCATTGTGAATAAGGAAATCCTTTCTTAAAATCATCCAACATAACGTTCATATATTGTGCAATACAGCACATACAGTAGAGCCACTCCATTGAATTTTTTTGTGCCACGCATATCTTATTGCGCATGTGATTATCATTCCCTATACTGTGATTACGACGGCTGTCGAAAGTTAGTTACAGTAATATATGCATGTTGGATTGTATTATAGTAATGCTAATCAGATTCTTAAATTGTAATACGTGCATGCTAATAAGACTAGATGTAGGATATATATATATATATATGTATGTGTGTGTAGTGGTGTTGAGAAAAAATCACAAAACTACAGATTCATTCCGACAAGCCAGTTTCGTGATTGCCCACTCTTCAGGGGATTTAATGAATAAAATACTTAAATGCTTAAAATATATATACAAGATGAAGGAAGTTAGTGTATTAATCAAGGTGTATAGTTAACTTGTAAAGCCTATCGCAGGCGATGTCGGGGTCTGATGGGCGGAAGCTTGCTATTGGCATCTCCCAGGTAGGATAGCGTGGAGGGGCCGAAATCTCCTACCGAAACGTTAACATGCGGCGTTCTAGTGCCTTGCGTATAACAAGGTATCGGGAAAAATGGACCGAAGACGGGGTTTTTTGCTTTCGAATTTTATCTTTTTGTTTACAGTTCTTCTCATAAAATAAACCAAGCAATGTTTCGATTAACTTCTTCTGACACTGTGCCCTTTTCTGACACTTATAATTTATAATAAATAGGTTTTATACAATTTTTATTAGTTTATATCTTTCTGATTTAACTCTCTCATTTACTGTTTCTCATGTATCACGAGCAAATCATCCATGGGCTTCATGGCAGACATGATTATCTCGTTCCCTTAATAAGCATGAGACGCTCTAGTGCTCAACTATCTCGGGGTATCGGGAGGCACAGATCGAAAACGGTATTTTTTGATTTCAAAATTTGTCGTTTTTCTTTACAAGAATTCTTCTCATAAAAGAAACTAGAATATCCAAGGATACTGCAAAGGTTCAAACAACTTCTGCCGTTTTGACTTATAATTTAAACCAACTCTTAGCCTGTTTATACGTTATTTACTTGTCACCTTTTACAATGCAACTTTCTCATAACTCACTCGTGATGAACGAGAGGCTACTTATACAATAACTTATACAATATGACTCTCTTATTATGAACGAAAGCATCCATGGGCTTCATGGAAAAAAGAGATTATCTACTTTGTTATAACAGTTTCTACAAAGATAACATTTAATAAGCCAAGCAATTTGCACTGTCTAAATTGAACCTTGCTTTGAAACATTATGTTATAAAATTTTGATTCATTTTGTATAGTAAATTTCTTTTTACCCTAAAATATTTTATGACTTTTTTCAGGGGCCCAGACTTCGGTTGCGACCGCACTCTCCCAGCGTACCCCGAGCAAAGCCTATCGCAGGTGATCTCGGGGTCTGATGGGCGGAAGCTTGCTACGTATTGGCATCCCTAAGCAGGATAGCGTGGAGGTGCTGAAATCTCCTACCGAAACGTTAACATGCGGCGTTCTAGTGCCTTACGGTTAAGAAGGTATCGGGAAGCATGGACCGAAAACGGTTTTTTTTTGCTTTTGAATTTTATCTTTTTGTTTACAAGAGCTCTTCTCATAAAATAAACCAAGCAATGTTTCTTATGATCGCATAGAGACAATTTATTACGTAGCTAAGCGTATATAAAGCATTTCCAAATCACGTACAAAATTTCCTTCACATGACCAAATTACCTTCTATTTAAACGATGTTGTATGTAATAAAATTTACCCTGACAACTGAAGCAAACCCTTTTTCAAGCATTTCCAACACCTCATATTTATTCCGAACTCTTCAATATCTCGCAAAGTAGCCGAAAGGAATAGGCATAAAATCAGGATACTCATCTCCATCATCACAGCCATTTTGATTTCTCCCTTGATCTTTTTCATCATCAAGCTTATCTGAAGTAATGTTATTTGCTTAAAACCTTAAACCGTGCGACATGGGATTTGGAGAGATAAAAGGATGTCCTAGAAGCTGGTGTGCTAAGCATTGGTTAAGACTCTCTCTATATATAGAAATCTATACACAGTATATGACATTAAAAGACAGTAGCTACAAATTTTCGTCACTTTAATGCTTATTTTTCCTCGTGATCTTCATTTTTTAAGTGGAAGCTTTGAGTGGTAGTTTTTCAAGTTGACAATTACTGCTGAAGTCAGTAAAAATTTATGCTGGTGTCTGCGACTTTTTTGTGTCTACCTTTATCAATTTTTTTGTCTAACTTTATGTCTTCCACCGAATTTCAAAACTCGTCATTTTATAGCAGATGACATTTGAAAAATTCGTCATTTCATAAGAGACGATAATGTATTCTCGTAATCATGCAATTATGTAGTCAACAGGCTCTCTGAGATAGTGACGAGTCACTGCCATTGAAATTAACTTGGTTAGGGAAAAAAGAAATGGACGACAAATTTAAATAATTAACAAGAAATATATTATTGCAGTCAAACTACAAACATCAACTTTTATTGACATAAGCAGGAATTGAACGTACATCGCAAGGTCAGTAGGTCATTGTATAGTAGTTAACCACCGTCAAGAAAATATGAAATTCAAACTTATTCACCTACGATTTGATGAAAAACTTTTAACAGAAACAGAAACCTTTTCGGGTGTATAGTGCTCTTTTTCAAAGTAAGCGTCACTTTTCTGTGTAATTAAAATATTATAGTTATATTTGATACTAAAGAATAAAGAAAAACGACGATTCTGACATAATAACCTGAATATAAAGAACAAACGTTTTTCATACCGACATGTGGAGACAAGAGGAATGGTGAGAAGATGAGAAGAGAGGAGAGGATGGAAGTGAAGATCATGGTAAGCAGGAGATTAAAGGATAGATATGAAGAGGAGACAAGAAGAGAGGATAGAAGTGAAGATCATGGTAAGCAGGAGAATGAAGGATAGATATGAAAAGGAGACAAGAAGAGAGGATAGGTAAAAAGTTAGGAGAAGAAGATAGAAGAGAAAAGTAGAAGAGAGGAGAGTAAAGGGCATGGAAATAGAATAATTGACAGACAAGGAGAGAAGAGAAGAAGGACAGAAGAAGAGAGGATATACTCCTCTCCACCTACATCATTGCCATCAGAAAAAAAAGTAGAATCATGAATATATCAAAAAAGTAAAATCATGAATCAGAAATTGTTATTCTTCAACTGAAAAATCAAGAAGAAAAGAGAAGAGAACTGAACGAGTAAGCCACCAATTTTTTATATCACTGATTTATATAAGTGGACTGATACAAACGCATAAGTTTTTTGAAAAAACGACTGTGATCTGCTTCGTACTAGCGGTTGAAATTAAAAGACACAAACTAAATTTGGCAAGAAATTACGATTGTTTGGGCGAAAGCAGGTTGTTGTTTTACGGCAAGTGCCTAACTACATTATAATAAATCAATCGGCTTGGTGAATTCAACTAAGCCTTCCTCACCTATTTTCACACCAATCAATTTTAACTAATTTTTGCTCATAAATTGCTCGTAAGACGGCGCGGAGGTATTTTAAGTAGATTACTGGCTGCGCTTGGTTATTTTAACACCATTTGGTGATAACCATTTCATGAAAACGCAATTTGCATGCCGGCATTTTGTATAAGATGTGTATGCTGTTGTGAATATACGTCATTCAAAAGAATTTCTTAATGGAGCGGCCCTGTTTTTTTCCTATCATACAATTGAACAGGTCGAACTTGCTCAGCGACTGGTAAAACACGTTCAGCTCATTTCTGCAAGTTATCAAGGTAGGTGTTTCAGCAACTTTTATTTGGTTGTCGCGACAGTCAGGAGAAGGTTATAAAGTTTGTCTTTGCATCACGCAAAATCGTTGAACGAACGAAAATATGTTTTTGAGGACGAAAATTTTTCTGCGCAACTCTTTCTGCATTGCTAGAAAGGCTTTTCTTACGTCACGAAAATTTATGGCATTTTATTCACTCAAGGAGGTCAACGAGGCAAATAAAATCAGAGAACTTTCCACTCTTCTAGGTAAATGTGTTGAACTTAAATTTTTTATTGAACGATGTTATGTGCTATACATTTATGTGCAACACAAAAATCTCTCCAACTCTGTTATAGCGATGCAGTCAAACAAATATTTTTCTTAAATATGCATAAAATATTTGAGAGGTTTTTTTAGTTTTAAAGAACCTATTAAGGACCTATTAAGGCAAGACAAAGATATTAGGTCAAAAAATATTTCTCCATTATTTCGAAATATTACAAAGATTACTTATTTAAAATATATATTTATATGTACGTAGTTACGTAGTCAGCCGATGCTAACTGATCTTGTTGTACTACGTTTCTCGAACCATTAAAACATTTCTTGATCTTGACAAGTTGTTTCAACAATATCATATGTTCGAGTGGCAAATTTCACTTAAATTAAACCATTTTTATGTGCCTGTAGCATTTTAGATGTGTTTCAAAGAATATATATTCAATGAAACACGCAGTTTGTGATGCTTGGTAAACTTTGGATATTGGGAAATACGATATGGCACAAGCACATGATAATTGCATGCTGACTGCTGTTTAACCTGTTTTGGCGAGGGCAGGTTTTTGTAGGTCCAAATGTTTTGGGCTTTTTGCTTGTTATTCATTACTAGATTTGAGCCTCTACATTTGTAATTATTGGGTACAAACATTAAACACAGACTATCAGAAACAAAACTGTCATCCTTTTAGATCATCTTACAGCTTTGTTATTTTTTATTCCAAAAAATAGATGTTGAACTGCTTATATGATATATCAAATCAAACAATTTCTGGTGGTTTGGGAAAACGCGTGTTAAATAAATGTTCTTTTGAAATTTGATAGTTAGAAGTTTTTTAACAACCCTATTTTTTATGAAACGCACAACTAGATCCTTCGACCCTTGGTTTAAAGAAAAAGGTATTGATTGATAGTATTGACTCAAGTGTCGATGAGAGATGTTTAAGGGTGAATTGGAGTGATGGTTCATTCTCAAGATATCCATATGCATTTTTACGTAATAACTGCAAATGTCCTCAATGTTACGATCCAGCCTCAAATCAAGTACTTTTCAATACAATCAAAGATTTGACTTTGGATACCAAAGCAAAAGCACTTACAATTTCTGATGATGGAAAATTTGTGAATTGTACGTGGCAAGATGATCATCACAGTACATATTCTCTAGAATGGCTTTATAAAATGAGAATGCCAGAACAAAAAAAAGAACGTAATAAGGACAGTATAGTTAAAGATGAGCTATTTTTGTGGAACAGAAAACTGATGCAAGAACAAATACTTCGCTATGATTATCATGCATTGATGAATGAAGATCAAATGTTGTTTGATTTTTTGTACAACTTTTACCAACAAGGAATAATTTTGATGGAAAATGCTCCGTTAAGACCAGACGTCATCATGGAGATCGCTCAACGCTTTGGATACCATAAAAATACGCATTATGGGCAAGTTATACATTAACAAATCTGAACAAATATTCATTCATTTATTACCAGCTTCTCTTGTGTTGTTTCAATGTTTGGGTCGAAGAGTGAAACAAAATGGTTAATGTCAGGATTTTCATTTTTCTAGGATAAATTTTGAAGTAAAAGAAACACTAAGCCCATCAAACTTGGCTTATACGAACAAACAATTACCTTTACATGTTGATCTTCCTTCGATGAATAATCCTCCTAATGTAAGTCCACGCTTAATCCACGAAATGTCATGAATATCATGATTTCCCCATGGCGTAACTAGACATTTTTCAATGGAGGTCGTAGCTTTTGTGATTTAGTCACAGACACGTGACAGTAGTATTCATTTGATGAAATTTATATAATTATAAACACTAAAGAGTAAAAATAGTTACGAATGATACAGCATTAACCAACAAAAATCACGCTATTTGTCTAAGGATAAATTTAAAGTTGAAGAAGTCAATATATACATTTCCCTCCTACAAATCTACGAGGTTTATGTTGTATTATATATTTAAATAACATTCTGTGAAATTCTAGGTTCAAGTGCTGCATTGCATCAAGCAAAGCTCTGGTGGTGGAGATAGCTTATTTCTTGACGGGTTTTATGTGTCCAAGAATATTTTTCTCCAAGATGCGAGAGCATTTGAACTACTGAGAAGCTTTTATGTGCCATTTGTGGATATTGGTTCGACGCTTTCGGGGATTTCAAATTTGGATGCTCTCACAGTATAATTAAGTATGATTTTTACACATTAATACTATATTTTTGTTTTGCAGCAAAGTTATTTGGATCTGATTTTCTAAAGTATTAACCTGAAAATTTGAATGGGTAACCAGATTTGAATACATTTATAATAACGATTTACACGACAATCATTTTTTATACAGCACTCCTAAATAACGGCACGGCAATCAATGTACACTGTTACAAAAAAAACAATGTACAATGTAAGGTCTTTTATGTTTTTCTTGAACGACGATTTAATTGGAAGAAAAGTCATCTCTCCTATATTCCAGGGTTGGAAGATCTTAGATTGTTGGTGTAAAATAAATTTGGATTTTATTCATCCACCAAAATGATGATTTGTAATACATGCCGACTATTTCATCTTTTGCGATATTTTAGAATAAACAAACATGGCCGGATCTCAAGTTTCAAATACAACGGATTTGTGGAGTCAGAATCTAAAGGTGATTGTACTCCAGACGAACTGCTTGAGTATTACGATGCTCTATTTGTTCTTACATCTCATTTGAAAGATCCCAAGAGCATTATTGATCATCGTTTGAAGCCTGGTCAAATCATTATGTTTCACAATGATCGAGTTTTACACGGAAGAAGTAAACTGGTTTCGCCACAAAAGAAATTAAATGAAAGATGGTTGCAAGGTGTATATTTTGAGTGGGATGTCATTTTTTCAAAACTTCGAAGTCTGCAGGAAAAACTTGGTCTTCTTACTCCATATTTACCCGAGCAGGTTGACGAATTTTTTTGAAGAAATCATGCAGAGATCAATATATTTTCTATCTCTCCGGAAACAACGAAACGTGTTTCATCTATTGATTTTCTGACATTTACTATCCTCGTTCCCAGGCGCTTTCGCGTACTTCTTTTTTATACGTGGGCTGCCCGCAAAACAAATCGCTCATTCAGACGTCGGGTTATTATTGTAGGCCTGGGGACGAGGTAGGACATTTACTGTAAAAGGATCGGGCAATCAGGACCCGCTTGCACAAAGACCGAATAGCATTATCCACTGGATAGCAAATATTTTAGAAAATTCGAAAAATCTCCTTTAAGGGAAAAATATACGATTTGAACTGAGCAATCATTGAAATAAAATATTGCTTCTAATATTACAAAATTTCTTTGTCCTAAGGAATATATAAACACATTTTTTTACAAATTTGAAAATTTTACTATCCAATGGATAACACCATACAGGCTTTGTGCAACCGGCCCCAGGTTTCTAACGCTATAATCATAAATGATTTGTTCATAACAATTAAAAAAAAAATTTTGCTTGATGCATGGCTGGAATTTCGTGTTAATAAATAGGCTTTAAGAATCTAGAAAATCTAATATACCCTTATGCGTTATATTAATTGAGATTGCTTGAAGATATGTTGTAACAAAGCAAATAAGCAATATGCATGCTCTACGCACTAACAGTGGTACATAGCTATAAATTTTCTACGTTTTTAGCGTTTACCTGTGTACATATGAATTATGAAACGATTCGAATACGTTAGCTACGTGTAAGAGTAGACCCAAACTTTTGTAAAGATGACAGAAAAATCTCTGTTTTTAAAAATCCGAATACTTATAGACAGAGCATATAAAACGCGAATGTGATCGAGGGGTTTTTTGATCAGTCGCAATATACATTTGTACGACTATGATTTTTTGGAAGTGTAAAAATGAGTTTTAAAATAATTTAACGTAAATAAATAAAAATTCAGAACAAAACACAAGTATCACATAAAGAACTGAAAATGAAACATAAAATTGTAAAGTATACTACTCAATGTTTTGTCATCATGCATAATGAGAAATTATGGAGAAATGATTGAGTCTATTTTGGTATTTTAGTCTGTTTTAGTCGTTGTTTTGTCGACAAGAGGATCTGTATTTAGAGTTTTCAAAGTTATTCCTTTCCAAAGGTGATGCTATTTTCAAACCATTCCATGAAAATAAATAAATGTTCATCATTTTCTTAGAGCAGCTTAGCAGCTGAGAACTCTGCCAAATGCCAAAGTGCTTTTCAACTTAAATATCATATGTCTTATGTATATCCTGTTATGTTAGATATGTTAGATTACTGTGTCAAAAATTTCAATGCAAAACATCAATCAACAGAGTAAATGGCTTGAGCCTGGGAGTATCGCTACATATTTTTAGATGTAGATCGTCCAGGTTAGTAGAGTCCTCAAAAGAGTCATTTTGACTCTGAAGATTACTACTGCTAAGGTTGTCGAAACGTCAGTCAACAACAACAAAAGCAGTCCTTCTCAGGACTCTACTAACCTGAATGATCTACATCTACAGCATGTGACATCAATCAACGTCCATCAGTCTTGGGCCTATTTTTGAGGTAATTTTGAAGTTTTGGTTCATTCAACATTGCAGTGTAAGTCTTTGTTAGACCTGGATAATTGGCAAGTATTGGTGGAACTTCCAGTTGACCAGAAAGAATAAAACCATTAACAAAACAAAAAAAGTTAATGTCAGCATATGTCACCTACACAATAAATGACAGAGTTATCACGTGATTATCACATGGCTATCACATGTTTGCTTCAGTAAATACCTTCTCTCCAAAGAAATATGTTTGCCCTTTGCAATTTTTTTGAAATATCTTTTCAAAATATGATAGATTTTTGGGTAAATAATTATCATTCAGGTCTTGCTTTACTTTTTCCTAAAAATGAAATGTTAGAATGTAAGATCCTTTATAGCCATAGAGTAAACACAATAACTTTCCTTACCTTTTCAGGACTTTTAGTAAACCACATTTTAATAACTTTTAAGACACAATCTTGTATTTGATCAACAATGCCATCAGCCAATGCAGTTTCCAGACTAGTTTCTGGCATGAAACCTTATGATCAAAGTACAGTGTAAAATCACTAAAATATTTTTTTTTCATTTACTATAAGTTTATATTATATCCTTGTGGAACATTATTTGAAGTATAGGCTCAGGTTAAATGCCATATAGCAAATTGGGAGGGAAACGTAACAATATAAACCATGAAACTCCTCACATTTATTCATTCAATCCTACACAATGATAACTAAAAAACATTTCATGTAATCTTTTCATTCTTCCATAGCCATTGCTGATATAAAAACAGTTTTTCCAAAATAGAAAACACTGGCATTGATTGATGCATCAAACCCAGCAAAAAAACTGCAACTGCGCAACATGTAAATATTTCATAAATGTTTACCATGTTCTCTTGACAAGAAGCGAAGAATAGCCATACTTTGAGCTAAGATCACATCGTCGAACTCAAGAATTGGTAACTGACCAAAAGGAGGTATGCCATCTAAATTAAACCACATAAATTATGTTGGAGACATAAATAGCAAAAAGTTGAGGTTCCAAAGCACAATACTGCATCTAAATTACATCCAAATACAACTTACACATCGACAGCTCAAAACAGATTACTGTATTTACTGAAAGTGGAAAGTTCTTTAAAAATAACAATGCATAACATTAAAAGTCTGTCAGTCACAAACCTTTATTTAAAGCAACTAAATCCTCATCATTAAGATTCCGATTATCTTCCCAATCAACTCCTGCCAAAGACAAAATAATTCGGATCGGTTCAGCTCTTGCTCGAAGAGGAAAATAACTCAGTTTATAGCGACGATTGGCTGCCATTACATTACGCAATTGATAAACATTACGCACCATTGAACTAAAATACGTGGAACGCTACCTCATATCTTACGCCAAAACGCGAGATTTTACCCCGGACACGCGTGTTTAGTGTTTCGAGATTCTCTCGCGGAGTAATAATTGATTGACTACACACGCGTGTCTAGGGTAAAATCTCGGCTTCAAAAAATTATCTGGGTTTTGTATTACAGGTAGCGTTCCATGTATTTTAGTTCAATGTTACGCACTGACTGCAACAGGCAACAGACCAAGAACCCCAGACCACAGACCGTGTGCAGATCAATGGTGTAAGTACCACTGCCATTGGTGCCTGCAGGCCACAAAGAAAGGTAGCAACAGCAACCAACTAATAGCAACTAGCAACCAAACAACCATAATTATGGCAGTGGTAGCCAGGCGAAGGAAGAAATGAAAAACGTTAAAACTAAAAAATATGTGTTTCTTAGTGTAAATAACTTAGTATTATGATATGGCAAGCGTCACTTCCGGCTAAATGGCGCGCTTTGATTGGCTCAGAAACATTTTTGCCTGTCCATTATTTTCCCGTAATCGACCACGGTCCAAAACGCGTAATTTTACTGGCAAATAAATAAAGTATGCATTGCACCAAGCAAAACTTTAGTGGTAGAGTCAGCTTCTTTCTTGACGGATTTTATGTCTCCAAAATATACTAATACAGAATGCCACCTTTCAAGATGGCGCCCGTAAATAAATTTGCCTCACCATGACAACGGCAGTTAGATACAAAGAGTTCCGCACCAAAAAAATGGCGACATTCAAAATTGAAGGAGCGAGGAATTTTGAAATTCAACCGCGAAATACTAAAAACTGCAGCTTTTAGAAGTGACAATAAAAGAATATCAAACAGTAAGTGACTTTCTATATATTTTGAGAATTTTGCGCCCTTCCTTGAGGTGTCCAACGAAACTCATTTTTAAAGCATATTTTTGAGGCACAGATCACGGACTACAAGCTTTTAAAGGAGTTGCTGTTGATCTTTGTAAGTGGTTGATCTTAGTAAAAAAGAATAGGAGTCCTAAATTTGTCTTAAAAAAAATGCTAGATATATTAAAGTAATAGGAACTAACTCAAATCAACAACAACAAGCAATCGTTTACTTGCAAATTGTAATGGAACAAAAATGTACTTACTCTCGCAAAAACAAGGCAATTGTTGTTGTCCATTACACCTCTTGATTTTACGTCATGGACCCAACCACAAACAAAAAAGTTGTAAGCTTCAAGACTTTTACATGCTTTCATTTGTTTCTTCGTATAAAATGAAGTTTGAACGACCAAATAATTTGAAATGTCAGGAAACTGCAAGTTAGGGAAATTGTTATGATCGGTTAAAAAGTCACTCTTTTTTAGAGAATATGGATCCAGTCCATCACATAAGGAAAGCTTCTCTTGGTATCTTGACTTTGCCTTTGGTTGAAGAGATAAAAAGTACTCGGGTACTAAATTTTTCATTGTTGCTGTTGTCTTAGTTATAGTAGCATTGGCCGCCATCTTAGTTCTTTGGCCCTTCACTTGAAAGCCGTAAAAACATTTTGAAGCAATAAATCACGTGATTGCAGACAAAGCGGGCTCTGTTTCAGCAACTTTTATTTGGTTGTCGTGACAGTCAGAAGCACAGAATAGATATATACAGAAGCGCCACTCGATGTCGGAACCAGTTATTCGGTTATCATTCCAGTTATTCAAATGTTCTCGACATTTGAATAACTGGAATGATAACCGAAGCCAAAAATTGAAGCCAAAAAAACATTTGTCGTCATCATTCGTCATTATACGTCAGGCTCTAGTCTCTCGCGTGTTCAGTTTAATTTTTTTTAATCATTTTTCCCTTGGTAATGGTAGAGTTCGGATCATGATCAGAGCGTAAAAAAAAAGAAATTTTTGGAATGAAAAGGTTCACGGAAAGTGAATCAAAGTGATAAATCGAAAAGCAAGGTCAGGTGAACTTAGCCGATCTGCTATTACGCTGCGGTTTTCCTTTAAAATATATCAAAGTCTTTAAGGATATTCAATTATTGATATCGAGATGACAACCATTTAGTACTTGAAACACTATCAAAATCGATGAAAATGACAATCGCTTTGTAAAAGTAAAATGCGAGTTATAGACTCAATATTTTTTATGAAACTGGATGTTCAAGTTTTCTTTTTTTTCGGAAAAACAGATCTTTAAATCCACTTAAAAGACAAAAAAGACAAACACTGTTTGACACCATTTGAAAATTTACCTTCCGATGTAAGAAAAATTTTTGCTTGAATATTTTCTCGTCATATTTTCTTATTGTGTTGTCTTTTTAGCATACAGTGTAATTTTCAGTTGGCTTTTCCTCGTAACAAGTTGTAAGTTACAACGAAATCACTGTAGTAAAGTTTCAGCTGTAAAAATAACCTTTTGAAGAGTTGGCCTCGTGTGCTTTTTGTCGTGATGTTGTTTATATGTTTATGCTTTTGCAATTTGTATTCAAATTTATATTGGCCGTGTATGTTTGGCACTCAGGGGAATGAAACTGACGTACAAACCGCGTGAATATTCGACTTTGAAGGACTGGAACTGACGTACAAACCGCGCAAGAGACTAGGACTTTAGCTTCAATTTTATATCTATAAAATGTATTGTCGTTATCATTCCATATATATATATATATGGAGTTCACTGATGCAGCCAGATCGCAATATAATATATAGTTCTACGGATGGGTTTTGGCAAATAAACCCAAATATTTCTATAGATTGGCCATTTTTTTAATATTTTTTTGTGTGGATACAGTTAACACATCAAGCTCTCAACAATTTATCATTAATTCGACGTCCGTTTTGATAAATGAGGGTTTATTCGGAATATTTACAAAGTAGATATGTATCTGACGAGATGCGTACTCGGTATATGGTTTGTCGTCAGTTTTAATTTTATCATATAAGAATTCTGCAGAGAATCTTGAAGACATTTGTTCTAACATTTGAAATCTCGGTCGTGGCTGAAAGAAGTGACAAATCAAATTATCCTCCAGTTAGTTTATAAATTTCAAACAACGTTTGGCAGGACATTCGAATCACCAAAATTGTCTACCCAGGTGTTTTAAACTATCAGAAGCGATGCTGCATGGTCACTATGAAAGTCATCTGATGCCAAAATATTTTGTATTCATCACAGTTGTGACTTGTGAAGCTTGAATGACTTTTTGAGCAAGTTGGAACATAAGCAGCAGCATGTTGGCCTCCACCAATAAAGTGCTTAAATAGCAATTTGTAAAACATATACTGTCATATGGTCCACATGACTTAACTTTGTTATTTCTGCCTTTTTAAATTCAATCAGGAGATTATTTATATATTTGACATGGATGCTTATTGATGATGTGAGAAGTGAACATAAAAAGCTTCCTGAATGCTTTTGTGAATTGGATTGGTGTTGGCTTGGCACAGTTTCCCTGTCAAATGTTTTAAAAAGTTTTCTGGTGTATCTGTGTTTCACCTTTGGTAAACATTTTACTGTGTAAAGTATTACGATTGCATTAAGAGTAACTATAACTGGTTTTTGTCAGAATAAGTTCTGTTTGTGACATGATTACTTACAATAAAAATTTTAATTTACTGAATGAAGTTTATGGATTTTAGCAAAATTAAATTTTCAAGCCCTTTGTTGCAATAATTTTTCTCTGCTGGTTGATCAATGCGTGAATCAAACATAATTCTAATAATTTTCACATACAATTGTTGGTCACAACTCACAAGTGAAGTTTAACCAAAGAGGTAAGCTGTAGGAGCTTGACAATATGTTTGACATAATGGTAAAGTTGTTAATTTAATTGTAACAATTTATCAATAACTTCATTCTTTAAAGAATTGTAATTTCATATATTGTTTATTAAAAATAAGACAACAAAAAACATCTTTATTTGTAAGTTAATACAAATTTGACAGACATGATAGCCACAGGAACTCAATATACAATTACAAATAAAACTTTCAATTACAATTATGCAGACAAGCTACATTGCAAATAAAAGCCCTGATTCAAGAATCAAATATAAATTAGTTTAGTCCAAATTTTATACTAATAACGTCTTCATCTGAAGAACGTTCTTTACGCAAAGTAGGTCTTTATCGCTTCTATCAAATCCGTTGACCATTCTAATAGGAAACTCTTTACTAGAAAATACAGAAATGGAATCACACTAAATATATTTATTACTTTTGTCCTAAATTATAAATTCTTAGGGCAACTGCCGTTCAATATAAGAGACGTTCTAAACATGGATCTCGCATACAATTCAAGGCAAGAAACTATAAAACCCGTAAAAATATATTTGAAGAACGTATTTTACAACAAAACTGTTTCTCACCTCATATGCTTGGTATTCTATCCGATGGCATTAAAAATTTTGTCCATAAGTGAAATTAAATTCGTCAAATTTTCGAAAAACAACATAATATTAATCACTTCATAATATTAATCTATATACATTCTGGCCAGTTTATCTGGCTGAGTAATGGCGGACGCAAAAGATGCGCACTTAAGAACTGGGTACAAGTAGGGGACAGATTTTTCGCTCAGTGGCGCTTCTGTATATATCTATTCTGTGGTCAGAAGGTTATAAAGTTTGTCTTTGCATCAGGTAAAATCGTTGAACGAACGAAAATATGTTTTTGAGGACGAAAATTTCTCTGTGCAACTCTTTGTACATTGCTAGAAAGGCTTTTCTTACGTCACGAAAATTTTTGGGATGTTATTCACTCAAGGAGGTCAACGAGGCAAATAAAATCAGAGAACTTTCCACTCTTCTAGGTAAATGTGTTGAACTTAAATTTTTTATTGAACGATGTTATGTGCTATACATTTATGTGCAACACAAAAATCTCTCCAACTCTGTTATAGCGATGCAGTCAAACAAATATTTTTCTTAAATATGCATAAAATATTTGAGAGGTTTTTTTAGTTTTAAAGAACCTATTAAGGACCTATTAAGGCAAGACAAAGATATTAGGTTAAAAAATTTTTCTCCATTATTTCGAAATATTACAAAGATTACTTATTTAAAATATATATTTATATGTACGTAGTCACGTAGTCAGCCGATGCTAACTGATCTTGTTGTACTACGTTTCTCGAACCGTTAAAACATTTCTTGATCTTGACAAGTTGTTTCAACAATATCATATGTTCGAGTGGCAAATTTCACTTAAATTAAACCATTTTTATGTGCCTGTAGCATTTTAGATGTGTTTCAAAGAATATATATTCAATGAAACATGCAGTTTGTGATGCTTGGTAAACTTTGGATATTGGGAAATACGATATGGCATAAGCACATGATAATTGCATGCTGACTGCTGTTTAACCTGTTTTGGCGAGGGCAGGTTTTTGTAGGTCCAAATTTGGCGAAGGCTTTTTTTGCTTGTTATTCATTACTAGATTTGAGCATAAATATAGTAGGTGTAGATTACTGACGAGCCGCCATATTGCGTGACATCCATGATAAATCCAAGATGGCGTGGGAACAGGGCAAAAAACATAGAGTCACTATAGGGCAATTGATGTTTTTCACAATTTACTTCTTCTCATTGTTTTCAAACTCTTCCAATGAAGTTTTATTGGAAACAAATCTTTATGTCAAGTGTTTTAAAACCATATTGGACAGTTATAATTGAAATACGGGTGAAAATATCGCTTTGGAAATATTGTGTAAATTGGTCGTTTGGTTGTCTCAAGTCGTTTGTCCACTAAGAGAAACAGATTTTTTCAGCTTTAACTCCCATACTGATTTGTTGCGCATCGGAATATGTCATATTGACAATTTACAGAAAGATTGGGGAATCAATCTGAATATTTCTGACAAAAAAGCGACTTATTCGAGAAAGCACTCCCACTGTACTCGTACTGATATGTGAGATATGTGAGATTCAAACACGGTTTAGAAAGGCCATCCGACTTTGAGTGAATGAAAAGAGGAGCAAGGAGATACATAACACTGCAGCACTATTATCTACTGACAAGATCTTAGTGAAGCTATTAAAGTTAGTAAACTTAACTGAAGGAAACTTACCTCATCTCAAGTAATTGTATCCAGGAGCATTGGCTATACTGATGAGATCTTACAGCTAAGTGGTTCAACGAAAGAGAAGGAGCTTATGTTCAGAAGCTTGTTGTATTACCAGTGGTTATTTCAAAATCTGACATAATAACATTCTAACACATAACCCAAGATAGTGTTACAATACTATTTTTTGAGAGAGTTATAAAGCTCTGTATGAAGTATTTTTTTACCAGAGCTAAGGTGTTCATTAAATTTATATATTATCATATGAAATATTTGATATGGAGGTCATCGGTGGCATATCCAGAATGAATGTTTTACACTTGCTATGTAAATTTCATTGCATGATTGCTTATTTCATTAGAAATCTATTGTTTTTACAGTGAGTGAACACAGCAACATTGGGATAGCATGACCAAATAAAAATGCTGGCTATGGCTGAGATTATTATAAGATATAGCTGTGAATAAAATATATGTGACTTTTATGCTTATCATACTTAGTTATAGTATATGTTTTTATTATGCTATAGCTATAACACCATCTATGATACCAGTTGTTTCCAATGGCAATACAATTTTATAACTACAAATGTCTAAATTGCATCACATTATTAACATGCAACTAATGACTTCTGACAAAAATTGTATCATACTGCTCAGTTGGTTCATGCGATGACCATAGTGGTTTTGTGATGACCATATCACCATCCTCATCAGAAAAATAGCATACATGTACAGTAAAATATTTGTACACCAGTTTCCTAAAGTGTAGTCCGAGAGAATCGTTCGTAAAGGAGCTCCATCTAAGCGGCAAAAGCTGACAAAACTCATCCTTTTTGGAAACGATTAAGACTCTGTCTGTTAAGTGTCAACACATATTTGAAGATTGAAAGAACGAATAGCATCTTGAAGTGAAATTTGTGTAAAAAATATGAAGATTAATTTTCCCATCTTTTTGTATGTATTCAATATGATGTATTTCAACGTGGACGAACCAGTATGGGAGGTAAAGCAGACGAAATCCGTTTATTTTGGTAGACAAACGCCTCGAGACAACCAAACGACCAATTTACACAACACTTCGCAAGCGATATTTTCGCACGTATTCCAATAATAATTGTCCAATATGGCTTCAAAACATTATTAATAACGCTTTGTTTCCAATAAAACTTTATTGGAGGAGTTCGAAAACACTGAAACGAAGTAAACTGCAAAAAACAACAATTGCCTAATAGTAGCCCCAAGTTTTTTGCCCGGTTCCCGCGCCATCTTCGATTTATCATGAATGTCACGCTGCCGTCTTATATTACGTCACACTCGTCAGCAATCTGGTTCTATTATATCTATGGATTTGAGCCTCTACATTTGTAATTATTGGGTACAAACATTAAACACAGACTATCAGAAACAAAACTGTCATCCTTTTAGATCATCTTACAGCTTTGTTATTTTTTATTCCAAAAAATAGATGTTGAACTGCTTATATGATATATCAAATCAAACAATTTCTGGTGGTTTGGGAAAACGCGTGTTAAATAAATGCTCTTTTGAAATTTGATAGTCAGAAGTTATTAACAACCTTATTTTTTATGAGACGCACAACTAGATCCTTCGACCCTTGGTTTAAAGAAAAAGGTATTGATTGATAGTATTGACTCAAGTGTCGATGAGAGATGTTTAAGGGTGAATTGGAGTGATGGTTCATTCTCAAGATATCCATATGCATTTTTACGTAATAACTGCAAATGTCCTCAATGTTACGATCCAGCCTCAAATCAATTACTTTTCGATACAATCAAAGATTTGACTGTGGATACCAAAGCAAAAGCACTTACAATTTCTGATGATGGAAAATTTGTGAATTGTACGTGGCAAGATGATCATCACAGTACATATTCTCTAGAATGGCTTTATAAAATGAGAATGCCAGAACAAAAAAAAGAACGTAATAAGGACAGTATAGTTAAAGATGAGCTATTTTTGTGGAACAGAAAACTGATGCAAGAACAAATACTTCGCTATGATTATCATGCATTGATGAATGAAGATCAAATGTTGTTTGATTTTTTGTACAACTTTTACCAACAAGGAATAATTTTGATGGAAAATGCTCCGTTAAGACCAGACGTCGTCATGGAGATCGCTCAACGCTTTGGACACCATAAAAATACGCATTATGGGCAAGTTATACATTAACAAATCTGAACAAATATTTATTCATTTATTACCAGCTGCTCTTGTGTTGTTTCAATGTTTGGGTCGAAGAGTGAAACAAAATGGTTAATGTCAGGATTTTCATTTTTCTAGGACAAATTTTGAAGTAAAAGAAACACTAAACCCATCAAACTTGGCTAATACGAACAAACAATTACCTTTACATATTGATCTTCCTTCGATAAATAATCCTCCTAATGTAAGTCCACGCTTTAGTCCACGAAATGTCATGAATATCATGATTTCCCATGACGTAGCTAGACATTTTTCAATGGAGGTCGTAACTTTTGTGATTTAGTCACAGACGCGTGACAGTATTCATTTGATGAAATTTATATAATTATAAACACTAAAGAGTAAAAATAGTTACGGATGATACAGCATAAACCAACCAAAATCACGCTATTTGTCTAAGGATAAATTTAAAGTTGAAGAAGTCAATATATACATTTCCCTCCTACAAATCTACGAGGTTTATGTTGTATTATATATTTAAATAACATTCTGTGAAATTCTAGGTTCAAGTGCTTCATTGCATCAAGCAAAGCTCTGGTGGTGGAGATAGCTTATTTCTTGACGGGTTTTATGTGTCCAAGAATATTTTTCTCCAAGATGCGAGAGCATTTGAACTATTGAGAAGCTTTTATGTGCCATTTGTGGATATTGGTTCGGTCGGGGATTATAAATTTGGATGCTCTCACAGTATAATTAAGTATGATTTTTACACATTAATACTATATTTTTGTTTTGCGGCAAAGTTATTTGGATCTGATTTTTTAAAGTATCAACCTGAAAATTTGAATGGGCAACCAGATTTGAATACATTTATAATAACGATTTACACTACAACACTCATTTTTTATACAACACTCCTAAATAACGGCAAAGCAATCAATGTACACTGTTACAAAAAAAAAACAACGTATAATGTAAGGTCTTTTATGTTTTTACTTGAACGACGATTTAAATGGAAGAAAAATCATCTCTCCTTTATTCCAGGGTTGGAAGATCTTAGATTGTTGGTGTAAAATAAATTTGGATTTTATTCATCCACCAAAATGATGATTTGCAATACATGCCGACTATTTCATCTTTTGCGATATTTTAGAACAAACAAACATGGCCGGATCTCAAGTTTCAAATACAACGGATGGGTGGAGTCAGAATCTAAAGGTGATTGTACTCCAGACGAACTGCTTGAGTATTACGATGCTCTATTTGTTCTTACATCTCATTTGAAAGATCCCAAGAGCATTATTGATCATCGTTTGAAGCCTGGCCAAATCATTATGTTTCACAATGATCGAGTTTTACACGGAAGAAGTAAACTGGTTTCGCCAGAAAAGAAATTAAATGAAAGATGGTTGCAAGGTGTATATTTTGAGTGGGATGTCATTTTTTTAAGACTTCGAAGTCTGCAGAAAAAACTTGGTCTTCTTACTCCATATTTACCGAGCAGGTTGACGAATTTTTGAAGAAATCATGCAGAGATCAATATATTTTCTATCTCTCCGGAAACAACGAAACGTGTTTCATCTATTGATTTTCTGACATTTACTATCCTCGTTCCCAGGCGCTTTCGCGTACTTCTTTTTTATACGTGGGCTGCCCGCAAAACAAATCGCTCATTCAGACGTCGGGTTATTATTGTAGGCCTGGGGACGAGGTAGGACATTTACTGTAAAAGGATCGGGCAATCAGGACCCGCTTGCACAAAGACCGAATAGCATTATCCACTGGATAGCTAAGATTTTAGAAAATTCGAAAAATCTCCTTTAAGGGAAAAATATACGATTTGAACTGAGCAATCATAGAAATAAAATATTGCTTCTAATATTACAAAATTTCTTTGTCCTAAGGAATATATAAACACATTTTTTTACAAATTTGAAAATTTTACTATCCAATGGATAACACCATACAGGCTTTCTGCAACCGGCCCCAGGTTTCTAACGCTATAATCATAAATGATTTGTTCATAACAATTAAAAAAAAAATTTGCTTGATGCATGGCTGGAATTTCGTGTTAATAAATAGGCTTTAAGAATCTAGAAAATCTAATATACCCTTATGCGCTATATTGAGATTGCTTGAAGATATGTTGTAACAAAGCAAATAAGCAATATGCATGCTCTACGCACTAACAGTGATACATAGCTATAAATTTTCTACGTTTTTAGCGTTTACCTGTGTACATATGAATTATGAAACGATTCGAATACGTTAGCTACGTGTAAGAGTAGACCCAAACTTTTGTAAAGATGACAGAAAAATCTCTGTTTTTTAAAAAATCCAAATACTTGTAGACAGAGCATATAAAACGCTAATGCGGTCGAGCGAAAATTGTAAAGTATACTACTCAATGTTTTGTCATCATGCATAATGAGAAATTATGGAGAAAGTATTGAGTCTATTTTAGTATTTTAGTCTGTTTTAGTCGTTGTTTTGTCGACAAGAAGATCTGTATTTAGAGTTTTCAAAGTTATTCCTTTCCAAAGGTGATGCTATTTTCAAACCATTCCATGAAAATAATTAAATGTTCATCATTTTTTAGAGCAGCTTAGCAGCTGAGAATTCTGCCAAATGCCAAAGTGCTTTTCAACTTAAATATCATATGTCTTATGTATATCCTGTTATGTTAGATATGTTAGATTACTGTGTCAAAAATTTCAATGCAAAACATCAATCAACAGAGTAAATGGCTTGAGCCTGGGAGTATCGCTACATATTTGTAGATGTAGATCGTCCAGGTTAGTAGAGTCCTCAAGAGTCATTTTGACTCTGAAGATGACTACTGCTAAGGTTGTCGAAACGTCAGTCAACAATAACAAAAGCAGTCCTCAGCACTCTACTAACCTGAATGATCTACATCTACAACATGTGACATCAATCAACGTCCATCAGTCTTGGGCCTATTCTTGAGGTAATTTTGAAGTTTTGGTTCATTCAACATTGCAGTATAAGTCTTTGTTAGACCTGGATAATTGGCAAGTATTGGTGGAACTTCCAGTTGACCAGAAAGAATAAAACCATTAACAAAACAAAAAAAGTTAATGTCAGCATATGTCACCTACACAATAAATGACAGAGTTATCACGTGATTATCACATGGCCACCAGATGTTTGTTTCAGTAAATACCTTCTCTCCAAAGAAATATGTCTTCCCTTTGCAATTTTTTTGAAATATCTTTTCAAAATATGACAGATTTTTGGGTAAATAATTATCATTCAGGTCTTGCTTTACTTTTTCCTAAATATGAAATTTTAGATTGTAAGATCCTTTATAGCCATAGAGTAAACACAATAACTTTCCTCACCTTTTCAGGACTTTTGTTCTGAATTATGACACGCGTGTTTAGTGTTTCGAAATTCTCTCGCGGAGTAATAATTGATTAACTACACACGCGTGTCTAGGGTAAAATCTCGGCTTCAAAAAATTATTTGGGTTTTGTATTACAGGTAGCGTTCCATGTATTTTAGTTCAATGTTACGCACTGACTGCAACAGGCAACAGACCAAGACCCCCAGACCACAGACCGTGTGCAGATCAATGGTGTAGGTACCACTGCCATTGGTGCCTGCAGGCCACAAAGAAAGGTAGCAACAGCAACCAACTGATAGCAACTAGCAACTAAACAACCATAATTATGGCAGTGGTAGCCAGGCGAAAGAAGAAATGAAAAACGTTAAAACTAAAAAATATGTGTTTCTTAGTGTAAATAACTTAGTATTATGATATGGCAAGCGTCACTTCCGGCTAAATGGCGCGCTTTGATTGGCTCAGAAACATTTTTGCCTGTCCATTATTTTCCCGTAATCGACCACGGTCCAAAACGCGTAATTTTACTGGCAAATAAATAAAGTATGCCATTGCACCAAGCAAAACTTTAGTGGTAGAGTCATCTCCTTTCTTGACAGATTTTATGTCTCCAAAATATACTAATACAGAATGCGAAATCATTTGAAGTATTGAAATGTTTTTATGTGCCATTCTCGGTTCTCAGGCTTTTAAGGATTATAAAATTTGGGTAAATATATAGTGGTGTCTACTGACACTGAAATATATTTGGACCTCAATTACTAGGAATGAAAACTGAAATTCAGAAATCTTCTACTTGCATACAAAGTCGTTAAAACAAAGTTTTATTGGTGAACACAAATTTCATTTGGTAAGAAAGTGTTATATCTTTCTTATATCAAAAATTTCAATGCAAAGTGTCAATCAACGTTTAGATTTGGGCCTATTCTTGAGGTAATTTTGAAGTTTTGGTTCATTCAACATTGCAGTGTAAGTCTTTGTTAGACCTGGATAATTGGCAAGCATTGGTGGAACTTCCAGTTGACCAGAAAGAATAAAACCATTAACAAAACAAAAAAAGTTAATGTCAGCATACGTCACCTACACAATAAATGACAGAGTTATCACGTGATTATCACATGGCCACCAGATGTTTGTTTCAGTAATTACCTTCTCTCCAAAGAAATATGTCTTCCCTTTGCAATTTTTTTGAAATATCTTTTCAAAATATGACAGATTTGGGGGGTAATAATTATCATTCAGGTCCTGCTCCATTTTTTCCTAAAAATGAAATGTTAGAATGTAAGATCCTTTATAGCCATGAAGTAAACACAACAACTTACCACTTCTTTAGGATCCTTAATATAACAAGGTTTAACAGCTTCTAACACACAATCTTGTATTTGATCAACAATGCTATCAGCAATTGCAATTTCCAAACTACTTTCAGGAACAAACCCTTAGAATTAGAAGGCATAATGAATGCATTAAAATATTACGTACATTCACTGCAAGTTTATTTTATCGGTACGCATCAAACTAAAAAACGTATTGATTAGCGTTTTCAAGAGCGTACCAGTATGGACTCTTTCTTGGAGCTAGAAGTATTACTTCTAATTGTGGAGCATTATTTAAATTAGAGTCAAGTTAACGTTGTTTATATGAACCAGTTAGCCTTGTGTATTTTCTAGCTCCAAGCAAGAGTCCATACTAGTACGCTCTTGGGAACGCTCATCAATACGTTTTTTAGTTTGATTTTTTACGAGAGAAGAAGCTATTTGCATTTCTTTGTGAGTACTCTACGCGAGGCTTTTATATCAACGGTACGAGAAGAGGCAAATAAGGTTAAGTGCGTATGCTTTAGTTATGCAAACGGGGAGAACTAAAATAGCTCTAGGATTTGCTATTTCTTATGATTTAGGAGATATTCACTACATTGAATTTCATCGTTATGTCACAACAATTGAATATCAAACAGAAAAATAGGAGGAAAACGTGATATTTTAAACTTAGCAGGAAACTCTTTACTTTTATGATTATATTTATTCGATTCCACGCATATTGATATTTAAATTAAAATTATTTTATATATTTGTCATTCTTCCAATGCTATTGCTAATATAAAACAGTTTTTCCGGAACAGAAAACACTGGCATGGTTGATGCATAAAAACAGAGCAAAAACTGCAACATGCAAATATTTCATAAATGTTTACCATGCTCTCTTGACAAGAAGCGAAGAATAGCCATACTTTGAGCTAAGATCACATCGTCGAACTCAAGGATTGGTAACTGACCAAAAGGAGGTATGCCCTCTAAATTACAATCAAACAGTAGCGAGAGACTTGCCGAGCGGAAATCGGATTCGTGTAATAAAAATTAATGCCCAACATAAAGTTCTGATTAGAGCCATAGAAATAGACCAAAAAAAAACCAAATTGTAAAATCAAATTTATTGTAACGTTTCGTCTTTACTCAAGACATCTTCAGACAAATAATAAATGGGATGTTAAGACAAGATATTGTATTTACAAAAAGGTGTTAAATTACTACTAAAGGAGGCGGTGTCCAATGGATATATGATAGGGAAATTAGGAAATAAAATAAAGAGAAATTAAAAGAGGTTAAGTGGAATGGAGTTTCCTTGCACATTAAGTGAAGGCTTGTATTGATTGATTAGAAGGCTTTCATGAATGGAGAGTTCATAAGAATCGTTGGAAGAGGTGATTATTTTAAAGTCGTCTGTTGGGGTGTGTCCAGTTGCGTTAATGTGAGCAAGAATGCTTGACAACGCAGGGTGGGAAACTTGGTTGCCTGTAAGGGGGGATATTCCCAAGTGCTCCGAGAATCTGGTGTGTAGATGACGTGTGGTTTGACCCACACACGAGGCGTTGCAGCTTCGACACTTGAATATATAGACAATTTTATTTTATGAGCCCGCGTCTTTCCGCTGACTTTGACAACCAAAATCCGCCATGTTATTAGCGCGCGGCCGCGCGCTAATAATTTATAGTAATTTTGTTGACGTTTCCCCTCCAGGTCTTATAGAGCTCAATGGTTCACACGGCTCCGCTGCTATCCGATACGCTTTGTATCGTTTTCCGGAGCGATTTGACTCCGCTGTGGAAGTGGTATAAAAACCAATCCGATACGTTATTATAGAACTCAATGGATACGTTCCGTTGTCGTGTGAACGCTCGAATCCGATACGTTCCACTTTGGCAACTAAGAAGTCCGTGCGATTTTTCAAAAATGAAAGCAAACATAGCGATACAAACTATGTTTTAAATGAATAATCCGCCGGCAAATATAATATATCTTCAACATGGCATGTTTAAGCATTTAACAATGTATTATCGCAGTGTGAAAAGCTTCTTTCTAGTATTATTGTAATGGCAACATATATTCGGTCGTATTTGGACTTTACACTCTTCCAGTCCTTGCGTCCATTCATAAAAAACCTTAATACGCCTAAGAAAAAACTCTGCTTAGTTATCTGTCAAAAAAAATTCTCATTTTCTTACGAAATATTTGAATTAGCAACCATCGTCGTTATCGCTTGCACGCACAAGTACTGGGGCGATGTAAAAACCTATGTATCGTCTTACGAATTCGGCATCGTGTGAACAGAGTGCATTTTTCGTATCGGATTGCTCAGCGAATCCGGTACAAGACGAATCCGGTATCGTGTGAACGGGGCCTTAGTGTGGACGGAAGGCCTAGACGTGTTAGGCCTGTTTTATACGTGGTTTTTTACATGAGTCGAATGCATTCAAAACAAAAGATAACGAGGAATTTTATCTCATTATCTTCTGTCTCTAATGCATTCGACGCATGTAAAATGCGACATGTAAAACAGGCCTAAGAATGGACGAGCCTTATACATAACAATAATAGTTTATCATAAACCTTCATTTAAAGCAGTTATATCTTTTCCACCAAGATTCCGATTATCTTCCCAATCAACTCCAGCCAAAGACAAAATAATGCGAATCGGTTCAGCTCTTGCTCGAACAGGAAAATAACTCAGTTTATAGCGACGATTGGCTGCCATTGTGATATTGATTATGATGATGACACAACCGAGTCATATGAGTCATGACAACCCAACTTGGGCACGTATTGTTCTCTGAATTCTGTATGATGATTGGGTTAATATGGTTATGTAATACACAAAGTTCGGTTTCAGATTGCCTTTCATTCACTTATGTGGAAGTATTCAGCGTGGACTTTCGATTTTGTAATACATTTTAGAATAAATACTGGCGTATTTTCTCGTACCATCCACACGGTATGTAAATAGGCCACTTAGCTTTTCAGGCATGCCATATAATTGTAGTTGAAAATAAAATTGAATTTTATTCAATTTAGAATAATTGATTACTTGTTTCAATTTTTCTTGTATACGAAATAACTTATTGATACATATTCAAGTACAATGAGAATTATGAGATGCAATCGATTCATACAAAAACAGTCTGAAAGTTAAGAATGTCACAATGAATTATGTATATGAGAAGTGTTACTCAGGCTGTTTTTCAGGAGTTTGGTAAATCTTCAAAAAAATTCGCACAATTACTTTTATCCAACTCATGCCTCCATCTTGAAATGAATGAAATCTATTTAATGCCAGATGTAAATTTAAAGATGTCTCATACTTGTTGAAGAATAGTTGAACCCCTTTACCCTGGAACAAGTCAGTTGCATGAAGGTTGGGTGCTTGTATGGAAAAGAGATTAAGTTACTCCTCAACATCACTATTTTCATAAATGCTTCACTGCCGTGGCAGGCGAATTATCAGTGAATACTATGAACGACGAGTTTTTTAAAATAAACATGTTTCAACATCTCATGATGCCATCTTCAGTATTGTAAGGAATATTATGCATGTGATGAATATATATAGGAGTAATATGATACTGTGATACAATTTATACACTTATGAATAGATTATTATATTACAATGAAATAGTTACATGTTTGTAAATGTAGATCATCCAGGTTGGTATAGTCCTGAGAAGGACTGTTTTTGTTGTTGTTGACTGACGTTTCGACAACCATTTACTTTATTACAATGAAATAGTGGTTAGAATTAATGATGAAAGTATTTACAGGCTGACTATAGTGTTAAAACGAATATAGTGTTAATATTATATGTCTTATGTATATCCTGTTATGTTAGATATGTTAGATTACTGTGTCAAAAATTTCAATGCAAAACATCAATCAACAAAGTAAATGGTTTGAGCCTGGAAGTATTGCTACATATTTGTAGATGTAGATCGTCCAAATTAGTAGAGTCCTCAAAAGAGTCATTTTGACTCTGAAGATGACTACTGCTAAGGTTGTCGAAACGTCAGTCAACAACAACAAAAGCAGTCCTTCTCAGCACTCTACTAACCTGAACGATCTACATCTACAATATGTGACATCAATCAACGTCCATCAGTCTTGGGCCTATTCTTGAGGTAATTTTGAAGTTTTGGTTCATTCAACATTGCAGTATAAGTCTTTGTTAGACCTGGATAATTGGCAAGTATTGGTGGAACTTCCAGTTGACCAGAAAGAATAAAACCATTAACAAAACAAAAAAAGTTAATGTCAGCATATGTCACCTACACAATAAATGACAGAGTTATCAATGATTATCACATGGCTATCTTATGTTTGCCTCAGTAAATACCTTCTCTCCAAAGAAATATGTTTGCCCTTTGCAATTTTTTTGAAACATCTTTTCAAAATATGACAGATTTTTGGGGAAATAATTATCATTCAGGTCTTGCTTTACTTTTTCCTAAATACTGAAATTTTAGATTGTACGATCCTTTATAGTCATAGAGTAAACACAATAACTTTCCTTACCTTTTCAGGACTTTTAGTAAACCACATTTTAATAACTTTTAAGACACAATCTTGTATTTGATCAACAATGCCATCAGCCAATGCAATTTCCAGACTAGTTTCAGGCATGAAACCTTATGATCAAAGTACATTGTAAAATCACTAAAGTATTTTTTTTTCATTTACTATAAGTTTATATTATATCCTTGTGGAACATCATTTGAAGTATAGGCTCAGGTTAAATGCCATATAGCAAATTGGGAGGGAAACGTAACAATATAAACCATGAAACTCCTCACATTTATTCATTCAATCCTACACAACTAAAAAACATTTCATGTAATCTTTTCATTCTTCCATAGCCATTGTTGATATAAAAACAGTTTTTCCAAAATAGAAAACACTGGCATTGATTGATGCATCAAAACCATGCAAAAAAACTGCAACTGTGCAACATGCCAATATTTCATAAATGTTTACCATGTTCTCTTGGCAAGAAGCGAAGAATAGCCATACTTTGAGCTAAGGCCACATCGTCGAACTCAAGGATTGGTAACTGACCAAAAGGAGGTATGCCCTCTAAATTACAATCAAACAGCGTAAATTATATTGAATAGATGAATAGGATTAAACATAACAAATACTAAAAAGTTATAATTATAGGTTGAAATAACTGATTTATCTAAGTTACATTGAAATACACCATAGGGGTAGGAACAAATACGGATTCGTTTTTATCCACTTTCGACAGCGTTGCCAAACCTATATGGTTCAGTGGATCCGACCGCGTGCTAGTGTGGACGGAAGGCCTAGATGAGTTAGGCCTGTTTTATACGTGGTTTTTTCATGAGTCGAATTTCAAAACAAAAGATAACGAGGAATTTTATCTCATTATCTTTTGTCCCTAATGCATTCGACGCATGTAAAATTCAACATATAAAACAGGCCTAAGAATGGACGAGCCTTATACATAACAATAATAGTTTATCACAAACCTTAATTTAAAGCAGTTATATCTTTTTTACCAAGATTCCGATTATCTTCCCAATCAACTCCAGCCAAAGACAAAATAATGCGAATCGGTTCAGCTCTTGCTCGAAAAGGAAAATAACTCAGTTTATAGCGACGATTGGCTGCCATTACATTACGCAATTGATAAACATTACGCATCCAAGTCATTTGAAGTCATCTCAATTAAGTAATTTCAGTCGTTTGGATATAGAGCTCTGTCTAGAGACAATTGGCAATACTCTGATAGTTATAATATTTGAATTCGTTTCTTTTGTGGACGTTAACAGAATATTTAAGTTCAATGTAAAGTGGAAAATAAAAATAGCAATGATTTTTGCTTGCATTTATGATTTCAACCAATTTGGGTGCATTGAATGCAACGTTAATAAAACGTAAGGGGTATCTTGAGTTATTTAGTAGGCATAAGGAAAAATAGGAGAAGTTTCATATGAAAGAAGAGTTGAATAACTCCCTCATCACTTTTCCTGTCATATAGATATGAAACAAAAACTGGAAACAAACAAGCTTATAAAAAACAAATGTTAAAACAGTCACGTGACATGATCAGTTGTTAAGCTTGTTCGATCATTGAGTAATATATAGCCATAGAATTATGTAGCCTATGCAACAAAATACTTTTAATTGGGCATGAGAAGGACAGATAATTAAGTATCCATAAAAGTGTGGGTTATTTTTGTTCAGAAACAATCAATCTCGTGGCTTCAACATGCGTTTCTTAAATAATTTAGATCTTCTCAAAGACATGCGAGTTCGACCATGAGAAAACAACATTGTACTTGATACAGGATGAGGAAGTTCAATCCTTGATTGAGAATTTTCATTGCTACAATAGGTTTTCCTTCTTCTTTGATTGGTTGTGGTAAAGTTCCCGTACTTCTTTTCACATTTAACTAAAAAAGGCAAGCAATAAAGCTGTAAAATACAAATCACTAGTATGACACATCAAAACGTTCTCTAGTTTTGGTAATCACACAAATGCTATATAGATGCTTACATAATTGCTTTCTTTTCTTCATAGCACTTCTTGCTTCTTCCATAGCAGCCAAACGTTCCTTCAATGGAATACTGTTTGCTAATGCATAAAAAATCAGTACAAAATGAAGTTTCTAATGAATTATATATACTATTAAGACCTGACTTCGTCAACTTCGTAATATGTAAGTATTTTTAAAACTCATTTACCTGAAGTTGTTTCATACACAATCTTTCTTTCTTGAAGAAAATATCCAATCCATTTATCTCTTAGTTCTGATGTTTTAGCAAGAAATATACATGTGTTACTGCTGTGTTTGTTTGATAAACGCCATGAATTTTAACTAATACACCATTTTGACACACTAAAATGTATAAATTTGTCTGTGAAAAAACTGTTGTCGTTTGAATTAGTTGAATCAATTGATCAAATATAAAGTTTCCTCATTTCTAAAAATGTACCTTCACCGTCTTCCAGTTTTTCAAATTTGTAATTCTCCAAAATGATTCTTCCTTTCCATTCCATAGAACGTTTCTTTATTAGATCCTTACATGCAAAAAAATGTTTGCCTTAGTTTGACAGCCAGTACAACAACTAATCAAATAAGACATGGTTTTAAGTCATGGAAATATTACTTACTTACCTTTTTACAGTAAACAAGCTGATGATCAAAAAGAAACAACGTCACATTTTGTATTTTTCCCTTGGAAATTTTGCTGACTTCTCCAGAATGAACAAGTTGGCTGCTCTTTACAAGGACGTCTTCTCCCTCAAAATATATAGAAAGTTATGAGGTTTGCTGTGTTTTTATTAATGATATGTTCAATAAGAAAGAACAATACCTGCCATTGGTCAATTTTAAGTTGCCATTCAGCAATTTTTTTTATGTTAGCCACTTTTCTTTTCTTTTCATTTATACTCGATGCCACCTCTCGCATCGCTTCCAACGCATATTTTACATTGTTATAATCCCTATGTTCTGGACTGGTATACTTGAGAAGCTCCTAAAAATAAATGAAAAAAAGTAATGAGCTTGATTAAAAAAATTGTGGAACATAGATTTTATCTTTTTTCTGCATTCTCTGGTCAACTTATACACACTGCGTGACAAGAATCGGTTGTATGTCCAATTAACGTACACAGTAGAAGTTTCTAAATTTTTTCCCCTGGATACTTATCGCCTTTTCAAAAATTCAACCAACCCGAAAACAAACCATAGTCTTCAGTCATGAACCTTAAACGATGTCAAATATGTGAAGCTAACTCGAGTTTAATTCAAATTTCTTTCTTATTGCATATAAAGTTGAGAGTGGTGATTATTTGGCAATTTTATTTTGACACTGACACAATGTATAACTATGTACTTTTCACTTTTTGGTCTTTGTAATGACATGTTCCCATGATGAAACCGAGTACATTGAATCGATGTGACACCCCCACATTTACGCCCGTGTTTACAATACAAATAAAGATAGCAAGGGTGGTTGAAGATTGATGACGGAGGCGATGGACTATATTCACATATGCATGTTTTAATGTTTTAGTTTCTTTTGAAATCAATCGTAATTACGGATGAAATCATGGCAGAGCCGTCCCGAGAACGTTAATTGGGGGCACTCACAAAATAAGTTGTGTCCAACTGAATTCTTTTGAACGTGAATTGCTTTAAAAAGAAATCAGTCGAGCGCTGATGACTGCATGAAACCACTCAACTACCGTTCTTGGGACGACCCTGGAAGATAGTTCCAATATACATAAAAAAGTAAGCGTAAAATTCTCAAATTAAAGTTTTACCTGTAACTGTAAAGGGTATTTACATATTTTTTGAACTGGGGTAAGAAGAAAGCCATCTAAAGAAATCTGGATCATTTCTCGCAGCATTCGACATGCTTCAAAAAAATATTTATATTTGTCTTGTTGTAGAAGATTTTTCAACTCTGACGTTGCTCTCTCATGGTTCTTACAATATTCTGAGTACAGTTCAAATTTTTCTCTCTATGTAAAAAAAAAATAAGTAAAATCATTGTAACACCTTGCAACTTTTAATTTATCATACTTTTTGTTTATTCTTTAATAACTCGTGATGTTTCTCTGGACATTATTACACTTTAAATCCACTTCACAGGAATAGTGTTCAATTATCCTTACATTTTGTAAAAATACTGCACCAATTTCATCAACAGCTTCTTTGTGTAACATTGATTGATCAAATTCACGTTTGATAGAATGAAAAAAATCCAAATGAAAAATATAGATTTTTTCAATGTTGGAAAATATTGCCATCAGCAATGTTTCATTAAACATATCTGGTCGCTTCCTTGCTTGTTTGAGGAAACCCTACATAAACATAAGTTGTACTTATTTGTACTGCGCGATGTACAAAATGAATATATGTAATGTAAAATGAACAATTGTAAAAATGACATAACAATACGAACGAAAATTTTCATCTCTTGTCAGTCTCAGTTTGCAATCGTAACATTTGGACATGCATATTTATGAAGAGAATTTTGAGCATTAACTTATCTTGTTTGTATTTGGTTATCATTTTAATATGAAATATTGTGCAAGGACATCTCGAGAACGTTAATTGAAGGGGGTGTTTTATTCATATATTCAGTTAATTGATTTTGAAAAAAATAATTTATCAAACATCTTGAATTATCATGTTAAGCCTTTGCATGTGCTCAAATGAAACATTTATTGTAAAAATTTTTTGAATTATTCCATGTCATCATCATACTATAATGAATTTACCTCGATGATATCGTGAAGATTTTTAACGTAGTCACGTTCTGTGTTGACAATTTCTTCCAAAATCCTATCCCGGATTAGTTCGTTTGATAGACACTCATCGCTTCTAATCTCATATTCTTCATTTGCGTTTTCAAGGTTCCTTTTATAATTGCTTTCATACTTACTTAGTAAGTCCGCCGAGACTGGAATCTGAATGTCGAAGAAGTTTTTTTTAGATGTTTTGTGCATAATCATAGTTAAAATTGACAGTAGAAATAAATTATTTATTAAAGTGCATTACCCAAACAAAAGTAGCTGGAAACCAACCGATATTATCATTTGCAATTCCAAACCACCATTGAGGATCGTCAACATCATATACTGCAATAGCTTGGCCAGCTGTGAAACATAATTCTTCTTCGTTCATCGTTACATGATCCCATAGAGCTTCAGCATACATTAAAGGTTTTCCTCTCACCTTAAAAGTTGTGACATGCATTTTACAAAGCCTCCCTCAATGCTACAGTATTGCATGAGCTGTTTTATAATATAATTTGAATATTTTGACCTGCATGTTTTAATGATGAAAGTGGTTGTTATAACTATTTTGGTCAACTGGTTGATTACCTTGTCATTTGAATCATCATCAAAGTCCTGACTAGATTTCTTAAGACATGAAGGTAAAACACTGTAAATTGAAGGCGAATGCCTGTCGGTGGCGTCATTAACAACAGGAAATCCTTGTCGACTGAGAAATACATTGTCATTTGTGGTGTCATCATTGACATTGTTATATAGGTTTTTGCGTGACTCCATAGCTTGAAAATCGTCAATGGGATCATTTAATACAAGGCATGTAAAAGTATTACATTGGACACTTTTCTTCATATTTGCATCTTGGCTATCCATACTTGGTTCGCAAACCGATGAGAAACAAACTTCTTCCATTTCATTGCTGTTAGGTATATCTGTTGTTGTAGTGTATGGAAAGAAAGGTGAGTGAGAATTACAAGTACTTTTAGATTCAGAACGATTTTTTTCTATTTCAGATGCGTAACTTTTTCTGTTTGCCATTTGTTCTGTTACTTCAGCTTCCATTACATTTTCAAGTATGTCGGTTGGCATGGACAAAGTACGCTTTTGTCTTGTGTATGCATCTAGTTTTCTTAAAAGTACGCCTTGGTTGGCAACTATACCCATAAAAACCCCTTTACTGGATGACGATAACGCATCTTTTGACTGAGACAGTAATTCACATAAGTTTTCGCTGCAAGAATCATTTAATTTACGAAGGGAAGTCGTTCCACTGAAGTCAAGTTGATCCGATAGCACTGGAAGCTTTCCTGCAAGAGCCATCAAGCTTTGGGATTTGTTTATTAAAATGGAGGCTTAGGAGCTGGTTTTGTGGTCGTCTAGCAATGAGAACATCATGGCAATCTTTCATGGGCTTAGATAATCTTTCTGATTTACATTGAACACACCTTTGTGAAATTATTGGGTTATTATGTACAACATCTGCAAGTTGACTTAAAGATAATCTGCGATAATCTTCTGTCTCAGACACATTCGGTTCATTGGCTTCTACTTCACCATTGCCATCTTCAAAGTTAGACATTTTAACTTGATTTGCTGCAGTGTGGTTTGAAATTCCAATTTCACTTTGACAAATGCTCACAGATACATTTTTCATGCCCTCTGAAGTTTGATCTTCATTTGTACTGTTTAAGTTGATATGGAGCTCTGTTGGAAGTTGATCGTTCAATTCCAAATCTAAGTTAGATGAGCTGCGAAAAGATCTCTCTTCAGCAGTCAAAACTACTTCATCATTGTCTGATCTATTTCTATAATTTTCTGTCCATATACTCTGCTTTTGAGATGAGACAGAAGTTTCTTTTTGGTTTGATTCATCAGTACAAACATTTAATCTTTTATGACCTTGATGTTTGATTTTGTTTTTTTGACCAATGCTGCTAATCGTATTTCGGGCAGTTGTTTTGTAATTATTTTCTTTCTCTGTAGAATGAACATTCAGACTGTGTTTTTTTGACCTATGACTAGTTGGATACTTCTCACTTTTTTCTCGTGCATCCCATTTAATGTCGATTAAACAAGCCCGCGATCGTTTAAGGGAATAATACTTTTCCTTTTCTAATTCCAACGAGTCTTCTGAACTTGATATACCTGGATCACGCAAGATTTTCACATCCCTGAGTAGCTTGAAATTATTATCAGGTTCATTAAAGTTGCTGCTTGACGAGAGCGAGCCTCGTTTGTGTCTTGAAGTTTTAAACCAAGTGGAAAATAAACCCTTACTTCTGCGATCGTGCATGCATTTTCCATTCTTCTGTCTTTTATTTTCATACTCAAAGTCGTTGTTAAAATAGTCTTCACTAATTGCGTTACTTTGCTGACAAGTGGCGTCATTATGGCAGTTGATGTTATCCTGTAGAGCAAAATCTTGTCCTTGCCTTGTATTCGCTTCATTTTTATCACAAATCGAGATACAACTGTTGGAAGAGTAACTATTTAAAGCCGAAAATGTTAAAGCTTTGTTTTTTTTGCATCTGTTGCATGGCAATGTTAACGAGTCATTGACAATGTCTTTGCCATCTTGAATCGTTACTTTTTTCGTGGATAAACGTCTTCCTATAGAGAACAGTCGATTTTTCCATTTAATTCCAGTTGACTTTGTGGTTTCTTCAATTGCAGTTGATGATTGCGACATTACTTTTTCTTCCTGTTTTTCAAAACGTTCTCGTTAAAGTGTTTGTTATAAAATATCATGGAATTCATAGAGAAATACACGTTAACAAAGTTCATCGACAAATCCATTGGAATGCTTTTAACAATTACTATGCAAACTAAAGTATCATTCTACACACTATTAATGTTTACTTTATAACTCATATAACTTATGATCAAGTTTCTAAAGATCAGTAAAACTTTTCGACAATATTTGCTCGACATAGATTAAACATTCGCTTAGTAAATGAAGCAAATTACATATACACAAGACTAGTGAAATCATTGGTAAACAAAAATGTTATATTTTACCTTTACTTTACGTTGCTAACCACGATATATGCAAATGTTGTTTTGATACTCAAGCTAAACACAGACAGTTAATATGAGTTTTTAGGTGTTCTATTTTCGATAGGAAGTCGATGGTTATCAACCAGAAATATGCAGGTTAACGAAACGCAATGAAACAAATCGTAGTTTGCTGTTAACTTGACTGAAACATCTGCTGATAAATATTGCAGATATAAGTAGAAGTACAATATTTCTCGACTAAATATATTGTATTACTTCAGACATATTTACATGATCGTGATGATGTGGATGGCACTGTGTTAGATAGGATTATCCATTTCATTTTCAGTTCCATTCTTTTTTTTGTCACACATGAAAACGCATTCAACCATTTATTGTGATTCTTCTCTGTACACTTTAATTTCTTATCTTTCTAAAGGAAGCTCTTGTTGATGGCCGATTGTGAAAATGGTAAATTGTGTGAATTATTTTGCTAACAAATTCATTTGCTTAATTAGATTCTAAAGGAGATTAAAATGACAATTTAATGCTTGGCTGAAAAATCCAAGTTAATTTCACTTATGCATGTAAAAAGACCTTCATAGTAAATCAAAAATACTCTATATATGCATGAAAGGTCCAAATCGACGAAACAAATATTCAGTTCATTGGATTCAAACCTAGTCTTGCGATAACTGCTATGTATAAACAAAACAGTGTTTACCTTTTGAAGCAACCTAATTAATTTTGAGTCTAGATATTTATATTTAAAAGTCAACTGAATAATAAAGCTTAAGTTTTTGTAGAAACTTATATCTCGGTGAAGCATGGGTACCATATTGCTGATAAGTGTACGATGTCATATTTGGTATTGCAATCCAGTATTTCGTAATTTAGAAACAAGTATATAATATCATTGTCGTTGATGGTTGATAGTACTCAACATCAGATAAAAATTTCGCAATTTCTGGTTACATAATCTTGCGTAAGAAAGATAAGTTGTGAAGGTTACTAAGGGAAAAAGACATCTGTCTTATGGTGTGTTCATCATATAGTTAATTTATGAATTTTTGTCAGTAAAATTTGATCAATATGTATTACGCAAAACTAAGTTTGAACACTGTTGCGTACCAACGAAACTTTAATACAGGCAAACAGTATTTAATATGTTATAATAGTCTATCTTTCTTGAAAGCTGAGCGTTGGCTTATATCAGAGCTTATATATATACATTAACAAACACTTTTCTTACTCTTTTTCTATATTTATGCATATTTTTCCCTTTTTGACAGGGTTTTTTTTGTTGTTCTCCAATAGCGAATATTGTCATATTCAGACCATTTAATATTATATATTCTTTACCGAGTTTCATAGATATTTTTCAGCTTTCAACTTTAACTATCATTCTCTTTACTTTAACTATCACACGCTTTACTTATTAGCTTTCAGAATTTGTCACGTAACTCGACATTCATACTCCATAAATACCTTTTAGAGGTTTTTTTAGTTTCAAACTGTATTGTCTTTTGCCGTGTACAATTATAATATTTTGTCACTGCTTTGTCTTCTATTAATATGATCTCATATTTATATACTTTTGCTTTAGTCGTTTATCTTATTTTCTTTCTGCTTGGTTGTTAAGTATTCATCGCAATTGGCAAATGATATTACAATTGTCTTTCCGGTTGATTTTCATCATTTATTTTTATATATTAAATTCTTTAATGCTCTCGTTACGCTATTTCCCTCTTAACATGACGTTCAGTTATTCGCTTTATTAACACCCATGAAACTTATAAATGCCAGTAGCTTAAGTCTTTACTTTTCAACACAAAACAAATGGGGAAAAAACCTTCAAAAAATCACCATGGGGAAAAGAGGTTACATAAAAAAGGTATAGATGTGCTAGAGATACCAAGAATATCATACCAGTTATAAAGTATAGACGTATAGAGAAAGACATTAACAAAGACGTAAACGGGTATTTTTCAGGAGATCGTGAAGCCAAAATGATAGTGGATGTGAGAATGCAAAAAAAAACACGGAGAAACGGTGACTGGCAATTTAACAGATATAAATGATGAATGTTGTTTAGGTAAAGTGATGATTGTATGTGAAGTAAGAGTAAGGTTTTCAAGAGCTCGAGAATAAAATAGATATTGATGATATGGAGAAAATAATAGATATTCAGAAAGAAAAGAAAAGGAAAGAGCAGAAAAAAGGTGAAAGGAAAAGATTAAAGAGATGAAGAAAGATACCATTTTTAGAAAGAAGTTGATGGTTCAATTGACAAGAAATATGAGATTGTAAAGACCAAGACAAAACCAAACAATTTGATCAAGAAAAACCAAGTCACTGGTATAAGGAGGGGAGAGGTAACAAGATTCAGGAAGAACTAAATTAGTTGGTACAAAAATGAAATGCCATTTTGCATGAAAATTTATACATCTATTTAGCGCCCACCCAATAAAAAAAAGCAAAAAAAACATGATAACAAGGAAAATAGAGTATTACTATGGCTAAATCAATAACTGAACATCATATTTGTTAGAATACATCAAATTTATTGCTGTTGTTTACATTTTGTTTTTTCATATTCATCAAAATTTCTATGTTATATTTATTTTATCTTTATGACAAATCATCATCGTCAAAAAGGTCATCAAATGCTGTCAAATATAAATTTATATTAGTAAATTAAGCATGGAAATGATTTTTATATAATTAAACAAACCATGATGATACTTTGAAAAAATATAAACTAAGGTTCACGTACCATTGAAGAAATCCCCATGAACAGCCCTTTCACTTGCAGCTATATCTGCTTTCATATTGGAAGAAGAAGCCTAGAAAAATTAATTACCTGAAAACTAGGTACAGCAAATCTTGGGGAGCTTTGAGGATAGAAAAAGCTATTGAACCAAAAGTTGTCCTATTTAACTTACAAACATAGCGAATATGTATACCATGGGAAGAAAAGGAAATGAGAGATTGGAAACAAGTTAATGCTTCATTTCAGCCAACATCCATTGCAAAAATTGGTTGTATGTAAATAAACCCTTGCCTTGTTGATATAATGTTAAACTAAAAAATTGCTTCTTCACATTTGCTACACAAATGCCTATTGATAATGATACATTACACAAACTAAATGTAGTATGACACATTAAAGACTGTAAGTTTTATTTATAAAATTTCCCCTCAGAGTGACATTGGTTAAGCTGTTTCGAATTCGACTTGTAATGCATTCTGTGTGAAAACTGAAGAAATATTTTTTAATGTTATACCAGTTATACACTGTCAGCTACGCACTACTCAACTCAAACTGATATTCACCTCATCCATATCCATTAAACTAGAATCCACTCCTTCAGGAAACATTTCATCTTGTACAAGATTACCCGTAGGCTTCATAATATAATGAATGTTATACTCAATTTTCCGACGTTCTTTATTTTGAACAGGCAAATTTAACGAAGAATGTTAAACTTCAAAGTTTTTTTGAAATTTCTATTTTTCCATCCCTCAAAATGTGTTTTTAAACAAGCTTTTTATAATTGTGCCATCTTCGATTTAAGAGCAAACCAAATTAAATCTATCTTATTTGATTTTTGCAAAAAGTGTTGCTTTATCTCATATTTTGAAATTAATTTAAAACGTCAAATTAATTTTAAAATTATAAACATAACCTCTTTCTAAATGATGGTTTTCCGTAAACATTGTATAAGCTGTTCACAATACTTTTACTGTTCAAATCGGTCATAATTCATCATCTTTACACGATTTTTCATTAATTAAACCTGCTTGTGATATGCTGTACTAAAAATGGTTGTTTTTAATATCTATATTTTCAATCGTGACGGCACATTTCTTTATTATTATGAATGGAATCGACGAACTAACATTGATATGCCAAAATTTGAGGTACGTGACAAAATTGATTCATTTAATATTGGAAGTGGTTACGGTTAGAAATATTTTTTTTATCAATGCCGATTTAATTTCTCATTTTTATAAATGCAAAAGCTATGAAATATAACAATCTGTGGCTAAGAATAAGGTAGGGTTTGGACGTTCGGGTGGGTTTTATTTTTGTTTTGATAAGTATATATTGATGGCGCAAATATAACTGTGAAAACTAAAGATTGGATCCTTAACTACGGCGTTTGATATTAACAGCAGTTAGTGACTGATAGTAATGAATGTTAGCAAAGAATACGACCAAAAACATAAGATCATCTCTAACGATATTTATATAAAGCAGTGCAGAAAACAATTCTTTCACTCTTGATGCACATAAATAGCAGTCAAGGTAGAACTGTTCTTGGGGGAAGTATTAGCTTTTGCTGCCAGTATCCCAGCTGATTTGAACCCCCCTGAAATTGGACCCCTTAGCTCAATTGATTTCATTTGGTTTTTGTAGTGATACACGGTCTAACTTTTTTGGGGTCCAATGCTGTGAAGGGAGGTGTACATAACAGCTAGAGGATGTAGACCATGTCCAAACCTGCAAGCAGTTATGGAGGGGGGAGTCCAAATCTGCTGTGACATGAGTGGTCCATTATTTGAGTGGTTATTCATTAGGATTTAGCTCTTGAACTATATAATCACCAGACTTAAAATACAAAGAAAGTTTGATGAGATTTATTTTGACAGTAAAAAATCCCCTTTCACTTTAAGAAAGTTTAATTAAATCTAGGGGATGTATCTTTTGTAAATTTATAGGAATTCAAGTTATTACATGGCATGCTGTTTTCAATCAAGTCTTTTGTAACTAGATTATCACCAACAGATGGGTATGAATTATTTATGATGAAAAGTCAAATCACTTAAACTATGTTGAAGAAATTTTTAAAATTTTCACTTCACAGGAAGAATTCCTTCTTAAGTTATCAAACAAATAAATACAAATTGCATTTTTATGAAACCCCAACTGGTCTTAAGTTTGTGATGAATACAGATCTCACTGTGGGAAATATTAAGCCTGTTCTTCATGATATCTATAATAAGGTAATGCAACAAAAATTACATAAATAGTTTCAATACATGAAGTACAATATTTTTTTTCATTTTAGGTATATGTCGAATACATTATTAAGAATCCTCTAGCAAAGCTAAATGAACCTATACAAAGTTCTTTATTTAGTACTAAACTAGATGAGCTTGTAAAGTCCCTGCCATTTTTCTAGACTCATAGAACATCAGTTATAAATAATGAAACTTATTTGTTATGTATTAGGTGAATTATATCAGAGAAAATGTTGGAGAAAATGAAAATAAGCATTTTGTTGTAATTTTCCAGCAACATGTTGTGAGTCTCCAAAAACATCTTCTAACTCTCCATTATTATGTTGTAACTCTCCAGTAACATGTTTTATCTCTCCAAAAAATGTAACTCTCCAGTAACATGTTTTATCTCTCCAAAAAATGTAAGTCTCCAGTAACATGTTTTATCTCTCCAAAAAATGTAACTCTCCAGTAACATGTCACTCAACTTTTACTTTTATAGATTGTTTTTGTCTCAATTACTTTTCAATTTCTGCAGCTTTTTGCTGGCCTTTTTAACATAACTCCAACAATCTCAACTTTTATAAAAGCTTTTTCACAAATTGTTCTTACCATGGAAAGTATTTGTATGTCATTGAAGAATATTATGGGAAGAAAAACTAAATGGCAACAATCACTTTAAAAAATTGTAGAATTATGTGAACAGTGGCATGTTTATTATAGAAAGTAAGAAATATAAAATTGAAGAAATATATTTTGTGACTAAAGATGTCAAGTATTGCCAACTCTCTGGTACAAATTTCCTGAAATATAATCAGACATGTCCAGTATGATTACATTTCAGGAAATTTAAGGTAACTGCAACGAATTATTCATATCATAAATTTATATTGCACGTACTTGCCCTAGGGGCATTGGTGCTGACACAGTGGCCAAAAGCAATTGCAAAGCTTTTTCCTCTAAGGAATATTTCAATACTATAGTCTTTATCTGTACCGTTAAAACCGTACTTTAAATATCTAAATTAAGGCGACAGACCTTATTATTTGAGGCAATGTTAAAAATATTTCTGAGAAAAGATATGGCGAAGATATTCTACTTTCCTAAACTTTGTTGTTATGAAAATTGGTTTGATTGAACAGTGTCACATTTCACATACAAACCAAAATCCTATACCATAAAAGCTATTTAATATGTTCTGTACGAAATATATGCCTGTAAAATGGACGCAAAATTTTAAGAACTTAAGACTTAAGTGTAAATCGTGTCCATGGCAAAATTGTGTAAGTTGGCACGTTGATTTTGTTTTGTTTAAACTTTCCTAAACTAGCTCTTAGAGTAAAAATTGGATAGTTTCAATAAATTATAAAAAAATTCTACCACGAAATCACGACGTAGCTACAATATAAATGTTGAGTTTATCAGTTTGTTGTCAAATGGGTTGCAACTCGCTAATATTCGCAACGCGCAATGATTTAACTCTCTCTTACTAACTAATCTAATCTTTCATTCGAATAACATTTATTGTAAACAACATAACATCCTTTTTAGCACTTGATCATTTATTTAACGGAAATTTTCTTGAAATATTTACTTACAAGAATAATTAATGCTTGTTAAAGTATTTTTTTTAAGTGTTATCCCTAACTTCCTTTCTCACACCGTTTTCCTTTGTAACCTTTGGGACATTTACATTTAAATGTCTTTCCCTTCTTGGAACATTTTCCTTTGTTTAAACATGGTTTAGAAGCACAAGGCGAATCTACAAAGTTAAAAATTATTTTGTCTTTATCGAAAAAAGCATTTTAATTTACAGAAATAACATTTTCTTTCCCTAACCTCCTTTCTCACACCGTTTTCCTTTGTAACCTTTGGGACATTTACATTTAAATGTCTTGCCCTTCTTGGAACATTTTCCTTTGTTTAAACATGGTTTAGAAGCACAAGGCGAATCTGGAAATTTAAAAATTATTTTGTCTTCATCGAAAAAAGCATTTTAATTTACAGAAATAACATTTGCTTTCATTAACCTCCTTTCTCACACCGTTTTCCTTTGTAACCTTTGGGACATTTACATTTAAATGTCTTGCCCTTCTTGGAACATTTTCCTTTGTTTAAACATGGTTTTGAAGCACAAGGCGAGTCTGGAAATTTAAAAATTAGTTTGTCTTTATCGAAAAAAAGCATTTTCATCTACAGAAATAAGATTTGCTTTCCCTAACCTCCTTTCTCACACCGTTTTCCTTTGTAACCTTTGGGACATTTACATTTAAATGTTTTTCCCTTCTTGGAACATTTTCCTTTGTTTAAACATGGTTTAGAAGCACAAGGTGAACCTACAAATTTAAAGATTAATTTGTCTTTATCGAAAAAAGCATTTTAATCTACAGAAATAACATTTGCTTTCCCTAACCTCCTTTCTCACACCGTTTTCCTTTATAACCTTTGGGACATTTACATTTAAATGTCTTTCCCTTCTTGGAACATTTTCCTTTGTTTAAACATGGTTTAGAAGCACAAGGAACCTACAAATTTAAAGATTAATTTGTCTTTATCGAAAAAAGCATTTTAATCTACAGAAATAACATTTGCTTTCCCTAACCTCCTTTCTCACACCGTTTTCCTTTGTAACCTTTGGGACATTTACATTTAAATGTCTTGCCCTTCTTGGAACATTTTCCTTTGTTTAAACATGGTTTAGAAGCACAAGGCGAACCTACAAATTTATAAATTAATTTGTCTTTATCGAAAAAAACATTTTCATCTACAGAAATAACATTTGCTATCCCTAACCTCCTTTCTCACACCGTTTTCCTTTGTAACCTTTGGGACATTTACATTTAAATGTCTTTCCTTTCTTGGAACATTTTCCTTTGTTTAAACATGGTTTAGAAGCACAAGGCGAAACTAGAAAATTAACTTTTAATGGTAAATATTCCAAGTGTAACTTCATGGGCAGAGTGTATGATAAACATGGTATCTCTAATTGTCAAAGTCGCGTTTAAATACTATATTTACTTTTTCTTTGGCATCTCTTTCCCAAAAAGCCACGACGACAGGTGCACGAAAAACTGTTTTTCTTGTTTTTACAAATACCACCATTTTTGCAAGGAGCTGATGAACATGGCGTGACTGAGTGTATATAAAAAAAACAAGTTAACATCATCAATGTTTTAATTGTATAATTCAAATATTTTATTACTGTATAACCCTACCACACTTAGCAAATTTTTTGAGATGCTTCCATTTTATCGTAACTCCCACTTCCTTACAATCTTCTTCATATGTTGCAAAAGACGAGCAAAGACATGCTTCAAAATTATCTTCACAAGCGCAAACATCATATTTACAATTTTCTATATAACCCTCTTTATGTGGATCTAGTTCCTTGTTGCAGGTAGAAAACGGACGCTTTAATAAAGAAGAACATTCTTCTTTAGCATTCTGGACCCGTTTACTTGCATTTTTACACGGATTATTTTCAATCGCAGTTTCATTAGGGCAACTTTCTGCCAACTTCCACGAATTACCAAAATCGATCGCTTTCTTCAACACTTTCTTTCTCGAAATGAAATCATCCTTTCGTTTTCCATTGAAGTTTCCACAAAGACCCGATAATAACTCACTTTGATATGAACATTGAATATGCCATCGTAGTGAACAGTCAAACCAATTGGTGCTGATTTGTATACCAAACTTCTTAAACTGTTGAACTTTGACATCTTTAAATATTAAAAAGAGATATTGCAACAGTTAGCTGTAAAGTGTTATGAGTTTTACCATTCTTAATATTACCTTCTTTTTTATACGGCAATGTAATATTTTCATCATTAATAATGACTCTTTCTCCTCGACTTAAATATATTGTCAAATTCTGCAACTTAACAGTGATTGCATTTGTACATGTTGCCCTTCGTTTACCACATGGTTTATTATCTTGAATAATAAGGAATGTATCATCAACATCTTTAGCCAATACATAATCACACCTTCCCATGAAATTGTAACGTTTTCCATCAAATGTTCTATAGTGAGGATCTCCTGTCGCTGTGCATAAACCTGTTCCTAAAAAAATCATAATATCGCTACATAAAACAACCAAAAATATTTCCTTTGCTTTTTTAACATAATTTTGATAATAATTGGAAAAAAATTTGCTATCCCTAACCTCCTTTCTCACACCGTTTTCCTTTAAAACCTTTGGGACATTTACATTTAAATGTCTTTCCCTTCTTGGAACATTTTCCTTTGTTTAAACATGGTTTAGAAGCACAAGGCGAACCTACAAATTTAAAAATTAATTTGTCTTTATCGAAAAATACATTTTCATCTACAGAAATGACATTTGCTTTCCCTAACCTCCTTTCTCACACCGTTTTCCTTTGTAACCTTTGGGACATTTACATTTAAATGTCTTTCCCTTCTTGGAGCATTTTCCTTTGTTTAAACATGGTTTAGAAGCACAAGGCGAACCTACAAATTTAAAATTAATTTGTCTTTATCGAAAAGCATTTTAATTTACAGAAATAACATTTGCTATCCCTAACCTCCTTTCTCACACCGTTTTCCTTTGTAACCTTTGGGACATTTACATTTAAATGTCTTTCCCTTCTTGGAACATTTTCCTTTGTTTAAACATGGTTTAGAAGCACAAGGCGAATCTGGAAATTTAAAAATTATTTTGTCTTTATCGAAAAAAGCATTTTAATTTACAGAAATAACATTTGCTTTCCCTAACCTCCTTTCTCACACCGTTTTCCTTTGTAACCTTTGGGACATTTACATTTAAATGTCTTTCCCTTCTTGGAGCATTTTCCTTTGTTTAAACATGGTTTAGAAGCACAAGGCGAACCTACAAATTTAAAGATTAATTTGTCTTTATCGAAAAAAGCATTTTAATTTACAGAAATAACATTTGCTTTCCCTAACCTCCTTTCTCACACCGTTTTCCTTTGTAACCTTTGGGACATTTACATTTAAATGTCTTTCCCTTCTTGGAGCATTTTCCTTTGTTTAAACATGGTTTAGAAGCACAAGGCGAACCTACAAATTTAAAAATTAATTTGTCTTTATCGAAAAAAGCATTTTAATTTACAGAAATAACATTTGCTATCCCTAACCTCCTTTCTCACACCGTTTTCCTTTGTAACCTTTGGAACATTTACATTTAAATGTCTTTCCCTTCTTGGAACATTTTCCTTTGTTTAAGCATGGTTTAGAAGCACAAGGCGAAACTAGAAAATTAACTTTTAATGGTAAATATTTCAAGTGTAACTTCATGGGCAGAGTGTATGATAAACATGGTATCTCTAATTGTCAAAGTCGCGTTTAAATACTATATTTACTTTTTCTTTGGCATCTCTTTCCCCAAAAGCCACGACGACAGGTGCACGAAAAACTGTTTTTCTTGTTTTTACAAATACCACCATTTTTGCAAGGAGCTGATGAACACGGCGTGACTGAGTGTATATAAAAAAACCAAGTTAACATCATCAATGTTTTAATTGTATAATTCAAATATTTTATTACTGTATAGCCCTACCACACTTAGCAAATTTTTTGAGATGCTTCCATTTTATCGTAACTCCCACTTCCTTACAATCTTCTTCATATGTTGCAAAAGACGAGCAAAGACATGCTTCAAAATTATCTTCACAAGCGCAAACATCATATTTACAATTTTCTATATAACCCTCTTTATGTGGATCTAGTTCCCTGTTGCAGGTAGAAAACGGACGCTTTAATAAAGAAGAACATTCTTCTTTAGCATTCTGGACCCGTTTACTTGCATTTTTACACGGATTATTTTCAATCGCAGTTTCATTAGGGCAACTTTCTGTCAACTTCCACGAATTACCAAAATCGATCGCTTTCTTCAACACTTTCTTTTCTCGCGAAATGAAATCGTCCTTTCGTTTTCCATTGAAGTTTCCACAAAGACCCGATAATTTTCCCCAATAAAGTTTACTCACTTTGATATGAACATTGAATATGCCATCGTAGTGAACAGTCAAACCAATTCCGGTGCTGATTTTTATACCAAACTTCTTAAACTGTTGAACTTTGACATCTTTAAATATTAAAAAGAGATATTGCAACAGTTAGCTGTAAAGTGTTATGAGTTTTACCATTCTTAATATTACCTTCTTTTTTATACGGCAATGTAATATTTTCATCATTAATAATGACTCTTTCTCCTCGACTTAAATATATTGTCAAATTCTGCAACTTAACAGTGATTGCATTTGTACATGTTGCCCTTCGTTTACCACATGGTTTATTATCTTGAATAATAAGGAATTTATCATCAACATCTTTAGCCAATACATAATCACACCTTCCCATGAAATTGTAACGTTTTCCATCAAATGTTCTATAGTGAGGATCTCCTGTCGCTGTGCATAACCCTGTTCCTAAAAAAAAATCATAATATCGCTACATAAAACGACAAAAAATATTTCCTTTGCTTTTTTAACATAATTTTGATAATAATTGGAAAAAAATTTGCTATCCCTAACCTCCTTTCTCACACCGTTTTCCTTTGTAACCTTTGGGACATTTACATTTAAATGTCTTTCCCTTCTTGGAACATTTTCCTTTGTTTAAACATGGTTTAGAAGCACAAGGCGAACCTACAAATTTAAAAATTAATTTGTCTTTATCGAAAAAAGCATTTTAATCTACAGAAATAACATTTGCTTTCCCTAACCTCCTTTCTCACACCGTTTTCCTTTGTAACCTTTGGGACATTTACATTTAAATGTCTTTCCCTTCTTGGAACATTTTCCTTTGTTTAAACATGGTTTAGAAGCACAAGGCGAACCTACAAATTTAAAATTAATTTGTCTTTATCGAAAAAGCATTTTCATCTACAGAAATAACATTTGCTTTCCCTAACCTCCTTTCTCACACCGTTTTCCTTTGTAACCTTTGGGACATTTACATTTAAATGTCTTGCCCTTCTTGGAACATTTTCCTTTGTTTAAACATGGTTTAGAAGCACAAGGCGAACCTACAAATTTAAAAATTAATTTGTCTTTATCGAAAAAGCATTTTCATCTACAGAAATAACATTTGCTTTCCCTAACCTCCTTTCTCACACCGTTTTCCTTTGTAACCTTTGGGACATTTACATTTAAATGTCTTGCCCTTCTTGGAACATTTTCCTTTGTTTAAACATGGTTTAGAAGCACAAGGCGAACCTACAAATTTAAAATTAATTTGTCTTTATCGAAAAAAACATTTTCATCTACAGAAATAACATTTGCTTTCCCTAACCTCCTTTCTCACACCGTTTTCCTTTGTAACCTTTTGGACATTTACATTTAAATGTCTTGCCCTTCTTGGAACATTTTCCTTTGTTTAAACATGGTTTAGAAGCACAAGGCGAATCTACAAATTTAAAAATTAATTTGACTTTATCTAAAAAGCATTTTCATCAATAGAAATAACATTTGTTATCTCTAACCTCCTTTCTCACACCGTTTTCCCTTAAAATCTTTTGACATTTACATTTAAATGTCTTGCCCTTCTTGGAACATTTTCCTTTGTTTAAACATGGTTTAGAAGCACAAGCGAACCTACAAATTTAAAAATTAATTTGTCTTTATCGAAAAAAAGCATTTTCATCTACAGAAATAACATTTGCTTTCCCTAACCTCCTTTCTCACACCGTTTTCCTTTGTAACCTTTGGGACATTTACATTTAAATGTCTTTCCCTTCTTGGAACATTTTCCTTTGTTTAAACATGGTTTAGAAGCACAAGGCGAACCTACAAATTTAAAGATTAATTTGTCTTTATCGAAAAAAGCATTTTAATCTACAGAAATAACATTTGCTTTCCCTAACCTCCTTTCTCACACCGTTTTCCTTTGTAACCTTTGGGACATTTACATTTAAATGTCTTGCCCTTCTTGGAACATTTTCCTTTGTTTAAACATGGTTTAGAAGCACAAGGCGAACCTACAAATTTAAAATTATTTTGTCTTTATCGAAAAAGAATTTTAATTTACAGAAATAACATTTGCTTTCCCTAACCTCCTTTCTCACACCGTTTTCCTTTGTAACCTTTGGGACATTTACATTTAAATGTCTTGCCCTTCTTGGAACATTTTCCTTTGTTTAAACATGGTTTAGAAGCACAAGGCGAACCTACAAATTTAAAAATTAATTTGTCTTTATCGAAAAAGCATTTTCATCTACAGAAATAACATTTGCTTTCCCTAACCTCCTTTCTCACACCGTTTTCCTTTGTAACCTTTGGGACATTTACATTTAAATGTCTTGCCCTTCTTGGAACATTTTCCTTTGTTTAAACATGGTTTAGAAGCACAAGGCGAACCTACAAATTTAAAAATTAATTTGTCTTTATCGAAAAGCATTTTCATCTACAGAAATAACATTTGCTTTCCCTAACCTCCTTTCTCACACCGTTTTCCTTTGTAACCTTTGGGACATTTACATTTAAATGTCTTGCCCTTCTTGGAACATTTTCCTTTGTTTAAACATGGTTTAGAAGCACAAGAACCTACAAATTTAAAATTAATTTGTCTTTATCGAAAAAAACATTTTCATCTACAGAAATAACATTTGCTTTCCCTAACCTCCTTTCTCACACCGTTTTCCTTTGTAACCTTTTGACATTTACATTTAAATGTCTTGTCCTTCTTGGAACATTTTCCTTTGTTTAAACATGGTTTAGAAGCACAAGGCGAATCTACAAATTTAAAATTAATTTGACTTTATCTAAAAAGCATTTTCATCAATAGAAATAACATTTGTTATCTCTAACCTCCTTTCTCACACCGTTTTCCTTAAAATCTTTTGGACATTTACATTTAAATGTCTTGCCCTTCTTGGAACATTTTCCTTTGTTTAAACATGGTTTAGAAGCACAAGGCGAACCTACAAATTTAAAAATTAATTTGTCTTTATCGAAAAAAAGCATTTTCATCTACAGAAATAACATTTGCTTTCCCTAACCTCCTTTCTCACACCGTTTTCCTTTGTAACCTTTGGGACATTTACATTTAAATGTCTTGCCCTTCTTGGAACATTTTCCTTTGTTTAAACATGGTTTAGAAGCACAAGGCGAACCTACAAATTTAAAATTAATTTGTCTTTATCGAAAAAACATTTTCATCTACAGAAATAACATTTGCTTTCCCTAACCTCCTTTCTCACACCGTTTTCCTTTGTAACCTTTTGACATTTACATTTAAATGTCTTGCCCTTCTTGGAACATTTTCCTTTGTTTAAACATGGTTTAGAAGCACAGGCGAATCTACAAATTTAAAAATTAATTTGACTTTATCTAAAAAGCATTTTCATCAATAGAAATAACATTTGTTATCTCTAACCTCCTTTCTCACACCGTTTTCCCTTAAAATCTTTTGGACATTTACATTTAAATGTCTTGCCCTTCTTGGAACATTTTCCTTTGTTTAAACATGGTTTAGAAGCACAAGGCGAACCTACAAATTTAAAAATTAATTTGTCTTTATCGAAAAAAGCATTTTCATCTACAGAAATAACATTTGCTTTCCCTAACCTCCTTTCTCACACCGTTTTCCTTTGTAACCTTTGGGACATTTACATTTAAATGTCTTTCCCTTCTTGAACATTTTCCTTTGTTTAAACATGGTTTAGAAGCACAAGGCGAACCTACAAATTTAAAGATTAATTTGTCTTTATCGAAAAAAGCATTTTAATCTACAGAAATAACATTTGCTTTCCCTAACCTCCTTTCTCACACCGTTTTCCTTTGTAACCTTTGGGACATTTACATTTAAATGTCTTGCCCTTCTTGGAACATTTTCCTTTGTTTAAACATGGTTTAGAAGCACAAGGCGAACCTACAAATTTAAAAATTATTTTGTCTTTATCGAAAAAAGAATTTTAATTTACAGAAATAACATTTGCTTTCCCTAACCTCCTTTCTCACACCGTTTTCCTTTGTAACCTTTGGGACATTTACATTTAAATGTCTTGCCCTTCTTGGAACATTTTCCTTTGTTTAAACATGGTTTAGAAGCACAAGGCGAACCTACAAATTTAAAAATTAATTTGTCTTTATCGAAAAAAAGCATTTTCATCTACAGAAATAACATTTGCTTTCCTAACCTCCTTTCTCACACCGTTTTCCTTTGTAACCTTTGGGACATTTACATTTAAATGTCTTGCCCTTCTTGGAACATTTTCCTTTGTTTAAACATGGTTTAGAAGCACAAGGCGAACCTACAAATTTAAAAATTAATTTGTCTTTATCGAAAAAAAGCATTTTCATCTACAGAAATAACATTTGCTTTCCCTAACCTCCTTTCTCACACCGTTTTCCTTTGTAACCTTTGGGACATTTACATTTAAATGTCTTGCCTTTCTTGGAACATTTTCCTTTGTTTAAACATGGTTTAGAAGCACAAGGCGAACCTACAAATTTAAAAATTAATTTGTCTTTATCGAAAAAAAGCATTTTCATCTACAGAAATAACATTTGCTTTCCCTAACCTCCTTTCTCACACCGTTTTCCTTTGTAACCTTTGGTACATTTACATTTAAATGTCTTGCCCTTCTTGGAACATTTTCCTTTGTTTAAACATGGTTTAGAAGCACAAGGCGAACCTACAAATTTAAAAATTATTTTGTCTTTATCGAAAAAAGCATTTTAATTTACAGAAATAACATTTGCTTTCCCTAACCTCCTTTCTCACACAGTTTTCCTTTGTAACCTTTGGGACATTTACATTTAAATGTCTTTCCTTCTTGGAACATTTTCCTTTGTTTAAACATGGTTTAGAAGCACAAGGCGAATCTGAAATTTAAAATTAATTAGTCTTTATCGAAAAAAAATTTTCATCTACAGAAGTAACATTTGCTTTCCCTGACCTCCTTTCTCACACCGTTTTCCTTTGTAACCTTTGGGACATTTACATTTAAATGTCTTGCCCTTCTTGGAACATTTTCCTTTATTCAAACATGGTTTAGAAGCACAAGGCGAAACTGCAAATTTAAACATGCATAAAAATATCTTTACTAAAAAAAAGCCATATGATATACAAAAACAACATTTGCTATCCCTAACCTCTTTTATGTAATATTTACTGATAAAGATAAGTAATGCTTGTTAAAGTATTTTTTTTAAGTGCTATCCCTAACCTTCTTTCTCACACCGTTTTCCTTTGTAACCTTTGGGACATTTACATTTAAATGTCTTTCCCTTCTTGGAACATTTTCCTTTGTTTAAACATGGTTTAGAAGCACAAGGCGAATCTGGAAATTTAAAAATTAATTAGTCTTTATCGAAAAAAACATTTTCATCTACAGAAGTAACATTTGCTTTCCCTGACCTCCTTTCTCACACCGTTTTCCTTTGTAACCTTTGGGACATTTACATTTAAATGTCTTTCCTTCTTGGAACATTTTCCTTTGTTTAAACATGGTTTAGAAGCACAAGGTGAACCTACAAATTTAAAATTAATTTGTCTTTATTGAAAAACATTTTCATCTACAGAAATAACATTTGCTTTCCTAACCTCCTTTCTCACACCGTTTTCCTTTGTAACCTTTGGGACATTTACATTTAAATGTCTTGCCTTTCTTGGAACATTTTCCTTTGTTTAAACATGGTTTAGAAGCACAAGGCGAACCTACAAATTTAAAATTAATTTGTCTTTATCGAAAAAGCATTTTCATCTACAGAAATAACATTTGCTTTCCCTAACCTCCTTTCTCACACGTTTTCCTTTGTAACCTTTGGGACATTTACATTTAAATGTCTTGCCTTTCTTGGAACATTTTCCTTTGTTTAAACATGGTTTAGAAGCACAAGGCGAACCTACAAATTTAAAAATTAATTTGTCTTTATCGAAAAAAAGCATTTTCATCTACAGAAATAACATTTGCTTTCCCTAACCTCCTTTCTCACACCGTTTTCCTTTGTAACCTTTGGGACATTTACATTTAAATGTCTTGCCCTTCTTGGAACATTTTCCTTTGTTTAAACATGGTTTAGAAGCACAAGGCGAACCTACAAATTTAAAAATTATTTTGTCTTTATCGAAAAAAGCATTTTAATTTACAGAAATAACATTTGCTTTCCCTAACCTCCTTTCTCACACCGTTTTCCTTTGTAACCTTTGGGACATTTACATTTAAATGTCTTGCCTTTCTTGGAACATTTTCCTTTGTTTAAACATGGTTTAGAAGCACAAGGCGAACCTACAAATTTAAAATTAATTTGTCTTTATCGAAAAAGCATTTTCATCTACAGAAATAACATTTGCTTTCCTAACCTCCTTTCTCACACCGTTTTCCTTTGTAACCTTTGGGACATTTACATTTAAATGTCTTGCCCTTCTTGGAACATTTTCCTTTGTTTAAACATGGTTTAGAAGCACAAGGCGAACCTACAAATTTAAAAATTATTTTGTCTTTATCGAAAAAAGCATTTTAATTTACAGAAATAATATTTGCTTTCCTAACCTCCTTTCTCACACCGTTTTCCTTTGTAACCTTTGGGACATTTACATTTAAATGTCTTGCCCTTCTTGGAACATTTTCCTTTGTTTAAACATGGTTTAGAAGCACAAGGCGAACCTACAAATTTAAAAATTAACTTGTCTTTATCGAAAAAAAGCATTTTCATCTACAGAAATAACATTTGCTTTCCCTAACCTCCTTTCTCACACCGTTTTCCTTTGTAACCTTTGGGACATTTACATTTAAATGTCTTTCCCTTCTTGGAACATTTTCCTTTGTTTAAACATGGTTTAGAAGCACAAGGCGAACCTACAAATTTAAAGATTAATTTGTCTTTATCGAAAAAAGCATTTTAATCTACAGAAATAACATTTGCTTTCCCTAACCTCCTTTCTCACACCGTTTTCCTTTGTAACCTTTGGGACATTTACATTTAAATGTCTTGCCCTTCTTGGAACATTTTCCTTTGTTTAAACATGGTTTAGAAGCACAAGGCGAACCTACAAATTTAAAAATTATTTTGTCTTTATCGAAAAAAGAATTTTAATTTACAGAAATAACATTTGCTTTCCCTAACCTCCTTTCTCACACCGTTTTCCTTTGTAACCTTTGGGACATTTACATTTAAATGTCTTGCCCTTCTTGGAACATTTTCCTTTGTTTAAACATGGTTTAGAAGCACAAGGCGAACCTACAAATTTAAAATTAATTTGTCTTTATCGAAAAAGCATTTTCATCTACAGAAATAACATTTGCTTTCCTAACCTCCTTTCTCACACCGTTTTCCTTTGTAACCTTTGGGACATTTACATTTAAATGTCTTGCCCTTCTTGGAACATTTTCCTTTGTTTAAACATGGTTTAGAAGCACAAGGCGAACCTACAAATTTAAAATTAATTTGTCTTTATCGAAAAAGCATTTTCATCTACAGAAATAACATTTGCTTTCCCTAACCTCCTTTCTCACACCGTTTTCCTTTGTAACCTTTGGGACATTTACATTTAAATGTCTTGCCTTTCTTGGAACATTTTCCTTTGTTTAAACATGGTTTAGAAGCACAACGAACCTACAAATTTAAAAATTAATTTGTCTTTATCGAAAAAGCATTTTCATCTACAGAAATAACATTTGCTTTCCTAACCTCCTTTCTCACACCGTTTTCCTTTGTAACCTTTGGGACATTTACATTTAAATGTCTTGCCCTTCTTGGAACATTTTCCTTTGTTTAAACATGGTTTAGAAGCACAAGGCGAACCTACAAATTTAAAAATTATTTTGTCTTTATCGAAAAAAGCATTTTAATTTACAGAAATAACATTTGCTTTCCCTAACCTCCTTTCTCACACCGTTTTCCTTTGTAACCTTTGGGACATTTACATTTAAATGTCTTGCCTTTCTTGGAACATTTTCCTTTGTTTAAACATGGTTTAGAAGCACAAGGCGAACCTACAAATTTAAAAATTAATTTGTCTTTATCGAAAAAAAGCATTTTCATCTACAGAAATAACATTTGCTTTCCTAACCTCCTTTCTCACACCGTTTTCCTTTGTAACCTTTGGGACATTTACATTTAAATGTCTTGCCCTTCTTGGAACATTTTCCTTTGTTTAAACATGGTTTAGAAGCACAAGAACCTACAAATTTAAAATTATTTTGTCTTTATCGAAAAAGCATTTTAATTTACAGAAATAACATTTGCTTTCCCTAACCTCCTTTCTCACACCGTTTTCCTTTGTAACCTTTGGGACATTTACATTTAAATGTCTTGCCCTTCTTGGAACATTTTCCTTTGTTTAAACATGGTTTAGAAGCACAAGAACCTACAAATTTAAAATTAATTTGTCTTTATCGAAAAAAGCATTTTCATCTACAGAAATAACATTTGCTTTCCTAACCTCCTTTCTCACACCGTTTTCCTTTGTAACCTTTGGGACATTTACATTTAAATGTCTTGCCTTTCTTGGAACATTTTCCTTTGTTTAAACATGGTTTAGAAGCACAAGGCGAACCTACAAATTTAAAATTAATTTGTCTTTATCGAAAAAGCATTTTCATCTACAGAAATAACATTTGCTTTCCCTAACCTCCTTTCTCACACCGTTTTCCTTTGTAACCTTTGGGACATTTACATTTAAATGTCTTGCCCTTCTTGGAACATTTTCCTTTGTTTAAACATGGTTTAGAAGCACAAGGCGAACCTACAAATTTAAAATTATTTTGTCTTTATCGAAAAAGCATTTTAATTTACAGAAATAACATTTGCTTTCCTAACCTCCTTTCTCACACCGTTTTCCTTTGTAACCTTTGGGACATTTACATTTAAATGTCTTGCCCTTCTTGGAACATTTTCCTTTGTTTAAACATGGTTTAGAAGCACAAGGCGAACCTACAAATTTAAAAATTAATTTGTCTTTATCGAAAAAAACATTTTCATCTACAGAAATAACATTTGCTTTCCCTAACCTCCTTTCTCACACCGTTTTCCTTTGTAACCTTTGGGACATTTACATTTAAATGTCTTGCCTTTCTTGGAACATTTTCCTTTGTTTAAACATGGTTTAGAAGCACAAGGCGAACCTACAAATTTAAAATTAATTTGTCTTTATCGAAAAAAAGCATTTTCATCTACAGAAATAACATTTGCTTTCCCTAACCTCCTTTCTCACACCGTTTTCCTTTGTAACCTTTGGGACATTTACATTTAAATGTCTTGCCCTTCTTGGAACATTTTCCTTTGTTTAAACATGGTTTAGAAGCACAAGGCGAACCTACAAATTTAAAATTATTTTGTCTTTATCGAAAAAGCATTTTAATTTACAGAAATAACATTTGCTTTCCCTAACCTCCTTTCTCACACAGTTTTCCTTTGTAACCTTTGGGACATTTACATTTAAATGTCTTTCCCTTCTTGGAACATTTTCCTTTGTTTAAACATGGTTTAGAAGCACAAGGCGAATCTGGAAATTTAAAAATTAATTAGTCTTTATCGAAAAAAACATTTTCATCTACAGAAGTAACATTTGCTTTCCCTGACCTCCTTTCTCACACCGTTTTCCTTTGTAACCTTTGGGACATTTACATTTAAATGTCTTGCCCTTCTTGGAACATTTTCCTTTATTCAAACATGGTTTAGAAGCACAAGGCGAAACTGCAAATTTAAACATGCATAAAAATATCTTTACTAAAAAAAAGCCATATGATATACAAAAACAACATTTGCTATCCCTAACCTCTTTTATGTAATATTTACTGATAAAGATAAGTAATGCTTGTTAAAGTATTTTTTTTAAGTGCTATCCTAACCTTCTTTCTCACACCGTTTTCCTTTGTAACCTTTGGGACATTTACATTTAAATGTCTTTCCCTCTCTGGAACATTTTCCTTTGTTTAAACATGGTTTAGAAGCACAAGGCGAATCTGAAATTTAAAATTAATTAGTCTTTATCGAAAAAAACATTTTCATCTACAGAAGTAACATTTGCTTTCCGTGACCTCCTTTCTCACACCGTTTTCCTTTGTAACCTTTGGGACATTTACATTTAAATGTCTTTCCCTTCTTGGAACATTTTCCTTTGTTTAAACATGGTTTAGAAGCACAAGGTGAACCTACAAATTTAAAAATTAATTTGTCTTTATTGAAAAAAACATTTTCATCTACAGAAATAACATTTGCTATCCCTAACCTCCTTTCTCACACCGTTTTCCTTTGTAACCTTTGGGACATTTACATTTAAATGTCTTGCCTTTCTTGGAACATTTTCCTTTGTTTAAACATGGTTTAGAAGCACAAGGCGAACCTACAAATTTAAAATTATTTTGTCTTTATCGAAAAAGCATTTTAATTTACAGAAATAACATTTGCTTTCCCTAACCTCCTTTCTCACACCGTTTTCCTTTGTAACCTTTGGGACATTTACATTTAAATGTCTTGCCCTTCTTGGAACATTTTCCTTTGTTTAAACATGGTTTAGAAGCACAAGGCGAACCTACAAATTTAAAAATTAATTTGTCTTTATCGAAAAAAAGCATTTTCATCTACAGAAATAACATTTGCTTTCCCTAACCTCCTTTCTCACACCGTTTTCCTTTGTAACCTTTGGGACATTTACATTTAAATGTCTTGCCTTTCTTGGAACATTTTCCTTTGTTTAAACATGGTTTAGAAGCACAAGGCGAACCTACAAATTTAAAATTAATTTGTCTTTATCGAAAAAAAGCATTTTCATCTACAGAAATAACATTTGCTTTCCCTAACCTCCTTTCTCACACCGTTTTCCTTTGTAACCTTTGGTACATTTACATTTAAATGTCTTTCCTTTCTTGGAACATTTTCCTTTGTTTAAACATGGTTTAGAAGCACAAGGCGAACCTACAAATTTAAAAATTAGTTTGTCTTTATCGAAAAAAAGCATTTTCATCTACAGAAATAACATTTGCTTTCCCTAACCTCCTTTCTCACACAGTTTTCCTTTGTAACCTTTGGGACATTTACATTTAAATGTCTTTCCCTTCTTGGAACATTTTCCTTTGTTTAAACATGGTTTAGAAGCACAAGGCGAATCTGGAAATTTAAAAATTAATTAGTCTTTATCGAAAAAAACATTTTCATCTACAGAAGTAACATTTGCTTTCCCTGACCTCCTTTCTCACACCGTTTTCCTTTGTAACCTTTGGGACATTTACATTTAAATGTCTTGCCCTTCTTGGAACATTTTCCTTTATTCAAACATGGTTTAGAAGCACAAGGCAAACTGCAAATTTAAACATGCATAAAATATCTTTACTAAAAAGCCATATGATATACAAAACAACATTTGCTATCCCTAACCTCTTTTATGTAATATTTACTGATAAAGATAAGTAATGCTTGTTAAAGTATTTTTTTTAAGTGCTATCCCTAACCTTCTTTCTCACACCGTTTTCCTTTGTAACCTTTGGGACATTTACATTTAAATGTCTTTCCCTTCTTGGAACATTTTCCTTTGTTTAAACATGGTTTAGAAGCACAAGGCGAATCTGGAAATTTAAAATTAATTAGTCTTTATCGAAAAAACATTTTCATCTACAGAAGTAACATTTGCTTTCCTGACCTCCTTTCTCACACCGTTTTCCTTTGTAACCTTTGGGACATTTACATTTAAATGTCTTTCCTTCTTGGAACATTTTCCTTTGTTTAAACATGGTTTAGAAGCACAAGGTGAACCTACAAATTTAAAATTAATTTGTCTTTATTGAAAAAACATTTTCATCTACAGAAATAACATTTGCTATCCCTAACCTCCTTTCTCACACCGTTTTCCTTTGTAACCTTTGGGACATTTACATTTAAATGTCTTGCCCTTCTTGGAACATTTTCCTTTATTCAAACATGGTTTAGAAGCACAAGGCGAAACTGCAAATTTAAACATGTATAAAAATATCTTTACTAAAAAAAAGGCATATGATATACAAAAACAACATTTGCTATCCCTAACCTCTTTTATGTAATATTTACTGATAAAGATAAGTAATGCTTGTTAAAGTATTTTTTTTAAGTGCTATCCCTAACCTCCTTTCTCACACCGTTTTCCTTTGTAACCTTTGGTACATTTACATTTAAATGTCTTTCCCTTCTTGGAACATTTTCCTTTGTTTAAACATGGCTTAGAAGCACAAGGCGAATCTAAAGTTTATTAAAATGTAACTAAATTTAAAATTGATTGATACAGACATAAACAATGAGATTCATGACTTGATTTGTTTGAGGTCCTTTATCAGAAAATGTACAACTTGCTGGCATAGGTTTTTTAATATTTTAGTAATTAATGTGTTATCATGGAAATTTTAATGATGATTATACTTGGCCTGTTATGAATACTTTTGTGACATTATATATGTAGTTTTAAGTATTTAGTCAATATCAACAATTTGATAAGCATTATTTTGCACTTTTTTTATATCTTTAACTGATAGTGGATATTGGATCATTTAGCTAAACAGGATTTATACTTAGACAAGTGACAGCATAGATAATGGCGTCAACAGTAACGTAACGCACACGCTAGTTGTCTTACAAAGCAATGACATCCCGATCGCCAGAAAGTCACTAAATGTAAGTCATTCTAGATGGACAATAAAATGGAAGACGTGAATGAAGTCATGACCGATAGTTGGTTTAGGTTAGACCTAGAAAGGAATGTTCTTAAATTTGTATGACGTAATTGAACCTGAGTTTTCGCAAAAGAAAAAAATGGACGTCTTGTATTTGGGTTTAACGGTTTGGCTAAGGATGCCAATGTTCACATTGAGTACATTACCACCTTTTCTTCTCCCCCCTTACCATTTTTACTGAATGGAAATTAAAAATAATATGTACTCTAACAAAAAATAAATTGAAATCAAGAGATGAATGCTGGGATATATTAGTTTGTTAGAGCAAATATGATGGAAAATGATTGAAAAAAATAGTAGTAATTAATCAGCATATTATAAATTTATTATGTCAAATTATTGTTTTTAAGACATTCAAAGTTTTACCTTCAATCTCGCAAAGTTCCCCAGTAAATCTTGAATGACAACGACACACAAAAGTATCAGCTTTTTGACGACAACGACCACCATTTTTACACGGACCTGATGCACATGGTGACTCTGAAATTTAAAACAAAAAGTTACCATTCATTTCATTGTATTAAAACAATTCATTAAACTTGGATACTCCAATACATAAAAATAACTTGATCCAGACATCCACTCTTTATAGAAAATCACTTTCTTCATAAAGTATATCTTAGCAATTAAGACATAAATTTAGATAACTCAATTTTATTAGGTTAATACTATAAATCTAGACTATTGATGGTACATATTTTTTAAATATTGTATGAAATATACATGTACCATTATATAATATCAATGAGTCACAATATCAAATTGAACACCAGATCATTATGATGAAATTTATGAATTATATATACAATACCTTTAACATGGCATCTCCTTCCTTTAAAACCTTTCTTGCATTTACATTTATATGCATTCTTAAGATTCATACACTCACCACCATTTACACATGGTGAAGATGCACAAGGTCGTACTGTGAAATTGATAAAATAAATCTACATTTAACATTGCAGTACAAAAGGAACAACTTTTCAACAAAAATATCTGACATAAAACAGTACAATTTTAGCTCAAGAAGTCAGGAAATTCCGCTATTTTGAAATTCATATGTACTTTGATCTTTGATAAGATACATATCAGTAATCAGTTATCAAATTAAATTGACATACCATCCTTTTCACATCGACGACCTTTAAAGCCACATGGACATTTGCAAAGAAACGAATTTCCAACATTTATACAATTCCCTTTGTTCATACAAGGAGCTGATGCACATGGTGATACTAGAAAGATGCGATGCTTTATTTATTGAAAATCAAGGACATAATTATTTTGCATTTACTTTTCCAGCTTTCAAAGAATTTTTCATGTTTCATACTTTTTTTTCACATTGTTTTCCTTTGTATCCACAACTGCAATCACAAACATATGTTCCACCAACTTCTTTACATTTTCCTCCATTAAAACATGGCATCGAAGAACAAGGTGATTCTAAGCAAAAAATATTGGAAGTGATATTTTAATAAAAATGGGAAATCATAGATAAACCGTCTGTCAAAACTCAAATGTTTCATAAACTTAATGCAACTTACAGAGTGAATCTTGAACTTAATCATACTACTTTCGAAAGATAACACATAAAGGACAGTACGTTTACGTGTCTCATACGTCAAAGTATTGTTCTTTCTTAAAACACAAACAAAAAGCATTCTCTTTGATGAAAGATGCGTCTTCCGCTTAGTCGTTTTTCATAGAATTGATGGAATTTAATTTATCGGAAAAAGCAAAATGCTAAGTTCTTTTTGTGTTTTCTGTTTTATTAGTTTTGCTTTACTTTTATAGTAACATATTTGCTGCCATGTCCCAGCTATTATTTTCATGAAAAATACATACCTTCACCCATGTATAACTCGTAGATGTAGTTAAATCTTGGTGCGCCAACACACTCGGTGTTTGCTGCATCATTACATTTGTCTATTTTAGGCCCAAAGCCAATACATTTCTTTTGCTTTTTACTACGATATTTAAAGGTGTCTGATGTAGGATCACCAGACCAACATTCACCATAATTTTGGATACCAAAGTAGCGATAGCCATGCGTTTTGGTAAGCCTGGCGCAACTGTTGCATGAAAAAATAAATCATATCTCTGTCTCAAGATCCCAAGAATGCTTGCTAGCCTAGTCCAAGTCATTCTTATAGCATGCGCATGCGAACGTTGATGAATCAAGAGCTTATTACTGCAATAGTCTTACGCCATTGATTTACTTACTGGCACACCGTATCATGCAAATATTTGTGCCATCCACTACCCCAGGCAATGTGGTAATTAATATGAAGCAGTTTGTTGAACGGTCGACTATCTCGATTGCGATTGAGTGCGTGGATGTCTTCAAAGCATCCTTTCTTTATCATTTTGACTTCGCATTTTGATATTTGACTCGACGCTTTGTCAAAACCTTTTAACAAAAAATGATTTAGTTGTTTCATAGTAGAGGATGTTTATTCTATCATTTTAAAGTTCTTTTCCTAAACATTGTCGTCAACATGATTATGTATGTTCGTTCTCGTAGATAATTTTAAATTTTTCCACAGAATATGATGAATACTGAATTGATAAATGAGTACCAGTCATCATTTAACTATTACTTAAAATTTCTCTCTTTTTACTACTTTCGATAAAACCAAAATTATTTTGCGCAGCACTTTAAATTACAAATATTACATTGAAAAAATCTTCAAGGCTTACCTGTGCTTGCAAAAAAAAGAAAAATAACCAGAAATTTTTCCATGTTTAGTTTTTCTGCAACTTTCCTACAATCGGAAAGATTGAATAATCATCGCTGCATTTTACCCTTAAATATGTTAGGGAACTCGTTAGAAACAATTGTCTATAATGAATGTAAATGAATTAATTTTGCTTTGTTCGAGATCTGTTGTTTCCCACAAGAAATATAAAATATATAACTGCTTCTTACAGTTATAAAAAATACAGTCATATCACAATTTTTCAAGATGATCTTAATCATAAAATTGTACATTGTTGTGTATAATGTGCAGTTATCAAATTGATTTTCATCAACTAGGCTATAATGGCATAAGTATAAAATTAATAAGGCTTATCCGTGTTGTACATTATTCTTTGATAGAGTTTTCTTGGTTGAAATAATTTCGTGGAAAAATTAATTTTGAAAGATTCCTTTTTTCTAGTCTTTGTAACGACATTTCTTCTTTAATGTAATTTGATTTGTATGTTAAAACAAGCATTGTTTGTCACATTGCGAATAACATGGATTTTTTCTCGTCAGCTTTAAATTGAACACGTCAAAGTTTTAATTTGGCTGCTTGTGTCAGTGTCATGTCTTTACAAACAAGAAGACTTAGTAACTTTCATCTACTATAGTATGGTGAAATGATAAGAAAAAGATATTGTTTTATCATTTTGCGCAAAAAGGGCAATTTGACGCCAGAAAGCATTTTACCGTGAATAAAAGAAATACACAAGCTTGCAAATAGAGAGATGACAAGTTTGTAAAATTGAGCTAACAATAAATGTCTATCTATCTTTCCATAGTCATGTCCATGATTATCTATCAACTGTTCTATACGTGTCTTCATATCTATTAAAATTTTGTATGTATTTTAAAAAAGTTGTGCTGTCTTTATGTCGCACCACATTTATTCATTTTATTTTATTTTATTTTATTTATCTATTTTATCTTCTACAGCAAAGTACTTATAAATACAAAAGAACATATATAACTGTTAAAGGAACAGCCAGAGAAGCATCCTACAGCTTTTAACAATTACAGCAACCCTATGAACATAACGCCACAAAAAAATTGAAAACAACACAATCTTTTATAGGATGATTCACGTGACTAGTTACAAAACATACATATATATTCCCTATTTTTGAATCATCAACGTCATAAAATTTTTCTAACTGGGGGTAAAGATGGATTAAAAGACAGATCTGCTTGGGGGTAAAGATGGATTAAAAAACAGGTTTACAAAAAAGTTTCTCACTAAATGCGACAACAGGTGGTCTTATCATTTTTTTAAAACAAATGACCAACATATACATTTCGTTTCCCGTTGCAGTTCAATCGACTTACGTCATTGAAGCAAAGTCATGTTGAATTTAGACTAACATTCTAACAATAGGCAATCTGTTGATTCCCATGATTATCAAAATAAGAAATTACGTTTGTAAGTTGTAAAATTTGGAAACTTGAAACCAGATTGCTAAATAAATATAAAACTTTATATCTTTGACGTATTTATAGAAAGCTATCATTCAAAATAAACCACTTACTAGTAAAGAAAATAGACAAATGCTAATTCTACTAGAGAAAAGGACTCTTCGTTTCTTTAATTAAACCTGTATCCATTTTCAACTCAAACTTGAGAAATAACTATTTTTTGGTTTTGTCTTTTTAAGATCTGCACGTATTTGTAAATACTTATTATATCTATTGTTGTGGAAACCAATGTCTGGCAAAATCAAGCACAATTATCAACAAATTATGAATATGGTAATGCTGCAACTTTTTTGTACTCGACAGATAATTGGTAATATGATTGATTATCAATGAGAATTACATGACAAATGTTAACGCAAGCCTTTTTGTAACAACCTTCTCAGTTACATGTTTGTAAATAGATCGTCCAGGTGAGAAGGACTGTTTTGTTGTTGTTGACTGACGTTTCGACAAATGACTCTGAAGATGACTACCGCTAAGGTTGTGGAAACGTCAGTCAACAACAACAAAAACAGTCCTTCTCATGACTATACCAACCTGGACGATCTACATTTACAAACATGTAACGATACTCCTGGGTTCAATCCATTTACTTTAGCCTTCTCAGTCTTAGCCACAAATTGGTAAATTAAACGTGTCTTGCCTGTCTATCAATTGAATCACAAAAATGTATAACTGAGTCCTTCTCATCTTGCACCCCAAACAGAGATAAAACAATAAAAAGAACAAGGAATACGTTACGTTTAAAAATTTTAAACTAATAGTACAAAATGTAAAAGTATCAAGACCAAACTGACTAAATTTGTATTTAAGAAGAAAATCGAAGCTTTTTAAGTAGTGCATGCAGCAGGCAAGACGGAAATTTCAACATGAAATAAAGTCTGTCCACTTTTTATTTTCTATTTTTGGTTCCCCAATCAATGGTTACCAGCTTTTTTTGTATCCTTTAAATCTTGCTTGAAATCCAATCCATTTTCCCAACATGAACAAGTACTATTAATTTAAACAAGTAGAGAAAATTTTGAAATTTTTTATTTTAGCTGCTAAATAATATAATTAACGAGAAGTGCAGTTGTTACGAATTTAATGCCTATTTACAGTGTCTTCTTAAATTCAATATATAAAAACAGGTTCGAAGACATTTAACAATTTCCATACTCGTTTATTCTTCATGTTTTTTTTTGTAATGCAAAGTGACAAGAATCTTTTTTTTAGTTGATAAAGTTCAACAGTAAAATTTATGGCCTTCGTGCTTAGATTTTGTAAGGAGACTTTCGGCGTATGATGTCATGCATGTCATACATACTAGTAAACATAAAAGAGTTCGAATTTGAGAATAGAAAATAGGCATGATATGACTGATATTAAGCCCGCCGCACACTGGAGGCAAATATCAAACGCGTTTGATATTTGACTCATCTGTCACGAATGACAAATGTTGTTCAAAACTTCCGCGCACACTAGGAAATTCTTTCGATCGCACTTGTCACGAATAACAAGTACGCGCGGCAAGTTCACCAGTGTGCGGCGAGCTTTAGAATGCAAAAATCAAATTTCCTGTTACAAGTCTGTAATTGTGGCACGTGTCACAACAAATTTCTCTTTTCTAAACGGTCTTTGCCAGCTATGATTAAGTCGCACCTTGGGAACGATAGCACAAGAAAGAGAAGTTTCTAAATAAAGGTGGAATCAACTCTCGGGAGTCCTTGAATGTTGCCATGGTTTGATTTCATTTTTATCAAGCAATTTCGAGTCGCTCAATAAAATATACGTTTGGGTGATTACAACCCCCCAAGTTCTTGCGCTACCAAGTTTTTGGAGGGCGACATAGTAGGCGTCCATTTGGTTGATGACAATTAGTCTCGTTGTGAATTACAATGGTGTTGTTTCTGAAAGAACCTTGTGGAATTTTTTGCGTATTTTTAACGTACATTTGTGTTTTATATGCAGATTATTGCATGATTAATCATGTGGTCATCCCTACTTTGTCAAACAGGTAATAAGAAGAAAATTTCATTTATTTTATTATTTTATTTGAAGTATTTCACCCACTGAGGAACACACCGTTATACTTACTTATACACGAATACGTCAATACTCGTTATTAATTGAAGATTTCGATTTTTCTGACTTTCCCTTTTTTCGTTTGATTTAATACATTTGTGATTATAAAATCAACTGTCAGTGGTGATGAAGAAAATGCCGCGAATGAAAGAATATTTAGATTAAACTAACATTCTTTACTTGTGTATTACGGTATTCATACAATATTTATACGATATTAAATAAGTTTTTGTTTTAGTTTTTGGGGTTTGTCAAATGTGCTGATTTTCAACATTCTAATTCTACTATTAGTTGTTTCTCATTTTCAAGCAACTACATCTGATCCAGGTAAACTTGTTTACGGCAATTCAATGCTGTTAATGTTGAATGCTTACCTGAGAAGATCATGCTGTATGATGCATACCTGTCATGTCGGCTTGAGCCACAGATTTTGTCTTTCATTTTTTTGTTTTGCCTTTTTTAGGAAGAGTTCCATTACCATGTACAAGTCTTGACTTCTCAGATATGCATCAAGCGGCCTCACAAGTTAAGGTAACAAGTCTAAATTTGGTGGATTTGATTCATTGAATTTAAAATTTATGTTCTTATTACATTTATGAGCTCAAAACATATAATATGTCAGTTAAAAATATATTCACAGTGACGGCAAACATTCTATGATTTTTAAAAAGACATTATGGTTACTTTAGGATGAAAATAAGTGGACTGTATGTTCTCGTTGTGAAACATACAGACCACCAAGAGCTCATCATTGTAGGTATGTTGTACTGTCTCATTCTTTTAAATAATAACAAGCCATCTTTTTGAAGCTATTTCTCAAATTCCACTTCTGCTCTTCTGAATATTCGATTCATCTTTTTGTCATCTGTACATGCAATTGATTCATTTCTTTTCCTTGTGAAGGTATATATATGGTTTTCAAACTTCTAAGATTTGGTTTTGCATGTTTATTCAAATTTTGATATTGTTTTGTGCTCATGTGTGTACTATCTTTCCTTTTACATAAGAAATTATTATTTCACCATATGTAATAATGTATTTGTACTTTATTTATTTTGATTGCTTTAAAATTTGGCATAGTCCTCCAACACATAATGTAATAACTATCCTTTCACAGGATTCTTATTATTTGCATGCTCAATCTCAGTCTTATTATTGTGTGTACTCTGTAATGTATCCTATGAAAGAACTTTATGGAGGATTGTATTTATACTAGGAACATGTTTTTAAAATAGCGAAATTATTCCATATAATCAAGCTAGAGTTAATGTTTTACATATGTGGAATTCTAATGCAACTGTACATTGACAGCCTCAAATTTACAGGATATGTCGTAGATGTATTAGAAAAATGGACCATCATTGTCCTTGGTAATTAGTATTATTTTTGACTTCTCTCGTAAACAGTTATCAAATATGTCACAAAAATAGTATTTTAGGTTCTGTTATTTCACAATTCCGTTTTACCAGGATAAATAACTGTGTTGGTGAAAGGAATCAAAAATATTTCGTGTTATTTCTAATTTATACTGGTATGTGTGTTATTTCCACAACATTATCTGAAAACATATGATTGTTTTGTGAAACATACTCTGTATGCATTTTCTTGAAGGAAACTTTATAATGTCAATTCACTCATTTCAATTTTTTCGTCAAGGTCTTACATCGATACACGCTATAGTCTTGTCGTCAGTTTCTCTTTCCTTACCTTGTATCGATTGTTCAGAAAAATATGCATTTAAGACTCGACAGTAAGTAGCAAAAACATTACATAATGTGGCGTAAAACAAGGCACAAAAATCCAATTTTTGACATGTTAAATGCTTTTTCTTTTCTTCTGACTAGTGTATGATTAATTTTTAGATTTTTTGTCATATCGTTGATTCTAGAAGGATTGCTATTTGGATTGTTTGTTATGGTAATATTGTGTGACCAAGTAAGAGCATAGTTTACCTCAATTGAAATGTTTAGTACTGTAGTCGGAAATGCCAATTGCCAAAGTAAATGTTAATCTATAAATAAATCTTACAAGTCCACTGCCGTATGTCTACTCTTTGGTTGATGAATTCCGAATTAAAATTTTTGACTTTACTCTTGCTTGAGTTACTTTTTTCTGTTGTTTTAGTTTTCATCGATTTGTAATGATACTACTGCCGTAGAGTATGTTCAAAAAAAAGGCTCTCAACGTAACAAAGCATCGAGAAATGAACTTCTAATGGAAGTGTTTGGGAAAGGTGATCTTATGTACATAATGACATATCTTATTGAGGAATTCATTTACACTGTTTTTTCTTAACACCTCCCACTATAAGACTGGCGAATGTTCAAAAAATTATCATTATTGACTCCTTCGTTATTACCATTTATATATTATCATTCTTTTTTCATCTTAATTTTTAAGGTCCTTTATATATGTGGTTTCTACCATGCTTTGCTCCCGAATATTCGTCAAAATATGATATGGATACTTCATTTATAATGTAAAAATATTTCTAAAGGATTATATCATAAAATCGACGGTTCTTGTTACAAGGATGTCTTTTGGTCAAGGTTTCTTGACTTGTGACCATGATCGTAACGGTGTGTTCTTTTCAAAAATAAATGTTAACATACGTATGTATATAGTACGAACTACTGCTTGCTTTAGCTTGCTTGCAGTCTTTAACAATATTTATGGAATCGTTAATTACTTTAGCGTAAAACGTCGATTTTTTAACGTGAAGATAAAATTTCAGTCATTTTGAGAATATAACTAATGCCACTTCTAAGGTAGTTGTAAATATAATATCCATGTAGCACTTCATACTGCAAACCATGTCAGCTGTAAATCTCCTATTACTTTGTGATGTTTCATTGTGGAATTAGCAAATATCTTGCCTTGTTTATTAACTGTATTTACAAGATATTGGAAACGCAGGTTTCTTAAATTGACATCATGAACTTACCTCAGGTCTTTACATCCCCATCTACATATCTCCTCTCTTCCGTAGTTGGCTGTGTTTTTCGGTTAGTTATCAACACACACTAGCTTAAAAACCATTAATATGTTATTGAAAAACCTTTGGAGTTGGACATAAGACTGAGTAAGAACATTCATTGATGTCGTCTTCATGCACTTCATGACATCAATGAGAGTGATATTTCTTGTCCTTGGGACAAAAATGGAGCATTTTTAAACTGCTTCTCTCATTTAGTTAGTCAAGATGAAACAATATAGATGTGTGTCATTTATAGATATAGAAATGTGATCATTTGATAGACACTGATAGTAGATGTTGTTAAAAATAGATGTTATCCTGGATTCCTTGGATGAAAATGGATAGTTGATGTTGCAAATATTAATTTTGGAGGCTAGTCCATTGGCTTTATAAACACTTTTTTAGTAAAACAATGGTAAATGAAAACTTTTTAAATAAAACTTATCACTAGCAATTCTCACAATAACTTTAAGTCTAGTTGTCCACGGTTTAATTGTAAGCAATTTTCTTTTTTTCGTGATGTAGTGTCTATGAAGTGTATTGGCTAATTTGCTTTTACACAAGGGAGCACGCCAGACCGCATAACGGTCATTGAGGTAACGAGTTTGAATTTGTTGAAAAGAGCTGAAGAAGACTGACAATATGATAACACGTGACCGTAAACTTTCGCATAACTAACTGAGCTCATACAAATCAACTGGATCTCCCACCACACAAGCCAAAATCTCCCTCCGAAACGTTAACATGCGACGCTCTAGTGCTCATCTGTCTCGGGTATAGAACCGAACGAGATTTTCGGACAAATTCCTGCATTTTCTCGCTCGTGAAACGAGTATTAAATTTTTGTAGGTATATTAGTGAACACATTTTATTGTACAATTTATAAAATTTTTCCGGGTAAATATATCATTCAGTTTTGAAGTTTACTTTAGCTAAAATCTTACATTGTCACTACATGTTAGTTTAATACAGTGGTGGAGCAGCAACACGTCGAGCAACTTCATTACAATATTTATCTGGTACTCCAGCATCTCTTAATTCCTTCAACTTTCGGCGCTTGATTTCGTCAAGTTTTTGTCTCCTAAATACAACAAAGGAAAAATCAAATGCACTTCACTTCATTAACATTTGCGTTTATAAATGCGTTTCATAGAATATAATGTTCCCTACCGCTCTTTAGCTTCTTTGTTTAATTTCTCTCCTTCTTCAAAGTAAGTTTTTCTCAAGTGTACTTTTTCTTTTTCTTTCTCGGAGATTTGTTCTCGGATATCTTGAGCAAAACGATGTCTTCTTATTGAACTTTGTTTATCGATTTCCTCATCTCGTTGTAGTCGTTCTTGTTGAGCTCTGCATAATGCATCATAACGACATCAACAACTTTCAAGGTGATCGTAAAGGTTCATATCAACTTCGACCGTGGAACTTAAAAATCAACCCAGGCTAGGGGGGGGGGGTTGTGGTTAAAATAAACCCAAGGATGTATCCAACATGATTTTTAAGGGTTTGTTCTAGTTTAGATTAGATTTTTGGTGGCTAATTTAGGGGTGTTGACGTGCTATGTCCGACTTGATTGAATTCTGTTACTTTTACCATGAATAAGAAAAGTTTTTGAAATGTTCTTCAATGAACATTAAGAACAATTGCTTTTGCTTAGTTGCCTGTATATACTACCATTTCAAAGGGTAATCGGCACGCATCCTGTATCCAATCTAGGCAAGGCTAGGAGGGGTACAAAGATTACTTACACTAGCACACGTTCAAATTCAGCTCTATCTCGAGCAGCCTGTACAGCTAGGAAATGTTCCTTATCTTTGACTTGACGTTCTCTTGCTTCCTTTAACATTTTTTCACTTTCTGCCCTAAACGTACATAAACATAATTTCAACAGAACACAAGTTTCGTGTTCGTAAAAGTGTTAAAATAAAAATAAGCATCACACGTCAACAACATAGTTGTTCTCTAGATTACATACTAATTGCAAATCAATCAACATTTTAATGAATTCAACGAGTTTCATAAATGGGCATATAATAATCTTCAAAAAAATACTTTTTTAAAGCTTCTTCTCTCTCTTTTTTACGCCAATTCCTTTCAGCTTCTTCATGATTTCTCTTTGCTCGCAAAGCATTCTAAAAAGGAATACAGTACAATGACTTCATCAGATACTGTAAGACAACGCTAACTAAAAATACAAATTTAGTTATAAAATATATGTTAAAAAATACACTAGTGAAAATATTTGTAGTGATTTGCTATAAACAAATCATTATCTCTATAATGATGACGAATGTTTTAAAATAATACAGATATATCTCCACTTCAAAATACAATACAAGCAATTGAACTAGTAGAAGCTTATTCTTTAAAAATTCCTAAGCATGCAATAATAATGTTTTCAGGGTAATTGAAATCTACAAAATTTGTATACTTTATTTTGAGCAAAGCTTTAACTGTTTAATCATCTCAAAGACCTGTTCAGCTTGTTTATCCTTAGCTTGTTCTTGCTGAGCTCTTAACCTAGCAATTTCTTTTTCTCGTTCAATGCGTTGTCCTTCAAGTTCTTCTTGGAACGCCTCTTCTCGTGCCTTAGAAAAAAGACATGAGCTGCATGTAGTTCAAACAATAAACATGGACTTTGATTTTATTGATTTTGTGATGCATTGACTGTGACAAACATAGTTACGATTCATTTTAAAAATCTATTATTTTGATTCCCAATGCGTATGCTTACTAATTTTTCCTTCAAATATTCCATAACTTTGATATCAGCAAGTTTTTCTTGTTCATTCTTGAGTTTCCTCAATCGCTGCATTTCCTGCAAAAGGTGATTTTGCATGTGCTGTTTATATGGTGATCAAAGGTGATGTATTTGGCTGGTTGTAAACGAGCAAAGTTTTCCATTCAAATTTTTATTTGATAAGTTTTTATAATTAATATTTTCAACATGTTTCAATGTCTTTACTTGTCATAGTAAAAAATTTCTCAGTTGCGCATCAAAAGCTGAGATTCTGAGAATGATAATTTCACCTCATTTGCTTTGTTTACGTCTTCCATAAGTTGCTTCTGCGTTTCTCTTTTTTTCATCAGTTCGTCAAGGTCCTCCTGCTGAAGTTTCTCCAAATATTGAAGCATTGCCTATTCGAACAGAAACGTCATTGTAAACGTCATTGTAAACGTCATTAAATATAATAATCGTCATTGTAATATTTACATGTGACATATTGTGGTGGGAATTAAAATTTAATTTAAACAAGCCTTATATAAATATACTTCATCAAACACCTTTCCCTACAGTTGAATGACTCTAATAAAAGTTGTATTTTGGGCTGTCAAACTTTAAATGCCAATCATCAAAAAGTTATTCACTGTATATGGAAGATTTATGATTTAGCTAACAGCAAAAAATGATACAATCGCAGCATAAAAGACGGTCTGATAATTAAACTTATATCAAAAGCTCAAAGCTGTATTTATCTATCAGACTGTCGTAATTACTTAAAAATTGATTTACAATTTTTTCAGAGTTTCCACATAAAACAATTAGAGCCATGGATAGCAAAAATACAATTAAAAGAAAAAAAAAATGAAAAACGTAAAAATTCACCTGTGTTTCTTGGTCCTTCTTCTGTTCATCGAGCAGTCGTTTCTGTTCATTCTCAGCAATTTGTTTTTGTATGATTTGAGCGCCTTTTATCCTCTCAATTTGTCTAATTTTTTCACGTTCTTCATATTCTTGTAGAGCTTTACGACGTTCGAGTTCCATCATTTCATCAAGTCGAGTTTCTTCATCCAACATTTCTTTTTTTACTTCAACTTTTTCAACAAGTTGAGCATCACGTATGGCATGACATTTAGCGTTTAAAATCAACTAAAAAAAATTAAAAAAACCCAGAGCATTTTGCTTTTAAGCTTGATAACAATAGCTCTGTATATTTTTACTTGACTATCTTACTTCGTTCAATTTCTTTATTTCATCCTCTTGTTCCTCCATTTGCTCTGTGGCTTTTTCAAGAAGATATTGAGACTTTTCTTTTGCTTCCTATCAGTAACATTACTTTACTCAAACCAATGCACATTGTTTTAATAATAAATGATGAAATGGGTTGTGTACTACCTGTTCCAAATCTGATAGTTTCTCATTTTCTTTGCGATTTAATTCCATTGTCTGCATGAAATTTTTCCTTTCTTCACAAGCATTCATAAGTTCTTTTTTTCTTTTCTTTGCTTCCTCTACCACATTAAGTTTTTCCTCTTTACTCAAAACATAGGATGCACTCTAAAATGTTCAAATGATTACAATGTATAATATTTTGACATTTGTTCTGAAACAATGTCCATTTTTATTCATTCTGGCAGAACGATTTTTTTCAAATAGTTCCATTCTGATGCACACTCTTGTGCCACACAAAATGTAGCTTACTTTATGAAATTAACACTTTTTCTATAAAATTTATCAATAAGTTAATAAAACATGGAATATGAATGAATTTATTTACTTTGATTCGATTAAAGTCATTTCTGTCCAAAACTACAGATTTTCCAGATGGATCTTCCTCAGGTACTCTGGAAATAATTTAATCAATCTTAACAACAACAATGATCATAAAAACAGCTAAATTTTATGATAACATACTTTAATTTTCTTATCATATCCTTTGTGATAATTTCAATGAGTTCTGGGTCATTTGATCTTTGCTTTACTGAAAACCAAGCAAATAAATTCAAATTATAAGATAACAATAAATAAATCAAAACATGATCATTTGTTTTGATTTACAAAGTGCAATGAAATAAATTATTAAGCAAGGGCTTTATTAAAGATGATCGCAATTTTCGGGGAAACGACGTGAGTCTGGAATCATTTTAACAACATCATGAAAAATATCAAAACAACAGATCAAGATATTTCAAGGCAATGCTCCAGATTCTGCTGATCTATGCAATAAAAAGAGGTTTACCAAACTAGCAAGTATTCAAACTTTATGGTATCATACCAGTTGAGTTTGGTAATTCTTGTCGAGAAGTCAACAGCAAAACATCATCATTTGCCGACTTCTGTCTTTGACGAGCTTTAGTCGGTAATCCAAATAGACTTTCATCCTGTCCATCCGAAATATAAATTTCATTCCGTCACGTTTGAATTTCACTTGAATTTAACTGTCTACAACTAAATAGTAAGTAAACTAACCACAGTGGAAACTTTATTTATAGTGCGATATTGTCGATTAAGCGAACGTCGACTGGAACCACTGGATCCTCTAGATTCTACGGATCCTATCGCACTCTAAGGTAAATCAATGAAAATTTTGATATTAAACAGCTTATACATTGCGTCGTATTGACATTTCCTTTAATAAACCAAATGTACATACCATGATTTATCATTGAAATAAAAAATTGTTGAAAATCACGAAAAAATTTTATGAGCTTTGTCGTTGATTGTTTTTATCGCAAGCGTTACTTAGCAACATCATTTACACTGATCTGTTTTTTCTCCGCCTGGTTCAGGATTCAGATGTAGGCATGCTATGAAAATGTATTTGGTCTCTGAATGAATTTGGCTGCATTTTGGTATAATTTTTAATTTTAGAACGACTAAATTTCCCTTTTATGGTCTTTCTAATTGCATCCTTTCGTTCATACTTCATACTTTATTATAGCATTCAGAAGACGTTATTTTAGCGCAAAACTAAACCTCTGCACAAATTTGTGATTTATGTGTGATTTTTTGGTTGTAATTTTCATTGAATGTGAAGTTTCGGTCACAAGGCAACCATGAAAATTTAGCCCGTGAACATTTAGTCTGTAAACATTTAGACCGTGACACATCAAGCCGTGAACATTGAAACTGTGAACGTAGTGAGCAAAAATATCGGGACAAGGTTCATTCAACAATACGTGTATGGATGGTGACTATATTTGTCTATATTGAGTAATAGTTAATCAAAAGATATAAGAAAACCCTCACAGCAACAGGAGGCAATTTTTCGCACGGCAGAATAAATTTTTAACGAGATTACATAATTCCTTTATATTTATTTAAAGAAATGATTCTTTGAGACAACACATGAATGAAATAAATGATTTTTTTCAAGTTACTAAAGACAAACATGACGTTTCGTTTTGCCATCCACATACACATATAAAACGCATATAAAACTAAAAATCTATAGATATAATAGTAATACAGGTAGCCAACATTAAAACAGTAATTATATGGCTCTTGCTTTTATATAAACCAACTAAGCTTCCACATTACCATTTACTCTGAAGAATTTAAAATTTCTAAGCACTTTTTAACCTGTATTTCAATAGTTTCTTTCTCCTTTTGTAAAGAACTTTGTGCGCTCTTAAGCATTTGATATTCTTTTTTTATACATCCAATAGTTTCAAACAGTTTCTCTAATTCTTTTGCTTTCTTTTGGATTCTCTTCTCAGTTAATTTGATCGACCTTTTTTTGTTGGTTAATTGTGTTTCAACATCTGAAATAAAGTATGTTAATTTTATTTTCAGTTGCAATGCTCAAACAGGCACTTTACAACATTGCATGTAAAAAGTCCTTACTGTTCAGTTTTGTTTCTATCTGAGATAGTTTTGTATCCCCTTCAAAATTTTCCAATAACTGTTTAACAATAGGCACAAATCCAGTAGCTTTCAGACCTTCCAAAAATTGAAATGTTTCTGAAAAACAAAGTACAATAATATTGAAAAATTTTCTAATGGTAAACAACTAATGAAAGAAAATGGGCAAAATAATTCATGTAAAATATTTACATAATAATTATAATCTTTATTGAGATAAGCATCTACACACAATCTCGAAAAATTTTCTAAAGTTATTAAATATTACAAATTATATAACTACACAAACAAAAATTATTTATATTCACATAATTTTTAACAATGTTCTTGTTCAAAATATTTATTAAAATTACACCTTCAAGGCTTTAATTTGTGATTGTAGATAAGTAGTGATGCATGTTAATGACATATCAACATATTTATTCAAATTTTGAAATATTATGTTTAAAAATAGTAACACTTGCTGATTACCTAATGTACCAATTTAGTGAATTAAAATTACGCTTTCAAGGCCTGTGTATTAATTTGTGATTGTAGATAAGTAATAATGCATATTAATATCAAATATTGAATTCAAGGTTAGGCAAAATAAAATTATAGTCACTAATTATAATTTTAAAATATCTTCAACAAATTCCATTTGTCGTAAATTTCTAAAGACTAAACTTAAACCTATTGATATGAAGTAATTTCTTCATCCATTCTACTGCATTTTACTAAACTAGTGTTCTATGTAATTTATTGACTTTGAAATTATGAGATGATGGAAGTACAACTGTACAACATAACAGGGTTGTAGAGGTTGTTTGTTAATTGTTATCTTAGATTGATTTTGCCAAGAATATGTCACCTTATTCAGGTTATAAAAGATTGTTTCCTTGGGCTTTTTAAATACAAATATTTAAGTATAGTGTAAAACCTACTTGTGTCTGCTTCATTGTAAATTTCTTCTTTGGAATCTTCTTTAACAGAACACAAACAAACTGTGGATGATGTAAGATGTTGTGGATTAGAATTGGCATCAAAATCATTTTTAATTGAATTATCAAGACTTCTTTTTTGCTTTGTTTTTGATTCTTCAGCACAAAGTTCTTTATTTTCAATCATTGAAAAATTAGGAGATGCTGGTAAATCTTCATTTTCTTGCATGTTTTTTTCAGCAAAATCATTACATTCATCAGTTTTTTCAAAAACATCAACAATACTCATATTATCACCTGATATACTACTGATTTTTTGAACATTTCTAAGTTCGCCATCATCATCAGCCAGTTCTACATTCATATTGTATGCATTTTCATTGCCACCGTTCACATTCTCATGATCTTGTTGATTAAAGTTGTGAGAGAGCTGTAAAGTTTCAGCACTTTTATCTTCAATGGCTGTTGAATGGAGATCATCATCTTTGAGATAACTTGATGCTGTCGATGATTTCTTTGCAGATAGCTTGTTCATAGCCACTGTTGATTGATTAGATGTACCATCTGTTGACAATTGATCATTTAAAATCTGCAGGTTTTCATCACCTTGTTCAGAGCACCTAGATACACACAGTTTGGCTTCTTTAGCTACACTTACATCAAGATCGGTAGAGTTCCTTCTTTTCTTATTAGAATTTGATTCCAGTTGACTATTGTCATCCATTTCATTTGATTCTATATTTTTGCTTTTCGTTTTCCTTGTTCTTTTCTCAAGAGATGTTGATGGCTCGGGACATTCCAACGTAGTTAGCTTTCGCTTGATCAATGGAGACCGAACTTTTTGCATGGGCTTCCAATTCCATTCGAACCACTCCGAGTCCAGGGACGTCTCTTTGAGATGAAACCGTTCAACGCTTAAACGGAATGCACTATCAAAATATTTTTGAAGAAGGTCTTGTACACGGTCCGCGTTTATTAACAAATTGGTGAATACGATACGTCCCATGCGGTTTGAGTTGAAAAAATGACGTTCAAAAAGTATACTTTTATCAAAAAGCCAATCAGAGGCAACTCCAAAACGATATGTAAAATGTAGCATATCCTTCTTCGACTGTTGGGTCACCAGACAGACTTTTTCCTTTGGTAAACATCTCAGAATATCGTCGAATACAAACCATTCTTTTCCACGATAAAACAGGGAGCTTAAAATTAGGTCAAAAGACATTTTTTGAGAAATAAAATGAAATGTTTTATTCAACGTTTTACCGCATTATCAATATCCTAATTACAATTACTAGTTCCCAGGTCACAGGTTTTCGCTCGTTATGAAAATTTGGTGAAGGACCTACAGGACATGGTGAGAGCAATGGTGAAAGCATGAAAGTGATAGTGTCTTGCATTGTTTGGACTTTAATTCGTTGACATTGCACATTATGCGTTTTTTAAAATTAAGAAATGGTAGTTTCAAGTTGTGTTATAGTAACATTCGACAAGGGTATACAGCTCCCTCGCGACTTCGTCTTAAAAGAAGTGGTCGTAAAAAAAGAAATAAAGAATCAGGAGAAATTCCCTACCTATTTCATCCGCGCGTACGAACTTTAGAACCGATAATCCAAGCTTTACGCAACACAAAAAGTTTGATAAAATATGAATTGCCATTAAAAGTTACTTCAATGGATGATTTTATGTGCAATGAAGTATTTCCTCAAGTTAAGTCTGCTTTCTCTCAAGACACTGGAGTTAACAGTCTAAATATGGAAGATTTTCTGATGACCTACATTAATACTGTTTGGAAATATGGAAATAGGTAAGTGGAAAGGCCTGTCTATTTTGTATCATATTTTATAGCAGCAATTATTTAGCCTTTTATTTGTTAGTAATTTAGCATGGTTTTGCAAATTTATAAAAAAAATTTATTTTTACTTGTTAAGTTTAATTTGTTTTATTTTTTACTTCCATCAAAAAATGATGTTTTAATCCAATGTAACACTGTATGTTGTATGTATATACTCAACAAGATCCTTTTTGCATTTGATGACAGACAGATGACATTTTTGTAAACACAAAGTAATATGCTCTATTAGAGATATTCTTTTATTGTTGAACAGGTAATAGAGTGAGTTTCATGAAAAGTGTGTTGTATCGCATCAATTAGATATTTGCATTTTTATGCTTGCCGATGAAAATTTGCTTGTTTGGACTGCTGGTCCATTATGGCACAATAATGGACTGCTAAAAATTTTTATAAGTAAGTCATAGCATGCTTTTTCACTAGAAGTGATGCTTGCATATATCAATTTTCTATTATTTTCCTTTTCAGTTATCCAGGACTTTTGAAACAAACAATATCTTATCGTCCTGGCTTGAAAGTATCCTGGAGTAGATATGGACATAATTTGCAAATTTCTGGAAGAACTGGACTTCTGTTTTCTTCTGTGTGTGCATTACCTAATTTTTCTCTCTCCGAGGAAGTACAAAAAACCACTTGCAAAGAGTTAATGGGAAAGGATGAGCTTATATCACCAGTGTTTGAATTATCACAGAAGATGTCAGGAATGGAATTTGATACAGGATTTTATCAGGATCTTTATCCTTTCCCACAAATGCTAGTCATTGCTGAACATAATTGGAAGTTGGATCATCTTGTTGCTCAAGGTTTGTGTATCAGTAAATTGCACACACAACTCAAGAATTACACATACATCTTATTCTTTTTATTAAATTCCTTCATTTATGGTTTCAAAAGAAATAAAGAAAATTTTCATGTGAAATTAACTTTCATTTAAGTTTAGTAAAGTTTCATACTTTAGAAGTACATTTTATGGTGAAATTTCAAACTATTGCATTTTAAAATAAACATTATTGTGTGGGTATATAATTATTTGTTACGTTTTTAAATAAGGAATTTATAAAATTTATCTTTTCAACTTTTTAGCTATAATGTTTTCATTTGGACGATTATTTGAACGGTCAGTTTGTAAGAATGACGCAAGCATTGGTGACGTATTACGGGAGCCATTGTCAATTCGCGCAATAGTGCTCAATGAACAAACCTTTTCACTAATGTGCTATCAGCTGAACACTCTAGATTTTGACAACGATGACGGGATAAAGAATCAACTCTGGCTTTCTAAACCATTTTCGGCGACAATGCATAAAGATTCCAAGGAAAAGTCAGAAAATAACAACGTAGGGCTCTTGGAAAGCAGTTACAAAGATATTATTTCTTTTTTTTTGTACGGTCAAGGATAGAACTGCTAATTAAAAACTTTGGTATAGAAATATATAAAAAACTGCTCACAATCTCCAAATTTTGAATCTCCAACTAGTTAAAAGCTTTAGGTTTACACAAGAATCGAGTGATTTGTTATTTGTATCTTCGTCATTAGGACCGGCAAAGATCTCAACATTACAGACTGAAGCTTTTTCTGTCGGTTTTAAAAGTCTTCGTTCTTGTTAATTTCCATTCTCTGAACAGCGAAATTCGACACCAAGATTAAAGATCCAGTGTGTCCTACTCTGCAGTACTTTATCGCTTCTTAACTGTTTTTCTCAGAGGACCATACCAAGGATCGTATAGGCATCAATAAATTTCTAAATTATTCTTCCTATAAAAGACTATCAAGGGTGTATCGGTTTCAATTGGCTTCTCTTATAGCATGAGTGTAGGTATGTTCACACTAATGACACTCCTTCATAATTGACTGACATTTCAAAAAGCACGAAGAATTATCCAATTGAATGTTGTCGCATGTCATGGAAAACAACAAAACATATTATTTCTCACATTGTATCTTCTTTCTCTATACACAACTGATAGACTCTTATGGTACTCTTTTCTTCATTTTCATCTCAATCTTTTATTCTGTCTAACCATACACTCTTTGGTTTTTCATGCTCCCCGTTTCTCTGTATTCACAGTGAATGTTTGTTAGTCGTTTCTGTTTTTTATCAAATGTCCATACTATCTCAAACTTGCTTTTCTGATCTTCTGTCCATCACGTCTTCTTTTGTAATCATTTCGTATTTCATGCTTCATTATCAATCCTAGAATTCATTGTTGTCCGAAATTCATTTCCGTTTTTTACCAAACTTAACTAGCTCCTATACTATTAGTCTACCATTACAGAAGCTTGACGTAATAGCGTTCATGGAAAAAGTCCTTAGGGAAGCACATTTTGAAAATCGTTCACAATGGTGGGAAATGTTCAGTATTATCGCTGTCAGGAAGTTTGTTTCAAAATCATTTCCCAGAATTGTTGTTGTGTCTAGCTGTAGACGCAAATGTAAAATGAAAAACAGATTTAGAATACAGGTGTATTAAAGCGTAAGTTGTATTGTAACGCAAAGTTACAAATATCCTTAGCAAGCAAGTGAAACAACAGTTGACTGCCTACCAGGAAATGATATTTAAAAAATAAAATATTTTATTTTACATGAGTTTTGAACATAAGAGTTGCATTATAATCTGTGTTATGTTGCATAAAATGTACGTAGCTTTTTTGAACCAATGAATCTTTGTCGAAAGGAGTTGAAACGAACTTAAAATGTGCCACACCTCATAACAAATTCTGTATTGTGTGTAGGTCAGAAGGTTTAAACTTTCACAAGGACGGTGATGACCAGCTTTCTCACAAAAGATTGACTTGAACCAATGGCAAAATTTTTACATTTATTAGTTACAAATGTATTGAAAATTGAACAAATTTGTGCTCAATGTTGCAAAATCACTTCTTACATCGATTTTGATAATTGGGTGAAATGCATTTTTCTCATCATCTGTAACTTTTGTCTAAAGTAAATTGTTTCAAGACAATAAAAACTAATCTTTCGTCATCAAAAACCGATAAAAAGTGAGTGAAAATTATTAATAGGTGACGTACACTTTTCATCGTCGGAAGCTCCATGAGAGATTTTTATAGTCTTTTATCTTTGTTTCTTTGTTTGTCTTAGCATGTGCTTTACCGCTTACAATGGCATGGGTCTGTATTTGAATTTGTCTAACGTGTTTTGCACAGTTTTTATAAACGAACGAGTTGCAAGAGCTTGAAATTGACGCGTGGCAATAGTTTCGAATTACTCGTTTACATGAAAAACGAAACACGATAAGTGCTATGAAAAACATTGTTGTCATACAGGATAATAAAAGGAACAAGTAATCCGCGGGGATCTCATAGAAGTAATATATTAAAACAAATTTCCGGGCTTACACAACTTTGACCAATCAAAAGTCAAATCAAGGCACGCAATGGCGCCTACGTATTCATAAAGAACAAATCTCGGCAATAATGGCCAATAGGAACGCAGTAACCATGCCGATAGTCTGCGTGTCTTTCATTGCCCATAACCTCGTTTAGCACTGGCTTTGACCGAGGTCTCGGCTCACACATTAATCACTTTGACGCCATTTTCGTTTTAACTTATATCGTTGGTTTCTGTGTACAATCTACGTTCTGTGGTTGAGCGAGAAAGTTTCTCAAAAATTTCAATTGTTTAGTAATTGCGAAGTTTTTGAAAACAAATAGTTTCATAAAAGAAAATTGCTTCTCTTGGACCGACAATTAGCTGGTCCATTACTTCGCTGTTAGAAGATGAAGGGCCACAGCCGCTTTACAGACACTGAGAGAAGTGGAGGAGAAGAACTTGACGAAGGAGTCATTGAAGTACAAGTAATACCACAAGACGACAATTGGGGTGAGACAGCGACTACAATAACTGAGACTACAGCTACCTCAGTTTTAAGTGGGATTAGTGAGACTAACCTCAGTGATATTGGGAAAGATTTTCAGCCTTGTCGATTTAGTTTTCGCCGACATTGCAGCTTTGCTATAACCATTTTCGTTGGTATCCTTGGTGTGTTTTCACCCGTGGTATTTATAATCATACCATTATTTCTGGGAAAACGAGAAGAATACATGGATGACTGTTCAACTAAGGGCAGTAATTTAAACGAATGTGATGGTTTGTATATGAGTTTAGGATTTCGTGAAGTTATTTTAATTGCTGGTATTTGGGCATTATACTTTCGTTCTCCGCGCATTAACTTCCCTCGTGTCAACCGTTTAAAATTTGGTGTAATGGGTCTTGCAGCTATAATTGTGATGTCTTACTGGGTTATATATGCATACAGAGTGCTTGAAGAAGGTTCAAAATCATCAAAGTCTGTGGCGCAATTTGCTCTTTCACTTGCCGACACTTTGCTGTTTGTACATTATTTGTCACTTGTTGCACTGTGGTTTCGTCAGAGCAGGTTGACGTTTACTATGAAAGTCATTCGAAGTACAGATGGTGTTAGTCGATTTTATAACGTTGGTATCATGTCTGTACAGCACGCTGCTGCGTTTGTATTAAATCACTATTACAGAGATTTTCCCGAGTATAATCCTCTGCTTATGTCTATTCCGTCATCGCGCAAACACCAAAATAAAGAAACGACTAATATCAAATTTTACGACATCGATGGTAAAGTGGGTAGCGAACCATCAAATGCTAATTCTCGTGCACGTGCAGTGATTGCAGCTACTGCAAGAAAACGTGAATCAAGACACAACGATCGTTTTTACGAAGAGGAAGAATATACACGACGTGTAAAGAAAAGACGTGCACGACTAATTACGGCCACTGAGGAGGCATTTACACATGTAAAGAAGCTCAAGATGGAAAGAGGTCCTTGTGTTCCATTAGACGCAGAAGAAGCCGCTCAAGCTATATTTCCATCACTGGCAAGACCACTTCAAAAATATTTGCGCACAACACGGCAACAATATCGATACTCCATGGAGTCAATTCTAAAACACTTGGCACATTGTTTGATATTTGATATGTCTTCAAAAGCTTTTCTGGAGCGATATATCAGCGAACAACCTTGTGTTCAGCTTTTGGCAGAGAATATAAAAAGCTGGAGTTTAGTGTGCGAAGAACAATTAACTTCAAATATAACAAAATCGACAGTGTTTCAACTTGTTAGAGATGAATATTCATTAGTGGTTACCGTAAATGAATTACCACAATATGACATTCACGAGGAGGACTTCGATTTTGATGACAATCAGTTTGTACTTCGTCTCAACTCGGAGACTTCTGTTTAATGACATCGTTCTTATATGTAGGGACTATCTTTGTATAATTGTCTATATATGTAGTGGCTTGCTATATGTATTTTTAAATGTGTGGTAGCGTTCTTTTAATTGGTTGTACATAAAAACGCTTTTCTCTGTCGTGCTGCTGCTGCCCGGAAAGTTTTTTTGTCGTTGAACAAGCTGGATGTTATTGTTAATATAAAAGTTAGTTCACTAGAAGTGTTTAAGTTATTAAGGTTGCATTAATCAATCTTCTTGTGGTACTTTTTTCCTTTTTAATACTGTGTGCGATGTAGCTATCACGTTTATTCCCAATGTATATATCTATACAGTATACGCACAGCTGTATGGTAGAGAAGTGTATCCATTGGAGGTATTCAGTCATACAAGGCGTATTTGGTTCGTGTGAAGGAGTGTGATGGAATTAATTTTACAAAGCAAAGATGCTGGTTGAAAACAGTTTATATTTTGACTTTGGGGCCGGTTGCACGAAGCCTGGATAGCGCTATCCATTGGATAGCGAAAATTTTCAAACTTGTAAAAAAGCTGTTTATATTTTTTTCTCGCGACAAAGAAATTTTGTAATCTTTGAAACAATATTTTATTTCAACGATTGCAAAGTTCAAATCTTATATTTTTCTCTTATAAGAGATTTTATGAACGTTCTGAAAAATTTGCTATACAGGCTTCGTGCAACCGGCCCCTGGTTTTCAATAAAGTATTTCAATTGATTAATAACCAAATGAAGAAATTACTTGACGTCCCAAATCCTAATAATGTTTTACGTGGCATGCCTTATTTACGAAAATGTACATGTGGAGAGAACCTTCATCCTTACCACTAGATATTTTACTGAGCTGTATCGCGTAGCACCAAAGGTGGTAGTGGCACAGGCTCTGCAATGGCATGGAAATTGGAAGCATATGCATAAGTCGTCACCAGTCTTCTGTACCACCATTTATTGCTCGTCTCAGAGTTAATAATATCACTCCCTCACTGTCCTGCATGTCATCACTTCTCACTGACCCGACGTAGGTATATAATAGGAGATATGAGAAGTGAACATAGAAAAGCTTCCTGAATGCTTTTGTGAATTAGATTGGTGTTGTCTTGGCACAGTTTCCCACTGTTGTCAAATGTTTTAAAAAAGTTTTCTGGTGTATCTGTGTTTCACCTTTTAGTAAACATTTTACTCTGTAAAGTATTAAGATTTAAATAATGGCATTTAGAGTAACTATAACTGGTTTTTGTCAGATTAAGTTCTGTTTGTGACATGATTATTTACAATAAAAATTTTAATTTCTTGAATGAAGTTTATGGATTTTAGCAAAAATTAAATGTTCGAGCCCTTTTTTGCAATAATTTCTCTCTGCTGCTTGATCAATGTGGTGGATAAAACAATTCTTATCATTTTCACATACAATTGTTGGTCACAACTCCAAGTGAAGTTTAACCAAAGAGCTAAGCTGTAGGAGTTAGACAATATGTTGGACATTGTGACAAAGTTGTTAATTTAATTGAAAAATTTATCAATAACTTCATTCTTTAAATAATTGTAATTTCATATATTGTTTATTAAAAAAAAACATCTTTATTCATAAGTTAATACAAATTTGACAGACATGATAGCCATAGGAATTCAATTTACAAGTACAAATAAAAACTTTCAATTACAGTTATGCAGACAAGCTACATTGCAAATGAAAAGTCCCAATTCAAGCATCAAAAATAAAAGTAGTTTAGTCCAAATTCTATACTAATAACGTCTTCATCTGAAGAACGTTCTTTACGCACAGTAGGTCGTTTTATCGCTTATAACAAATCCATTGACCATTCAAATAGGAAACTCTTTACTAGAAAATATAGAAATGGAATCACACTAAATATACTTATTACTTTTGTATTAGTCCTAAATTATAAATTCTTAGGGCAATTGCCGTTCAATGTATGAGACGTTCTAAACATGGATTTCGCATACAATTCAAGGCAAGAAACTATAAAACCCGTAAAATTATAGTTGACGAACGTATCTTACAACAAAACTGTTTCTCACCTCATATCCTTGGTATCCTGTCCGATGGCATCAAAAATTTTGTCCATAAATGAATTTACATTCGTCAAATTTTCGAAAAACAACTCTCCATTATATTAACATATATGCATTCTGGCCAGTTTATCTGACTGGAGTAATGGCGGACGCAACGGATGCGCATTTGAGAACTGGGTGCAAGTGAGGGACTGATTTTTCGCTTAGTGGCGCTTTTATTACGTATCTCTTCTGCGATATTGTCACAAAATTGTGTATTCGCTCAACTGTATCCTACAAAATTACTTGGCTTTTAAAATTAAACGTCTAAGTAATTGTTTTTGCTTACAGTTTAACCTGTCTACGTAAGGTATGTTCTAAATTCACTTAATTATTTTTGTTTTAATTAATTCTTCTTCATACAGTTCATGGTTTTTAAAGAAAATTTAATAATATGTTTATTTGTAGAGAGTTGCCGCCATTACTGATTAGATGGTTTATTAAAATGGCTACAATTGAAGGCTTTGCAGGTGTTTAAAATGTGAATCAATACGTTAAATTTACGAACATTTTCTTTGCGTTAACAGATTTGTCTGCGAATCATGGCGGGTTTGATAACATGAATATATTTTTAGCATATTATTTATATATTGTTATATCTTTAAAAGAAGAAGTACTCGAAAGTGAATCGGACATTGCTAGCAATACTTCTGAAATTTCAAATGATGAATCAAGTGATAATGAGGTATATAGACAATGGCTTATTGTTATCATAGGCAAAATATAAACGTGTAATTTACTTGTATGTTTAGAGTCAACATGAACACAATGATGACTTGGCTTCAACTCGTGGTACATGTACATCATGTTGTTTATAGTCCAATATACTCAATAAAATAGGTTGTTTTACAATATGTATTTGAGATGGCAACAAAATGAAAGAAATTGCTTATTGATCTTGATTGTAAAGTTTTGAGATATGTGTATAGAAGATCATAAAATGTGAAAAAACTTTGCAAGCACAGTACTGTACGAATAATCAATGTAGGATTGGTGTGTGGTAGAACTGGACAAATAGAGTCAAATTTCGATTCAATTTTTTTTTGTTAATTTTAACTCTAGATAAACTTGCTGATTGGTTTCTTGGTTTAAATGATGAACAGATAAACCTAAGAAAAAACTGTGTTAAGATTCATGTTCTAGCCCCATTTTTACTTGGTATCATACCACCTCAATATGAAGAAAAGGTGAGTAATTCTGTTAAATATAAGCTTAACAGATGCACTATAGTTACATTCAGTGTGCAAATTAACGGTGTGCAATGTGCAATTTGCACATCGTTTTAGCTAAAATGAAAACAATTGCACATCACTTTTTCAAACGATATGCAAAAAGCAGTCAGCAAACAAAATGTTTGTGTATTGCATGATATAGTTTAGGCCATTTATTTGAGCAAGCAGAAAAAATTAAATTTTGACACAGCATCAACTGAGTGGCACAATTTATTTACAACAAAATCAGTGAGCAATTATTTTTTATGCAAAAATGATAATTTGTGTTTTTTAGTTTATTAGTTGGTCATTTGAATGTGGCTTACTGCCAACTAATGAAGTAAAGTTAGTATTCATATTTCGAAACTTTGTTGTATTTTTACATTAACAGATAAATCACTCATACATTACTATTTCTTTAACAGGCAAGACTTTGATCCTACTAATGAGGCATTTGAAAATATACAGATTGTTGAAAATGGCTTTGAAGCTCTATCACAAATTATGGTAGTTTGTTTGATGAGATTTTCATTTAACTATAGCTTTTTATTCTCCTCAAGGCTTATGTTATCATTATTGTAGTTTAAAAAACCTTGATATCATTTGGATTTAGGTTATTCTATTCTCTACAACATATCAGAAATGTATTTTGCATTTGTCGAAATATCTATTGTATGTGTATTAAATATATATTTATATATTTTTATTCTAGAACAAGAAACAAATAATTATTCAAATGCTTGAATTGAAAAATCAACTAGTCAATGTAAGTTTTGAGACATATGCATGTAATTTCCCCCAACTTCATGATATATTAAGTGAATGGTTTGACTCTTAGATCGTTAGATATTTGTAGATGGGAATTGTGCAGGTCAGTACAGTCCTCAGAAGGGCTGTTTGTGGTGTTTATTAATGTTTCAATAACCTTAATGGAGGACATATATTGTGTCAAATGTGCAGTAAATATGAGACTTTTGTAATATTGACATTGAAAAGTACTATTGCTATGGTTGTCAAACACCAACCTCTATCTCTCAGGACTCCACCAACATGGACGATATACCTCTATAAACATATAATTCATGATTTATTAATTATATGTCATGTACACTATGTTGAGTTTAGTGATGATTTATTGAAGAAGAAGATTTGTGATTATTTTGAGAGTAATTTTGTTCATAACTCATACAATCAACTGAAGAACAGTAAATTTTATTTTAATATAAAAATGTGTATCATGATATGAGAAACATTGCTTTAAATTGCTTCAAATTCCTATAAACTGCATCAAATTGCTATTTATTGTAATTTAAAGCATGTTATCAATTTCATTACAAATTTTGGACTGTTATGGACTGTGAATATTATACTTTTCAAAAATAGTCAAAGAGTCCATACTTTATGTGAAGATGTTTGTCTTTATCAACAGTATTTAATTTTTTAAATTATAAATAAATGTATTATGCCTTAATTGTAATGACAGGAATTAATCAGATCCTTCATTTCCAATTTTGATGTTTTAGTGTACTTCATACAAGAGAGCATTTAAGTGTGCCAAGAAGAAAGATTGGTTTTTGTGTGAAAGGTAAGACAACAATTTTTGAAACAAAGCTTACACCTTAACCATGCCTGAAATTCTGCCAGGATTTACATAAATCTATGTTTGAACGTGTTCAAATCAACATGCAACATAACTTGTAGCTCTATTCTTATTCATCTGCTCATAATGCCGGTTGAGTTGTCTGTTTGCTGTCTTTTTTTAATGTTTTTGAATATCCACAAAGTAATTGATGTTTGCTGCCCCAGTGATGACTGATTTCATTGAATCTCTTTGAGATACTTTTTAAAGAGTCCTGAATAGAAAATGATATGTTTCAGAAAGTTCAACTTGTATTTTAGAGATGTATGTCTTCCTAAAGATGTTAAAGTAGAGAGAGCTATCATGGCTTTACTGCTAACAGCGTATCAATGTAAGTCATGTAAACTGTTTCTGATAAGAATAAAATCATAAGTCAAAAATTTTGCATTGTATTTCTTTGTCTATTTTGTCAAATATTACACAGTATACTTTTATGTTTATACTTAATACAACTATTTCAATCTTGCTGTTTATACCTGTTTTTATTTAACATTAGATTTTACATTAGATTTACATGATCAGACATTTTTTACTAATGTTTTTAGTTTCATTTTTACAAATTGTTTATTCATTGAACATTACAGTTGCTGTGCATATTCAATTGTCGTATGTCAAAAAAACTGACCTACTCACGATCTCTTCAAGTAGTAAAGATTGCAAGGAAGTTGAAGAAGTATGATTTATGATGATTGAGTTTAATAATTTACCCACAATTTCGTATTTACGCTTGCCTCACTTCTCGAGTAGAAAGTTGAACATTAGTCTCAATTTTTTTTTATTCCATTAAAGTGTTCCAAACGACGACAACTATTTAACGTCTTATTCCATAAAATTGTCACTTCAAAGGTTCACTAAATTTTAGAAAACATTGAAGTTAAAAGAAAACGGAAATGAAGAATTTCGCTCTAAAAACTATGAAGGAGCTATCACCTTCTACAGCAAAGCTATACATGAGAGGTATTAAAATTACACTGTATATTTATATATATAAATAAATAAAGTGAGAAACTTTGCCTCTGACGACTGTTCCTCATGGGATTGAAATGATGACAGAACTAGAGGATTTGAACGCAAATTAAAGAATGTGTGTCAACCATGATGCATTGCGCGTTAATCCCAGAGTGACAGCCATTTTGTGGGCAGATAATGCCGGATTTTGCCATTGTAGTCCATGCAACTTAGAAAAACGATAGAAATTAATGTAATATAGAGTTTTAAATCAATATTTTTTTCCTGACTTTTCATATAAAGTAGACGACGTAGTGACCAAATTGAATTCGGCGTGCCACAAGCTCAAAAAGTAAAGATGTAAACATAAACAAAAGTGCGCAATGCATCTTGGTTAACGCACATTCTTTAAGTTTGTACATGATGCTCTTTAAATCATCAATTGAAATTATCTGGCGTTTTCACTAGCTTTTTCTTTTAAGCAGTCTTAATTTTTCTGAGGTGGTGTGTAATAGAACTTTATTAAATGTAATCGTGTTTTCTACGATCTTCAATATGATCTTCAAAAAAAATATCTTATATTTTTTATTTATGTCCTTTAATTACTTCATCCGTTACTTTTTTTGTTTCGAATGATGTTGAGGAGTGCAGGGTGGTAGGTAGAGGCTAATTGAGGGGGAGGGGTGTATATTCATATATTTAGTTGTGTCCAATTGATTTCTTTAGAAAGCCAAATTACTTTCAAAAGAAGCTAATCACTTGATTGTGTGTTTCGGGGACCAAAATTGCAATATATATTCAACTGTATGTGTATTTTCTGGCATATCAATATAAGAAGAAGTTAAAATTCAAAAAAAAAACCAAATTAGGCAAACTGCCAACACGAAAAGGAGAATTAAATCTTTAATGTAAAGTTCTGATTCTCCAGGGTTCGTATTAGAATAATCTATGAGACTATAACACCTAAAAAAAACATGAAAGATTGCTTTGTGGTTTTGTATCCATCATTACTCTCTTATTCGTCTTATATATAGACATTGAACTTGTTGATCCTTTGGTTGATATTTTTTTCGTTTTTATTTCAGTCCTTTTAATCACATTGTTTATGGCAATAGAGCTCAGAGTTACAAAAATCTCGGCGAATACAGGTAACTGGGTTTGTGTGTTTGTCTTTTTGTATTTTGTTCAACCGAAGTAAACTCAGTTTAAATCATTAATCATAAGCTTGACAGCAAAATGGTCTTATATTGTGGGAGAATTTTGTTATTGTGTCGAGTATTGAAAAATAGTTTTTAAGCAATTATGCTGCTATTTTGGAATAATTGCAGTAACTCTATTCTGCAGTGGTTGAAAACAGTTTTATTTTACCTTTGTAATTCTCCTTTAGCAAATTGAATAATGTTAATGTTAATTGAACTCTGTGAAAGTGAAGTTGAACCAAAAAACAAATTGTCATGTGCCTTTTTATTTTAAACTCCACTTTTGGTCCTTTGTTGGTGTGCATGTTTGAAATATTCTTCAGTATAAAAAATTTTGAGAAGGCAGTCAAATTACTTATTTTTGGCTTTGTTATTAATTTTTGCAAAAATTCATGTCAATAGAAATTTAAAATACATCATCTTTAGCGACTTGTTCTTTACCCTGGTGAATATATTATGCATATTATTTTTCTTTATTAAAGAAAAGCTCTGATGGATGCCAAAAGAACAATTATTTTAAAACCAGACTGGGATAAGGTACGAGGAAAGCCATGATATTTAATTTTAGTTATATATAAAAATGCTTTGTACGTACTTGTAAGAACGAGCATAACCAAAGAAGAAGTTTTGTTTGTTTGTTTTTTTGTAATTGCAAGTCTAACGTTTGATGAAATTCAAAGCCCTAATTTTGAGACGTTTAAGTAACTTATGAATACCATTGTAAATAATTAGTTTGTAGGAAAAGAATGCATATAATTGATTTAACTACAGTTGGTGTGTTTGTTAGAAATAGCGTTTACTTGTGGTCTTCTCAAAATGCTGCTTTTGATTTAGATTGGCATTAGTAGAAGATTGTTTCTCAACCATCATCCTATTGCAGCGTTGTATTTATTATTTCATAAAACATAGATTTGTCTTTAGCTATTTACATAGACGCACAACTTATAAAATCATGAAACTTGAACAATAATTTTTATCGCTAAAAGCTTAAGTTTTCTGGCAATGAGATTTTCTCATCATTTCTCGTTCATTTCATAGGGTCTATACAGATTTAAGGAGGCGGCTGCTGCTCTTCAAGATGGAGAAGGAGGAAAAGCGTCATTTCTTTCTTTTTGCGTTGACAAACATATAATTGACGGTAATAACCACTAACCAGCGTACTATTTTGCAAATTCATTTTTATGATTTTGTTTAATTTTGTAGGATATTTTGCGGCTTTATAATTTATTTACATTGTTTTACTTTAGATGAAACGAAGCAAAGCAGAGCTCAAGATGTAAAAAAACAAAACTCAGTTACAACAAATGAGTGAGTGTAAAGCATGTGTATGGTTTTTTTATGTCACTTCACATTATTTATTTAATATCTGCTTATTTTAAAGTGAAAATTATGAAAGCGATGAAACTATACCTCCTCTTGTTTCTGCTGATGAAGACGATACATCATCCTGTAGTAGCAGCGATACTATGATGGTATATAAAGATGATATGCCAGATCTTCTTGAGGATTATAATACTGATTCAAAAGAATCCTCCGATCTAGACCAGGTGTGTAATTATTACTGATTGTTTTACAAAAGATTTCAAACTGAAGTTCGTTATTGGATTGAACGTAGAAAATGAGAGGATTTAAGTTCAGTTTATTTTATTTCCTACTTTGATTATGAATTTTGTGCTTTCAGTTTTGCAAAAGTTTTATTACATAAGTTTGCATGTTGTGAAGTTTTTGTACATTTGTGTTAATAAATGTAGGTAAAATTTTGCATCTTTTGTTGTAGAATGTGGATTATAATTTTCATACAGGTACGTCTGTACTCATGTTAACTTATATAGTAATGTAAGAAATAGTGGACAGATATGTTACTTGCATGAATCTTCATTCGCTATAAAATTAATTATTACATTTCATTTGGAACTTTTACTGCTCTACTGTCTGTTATTTATTTATTTTGAGTTATTCAGTTCAAAATTGCCAGAGAGTGAAGTAGAAAAAGATGTATAGCTATGTAATTGATAATTTTTCACTTTAAAATATAGCTGATGGATATTTTACAGATCTCTGTGTGATCTGCTTTCGTGAAACCGATATGAAAAAATGGAATCTTATCATGTTTATGAATTGATATCATCCATAATATAAAATAGTGATAGTATTTGTGTCTACATGGTTAATATGAAATAGTGAATATTTATTTAGTTTATGTTTAGAAACTCCAAAATGTTGTCTTAAATCATAAAAAAGTTGTTTTTTATGTAATTTAGTTCAAATGCGAGAGAAATCGTCATCACGAGAGAAAAAGTTTGTGTGACAGTTGTAAAATTTTCATTTTATAAATTATTAGTGATATATTATCATGTGAACATTTCTACTTTACAGACGTCCAAAAATGAGTAAAGTTAACTTAGGAATCTTACGTCAACAAAAGGAATTGAAAGAAAATTCTGAGAAAATTGAACAGACAAGATCTGCAGAGAAAAAATCATTAAAAGTGGATAAATATATGAAACCGAAAGGGGTAGGAGAATTATTTATAAATATGATGAACTTTAGATGTGGTCTGTCGAAGGAACTCGTCGTATCTCGTCTCTGAAAATGTGCTTTTTTTTAAAATGCTTGTTTTTTCTTTTAAACTAAAAGCAAATGATTTACTGTCTCAAAAATGATACAAAAGTAAACAAAAAATAATTTGTAGATGTATACGTAGTTTGCCATTGGTACAACTTTATATAAGTAATATTTCGTTAATTATTGTCTTAAAGGAGTTTATAACTTTCGTTCATTTCATTCTCCTAACATTCCCCTATATGCAGGTATATTGTTCTGGTAAATTAGTGAAGAAAGAACAAGTATCTTTACCAGAAACGAAAACACAAATTGAGGGAATTTTAAGGGAGGTAATTATGTTAACATTATTTTATCGTGAAGTTCCGTGAATGAATTCAATTTTTAACATATAATGTGATTTTATTTTTCTGTTGCTTAAGGGATCCAAAGCGTTACTTAACTCAAGTTTTACGGAAGCTTGTAAAAGCTATAAAAAGCCTTGGATATGATTGATGCTGGACCTCGAAAGGTTAGATCTCTCTTACTTATGTACAACGATCCGCCAATTTATTTTTGTTTACATTATTATTACTCCAATTTTGTTTTCAGTCGTTGGACTATGATGACATGAAGTACGCCGTAGTTTTATATGCCTATGGAACTGCATTAGCCGGCACTGGTCTACATATGGTAAGTGGGCACGCAATATTATTTGGAACATTTATGTTGTGATTTTTTTACTTGGGTCAACATTATTTTTTTCCTTTTACAAATAAGAAATTTCTTGATTAAATCTCTTTGAAAAGCTACAATTTCTGGAAATGCAATTAGTAGTTCGTAATGTTTATCTTTCCCATCGATGGATCATATTGTTCAATCTGTTTTTAGAACATAGAAACCGCAAGAAGTATATTTCAGAATATAATAACATCTTTGAAAACTATAAACTTTCCTCTCGCTTATTACGGTCTTAGTAGGAGTCTCATTCGTCAAAATAGGTTTGATCAATTGCTTTAATGTGTTGCTTAAATTGAAAAATAACGTAATCATATTTTGAACTCATGCACAGATTTCATGAGGCTATCCAAATTTTGAACGAAGGATTGAATCTTATGAATCAATTAACGTGCGAAATAAATTGGCCTGGAACTGACATTGTTATTGATGAGACTCAAACAGGGAAGCTTGAGGTACAATACGGGATTTTTACTAAATATCCCTAAAGCATACTCTTTATATAGCTACCATGCGTCCTTTTTGACAAAAATATTTAACTTTTCTTGTAATTTTGACATTAATTTTCCAATTACATTTAAATAATGGCCAATATGAATGGATCTGTTCAATGGTGGTACACCATTTTTCAAAAGCATCTCTTATATTTGTGCTATTATAGCTACTTATGATAGTTCAATCTAACACTAAAAATAAACAGAAAATTGAACCTCAAAAAAATGGGAGAGCAGTTTGCCAAGACTGCATTTTGAAGGGCTTGTGCAAGCATGAATGAGGTGTTAAAAATCAATTTTTTGATTTCATGCAATGAAAGTTAGTAGCACCTGTTACCATTTATTTCTATATTTGGTGCAAATAAAGCGAATTTAATATGTAACTAACGTAAAATCAAATTCATCATCGTTGTATATGTATTTTTAAAAATATTTCTCAAACTCTTTTTCATAGAGCTCATTAAATAATGCTTTAACCACTTGTAAATATCCGCCTAAAGCAGACGCAATATGTCGCTACGAGAAATGCTTAGGAATGAAGAAAAGTATTTATATTTCAGATCTAGGTATGTTTTAAATGTGTATATGATACATTTATCAATATCTAATGAATGTTATTTGACTGCAGATTATAACGGTTACGTTGGAATCGTATGCACAGAAGCCTGTTTAGTTGAATATCATATCCAATGTTGGAAAAAGTTTAAGTCAAGTTTTATCGATTTGTCAAGTGACAAGGTAAAAAACGTATGAGTTGATGTTTGTCAAGAGATTTATTCTGTATAAATATTATTGTTTCCAATTCATGAGAAATAGGAATATTTAATATTCTTACTTCTTTAGGATTTCCTTGGTACGAAGTGTATTACAAGCAATTGTAATGGCGAAATCAAACTGATAAAGATTTATGATTCAGAGGGTCTAAAAACTGAGGTAAGTGTTTTTTGCCCGTGATATTAGACGCTTTATCACAGTTGTCTTTTGAGTTCTTGTTATATCAGCTATACTGAGAAGGTAATTTTATACAAATCAACATTTTATGTCGTACGAACACCATGGCGTCTAATTCTGAAAAAAAATTTCATTTCTAGCTTCTTTCAGACAAACTAAAATTAAAAAAAGATAAAGTCCAGGTGACCGTGTAAGTAAGCATACAAACTGGTTTCTCCAAAACAGAACTTTCACAAAAAATATCATGATGTATATTTTAGAAATTCTAAGAAAAAGAAACGATCAAAGAAGAAAGGAAAACATGTGGCTTCCGAAGACAGTATGAAAGAACGTGTTTCTGAAGTATTAGATGAAAAACCTTGTAGTCTACCATCCGATGAAATGCAATCTTTAGGTGAATTGAAATAAAATTGAATCATCAGGAAGTTTATGCTGCATGAAATGAATTTTCTATTGTATGAATTTATGTATTGTAAGATCTTTTCTCTACATTTAAAGATATTCCACTTAAAGATGAAAAAGATCCATCCGTAAGAGAAATACGTTCGAGGAAAGTTTTATCATTTTCTGAACATGTGAAGAATTGTTTTATTATCATTCACAGAAAGAAAAAATTCACCTGACTGAAAAAGATCACGAAGAACTCTCCATGGTTCCAGGTTTATATCTTTATTGACTACCATACAATCATCCATGACCAAGAACATTTTGACACAGCAAATTTTAGTATAATTTAATTACATTCCGCTCTCTTAAGTAGTGACGTCACTGACTTGTATTTGTTTTTAATACTGTACATGTATTCTAAATCTCGGATTTTTAGAATCTGGGATGTTTGTACTGAAGAAAGATTACGATCAGACAGAAAATCTGGTATGCTTTACTGCATAAGTATTCTAAATATCTGTAATTCAATCCTTATTCATGCTAAAACTTCATGAACACTGAAGGAGAGAAGTGCAGTGAACACTGAAGGAGAGAGATAGGGTGAACACTGAAGGAGAGAGGTACAGTGAACACTGAAGATGAGAGGGACAGTGAACACTAAAGGAGTGAGGTACAGTGAACACTGAAGGAGAGGGGACAGTGAGCACTGAAGATGAGAGGGACAGTGAACACTGAAGATGAGAAGTACAGTGAACACTAAAGGAGTGAGGTACAGTGAACACTGAAGGAGAGAGGTACAGTGAACACTGAAGGAGAGAGGTACAGTGAACACTGAAGGAGAGTGCAGTGAACACTGAAGGAGAGAGATAGGGTGAACACTGAATGAGTGAGGTACAGTGAAAACTGAAGGAGAGAGGGACAGTGAACACTGAAGATGAGAGGGACAGTGAACACTGAAGATGAGAAGTACAGTGAACACTAAAGGAGTGAGGTACAGTGAACACTGAAGAGAGAGGACAGTGAACTGAAGGAGAGGGACAGTGAACTGAAGGAGAGAAGTGAATGAAGGAGAGAGATAGGTGAACACTGAATGAGTGGAGGTAAGTGAACACTGGATAAGAGGGACATGAACACTGAAGATGAGAGAAGTGAAGGAGTCCTGGAAGGAGAGGACAGTGAACACTGAAGGAGAGGGAAGTGAACACTGGAATGGTGAGGGTGAACACTGAAGGTGAGGACAGTGAACACTGAAGGAGAGAGGTAAGGAACATGAAGGAGAGAAACACTGAAGGAGAGAGTGAACACTGAAAGAGTGAGGTGAACACTGAAGGTGAGAGGACAGTGAACACTGAAGGAGAAAGGGAGGAACACTGAAGAAGAGAGATGAAGGAGAATAAGAGAGAACATGAACACTGAAGGAGAGAGGGAAGTGAAGGACTGAAGGAGAGAGATGAAGAGAGAATGAAGGAGAGGGACAGGAACACTGAAAAGAGAGAAGAACAGTGGAAGGAAGAGGAGAGAGGACAGTGAACACTGAAGGAGAGAGGACAGTGAACACTGAAGGAGAGAACAGTGAACAGAAGAGAGAAGGTGAACACTGAATGAGTGAGGACAGGGAACACTGAAGAGGAAGGGACAGTGAACACTGAAGATGAGAAGTAGTGAACAAAGAGGAGGTACAGTGAACACTGAAGGAGAGAGAGTGAACACTGAAGGAGAGAGGTGAGGTGGAAGGAGGAAGTGAACACTGAAGGTGGAGGACAGTGAACACTGAAGGAGAGAGGACAGTGAACACTGAAGGAGAGAGGACAGGAACACTGAAGGAGAGGGAGGAACACTGAGGAAGGTGAAGTGAGAGGACAGGAAGGAAGGAGAGGTAGAGTGAACACTGAAGAAGAGAGATACAGTGAACACTGAAGGAGAGAGATACAGTGAACACTGAAGGAGAGATACAGTGAACACTGAAGGAGAGAGACAGTGAACACTGAAGGAGAGAGATAGTGAACACTGAAGGAGAGAGGTACAGTGAACACTGAAAGAGAGAGGTAGAGTGAACACTGAAAGAGTGAGGTACAGTGAACACTGAAGGTGAGAGGGACAGTGAACACTGATAGAGAGGAAGAGTTTGACGTTGGAAGAGAGAGATGCTGTGAACGCTGGAAAACAAGGGAAATCTCGTTACCAATCGACATTTTTGTAACATTTTTTTGTCCAATCCATCAATTACTGAAAATCAAATTTGTCTTTGCTTTCAATAGATTGTCATTCATTGCTTTGTATCACGTCACTGTTTTTACGAAGTAAAAGTTAGCTGTATTGTGTTTGAGCTTTCTATTATAGCTTTTTCTTTGTTTCAAATTTCAGGGGACAAAACCTTTGAAAGGAAAGCATAGAAAAAAGAAAACTAAGGTGAATAAATTTGCGTGTGAAAATGACAAAATTTGAATTTTCGTTTGATTTAACGTGAATTTCAACTCTTTGAATTGTGAATTTTAGAATGTTCAGTCATTAGATGAGTTCCTGGGTCCTGATAATGAAAATTTACGTCTTCGTCCTTACCAACACGATGAAGAAAACTATGATGAAATTCCATCGGAATCTTTGTATGTTGAGATTTTAAATTTGCTTGAAATTAGCTTTGACTGTAAGATTTATTGCATCCGAACGATCCTTTAACGTTTGCTTTTATGCTTTCTTCCTAATAAATAAGCTTTTAAAAATTGCAAATTATTCTGATCTACAATGATATAAATAACTGATTAGGTTTTACTGCCGATGAATTGTTGTATCTAGCATTATCAACCACAACTTTTCTCTCCAACAAGATCTTTTTTTTCTTGCAGTACTCGTCGCCCACCTGAAGGTTGGAACAGAAATTTATTCTCAATTCCTGCTCATTTAAAACACGAAGCTCAAGAGATTGAAAACTCTCTCTCTCTAAGCAATCACGATTCCATCCGAGAATACGTCTGTTCGTGAGTATTCTTTATTTTACTTAGAAAGTTTGCACAATCGTGAAGAGTGAAAATTTAATTTAAAAGCAGTTTAAATATTCCGGGGTGTTCATAATTTTTATTACGTTATAAAGAAGTCAATATTTTGAAAAAATAGATGATGAGAAAAGTAGTTTTCTCATTATCCATAGAAGTAAGAATATATTTCTCGCTGTAAGGCCAAAGTATATAACTCTTGTTTATAGTTGATTCAAACTACCAGTGAAAAAAGCTAATTTTTTTCGAAATTTCGCACCATCCTTTGATCTTTAGTTCTTCGTCGCATAAGTAAAAGCGACGGCACGTCAATAACTTAAGTATTTCACTATTTTAGAGCTTTTAATAACTTACTTAAAGTGCAAGGTCCTTTGCATATTGAATCTGATCAAATGGAAAGACTCTTTAATATTATGCCCGAAGAAGTACATTCAATCGTACGAGACGAAGGAGGATTGCGCAAATTTCTTAAAAATTTGAATTTTATTATCGAAGGAGATATCATTCAAAGCTATGAAGATAAACTTATAACAGACAGGAAAATGTCTCTTACCAAGCCATATGAAGAGAACACTAAAAATGCTACAGAAGGGGATATTTTTACTGCTAAAATAGTGCATTTATCAAATGCTACTGGTAAAGAATATTTAAGAAATAACACGGATGACCTGAGTTTAACTGGGACTTATTTTGAAAATGGCGTCAATTTTGATAGTTGGGTTAGAGCCAAGGAGTTCATGCCTTCGCAAAAAAGTTTACCAACTTCAAATGATGCAGTAGGATTTCACGAAATACATGTCTTAACAGATGATATTGACCGAGCAAATAATCTAAATCTCTTGGAAACAAGTGTTAATTGCATGGATGAAAAAACTAATGATGCATTAAGCACTGCAAACAGTGCAAAAGCATTTTATTCAAAAAGAGAGGAGAGTGCAACGGTTTACCCTGAAACATATAACTCTTTAAACTCCTTACCAGCTGATCATGGCGAGAACATTTATAAAATAAGTTCTGTTGATCATTCAGATGACGTCAAACAAGTTTTTATGAGGGAGAAAGAAATCAGTATAGTTGGCGATAGTGATACTTCATCTAGCATTATGAAGTATGTTAGAACTACGGTTGCTACACAAACAACTGCGTCGTCTTTGTCAAAAGAATATACTGAGGATATTATGAAAGAATCAAAAAATGAAACTATTGTTGATAATGATTCCAAGACTAAACTGGCCGTAAATATAACACATCAACATGTTGAGCGTAAAAGCACTAAAGAAAAGGGTATTCTGTGCAAACCAAATACAAAAACAAAAATAACAATGACGGATCCGACAAGCGAACTCACCAAAGTTGAGGTTGATAAATTGCTGCGATCAGCTAAAACATGGGAAAATAAATATTTAGACGAACAAGTTAAAAATACTCGAATGGAAAAAAATTATAAAACGGAGATTGGCAATCTGCAAAAGAGGCTTCAGGAGTGCAGACAGAATCTTCAGGTTGGTTTATAACTAAATCAAACATAAAGTTATATGAATATCATTAAATCACTGGCAAGGATCATGAAATAAAACAATCAGTGTTTTTGTGAATTCGTTTAAATTCAAATATTTCCAAAGTACAAATTTTCAAAAACATATAATAAAAGAAACCTTTAGACCATATGACATGATGAGATTCATTGTGTAAACTCAGATGACTGGTTCCTTTTAATGAAAAAAAAATTCACTGAATTCTTTACTTTGTATAGTTGTATCAAAAAAGATCGCATAGTCAGTCTCATAGTTTTAAATAAATCAATTAGATTTTAGGAAGATATAAGTTGATATTGACATTACGATGACATCAAAGTTCCTGTATCGTGTTTTTGCATTTCTGCCATTTAGATAGTTCAAGATACTTTAAAAAGTTTGTATTATATTTTATAGTTGGAAAATATGATTTTGCAGGATATTTTCGCACTCCAAGTTGAAAAATTGACCATTTTCATTGTTTGACCGCCAGTATAAAAAAGCTGGTAACTAATGTTATTTTTGACGTCACGTCGGGAATTCATCTGTTGTATTTTGTGTAAAATTGGGTGTTTTTGAACATCCACGACACAAGATGTCATACACGTAGGTAATGCAACAATATATGCTTTTGAGGAAATTATGTGTAAAATAGTGTTTTCTTAAAACGTGTTCCCGATATGACGTCAAATCTAAGCTCTCGCCTTAGTTTTTTTAATGTCACTGTCAGGCAAATAATGATCTACTTTGAGCTCTAAAAAATGCACGAAGGTCAAATTTTCGAATTATAAAATATATTGACAATATGTTTAAAATTTTCTAAACTATTTACATAGCCTAACTGCAAAAACTTGATATAAGCACTTTAAGTTTGTAGCAACGTTTATAAAATCTGTCATGTGTTGTGAACGTAAAACGCATATTTTTAGGTTTTAGCTGAAGAACATGAAGAATATAAAGCATTTCATAGTCGTGAGATACAAGATTTTACGACAGAAAAACGTGAAAGAGATGAACGCATCAAGCAATTGGAAGAAAAAGTTATCTTAACAGTTGTGGGTGAAGAAAGGTAAATGGCATAAAATTTGCAATCTTTGATTTTGATTACTATGCCCGTTTGTTGTTCATCTATTCTTCTTCATTGAGATCTTATTTTTTTTCGCGCATTAACAATTTTTTTATTAAAATGTCTCGAAATATCAATTAGTTGACATTACGTATCTAATATTTATTTTTCAGACGAAGAGAAGAGCTACAGGTCGAGCTTACTGCTCTTAGGAAAGAGAAGTATGTTGCTTTGAATGAATTCCAGCGATAATCGTTACTTACACAAACACTTTTATTTATATAAAGGAAACAAATACAACTTTAGACAATGAATATAAGGTTTTTTGCTGGTTTTTGTTAAGGAAATTGTTTGATTAAGATGATAATATTGAGTTTTCTTGTCAATGTGTTGTGAACAATTGATTAAATTGAGATTTCAAAACTAATATTTAGAGAACAATGGAAGCTCGATGAAGGAAAACTAAGAAAATTGTTAGAATTACAAGCCAAAAGAGCGTGTGATGCTGAGGTTTGGTAAATTCAATTAAATAATGGTATGAAAAGTCGTTTATATTCATATTTTGTTATAGATTAATTTTTTGGAGCTACAGCGAAGTGTCAATTTTGGTGCCTTTACGCGAGCTTTACAAGAATCAGAGCTAACTTTGCATCATATAAATCAAATACTTTCTGCTAAGTAAGTTTATTTTTTTCATTAGAAAGTGAAAAACTGTTAACTATAGATAATAATTTTAACCAATTTCAGCATTTAAACGTATTTTCTGACTAGTATCACTATACTTAGCAGTTTTACACCTCAACTTCAAGATTTCAAAGTACAATGGCAGCGTTATATCGTCGATTGCAAGTTTAAATTTGATAGAAATAAGGTTTGTATTCTATTTCAAATACATGACGTAAAATAAAAATTTATATACCGTTGCTGCTGTTCTTGGATATAATTCTCACAAGATGTGATTTTGTTTTTTAGTCAATGTTTGATTCTAGCATAACGAAACTGAAAGAAGGAATTCCGTTGTCATCTTTAACATCTCTCCGTATTGTTCACCCTAGTCCTTATCCTGGACCCCCTATACTACAATTGGTAATGATAATAAGAATTTAGTTATACACGATTTTCAAGTCCACATAACATGCAAAAAGAAACAAATGTTATCACAAACACACGATTTTTGTGATATTTTCACATGTGCACTGACTGCATTTACTCGACCTAAAAGAGATTTGGTTTATCTGCATATTTCGCACAAACATTACCTTTATTGAGCTTGCATAATAGTCCTATATTTATACGTATGTTTCCTCTATAGTAAACACATTACCATCAAACATTTCTGTAATTTTTCTATATTCGTGTCTGAAAGTTTATTATACACCAATAAGAAAATGGGAAATACTTATATGCAATCAAGAATAGATAGTATAAAATTAAAGTCGTCAAAATAGCAACTGCTAAGAGACTAATTACTTTATACATCTATTATAATGAGTCGCTTTAGCTTTAAGTAATTTACTAGAATTCAAAATACTGGAACTTCAAATTCGTTTTGAAGTGTCTTTATATATTTCCCAACTTAAATCACAGTCAAAGAACAAAGCTGAATGCTATTCCATTCTGTTCCACGAGCATTAACCAATTTCAATTGGTTTTTATAATCAGTGTAACTCTTTACTTCACCAATGTATTCTTATTTCATTGATATACATAGTGTACCCTTATTTCATTATTTCATTATCCTTATTTTATCACAGGTGTACCCTTATTTCGTTATTACTACATCCTTATATTATTATTGGTGTACCCTGATTTTATTATGAATATATTCATGGCATTTTAATATATGCTTTTACTGATTCAATTCTAGCCTCCTGGTATTTCTGCTCCTCCGGGAAATAAAACATTTCCTAAACATGTAAACAAATCAAATCAAGCTACGGTAAGCATAGTCATATACTGCTATGATATTGCGTGTTTTTAGTTCTATCGTGTGTTGTATATTATCGTGTTCTTATGTTATTGTGTTTTATATTATCGTGTGTTTTATATTATCGTTTTCTTATGTTATTATGTTCTTATATTATCGTGTGTTTTATATTATCGTGTTCTTATGTTGTCGTGTTCTACATCCATCTATTTCTATGCATGATACGTATAAAAAACAACATTTATCTTTATCTATCTATGATACGTCTTTAATATGCAGAATTGCAATGACTATTGGATGATTTAGAAGTCACTGCATTTTTTTTCTTCATACTTATGTTTCATGAAGAATTTGCTACGTAATGACATTGCTTTGATGGAGAGGTACAAGGTTGTGCTTAATCTTGTTTAGAATACTAGTTTTGTCTGCCAAAACAGTTTACACGACTCAACCTACCTAACTAGCTTGCTGCTTACTCTGTTTTGCTTATTTTTGCTTTTAGGTTGCTACTCTAAATGTTAACCCGGACGGGGTCGAGGACTTATTTGAAAGAGTGTCTAAGTGCTTTTATTTTTAGGTATCAACTCACGGATCATTTGCTTTCCCTGGTGGCACCTCTACTTCTATGGGTTTTCGAAGTTTAGGTCCTGAAAGGTTTCCTGTAAATCCAACCACTTCTACCAACCACAAAGAGTCCGAAACGGATACTAAACCAGCAAACAATTATGAAAAAATCATCCTTAGATTATCCACGCAATTTCCTTGTTATACCAGGTTTGTTTTTTTGTTGTTTTTTTGTTTTATTTAGCGCTTTTTATGATGTGTAGTTTTCTAATTCATTGTGTATAATATACGACTATTTTAATACTTACTGTATTTATTCATATATTTATGTTTTATAGAAACGAGATAATTTTCTTCATAAAAAAATTGAGAGCAAGTAAAAGTGGATCATTGACTGGGTTGTCTTTTGATGATGTTGTTGATTGTGTTGCCAAATTAATCAAAGAAAGAGAACAACAGGTAAGGATTGAAGGAATTTTTTGAATATATACTTACGAGTTTTACTTAATTTTATATGTATTATAATATATATTCTTATGTTTTTATATTATATTATAAAATATTATGTTTTTATGTTATTATGTTTATAGATGAGTAACGCTATTGCATCTGCAGCAGCTGGACCTAGTAATTCTATAGCAACTCGTGCTCAGACTTCTGCGTCTAGAACATCTTCATTACCGTTAACAAGACCTCAATCAACATTACCTCAAAAACCTTCAACTTCAGCCAGTAAACTTGCTCCTACCGCCATCAAACCAGTGATCCAGGCATCAAAATCCTTAGCTACATCTGCCTTTACAACAACAAAAACGGTTTCTAGCGCTTCGCTATTGTGTTACGAAGATCCATGTGTCATTTGCCATGATGAAATGAGTGACGCTACAAAAAATGTTTCCTTAGATTGTGGGCATAAATTTCATCACGATGTGAGCAGAACTTCACCTTTGATTTTTCTTCTTCTATTTGATTATTTCGTAATATGTTGAATTTGTAAACCTATCAATGGTATTTTAGTGCTTTACGTGTGACACGAAAAACTTTCCTAGGTTTTTTTGCTTTAAACATTCCCATTAAGCATGATGGTTTTTGTGTGAACAAAATGTTAACAACTCACGGATTTTTTCTTCATTTCAGTGCATTAAAAAGTGGTTGACTGGCGAGCAAAGTACCTGTCCTACTTGCCGTGTTCATGCTCTTTTACCTGATGAATTTCCTCAGCTAAAGTGAATGCTTTACTTTCATCTTATAAATGTTTTGTGAAATTGTTTTTTTTTTGTTGCTTGTTATGTGGGAAAGATTTTTTTTTAATTTCTATTTGTTACGGATACTACAAACTGATCAAAAAGGAAGTTGGCTGCAATCACGTTTTTCTAAACATTATACGTTAATTATGATCAATCTATCAATTAGGTTATGGCTCTTGTTTATATATATTAATCATATTGTGTGCTATGTTGTAGACATATTCAGCTCTTTCATTTGTCCAGCTTTGCATGTTAATTTTTTTTGGTTTGCGATGAAGATTTTCGATTGTTTCATTTAGGCTGCGTTTACACTATACCGGATTCGCTCATCACGACATCTTCATTTGCTTTAAAGGTTAACTGTTCGGCGTAAAAGCTTATTAAGCTGATAGATTTAGTCTGTTTGATTGTGTTTCTGACGTTGAACAATTTCATTGCCTTTTAATACAAAGAATATTCAACCTGCTACGACAGCAATCCGGTATTGTGTAAACGGGGCCGTAATTCATTGTTGTTCGTCATTTTTGCATACCAAACATTTGATCTAAGGGAATGTGTCAAAATGGTTTCTAGCTTTGATAGAATATTACTAAATAAAGTATAAGAAAAATTTCTTGAAGGTAACACTCCCAAAGGCAATCATACCCAGGAAAAAAATTGGAGAAACCTTGGAGGCTCTTTGGAGAAATTTTTACAAAAGTATTTTTTGTGTCCTTAAATATTTTTGACAATATTGGTACATCTTGATGCAATACAATCAACATCATATTAAAACAGGCATTAAAATAAGAAATTCAAGAACTTGCAGCTCATTCACAGTCTTTCTTCCTTATTTTTCTTTTTTCAAGAAATGACATAAGCATCCATAGCCTGTCCATTTTATGTGGTAAGAATAAATAAACTTTAATTCTTATTTCTAAATGAACAAATTTCTTGTATACAAGAACACATTTTTGATTTACAAGGATGTAAAATGTGTAAAAAACACCAGCTCTGGTCAGCCCAGAACCCAGAGTCAGCCCCATTTGTCAACCCATGGTCAATCCAGCCAACTGCTGGCACCAATGACTGGCACTGCCCAACCAACCCCCCCCAGCCGAAAAGCGCAATCAACATGGCGGCAAATTTGGTTGCCTTTCAATTGCTCGTTTCCTTAAATGAAGTTAAAGATAGCAAAGAAAAGATTCTCAGCTTATTGTCCTCACTAAAACGTTGCCATAAAGATGTTAGTTGTGATTATATTGAATCACTGAGTGCGATCACATCATTTCTTCTAAATGAAATGCCTGAAGATGAAACACATAAACCCAAGACGAACGCATCAATAAATTGCAATGCAGATATTTTGAGTACTATTCTACGTGACGGTTGCATTCCAACTCTCCATAAATGTTCAATTAACCTGACTGAACAGAGTGCAAAAGAAAAATTAAAAATATTTCAGTTGACATGTGCATTAGTATCAAAAATTGTATGTATGGGAGAAGTAGAAAATGGAGTTATGGTATGGAATATAGTGTTGAATTCGTTCAGATGTTTTGTTAATGATCATGAAAGTGGTTCGGATGGAAGTACTGATCAATCATATGGACATCTTTCAGTATGTATAAACGCATCAAACTTTACAATTTTTGAAATTGTACAGTGGCAGATATGTACATCAAACTTTGTGCTGAATGTATTCACTAATTAACCATTAAATCTATTGTTGTACAAAAAATGCATGACTTGACAATTTTCACTTTATAATATGACCATTACATGTAGTCTATTTTATATTTTTTTGTTCAGATTGAAGCAGCATTAGATTTAACTACATACCTTCTTGAGAGCTACAAAAAGTTAAACGATGATGTTTTATATTTGCCAAACGAACATTGTTTTGTGAAAATGAGAGACACAGTCTTTGAAAATTTGCTCACCATCTTGGATACAGTTGAAAAAGAAAGACTAGCTTTCAAAATTACGAGGCAAATTATACCAAAATTCCTATCACTTCAGAAAAGTACCATGTATTTGCAAACAAAGGTAGGAAAGAAAGAAAATTCATTTTTTTTATGAGTGTAATGTAATGTTTGATCTATTCTTTGAGCTATTTTTATTGTGTAGAAAATCTGGGAATCTTTCAAAAAATCAAGACTCGAAGAGCATGATAAATGTCTTGTACCATCATGTTTTAATTGTTCTTATGCAATTATGTCCTCTTTGGTGGATATATATTTCAAAGAAGAAGACAATACTACCTACAAAATTCATCAAGATGCTGGATTTTGGTCTTTTCTTCAAACTGGACTCGTCAACTTAGATTCACTTGTTAGAAAGCGAAGTTTGTATTTACTGAAAAATGTGGTTGATTTTTACAAACGGCAAAATGAGAGTGATGAAGTTTATTTTACGTTGGAGTCATTAGCATTCTGGTGGAATCCTTATCATGCTAGAGAAATTTCTGAAACCTGGCAAGAGTATGTATTTTTACTGGAAATCCTTGAAGAAAAACAGGTACATGTTCTTTTAGTTTTCAGTGATGGACTTTTATTGCAAAAATCCTGAAGACTATGTTAAAGCCTTTTTTTGAAATATATAGGTGCCAATTTTTTTTTGGAATACTTTTTTTTAAATATAGCTTCATGTGATTCAACCAGTTTTGCCTCGTGCTGAAAATCTCATTGCTGCTACTAAAACAATCAATGGTATGATGATTTACCTAGATTAATAAGTTTTTATCTAGATGATTTTATCAGGCTGATTTGGATAAGACTTTGGTGGCCACTTTGTGGGCGTGCTATACAGCTGTGTTCGAATTTTTTTGTTAAATTCTGTTCCTCTCAAACAATAAATGAAAAAATTTTTGAAGTGTGCTACATTAAACAAATTATACTTCATTTTGCGTAATTGCTTGGTATATTAATATTTTGTAGTGAAATTGGCGTCCTCCTCCTACACCCTCTCTCACACCCCTCCAACACCCCCTATTCCTCTACCCACCAGACAAACACACTGGTAATTCATCCACAATTTAGTTATTGTCAACTTCATTTTTAGACATGCAACATCCCTTACTACCTGTTTCATGGATAACAGTTATTATTCACAGAGCAGCAATACACGAAAATCGGTTCATAAAAAAGTGGGGAATTATGCTGTTGCTTACGTTAAATCTTGACGAGGTGCCACTTTTAGGAGATGACAAAGGCAGAAATTTCACTCATGATACATTTATAATGTTGCTGAAAGAACCTACACTTTACATGAAGAATCATGGGGAAGGTAGAGATGAACCAAGTTTGTTAACCAAGCATTTATTGACGTTTTTTAAGCGATGTTTTCATGCTCTTGTTGAAGCAAAAAGGAAGCAGTTTTTTATAAACTGTTGTTTTCAATATCTCAATTCAATATCAGTCACGTTCCTTTGACATTCATTACTCAAAGTCTTTCCATTGTTCCACAATTTATGGTGTTTGATAGAGAACTTTTGAAAGTTATGAAGAATATAATCAGGAATATTTGCAGTCATTCTTTTGCATTACGTGCTGCAGTTAAGACGTTTCTTCTCAGAACAAGTATTAATTTCTTGGATCCTTCCAGCATAAGAGTTAGTGAAATAATGGCGTTTTATGGTTTTTTCTCGAAAGAAGAGTCGTTATGTCGTGGTAGTGGACTGTGGATGGACGTTGCTACTTGGTTACGTCAAAATAATGATCAAATGCAGAAGGAAAACAAAGATATTTATTCGTAAGTCGCAAAATTGTTCCTAGAAAAATTATTGTTAGTAATTCTTCATGTTTCGCACGATAATGTGAATGCCGTATGAACAAACAACTGATAGAAACGTTCATACAAGACTTCATAGTGACAAGCTGATGGAACAAATTGTTTTTACCTACAACCTATTTCTGTATACTTTCCTTTACATGTATGTCCATGATTGTTTGCGTTCGCTGTTTAACTTTTCTCTTAAATTCTAAAGTACAATTTTTTTTAGCAAGAATATCCACGTAGTAATTCTAGTCCTGATATTTTTTAAGCAAACTTATTGTATCTTTTCAGGTTTATTTACGTTTATGTTGAATCATTTCTGAAAGAGAAGAGCGTGGAAGTTGGTGACGAGATACCACAGAATTTGGCAAAATATCTTTTCTTATGTTATGACAGTTCTTCCGTTTCGTTCATTCAAATTAAGGAACTTTTAGAAGTTATTTCACTGACAATTGAAAAAGGTCATTCTAATATATATCATCCTATCTCAAAAAGTTGGAAAGCAGTGCAACTACTTCATGCTCTTTGTCATCAACTGTTACCTTTAAATGACGACAAACAAATCAAAACCAGCGATGAGATGGTTACATTGATCTTTTGTCATAGTCTAAATGTGTTGGAAAAAATTGCCACTACGTTTCTACGTAGTTTCACTCAAGAGAATGAAAATGAAACTTTCCAAGGTTCCAAAGTTTATTTCATGATACTAAAAGAAATGCTAAACCTTTGGGTGAAGTTCAAGTTCCCAGGAAATGTTCATGTAATGTTCCAGCTTACATTGAACAAACTTGCTCAAATGACTTCTTCTTTGTTTATCGCCGAATGTGAATGTATATCAATGAAAAATTGGTTCCAATTTCTTGTTTGTTTAAAATTGAGTCGCTGGATAATTGATGTGATTGAAGTAACAGATATCGTCATGAGCGAGGAGATGAGAGGCAAGATCATGAATTTTTCCAACATGCTATCACTGACAAACACCTTGCGACTACCAAGTCAAGTGTATCCTACAGGTCACAAGTATTTGAATGATGAGAGTTCATGTAAGCTCGTTGAAATCATCATCACAGCAAAATGGCATTTTATGAACATCCGACTGGCGGAAAATTTTTTCAGTTCAACATTGAAGTGTGATGTGCAAAATAAAGAAATTGTCGACAGCTGTGTTGAAGCTTTGTCGTTAACCTCCGGATCAGCTACTTATCCTTGCTTGGAAACTTTAAAGATTGTTTTACCAAAACTCATTGCATCAGGCGAAGAAACAACAGCTATTTTATTACTAGAAATCGTTTGGAAAGTTCTATGTGAAATCCAAGCTCGCTACAGTGGTGATTTCTGGCCAGCCCTGAATATTGTGGTAAAAACAATCTTCTCGCTGGACTTGTTAAATCTCAAAGATGACAATGTGTTGGTGGGATATGTTATAAAGTATTGGGATGCTTTGCTTTGTCTTGCTGATGAAAAATCTGGCGTGGTCAGTGTTGTTGTCGCTTATATATGTCAAGTTTTAATAAAGATTTACCGCAATCAAGATTTGGATGTATCGCAATATCGTTATCATATCAATATTATTGCTGATGTATGTGTATTTGGTCCAGTGCACAAAAAAGATCTCAGACTTTTGCTGGACACTGTATCCTATGTGAAATGTCTAAGTGATATGGATGCTGTTTTGAATTTTTCCCAACTTGAAGAATGCGAATGTGAGTCAGTGCGTGTACGAGTTGACTTGCTTATGTTTTTATTTCGATCTCTCGACATTTGTCCCCAGTCATCTTTTATGGTGGAACTACTGCGAGTCCTTTTAGACAGGAATCAAACCCTTACAACTATTAAATCAAGTCGCTTTCTAAATTCAGAAAATCATCGCAAAAAGCAAAGATTATGGCAAATCATACTCGTTCTAATAGAAAAGCTTGATTTAGCGAAATTTTCGTCTGAGTTATCCGTGATGATTCTGAAGTCACTAGAGGCAGATAATCAGACTTCTGTAAGGTTTTTAATGGAATGGAGTTTGGTTCAACTATTCTCGAATCATGTGAACCTTTTGGAAATAATTTGGGAAAAATGCAGAATGTTTATAGAACGCGTCTTGGTTATGTTGCGTCCTTAATCTCTGTTCTTTCACATGTGTTTTTGACAATTGAAGAAGCAGACGCTCAATTAAATTACCTCCGACGATTTATTCCTGCTGTAATTCCATGTTCATTTTTAATCATTCTCAAATCCGAGCATATATTTTAGCTTCACTTCAGCTTATTCTAGACAACTCCACGGAAGATGTTTGGTCGAAGATATGTCTTCAATTTCCCATTATTCAATCTTGCCTTTCATTTACGCAGAACGTTTTTGAAGGTGAAAAGGAGAAGACTCGATTACAAAAAGATCGCGAACTGTTTTCATTACATCCTGTACATGATTTTTGTCTTGAAGTCATTTTTTACACAGTTCCGCGGTTAACTGGTGTCCAGGATGATGAAGTTATACAACCGAAAGTATTCAAATCTGCTGGTTATGAAGAATGTGCAAGCATGTCTAGTTTACCATTATATCGCACCAATTTCGTTAAAGATAATCATACTTTGTATGAAAAAGCGATTCTTCATAAAGTGGTTTGTGTTGTAGAAGAAGAAAAGAAGACTACTAGAGCGGATGTTCAGAAAAAGATAACACCTTGGAATGTAGTTCCTCTGGCAGAAAATGATATCGAGTTTAGTCAACGTCCACTTGAGCGTCAAGTTGGTGATTTGGTTGTTGTAGCTTCATTGATTGATCGTGCTCCAAACCTAGGTGGTCTTTGCCGCACATGTGAAATATTTGGAGCGTCGACATTGGTGTTAAGTTCTACACACGCTCTTTCGGAGAAAGATTTCAAATCCGTTAGTGTCTCTGCAGAGAAATGGGTGAATGTGGAGGAGGTTAAGACTCATGATCTACAGAAATATTTGGCAAACATGAAAAAAGAAGGTTTTGCCATAGTAGGTGTTGAACAAACTGCACAGAGTAAGAAATTGACGGAATTTAAGTTTCCTTGGAGCACAGTTCTTGTTTTGGGTAATGAGAAAGCTGGTATTCCAGTCGAGATTATACAGTTATTGGACAAATGTGTTGAAATTCCTCAGTATGGAGTAATTCGTTCTCTTAATGTCCATGTAAGTGGTGCATTGTTAATATGGGAGTATTGTAGACAACATATACATGCAAAAAAATAGAATTGTACATTCCACAATTTGAAGAACTTAAAAGGTTCTATCAATTAAAACACATTAAAAATATATATGTTGACTATCTGTGCATGTATAGATAGTGAATTTTTATTACACTTTGTCATTAATATTGAGCTTGGTATATACACAACTTTTAATGATAAATATGAAAAAATCAATTATTATTAATAAGACGCAAAATCTATTAAATTCAATTTATCATACAGTGCAATATCAATATATCTATTTCCATGCAATATTGATATATCTATTTCCGTTTAAGAAGCATCATTGTTAAAGCACCAGCTGCAGCAACTGCCGCTGCTCCACCAACTAAAATTGCCCCAATTGCACCATCTGTTTAATGCCAAGTAAAAAATGAATGAAAAAAATATTTGCATATTTACCATACATTATTGGAAGTAACATCGAAAACATGTAGGTCATTGTGCTAAATACATCATACTTCATTTTTGAAACTAAGTACATGAGAAAGTTTTTTAAAAAAGAAGCATTAAATGTCTTGTGAAGTATCACCTTATTTCTTTCTACTGAAAACACCTACAAGGGCTGCAGCACCGGCTACAACCAACACAGTTCCACCAACTAACACCATGCCTGCCCCTGCAATTGCTGCACCAAGGATACCATCTATGCAAATTTAATATGATGATAAAATTCTACATCAAGCAACAGATCAATGTTTCTTGATGCAAGTATATCCAAAATTAACCAAAGAAATCAAAATGAAACTGCACAAGACATTCAACAAACATTAGCTATTTTATAAAAACCATTGTAAATGTGTCAAAATTTTGAAATAAAGAGCTAAAAATCTGCAATTATCAGTTTCACTACCTCTTTTCATTTTCTGTTCAATTTTCTCCTTTAAAGCTTTAGCTTGTGTATTATTTGGCTCAATATTCAGTACTCGGTTGATGTATTTGAGGGCCACTGGATACTCCTATGAACATATTAACAAATTTAAAAATCAAAAAAGGTAAATAAGTTGATTCGTGATTTATCTTGAACTTACTGAAAGTTTGTAATTGGCCTCGGCCAAAAAGTATAAATAATCTCTTTGATCTGTACCATACTTACATAAATCTATAAAATAAAATAAATTGTTTAAGGACGACGATACAAAATGTTTCCACAATCACTAAAAAAGCCAGAATTATTTTAAATAACCAATGACAACTACCTTGTAATAATTGAGCACCTTTCCTGATATCAGCTGGGTTTTGCCTTCGTGTTAACGACCAAGCATAGTTAAATTGTGTATCTTTTGAAACTTTGCCGCTAATAAACTCTTGGGTGTATTTCTCCTCGAAAACCTCAAAGAAAATGATAATATTTGTGTAAAACATAAATGATAAAAGTAAATTAAAATGACGTCATCTTTTCCTCGAATTTCTTGTGTATAAGTAACACAACGTGAATGTTTTACGTCAATAGTAATTATTTCAGACATTCTACAAGACTATATACGACAAAAATACCTTTCAAAATCTATATATGCAACAACATTCACCTTTAAATCCTCTGTACTACAATCTGGAGTCTCCATGTTAACATCTGGATCTGGTTTTCGATCCTCATCACTTCATCTTGGGGAAGCCTGTACGCAGGCTAACCAGGTATAAATTTAATACTATTTATAACACAGAACACAACAGGCCACATCTACCACCATATACAGTCCAGATTCATACCAGACCCAGTACCATGCAGCAAGCCGAGGTAGGACTCCTAGTACAGATACCGTACTTGTAATTAGTCCAGTTTGTTCACCTTCTTTAAGGCTTGTTATTTAGGGACATTGTTTATTTCACTCTGATGGTTGCAGTGCTTTAGTGAGAAAAATGCACAGCATAAAATAATAAGGGTAATTTTAATTTGAAGCCGTAAAAGAATACATTAGAAAATTTTTGGGTGTCTGGAAACCTATGAAGTGTGTGGGGTGCCACCCCCAAACATCAGATTTCACCCTCCTAAGTAAATTATTGAACCATCTAAGAAGCATTTAACCTCCCCCCCCGAACTACGCAGAACAAATTAGTAGTACAGTTTAACTGAGTTTTTCTAGGCGTTTGATAGAGTTCCGAGAAAGGTGATCGAGTACGCGCTGCGTAAGAAAGGTGTGACAGAGAATATGGTTCGGGCAGTTATGGAGACTTATGAAGGTGTAGAGGCGGTGGTTACGGAGGAAGGTGTTAGGTCTGGTGTTTTTGAGGTAAAAGTTGGTGTTCATTAAGGTTCAGTCTTGTCGCCGTTACTGTTTGCTTGTGTGATGGATGTACTGACAGAGGAAGTGAGAAGAAAAGAAGGATGCTGGTGTTTGTTGTATGCAGATGACATTGTCTTGGTGGCGGAGTCGAAGCAGAAAGTCATGGAATGGTACCGAGAATGGAAAACGGCAATAGAAGTCAAGGGACTGAAAGTGAATGAGGCAAAGACGAAGGGCATGAGATGCTCGAGGCAGGTGGAGGTGAAGGACAGTGATAAATGGCCATGTGGTGTGTGTGGGAAAAGAGTTGGAGTGAATTCGATAATGTGTGGAAATGCAGTAAGTGGGTTCATGGAAGATGTTCAGGTGTCCGTGGTGCATTGACAAGAGTAACTGATTTTGAGTGCGGGACGTGTCGAAGTGGTGGGCGAGTCGCGATTGAACGGTTTGAACTGGGTGACGTGAGTTTGGAAGGTGTATCGGAGTTTAAATATCTGGGCGATGTGTTAAATGATGGTGGAGGGTGCGAGCAAGCGGTGAGAAACAGAGTTCAAGCAGCGTGGTGGAGTTTTAGAGTTGTCGGGAATGTTGTGCGGAAAGTCGACTTCGTTGAAGCAGAAGGGAGAATTGTATAAGGCATGTGTTAGAAGTGTTTTGGGATATGGAGCAGAGTGTTGGGCGCCGAAAGCAGAGGACCTGAGAAGATTGGCGTCGACGGAAAGGAGAATGCTTAGGATGATGTGTGGTGTAACGTTGATGGATAGGATTCGAAGTGAAGAGATTAGAGAAAGAGTTGGTGTTGAGTGTATCGAGAATTGGGTAAGGCGCCAGCGTTTGAGGTGGTTTGGGCATGTGGAAAGGAGGGAAGAAAGTGCTGAAATTCGTAGAACGTTGCATATGAATTTGGATGGAGTCCGCAAATGAGGTAGACCGAGAAAGAGATGGATGGATGCTGTGAACAGTGATATGAAGGCGATGGGTATAACGAGAGATATGGCGAGAGATAGAGACGTGTGGCGTGGAAAAATTCATGGACCGGTCAACCCCCCTGGCGGGGATTAATACTGGCCGGTATATAAATGTTGTTTGTTTGTTTTGTTTAACTGAGTTTTTCTCAGCAAAAATTTCAACTTTCTATACAACCTTTGGTTTCACTAGCAGACTATTTTAGACACTTTTAACTTTTGTTTGAGTATGCTCTCATATTCTTCTGATTATTAGTAAATAATAAACTCAAGGGTAAGTACTTAAATGAATGTGTTCAAGAGATACTTATGTGTTATCATGACAATATTTTTTATAGCTCCTTGTTGTTTCCATTACTGAAAATCGACTACATTTGGTAAAGAAACAAATATAACGTTATGTAATACCATGTTTAAATAGAAGTAGTTTAAAAATTTTAAAATGGACGTTGAACACAAGTGTGATAGTATAGTTATCTGTCTTATCTCTATTTGTTGGTGTAAGTCAGTATATACTAAGGAAGGTAGATGGCTACATCACTACAACTTTGCCTAGAGTCATTTCCTTATCACCCACCCTGTAAAATTTTAGTCCCATCCCTGTAAAAAATATGAAAATCCGTCCATTCATAATTAATTTCAATTTATCGCCGTTTATTAATTTTGGAGCTGCCACAGTATAGTCCATTGTGCTGGGTCACAGGCCATCCATATGTACGCTCTCGTACCTGTTTTTGAGGCTTTTGTGATAACAGACATGCGCACTAGGGTCTAGTGTAAAAATGTAAACAAATTAAAATAAAGCCATTGGTAGCGAAAGGAGGTGAAAATTAATTAGTAAAACAATAAGTATCCAAAACTGCATAATTGACGAAGGGAATGTTAATAGTGAAAATAGAGAAAATAATGAATGACTCCTAAAAGAACACAGTCTTCTACTATCAATGACTGAAGAAATTCAACTGAGAGATTTGTGCGAAGGTCAAGGTATGCTTTTCTGCCTTTTCATAAAATTGATTTATAATTTTGACATTATTTATTAGTTTCGATTTTAGTCACAATAGTCTAGACATTGTTTTATGAAACTTTTCAAACCACCCAGGACCATATAGAGTGAATATTTTTTAGCTAATATTTCAAATGTCTACCTAATTCAATTGAAGATATTACATTTTTATGGTAAGTTTTATGCGTTGTATATTAGTAACACACTACACACTGTCTAAAAAATTTCGAGGAAGTAAAAATTTTCTAAAGGTATTAATTTTGAATTTGCTTAAAATAACTACTGTATGTTGTGTTGCATTATCAACGATGAAAAACCAAAGTAGACGTTTGCCCTGTGATTTAGAGTTGTTGCAAAAATAAGTATTTAACTATATGGATGAAGCGAGCTTTTGGCTGTACGTGTTTATATATAACACATCATTCCTAAGGCAAATCCTAAATTTACAAAAATCTTTGCACCTTTTCCTTTTGCAAAAATTTATTTTTGCAAAAGCTAAACATCAACCCTTCCCTCCAAAAGGCTTTTCATATTAATAATACATCATAAACTATTTCAATTTATGATTTGATTATATGCAAATATTTCTGTACATATGTATTTGTAATTTAATAACTTTCCCATGATATGATTAATTTCATTATCTATATAATAGTTCCTTTATGTTAAATATATTACCATACATGAAAATAATATCTTGATATGATTGCATCTCAATGGAGTAGATGCAAATTACATGTCAATTAAGTCTATTCAAGTTTGTTTGTTGATTTGTTTAAATCGTATTAGCAATGTGCAAATTAACGGTGTGCAATGTGCAATTTGCACATCGTTTTACCTAAAATGAAAACAATTGCACATCACTTTTTCAAACGATGTGCAAAAATTAGCGGTTTTAACAAAAAACACTGTCGTAAATCATATGAATTTGTTCACATTTAAAAATATTAATTTAGCAATTAGCGCTATATAATAATTAACGTAATATCAATTTGATTATGTCTCTAAAGAAACACTTTTGTCAAAAAAATTGCACATCGTTTTTTCTGAACTAATTCGCACACTGGTATTAGAGGCTGTTCTGGAACACAACTAGTGTTTTCTCTGTTAGACGAATGTGGGACTGTGATAATATATGTAGACTTGTGAGAAAAATTTTTTAATCTAAACTAGAAAGTGGTTAAAAAAACTGTTTGTTGATAAGCTGTGGCAAGCCAGGTTGAAAGTTTGGTCATGCTGTGTATATATTTTGGTGTTCAATCACTGTGAAAACAATATATTTTTAAAAATAGATTACTGAGCTCTACCAAACAGGCTATATGCCACTATTGGTGAGATAATAGAAATTGCCAAATGGAACTGTTTAATAATACAATAAAACTAAAGTATATTGTGAAAAATATTAATTTTCATTATCAACAGTGGTTGTGTCTATAGAAACTGTTAAAACATATTTATCATTGAAGCCTGATCTTTTGGGTGTTGCAGGCTACACTACCTTCACCACCACAATAAGTTCACTCCTTGGCACATAGTTGTTAACGTTTTTCGTCACTTAGGTGAAGGACATTTTTTTCTTAAAATTTTTTTGAAATATACTAAATAACTTGATTTTATACGAAATTTTACTAAGAATTTTTCAAAATATTATATTTTATATTTAACTTTCCCAAGAATTACCAAATCCTAAAGTAAATTAATTTGCCTAATCTGCAAGCGTTCTTGGGTGTAAAAGCATGTCTTTTTGCCGGAAAACTTTTTCTTTTAACGATATTGGGATGATATTCCATGAAAAATTTGACGATATTTTCTCAGCGTACAGTAGTGACAATTTTTGGCCACGGCGCGTGAATGGTTTGTCTAATAAAAAAACAGAAAAATTGGACTTTGATAGCGAAATACACATTCATTTTCTCTAATGGTATAGTATACGTTAAGCATGATTAACCAACCTAGCTGTTGTTACATCATTCACGACAACGTCCTTTAGTTAGTTTATTTTAAGCGAGGTTCTACTGTTATTCCTAAATATTATATAATAACAATTCTTTTGGAAACTTTTTTGATACGTCAAGTTGTGGATTGTGTATGCAATTTGATAGATATGGTTTATTCAATGTATGTTGTGGCAGCCTTGCGGTTGATCCTAGAACGGAACAGCTGGTTTTCGCTTTTGCTAAAATTAATTACTTCTGTCGTGGGATGTATTTGCTGTAATACAATTTCAATATTTTGTATATGTGAAATATTTTCATGGTTTTCAATTCCACTAAGTTTAAACAACCATCTACTATTTTTTCTACACAGAAATGGGCTTTTTCGTCGTTTTAATGAACAATGCTCCATGTGTGTTTTGCCTTACTACTAGACATGCAAATGCAATGCAAATGCCATGCGAGTTATTTGCATCTTTAAAGATGCATAAATCATTATGTTATCTTTGAAATGAAAGCCGTCGTTCATATACATTTACTTGCGAAAAAGAGAAAATGTACCAAAGGCTGGATAAACAAAGTAAGATATTTCACAACCCTGACTTTGCAGTTGCTTGGATTTATAATCAGGACTTACATTATCATAAATTTCAATGTTTTTGTATGTTTTATTGTCAGTTGTTTTGCTGTGACTCTCCGACGCAAGATCCATGTTTCTCTTATATAGAAAGTATTCTGTAGTTTTTACAATTGTATAATAGTTGCGTCATTTCTAATCGTACTTTTTCTCAGTTCTAAGGCACTATTATAACATAGAATTTAGCAAAACTGTTCTGTAATCGGTTTATTGAAAGAAGAAACTTATTGATAACTCGCATCTTATCTTTGCAGTGATGATCGATTTTATTTCTTTATTTTTGAAGAAATATTTCATTGCGTTTCAAGATTAACAACTATCCATGAAAACAATAAATTCAAGACTGCTTTCTGGAATTTTTGCAACTTTTTCCCATATTGATATCAACAGCAACTTCAATATACAATCTGTGTACAATCTTGTGTCCAGATTTTTGATTTCATGTGATGTACAATATAATGATTTCATGTAATCTAACATATGTACGGTCTTCTACGGCAAAAACTCACCCAATTTATCTCGAAAAAAATACCAGCCTTACTTTAAATACACACTTCACCATTTCCTGTTGTAATGCACAGTTCTGGTTCCATGTTGTTAAATCACTTAAGAAGCAACGCATGCGAAATCGCTGATTAGTATATGTTGTGTTAGTATAGCTGCTAAACTTTCGATGGGCTCTTTGACTTTCGTGCATATCTACTGGATACGATTTTGTTTTTGATGGTTTTAAACATCTTTTTAAGGAAAAAAGTTACGAGTTGAAGTGAATAATCATAAATATGAAACATTTCTAAGTTAACAAAGTCTCATGAAGAAAACATAAACACCTTTTTCCTACTATGTCACTAAATGGTGATGAAGGTGCAACTTGCCTCACCTTACATAATACTAATGTTCACATCTCTTTTTTGTAACTAGGTACCTACGGAACTGTTGAAGACGGCAGTCAAGATGGCGCTGATAGAATCATTATGATCAATAACCCTCAAACTGAGGTTTATCGTGGAAATAAAATAAGGTATGTCACCGGTCAGCGGTTTTCTCATTGTTTAAATAAAATATGGTATGTCACCAGTCAGCAGTTTTCCCATTGTTTAAATAAAATATGGTATGTCACCAGTCAGCGGTTTTCCCATTGTTTAAATAAAATATGGTATGTCACCAGTCAGCGGTTTTCCCATTGTTTTAAAACGTTGACTGATGTCAACTGTCCATCAACGTTGTGAATTTTAACATCATTTGTATATTTAAGTATACGTTTAAATTGGGTTGCTTGTTTTTGGACGAAGCTGTTTTTTATTTTCTGATCATTGACGATATTTCATAATTCAATTTCAGCACTGCAAAGTATAATGTCGTCACATTCTTGCCGAAATTTTTATTGGAGCAGTTTAGTCGGTATTCAAATATTTTCTTCCTCTTCATTGCCCTCTTACAGGTAAATGGTTTATATTGTAGTCGTTTGTCCCAGTGATCAACATATTGTAGTCGTTTGTCCCAGTGATCAACATATTGTAGTCATTTGTTCCAGTGATCAACATATTGTAGTCACCTGTTCCAGTGATCAACATATAGTAGTCATGTGTCCCAGTGATCAACATTTAGTAGTCACCTAACCCAGTGATATAGTAGAGTCATGTCTTTACATTTATGACAATAATCTTATAAATTAATCTTTTTATTTTTTAGCAAATTGAAGGTGTTTCTCCTACTGGTCGATATACAACTGCTGTTCCTTTACTCTTTGTTTTATCTTGTTCTGCTGTCAAAGAAATTATTGAAGATTATGTAAGAACACAACTGGGACTGCTGCTGTGAATATCTTCTATCTGATATTGATAATGGTAACCTATTCATTTCTATTATATTTTTAATCTATGCTATCATATTCATTTACTAGAAACGTCATAGAGCAGACGATAAAACGAATAAAAAAGATGTTCGAGGTATAATAAGTTACCCGAGTATTACTTCTAATGTAAAAAAAGGAGATGTCCGACTCTTAATTCGAGTACAGTGTGAAGCAATGTTCATGAGCACTTTACTCTTCACTTTAATCTTTCCGATTATCATGTATATTGTCTAGTAAAAATAAATGATCAATACAGAATGCGTAAGTTAGGACGGATCGTTTCTCCTATTTGGCCAGCTTTATCAAACGATATTAGATTATATGACGACATGGTCACGTCAAAGTATTGTTGCATGTTTTGATTGATGTGGAGTAGATCGCTTGGCACAGCTATAAAAGAGCATTTACATTCACAAACGCTTTAGTATTATCACTTTTCTGTAGTGTGGAGGGAGAATACTTATCAAGCAGTGAAATGGATGGAGGTTTGTGATTGGTTTATCAATAAGTATATTGAACAATAGACAACTTCTCTCTATATCATCATGATGATTAGAACTGTTCTTATGAAGTCTGAATGTATTCTTATTTATATTTGAATCCTTGATGTTTCATTTTTAGCTCAAAGTTGGCGATATTGTCAAAGTTCTTAATGGCCAGTTTTTTCCAGCAGATCTTATTCTTTTATCTTCAAGGTTAGTCATGAATAATTGTCATTCATAAATATACGTTACTTCAAGGTTAGTCATGAATAATTATCATTCATAAATATACGTTACTACAAGGTTAGTCATGAATAATTATCATTCATAAATATACGTTACTACAAGGTTAGTCATGAATAATTATCATTCATAAATATACGTTACTACAAGGTTAGTCATGAATAATTATCATTCATAAATATACGTTACTACAAGGTTAGTCATGAATAATTATCATTCATAAATATACGTTACTACAAGGTTAGTCATGAATAATTATCATTCATAAATATACGTTACTACAAGGTTCGTCATGAATAATTATCATTCATAAATATACGTTACTACAAGGTTAGTCATGAATAATTATCATTCATAAATATACGTTACTACAAGGTTAGTCATGAATAATTATCATTCATAAATATACGTTACTAAGTGACAGAATTATCGTTTTAAGTGAGCCAATGGGAATGTGTTACGTTGAAACGGCGAATCTTGATGGTGAAACTAATCTCAAGATAAAACAGGTTTGACAATACGTTGTTGTGGTTTTTAAAGAAAAATGTTTTGGCAAATTTCACGTAATCGACAATAATTTTGTTTTATCATGAAAAGGCTCTTCCTCTGACTGCAAGTATGGTTCAACCTGCTGACCTGAAATCACTTGAGGTAATGACTGTTTTGATACAAACATAATTTTTTCCATAGCAAGCAGATTAACTATTCGTAACAATAAAAAAGACTCAATTTTTGTCATGCGATACAGCCCTCCTCCTGAATTAGTTACAAGTTAACACTTGCTATCTTTTGCCATGGTGACTAATGCAGTTTTTCGATCTTATTATTGAGCAACCATAGGAATGACTAGTGATTATAAACACAAAAAGGATTGTCCTAATTGCAAACCAGCTCTTTTGCAGCCAGCAATTTACATCATGTCAAATTACATGAATCACTGTGCAGCAAATTTTGATTTCTTGTGAAATAGTTGTGAAATTTTTAATTCCGTCACTCTTTGCTATGAGAGAAATAAGTGTTAATTTATACCAATGTACGCGAGGTTTGGCACAAAATTCTTCTATCTGGTCACTTATATTATGAGTAACCAATATTTAATTACAGGGGCGAGTTGATTGTGAAGGCCCAAATAACAGATTATATGAATTTGTTGGAAACATTACTTTGAATGGGAGAAAGTATGGATTAGTAGAATTATTTTTGAAGTGTAAAGGTGTTTTAGATCATTTTCTTAAAAACAGAGCAGTGCCACTGAATCCTGACCAGCTATTACTCCGTGGTGCACAATTAAGAAATACACAATGGATATATGGTACAGTAATTTTTTGTTGGAAATTATTTTATCAACATGATACGTATATTGATTAATAATGATGATTACGATGTTTTTAGGATTAGTAATTTATACTGGTCATGATTCCAAACTAATGCAGGTATGTAAAACTGAGCAATGCAAGAAGAACTGATTTGTACTTTTTTTTAAACTATATATCTCCTGTCTTTGTTGTGTGTATACACTGTTGTTGTGTGTATACACTGTTGTTATGTGTATACACTGTGTTGTGTGTATACACTGTTGTTGTGTGTATACACTGTTGTTGTGTGTATACACTGTGTTGTGTGTATACACTGTTGTTGTGTGTATACACTGTTGTTGTGTGTATACACTGTTGTTGTGTGTATACACTGTTGTTGTGTGTATACACTGTTGTTGTGTGTATACACAATATTCTTTTATGAAATATTAAAGACTTTTACTAATAAGAAATATCGTGTGCGTTATTGGTTGTTCATCAGAGAAAGACTTTTTTTCAGAATGCAACTGCGGCTCCTATCAAAAGATCAAACATGGATCGTGCTACAAATATTCAAATTTTGTTTTTGTTCTGTCTATTGTTGGTTATGGCGTTTTTCAGTAGTTTAGGATCCTATATTTGGACACGTGGGTTCCGTTCTTTTATGAAATCTTTGTCTGTAATTTTATAGCTATTATCGTTTATACATAAATATTTATCATTTTAGAAAACAATAGAACTGGATCTTGGTACATGGGTTATGAAGGTAGTAAAATCTAAATGGAAATCATTTTTAAAATAAAAATGAAAAAAATATGTTTATTGTTTCTTGAAGGAAAAAAACCTCAAAGTTTCTTTTTCACCATAATTACGTTCATCATTCTCTACAATAATCTTATTCCTATCAGTTTACCCGTCACATTAGAGGTTAGTTTTAACTTTTGTTGTTCATCTATAACTAACGTAGTTTTAACATCATCATTTTAGTTATAGCTCTAACATCATCATTTTAATCCTTTCTTCCTCTTCAGATTGTGAAGTTCATTCAAGCTATATTTATCAATTCGGTTAGTCAGATTTCAAAACTATTGCGAGAATTACAGTCGTAAATACCCACTTAAAGTTCTAATGACATATGATCATTTGAAAAACCGTTTCATCGTTAAAATAATAGTAATTGTTGACTAATTTGATTTAATATCAATGAATTCAATACATTCATAGCTTAACAAACATACTGTTTGTACGTAGATGTAGCAAATATGAAATATTTTCTCATCCATTTCTGACAGGATTGTGAAATGTATTATGATGAGAATGACACTCCAGCCATGGCTAGAACTTCAAATCTTAATGAAGAATTGGGACAGGTATGTACGTAACACATTGTTTTGGAAAATGTTTCATGTATTTAGTAAATGCTATGATGAATCATCCTTTGACTTAAATTATTAATTGCAACAAAGAAAGCATTTCCATAATTCTACAGTGATAACTCATTTAAATTTAAATTAGGATGCTAATAAGTTTCTTGATTTCAGTTATTTTCTTTTGCTGTGTAAAGTGATAATTTTATAAAATAATCATAAATAAAATAATCATATAATTTAATTGAAAAGATAAGATATCATGCTTGTCGCATGATTATGTACATATGTGTACATTTTCTAAATCATTCTACTATTCAAGAGCGTTTTTTGTAACTTCGTCTGTTTTGAGTTGTTTTGAGCAATCATTCTATAATTCAATGTCAACATCATCATAGGTGAAATATATATTTTCGGATAAAACTGGAACTCTTACAAGAAACATAATGGAGTTTAGAAAATGCACAATAGCTGGCATTATGTATGGGTAAGAATTATTTCACTTGAGTGTAACTTTCATAGGAGCAGTTCTGTATTGCAAAAAGTCTTGTTGTTCTCACTATTTTCTATAAAAGGTTGTACAGTTATTCCTCATTGTATTTACTATTTTCAGTGGAGATGGTGATGCTTTTAATGATCCTTCTTTATTGGACCATCTTCGAGAACGTCATGTAAGTAGAAAATAGAGTAATGCGTGAAAATAGAGTAAAGTGGCTTTGTAAAGATCTCTTTTTGTGTATAAATTTAAGGAGTTCACTTTCCATTAAAATAGCCAACATCATCCGTAATCCGTGAATTCTTGACTCTGTTGTCTGTTTGTCACACGGTCGTACCTGAGAGAGATACTCAAAATCCAGATAAGATCATTTATCAAGCCGCTTCTCCAGGTTTGCAGCCACAACTGTAGGGAAAATATTTATAAATGTACACATGAATGAATTTAGTTGTATGTTTGTAGATGTAGATCGTCCCGGTTTTGAGTCCTCAGAAATGTTGGTACTTAAATAACCTGGACGATCAACATCTACAAAAATGTTAACAACACTCCTGGGCTCAAACTACGTATTCACTTTAAATTTAATTATTCTATGACTAATATTGTAGTAAATTTACTAAAATATATTTTTCATTATTTGTTTGTAGATGAAGGTGCTTTGGTTGAAGGAGCAAAATTATTTGGATTTTCATTCAATGTTCGCACACCAACTTCTGTCATTATAAATGCTGTAAGCTCTTTTCATAGACAAAAATTTATATTGATTATCATGTTATCTATATTTATATATTCATGTACATGGACGTTTTTATTATGTACTTTTATGTATATTTACATGTTTGTAGATGTAGATCGTCCAGGTTAGTAGAGTCCTGAAGAGGACTGTTGTTGTTGATGTTAACTCTGAAGATGACTACCGCTAAGGTTGTAGAAACGTCAGTCAACAACAACAAAAACAGTCCTCCTCAGGATTCTACTAACCTGGACGATCTACATCTACAAACATGTAACGATACTCCCGGGTTCAAACCATTTATGTATATTCATGTACATCGACGTTTTTATTATGTACTTTTATGTATATTCATGTACATCGACGTTTTTATTATGTACTTTTATGTATATTCGTGTACATCGACGTTTTTATTATGTTCTTTTATGTATATTCGTGTACATCGACGTTTTTATTATGTTCTTTTATGTATATTCGTGTACATCGACGTTTTTATTATGTACTTTTATGTGTATTCATGTACATCGACGTTTTTATTATATGCTTTATTTGATTTAGATGGGACAAGAAGAAGTTTATGAAGTTCTTAATGTCCTCGAATTCAACAGGTATAATTCCCATGTATCCACTCTTCCATGTGTTATTTGCAATTTTCACTTCTTTTGTAAACAAGATATAAATTAATCGATGTAAGAGAATCTAGAAATGATTTGTTTTCCCTATTTTAAGCACCCGCAAACGCATGTCTGTCATTTTGAAAACACCCGATGGTCAAATAAAGTTATATTGTAAAGGAGCTGTAAGTTTTGAAAATTTTCATGGCTAGATTGATGTAGCTACGAATTTGCTCAAATAGTTTACTTTATTATATTATAGGATACTGTAATATATGAAAGACTTAGTGTTAATCAATTATATAAAGACATTACTTTGAAGCATTTGGAAGAATTTGCTAAAGATGGTAAGAATCATTACTTTGGTTGAGTTGTTGAGTAATGTTTTCGGACAAAAATGTTAACGGTTACTGGGTAAGCTGAAGACATTTTTCTCTTAAAAAATTACTGACGCTGTGAAGATGATTTAGTAAAGACTTTTGAAACTTAAATTCTTTCAAACCAAACAAGAGTTGCCTTACCTAATTGATTGTCATAATTCTATTATTTTCAAGGTTTAAGAACCTTGTGTATATCAATGGCGGAAATCTCTCAAGATGATTATGATCGTTGGAGTGATATATATTACAGTGCCAGCACGAGCCTTGAAAATAGAGATGAAAAAGTTGATGAAGCTGCTGAATTGATCGAAAAGGTGTAAAACTACTTATTTCGTTTATTTTCTTCGTGATTTTAAAATTTATTAAATTTATTCACCTTTAGAATCTGTTTCTTCTTGGAGCTACAGCAATCGAGGATAAATTACAAGAGGTTGAAGTTTATTGTAAATAACACGTCTTCAATAGTATTTATTTTTGATTTAATGTTTTGCATCGAATATTTTTGTTTCTATTTTCCCTTTGCTTATTATTAGGGTGTTCCTGATAGCATTGCAGACTTAGCTGCCGCAAATATCAAAATTTGGGTTCTCACAGGCGATAAACAAGAAACTGCCATCAATATAGGTTTTGACTAATTTTTGAAGTTTTGGAGTATAGTGTGCATCTTTCATGTCTTATAACAACTCATGGCAATATTAGGCCTTCATTGTATGCATAAAAATAATTCCATAGTACTCTATTTTATAGTTAGTATAGGGACTTCGATTTCTTTTACTTGGAAATTATAGTGTATTTGGAGTGTATTTATGGACTTATCATTTTGCTCCCTACATTTCATTTCATTGATTGAGTTATTTTATGTTTTTAGGTTACTCGTGTAGACTTCTTACTGAAGACATGTCTTTACTTGTATGTAAAGAATGTGATCTTGGTGTAAGTATATCGTGATTTGGATAATTTTAAAATCTTAAACAGTTTTGTTATCATTTATTGCTAGTCAACCAAATTTATTCCCTGCAAGTTCAGCAAAACTTTTGCATAATGTGCTGGTCTTGTGTATCGTCATTATGTATTGGATTTCGACTTTTCTCTTATGTGATGAGAAGCAGAAATTCACATCCATCATAAGTCAGATATCATCATTAAATGATCAGAATCAGATATCGTCAGATATCAAAAATTTTGATTCAGAATACTACAAATCTTTTACTTCTCTACTATCCTATTCAATAGTAAATTTTTTGCATCAAATTTCTGATTCAGAATGCTTCAAATATTTTAATTCCATAACTTGGTAATCAATCGAGTGATGATGTTTAGGGGACAAAACGTTGGTTGGACGATGTAATAAAGAAGCATGGGATCAAGAATAAACGCAAGAAGACGATAAATAAAGACGAGGTTAGAGTTGTTATCGTTTTTAATGATTTTCATTTTGAATGAAGTTGATTTCGCAATATTATTTCTGTGTTTTATTTTTTTACGTTGTTTCTCAAATATCTATCATTGCAATTCTTTAGCAGGAGGAGCGTCTAGCTTTCATTGTGACTGGTCAGGTTAGCTCTCCTCCTCAATTCCGTGGCAAACTTTCCAAACTTTTTGAAAATACTTTGATGAAGTTTCTATATTATACCAGACACTGAACTATGCCTTGGAAGAAGAACTGAAATACAATTTTTTGGATTTGGCGCTATCCTGTAAAGCAGTTGTTTGTTGCAGGTACGTTTCAATTTAGACTAAGACAATGGCTTGGCCTATTAAAGGTCATCATTGTAAAAACTTAAAAGTGTTGCACTCAATTATTTATTTCGACATTTATTGAGACAATGAAAACAGATAATTTGCCATGAATGCCATGCATGCTTTATCCATGATACCAGGTGGTTGTTGTCATGACTAAACTCAAACTTACAGGGTATCCCCGTTACAAAAATCTAAAGTTGTGCGTCTTGTAAAAGCCCAAGTTAAGAACTCCATAACATTAGCGATTGGTGATGGTGCAAATGATGTTGGTATGATTCAGGTATTTATGAAGAATCACACAGATTTTAATTATTCTATACTATACACCCTTTCATTTATGTTTAGTTGTTTAGATGAATTAGTTTTGTGTAACGCTTCCGTTTTGTATCAGTTAAATACCATTTGATTACATCTACATACTATTTTTATATTTCTTAAAATTGTTTTCTATTTAAAATTCATTTAGAATTTGTTGTTCCAATGGTTTATACACCTGTGTACATTTGTCGTATAAGTTATAAATATTTATGTTCGTGATCAATATATTCCATTTCCAGGCTGCTCATGTTGGTGTTGGTATCAATGGTCAGGAGGGACTACAGGCAGCTAGTGCATCTGATTATGCTATTGCTCAGGTAATTTAGGTTTTATAAGGTATTTAAACACTGAAATAAAAATTGGTCACTTTACCGAGAGCGCAGGTCAGTACTTCTTGCATGATAACTGCCAAACGTTGCAGAGTGTATGTTTATTAATGAATTAATACCTTAAATATTTTTTATAGTTTCGTTTTTTGAACAAACTCTTGCTGGTGCATGGCTCATGGAGTTATCAGCGTCTTAGCAAACTAATCTTGTACTCCTTCTATAAGAATGTTTGTTTATACGTTATTGAGGTGAGAGTTGTTATGAGTGTTTTGGTTGTTTCAATCATGTCTTCAAAGGATGATCCAGCTTATTGCATTTTCCAGCTTTGGTTTGCCATCGTAAATGGATTCTCCGGTCAAATATTATTTGATAAATGGTGTATTGGAATATATAATGTGGTATGTGACGAACTTATTATTATAAAACATCCTGCGTTATCCTTGTGATGATTTAATGTTGTAAAGAGACTTGAAACGTCGGGGCTTTTTCTTCAATGTTTGCTGAATCTTTGCTCAATAGAAAGCAAATATTTTAAATTGAAAAGCATTTTTAACATACTCAGATGATTTCTCCAACAATTTCGGATTAAGCGAGCTCTTTACTCCAAAGTCGGTTCTAGTACATCCAGTTGGTCGTTGCTATAACTGTGAACTAAGACAGTTGGTCTAGTCGAATTTGTGCATTCTCAGACAAATTGGTGGCTTACCAAACTAGTTACTCTTAAATTGGGGACAGAACGAACTAGTTACTTTAAAATGGTGCAAATAAATTCATTTGGTTGTTGCTATCAACTCGTACAGTAAGTCAAGTGGTCAAAGTATATGCTCATATGATTTTTTTAATAAATTATGACCGAGCTAGCTACTCTCAGAGCAGCGCAAGGAAATCCCGTTGATACGTATGAAGTCCTTTAACTGGTCGAGTTGATTACGCACTGTCTTCTTTAGCTTTTTTCAAAAAATGACATCAGTGCACTATGCGTGCACTTATGTCTATTTTTAAGTAGGCAATACTTAACTATAGACATTACAATGAGTACAAAAAAGGATCGTTTATTTGTAAACCGTGAAGTATAAGATAACGAATGGTTGTTTAGACTATAGCTTGTGATAGGTTTTAGTCTAAGTCAATGGATGCTCACCTCATGATGAATGAAACATTTTATGAATGATTCAAATTGCGAATTAAACTTTGCATTCTCCTTGAATCTTTAATTTGCCTTTGTTGATTTTTCGTGTAAAGCTTACAGAAAGAATTTCTTTCGTCATTAAAACAAAACATGGTTATAATGTTTTGCTAGCAATGCCTTATATGTAGGCTACATGCCTTCATGGCAACTATAGTTTACCTACGTAACCTTACATGTACCTATATGCCCTTGTGTCAGCAATAGTTTACCTACGTAACCTTGCGTATATGCTCTCCTGTCAGGAATGGTTTACCACCGTAACCTTACATGTACCTATATGCCATTGTGTCAGCAATAGTTTACCTACGTAACTAACTTTATGTCTTCTTGTGAGGAATGGTTTATCTCCTTCATAACTTTATGTTGCTACATCCTGTCAAGTCAAGAACAGATTCAAATTTTTAATTGAAATTATCAATTTTTTTAGGCTTTTACTGCTTTTCCACCGTTGGCGATTGGATTATTTGACAAAACAGTGTCATCAGAAAGCTTGCAAAAATTTCCTCAGTTATATAAACCGTCTCAGAATGCAGAATACTTTAATACAAAGGTACGTACGACATGTCATTTAATCAGTTCAATTTTTTTATTATGGCTCTCAATGGGTAATATTATTTAATGGTAGGAAAGCTTACTGGCTTAAAGCCAGTTTTTTAAATACGTTGAGTGAAAGAATAGCGAATAATGTTCTTCGGCTTAATTTCAACAAATGCTTAATTTCAATGGTGATAGTATTAATTTTTTTTAATGAAAAACATTTCCAGGTGTTTTGGTTATGGATCTTTGCAGCTATTGTTCATTCGTTGTTTTTATTTTATCTTCCTTCATTAGCTCTGAATAATGGTGAGTATTTTACATTAAACACGACATGCAGAGAAACACACATTTTGTTCATATGAATTAGCGTTAAATTTCATGATGTTTTTATTTTAGATGTTCCATTTCAAGAAGGTTTAGTGGTTGGTAATTGGTTTGTTGGCAACATTGTTTACACGGTGATTACGTTGTATACCTTCTTATAATTTAACATAGAGATATTTACTTCATGAAAGCTATACTCATTCTTTTTTTATATATTATAAATTTTTGATGGCTCATTCTTGTATTTTTATTTATTTTAGCTTGTTGTGGTAACTGTTTGTCTAAAAGCAGCTTTAGAACTAGATTCATGGAATTGGGTCAGTTGATTGGGCTTTTGCTCTTACTGAAATAAAGTCATCTGTTTATCATTTGTTCACATTTTAAAAATCGAACGTTTTCTTGCACTTGTGTAAACAAATAATTTTCATAGATTTTTAATTGGATAATTTATGAATTTTGTCTTGAACCTCTTATACGTACATACATATATTTTCAGTGCCTTTTTTTATTCTCTAGCTTTGTCATATTGCTATCTGGGGAAGCATTCTTAGTTGGTTTATATTTTTACTGATATATTGTCAACCATTTCTGGCAGAGTATCTTGCTCCTCATATGATTGGCCAGGTACCTCTCATTGATTTGTAAATTTAATAGTTTGCAGATTTCAAACTTTATAATGATGTGGCCCTATTGAAATTGTACTATTTGAAACTTTATAATGATATTTCCGTACTTTGCTCGTACTTATTTAAAACTTTATAATGATATGTACGAAGTGTAAAGGTATATTTTCAAATTATAATGATGTTTTTGTACACCTAGTAGTTTTATAACACATATACCTTTCTTACGTTAAGGAACAAATGGTTTACACCTGTCCAGCATTTTGGTTTATGCTTATTCTCATACCCGTTATAACATTGTTTTTTGATTTTTGTTACAAACTGTAAGTGTTGTTAGTGATAGACACTTTAAATATTTTTATTTAATGTTAAGCCATGAATTTTTGTTGAAATCGTATGTTTAACACGCGCGAGTTGCGCCAAGATTTGACAGTGCATTTGGTGAGGTGTATATTTAACATGACCATACCGTTTAGGTTCCACAGAATATTTTTCAAAACATTAGTTCAAGAAATTCAAGAAATCGAAGAACGAAAGGTTGGCACAAACCTAAGGCTGTATTAAGATTTCATTATATTCCCATTTATTACTACAATACACCAAGGAATTTGGGGACGGATGCTGAGCAAAGCAGATTTGTAGGCTGTTATTGTTTATTCACGTTCAATTGTTCCTATGTAATAGCGGAGTTCATTAATGTTTATTAACGGCTGAGTTGAACCCTAGAGTCATTTCACACTGTTTGGTGAGCGTGCTCTTATTTTTGTTGTCCATCATATGAAACACTTAAATAGAAACCAAAATGGTTGTGTGCGACACGTGACTTTGTAGCTAACCAATAATTGTGCGACAAACTCTACGTAAACGATGTTTTGAGTACTAAAGTTCAAAACTTTTGAAAGATCTCTGAACATGTTTTTGATCAATATTCTAAGCTTTTTCACAATTGTTTTCGTGCAAAATTTGCCATTTAGTGGAAAAACGGCATCCGTGTTTAGATCAAAAATCTGTACGATAGTTAAATGTCGCAATTTGTATGAAATATTGTCCAATTAATATTTGATATGAAGTATGTTCTAATTAATATACAGCCTACTGAAAGATACGGGGAGCAGCCAGCTTGTTCAGTTTTACAACTTATTGTCAATTCTTTCTACTTTCTTACGTATAGAACGATCCTCAATCTTCTCTTGGTCTGTCTACACCTACAATATACAGGTCAATACAACGTCTTTTTTCAATGCATTTGTAGTATTTTACAGTTGTTCATAGCTTCAGTGTGTGCTACCTCGAAATTTCTGTCTTAAGCTGTGGAATGAATTAATAAGATATATTTACAACACAATGAAAACAAGCTACAACAGCCATGGTGGTTTTTGTATGTTTTCAGTCATGAACGATTTATCGTATTTCTGATAAAATATTTGTATTTTTATGATTCATCATTTGGCACTTTTTGAATTGTACAGGTCAACGTTCCGCTCAAAGAGTTTCAAGACTCAACGTAAGTGTTTATCATATTTTATTTAATTTGTACGTCAATGTAATTACCAACATAATAATTGGTCAGTGTAAAATATCTTCATCGTGAAGAAGAATAAGTTATGAAATATTGAAGGAAACACATTTATATATTCATACATTTAGATGGTTATGCGTTCTCTCAAGAAGAAAGTGCTTCCATTAGTCAGGTAAAAAATGTTACATGGGTGTGAGCAAACACTAAACATTATAATACGTTCTTGTGATCTTACTTAATAATAGTTTGATACATGACTATTGCTGTAATGAATTTTATTGCTTCTTGTCTTGCATGTTACATCTTATTCTTTAACTCTTGTTTAAATATGACTTATCAAACAAAGGATCTAACCATATTGATGTCTTATTGTATATGATGTATAATTTATATTTATTGATACATTTGTAATAAAAAATGTATCTTGTACAATGTATAATTGTCTTAATATGAGATTTCTACATTTCTTTGTAGGGAAAAGTTATTTATAATTTATATTTATGATTTATTTTGTTTTATTTTTTTGTTGGTACCTGACCTTTCAAATTTTGATTTTTATGATACATGAACATATGAACATGATTCGTTATGAACGCTTGTTGTTCTGCATGCTTTCTGAAGTTTTATTTTTAAAGCATTTATGTTCGAGAATGTCGAAAAAAAATCGTGTCAATTTTATTTTGATTTCCTCTTTTAAAAAATTAAACCTTGGTGTTTCAAATTGAAAAAATAGAAGCTTTGATATTTGACAATTGTTTAAGCGTCTTAAGCTAGAAACATCGTGTTTAAGTACATTGCTTACTACGGATTGTGATATTCATATTTGAATATGAGCCCACACCTCCCCCCCCCCACATCCTCTCTCCTCCCCCCCAATTATCAATCTTCCGACGACTCTGAACTACAAAATATAATTATGGAGTAAATAATCTCTACTAATTTTTAATTAGGCGCAGCTAATCAGGCGATACGATACGAATCTTAGAAAGCCGGGAGGTGGAGAGTAGTGAAAGAATGCTCGTATGTTGAGGTGAAGTGTGATCGTTGGCCATATATCTTTAAAATATTTTTGATGTAATTTATAAAATTAAAGTCTCCTCTATTAAATAAAACCATCATGTTAAAATACTTAATGGAATAGAGACGCAGACTTGAAATTTTAAATAATATTTATTGCATCCTGATAGTTAACTTGAATATACTAATTTAGACTAATTTAGACACTATAGTAAATTGTAAATTCGTAAATTAATGTTACTGTTGGAGAGAGAGTGGTCTGCTAAAGTCATTAATTAAATTTTTTTCAACATAAATTGTATTTAATTAACCTGCAAACACTTAACTTACATTTCTTTATTACGACTGGATGGAACTTGTATTGAAAAAATTGTAGATAAGAAGGAGGGAAACTAATAAAATACACACCGAAAGCCTAAAACTGTTATAAGAAAAAAACAATGACATGACTTATATATAGGATGGCTGATGTTGCCCACGTTTATTTGCTAAAGTCTCTAGTATGTTCTAAAATAACCTCGATATTTCCAATTTCGTCCTCAAGCTCCAAGTTTGCGTACTCTCATTTTTTCCTTGGTTACTTTTTCGGCAAAGTAATAGATAAGAATTTAAAAATCATTTGTTATTAGTCTGGTCTTCTCAAGTTGACTTATGCTGTGAATATTGCATGCTTGACATTTAATTAAGAAACGAATATTGAGGTTTTATCACTGACAATCGTTTGTTGGTGGTTTCTTCCGTTTTACCAAATAATCAATTTTTAAATTCCCCTTTCAAAATTGAAAACAATCCTTCTTAACACAATAATAATGCCATACATTTTAACTTATTAGAAAGTAAAAGAATTAATAATGTCTTTTGAGAGTGAGATTTCGTGATAAAATCCCGAACTTCGCAACGCTGATTTGTGTGGTGGACTCGTTTGATTAGTGGTGACTGCTGAGGATGTACGAAAAAAGACTCCAGGATTGTGTGGTGGACTCGGTTGATTAGTGGTGACTGCTGAGGATGTACGAAAAAAGACTCCAGGATTGTGTGGTGGACCGGTGGTGAGGCTGCAAGAAAAATACTCCAGGATTGTGTGGTGGGGTGGAATATACGAAAAACAACACCAGGGTTGTGTCATGTGTGGTGTGAGGAATATACGAAAAAAGACACCAGGATCTTAAGCGGAGACTGATCTCGTATGATCTTTGACTTCATATCGATTTGGAATGCGATTGTTGAATGTGTTATTGCATCAGTCGTCTGTAATAACACTTTTCGTAAAATACCGCACAATATATACCTCTCCACTTAGAATGGTGCTTGATTTAGATCTTTTCCGCGAGGAACGCGGTGGTAATCCGACCAAAATACGAGAGAATCAAGGAAAACGATATAAAGATGCATCTATGGTTGATAAAGTGATAACTACTGATGGCGAATGGCGAAAATGTTGGTGTAATTTTAAAGTTTTGTACAAAATGACCCAATAAATGGTGTATTTCATTTTTTTGCGTTCTTTAAAGGTCGTTTTCAAGCAGACAATTGGAACAAACTGAAGAATTTGTGTAGTAAACAAATTGGAGAGAAAATGAAGGTAAGTGAATGCATTCACACACCACACGTGGCATATTGCAACGTGTATAGCATATAAATTAACCAAATTACAGTAATTTCTTGTTTTAATTATATTTTTCCTAAAATGCTGGTGCTAATCTTACTAAAGTCTTAGTGAAAACGTACTTTCCCAAGTAATAGATCCCAGCAAGATTGCAGAATAGCACTCGGCTTCACGGTTAGGGTTCAGGTCAAGTCTATATTATACGTCTATAAGTGAACGAGTATTCTGCAATTGCTCCCAACTATAGCTTTAACATTTATATTTGTAGATTGATATAATTTTGAACAAAAAAATTTAAACTGTGCAGTTTTTGTTGTCTAGCTATCAGTGATGCAAGCTCAATGTTATTAAGTTATCTAATGCAATTATCCCAATGTATTGTCACAAATGTTAAATTTACCATTTGAATCTTTTAACAGAAAAAAGAACCTGTTGGTGACACAGATGAACTCCCTGAAATGATCTGTAGTGATATGTCTGTTCTTAAGGCAGAAACTTTACAGGTTGCTACGTTAGTTGGTCTTAACTACAGAAACTCTAAATAGCACTGTCATGTGGACTTGTTCGTTTCTTTTTTTCGTTTTCCAATTGAAGCTGTGTTCCAGACTGGAAAGTATGTTGTGCACAACCTAGATTTAGATTGTGCAATTGTGAATAAAATTTGCATTATAATGAGCAAATTTTGAAATCCTCTCAGCAAAATATTAATATATAAGGAAAAATTTCTGAATTTACAGTGCCAAGTTGAAAATTCACTCTGCAAAATTGTCGAAAATTTTCCTCTAGCTTGTGCAATTTGCAAACTTTCCAGTCTGGGCTGTGTTCATCCTTGTATGCACAGGATGTTGGATTCACCAAATCTAATGGTAATATTGCAACTTCATTTTTGCTTTATATTCTTCATTCATAAGTACTAATTAAATTGAGTATAGTATTTTTACAATATTAAGGGTTTGACTGTCACTCAGATCAAGAAAATTAGAGTTTTGATTGATGAAAAAATAGCAGAATGTCGCCAACAAGTGGAAGAATGGGAAAAATTGCGTAATTCAACTCTCTTTGAAATTGGAAATATTCTTCATGATGATGTACCAGTTAGCAATGATGAGGTAAATTTTATAATAAAGCACCCAAGGTACAGAAAATGTTTCAGGCAAAATGCAATGAATAATTGATGCAAGTAGGTTATGTTTCAAATGTTTTTTTTATAATATTTTGATAGTTGATCATACGTTTTCACTTAAATTGCCTTTACAAGACTGCTCAAGATAATTTTATGTTGTTTGAAATTAATTGAAGTTGATTATTATGTTTTTTTTATAAATTTAGGAAGATAATGGCATTATCCGAGTAGTTGGAGATTGCTCAATTAGAAAAAAGTATTCTCACATAGATCTTGCTGTTATGGTAGATGGTATTGATGTTGATAGAGGTGCATCCGTATCTGGAAGTCGAGGGTATTTTATGAAAGTTAGTCTCTTCAATATATATGTTATTGTCATTGTGTATACATATGTAGATGTATTGAGTCTCTAGATTTTTCACACACATAAGATTTGTATGTTTTCAATCAGAATCACTTTATTTTAAACTATGACCTGGAATACTACATTGCAATTAATTGAACCCGCACATATATATTTTTGCACAAAACCTTCATTTCTTCAAGACTTTACTTGTAGCATATATGTAATGTATGTGTTCATTAAACTATGCATCATTTTCCTCACATCTATGTAGATGTGTATAACTTGATTTATGTTGAAACCCTATGTTGTATAATTTAACCATCATCATACCATGTTCAGATATAACTTTATCCATCATTCAATGTATCTATAGTATTGAATTTTTTGTTGAATTCAATTGATTAAACACAGAAGTACACTAGTTTGTTGTTGAGTTAATGCGGTTTTCCTTTTAGTGTATTGTTTCCATATATTTTTGAATTTAGGGACCGTTGGTGTTTTTGGAGTATGCATTACTTCAACATGCGATGCAAATGCTCTATGAAAAAGGATTTACACCACTTTACACACCATTTTTTATGCGTAAAGATGTTATGCAAGAGGTTGCCCAGTTAAGTCAATTTGATGAAGAACTTTACAAGGTATAAAAATAGAACCTCTATCTTAGCATGAAAGTTAAAAAATCTATCAAATTTTATTGTGTAAATATAGTTTACAATAAATAAAACAACTCTACGTTCTGTCGCGAAAGAGTACCTGCAATATTCTAAATGTCCTCTATGATTAACATATTTGTTCAAACTATTCTATTAAGGTGATTGGCAAAGGAACTGGAGAGGACGGAACTGCTGATGAAAAATATTTAATTGCAACAAGTGAGCAGCCAATAGCTGCATTTCATCGTGGAGAATGGCTTGATCATAATGACCTTCCTAAAAAATATGGAGGCTCATCAACATGTTTTCGTCAAGAAGTAGGAGCACATGGCCGTGATACGAGAGGAATATTTCGCGTTCATCAATTTGAGAAAGTATGTATGCAGTTGTGATTAAAGTTGTCTCAATTATGTTAAATTTTAATAATAAAATATTTTTATAGCTGGTTGCAAAGCTGTCAAGGCAGTTGTTAAAATAAATTGGTAGCATATTTATTGCATTTTAGGAATGTTTTCCCTTGATAATAACAAATTTTTTAAACTATTTACGTAAGTAAGAATGCCATGTTACCGCGCATCGTTTTCCTATGATATAGAACATTGAGTTTAAAACTTAAGTACAAAACTCTTAGTGAACTTTACGTTAAACAGTTCAAGTCATTGTTATCTAAATATTGTCTAGACAGAATCCATTCAAACTAAACAGAAGGTTGATAAAATTTGAAATTATGCAATCTTGTAGAGTTATGAAAGGAGACTGAGCCCCAGCCAGTATTATGTTGAATTTTAAAGAAAAACACCCATCTCTCCTCTTATACTATCCAGAACCCAAAGTATCACTATTAAAGTAAATTGTGTAAAAAAATTGTTTATATATTAGGTGGAACAGTTTGTGATATGTTCTCCCAAAGATGACATTTCATGGCAAATGTTTCACGAGATGATTGGAAATGCTGAAGAATTTAATAAATCTTTGGGAATTCCTTACAGAATAGTCAGTATCGTCTCAGGTAGGAGCATATCGTCATGAACAGTTTTAACCAGACTTAAGTTATCACGTGTCTATATACCAGACTTAAGTTATCACGTGTCTACTTACCAGTCGACTTTTCTTTAATCAAAGGTGAACTGAATAACGCTGCGGCAATGAAGTATGATTTGGAAGCGTGGTTTCCAGGAAGTGGAGCATTTCGTGAACTCGTATCTTGTTCAAACTGTACAGACTATCAAGCAAGACGACTACAAGTTAGGTTTGGTCAAACAAAGAAAATGCAAGAAAAGGCAAGTACCTTCATTTCAGATTCGATGTATATTAATTTATATTCAGTGTTTTGAAGGTCTTACGTTGCATTAAGTAGCCCCACTAGAAACATTGTACGCTGCTTGGTGTACTTACATTTCTGAAAAACATTTTCTAGGCTGAATTTTGTCACATGTTGAATTGCACAATGTGTGCAATCTCTAGAACAATTTGTGCTATATTGGAAAACTATCAAACGGAAGAAGGAGTTGAATTACCTGAAGTATTGAAACGCTTCATGCCACCAAGTCTGCAATCATTAAAATTTATCAATCCAGCACCAATTGATGAACAAGCTCAGAGTAAGAAACAGAAGAAGAAGGGTAAGACAGATGTAAAACAGCCAATGGAAGAAAAAATGGACGATTTGAAAATATGAAATCATTTTGCATGAATGAAATCGAACTGATTCTATAATATGTGACGCTATAGAATGGTTGTTTTCAAACTGTGTTCTTAGTTGTTCGCCCATGTTTCTTAAGGTTTATCATATATGGTCTGCTCTTGTGATCATTATAGATAAAACGCAGTTTCTTTTAAATAATCTTCGAGTTGGCGTGTTCATACTCGCGTATTAATCATAAATCTGAAAAAAAATTCTCCACTTCGTCAGACTGTTGATGACTTTTCCTTTTTCTTTTGCGCTTTTTTTCACAGTCAAATGTATTTTCTTTAAACCCAGTGACGTCCCAGAATTTAATTTTCAGATCATGAGAGCAACTGGCCAATATATTTTTATCCGGTGATAATCGTATTTTCTCAATGGGATAAGCACCGTGTTCTCCTACGACGCCATTAAACCGATTAGGAAGCACAGTGACTGCCCTAAATTAAAGAAAATATTCATTTTCGGTCTCACGAAAGCTTCGCAACAACTTTATTACCAAATGTGCTGAAAGCTAAAACGTTCCAACAATTTTACATGCAGCTGATTGCGCTAATATGCGAGCGATAGTTTGAACATGAATAACTTGTGTAAATTACTTGTATATGTGAATTTTTCTCTACCTTATTATCCCATCTATTGATCCGGTACAAATGACATTCTCAGTCAATGCAACGCATGAATCAACAGACATTGGATGACCAGGAAAGCGGTCGTTCATATCCGCCCATTTATCCCATGAAAAAATATATAGAACGCCGTTATTTGTACCACACACAACTTTCGTTGAATTCTAAAAAACAATTTGCGGAATATTGGAAATCTTTTCTCATTACGAAACAAATCAAAATGATAACGTGGCTACCTTTATAATTGCAAGGGATAAAAGTTCATTTTCTTGATTTTCAGAACGCGCTACAAGTTCTTTTTTTCTTATATTGAAGATTGATAAAGTTCCATCACCACTGAAAATATATATAAAAATTCGTGCAAGATATCTGTAAAATGTGCCTTTGGTAAAATACGTAGTTGTATAGTTATTGCTACAATAATATCCAAATTTACCATAATGAAATAAGCATTTTATTCTGTGCTCATGCAAGAAAGCGCTATGCAATGCTTCAATTAAAAAAGCTTAAATATTTAAACTACCTTGTTGCTAATAACGTTCTGTTGTTCTTATCACATTGCATATCGGAAATATAGTCTTGATTTTCTGAAAACTCAACTACACTACTTGAAGTTCTTGCGTCCCAGAACTATTAAGAAAGATACTTATGACTCAGATCAATTTTTGAGCTTCCTTTCACAATGGATCCATCATTGTAACTAGTAGTTTCCAAGTACCTTAATTCCCCCATCATCATCTCCACTGGCAATGAAATGTTGATTTATGATTTTCAAACAGTTTATGGGACTCCTGCATTTAGATAAATCATACATGAATAACGTCAATATAATGTAAGCAGGCTCGTTGGACACAAAATGCGATACATGTTTGGTAATATATGACTATGATAAGAGAATTTCCATAATTTCGTAAAAGCACTATTGCTAATGCGCATTTAATATACACGATGACTTTTTAGAATAGACATGTTTCGACATGCTTCGATGAATAGACATATTTCAACATGTTTTGATGGCATGAGATGTCGAAACATGTCTATTCTAAAAAAAGTCATTGTGTATATTAAATGCGGATAAGAGAATTCTTTTAGAAAATGAGCAAGTTGGAAAATTTCTGATGAAGCTGTTCTCAGATAAGTACAAACCAAGTGTAAACCAGTCAACATATGATACAAAGGTTATACCTCATTTCATAGTCTATTTGTAAAGTTCGCCATTTAAACTTGGCCTTAAATAACAAAGAAAGTGTTTCATTTTAATAAAAATTAATATACTGACTCATGAGCCTTTTTTATTGTCCGACAAACTTTCCCAGTGTTCATATCAACAGCTTGAATGGATTTATCTTTCGATGCAGTAATAAGATCTGCAATTAAAGACATTCAAGGTATTTTTCACCACCTTAATGACAAACAAATTAAATGTTGACAAACATGAAGACTATGGTGTACAGATCTATTGATATGATTCAAACTATATTACAATTCAGTGACTTCAATTTGATATTGTGAAACCCTTTGCAGGTAACTACGGAGGGTGTTGACAAAGAAGAAATGCAATTTTATGAGGAAACATGTAGCACCTTCAATAATTATACAACTTACATGAGCCATCAGCTGAAAATTGAACAGCACGACAGGCCTTTTTGTGGTGGCTAAGTTCCATCAAAAGGGTATTTCTTTCTTTGCCAAAGCTATGTCTGATAAAAGATAGAAAAATCTTAGTAACATGCAAACTTGTATGGAAACATCTTTTCCTTCAACACAGTCATTTTATAAATGTTGTAATAATAAAACAGAATTTAAAGATGAAATTTATCACAATAACCATCGACTAAGGACGAAAATAGCCAAAAAAACATAATTACGACAAATATTGGAAAACTAAACTATTATAGTACTAACACATTAACTTCGCCATTTATTTGTCCAGATGCAATAAAATTTCGATTTGGATGAAAACTCAAATCAAAAACTTGACTTGGCAGTTCAATGTCTCTAATATCCTAAGGATAAAATAACAAATTTTTAATCAGTTGATGATATTCAATGGAAAAGAAAGGATCTACCTCACGGCCTGGCATGATTAAACACGAAAGTCAAAATTAGTGTTTTATTGTAAATAATTACAATAACAGTTACATCACTGAAGCAAGTTTGTTCAGCGCAACGGGTTCCTGAACTCTCCATTATTTATTTAATATCGTTGAATCACATTTATTTTGTTCATTTGGTGGAAGAAAATTAGCAAAATCAACCACAAATAATACTTACTAATTGATCTTCCATTGGCAAACTTTTCACCGCTAGAAGGTAAATGTCCTGAAAAGAATGACCGATGACCAAACCATTCAGGAACGTGGTCTCAACCACTTGGCAAACTATGCGAACTATTAACTAATTTTACACGTTTGTTTACGATTCAAAAGATTAGATTTTTGGACATAAGTTTCAAAATGGATCATTGAACGTTTAATGTTTGCTTAATAGACATTTGTGTGTCCAAAGACTTTGTTTTCTTATTATTGTGGACTTGTTGGGACTTGTGATCAATGTGATGGCCAGTGATTTTGACAAATAATGCTTAATAACCGCTGACCGTGGTGCTTAAAGTGATTTGAAAGAATTTTTAAAGATGAAACTATTAGAAGTTAAATTGAAGTATATTCTGCGAATACCATTGTTATTTGCTCTCTTAGCATTTTTTTCTTGTGTAATTTTGTCAATAGTCAACAACTTTGAAGCATCCACAAAAACCCATTGTAATGTAAGTAGCAATTATTTATTTTAATACTAACTTCCCTTGCTTGCTATTGAACATATAAAAACTGTCATTAAGTTTCAGGTGAAGTAGAAATGAGCATCTCAATTAAAAAATAATCACCTATCTATGAGCTGACATAGTTTTCTACTAAACTATACAAGCCTTAATGTTACTTTGACCTTATTGTATTGAATATTATTGACAAACATGATAAATATTTTCAGTTCTCCTGATTTATATTTATCTATAACCTTTTTGATATTCAATCAATGTTTTACAAATGTTAAATCTTGTTTGCAATGTGGTAATCAACTTGTTATGTGTAATTATCAATTATCTATCTAGTCTTCCTAGTTGTTAGTTTAGTAATGTTTGTCAATTTTCTTTTTTGATACGTAGATGCCCAAGTAGTTTCTATGCAAACTTTGACAATGACTATACTATTGAAATTTAGCATCTTTCTATATGTTATAAAAATAAGTCAGCCTTGAAAATTCTGTTCTTTAGAGGTGACTAGTGTTTTTTCAGGCATAAAATGCTGTTTCACTTATGATGTTTAAGCATTCATATATACTTTCAAACTTATTTTTGGAAACAGCCAAAAGCAGATTCTATCAGAAATCTTACAAGTTGTCATGGGGAGACAATTGCCTCTGTTCTCTTCATTGGCTCAGTGTGTAATCTATGACAATAGTGTTTACACATGGAGCTGTCCTTGCTCAAAACTTTCTTAGTGAAGTAGCCAATCTGCAAATTTTGTCAGGCTATGTAAATTTTTCATCATTAGCATTATTGATTTCTTTAGAATTTTATTGTTTTTGCAATGTGTGAGCACCAATAATCATTTAGGCTGGCTAAATATTTATTCTTAGACTTCATTCTGATTTTCTGAGAATTTGCTCAATAATTTTTAACACTTTACAGGTACCAAATTATTTGCCTTCAATCAGTGCATCTATTGGAGATTTTAAACCACAGACTTATATATGGAGGATATGTATTGCCCTTCACTGTTTTCCTCGTATCATGATGTCAATTCTCTATTACAACTACTATACCATCAAGTTTGGTGATAGAACATCAATGAAATTCAAAGTAGCAAATGCATTTAATTCTCTTCTGACAATAATTGAAAATCTTGCTTTATTGATCCTTACTTATGTATCATCATCAGAAAATTTTCGTAAGTTTACTATCATATCATAATTACTGGGCCTATCTCAATTAACTGTAAAAAAGTTTTTATTTTTTGAACAGAAATTCATCGAAATGCATTCATTACATTTATGTTGTCATCTATGAGTTACATGCTTTCAACATCGTTCTTGTACAAGTGGACTTCAAGCACGCCAATGACAAACGATGTAAGAACAGACGTTAAAATTAAATCTAACTTATTTACGACAATAGAAAATTCTAAATTTACTTGGTGGTTTCTAAAGTAGATATTTTGTGTTATTTATGAATTTCTACTATCTCTAATAAATGATAAGTAAAATTTCTCTTTCATTTACAGGAAATACAATCATTAGAAGAAAAATCTATCTTATGATAACAAACTACAGTTCCTTTTCTCTTGCTGTTTATTTTTATTGTCGTCACAATTGGTACTGTGAACCTGGAAGTATCCTTTTATGACAGAAATAATATTTAAGAAAATGATCGATGTTACTTGTTTCTGATCATCAAGCATTTTGAAAAGAGTTAAAACTTGTTTTTTAGACTAAATTTTAGTCTTGGGAATCTAATAATCATTGCTGTACCGAGAACGTTAATTTGATGGGCCAACAATTTACTGAAGGAAGGTAACAATTTCCATGTTTGTACACATGTAGATCGTCCAGGTTAATAGAATCCTGAAAAGGACCGTTGTTGTTGATGTTGAATGACGTTTCGACAACCTTAGTGGTAGTCATCTTCAGAGTCAAAGAGTACCGCTAAGGTTGTCGAAACGTCAGTCAACATCAACAACAACGTCCTTCTCATGACTCTACTAACCTGGACGATCTACATCTACAAACATGTAATGATACTCCCGCGTTCAAACCATTTATTTTAAAACAATTTCCATTCAAAAGAAATCAGTCGGTAGAACTGTATATTATGTGCATAAAATACTCCCCCCACCCCTAATTAGCGTTCTCCGTAATTTGCGTGCTAATTAATGTAAGCCTACTCGCTTTATCAAACTCACGCTTTGGCTTCGCGTGGTTATAAGAAACTTCGACATTTCTTTGAAACATGTCTATTGTTTTTCATTATTTTTTAAGGCATTAAGCCTTGTTTGCTTGTATTGTGTCATTTTTCATTCTCTCTTCTCGGAATATTAAAGCTCTCGACTTACGTATCGAATGACATGCGCGGAACTTTTGGTCTACTTTATGACGTCAATTCCTGATAATTCTTAAAACAACCAAATGCTTAACAAACATTGATGTATCGTTTCAAAATCCTTAACATCTTTGAAAGTTTATAGTTTCTTTTCGCTCTGTGAATATGTCACTGTCGTTACAAACATTTGGTTTCATTCTACTGCGGTGGATGATTTGAAAGGACTTTATTTTATAATCGGACATTTGCGTGCTATTTAATGAAATGAATCGTAAAATTTTGACTTATTTATGTCGAGACTTTTTATCGTGCATAAAAGTAGGATAGCTGTTTATTTAAGTCTCTGCTAATATATTTTTACTGCACTTAATAATTATACGCTTTCTCCTATTAGTTCATTTTCCAGGAATATTTCAAGGACACATTTAAATAATTCTGACGTAGTAAAGTATTTTTCTCACAATAATGTCACTTTAATATTTCAATAAATATTTTCAAGTAATAGTGATTTTCTCCTTAACATGTTTTCAGTTTACACTCTGTTTGCATTCTCTGAATATTGTGGTGTATTGTCAAATATTGCATTTCACCATCAAACTAACTATTTGTTAGGACATTTGTATTCATTAGTTATTGAGGATTATCGTCATTCAGATAGAAGATCATTGTGGCATGTGTGATACCAAATAAGCCTATAAACAGATGGTCATTTTTATAAAAGATAAAAATCCAATAATATGGAAGCGAAGAACTTTGTCAAAATATATCATCCATTCTTCACTAGAGAATAACTGATATGGTGTATATTGAGGTAAAGTGTAGTTGTGGTTAGTGTAGCCGATTGTATTTTGCAGAAATGTGAAGTTTAATTCCTTTATATCGCAAAATTCCACTATTTTTTGCATCACTTTCTTCCTCAAGTTTCGAGTATCTAGGTATCCTTATTCCCAGGCCTGTTTGTACTCATTATTTTTCATTCATTTTTCTTCTTATTCCGTTTCAATCAGTTAAATGGTTACGCAATGGAAAAGTTATCGTTGTCATTCATAACGATTTGGGTTATAATACGATGTGTTAAACACGCCAATAGGGAAGAAACGAAATGTATTACTTACATTGTCATCATCACCCTCTATAACCTACGATCACCTACCACCATCCAATGTCATCAACACTAACCAATCTTCACCCTGGAAGCCTACTGTCAACGAGAGCAATCCATCATCATCTTCAATAATCAACTGTCATCTAATGTCAGCAACAGAAACCGACCGTAGCTTATCGTCACCACATTGGTTTTTTAGTAAACTAACGCACCCACTGAAGCTAAATACATTTTAAATGTTGTATGGTTGTTTTTACATACTGATATGTCCGGTTTGTTTGTTCTTAGGGGCAAAAACGATTTCCTCCAAGGCTTCTATTCTTGGCGACAAAATATGATATATTTACAGCTATGTGGAATGGACTGTCCCTTGTAACAAATAAACACCACCTTTTCTTTTGTATTTTAGTGTTCACATTGTAGGCCGAATTTTTCTTCTTTATATCGATCTACATGCACGTGTATCTCAACTCTTAATTCACATGCCTTTAAAACCTGTGGTCAGAATGCCATTTACCATAGCTAAATTATTTTAAAAGACAAGGAGACAAGAAAAAAAGAAACCAATTCACAATTGTTATATTACTGTGTTAGAGTAAATGACTAAGCATTGCGCGGTGTCCATAAATTGATAGAATTATAATGTTCGTTAAGATGAGGACTCATATATTTTTGGCATGCTCTTTGTCTCTTGAGCTTGTTTTGACAAATGGATATCAAACTCATCAACGCTGTGTTACACCACTCGTAATATCGTGACAATGTTAGAGATGTTTGTAATTTTCTCCATAGCTTTGTATCTGCATATTTTGTGCATAAACAATGCTCTTATATTTATGACAGATATTGTAATTCGTGGACTGAGGTAGAAGAACTACTTATAAATGAAACTTCCAACAGTGAAACAAAATCTAGCGTGCCAGAGGAGAAATAACCACGCTCAGGTTGAAGATAGCTTGATGAAATTGAACGTAGTTCAAGTACCTAGCGTACGCTCGAGAGTTTTGAATGAGGACTCGTTGACCAATAAAAACACGAATGACTCCAAGCATGTTGACGACGATAAAAGCTCTAGCGAAGACGATGCTCCAATACAAAAGCAATTCATTAATAACGCGGAGTCTACTAAAGACATGCTAAAAAAAATATCGATGAATCGCATATACAGTTTGGAAGCTCGTTGGCTCACGTGGTATATAGTAGTGGGAACTGTTCATGATGTTGCTGAAGGTATGTAAAAAGAACTACCTGCGTCTTTCCTTTAGGACGAAGAATCTGATTTCGAAAGTAAAGAGAAAGCAATCACCACAAGAGATTTGCAAGAAGATTCAAAGTGTACTCTACAAACTTTGTATATACAGATGGAGAATTGTGAGAAGAGTACTCTAAAGAATGCTATTCACAAAGGAAAATACAAGGACCAACAGAGAATGTGGCGGATTCTCCGTGAGATTGTAGAAAGATCAGTTCACGTTCATTCACAAGTAGAAAAATAATGTGAACAATTTTCGTTTAACTTAATAAATATATATAAAGACTTATTATTTGTTTTTTTTTCTCTAATTTTTGCCAATAGGGTATGACTCAAGTAAACGCGTTTCGACATTTTTGGTTTTCTATTGTTACATTTTAGGTGTTTTTTTAAAAGTCAACTAACGTCAAGGAAAAAGAGTTTGTCTTTGGATACATTGAAAAGCTCGTTTTGGAGATGTAAGTTCCTTTTCATTGAATTGCAGTGTCATAGAAATTTACCCTTCTCATAATATGTGTTTAATAGCCATGCTTGAAAACTTCCACTGAAAGCTTCCACTTGAAAAATGAAGATCTGAAGTGACGAAGAATTTATAGCTACTGTCTTTCAATATCATGTACTTTATATGGATGTCTATATCCGGAGAGCCTTAACCAATGCTTAGCACAGCAGTTTCTTGGACATCCTTTTATCTCTCGAAATCCATGGCGCACGGTGTAAGCAAATAACATCACTTCAGATAAGCTAGACGATGGAAAAGTTCAAGAGAAATCAAAATAGCTGTTATGATGGGCATGAGTATCCTGATTTGATGCCTATTCCTTTTGGCTACCCTGCGAGAAATTCAAGAGTTCAGAATGAATTTGAGGTGCTGCAAATGCTTGGGAAAAGGAGTGTTTGCTTCAGTTGTCAAGGTAAATTTTTATTACATCGTTTACAACATTTACAACATTGTTTAAATAGACGATAATTTGGTCATGTGAAGGAAATTTTTACGAGATTTGGAAATGCTTTATATACGCTTAGGTATGTAATAAATTGGACGGCTGTCTCTATGCGATCAAAAGAATTCTTTTGAATCCGAAAAGTAGGCTGTTTAATCGCAAAATTACTCAAGAAGCGAAGTTACTTTCCAGATTGAATCATGAAAATATTTTATGGTAAAATGAAATTTACTATATAAAATGAATCAAAATTTTATAACATAATGTTTCAAAGCAAGGTTCAATTTAGACAATGCAAATTGCTAGGCTTATTAAATGTTATCTTTGTAGAAACTATTATAACAAAGTAGATAATCCCTTTTTTCCATGAAGCCCATGGATGCTTTCGTTCATGATGAAAGAGTCATATTGTATAAGGAACGTCTCGTTCTTCACGAGAGAGTTATGAGAAAGTTACATTGTAAAAGGTGACAAGTAAATAACGTATAAACAGGCTAAGAGTTGGTTTAAATTATAAGTCAAAACGGCAGAAGTTGTTTGAACCTTTGCAGTATCCTTGGACGTTCTAGTTTCTTTTATGAGAAGAATTCTTGAAAGAAAAAAGACAAATTTTGAAAACAAAAAATCCCATTTTCGATCCATGTCTCCCGATACCCCGAGATAGTTGAGCACTAGAGTGTCTCGTGTTTTTTAAGGGAACCAGATAATCCTGTTTGCCATGAAGCCCATGGATGGTGTGCTCGTGATCAATGAGAAACAGTAAATGAGAGAGTTAAATCAGAAAAATGTAAACCAATAAAAATTGTAGAAAACATATTTGTTATAAATTATAAGTGTCAGAAGAAGTTAATCGAAACATTGCTTGGTTTATTTCATGAGAAGAAATGATAACTTCTAACGCTCTTATTTTTATGAGAGATAATATAAAGCGTAACAGAATTGTACAAAAGAAAAAGTTTATTTGTATAGTTTTTTTCGACATGTGTTACCGACCTTTAGGTATATCAATGGAGATAGCAAAAGTTCTTGGAAATCTTTGAACCCATAGAAATATAGTTTATTTTTATTATTGATTTCTTGCAAAGTCATCAAAATAAGGAAAGCAGAAAAAATATACAATTTTGCTAATGTCTTATATCAAATTTTCATATAGTGATTATCGTTGACTCGTATTTTGTCCAAAAATGGGTGAGATTGACACTGTTTAATAGTGTGTATCAGAAAAATGTGAATCCAACTTTTTTTGACGACAGCATACTTTAGTGAAGCATATCATTTTTACATGGTGATAAAGAATAAGTATTAGGCTTCTGTTTATGCCCCGTTCCCGACGATTCTATCAAAATTAACCAAGTAATCTTCCTTTCAAATTTGTAGCTTGTAATAAGACTTTTCTGTTGATGGGAATTTGAAGTGAGATGTCAATTAAAGACAAAAGACAATGCGAATTTAGCATTTAAGAAGTCATTTTTTAATAAAATTTACATAATCTTGTTACAATTTAGGCTTGTTCCATTCCGATCAAATTTACGCACGGTGTACCGGTCTGCCAGAATTCGCAACGTTTACTTTCAAAATTTTATGAATATAAAAATGTTATCTTTTGAAATTTTTAACATGAGGACTGACTAAATGAAAATCTAGCTTCAATTCATACCCCGACTAATCGTTCCAGTTGTGTTGTAGAGACTTTAGTTCAATTAGAAATGACGTGTATGTGTGATGTGATGATGGCTGGCAGGTTTCAAACTCGATTTAATAAAATTTTATGGTGTGCGAATTGTTTTGTGGATAATGATTGAAGCTATTCGAGATGTTAAGAAAAATAAAATGTGTGCATAAATGGGTACAACAGATTCATTGCCTACACGAAGTTCATGGCAATGTGTTCGTTGTACTTTTATGAACAATCTTACAACAAGTTCTCAATGCCAGATGTGTGGAATTGATCGAGAGACTAAATTTTGGATATGTTTGAAGTGTGGGTCAAATAATCCACAATATATTGTATTATGTAATTTTTGTGGTGCGGAACAAAACGCTTTTTCTGTTAAAAGCAAAAGTTGGACTTGCACAAAATGTACATTTATCAACACTTCAGATTCTTTGTGCTGTAGAGTTTGTAAACATGGCAGAAGTTCAAATGATGCAGCTTTTGCCTTACCTAGGGGCATAGTTAATGTTGAAGTTGACTCAAATCTTGTGAGAGAATACAAACAGGATGTATTAAAGTGTCAAAAATGTCAAACATTATTATTTGACAATCCAGGTTTGCATTGTCTGGTGTGTAAAACCCCTTGCTTTTATGAAGGATTTAAACCAAGACCTTTTCCTCAGTCATCTCTGCCAAGAGAAAACAAAGTTATATCTAGTTTGTCTGATATATGGCAATGCCAAAGATGTACATCATTAAATGGTCCAGAAAACAATGAATGTTATGTCTGTAAAAAATCCAAACACTGCGAACCTGAGGATATGTTTGCCAAGTTTGGTAAGTAGGTTTTTATTTAATGAATATTACCTTAATCAATCCAATTTTTGATGATTGTATATCCCCCTAAATTAGCTGGATTTATCCTTCTTTCACAACAATCACTTCAACCACAGTTTTCCATCATACTTGTTTTTTACATCATTATTTTCTCACCCAAATGATGTAGGTAGGAACTTGAGGGTGTTCAAAATTGTAGTAAAAAGGCCGTAAGTAGTCCTATTTTGATGGCACCAGAGGAAGCCAAAGTTTAAGACAAAGCAGGAACTCCTATCATGAAATTTTAGTAAAAATCTAAAGATAAATGGTCAAATGCTAGAAAAAAATACAGCAAAAATGCAATGTTATTTTAGATGCAAAATTAAAAACATCCTCACAACTGGAGTATTTTATATATGACAGACAGAATTACCATTTATATTATTCACAACTCAATAGTTCTATATTGACGTAGATTCTGAGACAAAGCGCTTCCTTTCCCACAACTTAAAGTCTAACTCAAGCTTTTCAATTTTTAATATTTGTTTTTAGGGGGGGGTTGTTAATCTAAAATCCAGCTTCGTCATCATTCATCATTGACGTCTGAGGGTTAAGAGAAAATTCTCATTATTGTTTTGATGTTTCATTAATTTTGGGCATGGAAAATTTTCACTGAAGCTAAAGATTGTTTTAACTGAATCTGGAATTTTTTAGCCAGAGCCAGAGGCAAAAGTGAAATACTTGCCAGGAGTTTGTACAGCTCTTATTGATCTCATGCTACACTTACACATCTTTCCCATCCTTTTTGTTGACTTTCTCACACAACTTTTCCTCAGCTGTTTGAGCAGACTGGATTGACTGCTATATTTTGAGCATTTTACTGGAACACTTATTTTCTGCGGTGATCATGCCCTCGATCACCCCCAACTTCGGTTTTTAGACGCTAATGGACCTATAAAGCTATTGCCTCTCTCTCGTTTTACGAAATGGGATGGTAAATTACCTCAAGAAGGCAGGACGCTACTCTCTAAAACTCTTAACTGAAGAGTTCTTTATCTAAACAGAGTTTCTTGCCTAACGGACTCCTCAATGGATATTACGACATATTTCACGCTGATAATGATTACCATTATAGCCACCTAATAAAAAGTAGAACGAAAATAAAATTTTTACGAACTATTCAGGTTGAATGACAGATTTTTTCATTGCACTAAGAATTTTGGGTAGAGTGAAAAAAAAATACTTTTGAACTATTAAACACCTAACTGCTGCTTGAAACTCATAATACGCTGATGTTTTAAAACCAAATATCTGTGGCATAGGAGATGCATTTTACAGCATTTACGTATTTTGTTACGATACTTTCGTAGAAGTACTATCGCTAATGAGCATTTAATGTAGACCACAATTTTTTTAAAAATAGACATGTTTCGACATCTCATGATGCCATCTTCAGTATAAGTAAATAATTACATAAATGATACAAGGTTTATGTAAAAGTAATTTGATAAATATGATACATATTACTTTTATATAAACCTTGTATTATTTATGTAATTATACTGAAGATGGAAAAAATTTTAAAAATGATCTTTGTAAATACGTATTTTGTATTGAGTTTTTTTTTTTATCAAAGTCTTGTTTCCTCATTTAGATGGTTCATGGATATGTTCATTATGTACTTTGAGAAACAGTAATGCAGTTAAATTTTGTAACGCATGCGATTCCAGTAAAGATAGTTTTATGTTGACAACAAATGCCAGCGGACTTAGTCCTTCAAGTTCACAAAGTCATATAAAGTATGAAACTATTGATGTTGAAACAAAAAGGATTCACGATGAAGACAAAGCCAAAGAACAGTGGAAAAATATTGTAGATATTTGCTCACAGGTAATTGAATCAACATGCCATTTTATTGGTTTTTGTAAATAAATTTTACCAAGTTAATTTATGCCACCGAGAGTAACGAATTTACATCATTGTTATTGCAGCATAACATGTCATTTGTGGATGATTCATTTCCTCCTGACCCTAGTTCATTGTACATAAAACCAAGAGAATCAACCAATCCTCGTGTATCTCAATGGTTAAGACCCCATCAATTGACATCTCAGTCATCATTACCTTGGAAAGTTTTTCGTGAACCAAGTCCATCGGACATATTACAAGGGGTGTTGGGGGATTGTTGGTATGTATATGTACACCAGTAATGAACATGGATCCTTTTGTAGTTGCTTAGTTGCCACAAATGATTGATAATGAAATGTTTGATTTTAGTTGTTTGCATTTTGCAAAATATATTCAGTCTTGCATGAGTCAAGGAATTTGTTCCATGTTTTCCTGATGTCTTCAATTTGACTATGTACTTATTACATAGCAAAATTTTCATAGCACGGGGATTGGTCTACATTCTTTTTTGTGTTCGAATTTTGCATGGATGTGTTTGTAGTTTCTGAAGCCTATTACTCTAAATTTTAGGCTTTTGAGTGCCTTGGCTGTTCTTACTGAACGTCCGAATCTTATACAAAAAATCATCATAACAAGAGAGGTATTACTTACTTAATGAAGAATATTAGTACAATAATATACGATAGCTAAATGTCCGTATTTTTCTTGTCACAATTTCTATTGTACACAAAAAATCATCTTTGGTGTCCAATTTTTGACGACATTATTGGTTGGAATATCTTCAGAATTTTGCATTACGTGTCTTAAAAGTTTGTATTGTATTTACAAAGTTTGTGTTCTATTCCAAAGTTTGTGTTCTATTCCAAATTTTGTGTTCTATTCCAAAGTTTATGTTCTATTCCAAAGTTTGTGTTTTATTCCAAAGTTTGTGTTGTATTTACAAAGTTTGTGTAGTATTCCAAAGTTTGTATTTCACACGAAGTCTGTTGTGATTTGAATACTCTCGATATCTTTAAAAAATTTAATATGATTAATTTTTTTATGCATGCCTTTCAAATTAAAAAAAATTGCGACATTAGAGGTCTGCTACTACATCAAGATAATTTTCAAGGTTGCATCTTGACATTGTGATTTTATGACATTGTTAAATTTCTTGTAGGTATTATTCAATATTTATGGCGGTTGTATAATAAATGTATAATAAACTCGTTTCACCGTAGTTACTTTCAACACATTTTAATTTTTGTAAAAATTCTATTATTATTGTTTACAAAAGCTCTGTGCTGAAGGAGCTTATCAAATCAGGTTATGCAAGGATGGAAGATGGACTGTTGTATTAGTAGATGATCTTCTTCCTTGTAACAAATATGGAATTCCTGTTTATTCACAGGTACAATTATATGGCTTTTTTTCCATCTCAATTCTAATGATATATATGTTATCACATCACCAATTTTTGTTTTGCGAAGAATCGTAGTTACAGTTTAAAAGTTACTATATTTATTTTATTATCTCTGACTCTAGGCTGCAAGACAGCAATTGTGGGTACCTTTAATTGAAAAGGCAATGGCAAAACTTCATGGATGTTATGAAGCATTGGTTGCGGGAAGATCTATTGAGGGTTTATGTATTTTAACTGGTGCTCCTTGTGACACCATACGACTACAAGGTACATTTTTAGTTACTGGTGTTCCTTGTGACACCATACGACTGCAAGGTACATTTTTAGTTACTGGTGCTCCTTGTGACACCATACGACTACAAGGTACATTTTTATTAACTGGTGTTACCTGTGACACCATACGATTGCAAGGTACATTTTTATTAACTGATTTTCTCTGTGACACCATACGACTACAAGGTACATTTTTAGTTACTGGTGCTCCTTGTGACACCATACGACTACAAGGTACATTTTTAGTTACTGGTGCTCCTTGTGACACCATACGACTACAAGGTACATTTTTAGTTACTGGTGCTCCTTGTGACACCATACGACTACAAGGTACATTTTTAGTTACTGGTGCTCCTTGTGATACCATACGGCTACAAGGTACATTTTTAGTTACTGGTGCTCCTTGTGACACCATACGATTGCAAGGTACATTTTTATTAACTGGTGTTACCTCTGACACCATACGATTGCAAAGTACATTGTTAGTTACTGGTGCTCCTTGTGACACCATACGGCTACAAGATACATTTTTAGCTACTGGTGTTCTTTGTGACACCACACGATTGCAAGGTACATTGAAGTTAACTATAAAATGTCTGTATAATTCTTAAAATGTTATTTCCTAAATTACTACAGGTATGGGCTCAAATAACGAAGTCATCGATAAAGATTTGGTTTGGGCAAAATTACTTAGCAGCAGAAATGCGGGGTGAGTTGAAATTGATGTAATGGTGTAGCCAACCTGCAAGTTTCCTCTATTGTTTTTACAGCGAATGAACCATGAAATATTTACATAGCATAAAAAATCTTGCATGCTTACTTGCTTCTCGATAATCCTTTCCTATTATCCTGTACTCAAATAATAACTGCCCACGTCTTAAAATATTACTTATTAAATTTTATTATTAACTTTATTTGTTCATCATTTTTTTTACTCAGGTATTTGATGGGAGCTTCTTGTGGAGGTAATGCTCAAGATATTGATGAGGGTATTTATGCTAGTGTTGGTCTCCAATCACGCCATGCATATTCAATACTTGATATAAGAAATGCTCAAGGAAACAAGTACGCAAGTTTATCATTTTTATATATTTTAATTATAATTATATCTTAGTTTAACATCATTTAAATTTCCTATTAGTTTTAGTCCTATTTTAAACATAAGTACCTTTGTTTATCTTGTACTTTGCATTCCCAACAAAGTCATCGTGATTTTTTAAGACTTCTTCGACTCCGCAATCCGTGGGGAAGATTTTCGTGGAGAGGAAATTGGTCAGATACATCGCCATTATGGACAGCAGAACTGAGAAAGGAATTGCTTCCACATGGTTGTGACGAAGGATTATTTTGGATTTCATTTGAAGATATGATGCTGTATGTTGACTGTATGTTTTGCCTTTGTTCACATGCATCGTAGTGAAACTTTTACGAAACTAGGACATGCAGTGGCGTCGCCAGCTCAGGGAACAATATTCATATATGCATGTTTTGATCCCTAAGAAACAATTAATTTCAAAGGAACTTAATACGCATAAACATTATTATTTGAATAAAATTCCCCTCACTTATCGAGCTGGCAATGCCCCTGAGGACATGCAAAACTTTTTATAATCTAGATATTTTGATTGTGTTGATGTGTGCAAGATGCGAGAAGACTGGACCGAAACAAGAATCGATGGTGTTTTCCCGTCTTATGCTTTGGGTCCAATTGAGGTGATTTCTGTAGCTGCGTTTTCAACAACTGAAATAGATCTCTGTGTTTACCAAAGTACATCCAGGTGAGTCCAATATTTTACATAAATGTCTCTGAATATTTATGTAAAAATAGATTTAACCGTCAGAAAAATATAAAAAATGTTTAAAACTTGCTGAAATACTTTTTGATTATGTCTTTTTTAACAGAGGATCTCCATGCAAGCATTGTTGTTTGATCTTTGTATATTTCTGTATCGTTCAATGCCTAACACAAGTCCTCCACAATTGATTTCAATTATTGGTCATAGTAAACGCAGCGTGAAAGGAAGTGTTTCTTTCAGTGTATTAGTTGAAGAAGGAACGTACATTGCCGGTGTGTCTTTATTGAATTTCTTTTTATATTTATGATAGGTTCAATTTATAGGCCCTTTAGTTGGCTAATTCCTAAAGTTTTTTGATGTTTGCGATTTTCTCCCTAGTTGTAACATCATTTAATTATTGGCTTTCTTATGGAATGGAACAAATGTCTTCCTCAGCATATGTCTTAGCTGTTCACAGCTCAAGATCTGTTATGATAGAAAAAATGGCTGCAAAAGAATTCTTTTTAGCCGATGCCATAATATTAATGACCATTAAGAAAGGGAAGACACATACGGTAAGAAAAAGATCATAAACGATTTTTTTATTGTTTCAAATATAATTTTTTTCCACGTAAAACAGTTTACAAAGATTGTCATTTTTAAGGGCATTCCTGGTATAACTATTTATTATTTAAGTCATGAAATGGCTGGACTGTTTGTTGTTGCCGAAAACAAACGGCAAGATATGCATTTGTTGGTCAACTGTGATTGTGAAGGAAGCTTTAATGTTATTTCAACAAGAAGTTTACTTTGTACTACAGATGTTTTGCCTCCTTGTCACAGGTAAAAACAATAGTTTTTATTGCTTACTTCAATGACTATAACAACCTCGTGAAATAACCTTATTTTTTATCATCTCCTTTGTGATCATGTTTACCCCTATAAATCCATATTTAGTGGTTAATCAACGTTTGCATATAACGTCTTTCATACAAACTCACACAAATATGTTCTTTAAAACAATTATCGTTTGTGACAAGTTGCATCATGTAACTCTCTCACATGTTGCACATGTAAAATGTTATTACAATTTTTTTTATATGTTCGTGTTGCAGACAAGTAATTGTTGTTTTGACACAACTTGAAGGAAACGATGGATTTTCAGTGTCCCATCGACTGAACTTTCGAACAATGACGTGTAATGGCAATGGAGAATATGGTGCTCAACACATGCCTGAACTGGGACAGAATCTTATTGGTTTACATTCTCCGAGGCCAATCATCTATCCATTATAAATATCATTTTAAAACATCACACAGCATAAGTGAGCATTGTTGGATCGGCATTTTCTCGTTCATTTTCAAACATTCTTAAATATTCCTCAAATACACAACCGTCTGAGAGCTACTGGATAGTATTGAGAAAATAAATTTGTGTTCAATTTACTCTTTCATTTTATAGCTAGGTGCTATAGTTGTTAGTTTGCTAGATTCTTTGTCAATGTATATTTTTGCTCCATTTACAGTCCATGAATAGTTTTTATATCTGTAGTTGGTAGCACTATTTTCTCCAATTCAAGACTGTCATATAAAATAAATAGTTCTTTGTTGTTTTACATTGTTATGAATTCTCAAATTTTAGAGAGTGGTCTTATAATTTTCTATGCATAACCATAGAAATGTTTATTCGTGACTTCATCAAATGAATATTTTCAACATGTAGCTACATCAACAAAATTTCTCAGTTAAAGTTTTACGCTGTCTTGTTACCCTGTAGTGATTCTAATTAAACACCACTTTTGATGGGGGTTTAACGTAACATTTGTTTTAACATGTAGTGTGGGATTTTGCTTGTTCTTGCATGTTTTGTAATCTATGATTGTAATGTTATTGATGTGTGGTTATTGATTTACATTTTTTACTCAAGATGTTGTTATTGATTTACATGTTTTACTCAAAATTGAGTGGAGACGTCGTATTTTTAAGTCATTGTAATTATTCATTGCCTTAAATGTTCTATATATTTTATTGAGTCCATTAGTGTTTATTTGCTTTCTAACTCATTGTTTGAATATTGTATGACTAGAGATTTTGTGGGACAATTTATGTTGTGAGATAGTGTAGATCAAATATTGACTTCTCTTGGTTATCGCTGAAAGCTTGAAAGCCATTAGTCTTGCTCACCAAGCAACTAAGCTTCGTTACTATGACATCAGACTCATGAACTTATTCTCGAACCAGACATCGTATGCGGGATATTGAATTTAAAATGTCCGTAGCTATTTATTTAAAAATGATGTTTGATTGCGTAGGTAACTCCATGTATAATAATATCATGAAGTACACTGTAACTATCCTAAACAGCTGTTCTCTCTCAAATATGTAGCTATACCTAAATTTTTGAGCAAAACGATCAGTGTATTTCTGTATATCTTTGTTTTGCACAATTTTCTTCGTTAAAAAATGTTTATCTTAGCTTTGTCAACGGTTTCAGTACATAATGTGGTAAAGCTATGGTGTGCCCACGGTTTGTAAAAAAGTGTTAGAAAATCGTATGTATTAAAATAAATTTATGGATGCCAGTAGCAAACCACAAACTAGCTTAGTTGATAACGCGCGTGGCTTTCAGACATCAGCAAGTTTAGAATTAGTCTTTTGAGCAAATGTGTTTTTTTTCAGAAAGTTTGTCCATGCATTAGTAACCAGTCCAGGCTTGCATTTGTATTTTATTATTTTGCAGTAGCCAGTGATTTCTGTATTATAAAAGTGTGTAAATATCCAAATCATCAAAGGGTTGTGAAGCCGTGGGTGTTTATGTGTCTGGACAGCCACAATTTTAGAGTGCGAGCGTACCTTATAGGAAAGTCAACCACATATTTGACTTCTCACTTAAATTTTGATGAAGTCAATGATGAAGTCAAACAAACCCGATAAAAAAAGTTCGTTCATTGGTTTAACCTTCGTGAGTTATATCATACACCCACAACTTTTAAATGCTTTCAAAGCCCATGAAAATTATGTATAATTATCTTAAGTTGTGCAAAGCTGTCTTGTTTGGCATAACCTTTACAGCCTTCATTAAACACTAACTGAGCAGTAGCGTAATTTAGCCAATTAAGTACTTTATTCTTTATTTAATGAGGTGCATTTTTAACGTTTTGATTGCAAAACAGAATAGAGATTTGTAGCAAATGATTAAATTTGTACTTCTAAACATAAATAAACTTTTACTTTTTGGAGTGTTTGTAGCTATAGGTTTTGATTTTCTGAAGAAATGATACAAAAGGGAAGTTTAAATATAGTTCGCACATTGATGTTAATCTGAAGTAGAGAAACAAAAAATTTCCGGCATTAAAATATCCATGTTTTATTATGTGTTGCAAATTAATGTAAAGAATGGTACAAAGTCTACAAAGTGATAATTTACGTCTGGAAAGGATTTCAAAAACTTGTATGAATAAAACGTAGATGCACCTAAAGTGACACGTAGTTTAAACGTAATAACTCTCACTTTTTTCTTCTGTTTGATTCATAAAAATTTAGTAAAAACACTCGTCATCGTAAAATTTTACTTCACAATTTCTTTTTAGTTCACAAATTCTGTCACAACAAGAAATGAAATCATTTCATCATACAATGTAGGAATTGAATACCCCAACAAGAAAATAATAAACAATATTTTAGTATTTATACATAAGGTTTTTGTAAAATCACTAAAGTCACTTAAAATCGGAAATTGAAGACTGATGTCAACATGCCAAAACATGTATCAATGAAAAAATCGTTGTGGCTTTTACCTTTGATCAAATTTAGTAATAAATCATCGTATGTTTACGTAGTTTCTATGTTGTTTTTCTAAAGCGAACCTGAACATGTTTACTCTGTGCTTTGGGAGACATTATTTAAGCAACATTCTTGCGGCACTTTCACCACTTATTTAATGTAAAGCAGTGCAGAGATTTGAGTTCAACATTCAAAAATTTCAGTTTGGAGTTTTTTAGCGAAGGTAAGAGATAAAATTATTCAACAATATTCAACGTAGCTATCTGTCATAAATGACACAAAGACAAGAAATTATTTTGTACGTTGGTTATGTAAAATGTACACGAAAGAGAATTAAATAGTTTATATAACTTTAGCACGAGTTTATTATAAATTATAATTATAAAGCATTGCACGGATATTACTTCAACCAAAAAAATCAAAATTCTACGGTGTAAAACTTTTTTTCATGTTTAGCTTGCGTTGCGTTTTCATCTGGTTCAAAGACAAAATGATCTTGACATTTCTCTTATTGTTGATTGCATACCACTCAGGTAATTGTGCATTTTAATTTGTCGTTGATGATTTAGATATATTTAGAAGTAAAATAAGAGTCTTTGATAATGATTCTTGTTTGGATCATAAAAAATTACCTCTTTATTGCTTTCATTACAATACATTTTTCGTTTGGTTTAGCGATTGGAGAAGTTTATGAAAAACGGTAAGGATTTAAGGCGTGTAGTTACAATATAAGCTTTGTCTACATGACAATACTGGCTACGTATCTGTTTGCTTTGTCTAAGTGTCAAAAACGCTGTTGTGCAAATGAAGAACAATTCTTGCTTCATTTTTTAAGCTACTTCTTGTACATTTAATTGATTAGTTCCATTTTTGATACTAAAGGTTCCTGAGTTGAATTTCAACGAAGTAGAATTCCAAAAATACTTTGGTACAACAAAAAACAACGGTATAAATTTTTCTTGCATTTTCCGTCAGTCTGTTTGCTTGCTTGTTCAAAAGTAGATTATTTATTCAAGATGCTTTGTAATGTGAGGACAAAGCTCTAAATATCACTGTAGAGCAAGAAATTGTATGAAAACTGTAAAAACTGTGAAAATTTTCCAAACAAATATTCATAACCTTTTTTGTAAAAGAAAATAACTTTAAGAGAATTATTTAAAAGAAAATTTATCATACGTAAACTAAATTTTATAGTTATTTTATTTATAACAAAAAATAAGTGACAGTAAAAGTAATTCACTTTTATTCTGTATAGTTTTAGATTACGGTGTTGCATTTCTCCCATCAATAAACAACAATGGCGCAAATAAACATCGTGTTCGAATGAAAAGAGACTTAAAAACAAAAACTCAACTGTTTTATAATATTTCCATATTTGGGATCGATTTTCATTTCAAATTGACATTAAATAAGCATTTGGTTGCACCGAACTTCCATGTAGTGACGAAACACGGTAATGGTACAACAACGAAGTCTTTCCCTGGATATGCGCATGCGCATTTTTACCATGGACACTCTATCTCACATCCAGGATCCAAAGTTGCGTTAAGTGATAACGGGAGACTAGTAAGTAATTTTATTTTTTAGAGCATTGATTTTATTGTTTGCTTTGTTTTTACTAGTGCCTCAATTCGCAAAGAGATGTACTTTTTAAACTTTTACCTATAACTACTACATACCTTAAAACACCACAGGACAACTAACTATTTGATAATTATTTTCCCTTTTAGAAAGGAATAATATCATTACCTGAAGATCATATGTTCGAGATCCATCCTCTTCCGGAGAGACTAGCAAAACAATACGAGACTGCAAGAAACAATATTCCTCATTTAGTTATGAAAAAGTCAATATCAGATAATCAGTCATATTTTGATGATAGTATCAATGGTAATCCTTTACTCTATATTTTCTGACTTTTGAAAAAACTTAATGGAATAAACAATAGATTGAATATGATTAATCTAATCAATACAACCCATCTGACCGGAATGGTGGACATTAAGCCATAATTCTTCTTGTTTAAGCTAAGATGGGACACTTGCTAAAGAAACGTGATGAATCTGATGAAAGAAAAAGCAAATTCTTGGAAGTCCTTTACGTGGTGGATCGATATGCTATAGAATCATTTCGACTCATAAATTGGTCGGAATTGTTGCTTTCTGTTGGAAATGTTGTAAATACTAATTTTTTATTTTTCTTATGTCCATTTTCATACATTAACATTCACTCTCACATCTTTAGTTATTAATTATTTATATTGTTATTGAATAGGTTTCACGTTTGTTGTATGATGCTACTAATGGTCGTCTTCATTACGTTATTCGAAAAATCTATCTTCTCAACGATAAACAGTCTGTAAATATGACTAAATAGTTTTGATCATTGAAGTTTTACTTGTCTCCACATTTTTCAAAAACTGTGCCCATAGTAGAATGATATGTTGTAAAGGATGTTTACGTTAGATTGGATTAAATTAGGTTTCATAAATTTTCCTCAATCATGATTAATATGGTTTTTTGTTGATTTCACTTTTTTATTTCAGCTACCTTATGCGAAAAGAGCTAACAGATATCGTAAACTAGATCATATTACAGCTTGGGCTCGAGTGAATAATAAAAAAAATGCCAATAATCCTACATTTGCTGATGAAACTATTCTTTTTACAACGTAAGAATTTCATGATAATTTGCAGATAGTCAATGAATATCTTTCTAATGCGTATTCTTATCTTCTGTGGTTTCTTCTATTTAGACACAGTAAAGGAGGTTTGTCAATTGCCACAATTTTCTATTTTTTAAAAAAATAATACAGAAAAAAAGCTTTTTGTAATTTGACATCACATGCAATTACAGGAGTGGCTTCTCTTCGCACCTTATGCAGAACTATCAGTTCGAGTGCTGTTGTGTCTTTTACTGGTTTGAGCACCTCATTCATTCTTGCTCATGAAACTGGACACAAGTACGTTCATACTTTTAGATGCGGGTTGTATAAAAATTAACACACCTCGCTATGGCTCGTTGGCAACATAAAACATACACCGGGCTTATATTCATGTATAGTCTTCAACAAATTATTACATTGTTACATTACTTTTACTTTACCATTGTGTTAAACGATGTTTATATACAAACATCAATGTTTTTGGAGATGAATTTTTGTCTGATGGATAACTAGTTGTCTCTTTCTAGATTTCAGAGGGGAAATCCAGTGAAATGTTGGTTTTATGTTTTGTAGCTTTGGCTATGTTCATGATGGACGACCTCCTAATACTCGCTGTCCTATTAACGCTGCAATTATGTCTCCAATTGTACCTGGTGGAAATGCTGGGTTTTTGTGGTCGAGTTGTTCAAAAAAATACTTTAATACTTTTTTAAAGTAGGTTATTTGAAGTACTCGAGTATGTTTTTTTTATAAAACTGTGTTATTAATAACTGATTTTTATTACAGATCTTTTCACTCTCGTTGTCTCAATAATGTTCCCACAAACAACGGACAAAGAAAACATCTTTCACTTGGTGATAAACTACCCGGACAAGTTTACCACGCTGACAAACAATGCGAAATGATATTTGGAGCTGGATACAGACAATGTCCTTTTGCAGTGGTTTGTACAATCTATTTTCAGTAGATTTTGTTCGAAGGCCGTATTGTTCTTAATTCGTAAGATGTTACACCTTTGGTTTCGATAAAATCTTTTCTAGTTTGTCATATGCTATGAATGGATGATTAATTCTTGTTTAGCACGTCTGCTCCTCTTTGTACTGCACTAAAACTGGGTCGAAGTGCTTTTACCTGATTTTGCCTTCCGCTGACGGGACAAGATGCGGTAAAAGACATGTAAGACAATACGAAATTATTTTCTTTTAGTTGTTGATGAAAACTATCACCATAATCCCTGAAAACATGTTTTATTTATTATTTACTTAATTTCTTACTTTTGGGAAAAAATATTTTTATTTTTATTCAAGTGGTGTATTCGCGGTGAATGTGTTGACGATGGCTCTTCTAAGATTCATGGTCACTGGAGCGAATGGTCAAAATACACGGAATGTTCAAGATCATGTGGTCCTGGTATTCGATATAGAAAAAGACAATGTAATAGTCCTAGGTAATGAAGGTGAAATTGATAATTATAAGAAAGAAATTCTTTCAAATTTCCCTGGAAGTGTTTCATGGAAATCATATAGCTTATATTCTGTCTTGTATGTTGAAGTCAAACTTATGTCATCTTCCTAGTCCAAAAAATGGCGGGAAAAATTGTCTCGGATCAAATGTTGGATATTCTAAAGTCTGTAATTTGAAAGTAAGTGTGAAAAAATATTTTTATCTTCATTAGCTCTAAGCGCGTTGACTCGAAAGACAGAGCGGTGAATTAGTGTCTCAAAAGTGCAAGCTAATTATATCTTGTAAAATTGATATTGTTATCACTTGTAGAAAATAAATCTATGCTATATCCATTGTCGTATTAAAATAAAGCTACTCAAGCCGCTATATTTACGTGATCCATAAGATCAGATATATATATGTAATGAACTAACAAAGTACATATAAAAACACATTTGCACAATGTGGTTTTTTCAACCTGATTTGTAATTTCAGTTTAAATTTTTTCACCATATACTATATTTAGGATTGTCCTAAAGGCAATTCGTACAGAGATAGTCAATGTAAATCTGCAGGATATCCTCGAGCTTTTTATTATAAACCTAGAGGTAACTATTGATGCTGTTAAAGTTGTATACTTTTTTTATAGATGGATCACGTTGGGCTTACACTAAAAAAAAAGCGAAATTTGAATTTTTTTGTATTTCTGTTCACATTTTATAGGCTGTACTAGGTTCATTTGATCGAAATTCTATTTAGATTTTGTTTTCACGATTACTCCCTATAATTATTAATTACGATTATTGAAATACTACTGAAGTGTCTGATTCTTTAAAGCGTGTTTGTTATATTGTGTGCGAAACCGGAGATTTTACGGAATAAGAAATGTGGAAGATGGAACCCCTTGTGCAAAAAATGATCCAAACAATCATGTTTGTATTAAGGGAAAATGTCAGGTATATATTGTTTCATGATGTATGAGCTTCTTTCTTATTATATAAGTACCTATTTACTATTTAGACAAAGACTTCAAACAGGTTTTACTTTTATCATTCTAAGATTTGAAACTGAAATATTCAGCTCAAACAGTCCGAATCCTTAACAAAGTATATAAAGCATATTCACTGCTTGTATAGTAAAGTCTTAATCAGTATGAAGGCCCATATGATCATTTTTGTAAACATTTGATTGGGCATGATCTGTATAAATGTAGCTTACACCAACCAAAAAAAGTCATTAAAAACATATATTGTGATGAGCAGCATTTATATAAGAACCTAAGTAGACTAAATTGAAAAATCTTGTTTCTTATACGTGGGGTTTTACTGTACACGCCGCTCCTTTTATGTAATAAACAGATCATCATGTAAAACACGAGGTTTTGTTTTGTGCAAATCTCCAATATATGCAAGTAACTCTTCCAACGTGTATACACAACTAGACAATAAATCTCATACATGTCATGTTTTACATAACTTTGTGTGTTTGCTTGTTTCTTGACATTTATTTTTCTCACTAGAAGTTAACATAATTTTTTTTAATCAAGTCTGTTGGATGTGATCTGGTTGTACATTCTGATAAAGAAAATGACCGCTGTGGTATGTGTGATGGAAGTGGTAGTTCTTGCCGAAAACAAACTATCCACTTCATTAAAAAAGTTGGTCAACCACAAGGCTGGGGTAAGATCAGTGCAGTTATGCAGTACACTATAATTCCTACAACTTGATAAGTTAATCACCCTAAGAAACTGCTTGTTCAGTGATCAAAGATCCTTTTATAGTGAAAATGACGGTTATCAAAAAGGGTGCCACACATATTTTTGCACACGAAACTATTGGCACTTATTGGAGCCGCATTGGTTAGTGAGACTTTTTAAATACTTTTGTACGCGTTGTCACAATCTCAAAGAAAAAATTAGAACATGCTTAAATCGAGATAAGTAGATGATCAGAAATTTTCCTGCTCTTAATTATCTTAATTGATCATAAATATTTCAAATGGGATCGAAAATAGTTCTCTGAATATTAATAATCAAAAAGTGTTCTTAAAATTTTATACAGGAGTGCGCAACATGAAAGGTACTGCGTTAATTCCGTCAAGAATGAGAAATGTTCGTGTGAAAACGGCTGGAACATACATAACTTATTTTCGAAGAGGAGAAAAAGATGAACTACGAGTTCTTGGACCAACAACGGAAGACATCGAACTTGTGGTTAGTATCGTGAGAAATTGAGAAATGAAAAGTGGAAGTTCAACTGCTCAATAAGTTGTTTGATTATAACGTAGCTAACTTTAGTTCAATTTGTTGGTCAGTGGTTTTGAATTTTAATTATTTTAAATCAAAGTAGATTTGCGAAAAAGCATATTACATGAATTTTATACCATGGAAAGCAGACAAGGATTTACGAGGACACATAACTCGTATGGATTTTTTTTTAGTTCTTTACTAGTATATGGGACAAAGTCAGAAATTTACGAGTACACATAACCTTTATGGAGCATATTGAAAATATTCTCAAACCATCAAACGATTCGTTCAAATGGACAGTATCTCAATGGTCAGGTTGCTCTCAACCTTGTGGAGGAGGTTTGTTGCATAGAATATTTTTTTAAAGTATTTTTTATAAAAGGAGTCAGTAGATGGAAATTTTTAAATTGTTCATTCAGGCATCATGAAGAGAAGAGTGAAATGTCGACGTAAAGATGATAATACTCGTGCTGGTGATAAATTTTGTGATACGAAAACAAAACCCAATGCCACACAAATATGTCCAACATATAATGAATGCGACGCTAAGTAAGTGGATATAGTTTATTGAAAAAACAAGATTTTAAAAACCACGATATTCATTTGTCTCTATCGTTTGTATTTTTTATAATTGAGTTGCAATTTGTTTTTAAGTTGTAGTCTCAATTGAAGTGAGTGGTTTTACCCGGCGGTATAACCTCGATTAGTTTTTTAAATGCATATGTTCGTTGTTTGAATTTTAAAGTAACTTTTGTAGGTGGTTTGTCACTAAGTGGAATATTTGTTCGAAAAAATGTGGAGGTGGAATTCAAAAAAGGAGTGTTGTTTGCCGTCGAAAAATAATGGGTGCATGGATTATTGAGAACGATTCATCTTGTAAAAAAACCCCAAAACCAACAAATATAACAAAACAGATGTGTAATGAAATTATGTGTCCGCCATCATATGTCCCATTATCGTGGTCTAAGGTAACTTTGACTGACATTATAAACTCTCGTTTCAGTGATAATTTTGTAAAAAATCAGTTGTCCTGAAAATATATACTTAAAAAACTTTTCAATACTTGTAGTGCTACAATGGCGTGTCAACGAGAAAACTGTCTTGTATAATCGTTAATAGAAAAGGAATAAAGAGTAGAGTGTCAACGAAAGTGTGTTTGTTATATGGTACACCGAAACCACTTACAACGAAAACATGCAATAAAAATAAACACTGTAGCAAAAAGTAAGTGTCTTAGCAAAATGTTGATTACATGAAGCAAAGTTTTCAGGCCACTATTTTCTAATAGCCTGACTTGTCTTTTCTTTGTTTTGCTGAAAAAAAATGTGAGTATAGCTATAAACAAAATAAAAGTTTGTAACAGACTTTTTTCGTTGATTCCTGTATCATTTGCTTTGAAAAATCATAGTTTCTCTCCACGTTGACTATCTCCTAAATTTCAACAATATTTAATGGAGCTTTGCAAAATTTAATATAAACTTTCTATCCATGTAAGATCTTCATTATATGTTTATTGTTTAGAACTAAATAACACTGTACTGCATAGATAAGAATGAATCGTCGGTAGAGTTGTGTTATAGAATGTTAAAAACACTTATTAATTAATTATTATTGTGTAATATGAATGAAGTTTCAGGTTCATAAACATTCCCGTTCGTTATCTTTTAGAGGATATTTTACATTTTAATTTATACATAATTATACATTGCATGAACAATTTATTTATTGACTTATTTATTTATTTAAGAGGTTATATTTAAAAAATAAAACATTGACGATCAAGTGTGTGACTTCCTGCAATGATTATTTATTGGTACTTATGCTGTCCTTGTTAGGTATTGCAATAAACAATTTTTTTGGTAATAGACGTTGAATAAAGGTTTTAACTGAGTTGTCTCTCTTAACGTAAACTGCTTCCAAAAATTAATCCATCTTGGAAACAACCAAACGCTCTTGCAAAATTGCAAGCAACTCATTTGATGATAGTGGGTTAGGCCGGAAAATAAATTACACTAAAAATGCAAATTTTCTATCAAAAACTCTTTGAACCATAGCGTCAAAGACTATACACAATCATAATAATCCTTTGGGTCAATTGACTAAGCATTCATATTGAGTTTACTAGCAGGCCAGATATAGCCAGATATAGCTCTCTGCTGTAAAATGCCTAATTACAAGTTAATGTATTTCAAATTACGTGCTCGAGGTGAACCAGTTCGCTTAATGTTGGCACTCTCTGGAGTGAGCTATGAGAAGGAACATTTTGAATTTGGGTCCGACGAATGGAATAAGACTAAGTGTGGTGCGTTATATAACTAAATTATATTTGACTTGCCTTATTTACGTTTTGCTTGCAGGCAGTATAATCTTAAGAGAGATACCATTGTTGTAAGTGTTTCCAAAAGCACTCGATCAAGTCTGCCGGCCAGCAATACGTAAACAAGGCAAGTTGTCTATATATTATAGCAAAGTGGCAAAGTTCGTTGTTTTTTTTACAGTAAAAATTATATGTATACATTACATTGACACATTGTCAACACTGTCTTGCACTCTCTGCCTTATGGTTTAAAAATCAGGTATAAATTTATTTGACGGACACAGGACACAGATTAAGTGTAACGCTTATACTAACTTTTTAATTCTGGTATTTATTTAATGCAGATGATTCAAAGTATCCTTTCAATCAATTGCCTGTTTTGGAGGTGGATGGGACTCCAATTGCACATTCAATGACTATTTTAAGATATTTGGGGAGAGAGTATGGTAATTATGATTATGTTACATTGTACTCGTACACTGACGTGGCTATAAAAGAGAAGAGAAAGAATTATCGACATGTCAATTTATTAATATGTATAAAAGAACAAAGTAAATAAAATAAAAAAGAAAGGCGAGTGTCGTTTGTACTCTAGTTTTATGAATTTTCATTAAAACTAGATTGTAATATAATGTGCTTGATTAATAATAAATGCAATAATGTGCTTGATTAACAATTTTAATCAAGGTTCATTATCACCATTCTTTCATTTTATCTTTCAGGATACGCTCCAAAAAGCTCTCTTCAACAAGCCTTAGCTGATGGTATTGTTGATCAGTGCCAGGATTTAACCGATTATTTTATTTGGTTAGTTTTCTTAGAAAAAGATGCCAAACGAAAGGTCAGTTGTTGAAATTATTGAAATAATCAGGTACAACCATTTTAACAAGCTTTTGTTCTTGAGGGTGGAAATGGAAATGGACGGGGCGCCGTTGATCAATTTGGGACTTATTATTCAATTAAATTTGAATGAAAATTTCGAAAGCAAATGTCCGAAATTTTGATAAAAGTTTATTATAAACTCAGGATTGTGTGAACGTTGATTTTTTCAGTTCAATGTCGGCAGAATCAGCTTGTTAGTAATAAATACATATTGATGAATCATTTGTATATGAAAAAGTCGTATGTGAGCGATGAAGTGTTTTTTTAATCAAGCTTCTAGCACCATTTGAAAATGGCTACATGAAAACATATTTTGTATTTTCAGGAAAAAATGAAAGAAAAGTGGAAGCTAATACCAACTTTGAAAAACTTTGAAACAATCTTGAAACGCAATGGCTCGGGATGGTTTGTTGGCGATAAGGTGAACCATAACTAATTAATCGTACATCATAGCTGTGAAATAAACAGCTAGCAGAAAATTTGCTCCATTTTAGCTATATCACAGTTATGGTTGGTTTATTTTGCTTGTACTTACATCTCTTTCCTATAGTATATTATGTTCTTCTTGTTTTCAATAATTTCTTTTTTTCGTAACTTTTGTTAAGTTATAAATCCGTTTATATGCTATTAATCACGTCAAGTGCTGGTAACTATTCATTCATTTTTTTCAGTTAACGTATGCAGATATTGCTTTTTTTGGATTTTTTGACGTCTATGTGGCTTTTGGAAAGTCAGAAACACCAAAAGAACTCGATAACTTTCCATTGGCTAAAGCTTTGTATGAACGCGTCAAAAAGGAACCTAAAATTGCCGAATATCTGAAAACAAGACCAGATGATTTGCCTATTTGAAAGACATAGTAATGCAGCTATTCCAATTTTTGCTTTAACTCGAGAGCTTTAAAAACATGTCTATCAAATCTGATTTTTTATAGTATCTATTTGTCTGCTTAAATGGTTATATCCATCTCAATTCAGACCTCTATATACGTGATATTTTACATAGCTGCATGTGTTATGCTTTGGCATTTGCTATGACAACTTTATCATTTCTTTATAATTAAATAAAAGGATAGCTTAAAAAAAGTAAGCGTTTATGATTTACAAGACCTTTATCCGTGCTCTTACCTTGGGGGTCGTTTGCATCCCTACAGCGTCTTTGAGAACTGCAAGCAAATTGGGAGAGATCAAAACGTGAAAAAGCACCATGATTATCAAAAACATAACTGATTTAATTCCTCTGTTGTTCATCTCAGTGGTGTTCGATACCTGACCATAACCAGATTCATACAGAAACCTGCGAGACTCTTGAAGAAAATTTGGAGGAATCATATAGTATTACATTTGAATATGATCACTTTAGTGAAAACACTCAAAACTTTAGTATTGAGGTTTGGATAGAGATAATGAATGATTTACTTGTGGAATTAAACAATCTGTAAGTCAGACATCTTGCAGCAGTCGATGGCCCACATGCTGTATTTGACCTCACAAAGACTGGTATACTATAAATTATTGTTTGTGTATACCTGTTAAGATCTGATCCATAATGAAGCAATCTGATGAATCAATTTATATGTCATAACAGTATATTTCTATGGATGTATTATAAAAAGTGTACAATGATGAAAAGTATTGAAGAAATACTGAAACAGAGCTGGAGTGATGTCGTGTAAGGCCAGAGGCAGATATTTTTTGAAGAGCATCTAACACAATTTCCCTTGGTAAAATTAAATGTTGTCTCATTTACACGAAATAACAAGTCTAACTGTCCAAATAATATTAGTCAAAAGAGAGTAATCGGTTCCCTTTGTGTCTCTTAATATGACATAACAGCCAATAACAGTTTGTGTGGTTTCTGTGTCAGTGTCTTCACTTCATTCCTTCTGTTTAGACGACTTTTATTGATATGTTTAACGTAAGGTCGAATTTATTGTCGATATTCTTCAACATAGTAAACTGTTTTGAAGCATCTTATGAATTTTATCTTATCTTCCACTTATTCCAGAGCGTTTAGCGAGCGTTTAAAACTGTAAAGTGCGCGCGCAAGGAATGCTGGTATAATATCAACATATCAACATATGATTATTTCAGAGAAGAAACGTTTAGAAATTTGTCATGGCATCTAATGCTGGAGACGATTCCTTGTATCCTATAGCCGTTCTTATCGATGAATTACGCAATGAAGATGTTCAGGTAGATCTGGGTCATTTTTTAGGCGTAAAAAATGATCAATCTCTTATAAATAGATGTTTTTCTTAAGTATGTTTTAAACCAACTTTTTTATTTTGTGTCCTAACATCCACAGCTGCGTTTGAATTCTATCAGAAAACTATCAACTATTGCCTTGGCACTTGGAGTCGAGCGAACGCGTGCTGAACTTATTCCCTTTCTTACAGGTATGTCATTGTGCCGCATAGTGTTTCGTACATGATTATTGGTGGTAAAACATCTTAAAATTTCACCTGAATTTTGTACCATTTTAAATTTAGACGATTTTATCAACGATTTACGACCAGTTAGTCTAAATTTCTCCTGAGACGTTCATATAATCATAGAATTCTTAAAAAACTCATTTCCAAAAATTTCACGTTTGAAAAGTGAAATAATATTATCACATTCAATATTTTCATATGATCATGTTTGACTGTTTGTTTAGAAATCTACATTTATATGCATTATACACTCAAAATAGATCTGTCATTTCCTTAGATTAACCAGACTATCTTGAAGAGAACTCCTCAGTTAGTTTAGCTCTCTATCACTTAGGTTAATTTTAAATTGCTTTGTAGATTTGTTGATAGTTTTTCCTCATATAAGTTCATTTGACTTACAATTTGGTTTTTTAAAGTTAACTCAATACATGCAATACTTTTCACATTTGTATTTTCACATTTGAAATGAAAAACAAAGCAGATTTTTTTTAAGTATTGAAAATTATCTATTCAATATGAATTTAAATAGACAATATTCGTTCACTATGATGGTTGTGTTGTTAATAATGCTACAGGCTCTTTGTTTTTAACAACATTTCCTATCAAAATAAGCTGAGTATCATTGATTGATTAAAAACAAATACATCATAGTTTGCTGTGGATATTTTTATGAATAAAATTGTGGGTTTGTATGGAATACTCTAGTGTAAAGTCAGATCAAAGAAAGTTCAAGTTATGATTGAATGGCTTTGATTAACCTTGAATAATATCTTAAATAGATACCATTTATGATGAGGATGAAGTTCTGTTGGCATTAGCAGAACAGGTAACAATATGTTTATGAGCTGTTGTGATTATTTATAGGCAATATTTTTTGCTCTATACATGGTGCTGCACTATTTCTGTAGAATATTTTTTATTGAATAATCACGATGAATGCATTTAGGCAATTCTCAAACAATAAATTTTATCATATTTTATAGCTTGGTACATTTACACCTCTTGTTGGGGGACAAGAATTTGTACATTGTTTATTGGTATAACAATTTTATCATCATATATTAATTGGTGTGTAATTGAAAAAATTAATTTGAATTGTATGATAAAAATTTGTTTTCTCTTATATCAAGCCACCACTTGAGAGTTTGGCCACAGTAGAAGAAACTGTTGTTCGAGATAAGGTAAGACACAATATGTCTATTGTGAAGTATTTATACAATCTCTCATCAGACAATTCAATTTTTATTTTATATCTTATATATTTAACAGGCAGTAGAATCTCTTCGTAATATTGCTTCTGAGCATTCACCTCAAGATTTAGAAAATCATTTTGTTCCTTTAGTAAAACGTCTATCACAAGGTAAACAATTATAGAAATAGTGTTAGGTAAATTGAATGGATGTTCTAAAATTTTAATAATTTTCCCCCGATCATATTTAGATGGAAATAAATAAAAACTTGTGTATTGCTGTTTAGGTGATTGGTTTACATCTAGGACATCAGCCTGTGGTTTATTTCCAGCTTGCTATCCTAGAGTAAATGCAAACATCAAAGCTGAATTAAGACAGTATGTAAATAATATCAGCTTTAACGATGGTATAGTTTATAAGAATAATACAGTATAAATATTTTGCTTTTTTACCACAAGTCATGTGAAAAGAATCATGATACAAATACTTAATTCAAGCAAAAATTTAAAACCTGATATATAAAAATGCAAGAATACATTAGTTTTCACACGAAATAAATCCATCGTCATTGTCTTGTTGACTATTTTTGTAACATGTGAGATCTTAATATTTTTGCAGACACTTTCGTACGTTATGTTCTGATGATACGCCCATGGTTCGAAGGGCTGCTGCTTCAAAACTTGGGGTTTGTCTTTAACATTTTGCTGTTAAGTAAGATTATTTGTAGCAACCATACAACAGAAAGTGGTAGAAAGTTATTTTCTGCCTTTCGTTTGAAAATACTTTAATAAAAAATTTCATGTTTAATCAGTTGTTATTTTTCAAAAATGTATGTCCTCATTTTAAAGTAATACAATATTTATCATAATGCCAATAATATTTTCATGCATTAATCTTGCAGCAGGTAAATTAAAACAAATAACAAAATGCTTTTCCCTTTTGAATCCTTTCTAAGCCTGGACATTTACTAAACCAGAGATGGATTAGGGAAGGCTTCAACAGAGCACACAAAATATTAATATATACGGAACATCTAACAATTGTGAATAGTGTATGATGGAGCACACTTACAAAAATTTCTCAATCTTAAAAAAAGGTTTAAAAATTTAGCAAAGAAGTCTGAGTTGCTATGGTAACAAGTATCTATTAAATTCTAATCCCAACTAAATTACCTCCCTCTTGTACAAAACTATTGTGGATCCATCTTTGTGTTGAACAATTTACTGAGCTGACTATGTTATCATTGCATAGGAATTCGCTAAAGTTGTGGAACTGGAATTTGTCAAATCTGATCTTATACCCACATTTACAAACCTTTCTGCAGATGAACAGGTAGGCACTTGAAGAAATATGTATTGAATATTCATCATGATTTGAAGGAGTTTGTAAATTATAGGTAAAGACCGAATTAACGTTAATAACTCTGTCTATTAATGATACCAAAGTGAAATTGCTGTGTTGATTTCAAGAAATTAGCTAAATCTTTTTTTATTCATTTTGCTTTCGTTTTTATATTTTTGTTCATTCTTGACATTTCCCTCGCAGAGATAATTACTACATACTTTTCTTTATTTTCTTCCTTTGAAAAGAAGAAATATAGTCAGAGAAACCTCTATTGCATGAAAAAGTTACTTTTTGTTATCAAAAATAATAATTGCACTTACCTGATATTAAAAAAATTTTTTCACAATTCTGCAATTTTCTATTACGACCCTTACTATTCATTCCCTTTTATTCCACGTTTTAAAAACAACCTAAATATAAAAGATAATTTGGGATATTTGTTTATAAAGTTGCTTTGAGAAGTATATTTTTTCAATACAATTGTTAAGACTGAGTTTTAGGATAAATTTGTTGAAGGTCCATATTAAATATTTGATAAACAATTTAAACAAGTAATTGTATATTCTCTTCAATGTTCAAATGAATATTTTATGAAGTTTTCAAAGGTAAAAGAATTTCAGAAAACGAATCTGAAAATAGTAATTTTGTTGATATTTAGGACTCAGTGCGATTGTTGGCCGTTGAAGCCTGTGTGAATATTGCATCTATTTTACCTCCTGAAGATGTGGAAGCTTTAGTTATGCCAATGTTAAGAACAGCTGCTCAGGTATAATTTAATTTGTCTCTACGGCGTGAACGATAACTTTTTAAATGAACAATTTCTGATCGTATTGTATAATCTCTTCATCCTTACCAGGATAAATCATGGCGTGTACGATATATGGTCGCAAATAAATTTACGGAGGTAAACTTTGAGCATTCTCTCTGTCCATTCTCGAGAAATTGTGCATGTGTCAAGGGTTACATGTGCGTAATAATAATAGCGTCGTAGATAAAGTCCATATTTAAACTACGTAAGGACCTGTTTGTATGAGCTGAGTCACCCGGCTAGGCGAGAAACTCGCTCGGCAAGCTAAAAAAGCCATCTTTGTACATATAACTAATACTGACTTCTCGTCTAGCCGGGTTAATAACTTACACACAAACCAAGTTCACGTCAAGGTGAGTTACTCGGATCTGTCATACAAACGGTTTACCCGGAGAGGTATTAATAATGGCCAAGTATGGCAGAGATACTTAGCTAAGTGTGTTACTCGACTAGCATTGTTATTCAGCTCCATATAAACAGGCCCTAAATTAATATTACTTTCTTTACAAACACCTTTATCGTAAGGTTTTTATTTTTTTCTGAAATTTTAGTTACAAAGAGCGGTTGGAAGTGAGATAACCAAAACAGATTTGGTGCCTGCTTTTCAAAGTTTACTAAAAGATTATGAAGCTGAGGTTCGGGCTGCTGCCTCGGGAAAAGTTAAAGGTACGCAGTGGAAATTCTTGAAAGAATTCATTTATTTAATTGAATAGATTCACTCCCATTGTTTTGAATTGTCATGCTTTTTTATTCGTCGCAGGTTACTTGAAAGTACATTCATGGTTTAATCTTTTTTTGTGTGTGTGTGCAGTACATCTTAATGAAAATGTTGTTCAACTTTTTCCTTCTTTATTCAGAATTTTCAGATAACCTGAACTCAGATATTCAAGAACAAATCATTATGACGAACATCTTACCGTGTGTAAAGGTAAATGAAATTGAAATTTTCATATTTCTTCTTGGTTTCTATCAAGTACCAAGTATGTATATATATATACTCAGGTTTTTGCGATATGTTGACTGTGGTCCCGGAATCCTAAAGCTAAATACTTGAGCGAAGAGTTGTTTAGTTTTTGTTTTGTTACATTTTGTTTTGTTTTAAAAATGAAATTATCTGCCGACTTTTGATTGTATTAACCTATTTTTATAAACTTTTCAGTTTTCAAGTTAAACGAAGAGCAAAGTTTTGATTGTTTATTTGGCCGTCGTTATTGAATCTGATTAAGCAATCTAATAAGATTGTTGCCTTTAGTAAAACATAATTATTGATTATTTACCGTTTAGGTCGGTCCGGCTGGAAAAATATTTCTCCTCGGGCTTTTAGACCTCACGAAAATATTTTTCTGTCCGGTCTTTCAAGCTGGTAATAAACCAATAATTATTTTATACTTACGTATGCATGCGAAGCGATAGTTTTTAATTTCCTGCAATCTGATTGGCTGCAGTTTTGGGCAGCTTTTTACGATATCTTGAGCGTGGTCCAAAAGTGATCTTTTTTCGCAATGTATTTTTTTATACGTACTTATATATGTAAGCGTGGATTTTATTACGAAGGATTGTCTTGTTGAGATTAGCTATTGTACTATTTTGTTCATAGGATTTAGTTGTGGATCCTAACCAGCACGTGAAGTCTGCTTTAGCATCCGTAATCATGGGTCTCTCCCCAGTAGTTGGCAAAGATAAGTACGTGCTGTTTTGCCTCTTAAATAATTTTAAATTCATTTGTGAAAATTTTTTTTCTTAAAAAAATATTTTGAAGCTTTATTTTGAAAATATTTTCAGCACGATTGAACATTTGCTTCCTTTGTTCTTGACGATGTTGAAAGATGAGGTGAGACATTATGTAATTTTAATTTGATTAAAGTTCAGTAACAAAAAGAAAAATTATGAAACATGAGCTTTACTTTCTCGAGTGGATTTTAATGTTTTAGGAGGGGAGTAAAATGATTTTTAGTGGGTGTCATACAGTCTTACTGTTGCTACAAGTCTTGTCGGCAGTAATTTTGGGGAGTTGGAATTGTTCAATTTAGAAGATTGTGTGAAGAAATGACATTAAGGTTGAGGAAGACGGGGTTTAAGTAAATCCAATTATGCAGTCAAACGAAGCAAACAGAAGAGATAGATTAGAGACTATTACTTCTATGTCAAATATTTTTTTATGTCATATAATGACGTCATAACTAATCAGACTTAAGAGTTTTTCCAATAATAAATGATATAAAAACGGATAAGAAATATGCATGTTTTTTTTTCGTTTATCACTTTTTTCACATCTGTTTTTTTAGCATCCCGAAGTGCGACTTAATATAATTTCTAATTTAGACTGCGTAAATCAAGGTATACTTTATCGTATTTTAGAAATTTTGAATGTGCACTCTAGTTTAGGTATTTTAGCTTTTCTTTCTCTTTTCTTTTACAATGTCATTTTTAGTGATCGGTATTCACCAGTTGTCTCAATCGTTACTTCCTGCAATCGTTGAACTAGCTGAAGATAATAAATGGCGAGTCCGACTAGCAATAATAGAATACATGCCGTTACTCGCTGGTCAACTTGTACGTATAAAGTAATTGTATTTACCCAACTATAATGAAAAACTCGTCGTTTTCTAGGGTTTGTGGTCTGTTTAACTAGAAACGTGTTTACATTATATCATAATTCAAATTACCGTTGTCAGCAAAATCAACTATTTAGTTATGAAATACAAAACGGTATCTTATCCACGAACTAACAATTAAATTTCTTCACATATAAAATATCTAGACACAGAACTTTCTGCCCAACGCCATCTTTTCAACATTAATTAAAAATTTTTTTATTAAGTAGTAGAAGTCGTCGCTTCCAATAGATTGTTTTCATGAAATCTTCATTTAGGGAGTTGAATTTTTTGACGAAAAACTAAATGCACTTTGTATGGCTTGGCTTGTTGATAACGGTTTGTTATAGCAAAAGTACATTTTTAGAGAACGAATAGATATTTAATATAATTGTTTTTCATTGTACTTAGTTTATGCCATTAGAGAAGCTGCAACGAATAATCTCAAAAAACTTGTAGAAAAATTTGGTCAGGATTGGGCAGCGGTATGTGGTGTATGTAGTTTTGTTTGAGGTCTTATTTGATATACTTCATCACTTTTCACCCCACATCTTCTGCATCATCTATTACTCCAAGCCATTAAACACTTTGTTCACTTAAGTTGTTGCTCTCCCTGTTGAAATTTATCAGTCTGTGTTTTAATTTTTGAGAATTGAATCAACGGCAAATATTATTTAAAAAATAACAGTGGCGTAGCCAGCCCGCATAGGTTTAGTCGTGTTTCGTATTTCGTTGTTCACTTGCTGTAAATACAAAATATTTCTAAAAAAAGAGATAATGCTTATATTCTGAAATTTACTCAGCACAACTTATGCTGGCCATACCAATGAAACCGTTAGCTATAAATTCATTTCATCATTCTACAAAATATAGTTCTGTTCAATCTACGAACATATAACTCTCTTTGTAATCTATTTGTCCATTGACTCTTGAAATGTTGTGAAATCCATTATCCAACAATGTTGATAGTTTTAAGATAAGGAATTTTGGTATTGCATCAAATATTATAAGTTTATAAGTTTGGTGTATTGCTATACGTTTCTAAAAATGATCTGCGAATTTTACATAGTTTTTCCGTTTGTAGACTCAAGTTATTCCCAAAATTGTTGCAATGGCCAGGGATCCCAACTATCTCCACCGTCTTACAACATTATTTTCAATCAACGTAAGTGGTTTGTTTGTATTGAGTTTCACCTCATAATTTTAATGTTTATGTCTTAAATGACATTATAACCAACATGTTTTACAATAAGTACTTGAATGCAGCTCCCGTATTGGATGAACACGACATCATGTGATCATAATATGCCTGATGACGTAGTTTAGTTAAATAAAGCTTTTTGAAAAAGGCCGTGAAACATTGAAATTAGACTATTTATTTGAATGATAACAATTTTTTATCATAATTGGTGAAGCACTTTAAACTTTGCTGTTAGTTTCAGCAATGTTTTTGCATGTTTGTGTAACGTTAACAAATGTTCGCCAATCCGATTCCTTTGATCTTATTGATCTTTTATTATCGATTATATATGTAAAATTTATCGCTTTGTAACAATATTCTAACGTTTAGTTTATAGTGTATTCATTCATGTGATCATATTGAACTATCTGATTAAAACAAAATTGCATTTCGTACATACACTTTTGGTCGACAGCCTCCTATTCTAGAGCTCTTAACGAAGGTGAAGAAGGAGTGTTATGTGCATCGTTGGTAGACTTGACAACTTCATAAAATATCCAGTTTTCTTTCATGGTTTTAAATTAGTTGAAGTTTTTTTGTTTTTATTGAAGCCAAGTTTGTTCTCGACATGAAGTAATCCTAAAAGCGTTTTTGAGCATTTTCGTGGTATAATATTTATGTGTTTCGTTGAATTTTAAGGTTTTAGCCGAAGTCATTGTTGCTGAGAATGTGTCAAAGTTGATGTTACCCACCGTTATAAGTCTTGCCCAAGATGCTGTAGCAAATGTTAGGTTCAATGTGGCCAAAACTCTTCAAAAAATTGGACCAAAGATTGATTCCAGGTGCTATGGAATGTTTAGATCATGCAGTATAAAGTCATTAAACTTGTCAAATAACGTTGTACGCCCTCCTTCATTAAAGAATGGATCGTATGATAATGCCATGTCATTATTAAAATCAAAGTTTCTTATTTTTTTTAGCATGGTTCAAGCCCAAGTCAAACCTTGTTTAGATAAGTTAAACTGTGACGCGGACATTGATGTGAAATATTTCGCCCAAGAAGCTCTAACAGGTAACACACACGAAATTTGGTTTTCATTAAAATTTTATAGTGCAGTATTTCTGATGAGTGATAGCTATCTGTCAAATACATAGTTGCTTGTTGAAATAGTCTGACCAGCACGTAGTTTCTTCTTTTGTGTCATAAAACTGGCCGAGTGGAGCTGTATTTTGTTAAATGTTATTGTTGCTCACAAAACATCGATTTATGATAAATATGATGCACACATAAAGAGGAAAACAGAAAGATGTTATTTTATTTATTTACTGCGTTTTCTACCTTTCTGTTTCAGTTTTTTGAAGAGAAGAAAAACGCGCAGCAACTGATTGCCACAAATGTCGATTGCCACAAATGTCGAGAATGAAGAAATATCTTATGTAATAAAAAATAACTATAGATATTCGACCTCTGAACAGAGTAACCTTCGTAAAAATGACAAAACATTTTCAGATGATACTATGATAAAACATTGTCTAGCCGTACCAATGTGCTAATGATTGTCTTTTTTGCATTTCGAATTTCCTTTTGTTTGCACAGTTTGCTTTAAGGCATTAATAAAGCTTTTATCGTTCAGTTTTCTTTTCTATCTTATAAGAGGCAATTGTAAATAAAGTGCATTGGGATTTTCATTTTATTATTCTTTTGATGACGTCATAAAACACAGACTGCAACGAGTTGTTCTTTGTAAAAATAAATCAAGAGAAACGTAGAAGCAAGTCTCAAGTAGTTAGCCACTTAAACTTCATGCATCGAGATTAGAGTTTACAGTTAGTTCTTAATTCGTATTCTGTGACTGTGTTAGATTGGCTTTTACTCAAATATGTGTGAAAATGTAAAAGATAATTTCACTTCAATTTCTTTAAATTACTTTTCAAACTTTTCTGTTTAGCCCTTGTGTTAGCTCGTTTTCTCCATCATGTTTATCGTAAAATTTTCATTTCACACAATATGTGGTACAGCGGCTTTTGGTGAAAAAATTTACATACAATAGAACCGAACAATAATTTATAAAAATGTTAAACGAAACAGCTCAATGATAGCAAGAAAGAGGACTGCTATGATGTGTAGGGAATTTGCAGCAAGATGCTAACAAAGTGATGTTAATTTAAACGTAGGGACGTTGCCGTGATTATCGAAGCGCACACTTGTCAACTTTGTGTCTGTGTGACTTTTTTATTTTTGTCACGTGACTTTGTAGTCATTGAGTTAATAGAGCAACAACCGCCATCTTGATTTACTGACGAATTAAAGATAGTTTTGTCAAGGTTTGATTGCAACAAGTATGTTGGTAGAGACTATTGACAAATGTTTTACCACGATATGTGAAGTGTAGTTCAAGTCGAAGTTGTTTTCTACACTGGAAACGGCTTTTACCTGCTTGATTTGTTTCTGCATGTAAATTATTATTTTGAAAGTAAATATTATTTACCCGTTAAGAAAGAACAGTATTGCAGATAAATTGGGTGTCATGAAAGTGAAATGATTGAAGAGATGGTCCAGTAAATGTGTGATGTAATGCTGTATATCTACATAAAAGGTGAGAAAATAAATTCTCGTCACTTCTCAATTATTTCGAGAAGTCTGCGATGAACGCTCTGGAAGGTTTTCATTGTATTTAGCCTGACTTGCTATTTTTTTTTGGATACCTGATGTCAAAGTGTTTTGACAGTTATGGCAACTGTTCAGACGTTATTTGTTTACATTCATACGTCTACCACTCGAAGACTGAAATATTTACGAAAGATAGTGAAGTCTACAAAACATTGAAATTGTGTTAATAATTGTTACATCAGAATTTCCTTTTCCATAAGTTATCCATTAAAAAATGTTGAGCTTATAGATATCTTTAAAATAATAGTGTGTACGTAATGCGTTTTTATTCTCATGTTTTTTTTTCTTGCACGATGAATTTGGCATGTGTAAATAAGATTGCAAGACACAGAATGCAAAGACATTGTTTTGTATACTTTAGCTTGCTAGGTTTTGACAGTCACGTCGAAGATTTGTTTGTTAGGAAACATGCAAGCTCCTAGTGGAATTCCAGGTGAGTGTTGTTGATTTTAACCGTAATTTGTATAATGTATTGATTTACGAGGAAAACTACGAGTACAGTAGAGTCAGTCATCTATGTTGACAAAAAAAAAGCGTTGGGGGTTTAAGTTATTTTCGATTGTATCGTAATCAAATCGCTTTGCTTTTTACAATGATTATACGTCTCTGGGAGATATTTGGTTTGCTTGTTGTGAGATTCTTAAAGAACGTTGTTAAAGTAAACTGTCATTACAAACACCTGACAAACGTAGTCAGATCAGATAGAAGCAAGCGATGTTTTGAGTTTTTTGTTTACTACACATAGTTTTTATAACGACATTTGTTATTTAAATGGCAGATTATACGTATGGTCTGTTGTTTTACACGTTGAACTTAAGATAACGAAAACATTTTAAACTATCGTAGTGCATTTTCTTGAATTATTCAAATACTTACGTAAATATAACATTTGCTTTTTCAATTTCCGTCTCGATTTTTTGTATCTAATTTATAATTATTGATTTTGAGCTTCTACACTACTGGTACATTGTAAATTCTTGCACTATTCTATCATATACTTAAAACATACTCCTCTCCAGTATGTATTTGTAACTATGTACGCTTTTCATTTATACGTATTTTTTTATGTTGTGACAATCTGCCGTTTAAATTTTAAACTCTTTAGTAATTCATTTGAATTAAATTTAAAGATCATCAATATTAACAATATTGTCTGAAGTTATATGTTTGTTTTAATTTTAAAAAGTCTATGAATTGAAGTATATTTTAATGTTTGAATATGAAGACATTTTTTACATAGAAAATAATTTTAGACCTTCCAATTTTTGTCTTTGAAGTCTGCTTTTTATGTGTTCAGCTGTCCTAATTATAGATACTTTAGCCAATGGTGATGTATTTTTTAAATGTAGTATTTTTCATCCTTCATTAATTGCATTTGTCTGCATCAAATATTATAGCTGTTTTATGGTTATACTACCTGCTGATGTTCTAAGTAAAAGACTTGTATTTGTTTGTATATAACTACAGTAAAATATTTAAGAACAAAACATTCTTTAGTCAATGTCTTTGTCTATTAGATATTATCATGTAGACAATCATCATACTTTGGATTTCCTCTTTCTTTTGAACATGAAGCACAGATAACTTAAATCTTTGAATTTTGAACCAGATATTCAATTTTTGCATAGTTCATTTTAGGTGTCGCTTGCTTTTCATTCGATTTGCTTTCAATTGATCTTCAAACATCTGATTGGTTGTCAAATTCTGAGAAACCTTTCAAACTTCAGACAGAATTTGAAATCAAGTCATAATTGAAAGCAACAATGTTTGGCAACATTTTCTGAAATTTAGATTGATATCTCAAAAAAATAATTTCATACTTTTAGGTCAAAATTTGATTCAGAGATGTGTGATTGTTCAGCGGGATCAAAAAGGGTATGGATTAACTGTTACTGGTGACAATCCTGTCTATGTTCAGTCTGTGAGAGAAGGTATTGTGCTATTGCAGAAAATTTTATAATTGTTGTGAAATTTTTTTGTCAAATAGTTAATTGTAGAATATGCTAACTCCTGTTTTTGTCGTTTTAGATGGTGCTGCAGATGTTGCTGGTGTTCGTGTTGGAGATAAGATTGTGAAAGTACACATATTTTACTGTGCCTTGACTAAATATTGTATATGATTTGCACTTATTAAATTGATGTTATATATTTAAAATTTACTTTTGTTTTTGAAAGGTTAATGGAACGCTGGTGACAAATTCTAATCATAAAGAAGTTGTGGACTTGATAAAATCTGGATCATATGTTGCTCTTACATTACTTGGAAAACCTCCTTCAGGTAGTTCTGAAAATTGTTAGTATATCTTGAATATTGTTCTATGAGTGTAAAATAAGAAAAAATAAGATGCTTTTTCTAGTTGATGTATCTTTCAAGTAGAATCATAGAAGCAGATATATTGCACTTTTTATGCCAAATCAATGGCAGTGATGGAAACTTGAAAAATTTGTGTGGGGGTAGAGGGGGCACAAGATTTCACACTACATCCTACTAAGAACAAAAATGTCAAGACGTTTTAATGTTTATGCGGGGACATGTGTGTACAGTACAACATTTGAGTGTCCGTAATCAATAGGTAGATTATCTTTAATTTATATTCAATACTTATGGAACCAATATGGAACCAACATGGTGCTTCACATCTGATCAATGTATAGTAGATTATCATTTGTGTTGATTTTTGTGCTTTCATAATTACTATATTGATTTAGAATGATTTTCCATTTACTCTATAATTGCCTTGTAAATGTTGTTAAATGTTATACATGACAATTGTGAACTCGCAACTTTTTTTCTTCATTCATAGTGCTTCCACTTTCAGAAATTGTAACTCCACTTGTGTCATCTCCAACATCGCCAACTGTTTCTGTAAGTAATATACCATAAAATAAGATTATTTGTTAAAAGTTTTTCAAGTCGTTGTCAAGTTTTTTATGTTAAACATGTCATCGAATCATTCATGAATCATGAAGCTAATCGTTAAAAACTCCCTACGTCTTGTCTGTTTTGGTTACTTCAATTGTTTTTGCTATTTAATATCTACATTAATTTATATTTACTTGTATAATTTTTCTTAATAATAATGCAGCTGACCCATCTTTACTGCTGTGATTTTCACACATGATTTATTAAGCTAATCAATGATTATGATTTTCCTTCGGTCAAATGATTACCACGCGCGTACTCGTATAAACTCGTTTGTGTTCAAAGTAAATACGTGTCTTAAATGCGTTAAAATCTCCAGTCTTGCATGTTATCATGATTTATAAGTTTTACAGTATGAAAGCATGTGAGATTTGAGTTAAAACTTTTGCGAGCGTGAGACCTTCGTGAAATCGCGAGTTGAAAGACCAAAATAGCAAGATCCTAATATCAAACGTGTCAACTTAATGATAGCATAACGTTTTTGCGTTGCTGTATACAAAACATTTTTAACCATTATGTACCATGTTTACCAGTCAAATAAGTTCATCATCTCCATTAAAACGAAAAGTACTTTTATTTTTACTTTGCAATATTCAACGAATGAAAATTTTTCTTATTGGATAATAAACTATCTTGACATTTGATACCTAGTAGTTCAGTGTCTCACCCTGTAACACGAGACCTTTCCTTGTTATTGGTTTTATTGCGAATTGCCTTCGTTTCATTCAATTCAATATGTTGTATGATGATGGGTAAATTTGATCATTTTATACGGCGGAATAGTATAAGATTTTCAAAAAGACAAACTGACCCTGAGGTGGGTAAGTGTAAGACTTGTGTTTCTGTCATCAATGAAAGCAACTAGTTTATTTCTATATTGCCATCGAATTTTCGTCATCTATATTAATTTCTACTAATGTAAACATAAGATAAAATTCATTCTTTATCCGAGTCATCGATCTTTTTATTTATTTGATTGCCGGCATTCTGCTCACGATTAACTTTTGTGTGCAGTGTGCTATCTCTCCAGCTTCATCTTAGCCGACGGATGAACGAAATGTTAATGCACAAATGTAGTTTTGTTTCTGATTTGAAAACTCCTTGAAAGTTATCGATTTCCTGATTACTGAGAGGATTTATTGTAAAAACGATTTAACAATCATTTCTCATGACTATATGTGAAGATCTATATGAATGACCTAACGTTTGTCAGCTGATAATCATCTTTGAATAGTGATCACACCTTTATACAATTCATATTTCGGCTTGTATTATCGTCAATCAACTTATGGCAAAAAATAGAAGAGTTTCTGTGTAAAGTATATTTTGCTGGAATTCGAGTATGTACTTGTGTCTTATATTTTAATGTGTTGTCGAATTTGTCATTTCTGATTTTTCAGATGAACGGTTTGCCAAGTTACGCATGCCATATCACTTTAAGCGTTTTGTGTGACCTTTGCAACGCGATGATTTCATTTTTCCACAATGTTAGTTATGCCATATTAAATATTTTTGGAATTGATGAAATTCTCAACGTTTGTGCACTTAACGTCCTCGATGTCACGTGCTCCATCGTATCCCCTACTATTTACGTATTGTTATCATGTCTCAAGTTAGATTATGACTCGCCAATCAAATATTTCATTGTGCTGGGATGTATAATTATCGGCATATGAGTTTACATAAGACTAATGTATCATTTATGAACGACTAAAAATGCGTCTATTGGTAATCACTGGTTGAGAATAACCAGAATTCAGCAAAATTAAGAAGGCTTTAAGTCATTGACAAGCCATTTCATCACTGTCACTCGTTTAGGAGTGACAGTGAGATTTAGCATAGGTCTAAAAATCTTTTGCCGAAGGAAAAATCGTTTTTCCAATGCGTGTCTAAAACTTAATAACACTTAATTTCACGATTTCTTTGTGTACATAAAATTTCAGACAATTTGTAGGAGCAGGAAGAGCGTTTTATCATTTTCTAAAACAAAACACTGCTATATGTTCCATTTTTGAAAACAAAACACTGCTATATGTTCCATTTTTGAACATTTATCTCTTTACAGGAAGCTCTGTGATCATAAAGTTTTGACTATATAATTTTCAAACGTTTACACAATTAAGCAAAATGAAAGGGTAAACCTATACTCTTGTCAAAATCCTCTCTAATTTCGAATGCAATTCATCTTTTTACAGGGCAACCTTTTCTCAATAAGGCCGGCTGAGAGCTAGAGATTTTCTTGCTCGCCAGTTTTTTTTTTTGCCCATGTAATACAGTCGATTTGTTTAATTGTTGCTCTTCAAAACATAACGATGACTACATAAAGTGCACAAGTATATAAATAATTAAACTTGAAATATTTTACATTGGTTTTTAGCAAGTTTGCTTTTATTTTCTACCGCAAAAGTTCAACGTCTTGAATATATTCGAGCATATGTAGACATTGGAAATTTATTTGAACATTCTTGGACTTCGTAGGAGTCAACAGTCTGCTTAGGAAAATAAAACGTGTTTGGTTTGAAAATGAAACTAAACTTTTAATCTTTCGAATATTTTTCACGTTAAAGAAAATGTTAAAAGGTGTAATTTTTTTAATTATTATATTCACATTGTACAGGATATTATGTTTTTCTATTAGCTAATAAATATGAGATTATTATTCTTTAAATTTACTATCAGATTTATAAATAGAGTCACAAGTCTCACAACAAAGTTGAATAGAGTCTTTTTGATTGCATTTGTATAATACAAAAAAGCATGATTGTACAAGATATGTAGAAAAAATGACATTTAACTTGTGGAATAAATACCATAAAGGTCTAATACTGTTTTGGATTTAAATTCAACTTATATGATCATTGTGTGTGAACTATCCATTACATTATTTGCTAAAATTACATGCTAAAATAGTCAATTTTTCATTTTAATTGCTGTTCATTGGCTTAAGTTATCCAATAGATATAACCATGAAGAAACTTGGTTAGTAAATAAATATCAATAATCGTTATATTTTTTGCTTGAATTGTGTCAGCAGCGGCATTCCGTTTTGCTGTAACAACCGTGTAGTGGAAAGGATAGTTTTATGCATTGTAGGTAATTAATTATTTGGTTTTTACTGTTGAAAGGCTTTGCTATATGTATCATATATGTATCATCATAATTGGTAGCAAATATAATAAAAATCCGTCCTCTTTCATTTAAAAATGCTGCTTATAAATTAATTTATGTATGTATATATGATTGTAAAAGCAAAAATTTATGTTCGCATTTGACCTTTTCTCAAAATATACCATTAATTAGCAAGCACACGATGAAAGTCCTAATGTTGTTTGTAACTAAGGAATTTCAGAGGAATGGAATGTATTAGTGCTATTTATATAATATTTGTAACATTGTATTGGTTTAGCGAATTCATTTACAATAAAATGATTTTTATTTTGTTTTACCGACAACAATATTTTAATACAGAGTCTTATATTTATATTCCACTCTTTATTGATAGCTTCTTGTTAATGTTATTGTAATTGAGAGGATAACATATTTGTTTATCTATAAGTTCATGATGTTATTTCTTTATAATAATTAAATGTTATCCCACAGAACCCATGTAAAGCTATTTTTTAAGTTTTTCAGAATTTTTAGGTTTAAGCTTTATATACTGGAATTATGGATGTGATATTTAGGGCATATTTGAAGAACTTATACCATAGTGCGCGCTTTGAAGAACTTATACTCATAGTGCGCTCGCTGTTTCATTTTTTAAATATTTTGATGATTGAAGTTTTGTGTGTGTTTCATATCCATTTAAAATGAGCAATATTATGTACTTTGCTCGGTAAGAATCTGTAAAATAGTCATTTGAACTGAATTGAATATTTGTTTCAATGAAAATATTTAAGTTTTATCTTTGTGCGGAAAGATAAAGAGTAATGGAGCACCTTGCGAAAAGGTTTTTGTTTTGAATTGAGGAGGCTTTCATGAATAAGAAGTTTATTTGGCATTATAATATTATTAATTGCTCTAAACATGTCGATACAGTCGATATGTCATTAATCTAATTTAAATATTTATTTTATCTTATTCAAATAAATGTTTTGCAAAGTATTCAAACAGTTTTACAGTTTGATTCAATTAAATTCTTTCAACTTCCTTAAACCATTTAGTAAGTCTTTAAGATAAACAGTTTTTGATCTTAAACGAAATCTGAATATATAATTTACGTTAACGGGGAGGATGATCCCTGATGTGAACCATAAACCATTAGAATAGCTCCATATCCGTTTTATGAACAAATGAAAAGACCAGTTATTTTGTCGTGTAAACAAATCAACTATTTACCTGTGAAATGCTGTACGCAAGTAAGACGAAACGAGAAAAATTGTGAAACAAGTAACATATTTATCGAGTTGTTGTCCTTTTGGAGTAGATAACTCTTTGCTAGATAGAACGATTCTTTTTTGAAACTAGGACATTGCAGCACTGTAACACTAACAGGTAATAACTTTATCATTGACATTATGCATAGGAATTTCCTTTATAACTACATTTATAATTTAGTTTCACCATTATATAATCGTAAGGACTATTTCTATTTATTTAAGAATAAAGATGTAAACATATAGCGCTTGCTTTTTCTGTAAAACATGTCTGACTGTGAATAATACCAACTGATAAATAGCCGTTCTATGTTATGGTTTAAAACTGTTCATTCAGACGTCAAATATAATATTTTTATATATATGTGTGTTTTCTATTGTAATTACTAAAGCTGTCGTGTTTGCTTGCACTAAAGAAACATGGGATTATTTGGGGATAAAGTAAAGTTTCAATAAACGTCAAATAAAACGATAAATTTCCATTTAATTCATTCTAACGCAAACTTATAATGTAAATATTTCAATGTTTAAACCAGGTGAGTGACTATTAATAATAAATTATCTGAATGAGAATTACATGATTTGAAATGTCTAGCATTAAATCTTATACTTGTAGTTGTCGTCGTCTCGATAGTGAAACCTATTGTAATAAGATTTACCTTTGGTATTATACAAGCATAAATTTTGCTTAAGCAAGATTTTTCACTTTATTTGTTTGTGTTCTTTTACAGTGGGATAACATCGAAGAGAGAATTAAGAACATTCGTCGTTATCTTGAGCAAGAACAGATTTTCGTCAATGTAAGAAAATTTCTTTTACAAAATTCATTTCATGCGAAGCTTTTTTTGTTTTGTATAGTGTGAATGAATATTGGATAACGCTGTAGCTATATCTTGCTTTATTCAACTTTTATTGTTTAAACATGAAAACTCTGTTATCATTTTTTATTTTTCTTCTACTTTAATATTATATTGTTCTACGACGACATTAAGAAATTTATTTTAGAGAATTCAGTCTCAATTCGATGAGAAACCCAGTCAAAAACTCGAAAAAGAGGTAAGGATGAATTAATGTCTTTGTTTATTGTAGTGCTATCGCTATGCTTGTACGTTTCCGCTAAATTAATTTTTTTACAACTATTGATATGGTTATTGCTAAAGTTTTGTTGATGATATGATAAAAGAAAATGAAAGTAATAGATTCAATAGATCGTGAAACTGTTTTCATGTAGTTTAATGTATAAGTTTTCGCTACATAAGAACCAACAAAGTGTTGGTGGTATGTTTTTTTATATATTTCTTATTTCCATGATAAGAAAAATGTTAGTACTTTAAATTTTGCATTGGGTTTTGTTTGATGAATGATATTAATGAATATCTAGTGAATATTTCATAGCTATCAAGTGTTAATTATTTAATTGCCATTTCACAGTCTTTGAGATTGGATAAAAATTGAACAATAGCTGACACCTGAATTTTCCCTTTCATACCTCTCTATGGATAATTATATCATTGAAGTTTGCATTTCTACTGAATCATGCACGTCTTACCTATGTATATGTGTTTGTGTAAACTATTTTGTCTTGTGACGAGTATTATTGCTCTTTCGTTGAAAATTGACGGTTTTATAAAGCGTGAGCATGAATTTATGCGTTTTTTGTTTTGAAAATGTACGGCATTCAAAGTATGTTGTATTTTCAAATAAGCATATCGTTATTAGCGTTACTATCCTAGCAGGTATTGTTTTTAAACAATATACTTGTTCGTCTTTGTTCGCAATTAAAAAATTGGTTTGACATATTTTTCATTTACTAGCGCAACAGAAATTGTTTCTAATCGATAAAATTATTTGTTACTTTAAAATTGGTTTAACATATTTTTCATTTACTAGGGCAACAGAAATTGTTTCTAATCGATAAAATTATTTGTTACTTTAAAATTGGTTTAACATATTTTTCATTTACTAGGGCAACAGAAATTGTTTCTAATCGATAAAATTATTTGTTACTTTAAAATTGGTTTGACATATACTTCGTTCACGTTTGTGTTTGCAATAATGCAGCTTACAGTGGTTTTTCTTCTCATAACTATCCATTTTTTTCAAACACTTAAATAAGACTATATCAAATTATATTTTATGCGCGTGCTGTAGTTTTCGTTCATTTTATTTGAATGGTTGGTTATTTAAAGTTTTTTTGGCGTTCTTTTAATTTCTTAGTTATAAAAAAAGTTCATTATATTTGTTCATTATATTAGTTCATTATATTAGTTCATTATATTTGTTTTTTCACTCAGCAAATAAAGTACGTTGCGAGAAAAGTTATAAGCTAGTTTTTGCATTCCAAAAAAATGGCAAAGGAAGACAGCTGCATGTTAACCTGATATGATTTTAATCATTGATCCATTTGAACTGTAGCATGCAATTTGTAATAATTTGTATGAGAAATTTGAACGTTGACTTACTAATTATGAAGAAAACGGATTTTTTGCAATTTTTTGAGTGATTGTCACTATGTTGTTTCTAGCTACTGTGTATAAGTTAGCGTTTAAACTGGATAATGTGATAAAGTAAAAAATCAGTTTGTTTGTTACAAAGACTAGCAAGTTTACCAGAAATGCTTTAGTTAAAGGAAATATTTAATGTCTTCAATACGACATGTCGTACACTTGATTGTATTATGTTATTAAAATGTATGATCAATAAAAACTGATATTTTCTTTCTTTTAAGATAATATATAATCGACTAAAATCAACTATTTATAATGAGAACGATGTTCAATATATTGTTTTAATTGAATGTATGTGGATTTAACAAGCTGTAACTATATGGTAATTAAGAAAAAATACCAAATTGATCCTTAATTATTTCATTTTATTTGTTTGCAGCTTGCAGAGTCAAAGAAACGAGCGAAAGCTTTAGAGCAAGAACTTAACGCGTTATTAGTAAGAATATTTATTTTATCTTTGTCGTTGCGTGTTTTTGACAGATGTTTTAGTGTTGATGTAATATGTATTATGATTTATTATGAAAAAGCTGCAGTATAACGCATGCGTTGATTGGTGTACATCTGAGTTTACATTAGCCTTTGCAAATGTGAGAAATCCATTTGAGATCAGTCAATTAAGTCTAGCAGAGAGAATTTAAAAAACGATCATAAATACATTTTACAGGAAAAAATAAAAATCGTTTTAAATTTAACTGTTTCGCATTATTTTTATTTTATGCAAGACACAAAAGATGTTTTTCGTGTTTGCATTGCACTTTCGTAGACGGTTGTGAAAACTCTCGAGGAAGTGCAAATGTGATCTGATGTCAAGTTCTCCCTAAGATCACCTCAGTTTGCTTTATAGCCTGTGTAAACATGATGAACATCTTTTATTTCTTAAATAAGGTTTTGATATACGTGTGCTCAACTTAACGATCGAATTTAAATTTTTTCACCGCACTCCGGAAATCTCATCAGTTTTTTAGTTTGTTTACTTCAGTATATTGTTTTAGAACTTGTCTTTTGTCATGAACTAATATTTCTTTAGAAATATTTCCTGTATATATAAATATAATGTATTGTTTATTTCATAAATTTTAGTCTTGTTTACCTTATTTTGTAACCGAGCAATATATGATGTATAATATTTGCCTTTATGGTGGTAATATTGTAAGATCACGATTTGTTAAACATTTGCATTGTGTGATATAATATCTTAAGAAAACTGTTCGCTCAAATTTAATTGTTAAAATCCTGAATCCATGGGGAAAAGACTATAAACATTATGATTTATGTAATTATGCATAATTGTTTCGCCATAATTTGAATATTCATGATCGTAGTTAAAAATGTTCGTTTACATATTGCCTATTATCATTAAGTTTTAAATTGTATGTTATGATTAGTCATGAAACTCGTTGCGTTTAACGTCAATTTTTTGTTTATTTATTGATCTTTAGACGAACAGATCAAGTATTTTGCCATTATCTGGGGAGACTTCACCGACAGATCCAGTTTTTGGTGTTGATCTACCAAAGCGATTAAAACCTGAAGCAAAGGGTGTATATGATAATGTTCCAGATGTCCAGGGTCGAAAAGTTAACAATCGTCATATAAGCATGAGCGGGGATTTTCCAAAATCAGTAAGTAAAGAATATTCACCTCTATCATCTATTTTTGTCTTTTCTAATTTCCTGTGTTTTCCCTTTTCTAATTTCCCTGTGTCCCTATATTTATCAAAGACATCTTTTTCCTCGTGATTTTTGCGTCTTTAAATACAATCTTCTTTACCTCATCTCAACTCACACATATGTGTACTAATCTTATCACACATTTTACCTAAACTTTTTATGTATTAAATAACCGGTATTATCCTTTACCTCAATGTTATCCTTTACATAACGAGTGTAGAATATAAGTACACCGGACCACTCCAAATTTAAGGCTCACAGTAAATTTGACTTCTGTTATGTTTACTTACTCCTTGACAATACGTATACGTACATAGCTATAACATACACTCTGATTCTTTTATAGCAAAGTTTCAGTTAAAACCAAGAAATTCTTAGAGTTCAGAAACATTTTCCAGTCGACAATTTAAAGAAATATAAGATAAAAACTACTCGAAAGAACGTCATCTTGTAAACTCAAGGTTCAAGTTATATTTGCTAGAGGCAAGATTTAAAAAGCAATATTGCCACTTTATTTCAAAATCATCAAGCCTAGTTCTTTGAAATATTGCTTTTAAATCTCGTCTCTTGCTAATATAATTCAAATGAACAATTTGCAAGATGATGTTTTTTGTAGTTTTATCTTATATTCCTTCAGTTTATATTTCACATTTAGTATTCTGATATATTTTTCCAGGCGGGAAACGTATTGTATAACGAACATTAATGCCCAGCATATTGCAATAATATGAATTGCTATTGTAATTAGAACTAACAAAAAGATAATTTTTTTGGTCGTGCGACATCTTCAGAATGATGATCTAAGTTTACAAAATAAGAATATAAATGACACTATTTACAATGTATGAATAAATTAAGTAGTAATAGAGAGATCAGCCAATCATAGGGAGGATAGAAGAGTGACTAAGGAATGGAAAAAGTGTTTTTGTTGAGATCAGGTTTAATATTCGAAATAAGTAATCTTTCACGAAATAATAGTTCAAGATTGGAAGTAGAATGTGAGGAAGATACTATGGAAGAATTGTCAGGAGAGGGGATATGTCCTGTTTCGTGACAAGGTGGCACAACAAAATTAATTAACTTTGACACAACTTTCTATGATTTTGCTCTGCAATCAAAGAAAAAAAATCTTTTCCCCTTTGCTTCTTATGGTGCATTTGTCTTTTTGCATCACTTTAACTATAATAATCAGTTAATCACTTGTTTTTTGCAGCACCTCAATTTTAATAAGCCAGCCGAACGAAGCGAAAGTTTTGCTGGTCACCGTCCATTAGTTAGAAAACCTGGCTATGGTCCCGGTAGTCATCGGGTAAATATACAACATGGGATTTGCTTGTAACTCCTTCATAATCAAGTGGTGTTGTTTTTCTAAACAACAGATTCAGGAAACATGATAAATTATCTGAACAATTCTGTGGGATTTGTCGACCTTATAAAATTAACTAAGCTCGATATTGTTGCTGTATTTTTTAACCTTATATGCGAATTGGTGTTTGAAACTTTAGAGATATTGCTCTTATCAAAGACTGAAAGACATGCTATTGTTAATATATTTATTTAGTCGAGATCCCTTCCTGGAGCTGGTGCTCACAAAGCGGATATCGTTAAAGCTGTTACAATTAATGGAGAAGAAAGCAACGAAGATGAAAGCCATAGTCTTGATATGAGTGATTCGGGAATCACTGCTGTAAACATGCCTTATCACCAACAATCAATCATATGCCCTGATGATGATGATTTCCCTTCGGAAGATGAGAAGGTAGATGTTATTTTTCCAGAAGATTATTTCATTTTGTATCCATTATTACCTTGTCGACTTGCGTTAAGTTAATGTAAATATTGAGAATAAGCTACTGAATTTAAGAAAGTTTACTTTATATGGGAAGGTACAACATCATTTTTGATTCTATTATAGTGTGAAGATCACGGCCCATTCAATGATCTCAATTTACTCAATCATAAACCAGGTGGGAATGAATATTGCTAGTAAGAGTATAAATTTTATGTATTACGATCACCTGTCCGGAATTAATTCTTTTTTGCTTTAGCTCATATGGCTGTATTCCTTCATTATCTGATCTCAAACAGTGATCCAACAAGTTTGGTAAGGATTTTGCATTGCAAGGCAGAGTTCAGCTTTTGAGCGCGGAATTCATAGTCATTTATTGTAGTTGCAAATTGTTTTAAAATAGCATAGCTGAGACATTAACGACATAGTTGAAATATTGATTGAATAAAGTACAGCCATTACGTTATGTGGTTAGACATTTTAGGAAGTTACGTATTTTTTTATGCACATTTATGTTCTTTTTCACTTATATCATTGTTGATATTTAGTTATTCTGGCTTGTTACGGAAGGATATGATGAGGGGTCCTCCAAAGATATGAGAAAGTGGATTTATGAAATATATTCTACATTTTTAGCTGATGGAGCAGTGAGTAGAATTTTTATACTTTACGTTTGTCTTTGTAATTTAGTGTAATGAGTTGTTACGTAGAAGTGCTGGATTTAAGATTTACGATTTCGATTGTCTGATTAGATTAGCTACGCTTATTCTCAATTAAATTTCTATTTTTTCCTTTTTTCGTCTCATCCGTTCTTGTGTTTTATAGCCATTGAAATTCGATGACGACTCGACATCTGAAGGAATAAAGAAAATTGGTAAAATTGTAAATCATGTAATATTAATAAAAGTCTTGCTAAAGTTTTTCATTTGTCATCTAGACCGCCATGGTCGAAAGTTAAAAGTACTGATTTAACTAACGGTGTTTTTTCTGCTTCAATTTCTTGCAATTTTTTGTGTTCAGTAAGCAAATGTGTCACGAATATATCTCATCAAAGTAGCTAAAAATAAAAATTACTCGTTTTTGCAGTGTATGTTTGTACAACCTCATGCTTGTTTTCCATTTTGTACGGTAGTACATTACACATGCATGCATAAACATGTTCGACTTTCGGTTAATGAGTTTCATTCGATTGTAAATATCTTTATGGAAAACTGTGGCATTTAAATCTGCAGTATTTTTTCATATACCTTTCGTAATCCTTTACATTACTTAGAATCTGCTTTATCGAGCGCGAAATGCAGCGAGGAAACATTAAGAGGTCTATTAAAACCTCTCAGGTCAGCTGATAATGTGTTTTTATTTTTAATTGTTATTCTTGCGCTCACTTGCATCTTCCATCGCATTTATCAAGATGCAGTTAGAAATGTTGCAACTAGTAGAATGAAGTAGAGTAAAGCAGGATTGGGAGAGCAGACGACAGCAGAGCAGAGCACAGTAGAGCAGAGTAGGTTAGAGTAAGGTAGGGTAGAGTAGAGTAGAGTAGAGCAGAGGACAGCAGAGCAAAGTAGAGCAGAGCACAGCAGAGCAAAGTAGAGTAGATTAGAGTAAGGTAGGGTAGAGTAGGTATTTGTTTTACATCTAGTAAATTGTATGTTGGCGTCTTTGTGTTCATGCATGTTATTTATTAACATTGGAAATTGAATTTCTAATTTCTAGGTTAGCTGCTGCAAAAGACATTTCATTAATGCTGTCAGATTTTCGTGCTAAACGAGCTCTAGGCTTGGGAAATCTTTTTGGGGATCATCAACTAGAGGGTATTCATTGAGAATTTGCAGAAATGTTAATTAGATTTCTGGTGCGTGATTGTTTAATTGACATTTTTACGTAGATGATCACATGGATAGAAATAAAGAAATAACAGTTGTCGAACAAACATTGGTGCATCATTTAAATAATTTGCTGTAAGTACTTGTAGGATGTGGTATCAATTTCTGCCATTAAAGTTGATTGATTATTTTCTCTTTTGTAAACACAGAAATGAAGTAGATAACCTATCCAACAACTTTAAACCTTCTGCATATATCATCAATCAAATATTTAGAAGGTATCAATTGAAATATTTATTAATGTATATACTTTTATAGAATGACTTTGTGTAAAGTAATAATTAAATATTTATATCCATTGCTGGTTATTATTTCTTTGGTCATACATTATTTTTTGTTTTAACAGCGAGTCTTTGTCCTGGTCAATTGCAACGTTCATGAGAAATGTTGGTATAACTTCTAAGGTTTGTGTTTTTATTGAGCGATTATATTAAGTAAAAATTCTCTATTTATTTGAAATTTAAAAATTTGTATTTTTGAAATTTATGTGACTCTTAAGTAGCTTTCCTGTGCACACGAATATTTTCTGATGACGATATGGATCCATTTTCTGTATTGTAAATACGTTTAGACTGCAAGCCCGAACACGAACGTTTTAGAAAGATGTAAAACGTACGTTAATAAAGATAGTTTATCGTATGTGCCAAGTATTGTAAGAGGTGGAAGAAAAGACAAAGAAAGAAAAAAGGTTCGATATTTGTTTACACGAGATAAGGGAAAATTTTTTGCAAAGAAAAATTTTTTTTTACTTTTCTCTTTGTCTTTATCATTAACCACTGACCGTTGAGCCGTATTTATAATGTTTAGATGATAATGGGTCATAATTTTCATCCAGTGATTTATCAAAATACGACCTATTGTAATCTATGTCATCAGTTAATCTGGGGGATTGGACACCAGGGATATCAGTGTCAAGGTAAACTTTGTTTCTTTAACAATATCTAAATATCAGGATGTAGTTTGCTCCAATGATATACTACTTAAGGTATAAAAATTGGTGTATTTATCTTGGTGTAAATTCTTGCAGCGTGTGATTATAATGTTCACAAGCTACGCTGTATAGAAGCCATTGATGAAGCTTGTACTGGACGAAAGAAGGACAGAATTGCTACGGTAATTTGCCTTTTTTCTATCATATGTTAATTGGCTTAGCATAGCTCATATGAGTTGTGATTGGTTGTGCATAGCTCGTAAGAGTTATGATTGGTTGTGCATAGCTCAAATAAGTTATGATTGGTTGTGCATATCTCGTATGAGTGACGATTCGTTGCGTATAACACGAATAAGTTATGACGTGGGCATAGGTCATATGAGTTATGATTGACTGGATATAGCTAGTATGAGTTATGATTAATGACTAACCATTTTATATTTTTACATTTACATATGTTTAACTTAAATTTTTTTATCAGAGACCTGAATTATCACGGCGGAGCAGTGCAAATGCATGTAAGTTACAAAAATATAGATGACGTATAATACTAGGACTTTAGATTCAACATAACTTGAAGTATTGCCACATCAACATTAGGCTGTGATATTGCTTAATATATTCATTTTTAATAAAATATGAATTCAACGAATGGAAACGGTATAACATTGGCAAAAGTTCTAAAAGGAAAAGCCTTATCAATGATTTTAATTTATATAATTTATAATCCTACGTATCCTGCATGTTGGACCTACTCGCGCCTTTAACATGTTTTGTGTCAATCTATGTTTGTTATTTCTCTTTTCAGTGAAAACAAATGATTCTGCTCCTGCACTTCACTCACCAGATCCTAGAGAAGGTATGAAAACAGAACAACCATTTCTCATTTAGCGATGAATATACGTCTTTGAAGAGTCATTTTCAGCGTCTAGCTTATACAGCTAGTTTTTATCAAACCGAAGAAATCATTTTAGCATTGCCTGTTTGTAAGCAAGATGTCCAAATATGTATTGATTCTTGAAAATGAGCTCGGATTGCTTTCACAGTGGTGTTAGTTCAGTGTGATGGGAACACTGAAGTCTTATACTACAATGATTGTGCGATCATATTGTCCTATAGCCATGCAAGTTATAGGTTAAAATTCGTCAAATTAACTTAGACACAATGCTTTTGCTCAATACTCTTCAGTCATTTAATTAAATTAGTGTTGATAATTCTGGTTATTTAATATCCTCGTGGCATATCATCCTAAATCTAGCTGTTTTAGTTTTTCATGTTTTTTTTTGTCGTGACTGTATTGAAGGTAAATACTTAATTAGCATTTTTATGAGTAACAAGATATCATCTGTCAACAGAAACAGAATAAACGCCATGGAATAGTACAAAATATGACTCTGTCACGTGAAATATTTACATAATAATTCCTTTGAAATGTTTAGCTGATTCACTAAAAGTGGGGAAATTCGTGGATGGTATACCTACAAGTCCTAGGTAGAGTTAAAATGTAGATTTGATTGTTTTGAATCATACAAATGTAATTCCTGCTCGCTACAGCAATCAAATGATATTAATTTACATTTATTTTAGTCGTCTGGAGTTGGATAAAGAAAGGTCAGCTTTAATGCATTGGTCACGTCACTGTTATAAAATTTTCATTAATAACATTGGTGGCTACTCTACTTTGCAAGTATTTTTACGTAAACTCACTGCATTTTTTTCATTTTAGGCCAAATTCGTCGTCATTTGATGTAAGTTTATTGAAGATGAAATGAAATTATTGCGAAATAGGAATGTTTATTTTTCTTTGAATGATCATGATTATTAAAGTAGTGTGTTGTTGTAAATTGTATTTATGTACAATCACGACAGTATAATCACGACATATTTCTCGTGATTTCGTACTCCAATCCTTCATCACTTTACGTGGCACATATCGGAAGGTCTAAATATCTTTTTGCTCAATATTTGTTCAATACAGCAAAAAAGTTCCAACCCTGTATCTCGTACGACCAGCATGACCACTAGTAAGGTACAAACTACGTCACGTGATCATCATTTTGAGTTTTCCGTTCGTTTTTATGAAACTTGTATAAATGTTAAAAATTACCCGCAAGAACAAAAAGTTTCTTTTGACGTTTTGATTTTTGAGAATCCAGTCACTCCACTTCTTCTGAAATGTTAACGAACCTAAAGTGAGTTAAAAATTTTGTTTTTAATTTTTAATACACAAACATTTAACAATGACTAAACTTCATAGACATTGAGAGTAAATAGTTAAAATTTTTCGTACATACCATAAATGATCAGTTAATGCATGACAGATGCTAAAAACATTTCGTGTTAAAAAAAACATTTGCCCAACATTCGTGTCAAAAAAACATTTGACCAGCTTTAAATTCTAAATATAACCATTTAGTATGAAATCATAATTCATTTGAAGTAACATTTCTTTAGATAAATTATATATATTTACTAAATGTCTGTATTTAGATTTACTTGACATACGTGGCTCAACGTTTCATCAATCTTTGACAGCAAAAAATCTTTTTTCCACTCAAGTACTGGTTGCCCTTTGCTTATTAATAAAATTATTTAAAACATCGGGCATAGATTATCGAATAATCTAAGGAATGAATAGAAATGTTCAATTTGGAGAAATGACTTATTATAGAAAAATGAAGCTCGTGTAAGACCTAGTGGCCGATCGAAAACAACAGAAGTTTTCATTCCTGGTATAACAAAGTGAGTCAATGTTTTTGTTTTTAGTTTTGTTGCTTGCTAAGTTCTAGTTCAATCTCATTTATTTATAGTTTTTGTTGTTTGCAAACATATGGCTCAATCTCGTTTGTTTATGTTGTTTTTGTTTGCATTTTGCTTGTTTTTGATTATGTTTTTTTTTTATAGAAATGACAAATTTTTAGATCGTATAACAGAACCTCCTCAAATTGAGAGTGGTAAGTAATATGTGAAATTTCAAGGATCAATAAAGAATCTTGTCATTATTATTTAAAGAATATGATTTCACTCTTTGGCAGTATTTCGGCAGTAATTGTTTTGACGTTCTTTAAGTTTATGTATTTGTTAGAAACAATTTTCTGATTGTTACATGTTCAGGCTATAAATTTAATCACAAAGTTGTGTAGAAGTAACCAAAATGTATTTCAAATTAATGTATTTTACTTTTTATGTTACGTGGAAAGATGATGAAGAGGTGAGCATGATTTTGTGTTGATATGTTTCATAGACAATAAATTTGGATGATTTTTTACTTTCTTCATTTAAATCTTGTTGAATGTTCATCTTTTAGGATTCTGACTTAGAAATACCCACAGAAATACCGAATTTAAAAGACGTGATTGATGCGAAGGTGTGTGTGATGATTGTAACGATTGCATGTGCTAGTGTAACTCATTGCTAGTGTAACTCACTGCTAGTGTAACTCATTGCTAGTGTAACTCACTGCTAGTGTAACTCACTGCTAGTGTAACTCATTGCTAGTGTAACTCATTGCTAGTGTAACTCATTGCTAGTGTAACTCGTTGCTAGTGTAACTCATTGCTAGTGTAACTCATTGCTATTGTAACTCATTGCTAGTGCGTGTATTATGTACGTACGACGACTCAAAATTGGATTTCATTTCAGCTTTACAAAACATTGAATAGCAAAAGCCGAAAAAGACTTGAAATCATTAATGGTATAAATTTGTATGAATATTTTTTTGTAAATGAAAATGTTGTGTTTGAAATGTTTAGGTTGATATTTTGTTACGTAAATTTGTTAAACCTATTTAGAGCTTGTGTACACGGAGAGAACCCACGTTAGAACTCTGAAAGTCTTGCACAAAGTACGAAAAATTTACTTATCGGCAAAATAATATTTATACATGTCTTAGAAACAGTCTGTACAGCAATGTGCCCTCCTGTTATTACAAGAGTGCAATGGTGACTCCTGCACTTGTAAACAAGACGGAGGGTTACATATTTTTGGAATTGTACTGTAGCCCCCAGGCTATAAAAAATACACAATAAACACTGTTTTTGTAACTCTTTAAGCTAATTATAAAAATGTATTCAAAATGTTGTAGGTTTTTTACAAACCTTGGTTAAAAGCTAAGATCGAATATGAAACTGTGGGAAAACTTCTTTTTCCCAATCTTGAAGAATTAATTAAGATACACAGTAAGTTTTGTATTTATGTATTTCTATCGAGTATTAAGCATTTTGTTTTCATGATAACTGTGAATGAATGGGATATGTTTGTTGTAATGAAATAACTTAACTGAACAAGTTTACGATAATTTTCTTCTTTTTTTTAGAGTCCCTTGTACAGGCGATGTTAGATAAACGGGGAGAAGATGGCTATGTTAATGAGATTGGTGATGTCTTATTAAATAGGGTAATGTTGTTTTTTATTTAAATAGAACAAGAGACATTTGTCTTGACGAGTTATTTTCGTTTTTAGTTTGATGACCAGCCTGGAGAGGAAGCAAAAGAAGCGTTTGCTAAATTTTGTCAAGGACAGAATAACGCACTGGAACTTATAAAGGTTGGTTTATTTGTTATGGTTGTTGTTTGCTGCTCAAGTAACAGTTGTTGGCTGTACATTTTGTAGTTGTTTACTCTCATGTTGCAAATGCTTACTGTCGTATTGCAATTGTTTACTGTCATGTTGCAGTAGTTACTGTAATGTTGCAGTAGTTACTGTAATGTTGCAGTTGTTACTGTAATGTTGCAGTCGTTTACTCTCATGTTGCAGTTGTTTACTGTAATGTTGCAGTTGTTTACTCTCATGTTGCAGTTGTTTACTGTAATGTTGCAGTTGTTTACTCTCATGTTGCAGTTGTTTACTGTAATGTTGCAGTCGTTTACTCTCATGTTGCAGTTGTTTACTGTAATGTTGCAGTTGTTTACTCTCATGTTGCAGTTGCTTACTGTAAATGTAACTTTTGTTTACTGTAAATGTAACTGTTGTTTACTGTAAATGTAACTGTTGTTTACTTTATTTTTATATTGTGTTTTATCGTCTACTCTTCAGTTTGATTTACTTGTTTGTCATAAACAATAATTTATACTATCCAGGATACGCTTGTGTACTGACAACATTGTCTATTGATTTGATATAAATTGATGTATATTGGCCGTCTTCATCAGTATGTTTTACTCTTAATTTAAAAGATAATGAAAATGGATCTTGTCATTTTCAGGCCAAACAAAAGGAAAAAAGAAAACTGGATGAATTTATTCAGGTATTTGCATAGGAAAGCTGAATGTGCTTTTTTTTGAGGAAATAAATGGCAATTTTTTATTAATTTCTAGCAATGCGAAAGTAATCCTTTGTGTCGAAAACTTGCCCTTCAAGGAATTATTTCAAGCAGTTATCAACGTCTTACTAAATATCCACTGTTCTTGGATAGTCTTCTCAAGGCAACTCCAAGTAATAAAATGCTTTAGACAAACCTGCGATTGTCACAGAATTATTCTTTCCTTCAAAACATTTGTGAGATCGAGCAAAACCAGGAAATTCTTGTTTTCTAGAGAGGAAATTTTTTCTCATTATAGTATTTCTACAAAAGTTTTTTGTTTACTGTAATTTCACGTCTTCGTAAACATAAAAATATTGAAAGTTTTTTAAACGAATTCCAAATTACTTTTGTTTTATTTAACATTTAGGCAGCAATTCTGATCACCCTCGACTGGTAAAAGCCATTAAGATTTGCAAGGTAAAACAGACTATCATATTTTTTTTGAATATCTCAGTAGGTCTTTACTAGACCGTGGACAAAATAGTTAAAAAGTGCTTAGAAATTGACTTTCATTACTCGCATCTAGAAACTAATTATTTCTTTCATGTTGTCATTAAAATAATGCAAACGTCTGTAGTTAACGTGACATCAAGCGATAAGTTTGTACAATAAGCAGAAAGTCATCGATAGTTATCAAAACAAAAAAATTTCCAAACGTAAAAATTTCTTTTTACCACTAGATACGTAGACAAGCATATAAAGAGTAGAAAAGTATAATACAAATTTCTTTTTACCACTAGATACGTAGACAAGTATATAATGAGTAGAAAAGTATAATACAAATTTCTTTTTACCACTAGATACGTAGACAAGCATATAAAGAGTAGAAAAGTATAATACAAACTTCTTTTTACCACTAGATACGTAGACAAGTATATAATGAGTAGAAAAGTATAATACAGCACTCGTTATTGAAGTAACGATGAATTTTTTTTACAAGAATGCGACTCACTTTTTTAAATCTTGTCTTATACCATAGATAGACCTGTCAACTCCCTTGATTTATCAAGTGTCACCTGAATTTTAAAAAATAGTACCAGATTTGCAATCACTTTCGCCGATTTATTTTTTATAACATGTTGATAGTGAAATGATTTTCAGCAAACGAAGTCTGTGTGAGGGTTAGATTTAGAATTGATTGAGAGTTGTGTACACCAACGCATTAACAAGCTGAAAATCTTGGTGGTGAAGAATTATGTAAAAGCAACAGAAAGAGGAAGGCCTAACACGGATTTCTTTGTCATTATAAGAAACTCCGTGTAAAATTTGAATGCTTAACATAAAATATGCTGCATATTTGTTGCACATTAAATGGTGAAGTAAACTATTTACAAATCTTATACTCTTACGTATATCTGATGGTTAAGAGAATTTATAAAAGTGCAAATTTTTTGGTTTTGACAACTATGGATAACGTCTTATTCACACTTATCGCACACTTATCGCTTGGATCATGTTGATTACTTGGGTTGGCATTATTTGCTATGGCATTATGAAAGAAATCAGTTTCTCTATGTGTGCAACGAAAGTTGTTTTTCTGAGCACATTGATCCACGTCATACAATGCAACTTAACTTCTGTAGGGGACTTTGTTCACAAAACGTCTTTACTTACGAACTGAAATCTTATTTTAAATCATACATTATTTTTTCATTACTCAATCAATGTATTCCATTAAATTTTTAAACATCATTGTTTTAAATACACAAGAATTGACTTTGCGAAATACATATTTTTGTAGCAAATTCTAGAATATGTCAATCAAGCGGTAAAAGATTACGAAGATCAGCAGGTTTTGATTTTGGTTACTATTAATAATGAATAGTTCATGAGTACACACTGATGAACAGTGATGGTGATCTGCCATTTTATAACACCGAAGTAATGTTTGCATTGTATGAATGTATGTATTCCTTGCAGCATTTGGCCGAATTAAGTAAAAAAATTGACAAGTCACCTCTGGAAAAATCAAACCATAAAGCAGCGGAAGAGTTCAAGGTATGAGAGAAGTGTGGAAAGAAAATTATGACTGAAAAACAATCTAAAAGTTTTGTATTTTTTTTGTAGAATTTAGATCTGACAAAGCATAAATTATTATTTGATGGACCTTTAACTTGGAGAATGAGTCAAAGCAAATATATTGGTATGACACTTGATTATATTAGTGTGCACCTAGGAAGGACTGTTGGTTTTGGTATTGACTGTGGTTTTGACGTACTTAGCAGTAGCTACGTCATCTTCAGATTCAAATGTCAATACAAACATTATCATACTTTGTCAGAACTGCATTTACAACGACTTTTTCTATATGTGATAAAATTTTCTTGATCTATTTGACAAATTAAACATTGTTTAAGGCGACGTAGCCGACTTATCAACTTAAGTTCTCGTGAAATTTTAGGCAACTATTTGTCAATTTTTGAAAACTTTATGGCAAGTGATCATGAACTTTTTCATCTTACATTGTTCGTTAAAAAAATTATAAAAAGGAGTGGAATAGAGTGTTAACAGAAAATGATGTCAAAACTCAAAAATTAAGTATTTGGCGCTTAATAGATAAATTATATTTCCTATGAACGTTTACATACGTATATGCAATTTATTGCCACGCAATTAGTGTAAATGTTATTTCTCTGTAGATTTACACGCTATTTAAATGCTATTTCTCTGTAGATTTACACGCTATGTAAATGTTATTTCTCTGTAGATTTACATGCTATCCTGCTTGAAGATCTTCTCGTATTGTTGCAAAAACAGGATGACAAATATGTTTTGAAATGTCAGAGTATGAAAAGTTATCAAGACAATAAAGTAAGCCATTCGTGATGATAAAGTAAGGGATTCATGATTATAAAGGAAGAGATTCAAGACAATGATCCCTTACTTTAATATTGTGATATATGACCTATGTTTTATCCCATATCCCTGATTTTAGCTGCTTTAATTTGGAAATACTTGTGTCATATAAAAAAAAACACGAAACTAAACTACAAGCCTTAATTACAACAATCAAAATGTACAATTTTTGTAATTTAAGATTCTTCGATATAATTTCAGACTACACATAGTCCTGTTTTAAAGCTTTCCACTGTGTTGACAAGAAATGTTGCAACAGGTAAAACATATTTAAATTGCTTCTATTTTCTTGCTTATGTTTGTTGTGTTTTTGTAAACTATCAAGACTTTATGGTCGTCGGTATTACTTCCCGCTCATGATCAAATATTGAATAGTGACGTTTGTGACGTCATAGGGACTGTATATGACGTCAGAGGCAGAGTGTCAATCATCATACATTACGATCGTTCATATGATCCGTAAAAGTCAAGAAAAACTAATAAATAATAATTGAAAGTGTTCGGCTGAATTAAAAATAAAACTGTCGCTTTATTATTAAATTCAATGAATTCAATCACGTGTCTGTTTTTACGCTAGTCTTATTGGAAGCACATTTACCAATCACGTGTTTGTTATGTACCAAATTAAGCCAGCTTTACGCAAGGGTACTTGTAACATACAAAATATTAACGAATATGTTTTCCTTAAACATGACCCCCCATGCTCTAAACTTTCTCGTTACGTACTGCCCTGTGAAATTATCCAAGTCAGCATAAAATACCGTGAAACGTGAAAATATACAAACGCAATGCATGATGGTTAAATTGCACTCTTTTGAATTTTTATAAATGAACATTGCAATTTGATCTAAAAATAAGCCACCTTACGATTGGAAATTCTTTTTGTTTATAGATAAGAAAGCGTTTTTCATTGTTGGTACGTCGGACAAAGGTCCACAGATTTACGAATTAGTTGCAGCAACCATAGAAAAGAGAAGACAGTAAGAAATCTTGTCATATTTTACACGTGACTGTCAACTACCAATCAATGATTTTCTCATGTCTGTACGTTGTTGACTTTTCTTTGTATTCTCGATATTTAGATGGTTCAAAGTTATTACTGAAGCAATTGAAACATGCAAAGGCAAAGGTAAACGGGAACCTCAAATATTGTGTAACATTCCAAATAATATTCTTATTTGGTAACTATACATTCAAAAACATTGGTGATGTTTTTTAGGTTACATCTTTATTCTTTGCATGTACCATCAATTTTCTCTTACGTCACTTGTTGTTATCAATGTAACCCCACTTAAACACACTTTATATTCACCATCTATGTTGTCTTACGTGATTCTTCGTCATTAATGTAACAACTTTAACGCATAGGTATCTTCATCATTTACGCTTTTTATGGCCATTTATAAAAATAACACGATTGATGTCTTGTTTTGTTTTATCTTTGCTTAAGTAAGAATTTCATTTTTGTCAACGAGGTATTGATTTCTTAGAACGAGGACGGCGAAATGCAGTTGTCGTAACTACAGATTCATTAAAAGATATGGATGATGTTCCGGAGCAAGAGAAAGAAGAATTCGAGACAAAAGAGAAAAATGACTTGGGTAGCGAAAAGAAAGAAGGAGAGAAAGAAAGCATTGACTCAGAGGAAAAGGAGAAAGATTCAGAAGAATCGAAAGAAGTTTCATCAAAGGTAAAATATCTTTAGCGCATTTTAAATGTGTTATAACAAGTAATATGTTAGCGCCTATAGTATTATAAAACAATTGAATAGGGTATTAAAAGACTTTTTTGAATATGCGTCTTATATTGTCACTTGACTCTGAAGATAATGATCACTAGGGTTGTTCAAACGTCAGTCAACACTAACAGTTTTTCTCAGGACTTTACTAACCTGGACGATCTACATGTACAAAAATTTATGCGTCTTATATTTGAAATAATTTCATGTTTTATTCTACAGGATAACCTGACTATGAATGTCCCCACTCAAAAAGTTGAAGAATTTAAACATCAACAGAGTATTGAGCCACCAAATTCAGGTACTTGTATTACGTGTGAGGTTCTAATTGTATCCTGCGTTGTACTCAGATTGTCGTATCTGTTGTATCCTTATTGCATCCATATTTGTATCCTTATTTTTATCTGTATCATTTTTATAATTGAATCCTTATTGTATCCATGTTGTTTCAGAATCGTATCCAGTGGCATAGCCAGTCTACAAGTTTGGTTGTGTTGTGTAAATAACTTTGTCATTATTTATTTCTTAACAAATCTTTTGCTTTTACATTGAATGAACACGACAAAAATATTGACATAGCTTGACCAAACTTGCTTTCTGGCTACGCCACTTATTGAATCCTTATATTTTACCAACAATTAATGTTCTCTTGTCAACTGTATCCATATTTGTTTATATAATAACTTTGAAAGCTCATTCAAAAGCTCTACTATAATTTATAATTATATCAGCTAAGCAGACATACATAATATGAATGTAATATTGAATTCATATTATGATTCTCTGATAATGGCTTTACAATAAAGTCATTGAGTTATGTTGTCGATGTTGTTAAGTATATTGTTGACGAATCAATATACGTCATTTAGATTACAACTTTCTTAAAAAGATACTTTATTTAAAATAATCTGCTAACGTTTTTTAACTGTTATAGAATATTTGCAGCAAAATTCATTTTAAACCAGTGCAACCTAATTAATGTTTCATTATTTTTTATATTGTTTTATAAACAGCAATAGTTGCAGATGGATCTGATACAGACACTACTGAAAGTCTGAAAAATAATTCACCTGAAGATAGTGTGCGATCATCACGATCCTCTGTGGAAGTAATGGGTACGCAACTATAATCGTTTCAGTTTCACATGCTCAATTTTAACTCCTTGAATTCATGATATTTGTTTTTCTAGAGTTGTTGAAGCAAAAAGATGACGAAATTAGAAAGTTACTGGAGGAAAAATCACGTTTGGTTGAAGAGTTTCAGGTATTACATTGCACATTGTAAGAGAAGTTGGCATTGTAGAATCACCATTCATACTTCAAGAAATGAACAATGTACAACTCGTATGGTAAACGTATAATGTTCACACTTTTCACACAATCCCATAAGTTTACAATATGGTTATAAAATGTCCATAATCAATCTTTATTTTTTCCTTTAGGGATCACATTCTATTGAAAATTTAGTATCTAAGGTAAACATTGACTACGAACGTCTCGACCAACAAAACAATGACTTGCTCTTATGAACTCAATGTTTACAATTGAGCACAAACCATAAAGGCTGAAACACACTGGGCAGTCGCTTCAGTCGCGCGTCCAAAGCGAATTGATGCGCACGCGTCAGTCGCTTGAACGCTAGAAACACACATGCAGCGACCATCGCGACATTTACCGTGGCGTCTATTGAACATGGCGGTAATTTTAGTTTGTTACAAACAGAGATATCACTTAAACTTTTTATTTTGGCCTTTATTATAGCTACTAATATATGAATATTTACTCAGTACAAACTACTATGTGGAGAAAAGAGAACAAGTCAGTTAAAACACGCCAATATGATCATAGCCCATTACGCGTATATCGTGGATGACCTTATTCTTATTTTTGTGCATTAGGGTTCCAGTTTGTAGCTCCTATTGTCCCTATTTGATAAGTCATATAAAAACTGAAAGATTCCAGTGTGAATTCACTATATATTGCCTTCGTTTTCCAAGGTATAATCTATAAATTTCGTATGATGCTTATGACAGGAAATATGATATGCATTTAGGAAGTTAAAATGTATCTATTGGCCAATCAGTGTAAAGCGACTGAAGCGACCAAAGTCAAAAGTTCAACATGTTGAACTTTCAAAGCGACTAGCTGACGCGACTACGCTACTAGCTTAGTAACCACGCAAAGCGGTAGTTTTAGACGCGCGACTAAAGCGACTGCCTAGTGTGTTTCAGCCTTAAAACTTTATGAAAGTGTTAGATGGTTTGTAGATTTAAAGTTAATCCCAAAAGAACGACAGTTAAATTAATAACTTTGTCTGTCTTCCAGGGATCGGTAACAGATACGAATGAAGATGCGAGGTAAATCTTTTTTGCTTTAAATTTTCGTTTCTTGTTCTGTCAGAGCTTGTAACATCCGGTTTTTAACTCCAGCTCTGGCTTCCACACCAGCAAGGGGGGGGTTACCCCTCCAACTATATTCGTTCTTTGTACAATAAAGATACTAATAAAATATATATGTAAATATAAGAGCAATTTTTTCAGTGTGCCCCCCTAAAAAACCTTGCCGGTGTCACTACTTACGGATTAACGAGGTCGTGATACGTTAAACACAAAAAAATACTGCCATTACCAACTGAATGAAAGCATTTATCATCAGGCTACAAAAACTGTGAAATGCCAAAAAATGAATAAGTAACTTATAGTACCACTGACATCGGTAACCAAAGACAGGTCTACTACTTTTTTTCATATGATTTACGAGGTTATTTTTTAACTTTGCAGAAGTCTTGTTGTTGAATCAATACTAGAAGGTATATTATCTTACACTTTATGTACTTTTTGTTTTTGAATTTCTTTTCAAGTAACCAAGTTGTTGTTATATTTCAGCCAACCATATAACTGCCGCTGTTACTAGCATTTTAAGCCCAAGCGAAAGATCACAAAATAACGAAGAAAATCCTTTACCTCCTCAGGTAATCTATTTTCACATTTTTTTTCAAATTTGATTGGTATCTCTTAAATTACTAGATTTAATTAATCCACGGCTGTTTCAAACATGGATGTTGTGGTACTTTCCATCAAAATGAATTACGAAAGAAAGTACATGGATGATTTTGAAACTTATCCATATTTCATCACCAGTAGCAATTTACATAAAATACTTAGAAATTTTTGATTTTGTCGATCCCGTAGGATTGAATCGAAATTCAATCCATTCCATATCATTGATATCTTTATGTGTTCAAGATGTAGCATTAACTCATCTTATTTTTAAAATGTCCTATTTACTTAGGAAAACTGTTAAGTTTGTACTTAATCGTAGCCTGGAGAGTTTAAATTATGACAAATTACAGATTTTTGAACTACTAACTTTTAAATGAACTACCAACGTTATTGGCTAGTAGCACAACTTCTAAATGAAAGTGAATTTAAAAACATATGTTTCATGTAAAGCCATGAACAATGAACACATTAAAACACTGGAGGTTCCTTTAAATACTAGCCGTCATTCTTCAAATATCAACATAAGTTAATGGCAATCGATAAAGACCTAACAAAATATTATATAGCAAGAACAAAAAACACGACTCGAATGAAGCAATGTTTTATTGACTTACCAATACGTTTTAACACTTCAGTACAGTCTGCTGTTAATAAAAATCTTCGACAAGTCATGATCTTTTATAAACATCTTTGTTTTACAACTTATTTGTTTACACTTTTGTCTCTTATCGCTTATTTTTTTTAAGGGAGGGAAGGTTTTTAAGATACTTTTTCACATGAGTAATGTTCAAATGTGAGAAATGAAGCATGAGACATTCTCGACATGTAAGACGCTGAATTTATCAAATAAATTTACTGTCCATGAAAAAGTGGGCAGTTTGGCCTCGCCCCTCTCCCTGCTTTGCGGTTTATGTAGTGTATATTTTTATAATAGAAAACTTATGAATTGCAGCTAATAACTAGTTGAAGAACAAATGCGCTATTTAATGTTTATCAATGTTTATTATAGCAACAATTGGCAACATCGACTGCCAAACTGAATGAATGTCTCACGAAATTATTAGTGAGTAAAAGCTTTTTTACTTATAACGTGAATCCAATAAATGCCAATTTTAATTCTAAAAAATAACGTTAACTTTTCATGAATACTTGAAAACAAGAAAAGTCAACTGTTAGAAACTGTTTTTAAATATTTTTCCGTTTTGTTTTAATTTAGAACGTCATTAGTGAGAGAGACATCAACCGCGAAAGGTAAGGATACTTGTAAAAGTATTTTAAATAAACTGGTTGAACTCGAACAGTTGGTCAAACCGACTGCAGATGATTTCTCAAATACAAGTAAGCCAGTTACTCTGAAAGATAGTTTATCCAATTTATCTCGACTCAACAATTGCCTGAATAGGCTACATATGTTCAGATGATTTCTCTAATAATTGGTAACTGAGCGAGCTTTATATTCCAAACGTAGAGCAAGTAAGTTCAGTTGTTCGTTTTCATGACTACACACTCAAACAATTGATCGATCGGACTGTGGTTTAAAAGATTTAGTTAATATATTCGTACTTGTCTCGGAGTCAAAGGATGTTCTCTTTTTTGTTTTTATTTGTAAATGTAAAACCAAAACGTCACTTTTTACACAGGCTCCAATACGACTTACAGCAATATCAGGGAAGGGCACATAAACTCGAGCAACAACGATCAAATTCTCCAAGAGGTTTACATCTGTCACATTCTGACGAAACATTTTATCCAAACTATGATGGACATGGTACTGAAAAACAAAGAGAATTTGATTATTGTTCATGTTTTAATGCGTATTTTTTGTTTATAGGAAACTGGGAATCCTTAACTGACAGATTAGCGTTGCCCAATAACCATAATGTAAGTTGACAATCATAATGCTTGCATTTTATTTTTGTTGATTGTAGGACATGACGTGAGGTCTTTTGTCAGAAAGCATTTAAGATTATGATCCATGTTTTTAATTTTTTATTTTACTTTTTGCTTAACTGTGTAGGATATACCAAGACAGTTAAGAACTTCCTCATTCAGTGGATGTAGTGAAAGCAGTAGAAGTAGTCATGGAAGTATAAACAACTCCTTGGTAAGTGTGTGGAAAATTAAGAAATCTGATGGATGTTATCACACAATCTCACCATAAATAAATATTTAAGGCACGAAGATTTTGATGTTAGTTCATATTTTTTCAGGCTCTTGGAGATTTTACTGATCAACTAGAAGTATGACATCACGATATTTCCTAACTATCTAATGCTACGTGGTTTTCGTTGGTTTCAGGCCCCTACGTAGCGACAATCTACATGTATTTTGTGTTAAAGATATTTTTACATATTGATTGTTGTGAGCTTTGACTATTTCACAATTATTAGTATGTCTATGTTTTACATTTTCCTATCTGGAAAACAAGTTTGAGTAAGTAAACAATTTATTTAAGTATTTAAACCAACATATAAATTCTGACATCTGTAAGAAAATGGACTAAAAACTCAGACTGAAAAAAATATTGGCAATTTTCAAAAACCAAAATGTTCAGGTTGTAGACAACCTGTTAATATTTCCACACAATATTCAGTCATCATATTCTATGTCAGTGAAGTAATTGCTTGTGGTTTGATGATGTAGAAATTTTATGTTTGGTTAATTTCCATAGCAACGGTCAAATGTGATGACCATTATTATACGATCAATTTGCACCAGTCAGTAAATCATCAAGCAAAATTTTATCTCTTTGATTTTTGCTTTATTTTTATTGACTAAATGTATTTTACTATTCTTGGAACATGAAAGAACAATGATAATTTGTTGTGTGTCGTTGTACAGTTCACTATAGCGTGTATAGAACAATTTTGTAATTCAATACTAGAAAATGTACAGGAATATGTTGACTTGTGTTGACAAATAAATTTTCAATAGCTTATTTCTTTGCTAGCTGCCTGTTGTGTTTTTTTGTGAATTAAACGTATTTTATCTCTGTCCTATGAAATGACAACATTAATATTGACGATATTTCAAAAAGTCGTCATTTCATAAAAGTCATGTGATCGTGTAATCATTTCGTCAAATGTTGTCAATGTGTTATGTAGAGATTGTAGTCATTTAAAAATCGTTTTTTCATAACAGATGTAAGGTTCGAACCGCATCTGACACTCGCACAAATACAAAAATTCTTTCAAAATACCTACCAAAATATCCGAGATTTAAACGCACTGACTGGTCGAGTGTGTAGAGTGAGGTTTCTCAGGTTGTGATGTGGGGCTCCAATCCTTCGAGGGTCAGTCGGTTGTTGTTGGGCTTGGTGTGTTAAGCATAAGACTTGCAATAAACGAGTACCGTGAATGTCAGGGGCAAAGTAAGGGTAGATAATTGTGTACACAAGTTGTATGGCAACTCTATTGTTGGTTTTACGAGAATGGAATGCGACACTTATATTCTATATTTTCGACACTTATATTCTATATTATCCTATATTTTCGGAAAAAATTCGCAAAGAGAAAAAGAAAAGGGAGTCCGTTGCAAGAATTATGCCCTAAAAAAACAAAGGCCTAGTTTAGACGTCGAACTCTACATGAACTTTACATGAACCAAATGCATATAAAACAAAAGATAATGAGGGAGTTCATCTCATTTTCTTTTTTCTTTAAATCATTCAGTTCATGTAAAGTTCGAGGTCTAAACTATGTCTAAGTCTTTTGATCAAATTTTTTTATGACTTTCCAGAGGAAGTCATATTTTTCTAGTCAGGAAACAGAGGGAAAACCGAACGCTCTTTTACATCCCCTCCTAACCTCAACCTTGCACTCAATCCTCAATCTACAACCCGAACTGACGACGACATCCGGACGAACCAAGGACCTCGTGCATTGGAGGTCAGACAAAGCCTCACCAACGAATACTAGTAGTTTCCTGGCATCTTTGCCCTTTTTCTCAACTTTGAAGTAGAAATACACAAGGCGGTCTTGAACCTTGAAGGTGCAATTGCATTAGCCATGACTACCTTTAGTTATGTACGTATTATTGAACTACAAAAAGCTAATAAGAATGAAGCGGCTTTAAACCCGAGAAGGAGTGATCACCAAACCGTCATCTGCACCACAGCCAAGCAAGAGAGATGTGATGACTATAAACACATATCAAGTGCTTCGACTAAACAGCATTTGCCTTTCATCACATAAGGCTTTAGTTTATTACTTGTTTTGAAATTATGCCTTCGACGGCATCATACCAATAGTAGATTTCTAAAGGCAAGAGCTTGCTCATCGCACTCTAAGCAATAAATACTTTACAGCTTTACCATGAAGAAACAAGAGGAAAAAAGTATGTCCAATAGCATCCATTGACATGTGGTGAATTTGGGTCATGACGCGCATGTCCTTAATCATGAAGAGAATCGTGAAAAGACTATTTTCGTAGATATTTTTTATGACTTTCCCGTCGTCAATTTAAATGATCGTCATTTCAAACTTTGTGTCTTCGTAGATCATATCAAAGTAATTATTAGTACAAAGTAAAGAATGTACATCTCGTTATTTTAACTTAACGTATTGAATTAGAAAGTATTTTAAAATCCCAGCTTTAGAAAAATTTGTAAAGGAAAAATTTTCTTATCTCTAAAAGGTGAATTGTTTCATAGTAAATCACGGTATCATCACTACTGTGTGATTTTATTTGACTATGTATTGTCATTACTGTATGATTTTATTTGACTATGTATCGTCATTACTGTATGATTTTATTTGACTATGTATCGTCATTACTGTATGATTTTATTTAACTATGTATCGTCATTACTGTATGATTTTATTTGACTATGTATCGTCATTACTGTATGATTTTATTTGACTATGTATCGTCATTACTGTATGATTTTATTTGACTATGTATCGTCATTACTGTATGATTTTATTTGACCATGTATCGTCATTACTGTATGATTTTATTTGACTATGTATCGTCTTATTCGACTTCTCTGTTATGTTCAATCTGTTTCAGTCTATGACTTAAAGGTTATAAGATTGCATTTTTTGGGTGAGTTGAATCTTTTTATTACTGCTTTATAATGATGTGAACAAAAGTCTTTCTTTGTTGCTTGACTTTAAGTCTATTTCATTCTTCAATCCATTATAGTTTGTTGTAAATAAAACAGCACAAATATTTATATGGCAATCAGATGATTCTCAGAACGGTGTGCGTCAGATTGTAAATTACACTTATTCGAAAATCAAGGCAATAGAAATCAATATATTTGATCTCTTTATACTTATGTTATAATGTGGATGGTACATAAGAAATCAATGTACTTGATCTCCTTATACGTATGTCATAGGGAAAATGGTACATAAGAAGTCGACATACAGTCGAGTCTCCCGTAATAATCTTAAGATGTGATTTATCGTATTATTATTTTGTAATTCAGTTTAAAAGAAAAATGCTTGCATCATCAACTGTTTCCAAGTACAGTTTACAATGAGAAAAATTATATTCATGACAATATTCCAGAGTCTGTTTTCATTGGCTTGAAGGATCTGGGACACAAAATAAAAGGATTACGGAGATTCTCTGTCGTTCAAGGAATTTATAGAAATAAATCGGGATACCTGTTCGCAAAATCTGATCCAAGAAAAGGTGGTGTTGATGTTGTTTTGCCGTAACAATAACGTTGATTAATTAAAGACGGAGGAGTGAATAAAGGAGAGATAGTTAAAGAAGCCAAAATCTTAGAGAATCTTTTGCGTGATGTCTTTGATTGAGACTGTGAGACTCGATGCATTCTGTAATAATAATATAAATATCAATTTCTACATAGTAATATTAATAATATTTAGTTTTTTCACGAAATTTGTTTTATAAATGTCATTTTATACTATTTTTTAGTTAACGTGTTGACCTCAAGAAAAACATATTAAACTGCTCAAAAATAATAATAACATATATTTGCTTGTAATTTTTCAAATAGCATCCTTCGTGTTCTAGTTAATTTGTTTACTTAGTGATGCTTCACTATGTTAGATACAAAAATGTAGACAAAAGAGGTAGACAAGTAGACAAAAATTTAGATAAGTGGCATTTGTTCACCAGTGGGCTATAAATGGAACAGAAATGCTACTGTAAATATTGTGTTGACAGTCGGCGGTAGGCAGGGACAATGGGTGCAACATTTTATTAATAATCTTGAAGAGATATATCAAGAAACCAAAGATGAATTCCTAAATGTTATCATTATCCATTTTCACACTAAAGATATCGATATCAAACATGCTTTGGAAAAGAGTCGAATACGCCGATATTTATTGCTCCACATGAAGTCTGATTGGCTATGACTGTGGTGACAAATCCAAATGATATTGGAGTGGTGAAGACTAGGACCTAGTAGATAAAATTTTGGCAGCCGGCCTGGAAATCGAACGTTTGAAGGTGCTCAACTTTTTTCATTTTTATCATACAAAAAAGGGAATGTGGAAAGATTCGGAACAAAAGTTGCCATGAAAATTTATTGTCGCATGGAGATTGAAAATTCTTTAAAAGGAGCGACATATAATACCGGCTGATAGTTGAATAAAAAAATAAAAAATACATTGTAATAATATTTTTCTATCCGATTCATTCCTTTGCTGTGTGCAAAACTAGCTGGTCAGCCTTCATTTACCACTGAAGACCTTTGTATAATTTCAATGTCTGTCACTACGCAAAGCCCACAGGTGCATGAAATATTGTTAGCTACGTTGATTCAAGAACAAAAGATTTTCCTCCATTGGAAATGTAATGCACAAGTGAGATTAGCACAGTGATCGGGCTTTGAAATTTTACAATAGTTTAATTGCTAAACGTCGTTTTTATGTACACCTTGTAGAATGCTAATTAAAAGAAATCAAAGTGTTAACTTGTATTTGTTCCCCAAGGAGACTTAAATGTTTGGGATTTGCTATTTGCTGTAGCTGAAGTATACGTTTTTATTCATATTGTATTAAATTGCATTTACCGCTCTATGGGGATTAATTCTAAGTGATGATCATGCAAATTCTAAATTTCAGCTGATTTCACAATGTACAATTGACGACACACCTAGTAAATGACCAATTAGAACACAACAGTTTAGGACACACCTAGTTAATGACCAATAACAACACAACACGTTTACAACATACCTAGTCACTGACCAATCAGAATACAACAGGTTCGTAAAACTTGGGCCATAGTCTAAGACTCAGAACGTGCCGTTTGAACGTGAAAGTCGGTAGTTGCACGAAGAACAGTTAGCCGAAGTCGAAATTATTCCATAGTGAAATATCTCTTGGAGTGCTTTGAAAAAATGTTCAGGTAAATGTCTTGTTTCATGTTCTTTTGCTTTGAGTAAACATTAAATTGGGACACTACATGTGATGTTCATTAATGCAAAGTGCAGTGTGGCCTTTCCATAAAGTTTTCGTCTTAGTAACTTTTGTTTCCTCTATGCTTGATTTTAGACATGGACATTCTTCTCTTAAACGACAAATAGTCATAAAATGAGATTGAGAAACAACGAACAAATGTTGGTGTATTCACCATGATCGTGAACTCTACAATTAAAGAAAGTGGTTATTGTTCACAGCGGTTGAAGAGAATTGTGGCTGTTGTCGACCATTTCCTTCTTCCCTTGAACTACATTACGAGTGAATAAAATGTTCAATGTAAGTATGTTATCAATGTTTTTCATTTATGGAAGTATAGTGTGAACTGACATTGGCTTCGATTATCCTATATAGAAACCTTCTGATCAAGAATGGACAATATACGTACTTTAATGAAATCCTCTGAACGATGATCAAGAATGGACAATATACTTTAATGAAGACCTCTGAACGATGATCAAGAATGGACAATATACTTTAATGAAGTCCTCTGAACGATGATCAAGAATGGACAATATACTTTAATGAAGTC